GACCCACCCACGCCATCCCCCCTGTACTGCATCTTGATTAGATACTTTACCTACCCGTGCTACCAAAGGTAGGTACACAATTGTCATGTTCACGGGTAACAGATACTTCCTCCATGTCAAACAGGATCAGTACATTGGATTACACAATCAGTGTCCTTATCTTGTTCCCCCTTACGACCAGGGGTCCATATCGAAAATTTCTTGTGTATTTTTCTCTTCTTCAGAATTACTTCTGGAATGCCAAGTTATGTCAGTACTTCGACTTGATGGTTCTATCGGAACATTCATTTTCTTTTTATAGATATCTGCGTTACTGTTATGGATCTGAATTCCAATTTTGAACGTGCAAAGGGCAAGGTACAAAGTACAAATACATTTATATCTACACTATGGCTAATTCTCCTACCATCTTTGAATGGATGCAGAAGAAATAGCTGAATAGGAGAGGGATTCTGTTGAGGGGCAGCAAGCATAAGCAGAAGCCCCGTGCAAATATGGAATCCTCTCGTGTGACTATGAAGTATGTGGACGGCGGGATGGCCTGATGTGCGTCGTCCTGAAAACTCCTCGGTGAAATGAGGAAAAATGGTCCTCTGGTGAGAAGAGAAGCTGAATAATGCAGGTGTTGAAGGAACCAAGCAACCAACCAATTTCCTTAAACCAAGTTCAACCTTTTCGTGAATCATTCCGTGAACCAATTCCAACCAATCCCAACCAAGTCCTTACCCAGCCAAACGTACGAATAGTGAATCCTCGTCATCAATATCCATATTCTCAACTTTTACCCTGGCCTCGGCCTCCACCTCGACATTGTCATCGACATTGACATCATCGACGGGCGGAAAATCGTCCTCCTCTAAATGAGCGCCCTCAAGAATGAATCCCATATGCGACTTATCAATGCCCCGGCAGTCCCTGCGAATCTTCGTGAAGAGGCCCTTCAGAAACCCGACGGGGCTCTTCGTGAATCCCCAGTGCCCTGTCGAATTCGTTATGAATCCATCGGCTGTTGACAAGTTAGTTGAGAGATTCGAACTGTTAGGGAGAGCGTTTAACTTACGAGAAAGTTCTTGATCGTATTCAGCGGCGGCATGGGCCAAGCCCAGATGGTCGCACAGCTCGACGTACTCTTCGTACGAGCGGAGGTAGAGTTGCCCGGCGAAGAGATTGAGTTGGAGAGTCATGCTGCGTGGCACGGAGTCCGGATCGAACTCGCGACCAACGTTATAGAGGTCGAGACGATCCAGTGGTCGGTAGCTTGGGTTCTGTCGTGGCGAATACAGATGGAGCGTGACCTTGTCGTGGGATTGGATATACGGATAGAGACAATTTGCTTCGAATGGGCTGATGATGACAAGCCCTTGGATCGTAGAAGTGTCGTGGTGGTCTGGAACGGAGATGATCCATTGGATGGGGCGGTGATATAGGTCTGAGTAGGATCTTGTGGGCAGCTTGACGGTCCGCGCATAATCAGAGGTGACATACAGTCCTCCCGGGAATTTTGGGATGTTGAACTCTTTTGCTATGCTTGTTCCTTTGAGGGTTTCGAAAGCTGGTATGATCGTTGGAGTCGCCTTGAGTCTACCCGTTCTGACGAGGTTCCCAATATTGCGATCGAGGCGGTGATTAGCTTCTGTAATCTGTAGCACTTCTTCAACTTCTCTCTCTGCCTCTATTTCCGGGTATAACTCTCTTTCTTGTTCTTCTTGAAGGTCCATCAAAGAGACATTCATAGCTCCAAATTTCCGGCAGCGTTTGACGATCTTGGAGATGTCGTCATCGTCTAAATCCCAACCTTCAAATTGCCGCTCTTGTAGTTGTGTCAAGGTTAAAGGCTTGTAGCGATATTCTAAGGAGGCTGCCTCTTTCTCCAGAAGTTTCTCAACTACTTCCTTGGTGATGGTTTCAACGTCGAGAATAGATTGTTGATGGTAGAACCTTTGGCCTTGAGCAGCCCATAATCGCATGCTTCTTCGAAGGTCCGTCCAAGTCTCTAGAATGGTCCAGCAGAGCACATCTGACACTGATATTTGGCTCTCTTGAGCTTTGTCCAATTTCTCCAGAATCTTGATCCGGATCTCCTCAGGCACACAGTACGCCACGGACTGACCCTTGCCTAATTTCCTCATTCTCATACAGGCTGATGACATATTAGTGAAAAGAAAGGTAAATGAGCACATTAGAGACCACAAAACGTACCTTGTGCTAACTTGTCTTTCGTAAGACCGGCTCCCAAGGTAACTGCCGCGCGGTAGTTTCTGGGAAGCTTCAGATCAGTGCCTCTCGTGTGGGCCTCGTCGAGATAGACAAGACAAAGCTCAGAGTGTCGGGCATATGTAGAAGTTTGTAATTCTTCTACTCTACCCCGACGATCGCAAACGCAGAGTTGGTCGTTTTCGTTGAAGAAGATTACGGCTTGAGCATCGCTCAGCCCGCTCATTTCAATCCATCTCTTCGCAACCTCAAGGTTGTCAAGCTCAAGTATTTGTGCACCAACATCGAGAATAACGCGTACGGCCGGTGTCATGCTCGTGATGAAATCGAGAAGATGCTCTGCATCAGATTGAACCATTGTTGGCCTTGGTGGGATGAGAGCGACCGAATTCGTTCCTTGCAAGAGGTTTGCTAGATTGAGAGCATTCGTATGCTTTTGTTGATCTATATCCAGATACTTTATCATTAATGGAAGAGTATGGCGTGAGTCATTCGTGCCGCTGAACCCGGTAAGTGGGTGGGCCTTCCCTTGGCCAATATCCCATCCCGACGCGGACAATTTGTGAGGATACTCTTTTAATTCCTTTGGGAATACGATATGTTTTAAGTAGTAGTCAATGGCGCCTTTGGAAAACCGAAGTCCCGGGAACAATTGTCGTGTACACCGGAGGGAGTCCCTCAGGTTGATGTTGCCTATACGATGATACTCTCTCGGCAGCATGTTGGCCGTAGCACCATCAATCCAGGCTGCATACTCGCTATCAGCTTGATCAGACTTAAAAAGATGTTCAAAAGCCAAAGTGAGTCTCTTATCATCTAGACCTCCGTAATAATAGGATAGCAATGTGAGCAGAATTAGCACGTCGGGATGGCTAAACTCCGATCGAGGGGACGGCTTGTCCTTGGAGCGATATGGGACAGCGACTTTTGCTCGAGGATCTAGAGCCGGGTCAAGGCCGTATTGAACTTTCCAGCGCTTGTTTCCCAAAGCAAACGGGAGTATTCCACCCGCGAAGAGACCCCTAAGTAGAAGGAGTATTGTTCTCATTGATTCAGTCCACATGCCATCGTTCTCTACAGCTGAGACGTCATCTTCGCTGACATCTTGTTCGGTGATGTAATTATAGACTGCATTCCTCACTGCTTCCGATTGTCGGGTGATATGAAGCCCGGTGAAGTTTGTGGTGCGAATCCTGACTGCTACTTTCTTCATAAGCATGTAGTTTGCATCTTGCTTCAAAATTCTGATATGCGGAAATCTCTCAATGTGTCGACTGTCCACATCTATTGACAAAGGTAATGTCATTTTGACCTCGTGAGCGCATGCAGCGACCATGGTCATGACTTCCTGAAGAACGGACCATCGCTCGGGACTGAACTCTATTGGCGCAGGCGCGCCGACCGTATATATCAGCTCAAAGTAAACGCCAAAGTTTTCGTCACTCTCATCAACAATGTCACGAGATTGTTCGTTTAGGAAATGCTGTACGCCAATTAGCGCTTCTCCAATCTCCGTTTTATCGCTGAGCAGACACTCGAGACCCATCAGCTTGAATGAGAGAATATGTTCAGGCTGCATGAGAAGTATGCCGCGATTCTCAATGCAGTCTTGTAGTATCTCCTGGACCAGACGAACTTGACCCTTGTCAAGCTTCAGAGCCCTTGAAAACGACGTGTGGTATACGCGTCGGTTCAAAAGACCACCGACTTTGCATACCAACATCTCGAACATTTGTTTGGATTGCGGTCTTGCGACCACCACCCTTGCTAGCTTGGTACCATCTGCCACGGAAAGTGCAACGAGCGGGGTAATTACAGAAGATTTACCTTCGCCCATGTTCAATTGCATGATTGTATTTTGTCCGGTCTCGGGTTCTCTCATGTGCATCGCGATCTCCTCCTGAACGGGTCTTATCGTGATACCGCTCTCCACCTCGAGGAGTAGATTTTCCGGTTGTTTCATTGGATTCCAATTCTCATGGCCGGGGTTTCGAAGCTCCTGAACTAGATCCACCGGGTCACGAACTAAACCTAGCATCCTTACTGCACGATTGTATTCAGTAAGGGCAAGGCCATACTGCACAATGACTGACTGCCAATTTTTGGATAACCGGTGCCAGTTATCCCTGTTTAGCTGTCTTAAGAATAACGCTGGAGAAATACGAGGTAGCAACGGTCTGTATAGTTCACTCAATTTCGTAGGTGTCCAGGTGGACTGAAGACCCAGGAAATAAGCCTTAGAATGAAGGGAGCAAGAAACGGTCCGTGCCATATCATTGTACAGGTGAGTGGTGTATCTCTCACAGTCATTAAGATAACGACGAAGCATGGACTCGATATCTGATGAGCTCATATGAGCAATCTCATAGCGATTATTGTGTAGACTCGTGAACCCTTGAACTAGACAGGATACGAACTCTCGTTCGGAGTCCGATTCGGCACGAACTTCCAGAGCTTTACAAAGCGATGAGAAGTGCTTCTGCACATGCAGCTCAACACTGTCATTGTGGTATTTCATACCAACCTTGCGTAATTGGGGTGGTAACTCAAGTTCGCAAGGATCACTCCGGAAGATGTCAGCCACACAAATACGGCGTGTCTGATCTGTGAGTACTGATTTATTGGGCGATTTGGGTACGTCAAATGATCGCAATTCGATGACAGGCTCCTCCTCAGCAGCGGTAAGAACATCATCCAAATATTGTGACAGGCGGCTGTTGTCCGACCATTTCTGGAACAGGCTTTGCACGATCAGGATAGCTCTGTTGGCATCCAAGAATTTCCTTGCTTCATGTTCAGCAGGAATTTGTACACTCGGGCTTGGCCATAGCGCCAGGAAGAACTCTGCCAGCGCAGCAATAGATCTATTCTGTGCATTTCGATATAGCCTGGTCCGACGCTTCCGATAATTTTTCTCTACTTCATGCGGTTTCCGTCTAACTGGCCATCGAGCTTCTGAAAATGGTTCCGCAGCACCCTTGAGATGTGACACTAGTGTGTCGAGGTCTGCTTCAGTACCCTTAGGCATCTCGAACTTCGCTGCCCGGGGAACTTTGATGGCCTGTATACGTGATGATCTATAGAGCAGTGCTAGGATCCTAATTGTGTCTTCGTCTGTTTCGACTCCGAAAGCTATCGAGGACAGCCACATGGCCATACCATATTTATTGAAGCTGTGTGGGAGTCTAGAGATAGACGTATGGAGATCACACCAATTCATTCTGATCCACTCCGTGATGTCTTCCAGCCATCTCGCATCGTACCTTAACTCGGAACTGTTTATACTGCGTTTATGTCCTTGTATGGTAGCATCGTTGAAATATCTGCTGATGAAATCGGCTCGAGCTTCAGTAGATAGCTTTCTGTCGGAACCACACTTCTCACCCAGAATGAGACTTGCGGCATGGTACGATCTTTCCTCACTTCGGATGTTCCCATCGGTCTGGCTTCCATCATAGAAGGTGTCTGCGCTAAATGAACGTTGTTCCTCACTAGAGGCGTAAACATGGAACATGGCTGTACGCCATAGGTCTCGTTGTATTAGGTCCTTTTGAGCGAATTTCAAAGAGGGGATCTCCCCAGACGTCGCTTGTTGACAAAGTGACCGCCGTTGTCTCTCAATATTAAGAATTGTCGACACATGGGTGTAGAATAGAGAGTTTTGAGAAAGACATGGAAGGTTTTCGTCCCATATAATTTTCTGCATATGCGTTGTCTTTGCTGAGGAGAATGATCATGCGGGAGTAATCTTGGCAATGGTTTCGAGTAGAGCCAAGTCACATCGTGAAAGCCGCTCGAATGATCGTACCGATCCTGAGCGTAATATTTCCAAGGCCGCCTCGGTGCCAGTATGCCCGGTCAATGGATCAGGGAGACAATATGATGTCAAGGCATGTAGATAGCATAGATAGATCTTACTATGCAAACTGCCGTCGTCCAGTAAACGACCAATGCTCTCATCAACGTGATACGCGTGAGTGTGGCCCCCTGGACCAAGAGTAATGGACACAGAAACATGAGAATCGGTTCTTGAGTATGTTACCGTGCCCTCTGGAATGAGTACCAGGCGTCTTGTTGTTTTGCTGTTACCCTTCAATACCAACTTCGTAGTAAGTCCTACTAAAGTTTCCAGTCTCTGACAAGGGTCGACGGCCAATCCACGGTACTGCTTCGAAAATAGTGCCGTCATGGTACGGTCAACGAAGAAGGAAAGCTGTAGTCTGGGCAGCTCGACATCGATAGTGTGTGTATCGGCATTGAACAAAGTGTGTATATGTGACTTTTCCTCAAATCCGGAGAGCAGATTGCACAACCGACGGGTCGTATCAGACGTGTGTGCAAGCATCTTTCTGCCTGCCTTTGATAGGCTCCACTGTGAATCAAGCTTGTTTAAACACCAACTCCTCGATTGCTCGCTCGGCCAAGGGGAATCACGGTGACAGAAATATACTACATTGGCCTGCTTATCGTACCAATGAATATAGTTCGTGAGAAATGTATTTGGAAAGTTCTGGTGAAACAGCCGAGAGGGTAGAAGATGAAAGCTTCGATTCTCGATCTCCAACTTCATGGAGAGACTTGACCCTTCTTTCTCGAAATGGATTTGGTAGTCGTGATACGACCGGATCGTAGAAAAGCTAAACTCCGGAGATATGGAAGGGACCACATCGAGAGAGGTACTGTTGAATAGCAGTTTATATGTCGGGTGTGTCCTATAATCTACGGGCAGCTTCGAGAAGGGAACACCATTCACGAGTAGCTCGGCTGTCAAAAGATTGAAATGAATTAGGACTGTTGTAGAAGAACCAAAGCTTGTAGAAGCCGTATTAGACAGCCAGTGTTGTTGTTGGCTACTCAGTACCTTCCACGTACCTTTCGCGGAAAACTGATGCCACGTTACAGAAATCGCTGAATCTAAGGCTGTCGTGCTGCAGCACACATTCTGTGCAATCGGCAAGGCACGGAACATAAGTTTCTGCCAAGACTGAATCATTATATCATGGAGAGCAGAGCTGCAGCTTGATTTTGATGCCTTGTTTCGCTGGATGGTCATGGAGCATTGCAGAAATATGGCGCATTCTGCGGGGTCGAAAAGTACGGTCTTGAGCTCAGGTTGGCCGATATCAAATGTACTTGTACCGACCAAACCAATTTCAATCAATTTCATGAAAGTTTTGGATTCTTCCTCATCGATAGGCGTTGATAGGGATCCCTGTCGTAAGTTCTCCAGCCATTGAATGATGATATGTCGGACTTCTCTGAGGAATGTCAAGCAACTTTGCATGACTTCTGCTGAATCACAACAGGAAATAAGTCGGTTGGTGAGCTGTACAAAGCTTGCGACCGATCTCCAGGATTCCCAATTTTCCTTCACCTGATCAAGTGCGCATCTCAATTGACTCATCAAAGTGCAGCCGAACCTTCTATCAGTAAGCTGGAGATGATTGATCCGTTCAGGTGAGTCTTGCATAGACGGGCATCCGGCTTGATGAATCGTCTGCATGATAAGCAATTGAGCTTCTTCTTTCGCAAAATCCAGCGCTGGCATTGATAATTGAGTAAGAATGTTACTGTATTGAAGGTTTCCACCAAGCGGAATTGTCCCAAAAGCACGATACTCGTCGGGTAATATGTGCTCTAGGGTCTTGGACTGAGTGGCAATCACATTGTTAGGGGGGACTCCATCAGGATTAGATGATGTTCTTGCCAGGAATTGCTGTAATTGAATGGAACGATGTGGGAGCTGATACAAACACTGATCCGACAGATGATCAGTAGAATTGTAATCAACCGTAAAAACCTGGTCTTTGCTGTCAAAGTATTCATATTCAAGACCACTCTCGAAGCAGATATCCTCTTTAGATAGGCTTAGGATACTGTCGCCGCTTGCCTTGTTTCCTTCTTGAGACGCTGATCGAGGCCTAGTAGCCGATGCAAGAACGATCCGGTCGTTGGAGTACACTTCAAAGGTGACGAATCGTGACAAGGACGGGTCGCTATGTAGAGTGCAAGGCGATTTGCAATTGGTGCCAGCCTTGTAGTTGTACCCCAAAACATCGCGGTGGAGGAAGACAGTTGCTGAACGCCATGCCTGAAATGCCTCGGGCACTTGCATTTCGAAAATGACACATTTGGCCTTTGTTTCATTGGAGGGTAAGGGCGCTTCAAAAAACTCTATCGTTATGTCATCGGCCTTTGCCTTGCATCGACATTTCTCGCAAGACGGGTCGTGTCCGCGTTCTGTGATATACTCCGACGTCGTAGGTTCAAAACGCTCCTCCTTTGTATATGTACAATCCATGCATTCGTATTCTAAGATGAGCGCTCGGTATTCCTCTTGTTTAGAAACCAGCTCAATAACTTTTGCTTCTCTTTGCCTGTTTTCATCTTCAAGGATACTCCCGTACAGAGATTGAAGCTCGACCGATTCTTCGAAGTATTGGGCAGCGAAGCAAGAAGCACGTTGACCGAAGTTGCGCCAAGGCTGGTAACGGGGGCGACCAACTTTGATTCGGGTTTTGATATATACCTCCGCGTATGCAAGCCTGTGCAATTGTTGCTTTAAAGGCAGGAGCAGCGCCCGAAGGGGTTCCAGTGGTATTTCCGGAGTATATTTTTCGAGTAATGGGTAGAGATGGCAGGCCGATTTATCTATCGCGATCCATAGGTCTAAGATGGTCAAGTACATAATGGAAAGTGAGCTGGGATTGCTGGCGTAGGCCTTCTGACATAATGTAAAATAACGCAGTGTGAGATCAAACAGCCGACGGCAAGTATCCGTGGCTCCCCAATTACTCTGAATCCACGAGCAAAGCTCGCGTTCTACCCACATCTCCACGGCCGCTAGATTGAAGTATAGAGAGTCGCTACTCGCATCGATATTCGAGGGTAGCTGGCATGCAGCAAATTGGACCAAACTAGTAGGTGGATGAAAACTTGCAATGTTTGCCGTTCCTTTTCCTAGATCCAGAGATCCGATGAACCTCTCGAGATCGGGCAGATTTACTAAGACATCTTTGTGAGGCCTGAGATCCCGCAAGGACAAGATGTCGATGCTTAGTGAACAATCGCGTCTGATAGACTGCCACTTCTTGTCCAAGTACTGTTGTGCCGCCAAACTAATGGTATGTATAGCTGTTATGCTGGAGGGTTGGCATGACTGGACAATGATGGTAAGAGCTTTTGAAGGCGCCGCGACAGCTTCATTAGAACAGCGTAGATAACCTCGCAGTCTACACTATTCTTTGGGTCAAGCGCAAGACGAAGTGTTTTAGAAAGAAAGAAACATGTGACGGGTTTGTATAAGGCGCTACCACCGGATCTGATGGAGAAAATGGATAGGTTCAATTGCATTGAAACACGTAGAAGAAGATAGAGCGATGAACGCCGCCAAGTGCTCCTAGAATCGAGTGACAATACTTCCTGGTGCGTGTTCTTCCAGATCAAAGACGATTCGACTGGTTTACCGAGAGCTGAAATGAGTGCGGAGTGGTAGTGTGTCACGAGACCAGAACGATTGATATCCATGTCCTTTTCAGGCTGGTCCCCAGTCAACTCGGCTTTCCATGTAAGGGATGGAACGAATTGAGAGCAGAGCGTGGATACCGTATGTGCAAGTGCGGCTGCTAGATCAGGGTCACAAATTTGATTTAGTGAGACTTGAGAAGCTCGCGCCGGAAATGACCGGCGCAGGCGTCCCGAAGTACTTGTCACGGCCTTGTCCGCTGGTGAGAGCTCAAACGTGTGGAACTCGATAGTATCGGCGTACCGCCGAACAAGCAATCCAGCGTTTTGGGATTTCACCTCTATCGGTATTAGATGGATATCGTTGTCAGACTTCAGTTGGGTAATGGCAAGCCGTAAACGTGCTTCGTTTACATTTCCGCTACCCTCTCGGAGGCTTTTGCAACTCCGGACCATGTTGTATGTAGAGTGAATCTGAAGTTGGTCTTGCGGAGAATCCAGATGTCCGCGAAACGTGCTAAGAGCTTGGAGGAGAACGTCAAATAACGCTTGCTCATGCTCATTCTCTGAGCGATCACTCCCTTGCGGTAATTTGGGTGGGAGAACAGCGTGGTGTATGAGATAATTCAAGGCTGCTGCCGAAAGCTTCCTGGGCTTCTCCGTAGCCATGATGATGGGGGAGAGCTCGCTCAGTCTCGGGGCGAAGTAGCCTAAACCGTGAAAGGATGGTCTTCAAGCTCGACTTCTGGGTATCGTGGGTTCTTTCAGGCAACGTGAAGGCGCTTTTGCGTGTGATAACGGTCGCGATTCGTAGGAATTGGATAGGAATGAAGAGTGAGTGAACTGGACTGATCAACGCAAGCCTGAGCTGTGATGAGAGGGAAAGGTGAATTGGCAGGCCAAGCAGAGCAAGCCGAACGCGAGCGGTCCACCGTGATCAGAGGTAAAGAAGAGAGATAGAAGGATAGAGATAGCGGAGAGAGTAGGACAGAGGGAAAAGGTAGGTCGGGAGCTATGAGAGAGCGTGGTCAAGGATATAGAGAGAGGAGAGAGAGGTCAAGGATAGAGAGAGGGGAGAGAGGTAAAGGATAAAGAGAAGAGAGAGAGGTAAATGATAAAGAGAGGAGAGAGGAGAGAGAGGAAAAAAAAGGAGAGAGGAGAGAGAGGAGAGAGAGGAGAGAGAGGAGAGAGAGGAGAGGAAGAGAGGTGGTGGAAGGTGAGAGAAGAGACAGAAACGAGAAAGTGCCCGCAACCAAAATGTTTACTTCCACAATCTATTCGCTGGGGAGCTCATCAACAGAGGCCAGATTGTTTATGGGTATCAGCTCTAATAGCATCAACCATATAGTCGAAAGCCGCGCCATCTGTTGTCGTTGGAGATTGGACGTCCGCCTCTGTGCATTCGCTTCAATTATGACAATTGAAGGCGTGGGCAGTGACAGATTAGTGACCGAATTGAGGTACAGTTACTTGGAACAAATGCATCATATTTTGAGACCATTCATATCTCCAATGATTTACTCGAGCAAACTTTGTTCTTAGATTTCATGTTGGGTGGGTACCTAGTGGTCACTATTAGAGTTCTCGCGCGCGATGGCACTGTGACAGTTTCCAGAAAGGTGTTTCTTTCGTCTGCCGCATTCGTTGATGCCTGCAGAGCTCGACATGCATAATTGAAACATGATGAATCTCAAGAACTTCGCAGTAACGGATAATGGGATTTTGCAGCTTTCGAGGGAGAAAGTCGGGAAAGTGATGATGCCTGCTTCAGGCTGAGAGATGGACATGATGTCCGTACATCGCTCTAGCCGTGTTCGGGATGGCGGAGTTGTGTACGCGACTTGTGCGTGTTCATATCTAGATCTAGTCCTCCATCATTGTTCGAACATCTGATATAACTGCACTTTAAATATTTTCTTGGTAAAAATTCGCCTGCAGCTTGTGGCAATCCGTGAGATTGTTTGCAGAATGGCATCTCAACCACACCCGTTTTATGTGTAACGGCTTACGAAGAGCCTTTTCGGGTCGAGGCGACGAACGAAGAAATGTTGTAACCTAACCTTTCCAACATCAATCATTCCTCATTTGATAAAATATCTACCATAGAAGATTCAATGCTTGTGTCGGCTTACAATGCAATCGGTGAGATGTAAAGCAAATAGTGCCAGACATCGAAATGACATCACGATTGAGGTTAGGCCGAGGCCCCATACCTTTAACGAGTCTCGTTTCGTCTCGTGTAACTCTCTTATCTTCCGTCAGCCTCATCACAAACTCGGGTAGAACCCTATCAAAAACATCCAATCGCTATACCTAGTCACAATCATGCCTTCCTTCTTGGATACCTACAACCCTTCAATTCTGGCCATCCCGGCCATGCACATGCTCTCCGTTCTTCCACACAGCTATGCCCTCTCTGTCGCGACCGGAGGCAAACTCGCCAAATGGGACAACCGCAACCCTCGCTCCACCACTATGAAGTCCAAACTCAAAGAACGACTCGACTCCCAGACGTATGCGCTCTACGAGCGTCTTGAGGCTTGCCACGCAAATGGAATGGAGAATCTCCCACTGTTCGCTGTTGCAGTTGTGCTCGGCAACCTAGCTGGATTGAAGAAGGATGGTCTCGGTGGTATGACTGGTTTCGCCGCTTCGTTCCTTGCCATCCGTCTTGCGTATACCGCAGTCTACATCAACAACAAGACGCAAGGCCTAACGCTCGTCCGAAGTGGTTTGTGGGCGGCTGGTGTGGGATTGTGTTGGCGAATTATCATCAAGTCTGCGAAGGCATTGGGTAGCAGTAAGAAGATGTGGTTCTAGTTACCGCAATTGTTGTACCGAGGATTGTGCACCATTGCATGCCTTTGGTAGCCGATTGATTTTGTTGTAGACGATATTCTGCACAGCACATGCATTCTCGCCACATGTCATGCTTAGCATTACTTCTCTCCAATTTTGAGTCGTTCGTGGGCTCTTTTGACAATATCAAGTCTATGACAAATTAAGAGGCGTCCCTGGCTCGTTTCCATTCGGCGAGGTTGATGGGGCTATATGATGACAGCGTTGCAACAAACAATGGTAAATCCCGAGATTTTTCGGATTTGTACTTACGGAAACAATCATAGAAGGTGCTCTCGCTGCTCACCTGTCAAATTAATGAATCCCTCCGTATTACATGGTGCGAGTATGCATGCACCGCCAAGAATGACTGGGCAGTGCTAGATGTGATGAATGTTATGGATATAGGAGATGCCTTTCGATACTGCAGATGGCCATTCTCTTGTGTTCCATTTCCGAAGTGTAATATAATTTTGCATATTTTTGGGTAGGTCCGAAAGAGGGAGATCATAAATCGCATAAGCGTTTCAGGAATGTTTTGCGAAGTAAATAGAGAACATTGCAACTTCGACTATGTTCCCTGACAGTGGACTAGAATGCTCACCTAGCCCAGACAGACACCCGTATGAGTAACGATTGCTTGTGTGTTGATTGGGCAAGTATGTAAGATTACTAGCTTTACGGCCGGGTGGACTGCTTTTTTCGTTATGCGAGGCTGAAACCACGCGTCATAGTTTATATCTCTACGCAAAAAATCGACCTTTTCAGTAAGAGGACAAAAGACGATGTAATGAATCATACTTCTGGTCCAGCCATGAGCCACCTTGAAACATAATCAGACAGTTGCCAAGGAGAAGCACAGTAAGACTCACAAATGTTGGTTGCCGCGATAACAACTCAGCTTCAGAGTTCCATTCACGCTAGGAGATTCGTAGTCAACATCAATACATTCACAAGGCGGATCTTGTTTTCGTCCAGCTCTCGTAGGTAGTGGAGCAGTTCTTGGAACCATATGCAAGCCGGGAGTCGTAACTCTTAAAAGTAAGCCTGGGTCATTTAGCATTGCGGCTTCGCTTGGATACAAGGTTTATCAGCTTATTGCCATGGTGAGGCTGAGATAGTGAACAGCCGCTGGAGGCGCAGCCCGAAAATCCACCGAAACAATGTTGATTGGCTGACTTCGGGGCTTTCCTGGCTCTCTATTCGTCGGCTCGTATAGATGGATTTGACAGGCACGTGATCGTTGCTGGGACCGAGTAATACACCTGCAATGATCAGTAGGATAAAAGGGATCAGTAGTGTCAGTTCGTTTACTCGTATAACAATTGCTTGATACTAAGATGCCGCCGAGCTCAGCGAAGAAAGTGACAGGTCCCAAACCAGCCAAAGAACGAAAGAGGCAGTGGGCCCCTAAATCCCGAAGAGGATGTTTAACATGCAAGTAGGTATTAGAACTTCCATGATACGTCAGAGGGACACAGCATCATCCCAGTTCTATGAAATTGTCATTTTCTAATCAAAATAGGATTCGTCGGGTCAAATGTGATGAAGCTAAACCGAGCTGTGAGCGATGTTCTTCCACAGGCCGTACTTGCGAATATGGCACCGAGCCCACGCAGAACCAACGCATCATCACGCATGATCGATTCAGATTCATCGCACATCCTCTATCAATAAACTTGATTCCTGGTCTTCGACTTGATACCGCAGAAGAAAGAGCAAGTCTCAGTTTCTTCGAACAACACGCAAGCTTGGAGCTATGCGGTCCATTCAACAGTAAATTCTGGCAGCGTCAGCTGTTGCAAGCTGCACAGATTCACCCGGTCATCCGATATTCAGTTGTTGCACTCGGTGCAATGTATAGGAAACTTGCTTCTGGAACCGCCTCAAACGTTCCGGATGATCCGACAGACAATCAGATTCGTTTCGCCCTACAACAGTCGAATCGGGCGATTCAAGAGCTTGTCAAGCCAGCTCGTGCTGCCAGCCCAGCGGATAAGATTACGATCTTGACAAGCTGTGTCCTTTTCCACAGTATGGCTTGTATTCAAGGACTCCAGATGAACGCATTGAGTCATTTGCGTAGCGGTCTCAAGCTACTGCAAGAGATAGATGAACAATACCCAAACATACAAGAGATGGCTCGGGACCAGCCGATAACGATTGATTGCTTGAGATCCATCATGGTCAGCTTCGATGTTCAAGCCCGGACACAGATGAGTGTACCGGATCTTCTGGATTGGGAACTGCCACCAGGCCATGGCCAGTATCACACTTATGCCGACTCGTACACGGCAATATGCCAAGCTCAGGTGTACCTAGAGGCACTCCTGAATCACATCCTGTGCTACTTACAAAGCCTCTACAAGCCAGAAAAGTGGAATCCAACAACCATAATGACTACGCTCAGCTTGTTCAAGGAGCAGATTATGTTTGGACGCACCATGGTAGATGATATTGAAGCCCAGTTATACGCTGAGAATGATACGGCGCAACGGCGGGCGTTCATAGCGCTACGCATGCTACAGACAACGGCGGAAGTATTCATAAACATAGTTGAGCGGCGGACACGTATAGCTCAAGCGTGTAACGATATGTCTGACAGGCATTCAGCAAGCGACGAACCTTTTTATCGTCTATTCGACCTCGCGTCAGAGCTCCTGGAGTTGACTGCTACACCACGACAAGTTGATGGATGTCCTTCGGTCCGACCGGTATTTTCTGCAGGCTATGGCTCAGTCGCAGCTCTATGGATGGTGTCTGTTAGAGCTAAGAGTTTCAACTTGCGGCGGAAGGCAATCAACATGCTTCTGAACAATCCACGTAGGGAAGGGCTGTGGGATGCGCCATCTGTCGGCCAAATCGCCAAAGCAATACTTGAATTCGAGGAGACAAGTGCGAGGGAAGAACTAGGGATAATGCCCTCAGAATTAGATGAGGCACACTCACAAGAGCTAGAATATCTCCGATGCGCAGATATTGTAGTGCGGTATGATGGGCCGCGACAAGCTGTGACAGATATTCGAAATCTAAGACAAGTACTACGCAATGAGCGCGGGATACAGACTACCTGTAGGTGGTGAGGCAAGGTACCCATTGGGATAAAAAAATCTTCAGGAAGTCTTGCAGTTTGCACGCAGGCGTGCCAGTTCAGCAATCTTGGGAGCTCAGGGAGCTGGAAACCAGCGATGTCAGCCCGGCGCATCCCCACTTTTAGGCTGCTTTAGGCTGCGGCTGGGGTGTAGCCTCGTTTCCACCTAGTTTGTTGCCTGATGCAAACAACTGAACCATAAATACTGTTCTTTGCGACCATCTGTCGCTATCTATCTAATTCACTTTCCCAACTTTTGCATCAAAATGTTCGGAAGAATTCCAGAGGTCGATCTTGACGCAAATGTCCCCTCGGATGGCTACAAACAGACCTTCAACATTCACGACCTATCCACGAACTCCGTCATCCTCTATCCAACCCGGGCACACATTACCCGGGAAATCAATCATGTCACACTGAAATCCGGCTCAAATGAAGTGGAGATCTATGGATTGTCGCCAACCGTCGATGAGCACTCAATTCAGGTTGAAGGCCGAAGCGATGTGACAGTCGCCGATATGACAGTGCAACTCGTCCCAAACCACCTCTCTTTCGAAGACTTCTATGAAGAAGACACGGAATCTGAAGAAGAAGATTTTGAAATCGAATATCGCGATAGCGATGATGAAGACGAGGCTGTACGGCGCATCTCCAAGGAGCTGAAGGATTTGAATCTTCTAGCCGAGCATGCTAAGGAGTCCCAAAAGGAAGCCAATGAACGTCTCGCGATATGGGACAAGTATGCAAAATCTGCAGATTCCGAACATGTGAACCCGAACGACATGACGAGACTTTCAACTACGTACAAGGAGAACAGGTCGGAAGCGTACGATGCCTACTCAACAGCCACCCAACAATTGACCAAGTTGAGGAAGCAAATCAAAAGAAAAGAATATGAAAGATCGAAAGCCGGAAAGGAGTCCATGAAACAAAGAGAACGGGAGGATCGGCAGAAAGAGAAGGAAAGATTACGGAAGGCCAGGCAACGAGCTGAGAAAACAAAGCAAGCCCGCTATCTCAGACAAGAGCGCCTTCGGTATTGGCCAAAGAAGGTCTACAGAGTCACATTGATGCTCGAGATCTCTTCGCTGGATACGCCAAATTCGTCACGACGAGGATCTATGGACTCAGTAACGTTGGCCTCTTCGCCCCGACCACACTCCACGGCGCTTGATGCGAAGTCAACAGCAACATCTTCGACATCCCTCAAGCTTTCTTACGTGACAAGGGAGGCAGGATGGAACCCGCGTTACGATGTGCGCATTTCAACCATTCAAAAAACAGCAACAATCATCTACCGAACAGAGTTTCTGAATCGCACATCGGAAACGTGGAAAGATGCCAAACTGTCTTTCTCCACGTCTCAAACTTCGTATCAAGGTTTGAGCGACGTTGTGCCTTTCATGCATGCCTGGCGCATCAAATTGTCTCGATATGACAATGGAAACGGTGGCCTACTAAGCACTGAAGAAGCTTCAAAGTCCCGTGTCCACCGAGTCGGCTTCGATACATTCAATCGATCCGATCTCTTCGGCCTTGATGATGCATTCATTCCCGCGTGGCAATCCAACCGACTTCTTCAGGTCCAAAAAGCAACCAAGCCAGGCGGCTTGTTTGGTACCTCTCGCGGAGGCGTTCATAGTACTTCTGCCGGGGTCGGCCTGTTTGGCAGCACCAATGCCAATACTTCTTCGGGGGGTGGTAGCTTGTTCGGCAATACAAACGCGAACGCTACTTCTACAGGTGGCCTATTCGGAAGCGTCGGCAACGATAACAACAGACCTGCTGGTGGCCTTTTCGGTGGCTTCGGCAGCAACAACAACAGCAACGCCGCACCACAAACTGACAACAATGCACCTGGAGCTATCGCTCCGCTAGAGCAACCAAGAGCAGCCGCTGCATTCGGACCAGTCATCGACAATGCTAACGAAGCGGAGCTGGGCACTGCTATTCAGAGTTCTCGGCGATCCAGAGGCTTTGGAAATGCACTGAATGCATCCATCTTCCGCAAGAAACCTTCGGCCAACAACGCAGACACAGCTTTATCATACGCCGAAGAGGAATCAGGGGAGATTGCGAGTGAGCCTGCTGGATCCGAATATGACGAGTCATCAGATATTGAGGAGACAACTTGGGAGGACAATGGTTTGACGGCCAGCTACGATGTCCCTGGAACTCGCACGCTTGCGCCATCGTCTCTCACTCGACGCCACAAGCTCGCCACTCTGAACGCAACCAACATTCACCTTTCTCATATTTGTGTTCCGAAGCTTCGCTCTGCAGCTTTCTTGCGTGCGAAGATTCGCAATCCGTCATCTTCGATCACTCTGCTGAAGGGCTCGGCCGGTGTTACCCTGGATGGGTCGTTCTTAGGAAACATGAACATCCCACGAGTGTCCCCGAACCAGGTCTTCGATCTCAGTCTCGGCGTAGATCCAGCAATTCATATTAATTATCCGAAACCCAGCCTGCACCGTAGCACACAAGGCCTCGTGTTCAACAAGGAGAGCGCTCAGGTATTCTCTCGATCAGTCTGGTTAAACAACACGAAATCGCAGCCAGTAAATATACTTGTCCTGGATCAAGTCCCAGTTTCCGAGGACGAGCGATTGAGGATTCTCATAACGACACCAAGAGGCCTTTCTAAGGAAGGGGATGAGGTCAAAGCTGGCACTAGCGCCAAAGAAGGCAGTAGTGGCGCTGTAGCAGAGAAGAAGGGCGAAGCATGGGGCAACGCGAAAGCGAAACTGAAGAAGAATGGCGAGATAGATTGGACGGTCAACCTGGAAAAGGGACAAGGTTGCTTGTTGAAGCTGGAGTACGAAGCAAGATTGCCGCCAAGCGAAAAGATTGTTCCCGCTTGATGTGTAGGAGTTTGGTAGAATCAGGGTTTAAAGGGAAAGCTCGGGAATGTTGCAATTGCTTGGAAGTGGCCAAGATCGCTTCAGCTCCCGCTCCCAATGGCACATGTGGAGGATTCACATGCTCTCTTTACCTAGAGCACTTTTTCGGAAATCCCAACCTTAGCTAGCGGGACTTTTCCTTATATAGCAGGCCCAAGCAGATTGTTCCCACGTATGGTGTATGTAGTACTGAAGACTTTGGTGAATACGATATGTTGCATCAAATTGTCCATGTAGATCGTAAAAAGGGTCAGAAAGTAGAGCAACAATAGAAACTCGGATTTGATATCTATCCCTGGTGAGTGTGGCCCTTACCGTATCTTAAAACGTGCTAAGCGGGGAAGGTGGCTGCATGCCGCAGAGAAATCTCAACCTCTCCTAATCTTGACAATCGAAGGGAAGCCACTTGAAATCGTCCGCAATGTTGTGGGCTCGCGGATTTGTAGGCCGTCCCTCGAGGATCATTTTTGTGGCGCCCGTGGCGTCCAGCCATATGCAAGTATGCATCCCTGGCTGCGATCGGATAACTTTCCGCGAACCCAGGCACATCCTTTCTCCACCCTCCTGGGCCCAACAGCTTCATTCATTCTGCAACTTTACAATGGAACGAAATGATCGATCATCGTGAGACTCAGGATAGACTACGAAAGCCCGTACCATCACCTCAACCTAGATGTGTATGTCACAGCGTTACAATAATGTACACTATAACGGCCGGGACGGTTGCGTCCGAGACAATTGAACCCTCACAACTTACTCGGCCCTTTTTAGTCCAAGATTTCACTTGGGTGATCCATGTGAATTGTCGTCTCAATTCCCTAATCGGCCCATTAGTATCTTTCTCAGAAGCCTTCTCCATTGGCCGATGTTCCCAGCAATCTGGATACTTCGAGCAAGGCGCGCCATAGTGCAAAGCCGCTCGTACAAGCAGCAGCCAACACGGCTGGAGATAGGCCTTCCAGAAAATTTTACTGACACAGGCCGCATGCGATGGTCTTTGGAATCAAAATCAAAATCAGAATCATCTTCTTAACTCTGTTCAGATGTTTCGGTGCGTCCTCCAGTTTCTTGCGTTTCAGCAGCACCCATTAGAAGAGAAAGATACCAAAGAGCTTCACAGGGACGAGTGCTCCGTAGTAGAGTCGAGTCATTACGCGCTTCATTATTTTCATTCAGATTAGCCCGTACTGGAGGGAATTATGAGCAGGAGCTGGGCAAAGTTTCGTTCTATCCTGTGGCGTACTAGTAAGCAAATTGCGCGAGTGCTAGCGTCGCTTCACCCCATGGGGGAAATAATCGACGCTGGCATTGACATAGTTTCCCCTGAACTTTTTCGCAACCGGGTGGACCAACTTCCAAACTGTCTCTGTTAGCCTTGGTGCACTACTACGAATCCTACACTACGCACCCGCGTCCCGTATTGACGGCTCACAATGGCATTAGGAACACTGGAGAGAGTTCCGCATCCAATGAAGACAAAGAAAGCTCGCAGTAATGCAAAAGGATACGCTTACCCCAGCGTTCTCAGGTTATGCTCCCTCTGTGCTCCACTGTTCCTTTTGCATAGGAGTACTTGAATGCGAGAAAGAACCTCTCTGTACCTCATGTAGTCAGGATCATCGCAGAACGTATCTATTGCTGAACCCCTTGTTGTCGGGCCTCTTGTCGTTCTTTGTTCAACTTTCTGCTTCCTCATTGTCCGCATGGAGGCCACGCCAGAGCAGAGGGCCAGTTGGCCGCCGCCCAACTTCGACAATCCTGACAGTCGAGGGGCTTTGGTGACTGGGTTCACTGCGCCGACTATGGCTTTGGCGATCATCTTCACCATGGCTCGGTTCTATGGAAAGGGCATCCTCAGGCAGGCTTTGTGGCTCGATGACTGGATCATGCTTGCGGCTACGGTAAGACGATGGGCAAAGCCAGTTGATCTTTTGCTCGACTGACTGTACGTCTAGATCATATCCATTCCAGTATCGATATTCCCAATGGTTTCTCTCAATTTCGGTTTGGGTCGACACATATGGGATTTGAAGCCAGAATGGGCAGAACCCTACGCTAAGGTGAGCATTTTCAACATGCTTGCTTTGTTCTGATTGTACTGATTACCTTGTGTAGATCGGCTTTATTGCAGATATCTTGTTCCCTATTTCTTGTTCACTAACCAAAGTGTCACTATGTTTGACGTATCTTCGACTCTTCCCTGGCAAGGCCGACAAGATCTTCAACTACACCCTGATGATTTTCGTAACGATCTATACAGTCGTCTGCATCTTTCTCATGCTCTTCCAGTGAGTATAATTGTATGCTTGGGTGAAGTTCGGGCGCTGACCATCATAGATGCACACCCATCCGTGGGTACTGGGACCCCAGCGCCAAACAGTCCTGTATAAACACCCGTGTGACATTAGTTGTCGTCGCCGCGCTGAACAGTCTAAGCGACTTTCTCATTTTCCTGTAAGTAGGCATGAGTAAACATGTGGTGCTCGCACTAATTGAGAGACAGATGGCCTGCGAAACCCCTGTGGAGCCTCCACCTCCCCATGAAGCAGCGCATTAGCCTGATCATGATCTTCGCGGTCGGATGCACGGTCTGCATAGCAGGAATCTGTAGAATGTATTACCTCGAACAATATTTTGACTCCTATGATCTGTTGTGTAAGTACCACAGCAAACTTAGACTACATCATTCTCATCGAGCGGTCGAATCTAACAAAAGGACAGGGGTGGGAGCCATAATCTGGCTGGTAATGTCCGTTGAAATGAACCTCGGAATCATTTGTGGATGCCTCTCTGGAGTCAAGCCCGTCCTCGCCGTCGTTTTCCCTCGTCTCTTCGCTTCGTCGTACAAGTCCAACTCTCGACCCACGTACCCAACCTATGGCCGGACGACAAGACCAGGTGGCGAGAGCTTCGCTTTCCAGCCCCTGACGGACGCTTCCACGAGGACTAAGAAGGGGGAGGTTCACATAGAGGCTTTGAATCCAGAAGACGGTAGACACACCGATCAGAGGAACTATGCGTGGGCGGCTTCGACGGCAGCGGAAGATGTTGATGACAGTCATGTCGTGCCACCTGGACAGATAGCAGTGAACCAGGTAGTCACAATCAGAGAAGAGGAACGAGAAGTCGATGGAAGCTCTCCTACACCTTTGGAGAGGAGCACAAAGGGCGATAATGGAAGTGAAGAGTGGATTATGGAGGAGTTTCCTAACGCGCCGCCACCAGCGAGGACGAAGAATTAAAAATGCTGAAGAAGGACTTCACAATTTCTTTCCATCTTGTATGCGGCTTCAGCGGACCTGGCGTTTGGAGGATCTTTGTTTAAGACATCCTGGGACGGTGATTTGATTTCAAAGGGAGGCTGCTGTTAAAGCGTTGTAATTCATCGAGTATTGTGTCACCACACTGTCAGATACATCCCTCATTTGCACTAGACCATAGACTAGGCTCTCGATCTCTTTAGGTGCTTATAACATTGAATAAATGCCGTGATCCAGTATAGTAATGGTATAGAAACAGGTGTTTAAAGAGTGGACTGCCATGATGATCACAGTTTGAACATTGATGGTCATCTGTAATAAGCGACGGATAAAACGACAGGGCTATGGTTTCCTCCTCCTGGAACCCGGACACCTAAATGATCTCTTGCGGGAACAGCAGTCTTTGCACATATTAAAAGCGAGCACAATAGGAGTCCGATCTGCCACGCCCTTCCCGCCCAATTCAATTTCTTTTGATTTCCCAAGATCCAAATCAGGGAACACGATGCACACCCCTCTTTCCGGATTGCGCGGTCTCACAGTTCGCGCTAATCTACATTGGGAGCATGGAATGACGTCGATTTGATCATATCGATTCCTACGGCCTACGGGTACATCACAGTTCATGCCAGGTACACAAGCCATTCACTTTAACTCCACCGTACTCCACTCCATTACGCTTCCTTACCAGCTTTCCTCACGCGTTTAAATACGTGCTTCGCACCCTCACATTCTTCCTACTTCTTCCACGAACAAATCCTCCGCATATTCCATTCACACACATCACCACAACGCGCCAGCACACTCTGCAAGCTTCAAACGCCCAATTGACAACTCGAAAGATTCACAATGGATGTAAGTTAGGACCCATTGGTAGTAGTCGAATGAAGAGAACGGCGTGCTGACAATGAATTGCGCAGGTCTACTACTTCTACAGCTACGGGTCGGCAGCATGGTTGAGTATGTCCACCTGTCTCAACGCTGGGAACAATCCCAGAGACCATTGCTAACATATGAATTTCCAGCACTACAAGCCGCACCCATGATTATCTCCCCTACTATGATCGTTGCCCTTCTCTCTCCAGAGGTCCGAGAAGCATCGAGTAAGCATCAGCCTTACTTTCACGAACGGTGCACCACAAACTGACATTTGCCCTTCCAGCTCTCGAAGTGTACTTCTCCCGGTCGCTGGGCTTCTCCCTCATAATCATAGGCCTCTTAAGCATTCTACTTACAGGCTCCGTGCCATTATCAAGCCGGTTAACCGAAGAAAGTACGGTTTCCCTTGCACAATCCCCCACTCGCTCCAGAATCCCTCCAGACGATGCTAATTACATCATAACAGCAGCCGGCGCCAGCACCGACGCCACGGACCCCAAAGCTCCGTACGCGCTTCCCACCCTCACAATCACCGCATTCTTCCACGCCGCACTCGCCTTCTACGGATATGCCATGTGGACCGAGACAGGGGTCCTGTCATTCAGTCTCGGAACGATCGGCAGCGGATTCTTCACTGCCGTTGCGCTGTGGTGCGTCCTGTTCGCTAGCTCAGATGGCCGCATCAGCAGGAAGACCGGTGCCGATAAGAGGACGAGCGGGTTTCCTTTCAAGAACGTTGAGGCCGATAAGAGGAAGGGAAAGAAGGCCATCTGAGTAACGAGATAGAATACTACGTTGGTTGCATAGGCGCAACCGGCGCTGCCAGTCAGTGCTCTAGACCTCCAGGTATATACCGAAGGATTAAAGGCATCCGATGGAACGGAAGACAGGGTGCATGGCCGCGACATCAAGCATGCATCGTACGGTCTTGCCGCAATTGCTAGAAGAAGAGGGATTTTCTATTTTCGGATTCGCCCACACCACAGAGCATTCTCGTTGGAAAAATAAATCACTGAATGGGTTATTTGTATTATAGTGTATCCGGCAATGAATTCGCATTACCAAGTCAACTTTCCTTTCCGACCAATTGGGGTATTTGCAGTCCCTCGGAAACCTCTTCCTTTAATAACTCCTTGGACATGATCAAATAAAAAAACAAAACAGTCGCCGGGCGCACGAAATTTGAGCAGTAGAATATTTACGCAGCATGGATCATGCGCGCTCACCAGGTTATATGTCTGGCATGGAATGCTGGGAATTCGCTATGCGGCTACTTCTTCAGTAGACTCCACAGGCTTGGCCACTTCCTGCGTATCCTCCTGGGTTTCCTCTTGTGTACCTTCTTGAATTTCGTCCTGCGTTCCCTCTTGTGTCTCCTCGGGCGCAGGTTCCTCCCTTTCCAGCAGCTTCTCTCTCGTCTTTTCGGCCTCCGTGAGTTTCTGAAGCCAGCCAGCCTCCCTCCACCACGGCAGTCTGCCTTCTTTGGCCTCGACCTTCAGCGTCTTCGCCGCTGATGCGTCCTCGTCGAGATGTTGGAAGCTCTCGGGCTCATCTAGCAACCCAGCATCCATCCGCCTACGCCTCGCATGCGAAAGCGACGCTTCCATGTAATTTTCCATGAGCAGCTCCTTCGCGACCCACTCGTTCTTGCGCTTTTTCTCGAGAAGTTCCACATCGGCGCGCAGTTGCTCGCTCTCGTGTGTTGCCCAGCGAAGTTGTCGGTTAAGGAGGTGGAAGAGTTCTGGCGCAGGGAGGGCAAGTTCACGATCGCTGAAGTTCATGTCTTCGGGGAATTGCACCATCGTTTGTGTGTTGCCGGTCTCTTGCACGTAGACGGCGTTGTTGTGCGCGTACTCGGCGTCCGCGACAATTGCTGCGGCGCTGTTCGCAGCATGGGAAGGGGAAGCTGAGCCTTTGTCGTGTTTGCGAGAGTCGTTGTTCAAAACTAGACGCAGGCGTTGGACTTTGTTGGAGGGGTTTGAGGAATGGTGTTTCGGCACGGGGTCTGATGGCCGTAGGGCTTCGGTTTCGTGGACGGTGCGCATGTGCTTAGCCAAAGCATCAGAACGAGTGAAGGAGCGATCGCATTCTGTTTGGTTGTTAGTTTGGGTCAATCATAATTTCCGAAAACATGCTGACCTGGAAGTGTGCAGTAAAAAGGCTTCTCTCGTGTATGGCTTCGCATGTGAGCTCTAAGGGCGTATCCTGAGGCATGTGGTATGCCCTTGCGACTACAATCGCTCCATTCACAGCTGTATCGTTTTTGTCTTGTTCCGATGTGATCCTCATGGAGGTGATCGACCAGCTTGTCCATGTCGCCTAGATCGCCGGCTTCGCAGCCTTCCCATTTGCAGGCGGACACCTGTTCCTGGCCGTAGTCGTCCTCCGCAGACATCCCCGGATGATGCGGTGATGCAGGTACTGAGCCATCTGTATCCTCTGATATCTCTCCATAATCCTCAATAGGAGGCAGTTGCGGCACAGGAGGATCTGAATGTGCGCGCAGATGGAGTCGCGGCCGTTTGCTAGGACGACCGCTACCATCATGGTCGGGAGTGTGTTCGTAGCTGGCCCGTCGGCCCTTTACATCTTCAGGAAAGTAATCAGACGCGTAGTCCGAGAGATCGCTGTTAGGAGAGTCCATGATCAAAAGATGAAGATGGGCGAGTGTGGATGTTCAAAGGGATAGAGTTGTTTGAAAGCTCCTGGCGCAACGGTGGTTGAACGAGGGAAGTCGCGAAACGGCGTGAGCGAGCGAGGTACGCACAGACTCTGGGAACTAGCTTCCCGCCGTATAATTTGAGTTTCTCAAAGTCAGATTCACTTCTTCACTTATCTTCTCTTCAGCGACACCAATGGGCTCTTCCTCATTGTTGTCGCGCTCCACGAAATGCTTTCTAGGTAAGTAATAGATCTCGCACTCTATTCAAAGCTTCATGATGACGCTATTGAGTTCTGCAATGCCAACGCGTTCCTTGAGGTAACTCATGGAACTGCGAATGCGGATTGCTCATACACTACACTTGATCTGACAATCGTTTCTTTGATTATCAATATGGTTATAATTATCTATTCATATTTACAAAGGCTAACAACGCTTTTTACGATAGATGTCAGCCACTACTGGTCTGAAAGATGCATGCCTTCCGCAGGGTAGCGAGTCCCAATCGGCGGGAACTTGCTCAAGATTTCATCCAGCACAGCCAGATCTTCGTCACTGAGCTTCACCACTTGCGTATTCTCCTCAACACGTTCTGCAGTCGTAGCACCGGGGATAGGAATGATCACGCCATTGCCATTCCTGCCACTCTGAGCCAGCACCCACCCTGTAGCAATCTGTGCCGGCGTGACACCCTTCTGCTCGGCGATTTTCTCGACGGCCTTTGCAAGTTTCAAATTCTCATCGAATACTCCAGGTTGGAAGCGTGGAAAGTGCCTGAGGATTGAGTCTTGGGGAAGGTCATCGAGAGATTTCCATTGGCCAGTCTTTTGATACGTCAGTTTCAAGTTGCCAATTACATGAGGAAGTTGAAACCTACCAAAAATCCTCGACCAAGCGGTGAGTAGGCGATAATAGGGATCCCGAGCTCTCCACAGGTCTGCGCGACACCATTCTCCAATGCTTCGGTTGAGAACAATGAGAACTCAATCTCCACTGCGCAAATTGGATGCACCTTGTGTGCTCTGCGAATCGAGCTGGCGTTCACTTCGGACAAACTAATTCCTCCAATCTTTCCAGCCTTGACGTACTCAGCAATGTAGCTGATTGTGTCCTCGATGGGTATCTTGGGATCCACGCGAGCGCATTCAAAGATGTCAAGAAATTTCTTTCCGTCGAGAACTTTCAAGCACTCGTCGATAGAACGTCTGACGTTTTCCTGGCTGCCATCAGGGTAGTAGTTTGGAGGTTTTCCACCACCCTTGATGGAAATGACAATTTTTTCGGCATCCTCTGGATACTTTGTGAAATATTCATTGAGTAGGTGGAGCGAGTTTCGCTCTGGCGAGCCGTAAAACTCGCCGCCATTCCAAGCAAATGCGCCTTTGGCAACGGCTTTGCGCATAGCTTCAAAAGATTGTTCTTGTGAGGGCGGTTGCGCACGCCAGGTAAGACCTTGATGTCGTCAGTACTGTTAACACGTTCAACACGATCTTGAGCGATGAACATACCCATCATGCCATAACCAATTTCGCCCACTTCCTTGCCGAGTAGCTGAACCATTTTTCAATTGATTGAGATTGACTTGGGTCAAAAAGTTGTTGTAATTGAGAGGTTGAGAGTAGAGTTGCTCTGTGCGTTTATGTAGTCGAAACTGTACCGAGTAGAGTGATGAATGAATCTTCCAATCTTGCATACCCATTTGATCATATATATATGTTCGGCCTTGCAATATCCCTTGACCCTGTTGGCCCCGAGGATAACGGCCTTAAAGTGAAGCACTCACGATGTCCATTCAATGTCTTCCTGTATCGTGTGGCATTAATCGGCAGTACTTTTTGTGTAACTCCGCAAGGCTCCGAGGACAACAACCAATGATGCCACCACTCAACCAAAAGCGCGTTAGTACTAATACGTTAGGGCCAACCCGGAGATGAAAAGTACTTCTCAAGGCCGTTCAGAGCCTCCAGCATATACGTCAACAACGTCGTATCTCCATTCATCTTCACATTGTCCGCTATCTTAAGTCCGCACAGTGATCGTATCATGGAGGCCTTATGTAAAGATGTACGATGTGTCTGGTCCGAAGGAAATAGATTTCTTGCAACAGCCTAGCAATTGTCGCAGGTTGTACGAGGATGGAGACGGGCCACAAACCCGACATTCCCATCAATGATGCCAACAGATTTACTTCGTAATATTTACCGTACAGCTAATCAATGCTCATAACTGATAACAGTTTTTGTACAGCTTTTTTCTCCCTACGCATATTTGCCCTGGTGAGAAAGCTAAAGCTCTGCTTCAATTGGTGCTGTACTCGTATATCTGTTTCAGCCTGAAGTGCATGTCTACTCCACCTTAGCTCCTCGTTTCTTCCTCAAATGCTGATATCAAGAAGTCTGGCATTCATCGGCAATATAGCGTTGACTTCATCATATGTGCGCTTCGGTCTTCAGGTGATAAATGACGGCAGTTCAGGAGCTAGGGATTACAATGTCTGTAGCATCACCGCATCCGTTGAATCATGGCTGTTTTGCATTAATCAACATTGTCACGAAAGATGGTAGGGTATCGAATGCGTTGTTCCTTGCACAAAGCGTCCAATATTCAGCTACTGCGGTATCTCCATGCAATGCCTCCATGGCCGAAACAAGATTCTGACAGAACCTCGACTGATCCATGGCTGTTCGTATCTCGGTAGACATGGAATGAAAATGCTGTGTTGATTGACTGGAAACTTGACACTAATATAGGAGACGAAGAGCATCATGTAAACACCCTCTTCTTGTAGTATGAGAAGATCCAACCACGCATATTATACCTTTCACCATCAAACTTAGTCCACTCTTCCTCCTCCCTCTCGACAAGTTTCGACATCGGCGGATAGGGCACACCGAACAGCTTATGGATCACCTCTGCAACCTCGTACTCCCAGTCTAATAGGGTCCCATTTGCTTTCATAAGCATATCTACCCTTACGAGCAACTTCCAGCAGTAGGCAAGATACTTCTTCAGCTCCGAGGCATTGTCGATGTGAAGAGGGTCAGCGTGAGCATTAAGACGACCTTTAGGAGTGTAGTCTGCGAACTCAAGAATCATTAGGACGATTTCTGTGGGGAGTTTCCGGAAGATTTTGTGAACGACTGGAATGTCGTTTTTGCTAGGGACGTATTTCTGCGGAAATTTCTTGTCAACCAAGTCCCTGAGGGGCACCGTTCCAAAATGATTGAAGTGGTATCTGGGTGTAACAATGTTCCAGGGAATGTACGAAGCATTGTACATCCCGAACGGGACGCCGTAGAACTCGCGGTGCGGGATCTTGTGGGCGCCTTGGTGAGGATAGGTACCTCCGGTCCCGGTGCAAAAAACCAGCATCTGTTGGTATGCTGTTGTTAGGCGGTAGTCGTACACTTCTTGTTCGTATACTTCTAATGGCAACGTTTGTGCGTGTCTTTTAGACTTCTCCTTGAGCATTTGTCTCCGCATTGTAGGGTCGTAGAGCTCTGGCTTGAGATAGAACACGTTCAAACAGACATATGCTAGAAGGGCTGCCTCTTTCAATTGAGAGATGCCCCGGCCGGCTAAGTCGCCATAGCCTCCCATATCCGTCCACATTTTGACAAGATTCACTTGAGGATGAGCCGCGATGCGGAATAGTGGTTCCATTTCCCCATACAAAATCAGCGTTCGGAGCAGCTCATCTGTCTCGTAGAGCTCATCGAAGGGTTGACAACCAGTATCAGTCGAAACATCGATGCACGAATATATCGTCCTGTCCACAAAGGACATGGGATCCCGGCCCTCATATCCCGCCAACGCCAAAAACTGCTTCGTGTATTCCAAAACGACGTTCTGAATTTTGCTCATTATCGCGTCGGAGATTATTATCTCGCCGTTCCATTCTGGTGGGGGACATTCTGCAGGGTATTTCTTTCGTTCTATGGACGAGTATTCGTCCATCACACGCGCGAAGGATTTCGCGAAATACTGGAGCTGCCCTCCTTGGCCAGGTTTACCACGAGGATATAGATTCGTCTTGCGTCCGTAGCTCGCATTCGCATGGACGAATTTGAAGTTGTCAGCGAGGGTTTGCCACGGGAGGGCATACGCTTGGTGTGCCATGATAAACAGCAGAGATATTGGATTCCTTCAAAGAAGATAGAAATGACTATAACACAGGAGGAGATGTATGAGCTCTAGTAAACAATTATATATTATTCTTGACCGCACAGTCATAACAAATTATCAAAGTAGCTAGAATAGGTTCCATCTCGTATTTCATGAATCATCGGGCACGGACGCAAGTTGGGTGCTAGTCTAGACTCTGGCATCCCTCGACAGGACAAAACGAATAGACCAAAGTCTCGCCTCAGTATACTTGCAATTCATTGGACTACCAATCAGATAATCTAATTCTAGTATTCATAATGTATGTCATCGTACAACGACTAACACGGTACAGACACCCTCCAACGCCCGACGATCGATCACACTGTATGCCCTGACCTAATATCCATCTAAGTGAATTGATCACCTATCTCTGCTTCTTGCCAGAGCTTCCGTTCGCATCCTTTGTGCCTTCAATATCCCTCAAGACAGCTCGAACAGGCCAAACAAATCCTTCTTCGATCTTAGAAGTGTTGCCTTCATCGATGGTGACCAGATACTCGGCGAGAGCCATGCCGACATAAGCGCCTATGCCGGTGAAAATGTGCCACCAGCCGTGCAGTTCGAAAATCAAGCCCCAGGGTAGACCAAGACTGCGTTTAAATGCCGTCACGTAGGAGCATAGGTGAAAATCGATGCTCCAGAGGAAGTAGCCGAAGAGGCCGGATGCTAATCAAATTTCAGTGGGCGATCCAAGATAGTTGATCATATCTCAAAGATAGCATGCATCTTCCATGTATGCGAACGAATTGACTGAAGGGAAAGAATTTGATGAACGTACCTGTCCCTAGCGATGCCATGCTTTTGAGTCGCTTCTGAGCTTCGGGATTCTTAACGCGTTCGCGGATAAGCTTTCTAATCTTCTTTCCAGTCATGAAGACCATGACACCAAACACGATCTCGTGGAGTATGATTTCATCAGTCCAGCAATGGTAGACAGAAGCGGGTACAACTACTCCAAGGATAGCGAGTGTGATACCGACGCGTTTGTGAGGAGGAGCATCAAATGTCAAGACTTGGTTGAGGACAGCACCAACGGCAAGAAACATTGACAAGTCGTCACCTAGTATCGAGTTAGTCACAGGATTAAAAGGACAGAGTTGAGCGATCAAGTTAGAGCCAAGGCATAGAACAGTGAAGGCGGTATGATGCCGTTAAAGAGGTGGACTCATAAACCCAGCCTCTTCAATTGCAAATCGAGCAAATACTGAAACAACTATACAAGGTGTGATAACAGCTTACCCATCTGGCTGTGGTATTTGAGCGTGACATGGAACCAGGCTGACAGCAATCCCACTCCTACAAGTCCCCAGTACGGGAACGCTAGGGTAGAAAAGAGACCACCATCTTCACGTGGCCAGACCCTTCGAATTCCATATGCACCATAGATTACTACTAGACGTTAACTCGCTGTTCATGAGAACGGGGATGGTAAGAGTTCATTCATGACGTACCGTATGTTAGGTTGGTAAGTGTATTGATGAACTCTGCCACGTATTCCGTGATCACATAGTCCTTCTCGGTGTCAATACTTCATGCAATCATACGAAAAGGAACCATAAGTACCTCTTCACAGAAACTACAGAGATATTAGTATTTTGAGTTCGTCGGTCAAGTATACAACCGCGGCATTTTCGGACTCACTTGTGATTTGAGTTCGGTGTGCCCCAAGCACCGGAAATAGGGCTTTCCGCGTACGGCCAGCGAAAAAGAGACATTTACACGACCAGTTTCGGATACAGACTTGCTGAACGAGAAGCAGGCAACTAAATTGTGTCAATTGTATCAATATCGATGTAGAGTTGTTCGCTGGAAGTTTGAGGGAGGTGGACCCAAGCTAGGGGAGCTTTGGCCAATCCGGCCAATCAGGCTCAGGAATTTGATCACAATGGTGCTAGGCCTACTAGACTTGCTTACTGGTTTGGTAGCTCGATCCCTCTAGGGTCCGGGAGAAAGAAGTGGCAGATATTGATAAGTTTGGTTTCAATATCCATGAAAATTAATGATTGTTCTTTCACGGCAAGAATTGAACGATTTCTGGCACAAAATGATGCAGTCAAGTGCTCATTCACACAATATCTGAACAGTGAAGATGTACCTAGTTACTGGTTTAGAATTAGCAACTTCCACTGGCAGTAACGACTAGATAAAGATAGCAGACAGATTCGAGGGTAATCTGTCTTTCAATAATCTTTTCACGGCTTGATGATGCCTTCCAGTAGAAGACAGCCCTGAATTTTGAATAATTGAATTCATTCTAACCCCTAACAATCGATACCCTATTGCCCATTCTTCTTGACTTCTTGAATATAACTTTGCTGATGTGTACCAATGCAGAAACACTACGTGTTCACTAAATACACCCATCGTAAATTCAAAAATAATTATTCCCGCACACTGAAATCCTGTGCGCATATAAGAATATTGCCACCAACTAATAGCCAATGTGATACAACTAGGAAAAAAAATGGCATGACCCCTGATCCCGCAAGGGACTGTCTTGCCACAGTAACGATACCATCATACCTTCTAGGAAGACAATCAACTGACTTAACTGACTTCCTAAGCCTGCAAAAAGAGCAAAAAAAGGGGTCTTACCGCGATTCGAACGCGGGGCCTCTCGCAAGCATGCTTAGATACCCTAAGCGAGAATCATACCACTAGACCATAAGACCGTAATCCTTTGATCGTCTTGATGACTTTGATGTTAATTTCCGAAATTGTTAAAACTATATAGAAGCACAAATTTATTTTGCAGAGAGTTCGCAACTCGTCGTGTCTTCGATCTGAAGCGGATAAAAAGGGGCGAGAATGGCCTGTGTGACGCCACCGGCTTAGCGACCGCCTCTAGTCACAATCCTGGCCAGCCGACTGTGCCAGCGTAACAACTCCTACTGTGTACTTGTGGTTGTTGTCTTGCCATACAAATTGTCAAATGAGATGAAGTGAGTGCTCTCCAGTGCATCTTATAATCAAGATAAGTTAAACCCCTAAGCTTCTAATAGGAATTGATAGTCTGGCTGGCTCAACCTTCCTCATATCATATGCCAGCGTCTCCCACAGTATTGGGATTTCCCCTTTTTTTCAATCTTAACGGAGGGTTGCTTGCACGTACTTAATAAGGGATTGCTCTCATGAGCTCTTCAACCTTGGTATCTTTCTACAAGACAACTTCAGAACACTTGCCTCTAATGTTCAGGCTCAGCAACGACTGAGCGAAGTCAATCCTAATATTACATCTGATCTTAAGGGTACCTAAAGTCTCTATTCTCCGTTAATAACTGCTTCAGCGCATCTTGAGGTTTAGTGGGCTCTCTCCCCAGAATCTCGTGCATCAACGGATGGGTTGTACACAACGCTCCGTCGTTGATATCATCCCATATGCCAGCAATGATCTCGAAATGCTGCTGGGACTTGCCACTCGCATCCCGCACAAGGCTTGCACGAATATACTCCTCCCGGGAGACGGATTGAAACTTGATCTGTCGATTGGTGGTCTCATTGATGACATGCACCGTTTCCTGCGCTGTGATGGTCTCCTCCGATGTAAACAGCACAATCTGGTTTTCGTACCCACCACGGACCATGATTCGGGCGGTGGCCTCACCAAGCTCGGTGTTAGGATTGGTTTGCAGGGCACTTAGAAGTTGGCAATTAGCAATAGTGAGATCGAGTCAATTCTATTATCCCCAAATGATAGAGACGAATCGCTGAGGAAACTTATTGTTTCTCAGCCAGTGTTATAGGGAGCATTATGTAATCATACTAAGCTAATCTGGGCCACTCAGGCCTCTAGCCAGTATAGGTGGCAGGAATTGCCCCTTGTTCTAACACTCGGCACGGAGAGTATAGGCTACCTCTCCTTTAGCAGGCAGAATGATATCTGTTTTCTCGGGGGTCCAATCAAGAAATACTGTGAACGCCTCGGTATATACACCCTCCCGAATGGAAGTGTATGTAAGTCCAGACCTGTAATGGTTAGCTTCATCAATAAAATGTTTCAGGGGTTCAGCGGGCTATTGATAACTCACTCTTTGAGAAGCTTCTCAGTGAGCACATGCTCTGCTTGAATGGGGGACCTCGAGTTGTTTTCAAAGCCACCAAAGGCGAGGGATGTATACCAAACCTAGGTACGATTAGCGCATAGATTTCGAACTACAAAGCGTCTGAGACAATGAAGCATACATGCTTCACGCCTGCTTTCTTAGCGGCATTGATTAAGTTGATATGCTGGCCGATTCGCTCTTTGCTGCTGGAACTGAGAAACAGAAGGTTCTCAACATCGCGTAGTCTCGTATCAAGTGATTCAGTGTCATCGTAATCAACGTGACGGAAGGCGATTCCACGGTCCTCAAATATAGCCTTATTCGAAGATTTAGATGATGCAGCAGCGAATTCAGATAAGGGTACGTTTTCGATGAAATGGCCAAGGACGTGCTTCCCAAGGCCTCCGGTTGCGCCTGTAATGAGATACTTCAGCGTCATATTGCCGTAAGAATGACAGAAAATCGGTACACTGCGATACGTTTTGACGCGTACTTAACTTCTCGATACTATTATTTGCACCTTGACATTTTTCGTACCAATAGCGGACGAACGTGTTTGATTTCTAAGCGGGTATTCTCAAAGCTTCAAGTATTACTGATATGACAACAACAGCTACAACAATAGCTAATTACGACTGTTCTTACTATGTATACTACGCGCAATGTATCATAATTACTGCAAAAAGTCACAGCACCAGCTACCATCATTGTAGGTACAACGGAGACTAAAATCCTCCCCGCGTTGCTGAAAGCAAGCGAAACCCCTTCCAATGGCCCCGTCCTTAACTGACCAGATCCGTCAACAGCTCTGGAGCTAAACAATTGTTCAAGATATCTGATGCAGAAGCCATTGTTGGACGAAATTGGACTGAGGTTTGCGCTGATTGATTGCATAAAGGCGCCTTTCCCCTTCCCGCACTGAATGCTGGTGTCGGATATGTTGTACAGATGCCAACAACTCCGTACATTAGCTCCCGTTTGCCCAGACTTCGGTACATCCTGCCCGTGTGCTCACGGCGCTATCGAAGCTTTAATTGATCTTGCTAATTGTTCTCGAAGGTATTCAACACTGCTTCCATGTAATCTCAAGCGCGCAAGTGCTTACTACTGTTGATATCGAACATGGAACTGGACCCGTATGCTTGTGGAGTACTGCTGATTCAACAAGAATCACTAGGGATATTTGATATGAATCCGAATTTTGCAAGCTTCCTATGTGGAGAGGGTGGCATGAATGGGATTCAAGCAACGAGGATCCCAGCGTTGGGTAAGTCAGAGCAACGCTGGGGCCATGGTCTCCTGACTGGCCGAAGGAAAACAGGTAACAAGTAGGAGTAAGAGTCACTATGCAAGCTTCATGTTAAAGAAAACCGGTTGCAAGCTGCAATCGGTTTTCGCGATACCATTGCATCGGATACGAATTTTCACATGCACTTGCAATGAATGAAAGCAGTCCCCAATAAGCACTGCCAATGGGACAGATGGTTTGCTTGTACTGTGTATGTACATTACTACATACTCGATAACTCGGTACGTGGTGCCGAAGCTTTGCCATCTTCAGGTTACCTTTTTTTCACGAGGGATCCCCACCCAATTGTAACGTCAGAAAATAGCGCAAGTCAACATTGCTCTCAAAATGATCCACATCAAGTTGAATGACGAAATATCGCCAGAAGCAAACCAATCACATCGCGAGGAGCTCCACATTGTCAAGAGCCGCGTTCCCCAGGTTTGAATTGCGATTACCCACCAATCAGCTTCAATTTAACCCGACGCCCGACTGGGTGCTACAATGTTGATGTCAGTTCGTGATGATGGATCCTCCGCTTGCAAGCTTTCAGAACCTGGGTTAGTGAATTGCCAGTTATCGGCTTTGTGGGGGCTTGCGCTCATCATCACCCTGTCTGGAAAGTATCGACGTCAATTGATTGAGTTGTACTGGATGGGGCACTCGTAGCATAGTGACCATATCGCGCGGCATGTTTCTTTAGGTTATGTTGCTGATTATATAAAGACACAAGCGGTTCTCAAATACGCGTGTCTCGTAGTAGAACATTTGACCTTCAGTGTTGACTTCAAGGCAACCACCATCATGGTTTCATTACCAAAGATCTATAATGTTTATTTCTTAGCCTGCGTGGCGACGATGGGAGGAATGCTCTTCGGGTTCGATATCTCGTCCATGAGTGCGATTATTGGAACCAATCAATACCGGTACGCTGCGTCGAAGTAGTCCACGATTGGAATAAGATTTCTTCTGATAATTCAATAGGAACTACTTCGATAATCCCAACGGTCTAATTCAAGGAGTCATTGGGTCCTCATTGGCTGCTGGCTCAGTCGTTGGATCCATAATATCTGGCTTTGTATCCGATAAGTTCGGTCGTCGCAAAGCGCTCTTCTTTGCTTGCCTCTGGTGGCTTCTGGGAACCTCTCTGCAGGTTGCTTGCAATGGTCGTTCGATGCTGATCGCAGGCCGTGTGCTCAACGGAGTCACCGTCGGCATCACTTCCTCTCAAGTTCCTGTGTACTTGGCCGAGATCGCGAAACATACCCAGCGTGGCGCCATTCTTGTCATTCAGCAATTGGCCATTGAATGGGGTATTCTCATAATGTACTTGTTCTTCTCGGATGTCTCTTATTCATTGTGTCTAACGTGGGAACAGGTATTTCATTGGCTACGGCTGCAAATTTATTGGCGACGATAATTCCACGGCATCGTTCAGAACAGCTTGGGGAATACAGTTCGTCCCATGCGTTATGTTCATGCTCGGACTTCCATTCCTACCCGAGTCGCCTCGTTGGGTGAGTTTACTAAGCTTCGGCTCTATTTCTAATACTAATCCACGCACCAGTTGGCAGCTCAAGATCGTCCAGAGGAATCTATCCGGTAGGTTACACGCCTTTTTCACTTGCCTATTTATCTCACAGCTTGTAGCATACTTGCCCAAATCCAGGCAAACGGAAACATCGACGACCCCTATGTCATTGCGGAGTATGAGGAGATCATGGCTACTCTGACTGCAGAGCGTGAAGCTCCGAAAGGTTGGAGGAAGTTCGTTTACAACGGCATGTGGCGCAGAACACTGGCTGGTTTCAGTGTTCAGGCCTGGCAGCAACTGAGTGGTGCCAACATCATGACGTACTACGTTGTTTTCATTTTCTACATGGCCGGACTCGAGGGCGACGTTAACTTGATCTCCGCGGGAGTTCAGTATGCCCTATTCATCATCTTCTCCAGCATCATGTTCTTCTTTGTCGACAAGATCGGCCGACGGACTCTACTTTTCTGGGGAGCTGTTACCATGGCCTTCTGTCACTTCGTTGTTGGTGGTGTTTTGGGCTTCCACTATGAATACGTTCCTGGTATGATTGTCTTCCTCTGTTGAGGATTGGACTAGGCTAACACAGTTTACAGAGGGTGTTGCAGGAGACACAAACGTCGTGATGAGGGTCTCAGGCGCGGCGTCTCACACTGTCATCGCATTCTCTTATCTACTCATTATCATCTATGCCATGACTCTGGCGCCTATTTGCTGGGTCTACGCTGCCGAAGTCTGGTCCTTGGGAACTCGTGCACATGGCATGGGTATTGCTGCGATTGGCAATTGGGTATTGTTGAACCTAGCACACACCAATTGATTCATTGATCTAACAAGACAACAGATTTTCAATTTCGCCATTGGAATTTTCATCCCTCCAGCGTTCCTCAACATTCGATGGAGGGTATTCATCGTCTTCGGTACTCTTTGCTTGGCTGGCGCAATCCAGTTCTGGTTCACATACCCTGAGGTAAGATTCCTAGTCTCCCCGATGAGAATTAATCGCTAATAATTTATCAGACATGCGGAAAGACCCTGGAAGAGATTGAAGTCTTGTTTAGTCCTGATGGACCACGCCCTTGGAAGACCAAGAAGGGCCATTCGAGGCTCGAAGATGAGGTAGTTGCCGTCTCCCACGCGCAAGTCGATGATGAGAAATTGAAGAAGAGAACTAGCGGCGAAGGTGTTATTGCACAGGAGAATATTTCAGAGAAGGTTTGATGTGCTCAGAAGCTTGAAGTAATCCAAGTTTGATGATTGGTGTGTTGTCGACTATGTTTGCACGAGCAGAGGCTATACAATTCCAAGTATGTGATAGCAGATAATGGGCGTAAAACATATTGACAGTACTTCAAAAACAATGAATTGGCAAATAAACCATATACTCATTTTTTGTTCTAGCTATCATCTCTAATTACCCCAAAAGAATTAGTTTCATTGAACCATGTAATGCGCACGCATTTGGCGTTGCAAGCCGAGGTCAATATTCTCCGTTTCGGCGTAATTATATGGCGATCATCTTGAAAAGTCTCCCCGATCCCCACACTATGCAGCTCCGCAATAAGAGTGCCTACATAGTTGCGGAGAAAATGCTTTTAATGTGTCCCAAGCCCGCCGCTATTGCCTAGGGTTCCCTTATCGTAACCGTCTATAACTTCGGAGCCAATGACCTTGATAATGCAGAGTCGCAAGCAAGGTTTTGATCGTCATTTTTTTATGATCTAATCTGTAGGTTGACTTATTTAATAGGACGTTGTTTCTCGACGCTCTTGTTTGAAGACGCATTGTTTCTCGATGTCCTAATTTGAAAACACACAAAGGCCATCCTCTCGTTTTACGTGATACCGTTGTTTACAATGTGCAGGTACTCCAACTTAGGGCTGCTATGGTTCGCCCTCCAAGGTTGCGTACTCGGCGCCCCGAGCACGCATCGGAAGCGCGACAACACCACCGAAGATTACTCGCGCAACCTATTGGAAGAGTCAATGAATTGGCTTGATATGTTCTACGACGAATCAGCCGGATACCTCTACAGCCTCGACTCGTCAGCCCTGACACACGAGACACGAGCCAGTGCCTGGTACTCCGCCGGGTTACTCGCAAGAAATGCCGGCGACGACGCAGAGCAAGCATCCAAGATCATCAGTAACATCATCGAGGGCCAAAGATGGCAGTTCAGCAACGTCAGCGAGCAATGGTACGGCGATTACCAGGTCTACCCCGAGGAGCCTACAGTCGGCACAGCCCAGTATCCCGCGAAGATCTATAATTCCTGGGACCCGAATTGGCGTGGGTTCGTGGGGACTACGTTTGTGCTTATTCTTGAAGAGTTCAAGGATCTCCTGTCGCCCGAACTTGAAGCACTCATGGTCGAGAGTCTTAAAAATACGACGATCGGCGACAGCTACCGTGTCGGAGGCGTGGACGATGACAATTTGTACCCGGCATATAGCAATCCGTTCATCATGCGTGCTTTCGTTAGTGGTTGGGTCGGTCGTCGTATAAGCGACGCCAACATGACGGCAGCGGGCGAGCACGACGCGAAACAGATCGTGGAGCTCTTCAATCGCGCGAATACGTTGTCTGAGTTCAATTCTGGAACGTATGCGGGCGTATCTTTGTACGCGCTTACGTTGTGGGCGAAGTATATGCCAGAGTCGTCGATCATGGGACAGAACGGTGGTCGTATGATCAAAGAGACCTGGAATAGTCTGGGTAGTCTTTACAATGCTAACTTGAAGAATGTGGCTGGTCCCTGGGATAGAGCTTATGGTTTCGATATGCAGAGGTATCTCAGCATCCTCGCACTACAGATCTGGACTTTGGTAGGAAAGGAAAATGCTCCTGTCAACTCTAAGGTATGTTGATCACTCAAGAAATCCACACGTCCTTCTGACATATTAAAGCCATACGTTATGGGCCACAAAAACGACTTTGCCATCGGCCCACTCATCGCAATCCTAGCACCCTTCCATAACGAACTGGTCTCGAATTCGACCGTATCCTCCCTACTCGACTTCCCCGGCACTCACAACGTCACAACCTCTGCATTCTCTCCGCCATACGACACATACCCCCGCAACATCTCAACCTGGCTATCTCCCAACTTCACCATCGGCGCTGTCACCTTTTCCGAAAATGTCATCGGTGGCCCGTCGATCAACCCCAAGCAGTTCAACCCTGCGGTCGTGCAGTGGGCGAGAAAGGACGGCACTGTGGGATTCATCACTCTGTATGCGCAGGTTCCGGCGCTGGAAGGGAAAGTCGAACCGAATTCATTGGAACTCACGTATCCTAAGGGGAATAGCAGTAGCACGTTTGTGTTCCTCGTTGGGACTAATTCCAAGGATGGAAAGAGGGATGTTAGTAGCTGGGATGATGTTGAGGGCTTGGAAGTTGTGGTTGATGGAACTGTCGATCCGGAGTACGAGGTGACTTTCAATGGGCTTGTAGGTGGTGCGGGAGATGTGATCAAGTAAGTCTGCAATAAACCACCTGAGTAGTTGGGCGACAGCTAATTATATGCAGCGAGTTTGAGTTCTGGAACTTCACCTACTCGATGCCGCAGAACAGCGAAGAGAAGCCGAGTATCCGCCTTCATCTTGAACTCTCTTAAACATGATGGATGCTTCAGTCGCCCGGATACATTGTTTAGAAAAAGAAGACACATCACAGAAAAACTCAAGATTCAACTTCACATGTTATGATAAATCATGTCTGCTTGCTTTATTGATTTTGAATTACTAATTAGGACTACTATGTTTGGTATATGTATATACTAAAAATATACCCATCGTGTAAGATGGTGTTGGTATCATTCGAAGGAAAAAAACCCAAATTCGCTGCACTTTTTTTTGTTGTGTGAAAAGACTCCCTTCATCCCCTGGTTTCATCCACGCTCCTTCTTAGAAAGGGGGGGACTCACTTCGCCAACGCGACGGACCGAACGATGGGGGATGTACAAAACCCAAAATCCAGAACCAAGACTACATGGAAACGATTTACACGGACGTTTATTTACTACTCAGCAGCGCCGATGGGCTTAGGCGTCGGCGCAAACTTGCTCTTCTCCCTGATCTTCGCGCCGCGGAGGTAGAACCACACAGGCACGGGGACGAGCACAGCGGCGATGCATCCGAGCAGCGTGGCTGCCCACTGAATGCCCATGCCCGTGAACATCTGCTGGGCAAAGAGGGGGAAGGCGGCGCCGCAGAGGGAGCGGAGGAAGGTGTTTGCTGCGATGGCGGAGGCGGCGAACTGTAGTGGAGGCGGTCAGTTGTTTGTCTGTGAATTACTGAAGGGGAGGAGGGCTTACCATGAGGTATGCGTCGACGAGGTAGTTGAGGGCTTGAAGGAAGATGCTAAGAAGACCGAAGCCGATTAGGATTCCTGAGAGGGTGGGGACGATCCAGTGGATGTTGGGGTTGTAACCACTATAGAATAGATTAGTCAATATTTTTGGGGTTGGTGGGAAAGCGAGATAACTTACGTCCATCCGAACCAGAAGATGCCGACAGCGAAGCAGGCACCGCCCGCGATCACCTCTGGGAGACGCCATTCGGGAATGGGCTGGTTGTTGTTGGCCGCGAGTTTCTTTTGGTACGACGGTTGGCGGATGAAGATCAAGGTTCCGGCAAGGAGCTGTCCAGTGATCATGCCGAAGAAGGGGAGACCACCGACGCCAGGATTCATGCGGTGCACGCCCTGGAAGACGAGTGGGTAGGCGGTCAAGAAGAGGTAGAGAAGGCCGTAGATGAAGGCCATATAAATGGAGAGTAGCAGGACGATGGGTTCGGACACGAGCATGCGGAGCGGTCTGCTGAAATTCTTCTGGAGCAACTCGCGGAAGTCGATTTCGATTTCTTCTTGTTTGGCGTGAATGCCCCAGTTCTTGGTTCGGCGGCGCAGCTCGGCGGCTTTGGCAACGAGGATTTCAGGCGGATACGATTCGTTAATGAAGAAGAGGTTGAGGCCAAAGGCAGTGAATCCCATGATGGCGATGATATACTCCGTCCAGCGCCATCCAAGGTCAGATATGATGATAAAGCCGCCAACGAAAGGAGCAAGGAGTGGGCCTGTGAAGACGGTCATGGAGAAGATGGTGATGGCCATTCCACGGGTCCGGTTGTCGAACATGTCGGAGAAGACGGCGGCGACACAAGTCAAAGGACATGCGCCGAAGAAACCTGAGAAGAACCTGCAGATCAGAATTGTCTGTAGGTCTTTTCCTGTCGCAACTGCAATACTGAAGACGGAGAATCCAAAGGATGCAATCACCAATGGCAATCTTCGACCCTTCAGCTCAGAAAACGGCGCCCAAAAGATTGGTCCAGTCGCAAAACCAAGAACGTAGAGACTGGTTCCCAAGACTCCAACGGTAGTGCCAACGCCATAATCTCTGGCGACGACACGAGTGGCGGCAGAAAAGATGGAAGAGCCGAATGCAGAGGTGAGGGTGGTAAATCCAAGAATAGCAGCTGTTATAAGCTTCTTTCGCAATGACCAGTTTTGTGCGTGCAACGGATCATTAGGTCCGTCGAATTCGACAACGTATTCCTCTCTCTCAGGCAAAGGCGGGGGAAATGGCTTTCCAGCGCCAAAGGCAGGCAGTGGCTTCTTCGATTTGCGGCTGGACAGTGTTGAGCCGACTGTCTGGCTGTGTTGGGATCGCGCAGTCTGTATGCGACTCAAGGCGGTTGGGTGGCGCTCAAGATCGACCACTTCGTCGCGTTGTGTTGGCAGCCGGGAGACGGTGTCGCCGCGCTCTAATTCTGATGCACCTGAGGACGAAGAGGAAGAGGATGATGTGGATCCAGTTTCGGTTCGTACAATTTCTTCCTGGTGGTGGTCTCCCTTCTCTGGATCGTTTGTTTGGGGGAAATGGTCACGGCGCGCGTCCTCCTCTGCGCCCGAGACGTATTTGTCGACGGGGTCCATGTCGAAGAATGGACTATGTGGAAGAGTTAGGGAGCAGATCAAGTCAAGTCAATGATGGGAGTTGAAAAATGAAAAATAACAATTGAGTGTCCCCTAAAGAGTTTTTATTGAAAGGAGAATATATCCCTGTTGATTGACCTTCGCGTCTTCGCCTTTTTTAATTCCGATGGGGTCAACGGAGACAACGCTTGGACGCGGCTTTGGGATTGGGATTGGGATGGAATAAAGCGAAGGTGAGACGGAGGTAACAGAGCGTCGCAGTGGTCGGCCGAGGGACGAGATTCCTTTGATAATCGACACGCATGCGCCTTGGAAACAGGCACAGGGTATTTACAAGCAAATATGTACAGCCAAGTTGGATATTTCTTTTGATAATGTTGAGCGAAAGGGTTTTTTCTCATTTTCTAGAAACGCCTCGCAGGATCTGCCGGTGACGGTGACGTAGGAGGAAACAATAGCGTCGCATCGTATACAAGCTTTTTCCATTTTGAAGATCCTCGGCACGCCCCTTTCCACTTCGGCACAACAATTCACAAACTAACGGCCTAATGTATTGTACATAACTAATACCTTAACTAACTACGCGTGGTCATGACTAATTGCAATGCAGACGAAAATCATGAGATCTATTTCTAGAATTAGAGTTCTTCCAGAGATCTGTCCTGGACCCCGAACATTCGTATTTCCAGATCTGCTACCGGTATTCTCGGTCTCGGTACACTGGAGCGGACCGTCGCGTGTTCAGCGGACGCTCACTTCTAACTATTGACCATGACTCTACTACAAACAGTGGAAGTAGGAGGCGACCCTCCGATCAGCACCAAATCAGTCCCCCAATCCACGTTTCCTTGTTTAGTTTAGAGTACAAGTTTTATTGCATTTGGTTCCAGCTGTGGATTGAGACATCATCACCCCTTCTGGTCCCTCAAACTAAAACCGTGCGTCAGCTCTGCATCTACGAACAAAGAAAACCCCAGTCGCCGATGTGACAGAAACCTGTTTCCACCGAAACCAATCGACTCAACTTCTTCAAATTGGAGGAGCACGATCCTCTTGCGGTATCATTTGAAATTGGCACACTGATTCACACACGCAAGTTCCCTTGTCGGCGGCTCCCCACCGATCACACTCTGTGAAAGACGGAATGGCTCATATGAGACATCATAGCTCCTGTGGTGACAGCTCGTCAGCTTGACAGGTCGTGCAGCAGTCACAATGTTCTCATGTCCAAGTTAAGGATGTTCAACGGCCGATCATGCTACACAGCAAGCCAGCCTTTGTCCCTACCAGCCAACATGCTTGATGCTAGTAAGCTTCTGTCAGGACAACGTCCCATGGCCACCGACTGTCTTGGTGCTGGGTCCAGGAAATGGCTTTTGACTTTTGACGTGGAGGCTTTCTGCCGTGTCACTTTCGATGCAGGCTGGTGGCAGAGTTGCGCCTAGGCTAGGAGGCGTATGCGGCTGCGTGTCTGATGCTGGTGGTCACGACTTTTCCCCCCTTCATAGGGTATGGTCAATATGACGATCTTGGGTGTTCAATCGGGTTCATTGCTCTTGACCGGGAAGCAATCGATCTCTCTCGATTGGTGTATCCTGAAACCAGTCGACGTGTATACCACTACCTGCTCACATCGTAAGTCTCGGCCTCTTTCAGCGTATAATGAAGACAGCGAAGGCAATCACATCTAGGCTGGAGAGATGGAGGACCCTGATTCCTTCTCGAACAGGACTATGGTGGTAGTCTTGCTGCCATAGTTATGTACCTTATGGAGGTTCACCAGTCATTCCATCGGTCATATTCTCTGTGTCAGGGGCCTACTATGGTATTTTCCTTCTGCGTTATCGAGGGGCACCGTTTGGCGCTGAGCGGAGAGTTAAATTGGAATTGGCAGTATTTGTGCCAGTTAGCATTTGGCTGCGAGGGAATATATGAGCTGGAATGTGACCTGACTGGGTTGACACTTGGCTAGACGATTGGTAAGTGGTGTCCATTTGAAGTTGTTAAAGTATGAACGGGATGAAGAGTCATAGGTAGTGCAAGGTGTGAATAATCCAGTACATTGTCCGATCACGCTGCCTTCTTATCGACACATCGGTGGAATTTCCGAGAGTTACAGTCTGCACCCCAGACGAACTTGACTTCCTGGGCTGGTGTGAATGGCCGCACATTCAGTACCCTGTTGGCATACCTTGATGGACAATCACTCCACCTAGCATCTGGAGCGGCCGGTTAGTTCTCCACCTGAGGCTTGTAGTTAGTTGCATAACACCTGGTCCATGGGGTAATTGTATGTCGACCTGTATGTAAATCGCGGTTGTACTCATCTTGTTCCCGGTCGGTAAGCCTGGAGTCCTGGTGAAACAGCACACATAAAAAAGAGCCGCGAGCGGTGCGAGAAGAAAGATGGTAGAATTCGGGCGCACTTCGTGCATGTAGTGCACATGGTATAACACATTCCTTGCCTGCATCAAGTCGCCTTCAATGCCTGCCTTCCACCGATTCTACCATTACCCTCCATCGTCCGTCCGAGTAGCCGTATTGTCCATCATTGTGCTCTCGAGCTAGCCCCGGGTTTTCCTGATTCCCTCATCCTCGCTTCAAGCTTTTCGATTCGTTGTGGAGTAAGCGTTCATCGGTGCTGTAGGAATTCGTTAGTTTGCATGCCCTAATTGTCGATCCTTTTCGGATGGGTATTTATAACGCGCCTTCTTGAAGCCGATGTCAGCGCTCTTCTCGCGGAAGCACTGACGGCAGATGTTGAGGCCGTACTTTCGGATGAGACCAGCGCTGTGGGTGCAGACACGGCTGTTGTTCATTGAAGATTAGCAAGGGGTCCTTTCTCAACACAACTTCTTATGCCATTGGGGACGTACCAGGAGCGGCTGCCCTTTCCGTAGGTGCGCGGGCGCGAGTACCAGATTGATTCGTGCGACATGATGTTGGATGTGCGAGAAGGTCGTAGGTTGGACTCCGGCGCGAAATGTGTCTTGTCGTGGTGTCTCTTTTTCTGGTGGGGACTAGAATTGCTTGCGTGGGCTCGCTTAGCTGTGGTGGCTGTTGGAGCAGATTACCTAATATGATCACGTGATTTAAAACCCCGTCTCACATCTGGAGCACCCTTTAACCTTGAGAGCCGGTCGTATCCAATTGTAGAGTATCAACATATTGGTCAGTCATGAAATACCGAATGAATTTGCGAATCAGCCAAGACTTGTACCATCGTTGATTTAGTTACACTTTTCTCATGACCGAGAAGGCTTCCGGACAAAATAGCAATCACAATTCCGAAAATGGTCCTTCGATATACGGTCCGCAGTTTCTACCATTCATTGTGTTCTATGGTTACAAGAGATCATTTGAAGTATGACCTAATAGGTCTGTGGACTTCTTCTGACACATGTATCCCCACGGACCTTGTGCAGTCATGTATAGTACACAGTTGCGAATCAAAATCAATTCCGAAAATTAATTGTTTCTTGATGGCATCCTTTAGGCTTCTACTTGCACTGTAGAAAAGCCGATAGTATGGTCACGTATGATTATGGAGATGCGGTAATGTGTGGGGTCCTGCCAGATCGCGAGGATATTCTTGGTCGTTTTATGCCAAGTTTGTTTTTTTATCATTCATCTAGTCTGCCGCCGCTCGTGTCGCATCACATCCGTTACCCATGCTTGAAAACCCATGATTGTCGTAGCCCAGCACTGACTCGGCTGTTTTGCAATATCAACTTCCTAAAGGTGGAGAGAAGGGAAAATAGACAGATCGCTTGGTCTACAACTTTTGCATAGCAACCTAAGAGTGTGTTAGCGATCTCAACCTTCATTGAAGATTGGGGTTTAAAACTTACAACATCGGTGGACTGGACGTGGTCCTCATCCTCCTCAATCTGCTGCTGGAGCTCATCGAGAGAAACCTTCTCGTCCTCGACGACCAAGTTGATCTGGAGCTTCTTGATACCGAAACCGACAGCTTGCAACTTGTGGGCTCCCCAGACAAGACCATCCTTCTCAATGGCCAAGACGTTAGCGGTAAGCTCGTCCATGTTGGTCTCATCGTCTAAGCAGAGTTAATACACTGGATCAACATAATTCGTAGCTGGCAGAATTCCTTACCCCAGGGCTTGATGTCCAAGGTGACGATAGACTTGGCAGCAGGCTTAACCTTGCCAGCCTTCTTCTTGTTGTACTCAGCAAGGCGCTCGGCCTTTATCCTCTCAGCCTCAGCATCCTCCTCCTCATCGTCGCTGCCGAAAAGGTCGACCTCATCATCATCGTCCTCAGCGGCGGCCTCGGGGGCCTTGGCGGGGTTGACGGTGAGCTCAGCAGACTCGGGACCATAGGCGGTGTACTCCTTGGTGGGGTCACCAGGGAGCGAGGAGAACTCGGACTCGAAGGTGAGGATGTGGTTGTACCAGCGCCATGCGTAGGGGTAGGTCTCGGGGGCGGGGATGTTCTTGAGCTGCTGGAAGACCTTGACGTCGGCCTGGCTGGGGGTGTAGCTAGATGCCTATTAGTCCTGGTTCGACTCATGAAGCAGTAGAAACAGTGGCAAAACAAGATAAGGAAAATTCAGAGGTGCGACAAGCGCTTGGGTTTGTATTCAGATAGCGGGGTCTTAAGCCGCCTCATTAACACGGACCAAAGTTTCTCATCAGGATATCGAGGGTGGTTGCGCGGGTAAAGCGAGATGCGCGAAAGGGAGCGATTTTGCTATTATATATGGAGGGGTACAAACTTACCCAACGATGTAGCTGCGAGTCTTGACCCAGTTGTTAAGGAGGGTCAAGCCAGCGTCGGAGACGAGATCGGTGAAACCCATTGTTGCAAGAATTGATATGCGTGGGAAAGGCGGTTTGGGGGGTGGGTATAATGGAAGGAAGGGGAGTGGTAGAAGAAGGAGGAGGGGCAGGTAAAATGTTCAAAGAAGGTGGTTTTAGATGAGTGTTCGTGTTCGTTGGGTTCGGAAAAATTCTATGGGGGCCTTGGCGGAAAGTGGCGGGCTAACGTCCCAGCCACGTGACCTGAGCCGTCGCGTCTTCCCATCCTTTCCCTTTTTCAATCTTATGTTCGATGGAATAATAATATTAATGAATGAACGAATGCGAGTCGTCCGACTTTCCTCTTGTTTATATATTTACTCCTGAAAAGGAGTCGGGACCTATCCGCGCCCAGTGTCCTCCTCTTACTGACTGACCGCCGCGTCTTGTGTTCGATTCATGTTGGCATCTGTGCGTTACAATGTGATTACACAAGTTAAAAAAAAATTGTTTCCTGTTTGTTGTTCCTTTTCAATCGTCGTACTCCCGTACGTTACCTAGGTTGTACCATCCTAGGCTCCTAGGCCGACTGGTCCGGTCCCTAACGCGACGTAGTTGGTCGAATCCCCTCGAAGCATCGCGGACCTTCGATCTTAGTGGAGTCACCTCACTGGCGCGCCACTCAATCAATATATAACAATGCTTTCCCTGTGAACACAACTGCCCGTTTCCAGACAGCTACCGAAGTAGTATCCTGTTGTAATAATGCTCATCAATAGAGCGCGTCTCGCCGCAAGGCGCATCTCTTCGAGAGACCTGTCCCGCGCCCTTGCTACCCGTCCCCTAACAGCTACTCATGTAAACCCTCAGTACCCACTTGGATTCAGCCAATCGCTGGCGAATCGTTCATTCACAGCAAGCCTTCGCAACTACTCCAATGGCCGACCACACCCGCCTGGCGGAACGCATCGCATGAATTTGGGCGGCGAGCCCGAGAAGCCCGCCCTCGAACAATACGGTGTCGATCTGACCGCGCGAGCCCGTGATGGAAAACTTGATCCGGTCATTGGAAGAGATGCCGAAATACACCGAACAATCCAGATCCTTTCAAGACGAACGAAGAACAATCCAGTCTTGATCGGTGCTGCTGGCACAGGCAAGACCGCCATCCTTGAAGGACTTGCTCAACGTATCATCCAAGGAGATGTGCCAGAGTCTATCAAAGAGAAACGTGTCATATCATTAGACCTTGGTCAGCTTATTGCGGGCGCCAAATTTCGTGGAGATTTCGAGGAGCGACTAAAAAAGGTCTTGAAAGAGGTCGAAGACGCGAAAGGCGGTGTGATTCTCTTCGTCGACGAATTGCACACCCTTCTAGGATTGGGGAAAGCAGAAGGCAGTATCGATGCGAGTAATTTGTTGAAGCCGGCTCTGTCACGAGGTGAGCTTCAATGCTGTGGAGCGACAACCCTCAACGAGTACCGGCAAATAGAAAAGGATGTTGCTTTGGCACGAAGATTCCAGCCGATCCAGGTGGGTGAGCCTAGCGTGCAGGATACAATTTCCATCCTCAGAGGTATCCGTGACCGCTACTCTATCCACCATGGTGTCCAAATCACCGATGGCGCACTTGTTGCCGCTGCGACTTACAGTAATCGCTACATCACCGACCGTTATCTACCCGACAAGGCAATAGATCTAGTGGATGAGGCCGCCAGCGCCCTACGGTTGCAGCAAGAGAGTAAGCCCGATGCGATCCAGCAACTAGATCGACAAATCATGACTCTCCAGATCGAGCTGGAATCCCTTCGAAAGGAAACAGATATCGCTAGCAAAGAGAGGCGAGAGAAGCTCGAAGAAACACTCAAAACAAAGCAAGAGGAGGTCAAGGTTTTGATGGAGAAGTGGGACAAGGAGCGCAGTGAATTGCAGGAATTGAAGAGCATCAAGGAACAGCTTGAGCAAGCAAGACTGGAACTTGAGCAAGCCCAAAGAGAAGGCAATTTCGCCAAGGCTGGTGAATTGAGATACTCTAAGATCCCAGCGTTAGAGCAGAAATTACCGAATGAGGACGAAAACTTGTCTGCCGCTGGACGGAGCGCTGACTCCCTGCTTCATGAGTCAGTGACAGCTGACGACATCGCCAACGTAGTCTCCAAGACAACTGGAATTCCGGTGTCGAAATTGATGAGGGGTGAGAGCGAGAAGTTGATCCACATGGAGGATGCCCTTCGACAGCACGTCCGCGGACAGGATGAGGCACTCACCGCAGTTGCAAACGCCATACGTCTGCAGAGAGCGGGTCTTTCGGGCGACAATCGACCCATTGCGTCGTTCATGATGCTCGGACCTACAGGTGTAGGCAAGACCGAAGTGTGCAAGCGACTGGCAGAGTTCCTTTTCTCCACATCCCAGGCTGTTATTCGATTCGATATGTCCGAATTCAGCGAAAAGCACACCGTGTCTCGGCTCATAGGCTCTCCAGCAGGATATGTTGGATACGAGGACGCAGGACAGCTGACTGAGGCGGTGCGCCGCAAGCCTTACGCTGTTTTGCTCTTTGATGAGTGGGAAAAGGCGCATAAAGACATCTCGACGCTACTCCTTCAAGTGTTGGATGAAGGGTTCTTGACTGACGCACAAGGCCACAAAGTTGATTTCCGAAACACTATCATCGTTCTTACATCGAACTTGGGCGCTGATATCATTGTCGGAGACAGCGCGCTTGACCAACACGAAAACAAGTCCGGTGAAATCTCTGCGAGCACTCGCGAGGCGGTCATGGATGTTGTCAGCTCTTCTTATCCCCCTGAGTTCCTGAACCGCATAGACGAGTTTATTGTGTTTCGACGACTATCGCGCGAAGCACTCAGAGATATTGTTGATATCCGCCTAAAAGAGCTCCAAGAAAAGCTCGACGATCGACGCATCAAGCTCGAAGTACCAAACGAAGCTAAACAATGGCTTTGCGATCGCGGTTACGATCCCAAATTCGGCGCAAGGCCGCTCAACAGACTCATTGCAAGACAGATCGGCAACGGTCTTGCCGACAAGATTATCAGAGGAGAAATCAAAGGAGGTGACGTTGCTGAGGTATCAATCTTGGAAGATGACAGCGGGCTCGTGGTGAAACTACAAAATAGTTGAGCTACAGCCGATTGAACAGTCTGTTGTCGAAAAAGCTGTTCTCAAAAATGATTCGCACTGCGTTCCTTCATTCTTTCAGATTAATGATGATATGATTGTAAGTTTGAATACTTACTGGCTACCTTGTATTTATACTTTTTTGATGAATAATGTATTATTATGTGGACTCGTTGGACGAATTAGCACACCTTCTCTCATGAGCATGGGAATACTAGATAGAAGTGAAATACAGACTCTCGTCTCACGTATGATTTTTCAATTGTAATGACACTGGTGGTATTGCTTCCTGGCTGGAAGAAATGTGTTCGACTTCAAACGGTAAGGTGCTCCCTGTTTCGTACCGTCTGGTTTGCGCCTTCCTAACTCTGTGCCTCACTTCGTCATTTCTATGACTTACAGCCTACAACCTCACAACCTCCAACCTCACATACCATTCATCCACAGGCTACCAGCCACATCATAATCCATTCTATGCTGACATGGCTCCACACAAGAAACCCAAAAGCTACATGCGTAGGAAAACGAGCAATCGATCACTCGCACGACTTGTGGGAGAAAGAGCGCTGCGTGGAAGCAGTACCCAACAAGGAACTTCATCACCGACGCGATCCTCGCCTCAAATATTGGCCATTGATGCAACTCGGAGCCATGAGAATCAGTATCAGTTTCCCGATATCGACCCTGGGGCAAACGCTAGGATGGAACCTTCATCGGATTCGTTACCCCAGAATATTCCTGAAGAGCTAGATAGCGAGGCCATGGACCAACTCAATGAGGTCATCATGGCTATCAATACAGACGGAGTAAGCACAGTGGGATGCTGCTATTATGTTGCACGAGAGGAAAGGCTTCTCTTCATGGAGGACGCGAAATTCGGCGGTATTGATATGGTTGATGCTTGTAAGTGCTCCGTCAGTGTTTTCGTTGCCAGGAGCTCATTCGTTATTTAGTGAAAGTATACATCGAGCCAACCGTTGTTATCGTGTCCAATAAGATGAGCGACGAAATGCTGGAAAAGATCGATCCTGACCATGGCATCGCGATATCTGAAGGAGGGAGCAGTATATTCCACTGGACAACGGGGGCTTTGAACCTGATGCTAACGTGAACGCAGATGGTCGTTTGGATCTGCCGTTTTTTATCGAATTTCGTCCCTCCAATGAGTTTAGCCATGATTTTGGTCAGAGTAAGCTCGCAAGTCTGAACATCTTGAGCGGTGACGGTCCAGGAGTCACTTTCATCGTCCCTGGTGACGTTGTGCCCGCAACGGCGAATATCGCAGACGATTCATCGTCATTTCGACAGCGGCAATTGCTTCGTCTTGCTAGTTGGATTAGTCTCGATAGTCATCTTTCGGTAAGTTGATTCTGTCTAAATGACAAATCCTCGCTGACCTGTCAAGGTTGGATGTGCAGGGGCTTTGCTTGCATACGTTCAACGCAGGCGTGCGATAGCATACTTACCTGGAGATGTAGCGGCAAATGCAATGTTCCGAATTTCGAGTCTAGAGATGTTTAGTCTTCGCGATATCATGTATTTTTGTTACTGATTCCGACGCTGGAATATAGCTGACTGCATTTAGGTTTGTCAATACTGATACTCTTCACTCTTTGCAAATTCTTGGCTCCGAGGCCCACCCAAACTCTCACAACCAAGGTCCGACGCAAGCTACATCTGGCTCTAAGGAAGGGTTGTCAGTGTATGGGCTGTTCCGAAATCTAGCATGCACACCTCAAGGCAAGTGCCTCCTTCGGCAGTACTTCCTTCGACCTAGTCTCAACATCGATATCATCAACGAGAGACTCGACGCCATCGCCACCTTCGTCAGACCGGATAATGATGCGATACTGGATAGCCTCATTCGAGATCTGCGGCCTATCAAGAACATACGCACTATCCTAATCAACTTGAAAAAGGGAGTGGGCAGTGCAACAACTGGTGGTGGAAAGAGTAACATTTTGTCGAAAACTCTTTGGATCAATGTTCGTGAGGTTTGTCGTGACTGTTCTATTGTAAGCCACAAGTGCTCAGTAACGTTTTTAGTTCGCTTTTCGAACACTCAAGATCAAAGACACCTTCAATGCCATGCTCGAAAGCGAGACGCTACCCATCAGAAGAAAGGTAAAAATGAGTCCAAGCAGTCAGGTCCAACTCTATATGATTCTTTGTTGATACCATTGCCAGGTTCTTGAACATTTTGTTGGGCCTCAACTGTGTCAACTTGGGAAGCGCATCAACGATATTGTACGTTCGCATAGGGAAAAAGTAGTCAGTGCCTTCACTAACATGCAAAGATCGATTTTGATAGGTCCGAAGATGAATCACGCACCATCATTCGCGCGGGTGTCGATGAAGAGCTCGACCATATGAAGCGGACATTTGATGGCCTAGGATCTTTGCTGGCCGAGGTTGAACGGAAATTGGCCGAAGACATACCTCACAATCTTCGCCAGACTCTCAATGTGATATACTTCCCTCAAATTGGATTCTTGACGACGACCCCTATAGATCCCGAAACCCGCGAGGTAGTATATGAGGGTGGGTTTGAGAACCCTTGGGAACGAATGTTTGCTACAGAGTAAGAGCTCAACTGAACACTCTTACTCATGGACATCACTTAATTGACAAACATAGGGACCAGTGCTATTTCAAGAACAGCCAAATGCGTGAGATGGATGACCATTTCGGCGACCTATTTGGACTCATCTCTGATCGCGAGATTGAAATTTGCCATGAGCTTACTCAGTATACTCTGAAATATGAGGGTTTGTTGACCACGACGTCAGATATCTGCAGTGAGCTGGATAGGTACAGTGAAAACTTGATAGTTCCAACGACTGTTCCACTAATTTTACAGCCTTATTGCACTAGCACGTGGAGCCAAATTGTACAGTCTTTGTAGACCTGATGTGTCGATGGATAATAGTATACGCATTAGGAATGGCCGGTAGGGTATCCGCATGACATTCATTACCCGCATTTTATTTACACCTGTTAGCCACATACTACAAGAGCTCACAGTACCCTCTTTCGTACCGAATGATACTCAACTGTCTGGGGGCGAGGGAGATGAAGGTCTGGGATCTGAAGGACGGCCTACTTCGATTGCTTCTAATTGTCCTGCTTCTGCCCGCTGGTCAAACTCAGAGGACAGTGAAGCAAATATGGTCATTTTGACAGGCCCTAACTACTCCGGAAAAAGTGTGTATCTCAAGCAGGTTGCTTTGATTGTCTTCATGTCACACGTTGGGTCCTTCGTTCCTGCAGAATCTGCGGAGATCGGGCTCACTGATAAAATACTATCACGAGTCACCACTCGTGAGACAGTCTCCCGAACTGGAAGCACCTTCATGATTGATCTTCAGCAGATCTCGCTTGCTTTGAGTCTTGCTACAAGAAGGAGTCTGCTTGTGTTAGACGAAATCGGAAAAGGAACTGATTCAAGCGATGGGGCAGGGCTCGCTTGTGCGGTCCTTGAGCATCTTACGAGTCTAGGACTAGAACGTCCAAAGGTGGTCGCAGCAACACACTTTCATGGTGAGAGCGCCAAACAGATATCTGAAAAGTCCTGATAGCTGATCGGCAGTAGAGATATTCGAAAGCGGCATATTTCAACCCAGGCATAAGGTTTCTTTCGGACACATGGAAGTGCGTGTGAATCCGGAGGCTCGGGTTACTGAAGATCAAGTCACGCACCTATACAAGTAAGGAAACCCGGAGCGTATTAGGGCTTAAAGGACTAATTAGAGGAACATTAGTTTTCGTAAAGGAAGGAGCAATTCAAGCTTTGGCACTTGGTAATTTCAGTATCTATATTCTTTAGGCTCACATTAATGGTCTTCTAGGTGTGCTGCTGCAAATGGGGTTCCTTCAGAGATTGTTCAACGTGCTGCAGATCTTACCACTCTTTCGGCCAGAGGGGAAGACCTTGTTACTGCATGCTCTACAATGCCGGAGTCAGAGGTGGCAGAGCTAGAAGCGGCAGTGAGTATCCTCCCAGCTTGCTGTTATCTTACTGCTCAACACAGAGAGACTAGGAGAAGATTGCGCGAGCCTTTCTGCAGGCCGAAGCGAACCATGATGCACATGACCTACTGCATAAAGTTCTAGGGGACTGTGAGCATGCTGGTGCTGAGTTCTAGCATTATGACAATTGGGCGATAGAGATCTCCTTGAGTCTGACGGCTATCTTTCTTCGTCTGCTGCTCCATTGAATCTGTTCACGCTCGTCAGAAGGGCGACCAAGGCACAGGTGATGTCTCCACAGCTACCATTGCTCGGATGGAATGGATGAGGTGGGATACGAAAATAGCAGAACATCTACTGGCGGTGTACGGACGGACAGTTACCGCTCCCTAGGTGATCTAGTCTCGCATTCTTTGTGACAGATTCGAATGTCCGGACATGTGAACCTAGCAGCTATGTGGATTGGTTCTTGAAAATAGTTCGAGATGATGTGATAAGGATTTCATCTCTCAGGCATTGCTTTTGTGTCCCAGTATGTCCCCACCATTCGTTTAATGGTCCGTAGGCGCCGAGAGGAGAGCTAGCCGGTAGGCACAGTGTGATATGGAATATGGACCATTCACGGATCAAATCTAGCATGGGGAATGCAAGAGACCGTTTAAGGCCGGCTGTGATTGATTGACGTAGTGTAGAAAGGATGTCGTGGTAGTATGCAAAATGTATGGATGTCTGAGGTAAGCCTAGTGTGAGTGGAGGTTGCGCTTTACTTAGCACACCCTGGATACACTTCATCCCGGGAGATCGACTGTGAGCCAGAGTATTGCCCACCTGGAGTTCAGCCTTTGATTGAAGTTGCGGAGGTGACGATCTACTGTGCTATCCGAATTTCTATTCGTCGGGCGCCCGTTGGCACCCGGTAGGCCATGACCGTTTTCGGATTGCGACGGGACATATATACACAAGTATAGGGAGTGCTGTGGAGGAAGATAGTAATTCGTCCGCGGATGGGTTTGAGATCGCTGGATTTTGGTGGGACAAACCCTCTGAATGCTGTGAAATGCACTTAGAAAGTGACCATCTCCGATCACAACGCATGATGATATGTCGTACCTGGTAGTTAGACCGACGCCGCGACGGGATTTGAAGAAGCACATCCATCATTTGTCGCAGGCCTACGATTATGGTGAGTAGTATATGTACCTACCTCCGCCCTGCCGCATTTTCGCTCGTTTCGCTACTCCCCCGCCTTGTGGCGACAGCCCACTTATGCCGTCACCTTTGAATATTCGTCCATGATAGAGCATCCCACCATATATCACCGCGAATGCCTTCATACCTCCTAACGCTTCGTTCTTTCCTCACACTTACTCTCCATACCTCTCTCTTCCACACGCACACAAGCTCTCTCTCGCTCCACGACTCGGTTGAGTTATGCTGCTAGCACTGTATCCTGAGGTGCGGCATTCTCTCGGCTCGGTGTTCAACATTTCGGACATCCTTAACAAAGGTGGAATGTCGCGAAAGAGCGAACATTACTTGATTGTCTTTCTGAAACACTCATTGCAGGCTCGAAGACCGAAGCTCCTATGGCAAGCTGGCTAGTGCTGGCTGGCGGCCCTCATTCGTCGGCCCTCATGTCGTTGTAACACAAGTTCCCGAAACGGACAAACGACTTGGAGCATGGAATGAGTTCCCCACGGCCCAATACCACGAGTACCGAGGCTCTGTCGACACAATAGGCTGTTGTCATTACCTGCTATATGACTTCTATTAACGCGTGTACTTTGGCTTCGGTAATGGCGATTGGCTTCGGGAAACGTTCAATCTATCTTGTCGGCATTAGCTCATGATTGGGCCACGGCGACGACGATACTCCACATTGCAGTCTTCTGTCAAGGCTTCACGTCGATCGATTATATATCCTGCGATTTTGGAAAACAAGGGTTCGAGAGATTCAAATATTAGAGACTGGCAAGAAATCACCTCTGTAATAAGCAATCTGTCTGACGTTGCTGACACTGAGTTGACGTTCTCTATGTGGGTAGACTCCCCCTTCCCCCTGCATTTCCAACCCAACGTCCATGAATCATTGCTACTGGTAGGGCTGAGCCGCAGCTATTCCAATCTGACCGCAGATACCGCATCTCATTTCAATGACCTGCACAGGTACACATGCCATCTTGAAGGGATATAGCCATTGATTGTTCCGTCCTATCTCTCTCACTGTGCTATCGCCTCGGTGACACATTCCAACGAAAAGATGTTGGATCCGAAGAGGAGCGCTTCTAGTCAAGGGGTCAATCACGATTATACAGGGCTTGGATACTATGCGGCGATTATGAATACGACACCACTGTAACAGAAGAGCGAGAGCATAGGTACTCTTAACGGCGGCTTGACCATTGCGGGAACTACCAGCACAGACTGTTGCCATGAGCTACAAAGAATTGCGCATTTGAGGGTCCGTTCACAGGCAGCCTGGCCTGTGAGGCGTTCGTACGAAATGCCATCGCATCGCTGCGTGGTGATCCGTCATCGAATCCAAAGGTCCTGGTCTCTACGGGTTGATTTGCATCCGACATCCTGAGAACGAAGCCGACAAAATGTCACCGAGATCTAGGATTGGAATTTCCACGTTGTTGATAATATCTCAACATCCTTACTATGTTGCGCCACATCGCCGTTTAATGTTGTGCGTATACGATACATCCAACATCGCGACAACTCCATACCACGTGGAATCGAACGGATACAGATGTTTGAGATGCCCTGCATTCTACCGGCTTAGCCGCTACGCCATTTAATTGCCCCTGGTCCCCGCGGCCCACACAGACACTGACAGACTGTACAGGATCTGTATGTACTTGTATGTACATCGTAACTTTCGGTTACCGAAAATACGAAGAGGTCTCTGCTCCCGTTGGCCCTTACCACGATACCCGAAGCAATGCTACACCGACCCATATCTCCTGCGGCTCTGCATCAATTAGCAACATACAAACGGACCGTTCGGTATACCTCGCTTTGAGCATGCGCTCTACCATACGTTCTCATTGCATCATATGTTATTGGATCTATGCCGCAAGAGACGGTGGGTGCAAGCGGGAGGGAGATGCCCCCGCATGTTGAAGCCATGTCCCTGCACATACCAACACAACAGCCTGCTACAATTGAGCCAGGATTTACCGTGGGTGACGATGCATCGCATCCTTATCTAGTTTGTGGCTTCTTGTGTGCCATGCGTCCTTCGGAGACCCTGACTGGACCCTTCACCCCGCAAAGTGTCGCGCAACAAGTCCAGCGTATTCTCATCCTGCTGCCTCTCCCTCACCCTAGATACCCATGTGGCAGTTACGACAGGGCGAGAGGAATTGGCGTTTGCCACTGCGGGAAACAGATGCAGGGCAACTGTAGCTGCAGGGCAAGAGACAACACGAAAAGGGATCTTCTGTAATCGCCCTCATTCGCGTCTACAACTCAAGCAGCAAGATAGACATGACATCATGTCCCTCAATCAAAAAGCAGTTTGGATTTGCGATGCAGTTCGAACACGCAATGTGGCTATCACGATCATCCGGGTATGATCAACAGTCCTGTGAACGGTTGCGCACGGGGACGTAGTGTATGCTATTGATCCTGCCAGTGCCTGCTCAATCCTCAACGAGATCAGACCTACATACAAGTCCGGAGTGGCGCTATGAGCAACAACTAATTGAATGAAGCCTCTTGGAAGGTGACTAACTAACCGAAAAGATCTGGAGACCAACACACCCTGTAACAAGCCACGCGGAAATTGATAGGCCCGACTGCCTTCCTGCATTCCTGCCTTCCTCTCTCTCTCTCTATACAAGCACGACAAGTTCCATGTCGGGGATCAGTCTGGCCTCGCCTACATCCAGGATATCCACAAGCTCGTAGTCACCTCATCACGGTACCCGCTGGACCCTGCGTCGAAATGCAGTACGTGAAAGTTTTAGATGAGAGGTCATCAGTGTGCATACATCAAATGTAGAGGACCCTGGGAAGGACGACCAAATAGGTGCGTAATAGAATGCTTGCAAGTTTATGATACTGCGTACAGTTCCAATCCAAACCCAAATGCAGGCCCTATGGAACGGCACTTGCCACTACTGCTCTCAAGCACTCTTGAGCGCGTGGACCGCTATGGTTTTCCATTCCCCGTCCAGCTTCCAAATAGGGCGAGTCTTGGGTGCTCATGTGCCGCACTTTCCATTCGACGTCTTGTTTCCATTATCCATTGGTATTCGTATCGATCGAATCTATACAGGAAACAGGCGGTATGGTACGTAATAATACCTTGAGGGAGACCTTCGAGTATGCGCGAAGCCAATCCGGCCATTGTTATGTGCAAGCTTACTTTGTATGCGGCGTTAGGGTGAGTAGCGAGTTACAAGCAAGCCGGTCGGCGATCTCGGACTCATTGCGCACGCCGTCTATCAGTATCGCAACAGTTAGTTGCGGCTAGTTATCCGTTTCAGAGTTCCTTTGCCCTATTGAGACTCATTGAAAGCTTTCGTATCAGCAGCACATGTACTCGAGATCCGAGGCGATTGGTAGTCTGGCCAAGCGTGGCTAAAGACTCCATCGTGTGTATGTGTGCGCGAGTGCGCGAGTGTGTGTGGGCGCCTACGACGGCAGAGAAGACCGAGTACCTCGTATTGTATCGTGGCGCACACGAGCTCCCAGGCGTAGTATACATACAGTATGGAATCAGTGTTGATCGGGTATCGTACGGTCAAGTGTTGCCGACCAATTGATCTAATGCGCGCAGGATAGACAAGGTTGTCATCCACCTTCATTCAGGTGATCAGCGGTGCCGTCACCCAACCAGTATGGAGGCATGCACTTGCAGTACGCACGCAATTCGTGGAGATCTCTTACCCAGAGCTATGCTCTCTATCTGAAATGGATACGTCATTTACGAGCATGAGGACAAAGAGAAAGGAAAAGTGGGAGTTTTGTGGTCGAAGAGGTGCAATGCAATTGGATTGGCGTCGGTTCGGCGCCAGAATCTACACATTCGGACGATAAGTTCTTACCATCTGGGGACGTTTCGGAGCCAGCGACCGTTGGCCGCTGCAAACCAAGAAATACTCATCTTGCTAGTGTTTGGGAAGTAAGCCACATGGAATTGAGGTGTTGGAGACCAGTCGGAGGGTTGTGGTGGTGAATTTTACCAGTTCATTATTACTTTGTCATCCTCTGCTTCGGGCATCGGGCCAATTCATCCACTCCCGACATGAAGCATCCATCCATCGCATCCCTCGAATAATGCCCTGATAGCGGTCAATTTGACATAGGCGAATCAAGCAGCGACAAGGCGGCACGGCAACTTGACGATGCAGTCCCCGCAGCCTTGCTACAACAAGAGGATCAAATTCCAGCAAGCTCTTCATCTGGCTTTTGCAGCACGAGGGTTCGCTATTGCAGCTAGCATGGCTCCTGTAAACGATTTGTGACCACTTTGCGTCGCTTCGGGATGCTGTCGGATGGGAGTAATCAAAGCTGCAAATATACTGTTGCTCTTCGTGGGAAAAACTGGAGGGCCATATGGTGCCATCGGCGGTTTGACAGTGTGTCAAGGCGAGAAACGTCCTCAAGGGCTGTCCAGCAAGAACCCAGTATCGCAATGCCGGTGTATGACAGCCATCACGCTGACGAGTTTCTCGAAGGACTCGTGTGCTCATTGTATTCCTATCCGTTCATGTTGCCACAAACAGGACCAATGATACTTGGAGAATGCACGCAGCGTCTCACCGGCATATTCCATTCCTGAATACAGACCCTCGCACCACGCACTCCAGTATTGCGATACCGTACCATTGTGTGGTTCAGTATTTAAATTATCTACTGCACAGGCGCGGCGGCATTGTCTTCCAACCGCAAGGGCCTCACCCTTGCGTTGTCTTATGTGCGCCCTACCCACAAGGAGGAAACAATTCTGATGACACCGCTGTCAACTAAAAGGTGAAGTGGTGGACGCAGCGATGATGATGATGACGATGATGCTGCTGATTATGATTATAGGCATGCTAAGGCAACGCACTATAGTGCCACTTTGTGGCAGGTTGACTTGCATTGGCCGCTTACACCTCCAGAGTCCAGATAAGTTTAACGATGAGGGCCGAAAGGGAGAAGACGCTTCTGCTTCGAAAAGGTCCGTCAGCGCTAGAGCACGACCGAAGATTCCCTTTTGGGACTGTAACGATGTCCGAAAGAGAGATGCTAGAAAACAGCTTACTACTGACTGTAATCTTTCGCACCTCGTATACTTCAATTTCGCTTGTTCCAATTTCAATACTCGAATGATAAATTATTATTGTTCTCACGGGGATGGATCTTTCTTTCTTTCACCTTTCCAGCCTAGAGGAGGCGTTGACAGCGGCAGCGCAAGGACAGCGTCATTGAAGTTTGCCCTTGGACTTGCAACTACACGAGTTGAGTGGGTACGAGGGTACGAACAATGTCCCGAGCCACTGGAGCTTCTCCCAGAGCCCTCGTGGATACCAATCTACCTCAATCAACCGGCTCAACACCCAGACCGAACGACTGGGAGGGAAAGAAAAGGCACATTGTTGCTATCCACAGACCCATAGACCTCATGGTCCACGGTCCAGCCCATAGCCCAATTAAAAGACAACTCCAAGAAAATCCAACTTGAGAAATAATTAACGCAGCGAGAATCCACAACAGTTTCCTACACAGTACTTTACTCTCCTGGTGCATATTCGTCATGAAGAGGGCGAATTCCCAGCGACTGGCGATCATTCACAGTATTGGGAGCCCGCCACGAGCCCACAGCAACTTCGAGACAACCAAACCCCCCATGTCGCTGGTTCGTCATCCCACTGCGCTGACTTGCCCTGCTTTGCTCCAACCACTCTGTTTCTGTGTTGCTCTCTGCCTGCCTATACGTCCTGCGCTGCCTTGTCTTGCCCCGTTCTATGTCTTGCCCTACCCTACCTGGCCTGCCCTTGGGGCTTGCTTCCCTGTGACCAAATCAGACCAGACAAGCCAGTGGAGGATTGTATCCGTTGAACTGATCTACAGAAGCACCGAATCCTGCGCGCTCGTGTTCTGCTCCTCAAATTACTCTCTATCTTTCTAGAGTATAGAGTCTAGTAGCATAGAACACAAGTACATACATGAGTACGGAGTACGGTAGTGTGGTGTAGTTTAGTTAGTTAGAAGGAGAGGAGCGATAAGATCTGTGCTCACCCACATCCGCACCCATATCCACATTGACGTCCACATCCACACACAAACACACAGACACACATTACACGTCCACAATCCATTCACTCCTGGCTCATGCTTCAAGCAGGCATCTCTTAGCGGCAGCCATATGCTTACCACCCACCCTGCAGCCAACGAGTGCTACTGCTATCCCGAATGGAGGATACGAAAGTGTAAGACTTGGCCTCAGCCCCAGCCAACAACGCGCTGCTGTGCAGGCCTGCTAGGATGCTTTCGCCGGTGGGTGTAAGCCCTCTGAATGCTGCCAGGATGTTCCCACACACACACACACCCCTCCCCCTCCCCTCCCTTCCCTTTTCCACATTTTTACGAGGTATGATGCTCATGGATGCTTGTGGTTAGGATGAGTAGGTGTGGGTTGCTGTAACTAGGCGTAGGCGTCGTGGGCGTGGTAGGATCCACAGATCCCTTCCGTTTGAACGCTAGTCGTTTTGGGGGAGTCTGCATCATCCTGGATTCCTGTACTGCTGCAACTTGTTGCTCGCCATATATATTTCCTACTCACCTTCCAGCTTCCTTCTGAACCCCCCACAAAGCTCACTCGACCGTTCTATCGTCCTCCTTGATCATGTTCCAAGCTCTTCCCCAACAAATCCCAAATCAACAACCTCATTCACCACCAATTGACTGCAGAATGTCTGCCAGCCTCCCCCCCAACACCACCATGGTCACCAATGCCAACGGTGAGGCGAAGCCTCGAAAGCTACGAGCTTCCTGCGATGCTTGCTCTCGAGCCAAGGTCAAGTGCGATAAGGTATGCTTCAAACCTTCCTGGCAAGCAATTGCAAGATCTAATCGAGTCCTACAGGTACGCCCAACCTGCCACCGCTGTGGCAACATGGGTATCTGCTGCAACTACTCGCCCTCCATGAGGTATGTATTTCCTTATCTGGGTCAACTTCCAATGTTCAGGAAACTCATATGAGATTCAGATTGGGCAAGCCTCGCAAGAACAGGAACCCTGATGGCACCATCATGCGTGATGTGTCTCCAGCAAGCTCCGTTGGCCCACTCGGTCCCAGGCCGGTCGATATGATCCCTCGCACTGCTACTACCACCACCTACAACGTGGAGAGTTCTCCCGAGCCAACGGACCCATTCTTCTTCGGCCCTGCTACTCCTGAATTCCACTACCAAGATGCCTTCATGAACAATGGCTTTGACGGTAGCCAGTCTCCCTACTCCGACACCAACTCATTCGTTAGCGGCTGGTCGAACGACGAGCAGCTCATGTTCCAGAGCCCTTCCGATCTGTTCACCAGCGTCCCCCAGTTCCCTCAAGCACCATACCACCCGCATACGCACGCTCCTGCTCATGGCCGATCGACGAGCCTGCAGAGCCAGCCTGAGATGTTCGCTCCCATGGAGGGTTTGCACTCGCCTCCCATGGCAAGCCCGCAATTCTTCGGCATGCCTGAGCAGCCCAGCCTTCAAGTGTTCAACCCAGAGAAGATGATGGCTTCGCCGCCACCGATGGTTCCCGCTCCTCTCCCCACTCCTCCCTCCTCTGCTACTACTCAGAACCACGATCACTGCACCAAGTTCGCCTTCGAGACACTGAACAGCCTCTACTCACCACCAGCTTCCCAACCCTGTGCGGGCGACTTCAGCGGTAACCCCAACGGTCTTCCCACCTTGGACACCGTCCTCTCCACTACCAAGTCCGCGATTGAGAAGCTATTCGTCTTGCTTGCCTGCCCTTGCTCGTCGAACCCCCACTTCTCCACCACCATTGCCTTCACCATTACCAAGGTTCTGTCCTGGTACCAAGCCGTCGCTGGTGTGAGCACCAACGACACCTCGAACACTCAATTGGAGAACTTCATCCACACACCCATGTCCGTGGGTGACTTCCGTCTCGAGTCTGACGACGAGGACACCTTCCGCACCCAGCTTGTCCTCGGGGAGCTTCGCAAGGTTGAGAAGCTCATTGACAAGTTCTCCGAGCGCTACTGCAAGAACAGCCAGGGAGAGAACGGCATCGACACCGGTGTCTACACCTCGCTCGAGGCTCTGCTCCGCACTCGCGTACGAGACACTTTCAAGGTCACAATGAAGACCGCACCTGAAGAGTGCAAGAGGCAGATCGCCTACAAGACCCAGCAACAGCAGCACCGCCTACGCACCAACACTGTCTAATTTTCTTCTCTGCTGCGTTTCAGCGACAACCCATTATACCATTCTGTACATTCGTCGACGACAATTTATTCATCCGTTTTATTTTCTTCATGCACCGCCTGTTGAGCCCGCTCATCACTTCTTTTGACCGATACCTTTTCGTATGTCTTGCGCGTTTACGCTATCAACGTTTGTCGCCCCAACGTTTTTCAACGTCTTCCATCGCATTATAGATTTGGATCTTCGTGATCAAAACTTGTTCTAGGGGGATGGTTTTTTTTAATTCTCTGGGACATTGCAATGTCCCGTAGGCTAGTTTGGGTCTACATTTGTTATCCCTTGTTGCTCTTTACCCAACCGCGAATTCTCGGACGTCTACTCTTCGACATTTTTTTCCTGTTCATCGCGCCTACTGTTCCTTTTGTCTTTGCTTTTATTCTTCTGCCAAGGGTGTGTAAATATTGTTGGAACAAATGGGAGGTACTCTTGTTTTTCTGTTAATCGGCAAGTACCTGGGTAGGTGGGAGGCCAACGGACAGGGAACAAGCTGACATGTCTGGGATGTTTGCACGAGGCAGTGAAGCAACGACTACAGGGCCAATATAGGCTATGCAAGGGATTCTTTGGGGCCAGGAAGGCAAGGCCCAGGCAAGGGCAAGGCATTCACGTGTGCAATGAACGGTCTTACCATAGAGGCGGATTGCTCGCATCCGGGCAGCAGAGGCAGCCGGACTTTTCGCCCAATAGTTGGAACAGACGATTAATGAAAGATTATTTGAATACTTGTTGACGAATCCTTCTTCCTCTCCCTCCTGCAATCTGTGTGTCGCACTTCAAAACATCATCACTTTCGCTCGCAGCATACCTACCTACCATGGTGCATACAGAAACCAACGATCGCAATTTGAAAGTCCGTTCGATAGTCCCTTGTGCGCCTGGGGTAACAGGCCTGTCTGGATCTTGGGAGGGTGATGGGGGCGAAGGGGACAGGCAGGAGGGCGTAGCGTTGCTGTTAGTGGTAACTGATTGCTACTCACCCCACCACCACCACCACCACCAAGTCTCCTCTTCTTCTTAGCCACGATCACCTTACCGTTACCACCACCACCTTACCCTTACCACCACCGCCCTCTGTCTACGGAGTAACTAACTACCACCAACTTACCAAGTGACTAACTACTGGACCTCCATCCATCGGATTCAAACTACACCCATATCCCCCTCTTATTCCCAGGCAGATCTTACCAAACATCGCAATTTGCTTTTCTGTGGCGTTTCTCCTTGGGAATTGAACAAGCTCGCTTCCGTCCTGTTTTTTCACGTCTACGCAATAGGCGTCTTATTTCTCCATGGCATTGATTGTAACCTTCCCAAGTGGTGTCTGTCTGTTTGCCTGTGGTAGGCCAATGTGATGGTGGTGGTGGTTGGTGGGCGTGATGCGGGCGGGACCAGCCGTGTCCGACCCAGCATTTCGACTCAGTGGAGGACCACGCGCGGGGGGGACGACTTTACTTTTTGCGCCGGACTCCATGCGAACTGCATCATCCATCTACATAGATGCCTACATACACAGCACGGCATACAAGGTACTCTGTACCTTGAGGACCAATTGACAGCAATAGCATCAACGGCATTTACAGAAAGTGTTGGCTGGCATGCAGCGAGAAAGGGTTGGGGTTGGCCACTTGTGCCTCTTCTATTTCGGACGCAACCCCAGACTCGGATACAGATAAAAGGGCGATTTATTGGGGGAGAAGTAGAGAGGAGAGGGGAAATAGATCGATCATCATTTACCTACCTTGCCTACTACATGCCTGGCCTGTCGGTACGTATGTCTGGCTGTCTGTCCATCTGTACAGTGTATGTATGTTTGTTTGCCTGCCTGCCTTACAAGGAAGTATGTAAAAATAAGGATCCAACGGACTCGTGGTGAATTAATCTATCTCATTCATGCCCCCCGTTCTCATGGGGCATCGAACCCCCTGAGGTTTGTCCTTTGGTGCCCTGGGCCTTTCCCATGGCATTGGATAGTATATGTGTACCCTAGAGTATGGTATGGATATAGTAGGGGCAGGGCAAAGGCAGGGTAGGGGAACAATTGGTGTATGGGGATGGATGAATGTAGTAGTGGATAAGATGTAGGAGTAATTTAGCGGGTGGGTTGGAAGAAGAGTGGTTGACAGGTGCGGCATCTCCCGCGGAGGCGATTTCGAAGAGGGCAGACGGCGAAACAGCACCAAAGTTGGGGTGGGGATTTGGCCCTTGGGTGGGTGGTAGTAGCCAGGCACACACACACACACACACACACACACACGCAGTACACACTACACAGTAGGCATCTCCTACGACGAGCATGTACCTCGGCCTCTTCTTTCCCTCACACCACCACCACCATCTACCACCACCTTAACCTTTCGCCCCAACCCAACGTTCAGGTTCCCTATACAGCAATTCTCTAGATTTGCAACACCGAAGAAAGCCTTTCTGGGGCAAACCACGGTCTGTTGGATGGCTTTTTTTTTTCTCCCTTCATCTCCTCCTATTATTCTTGAGGGCGAACTTTGGGAAATTAGGAAGGTGACCATGGATTTTGTAAATGTCACGCACACTCGCATAAACGAATTACATACGCACACACACTTTTCTCAATTTTCAATCTACGCGCCTACGTACAGTACGGAGCGGCCGTTTTGTATGTAGGTATCAAGGATATGGGTGTTGAATGAGGGTGAAATGCAGCATGTGCATTGCTGGTATACTGCCCCCAGCTAGTTAGCGATGCGGTCTTTCTCGCGTGGGTACTTTGCTCGCTGCATCGGACAAGACTAATGTTTGAGAATGAAAAAAAAAAAAGAGATCTCATACCATCCTGGGGAGGTAGCAGCAGAGAGAGAAAATTCCTCCTCTCGATGCTGTGCGCTTGGTACCTACGTATGGGGTGAGCGCATTTGGGTGAATGCAGGGACTCGCAATTTACGAGGCTGTTGGTTTCTGATTAGGGACCCATGCTCCATGACGCCATCCAACTGCGTTCTGTGCGCGCACTGGACGGGCAAGACGTCGCCGTGCTGAGAAGAGAGAGGGTCTCAGAACTGGGGAGAGATAGGGTATGCTGATGATTACGGTGGGTTCGTTCTGACTTAGACGGATTCAGAGACATTCGGCGTCATAGTATGCACGAAGAGAGAGAAGGCTGCCGTCTTTGCCTTGTCCTTTGCCAACATCTGAGGGCATCTACACTGGCGACTCTCCTGCGAATGCGATTGGAGGTTCCGATGCAGGCCTGCTTGCCCACCTCCGATCCGGTGGAGCGCAGTACAGTGCAGTGCAGCGCAGTGCATCAGTACTACTACATATGCGCTCACTGCTGTACTGTTTCGGGACGACATAGCATCCACACAATACTCCATTTTCTCACGTCGTCATCATTCGTCGCGCCCGCATCGTGCTCATCGTTCTGAAAGTTGATGTCGACGTCGGCTGCGATTGTGGTAGCCGCCCGCCCATGATTCATGCATGGTTATTCGACATCTGAGTGAGGAGATACTGATAGCAAACACGGAGGGCAGACAATGGCCCCGGCACTGATTCGAAGAGCCCTACCCGCGCCAACCGCTTGGCCAACGGCTATGGCCCCCAAGACGAAAAGATAATAGAGGTAAATTCAAATACACAGTCGGCAATTGCACCTCCTCTACTCAAACTTTCGAGATAACCACTATGAATACGAAAGTATATCAACGCGCTTCGGAGTATGCTACTGAGACGGCTCTACAGCCTTAAGAATATGCACTACTAAATCCACCCTCTTGGGGCTCTATATCATCAGATCTCAAGCCACTGGTGGTAGCAGTTTGCTTAGGAATAGAGGCCGTTCGGCGCAGGAGAACAGACGGTCGCAGCGGCTAGTTACCTGCCTACGGATCAAGTATACAGTGCAGTCCCAGCCATCACTGCTGCAAGCCTTCGCATTGGCAAGTGACCAAGCCTAGACCCCAAGGTGCTCCCAGTGTATGGTTTTACACATACATACAAGGTGCTGTATGTGCTATGTTGACACTATCTCCACCTAGATGGTGACGGTCCAGGACCAGATCCTCGCGTGGCTAGGCCTTTGGGTCGATGACGGTGGAGGGGGGAACGCAGGGTACTCTGGTCGGCCACAGGGGAAGTTAAGAGGAGGAGTATGCATTGCTACTGCATGTGTGGTTAGGTGTGGATTCGGGGTACTCGTAGATAGGTATTTGGAAATTGTAACTAAAGGAAGGGATCTACGCCGAGGCACACAGGATGGAGCAGATTGCGGCCTTACCACCGACAACAGACCATACCAAGTCGATACACCACGGACTACAAACGGCAGCTACTCTCTCGTATTTGATCTCTGGCTCTAACTATGCTATGCCTACTACGAGTACCTGGTACTTATCATACTCACAAGTATTCAACTTATCATCTTGCGCCTACACTAGTGCGTCGCATCGTAGGTTTTTAACTATGTCACGCACTGTGTGGCTTTTCGTCTACCCAGTTGATCGCCGTTCGTTCTGCTTTGGTTTTGGCACTGTGCCTCTGCTAAGTAAGCCATGCATCCCAGCATGATTCCCTGCCAGAGACCCCATTAACTTGTAAACTTATTGTACCCAATACATCTGCCGGCTGCTCTCCTCGTGAGCATCCTGATGTTGTTGTTACTTAACACTAGCTCGACTTGTACATGCGTTCCCAAGTAAGCGACGTAGTTAGCCACACACCCCTCCACCCCCGTCCCCTCTAGTTATCGCCGCCCGCCGTCGCCGCCACCAAGCACCTTGCCCGGCCCCTCTCAAACTGTCTCTTCCCCGTATTAGGAGATTATCAGGTTTACATACCCGTAGCTTAGAATAAAGGCTAGATGGCGTGCGTGTATGCTGTGTGGTGTATGGATAGGAATTTTTATCTCAAAAGCTACGGACAGGTACAAGTGCCTATCTCATTCCGCCAGTGACATCGGCAATAATAATAATAATGAGATGAGATGGCCGTTTTACCTTCATGCAGTGTAGGTATGGACGGGTTGTTGGGATCAACAGGCAGCGCCAATCGATGCCCACCCACTTAACTTACCAGATCCCCTTGTACGACATTTGAGGAGAAAGCACTGAATGGCGCTTCGAGAAGGGACCAAAAGGGAACTTGGGTAGGAGGGAGTTGTATCTCAACAGTTGGATGATTACGCGAGCATCGTCGGTGGCGCGCAGGGCGACAACACCTTACCTGCAAGAACTTGGATTATCTGCTCGTAAACCCAAAAGTCTCGCAGTACTGGAAGATAACTACTCCGTACATACAGTACACTTCCAATACCGATGGCCTAGTTCGACAAGACAAGAAAAGCCATCACAGTGCCCAGCGAGACCGAAGACCTTCAAGCATGCGCTGCCACGCAATGCCCTCCGACCAAACTTTACCCCCTCGAGTAGGTCCTCGAATGAACACGATAAGATTGACAAGAAATTCGCTTGTCGAGGTGTATCTACATTGGTGATCTCTGCAAGTCCTCCACACTGTCTGCGCCGATTCATCCGCTCTGTTCTACCCTCCTCGCGACCATTGCAGGAATCACCTGATCTCTCCTACAACAGGAGTAAGGTTTCCTAGCCCTCTTCCATCTCGCCGATGACGAAACCAAAGGAGAGATACGGGTCTTCCTTGTCTCATCCGATCCACCGCCAGTTCATTCATATGGGTCGAGGGGATGGGAGGGTACGGCGGCGGTTGAATCCCTCAAGCGGGGCCGTAACTACCCCATCGTGCTCTGGTGTGCAAGATGAAATGCTCCGCACGGCGGCGCTACAATGGCGACACGAGAGAGAGAGGTCTCCACTATTACCTCGTATTTCTACAAAGTAGACTAAGCTATCGCCATGTAGCCGGTCTCATACCATCATACACGGAGAGAGCCGTTTGAATCCCAGCAATGCTCTTTATTTTTCTGCTCTTACGAGTATTTAGTCATAGTGAATACTTAGATACTCCGTACCTATAATTAATCAATGAATTAAAAGTCTCCTGAGCGCACGAACGAGGGAGAGGTCCATGCCGAAGTAAAAAGAAACAGGTACATTGTACTTACTACACGCTACTGCTAACTACTGTAGTACTGTACAAGTACCTACATAGAGTGTTACGAGTAGTGCTCGTAGGATTATTGATGCCTCCGTTCAACGACTAAACTGACCAGATACTGTATACGGTAGAGATTAGATCCCTTGTACGTTCCCAATAGACTAGTCCCATCTAGGGTGACGGGATAGTCCATGGATCTGTATTGGCTGGTTGACCAACCACGTTCTTTACAAGTCGAGACTAGCTTATCTTTTTGGCCTTCCCAATGCGGTTAAGGCATTAAACTTTCCGAGGCGGGAGCCGTTGTCTCTAAAGAGAGCAACAGAAATCCACTTCCACCCTCTCCCATCCCAATTCCAGTTACTCCCACTCCCACTTGCTTTCAAGTCCCATCGCGCCCATCGCGCTCGTCGTGCCCATCGCAATCGTTCACGGGGGCACGTTTGTTGAAGGCGGCTCTTGGGTCGAAGTCTGAGCGCAAAGATCGTCGTTCGTACAGATTATTCCCCAACAATCGATTTGTCAATGAAGAATACCATCCCATCCTATCCTATGTATCTCTGTCGATCACGGCCAGACCTCGTATTCTTCCTGTGGCACACTGTACACAGTACATGCTTTCTCCAGCAAATGACGATATTTTGCTGCTTCATTCATGGCATTGACTAATCACCTTTCTCCAATTAGACTTGAAATTATCTACCTTTTTCTAGTTAATTCTCCTTTTTGATCTTGTTTCCTCTCTTTTCAAATCAAATCCCCGGAAACCATTTCATAGTCTTGCCGTATCCCGGCTTGCCGAACTTTAATCTCTGTAACTACAACACCCCCATCATCAAGTGGAGTGGGAAGTATAACCTAGATCTGTAACCAACAGTGGACACATTCCAACATCTTCCCAATAACTTGAAGCTCTGACACGGAAAGGAGCTACACGAATTCATTTGAAATGTGGTGTTGCAATTACTTCATTGTACATGCCCATACCTACATTGGGCCATCTTTCTGCACCGAAAAATGGTGTGACTTCGAACGTGCCCCCCAGCGCACCCAACTGTATGAACGATTGCCGATCAAGATACCTGACTCGCACTTCTCTCTTCTCCCCCTCACATGTATCTGTCTGTGTGTCTTCAACCACTCGTTGAATTCGTATATGTGCACAATCATCATAGTTAGCTGTTCTATTATCCTCTGCTCTCGTAAACCCTCATACAGCTACTTGGATTGCAGATCTTTTCCAGTCCAGTGCTCTCTCTATTCTCCTTGTGTCTCTTTGCATCTGTCGTTTAAGCCACGTTGGCTGTGCGTATTCTCTGGTTCGCTCTGTGCCGTCGAATCCGGACGGGAAGGGCATGAGAATTGATTCAATTGCACATGGACGGGATGGCACAATCGATGACGTGCATTTTCGACTGGATGAGAGCTGAGGAAGAAGAAAAAGAAAAAGGATTTTGGTAGTTTCTTCAATTGCATATACGAGTTTTGTGTTCTGTTTTTAAAATAAAATGTGTTTTGGGAGCGTAGGTGAGAGCACGTGTTTCGCAAGTTGACCTGATAGGTACGTACCCTCTCCACTGACTTCTAGGTGATCATCTTACTCTCTTACTTCTTTAGAATCTCTCTATAGCCGTGTTAATAGATTTTCCCCATCTCTCTCGTGAAATGATTGCCATCGTCATCGCGAATTCGTTGAGGAGACGCATTAGCGAAAAGTCCCTGCAGGAGCAAAGAACAGGTTTTTGATGATAATATTGTTGGGTGGCAAGCCGCGGTACGATACGAGGTTTATTGAGGTTTTGACGCCTGTAACCACCCCCACCCACACCGCCCACAAATACGAACGGAACCGCATATCGCGTTTAAGGGAACTACAACAAAAGAAAATAAACGCGGTAAGGTAAGGTATACCAGGGAAAGGAAAAAAGCAAGACGGGAAATATTGTTTGTTTTGTGTGTTTGTTTTCATGTATGGATGTATGTGCGTACATGTATATACGGGTAGGGCTGACTGCGAGCTATCGATGGATGTTGTGTAACGGTAGGGTTCATGCGACTGCGTGTTCAACGGCTCGACATATGTGGGATACTGCAGAGGGCTTGTACTCAGAATACCCAATTCTCTGTATTTGCATATGCACATGTTTTATGAGAGAATGTTTTCTACAACCAGATGGTAAGATTCAAGTCGAGGACAGTTTAATTGGATATTATGCTTGTATGAAGAATACTATGAACGGATAGTTTATATTCTGAAGTACCGCCGCTATCAATGGTCAATATCTGGGTCCTTGTTGATTATGTTCCTTTGTGACATGCTCAGCCAGTCCGATCGTTCACCTTATTATATCTGGTCGATTGCTACTTTACCTTCATCTTTCCTCTTTGCATAGGCCAACAGATGGAAGATGCGTGGATGCTGCGGAATGCGTACTTCATGAGAAGTAGCCTAATAATAATGATAATAGGGTATCAGATTATTAATTCACCCTACATCTAACGAATGAAGAAGAAGTCCTGCAGATACCCCATTTAGATATCCAGTGTTATGGAACTCCCATACATTAATCAAATGCTTTTGTCAAGGCGCATCAAAAGAACAAGCTTATCCTAATTATAGATGAGGTAAAAGAATGATAGGTCATTACCATTTCCACATTAGCTCTCTATACAGCTTCGAATTTGTATCGCTGATATTGCCAGCCTCTTCTGATACCTTACAAGGCTGACTTTGAGCGCGGAGATCAAATGCAATGACTCGATCACATCCGATACCTCAGCCTCATTCTATTTGCAGAGGATGTAGACTATCTCTAGCATATAAGGCTGTATACCACACTCTTTGAAACATCACTGTGAGATCTCCGAGCTAGTGTAGCAATTGCATCTGACTGTGCCACATGATCACGTATGTGTGCACCTGTAGCCGCTTGGGCGAAGTTCGAAACTAGGCACAAGCGTACATGCAACATCCAGCTCTCTGTTTAGTGGTGGGCTACTATCCTGCTTCGCCTCACCTTGGTGATTATCGCTGCACTAGAGCGAGAAGGAAGCATACAGACACAGTTTTGGGTCTGTCTGTCGGGGAGGGGAAGTCAATTATTGCCGGATTTGGCACGAATGTAGCTCTCGTAGTGCCTGTTTTGGGGCGGGAGGAACGGGGTAAGCGAGAGATGTAGACGATAGGCGATTAAGCTAGCCACGCTTGGAGGACTACGAGCACATTCGGGCTATGCCTGCGATTGGAAGACTTCTCGAGATTTTGACCAATTCGAGATGACTGATCGTCCTATTATGAAGATCAGGGTGCGCTGACTTCGGGCATGCTAACTATAGCTTTGCTGCGTAAGATAGATCCAATCTCGGCTTCATCCGTCGCAGACTGGAGAAGAGAGCCTTTGCGAAAGTCGGAAGCTCCAGTGTAATCGTCAATCATACAGCTGTCAATTCCAACTGCCCTTCTGGAAAATGGTGTATATGTCGTGTAACTAATTGTTCACGAGGACCCTTCCTTTGTGTCGGTGGGGTAATTAGCTGATGACTGCCTCTACCGTTTGTACTACAAAGGGTCCTGCATTGCCGTGTTTCTCGCTTTCTAAACACACCGTATTGCCACATGTGAGCTCAAGGCAGGCATAAGAGCGAGGAAACTCGCAAGAATGCTGCATATGGTATTGATTTGCAAGGGTCTGTTGACGCTGGAACTGGGCTTACACTGGGGCCCTATCGTGCACCCTTGTCATCTCCAACCCTCGTCCAGTCCGCATGCCTCAGAATTCAGGGCTCACTCCGCCATTGTGGGATCCCTCGTCCATCCATACAGCGTACTGGATGCATCGGAGGTGAGCTGAAACTATGAGCTCCACCTGAATTCGGAACGGATCCGCGCTTGTTCACGTTTCCACGCTGGCACCACAGCCTGTCGAAAGCGTGTAAATTGGTGTAAGCAAGCCCTAAGAAGCCATGTACGACACCAGTAACTCGTCTTCACCGTAGGAACAGCCTCCGAGCTTGTGCGAGCCAGGACTTGCATGTCGGAGGTCAGACTTGCCCTGCATTTTCTACTGCTTACATCCCCAGTTTTCCCACCCTGAAAATGGCGGTCGCGGGCGTTCCACTGTTAGACGATAAATCTGTACTCGGTGTACCAGTGCCCGAAACAAAAGCCTCTCAGCCTTATTGGGCTCAACAATCAGCACCTCACCAAATTGAGTAGTGGGGTCGCTGCAATCTCGAATGGAGTAACTGGAAGTTCCTCTCTTTTTCGCGGTATCGGAGGTGGAGTCCATGCCAGGTCAGAGGCGGGGCCGCCTTCGTCCTCGTGGTTCTTCATGCAAATAGTGACATAGCCAGTAAGCAGGCAGCAATAGACCCTGAAAACACCGACTTCGTGTGGTCTCCACTGGTCCTCTGTGGTAGATCCGTGGGTCAATCTAACAAAACATAACAAATGAGGATGCCCATATCTGCATGAGTAGCCTTTCACAGAAGAGCCCAGAAACTTGATTCGCGCCGAACCCATGAAAGCCACACTCGATACTATTCACTACCCGTCTCTGTGCATAACGGTATCTGCCAATGTCAATAAACGTTCGCGCTGGGATATGAATCTCGGGAATCTCAGCAGGTCGGAAGGTCATTACTCGGTGGAATAACGATAAAAGTTACGCACCCATGTAACGAAGTGATGTGCATGACTTTAACCGTTTTAGTGCTGATATCCAGGGTGTGCCAGCCTATATGCAGGGTGGCCGTCGTTCGTCGTGCGTCGAGCGTCGTTCGTCATCACCATGTGGACAGGTAAGCTCACCAAGCGAAGATCGGAGGCCTTGACCACGGCGCTGTGATCCTCCTATGGAAACGGTCGTCTTGAATTAATGATACACCTACGTAGGTGTACATACGAAGGATCTAACCGGGCGGGGTAAGTGGAAGCAAGCAAGCATTCATGGCTTGAGGGCCGATGCGGCTGTGGCTACGGGAGGCCTAAAGGGATCTCGGGCGCCTGATGACGGAACGGGGGTAGTCATGCCGCCAGTGGCCTCGGAGGCCCATCTGTGGAGAAGTGGCGGCCTTCGGAGGTCGGAGGTGTAAGCAAAGAACGCAAGGAAGGATTGGAAGAGGAGGGACCGAAGGATTTCGTACCATGCTTTTACGTATGGGATTAGATGAGTGGCGGCAGCATGCCCTCTAACATGGAGAACCTGAACTGTTATGTTGTGGATGGCGTTTGCAGGGTTTTGTGTGGGACAGTGACGATATAGGGTTCTGCATCATTTCAGGGTATGCCATTTTGTCTGCAGGGTCTACCTGGGATCAGCTTCACTTGCGGCAGTCTGGTCGTAGTGGTTGGTATCTACTCGGTGTAGATCCGAAGGCAGATAGAGGTGAAGATCCAAAGGTGTAGAAGCTAGGGTTGTGTTGGGTTTGGATTCCATCATCTTTGGATGCATATTTGAGGCATGGATTGATGCTTGAAGTTGGCAGTTGGGAGGAGGAAGGGTACTCACTCACGTGTCCGCCACCCATGAATATTTCAGCTGCAAACAGTGTTCCGTAAGTAACCGTAACATAACCTTCATTGTTACAGAACGGTTATGTTACGGCAATACATCAGTGAGCGTGTCGGGTGGTTTCCATAGATTAATCAATAGGCTGATGTGTCTCGGTGGACAATAACCAATCACTCCGTAGGATGGAAGTCTTCTTTCAATCAAAGCATTGCTTCATAGAAAATCAGTCGCAGTGTTTTGAGTATCAAATGTCTGGATGGGGTGTCCCATCTGAAGTATCAACCTATAATGCATTGCATCTGTCGTGAAGATTATCTAACACAAGTCTTTGTCGGACCCTTTCCTTCTTCGTTGAGCTCTGAGATCAGGATAAACCTAACCATTTTTGACGAAGGACGGAGCTTCTCCAACGTCTCTACTCTTTTTGAACTTCCCACAATGAATCAGCAGCCGGATATGAGTGTATGGCATTTGGATCAGGGCTTCATCGCGACTCGAATAGTCCAAGTGTCTTAAATACTTGCAGCACTAATACAACTCAAAACTATCCTTATACCAGAGCAGGTACTCAACTATGATGCCAATCTGTTGCTGTGACGCGAGTCAGTTTTGACGTTGAGATCTTATGTTACTACGCTCGCAGAGCGTTTGAGTTCAACGTCTACGTTTGACTTTATTTCCTACGGATGCCATCACTAGTAGGCTGCATAGCATAGAGACTTAACGGCCAATTGTGATAGTACATCGAAGTCCGGACTGAAATATCGTCTATCACATTATGCCCATGGACCACGGCCATGTAGGCATAAAAAGGGAACGACGTCCCCACGAAAGGACTACAGGGAGATGGTAGTGTTAGATCAAAAGAAGAGATTTACTACAAAGAACAGCCACAGTCTCAAAAGCGACGCAAGGGGATATTGTGTTGTATGAAGTGTAGGAAACAGTTATGATTAATTGAAGAGGGAAAACGAATTATTAGAAAGTAATTCCAGCGGCTTCCAACTGCGTACGGGCTAGTGAACGCTGTCGAGTGGCTGGGTTCATCTAAAATGCCTAGCTGGGCGAATAGACAAAACATGAAATGATCTCTTACATGTGCCACGAATCACGGGGCATCGCAAATATCAAAAAGAGAAGGAAGGGAATAGGTTGATGAAATAAGATGGAGATATTAATAAAAGATATATACATAAAAGACCGGAAAAGTCCTTGTAATGGTGTAGAGATCTAATCAAAGAGAAGAAATTAATCTGCTACTACACAACAGAGTTCACTGTGGAGTGATTGGGAAGGCCCGGATCAGGAGCTTCGGCATCTACGTCTTCTGGCAAGAGAAACTCCTCGGGAATTGGGCCAACACCGTTTGTCAGTTCCTCTTCTGGAACCGGAGCCTCGTCCGAAACATCCTTGGGCCTGTTGCGATTGGCTTCCGATTCAGTGACGGCGATGCCAGGGTCTTCCACTGGGCTGTACTCGACAGGCACTGCGATGGGAGCGGGCTGGCAGATTCCTAATTCCCTCACAGCCCGCCTCATGCTCTCTAGCCTGGCCTTTTCTGTGACCACCATCTTCCTTGCTAGGTCTTTCAGGGCCTTCTTTCCCATTCCGACCCGGCCCTCCTGCCAACTTGCCAATTCGCTCGCGACTACCTGTTGAGTGTATCTTAGTTCCCTTCCAAGGGTGGCCAGTTCCTCAGACGCTCGCTCCATCTTGTCTTGTGCATCCCGTTGCACTCGGCCTCTCGCGTCATCGAGGAGACCTAGCGGCCAACGGTCTGACCTACGGATGGACAGGTTATGCCGATCGACTGCTTTCTGCGTCGCTGACATGGAAGAAATGAGTGTGGAAGGTCGATTTAAAGCTACCAAGATAGCATTGATGGCACCGGATATGGCATGCATGCTGTAGTAGAAGCCGGAGATCGGACTAGCCTCACTCTGTGTGAGAGTCTTTGTATATCGCGTCATCGCTGTCAGGTGCTTCTCAGGAAGGAAAGTGAGAGTGTGAATAGCGGTATCAGAGAGTCGTGAAGCTTCAGCTAGATCTGCGGCCGCCGAACGGATCTTGTTCGTCCTTCGGAGGACCGATTTGGTGGCATGATGCACAGATCGCACCTGCTCGCGGGCATGTTGGACAAACAACTCCACCTCACGAACATCGTAGAGAGGCGTGTACTCCTCCTTGATTCGCTCTTGCCTGATCTCGGCCTTCTGCGCCGACCGCTCCGCCAGCATCGAGGTGTCTATGTCTGGAACAAGGAAAAACTCCCACACCATCTCATGCGTCGAGAAAGTTGGATGTGTGAGTAAAATCTTGAGGAATGCATCTAGCCGAAGCTGAATATCTCGAAGGATGGAGCGTGAGGGCCTTGATGGGATTAAAAACGGAGAAGCCAAATTTGCGACCACAGGTAGCCATGATGCAGGATGTTCTTGGCCGAGCCATTTTGCGAGACTCTCAAAGTCTTGCAGTGACCGGCGGCATGTTGTCACGGTAATGGTAGAATTGCCGTTGGGTGCACCAGATTTTAGTACGAGACGGATGCTACCATCCTCGACAAAGAAGGACCGCACGACAGTAGTTGTTCGTCCGTCCGGGCCAGGTTCGTTCGAAAGTAAAACAAGGTCGTCTATGCGATTGCGTACATCGTCGTCCTTTGCAAGTTCGACCGCCGTCAGGCCTCGGACATCTTTCACCGAGAGATCCACCCTTGCATCTTGAAACAGCACTCGCACAAGATCTGTTCGTCCATACTTGCTAGCCACCATGAGAGGCGTGAAGTGTTTGTCGTTTGGTGCGTTGACATCGGAGTCGCATCGGTAAAGGAGCTTGACCGCGATGTGGGGATCATTGATGATATGCAAAAGCGTATTGCCTTTGTTGTCGATATGCTCGTCAAGGTGTAAGGGTTGGCCGTCGCCTTGTGCGTGTGTGGAAGCGAACAAGGCCCTGTCCACCATATATCTATATTGATCATGATCGTATGATCTGCAAAGAGCAAACACAGGAGTCTGGCCATTTTTGTCCTTCAACGTCCAAGGTACGAGATGCCCGATGCGATCTATGAGATGTGGTTGGTTGAATAAGTAGTGAGCCATACACCTACCCTTCGCGTCCCGCCTGCTGAAGTACTCTTTTATCGCTTCATCGCTGGGGGCGTTCGTCAGGATATAATTGAGCAGGGTGTTAGTCGTCTTAGCATGAGCGTGCTGAATCGCTGCGCTTAAAAGAGTCGTTCCTTCGTTATTACAATCATCCAGAACAAAGTCTAATGGATAATAGTCTGTCAAATTGAGCAAGTAGTTCAGAGACTTGTCTTGCTTGTTCTCGATTGCCATCATCAACACCGATTCGCCGTCGCTGCCTTGGGTCTTGGAGAGTTTCTCAATTGAGGTATCGCCTTCGAGCTCGCTTCCACGAGAATCGATCGTTGTTCGGGATCTGAAGGAATAGCCTGAGGAACTGGACATACTCCGTGTGTCCATGGAAACCCTCTTCTTCGCTTTTGCTTGATTTCCTAATGGCGGAGTGGCAGCTCGCTGGAATGGGAAAATGTGTGCAAGAGGGCCGTCCTCTCCCTTGTGCTGTCGAAGGGAAGAGCCTCGGTGGCTTCGTTCAGGATAATCGTCACCATTGACGGTCGTGCCTTCAAAGCTAGACAGATCAGTAAGACTAGCTGCGAACCGAACAGGACGAGGATCCTGGTATTCTTCGATTTCGTCATCTGAATAGATAAATTCGTCTGCATGCCATGACCTTTCTGGCTCCAGCACGCCCTGAATAGTTTCCACATCTCCAGACTTCGTGGCTTGCCACAGTTTTCTGTTTCTCCGGCTTGCCTTGCGCAGCCCACCGGAATCTGTGGCTAGATAAGAGAGCACGGCTTCAAATGTGCTGAGAGCGTAGCCCATTTCACCGCTTTCAACATCATCAATAAAGATGAAATGTCGCATGTAAGACAGTCGTGCTTGAAGATGCCTAACGGGTGATCTTATCACCACAATAAGCAGTAAAGACACGAGTGTGTCCGCGTTGATAGTGAGCAGATGATCCTGCTTTTCCGAATATGCTTCACCATTCGAACCAACTCTTTTATTCGCGACTGCTTCCGTACTCATGTCAGGCATCGTGATATGTTTTTGGACGGAGAGTATAATCTCGAGCATCTCTTGCGGGCTTCCGGCAACTCCCATCTTCTTGAAAACATCGACTGCTCGAGAGAGACGAATGGCCAACTCTTGTTTGCCTCGACGTCCATTGCCGATGTCAATCCCAACTTGCGAAATATCAATATCCAACATCTGTCGCATACGACTTTCGAGCTCCATATCGTCGTGGCGCCGTATTGAGCATACTCTAGGGAATAGTATTGCATGGTGGACTTGCTCGGTGATGTATCGCTCGATCATACGTTCAACTATAGGCCCAGTTAAATCGGTCGTCGCGCCGAGCAGCGAAAGCTGCTGTTTGTCAACCATCTGGAAAAGGTCAATCGCTGCAGTCACGGCAGTCTCCAGGGACCTTCTCATCATGTCCTCTTCATCTCCAATCTCGAGTGCGGATATGTATCCATTGGGGCCTTGCGACATGCTGCTGTGTAGCGAATGGGGTACGCTTTCTCCAGAAGAGACCGATCCACGTCTCCGCGAACTCAGTGATGACCTCGTGGAACTCTGAGATGGCGTAGGCGGTAAAGGCTTTTCAAGCTCCTTTGCGAATTCTTTGAACAGCCTTTCCAATCCCGGATGCATCTGCCTCGCGATCATAGGGAAATGGTTCAACAAGTCTCCAAATGATTTTATATCCTTCTTCCGGGGCATGGCTGCACTGGATCCGATCGAAGAGCCCGCTGCGGCTTGTGCTTGTTGTCCATTGCCATTCTTCACTGGTAACGACGCAGGTATAATTGGTGCCGCCTCATAGGCGCCTATCAACGGTCGCGAAATGTAGTAAACGAGCCAGGGTTGAGCATCGAATGCATCAGGGTAGAAGATGGTGTCATTCAGTAATTGCGCTTGGTTCAATGACTTGAAGCCTGTCTTGTGTTAGAAACGATCGAGTACCAGTAAGTGCGGCGCCACATGCCTTTATTACTGTAGACGAATGCATCCTTGATTATCACCGTTCGCCCATTCGCAGTAGAGTACTGCTTGGCTTTGCCTCGACTTTCGCGGAAGGTGGCTCCATCCTTTACATGATTGTTCGGTCCCACGCCGCCAGGTACTCGAAGAACATGGCTGGCCAGAAACTCCTCCGACCCGCTCAGGTCGGCATACGAAGCATTGGTATCGCGATCTCGGGAAGTGAGGAGGACTTCGGTGGTGGGTACTAGCAGGACCTGTGCAGACAACAGTCAGTAGATGCGACAAGCGTTATGCGATGTTTCAGGCTTATCGTACATGGTGGTGAACCGGAGAGCACTGGCTGGGGATTGTGCTCCGGAAGAAGGCCCGCAGGAAAGGATTGAGGACGGGCGGCATTCAAACGACATCGATGGTAAGTTGACGGGGGTATCAACGAACAAGGACCATGTGTCCTAATAATCTTGACCGGACGAGCCGGTGCGGAAGGCGAATCTCGAGTCGGTGGTACGTAGGTGCCTGATGAGGATGTTGGAAAGATTCCGAATGCGCAAAGCCGCGGAAGGACAGGTAGACGGAAGACGGAAGACGAAAGGCTGGATGATTGGAAGCGCTCGGAATCGCGACTGTGAAAAGTGGAATTACGGCTGAAGTGAATGAAATATAAATGGACAGAGGACGATGGATTATGCAGAGGCAAGGCGGCGGGTGGGCGTTGAGAAAGCTGAGAACCATCATCAGATTGGCTTGTGAACGTCAACGGACCCCTGTTCTGGGGTTTTCCGAAAGCGGAAAGGCGTCATTCTGGCCACGCGATGTCATCCCTCGGACGCTCACGGCCGTACGAGTACAGACAAACATGCCATATCCTTCAACAATTTCTTTAGGAATGTCGTATTGACCTAATTTGTATATATATATGAAGCTATATATGACACAGTTCGACCGTTTATTCATGCATCGTCCAAACCACCATAACCCACTCAAGTCACCTTCTTGCAAAGTTTGGTACCAAAATCGATGACCTCCCAGTTTTCCGTTCCTGGAGTCGTTTGTGTATAGAAGACGCCAGTAGGATCCCACTTCTTACGAAGCTCAAGCAGCCTGGCGTAGTTGGAGCCCCAGTATGACTCTTGCCAGTTCGGCTCGTAAAGGTCGCCCTGTTCCAACATGTTAATCGAGAGCTTTCGTCGCTGTGAGATTGCTTAACTTACCTCATTAACGTATGTAGCGCCGTCCGGGCCAGCTTCCCTCAAGGCCTTGCCAACAATGTTGGTCTGCTGCTCGTTTCGAAGTTGCTTCGTCGCCCAGCCCTCATCTCCAACCATAAGAAGATTGGTAATGACGAAGCTGCTAGCATTTCGCCACTTCGGATGAATGGCATTATCAACCACGGGCACACCGTAACCTGGGTTTACAATATGACCGACAGAGAACCCAGCAGTGTCCGGAACAGGCTGGTTGGCAAAGAGCAATGCCTCGGAAATCTGCTCACTCCTCTCCGCAATGTCCTTTTGTGTGAAGAGACGTCCACCAACCACAGAGTTCTGATTAGGCTGCTCATCTTCGAACATGTCAATGTAGAACTCAAAGAACGTAGGGAAAGCTCTGGTGTAAGCGTCATATGGGATCTTAGCAGCATCCAGCGCATCAAAGAGCGGCTTCAGGACCGACTTGACCTTTGCCTCGTCCATTCTAGGACCGACGAAGGGTGCAATGTGCAAGCGGCCGGTGCTGAGCTCGAAGTAAACGAACATTCCATGATCAGTGTAATGGTTCGAGAGGTTATGGAAGATATGGAAGCCTTCATTGAAGACCTTAGTGTCGTTGGTGTGGGTAGCGTTAATATTGAGGATAGTGCCGGCTACAGGAACTTCAGGGAATGTCTTGACGGTGATCGATGTAACGACCGCGAACGTAGAAGGACCGCCACCCTTCAGCGCCCAGAAAAGATCCGGATTCTTTTCAGCGTTGGCAGTGACGTATTCACCAGCAGCAGTGATGGCCTCAAATGAGAGGACGTTGTCTGCCCCCATGCCGTAAATCGAAGTGAGGGGCCCATGTCCACCTCCCTGGATGTAACCTCCAGCCCATCCAACAGTCTGCCGAAAAGATTAGATGTTGACACTCTGTATGGTTCCAAGCAACTCACAGGGCATTCTCCTCCTACAATGACCACCGGGGGCTCCTGCTTGAAAGCTTGACGATACAGCTCTCGGCCTTGAACACCCGCGCCAACAGTTGCAACTGAACCACTCCAATTCCCAGGTCCGCTATATGTCTTCGAAAAAGTGGCCTCCTTGAAGCTATGGGTATTGATGATGAGACTTCCGTATCCCGTGCTGCGACCCATGAAATCATGGCCAGTGTTGCGTCTGGACATGTCAGTATTTAATTGAACCAAACAGTGTCGATCAGATCTTACATGATAAGACGCAAGTTCTTCTCCCTGGCGAAATCGACACCCGCCTTGATATGCTCCTTCTTCGTCGCAAGAATCACGTATTCTCCGTAGAAACCACGAGTGCAAAGGGCATCGGGGTTGTCAGTTGGCAAGCAAGTGTTGTTGGTGTACAATGGCCACAGCTGCATTGAACGTCAATACTTTCGAGGTATTTCGGGATGAGAGTCTTCGTCTTACATTTGCAATTGGGTGATCTGTTCTTTGAAAGAGGTCAGTTTCAATTATGTGCGAGATGACGAGGTCGGACGTACAGATATTGTTCATTCACCCAGTTCGCCTGGACTTGCGAGCAAGCTGCCTGATTGTATGTGGCAATCGCAGCATTCGTTTGATTGCCCGGCGCGCTGTTCTCAAGTGCTTTGTGGCAGACGGCACCAGGAGGAATAGCAACTTGAAGCTTGCCATCAACAGTTGCATTCAGAGCTGACCAGTCTGCCGTCTTTGGCCAGCACGCATTGTCTGAATAACATTTGCATTGATAATCCCCTTTCACCTCGCCGATCCACTCTGCACCGAGGGCGCAAGTAGTCGCAGATAGCAACGAAACAAGAAACGAAACACGACCCATCTTGACTGCAGCAGGGAGATGTTGGAGATCCGCAGGAGTAAGAGAGATCCCCCCACAAGATCGTCGCGAAGACGGATAGCCCTATTTAAGGGTCATCGGAAGCGGCTCATCTTCAAGCTTCTCCTTCATACAGCCTTCATTACATTACATCACGCCTGTTCCTTGCAGAGCCAAGGTTCATCAAGAGAATAGAAAGACGTGCATGTGGACTCTCTACATACAACCTTACCCCGTTCCAGCATGCCCCCGTAGAATCACCATTTACCCTGTCGCTCGTCCTACCCCATCTCTTCAGGCAGGCAATTGTGGAGACCTACAATGGGATAGGATTGGCAACTAGCAACCACGTTCTACCCTGCGCTTGATATCCAGCGCGCGTCGGACGGTGCAACACCAAAAAATGGGCCTCTCAGAGGTCGTTCGGATAAATTGGCTGCGTGCTGCGGGTACCAGAAATACGGCAATTGGGAAGTATTGGCCGCTCCTGTCTGTTACCGACTAAGCGCGTCGTTTTTCCAAGGTCGCGAACTGAATTCTTCGCTCGAAGCAAGGTACACCGACGAACGGACGGGGCGAACTCTGAATGTGCGCTCAATATCCGAAGATTGTTGAATGCAAACAGAGCGCGAGCTGCGATCCAACAGTGTGCGATGCATGAACATGCAATCTTGGCAATATAACATGCTCGCCTAGGAGATGGCAAAGAGTGATTCAATCTTGGTACTGGATATTTCCCGGTAAGAATCCAATCACCAGCCAATCTGGGCGATCTGCCAGTTCATAAACCGGCCTTCGCCCTGCGTCATTCTAGAAGCTCGCCACAGCAGTCCCCTTACGCCGACGATCAGGTTAACTCGTTCGACCGTCGAAAGATGGTGAAACTTAGTGTTGCCTTACGAGATGAAGTGCTATGTGGAGAAAAGATTGAGCAGGGGAATGCTATCCTTCCGTCCTGTGTACTATGCATGTCAGCAATTCCAAAATAAAATGGAAATATCGACAGATGCTCTAGCAACAGAGTAATAGTCAAAGCCGGATCGGTAAGGGTCCGAATGTCAACGGGTGTAGACAATGTTTGTAAACTAGTGCTGATCATGCCTGCTCGGAATCACGAAATAGACTTTGGCGCTAGCCCACAGCGTCGTGTGGGGACACGGCGCAACTCCCACATTGGAAGCAAGCTCGAGCTGTGGAACCTGGGGCATCACGGATGGACAGCCGGTGATATCTTGCCGAGGACGCAAATGACATAGCTGGCTGGCTGGTAAAAGTGCCAGTTCATCAACTTTGGCATTCTCACAACGGAAATTGCGTGGTCGTGGGACTTTGATCATCATACCCAGGCGGGTCGTTCGAGGCGATCGATGAAGTGATCACTCTTCCAAGTAAACGCTCTGACTCGTTCAAAGCCTTTACCGATATCTATCATCTGCTTATGAACCTTAATCTGACCTGATATACACCTGCATCGCTCGCTTATGTCCAAACACTGCAATTCATCATGTCTACATCCACAGGGCAGGATTTTCATCCTATCCTAGAGCTGGAGACAATCACCAATTAGGATGTCAGTGGTCTGGACCTTTCCGTTATTTGCATATATTGTTTCACATATCAACTGGCATTAATCAATTGAGTGCGTTTAAAGGTTTCCATATCTGCGGTGCTTTCCAAAGCATGTGAGTTACAACTCGAAATGGTCAAAGGGGATTCTGATGTCGAGTTGAGCTAGTCTGTGCGTGATCCAGGTACGGAGTATGTCCATGGCATATCAAAGTACCAAAACATTCCAACTACTGCAGCCGTACTTGAACCCTCTTGCGGGTGTTCTAACAAAGTAGGCTCTCATCACCATGTTCAATGAACTCACAACACCCAAGATCAATCTTTCGGAAAAACACGGTCCACGCCATTCACTCCACAAAACCACAAGACTCTCATTTTTTCAATCGGAAGAGAAAGCTAACAATTTTCACAATTTCTCCATCCTCTCAACCAGATCAGATACCAAAACTACAGCCAACCCAACCACGAGCAATTCCCCCCCATCAAGACTCATAGACCGCAAGCGGAAACGCCACACCCGCCCGCTGGCTGCACGACGAGAACCCCGACCCCGAGTGTCCGCACTGAATGATATCGTAGCCGACAGTTCCCCGGGCGCGCCTCGTGACCTTCTTTCCGTTCTTCTTCTTCCTATTCAGAACGTTCAGTAAATACTTAGGAAAGAGCAGGGAAATGGTGGGGAAAGGGGGTGAAAACGTACGAGATGTGCTTGACGTCAAGTTTGAAATTGTCGTAGCCAGCCCAGTCTACGAATTTGAAGGAGTAAGAGGGCTGCGTACAATTCGAGAGCTAAGAAGTGCCGTCAGTGGGTGATTACTACCCTTAAATTAGGGTGAATTGCAGCGAGAGAAGGGGGCTTGGTGCGTACATATTGCGTGGGATATCCGTTGTCACGATTCGCGTAGGACCATCGAGCTTCGCAGGTTGCGCTGGTCGAGTCGAAGGGATCTGCGACTGTGAAGGAGACTCGGTAGGGGCTTGGGTCGTCTGGACGGCCGGTGGGCTCGAAGATCTCGAGGTTTGTGACTTGGAAGGGGGGTTGGGGGCTAGGGTGGCATAAGGCGAGTTGGGCGATGGCTAGAAGGGATAGTGAGGTGAAAGGAACCATTTTGGTGAAAGTTATATCAATGAATGATAGAGCTGTTTTCATTTATTAGGAGAAGCTGGTTAGTAGTCAATGTAGAAGGCACTGTTTGTGAGAATGCAAAATCGTGATTGAGCAAAGCCATTATATGTATTTCGAAGCATTTTCCGCGAATGCTGTACCACCAGGAATTGTTTCTATAATTATGTTAAAGTTCCCGATGTATGCTTCGTGAGAATTCAGTTAACCTTCCGATCACTGCATTTCGTATTCGTATATGGCTTTTCCAGCTCGCCAAGCATCTCTGCTTCGAGAAGAGTATCTGGATGCGATGCAGCCACAGTGTGGTCGTACAGAAAAGTCCATACCTGGCTAATGATGGTCCAATCCCAGGCTGGAACCCACCCGAATGCATGGACATGCTTCAAACCAGTATTCGTTCGCCGACACAATTCCTACAACGCAGCAATATTTGCTACGCCGCATGTCTGTAAAAGGGCATTGTAAGACGTTCCGCATGCTGAATCCACGATCCAGTGCCATCTCGGATGGCTGGGTGAATGGCGCCACACGGGCCTGAAATAGGTAAATCTTGACTTCTGTGATGCCGATTTGAGTCCGGAAAGCCTTTTCGCTCAAGGAGGTTAATACAACTGTTCGGAGAGTGATGGATCCCACAGCGTGGCAAAGCGTGGGAAGTAAAAGTGGGCAATCGAGCGTCAATCAAATACGTACAAATTCAACCCGTAGGTGAAAAAGGAGTCGGTTCAGGCTCAGTGCCGTATCCCTCATCATCAGTGAGGACGATGAACTCTTCATCCTGGCGGAACAGTTGAGAGGCTGCTCTTTGAGCTGCCTTGTCCGCGAGCTCATTGCCGGGAACCTGAACGGAATGAGGAAATGCAAAGTCATGCTCAGAGATCAATTTTACCTTGGAGTGGCCTGGGCACCAGCGAAGCTTGATATCTGAGCCAAGCTGCTTCAGCGACATTGCCTTCCGAAAGATGGCCGAAACCGGTGGCTTTTCTGCCCTCCGGTTGCAGTGGTCCAGTACGGATTGGCTATCCGTGTAGATGGTGGTCGCTTTATAGCGGCCCGGTTCGCGTGAAAACAGATCACGCGCAGTGTCGATGGCCTTCATGACGGCTAAGAATTCCGCCTCGAGGGACCCGATGTCGTTTCCTTTCACTTGTAATCCAAGCGAATTCCAATTTGTCCACCGATCGTTCTTCAAAGAAGTCAAACGATAGGCGACACCAACACCTGCGCCAGCCGGGGATGATGACCCATCGGCCCAAATCACGATGCGGGATGCATCTCGAGCTGATGCGATGTGTTCCCCGTATGCCGCTCTGATGGCGGTAAGCGGCCCTGAGATTTCGATATCTCCCGGGAAGATGTAGTTTTCTTCGCCAGCTCTCAGGCGACTGGCGTTGTCGAGATACCGATTGGGAACTGACATCTGTTTCAGTTCTGGTCTGGTATCCATGGCAAGCACCCGTTCGATGCTTAGACCAAGCTCGTTAAAAATCTTGTCCTTCAAAGGGCCAAGTTGATGATGGGTTTTGAGCTCTGGGGCTCCGTGGAGTTTGTTCAAACTCGGTCTGTGATTTCTTTGGAGAATGTCTCTCCGTTTCTTTGATGGCCTACTCTTGGATGGCCCTACTGCTCGGTTCTCCTCTCCTTGCACCGCTGGCGGCCTTTCAGGGAGAGGGTGCTTGACTCGGGCAGACCCAGCGAAAGGGTTACTGCCACCGAAAAGATGTTCATCAAAAACATCTTCCTTGTCGTGGAGCTCTTCATGCTCCAGCGACGTTTCAGGCTCGAGCGCGGCTTCACTTCTCTCCATGTATCCCCCCATGGTGTATTGATCGGCGAGGAAATGGAACTGCCGTTCAGTGAGGAGTATCTTGAAAAGTACGGTCGGAGAGAAACCAGGCGAGGGATCAGAAAAGAGGTAGAATTTGAGGAAGGATCTGAGGCGTAGAGAGGAAAAGAGAGAGAGAGAAAAGTGAGTGTGAAATAGTAATTGGTAGCTAGGAGACTAACTACATATGGACGTAAACAGCTGCGCGTGAAGTGGTATTGTGCGTGAAGTGGTTTTGCGCGGTGATGTGGGGTCCTGTCGCCTTCACCTGGAGAATGTTTGTCGTTCAGACGAAGGCGAAGTGAAGGCGATGGGTGATTTCGCTTTCGGTGTAGCCTATCATGATTAGACAGTGACTGGATAGAAGGTAAACACATTTGATCGGAAAACAAATCCAGCAACTTAACTTCCATAGTCGTCGAAAATCACTATCACAAATTGCACAACCATGCTTCACCAAAAATAAATCGTACCAGCCGGAAAAGACAAGGCGGAAAATATGAAGAGAGAAACAAAAAGAACTCGTTGATCACATTACTCCTGCACGGAAGCAGTCTATATAAAACACATGACAATTTGCATGCCTTCACGTCCACATGACCCTCTCACTTCCTAAACAGCCCGTTTGACTCTCCAAACATCGGACTCGGCTGATACTGCAGCTCTGTATCGTTGAACAGCGGTTTCGTATCATCGTCATCCGCCTTAGAGGGCGTTACGCGCATCTCTCCCCTCGCGATCTCGATCGTGCTGATGATGGGTAGAATGAGCAGGAGCAAGGGGAGAAGTTGACCATAGCTCCATTCCTTCTCGCCATTGCCTATCAGACGGACAGACTCGGGCGGCGAGCCAAAGGCCTGGGATACCATGAAGATGCGGACGGTTGCGCCGACGCCGCTGGCGACGAGGAAGAGGAGGCCGACGATCTGGACGGGTTTGAGCCAGCGGGGGTGTTCGCGCATGTGCAGGTACCAGGTTCCGAAGACGAAGACGATGGCGTTTCCGGCGATGACGGCGATGGTGCCGGCAATGGAGAGGGCGGAATTGGAGGAAGCGCCTCGGGAGGGTACTTCCCAGACGCAGGAGATGGGGAGACGGGGCTCGAGGTTCTTGGTGACGGTCTGTAGGATGAAGATGCCGCAGAGGACGCCGAGCAGTAGGTTGACGAACATGAAGAATTGTCGCAGCCACCGTAGAACCCAGTCGCGCTTGAAGTCGTTGACGAGAGCTAATAGTGTTGAGAGGTTTGTCGCAGTCGAGAGCGTGGAAAGCAGCCAGATGATAAAGAAATGGTAGGAGACCATGGTGTTCATTTTAGACAGGCCGATACATTGTATTCCGATTCCAGTGACAATTTGTTGATCGGAAAAAGATAGTAGGAGTTTGCGAGATATGGGCGCAGATGTCGTCTTCTTCAAGTTGAGAATGATGATGACGGCACTGAGGCCCAACGAGATGAAATTGGTTATTACGAAGGAGAGGAGAGTCTATCAGTATGGTTTGTCAGTATGCTTGCTCAGACGAAGAATGAACCATAATAATTTAGGTACTCACGCCTGCACCAGCGACACCTGCATCAGTCGCAGTGGCATCCGGCACCACTGAACAGTTGCTAGCCTTATCGAAAACCATCACGACGGTCTAGAGACGGACACGCGCAAAACGAAAGGAGGGAGTGGAATGTTGCGGAATAATCACGAAAATAAACTTATGGCAAGACTTCAGTCGATAGTAAGGAACGGTTGTGAGGTCGAAAAATCGCACTACAAAAAAGAAATGGACCAGGCCAGCAGTGAAGGAAGGGTTTCTGGGTGTTTAAGGCGCAGTCGCTCCGATGACGTTTTGCGGGCCAGGTCCCGCTCAGGTTTAAAATAAAACAGGCAGATGAGGCTTGGGAGGGGGCATGGGGCTCGTCTTGTCCAGTGACTTCAGAGACCAATCCAAACGAAACAAGGGATGGGTGGTTTGTGTGGTTTGTCCAAGAGTACGAGAAGAGGGTGGGATCGGCGGGCGACAATGGAGACAATGCCTGATCCACTCGTTGACCCTTGTCTGCTCAACCTGCGACCAGGCGAAACGCGCTGGTTTGGCCACTCACATTGCAGGATCGAGAGGGTGTCGCTTTTCTCCATGCATCGGAGATTCCTATCATCCTGACTTCTAATGATTATGGTCGACGGAATATTGTTTGAAGGAATAGAATGATAATGCGGAATTGTTGGTCGGTTTTTGTTTGGTTTGCCTCGAGTTTACTAGCAGCCGAACCCGAGTCCCTGCATAAAGTTGGAGGCGCCTCCCTCTACGCTAACTACAGTTACAGTTAAGGTACATCGTGACGTCGTACCTGGCCCTGACTAAAATACTCCGGCCTTTTTGTTGAAGATGTGCTAATGAAATCCACAAACTCCTTCTTACCTAGGTGGTAGATACACAGTAGAGGGGGGACATCGGCCCATGATTTCCGCGGCAATGAGCCACAAAAGATCCTATATCGAGCAGTCCACGAATGCCAACAAAGACAAGAGAATTGCTTTGAGTTCGATCCTCAAACAAAGGTGATGGAAGCCAAACAAAGGAAAACACAACCTCTTCTGTAAATATGGATTTTGATATTCACGCCCGTAGTGCTATCTACGTTCACCAAGACGTATTGTTACCCACAGAACACCATATAATCTACACAGGATATGGAAAGGCAGTCAGTCCCTGACTTAAAAGCACACAAGAAATTCCCTTTTGTTCCCCTCCAATGACGATCGATTAATGGATCCCCCGTTTCCCATAGCCTTTCCTTCCCACAACGCCGACAGAACGCCAATGAGCGCCATGCTTTCCTAATCAAAAGTTGGAGAAGGAGAAGAGAAAGTGGTAGACCCCAAAGAACAAAGTAAGAAAAGGAGGAGGGGTATTGGTTTTACATGTCGGTGATCATTGCCTGTTCATCGCGGGTGTCCTTGTTGTTCACGATGCCAAGTAGGCGTGCGTATGGTACTGTTATGCGCTGGAGATCACGATGTTTACCTGTCGTTTGTGTTAGCTCATGTTGAATAGATGGCGGTAAAGACAGCGAAACTTACCCAGTATTAGTATAACCTCCTTGAGAAGGTCTTCCCTCTTCCATCCACAGATTATCTCCTCCTCCTTTGCCTCATTCGTATCCTCGTTCTCTTCGTCCTCGGCGAAGAGATCGCCAGTGAGGCTTCGAAGGAGTTCCTCAATCTTCCCTTTGAGTCCTTCCGCTCCAATACGCTTGACATACATGGATAGGTAGATCTTGAACTCCTCTCTGGCGCCCAATGCTCTCGCTGCGGCGAGTCGGTTTTCCAAATGGGCCACCGACACGCAAGCCTCGAAGCTCTCATAGCCTTCTGCGGAAATGAGAGCCTTGATGAGTCGCTGCAGATAGAAGGCTCGGCCCTGCAGGAGGAATTGATTCGTTGTGTTGCGCTCCAACATGGGAATGATGCCGGCGGATACGTTCTCGATCGAAACTTTGTCGTTCGATTCCTTCGCCGGCTCCTTGTCGTTGGACGATTTGATGTTGCCGACAGACGAATCGGTGGTGTTCCAGTATTGACTCCCAACAGCCCACCAGGGTTCTGATAATCTCTGCCATACGAACATAGTGGGACTATATGAGTATCCATCACCGTTGGACAATGCGACGATTATCCGACCTTCTGTGTTTAGGCGGGCGAAGATGATGCCAGGCGATCGAGTCACATGCGGTCCTTGGGTGTAGACTGCGATATCCAACACGGGAGCGAGTGAGATGGGTGGATGCGGCGCTGAAAGAGTCTTTAGGTTCCAGACATAGCACATGCCCACTGCTGTTATGCACATCAGCCACCATCCTCGGCAGTCCATGATAACAGGTTGTGCCTCCATGATCATGGCGTTGAGTAACCGGCGACCAGCTGGTGTCCAGACGTAGACCGCGCCATCCTCACAGGCCGCAGCGAAGAAGTTGGGATTTCCTGTAACGAGAAGAACGGCCTTAGGGAGGAAGTCTTGCCAGAGCGATTGCCCTTTCTTGGTGCAATTTATCCTTGCTGGGTCGTGATCTATAGATCGTCCTGTTCGAGATGGTCCTGTGGCATTCCTGGCCTCTAACAACACAGTGTCTGCGTTATCTCCTTTACCCGCACCTGGAGCGTCAGAGGAGGGCGCAGGATCGCTACCGTCCATTGTTCGAACAATGACGCTCCGGACCTTCGGTATAGCTAAACGGACTTGGCTAATGCTTAATGAAGGATTGACAATTGCAGGACGGAGGACTTTAGACACCTCAGCCTCTGCTTTCGGCGCAGCTGCCGCGGGTGGGATAAGTCCGTTCTCTCCATTCATAACAATCGCAGCTCCCCCATTCTTTGCCGATGCCTCGAGTCGTCTTTGAACCTGGCGATCCTCATCACCTTCGATTTCTGCATATTTTCTCTTGTTCCCGATAAGCATCGATGCTAGGCCCCCCTTAGGATACCCATCATACGGCTTCGAGAGATCTAAAATGTTGTGTGGATTATCACTTCGTGCACCACCCACAGCAGTTGCAGAAACGAGCTGTGTCTGGGGAAGAGATGATTCGCCGATACCTGATGCGGAAGAAACAAGCATTGGAGCTATGCGCTTTCTGCCATCCTTAGTGACAGTGACTCGCTGTTTCAACTTCTCGACTCGTTGGTCGACTGGCGGCTCAGCCGGGGCTGTAGGTTGTGGAGTCGGGGCGGCTGTAGCGGCGGCGGACCCATTTGTGAGCGCCGGTGTTGTGCCATTGGTACCGTTCGTTCCATTGAGTGTAGGTGCAGGTTGAACAGCACCGCCATCGCCCATGAGGGCTCCCATTCTACCCTGTACACCTTTGAGTTCGCCTGCCTTGCTGCTTTCCTCGAGGAGTAATGCATCAGTGCCCTCCACAATGCCAACTCTCCTTCCCGCTCCAAATTTGGACAGCGACTTTTCGTTCTCCGCAAGAGATGCCGGATAGCCCAACTCACCCGGCTCAAACATCATGCACATGATACTTCCATCCAAGCTCGTAATGTACAGTGTCTCTCCGTTGGGGGCCCAGGCCAGATCAGATATCGACTTCATCGCCAGCTCCTGGGTGACGGTGAGCGGTCGTGGCAAGTGCGTGATCCAGATACTGAGCGTTTTATCCTGGCCAGCGCATGCCACCACAGTCATCGAAGCCTGCAAAGAGTTCCCCTGAGCGTCCACCGTGTTGGGGCCTGGAGGATCTTTGTGGAACATCCTTGGCGAGAACGCACATACTTCCACCGGACCTTCGTGTCCGATCAAATTGATGTCGCCATCCCATGTTCCACGCCATACAATTGCAACAGAGCTGACCGGTCCATTCGTAGCGTTTGCGGCGGCTATATGCGCTCCATCGGGCGACCAAGAACATCGGCGGAAATAGGTGGTAAGTGGGGAGGCTTGGAATGGCTTCGTGATCGTGTGCTCAAGCATAAAGTTGTTGACTTGATCTTGTGAGGTAGCATTTGGGGGCGGTGATGTGAATCGGTAAATCTTGATGGTTCGATCATCGCTTGCGGTTGCAAAGTACTTGTTCGCGGGATCGAAAGTAATTCCCTTGACGTGACTCTGGTGATTAGAAAGCGTCTTCAACTTTTCGAATGTGTGTCCCGACCAAACCACAATTTTTGAATCCAACCCGACCGAGATCAATACCGAGGAGTCGTGTGACCAGCCGAGATCCTGGACATCGTTGTCGTGACCGATAAGACGACGGAGCACTCGCCAGTTCTCAACCGGAGGCGGTTCGTTCGATCCTATATTTCATTAGTAGATGCTCACAACCTTCACGCTTATTCTTTCCTACCGAATGTAGACACATGTGTCGGCGCATGGGGGTCCAGCGCATAGACACACACTATCTTGTCGTCCGCGCCGGACGCCAGGTATTTCCCATTTGGCGAGAATCGAACAGCGTGAATGGTACCCGAGTGGTGGCTGATCGCAGCTAATTGTTTCGGTTTCGTGTACTCGGGGTTACTCGAATTCAGGATCGCCTCGGTGGACCATATTCGTACGTAGCCATCTGTGACGATTGTGTTAGTGGAGAGGTATTGCGGGCGAGCGCATCGTGGATGGAGCTGCGGAGAGTTGGGGAAACGAACCTCCGGCGGCAGTTACGAGACGCGATCCATCTGGAGAAACGTGACAGCTGTATACTTCGAAATCCTTGAGATCACCTATGCGCGTGAGGAAGATAATGTTAGCGCGCGAATTGATATTCGACGTGCGTTGGGGTTACGCCGCCTGTGATGCGTCGGGGGAGGTCCCTACCAGGATGCGTTAACCACTGCGGCTTGACAAGATGCATTGTCTCTAGATGTGGTTAGAATTTGGGATCATGCTACGGCGCAACCATGCGAGGGAGGGAAAGGAGGAAAGGGTACTGAGTGATGGGGTAGAACGCGGAGCTGCAAGTTGTCTGCGGGATCGCGACGACCTGTCTGGCGCGAGTTTGAGGCTAACTGGGACTTGGCAAGCATGCAGGGGTCACCTCATAGCATAGCTACCTAGGTATTGTGTGGTGGAGCTACGGTGATCACTTATTGGCAACTGACTATTTTATATATGGATTTTACTTCATAACAATCATGAAAATCTAATAATTATTGTGGTTATACAGTTGATCTGATCTCTATGTGTGTCCTCATACTGCACCAGGTCCTTCGACAACCTTATGGTTGGTGATCGCAGCTATGTTGCGCAGCATCTCCGGGCGGAGGCTAATCGTCTGGATATAGCCCGCATAACCAGCACCTTTTCGGCTATAATACACGTCCTCCACGTCGCGGTGTCGATGAGATGTATGGTGTTCTCAGCAATAGAGCCATCGATTCCTTGGAGCAAGTTGTATGGATATTGCATCCTGCGTGTTCGTCGAATAAAATCTTTCTCGAGCGCTCTCGATGCTACATCCCTAGACGATTCATCGCGCAATCTTCTTTCTCTTCTTAAAGAACACGGCCGGAGCTGGAGCGTCTTCTTCCTTTTTCACAGCAGCAGCCGATGCCTCTGCCTCCTCCTGTGTGGGTATATTCGCCAACGAGCTCCCCTCCCCTCCCTCTTGCTTCAGGTCGCCCGCTTCGCCATCCTCTTGCTTGACTCCTGATTCAGAATCTATCGCTGGCGCACCAGATACGTCCTGTTCGCTCTTGACATCGGGATCTTCCTTGACAGCCGGCTTCTTGCCTTTCCCAAACAGCGCGTCGATATCATCGTCCGCACTCCCATGCTTGCCTGGGAAACTCTTGAACGTCTTCCCCCACCCCTTCTGCTTCGTGATCAACTCCCCCGCGGCCTGCGCCTCGAGCTCCGCCTCATCCAGCTTCCTCTTGTGCACCCCCTTGTTCAGAGGCTTCTCCTCCTCCCCTATCACCTTCTCACTCACGACCTGCCACTCCCCCGCGAGCGCCAACTCCCCGCGCATGCTCTCCGGCACCGCTACCCCCATCGCCGCAAGCTGGCTAATCTGCTTCTTCCTATCCTCCATCGTAGCTTGCTTCGCGTCCCTCGAGAACGTCGGTTTCGCTCCGACCCTTGTGTCGTTGCCCGGCGCACTCGCACTCGCACTTGAACTCGCAGCCCCTTCCTTCGAAGAGCTCGCACCGCCAGACCCACCACCAGCCACGATCCCATTCAGCCTCGCGACCTCGTCCTTCGCGCGCTGCTGCTTCCGCTTCTCGGCCTCCTGGTCGCGGTGCAGGCCCCTCAGCGACCGCTGGATGTTGCCCTGGTGCCGGCCCGTCGCATCGTGCTGGTTGCGGTCGAACTTCGTGTCGCGGACGTAGATGGAGCAGAACTTGCACCAGTATTTTGGCTGTAGGCACCCTTTTCGTCAGTATAGTTCTTTTCTTCTTGCTTTTTCGACTTTGAACTCGCGGAGGAATGATGAGAGGGGAAGAGGAAGGGAGGGGTTTGAACGTACTGTGGACTTCCAATACTCCGCCATGGTGCTTTCGTCCGGAGAGGTCAAAGAGTGGCTTTGGTTGAAGGAGGGAGGGTTTGGGGTTACGGGATCGAGGATGGGGAAAATGTTGCTTAGTCAAGGTCGATAGCCTTGTCGTTCGATTGACGATGATGAGGAGGCGCACGGCCCAGGGGACTGGATTCTGTGGGGAAGGTCGGACGCACGTGCTAATATTAGATACCTATATCATTAGATACCTGCAAGGAAGGTTGATTGTTCACCGAGGTATTAATGCTTGATTGATACAGTTTGTATTTATTTATAATAAGAAAATTGAATTCCTTAGATCTGAACGACTTGCTGGCTTTTCGAGACAATGTTCCTGAGCGTAGTGTAGTACTCGTAGATTCAGACGGAAGTGAGATATACTTCACAGCATGGAAGTAAGTGAACCGTTTTGCTCTTCCCAGAAGAGCATACATTATAATTAATTGATTGAAATCACCGCCTAGACATTGTATGCGCATATCAATGTAAATTAATAAATGGACAAGGCAAGAAACATGCTTGAAGGAATGGGTTTATTCGCTTTCGGCGGTTGCCATACTAATTTTTACAGACTATGAGACTATACATTTTCTTAGAACACCTGTATGAAGTTTGAGCGTAATGGGCACTCAATGTGCCAGCTCTGGTGAGTTCCAAAATATTGTAGCAGAAAACGCGACCACTCGTCCCCCATTGAACGACGCGTGCGCGGTAATACCATGAAGTATTTCCTGATCTAGATGCCAAATGAAGAACCCCTCCGTAACACCACCACCATGTATGTGCCGACCGAACTCTGAATTATTAAACGCCAATATTCATGTTGATTATGTCCAATTATAGGTATAAGTATACACCATTAGACGGCATTGCTGCTATTTATCCTCGCCTCGTCGGAATGTCGTTCAGACATATTTGCGCCGTTCTGTGGCACTGATGAGGCGATCGCAGGTTCGCCGGTGTACGACGTTTGTTGGGCATCGCCATCGTGCTTGTGGCTCCAGCCTTCGGTACCGACGTAGGAACCCACGCCGACGCCAATTCCGAATGCGCGCTCGTAGCTTCTGGGACCCCACGACCAACCGGCGCCGCGCGTAACGGGGAGGTGATACCACCTGAAGCTGAACCAGGCGGTGGTGATGCCAATCAAGCTGCCAAAGAGCATGTCGAAGCCGTGGTGGCGGAAATCAGTGAATCGCGTGCTAACGACGTAGATGGCCGAAGCGATGGGTACGAGGATGAGGACGAGAGTGTACACTGGCGGAGCAGCGGCTTGGTATCGGATTGGAACGATCTGATCGTCGGGGTACGCTCGGGAGAGGACGCTTGAGTCGGTGGGAGACTTGGAGTGGAGCGGGAGAATGTTGTGACGGAGGTTTGAAGGTGTTACCGCGGAGGTGTGTGCAGGGTTCGTGCTGAATGGCCTTGGGGGAAGGAAGGGGATTGCAACTGCGAACTTGGATGCGAGAAACAGTGTCAAGTAGAGAAGCCCGGCCCACGAAACTGCAATTTGCGATTAGCCTACAGTATATTTCAGAATCAATAGCAATACTTACAGCTCGAGTGGCCACTAGGGAACGACTTGAATCCATCCTGAAGGATGTCATCGTCTGGCTGGGTGCAAATGACCGAGGTGACGAGGATCCAATCCGGGTTGAAACTCTCTCCAGCGGTGCTGATGCGAGCTTGATCGAGAAGGCCAAGATCTGGCTTGCAACGAGATAACAGATCAGGGCGTGGCTTTCCAAACAAGAGCTTCATTCCCTGAGTGATCATAAATGCTGTCGCAAGGGAAAGCGCGAGACCCATCCATCCTGTGTTCAGCTCCCAAATCTTTCGTTTCCAGATGAGAGACTTAGGAGTTCCTCTACTCGCAGTTGGTCCGGGGACGAAAACAAGGCAAACAATAAAGATGATTACTGCAGGAGCAACAAGTGAGATAACAACCAGCAACCACGTTGGGATGACCTCCGACGTTTGATAGGGGAACGATATGGAGAGATCAACAAGCGAGAATGGTCGATGGTAGGGAGTCAGGAATTCCCAACCACCTCCTACAGCTGCAATTGCACTATTAGAGAGTCAGTAAAGGATTCGACGATAATTTCGACAGTGTTTTCGAGAAAGATATCGCTGCCATGGCGCATAGAGCATTACAGGTGAGTTTGCGCGTGCGCGCACACGCCATGACAGTTTCAGCTTTTGAATTATGCTGACAAGCAATACTCACATTATCACGATCCAGTCGAAGATGTACGATAATAGTAGCCGCTTCGACGGCAACGAATTCATATTAAGTGATCTCATCGTTGATGTGAGAAGATGAGGTTGCGGGAAGAGCGAAAACTGGCCAGAGTTTCGGTGGGTCGATCCAGAGGAGATGGAGAGGGTGGACCGGAGTTTTGTGTAATTTTAGAGGCTATGAGAGACACGGCGGGCGCATGAGAAAGTGTTGTGCGAAGAGCTGAAGGCCGAAACAGTCCAAGATGTGAAATGGGAGGAGGTCCGACCCTGATCCGCACGTCACCGGGGGATTATAATTGGCGACTAGTACCTAACCGGCTATGAGAAGAGGGAGGAGGAGGGATGGATGTAGAATTGTACGCGGAATGGATGGAACAAAGAAAAGAGAGAGTAAAAGAACAAACAACAATGGGGAGAGAGACAGGTTGTTAACGGTAATTAGGGGAGGAAAAGGAAATGGGGAAATGGGGCAATGGGGGAGATGATTGTTTAGTGTGAAAAGGCGCTGGCACGCTGGTTACAGCGAAGGTCAGCACGATGCTTAAGCGCCTCAGGGTATGGGTATGTCTCTGCTACGCCTCCCTAAAGGATTGCCCGATATGTATTGAGTTGTTGTAGTAGTGGTAATACCTGTAAGTACAGTGTAAAGTTTCGTTAGTTGATGAGGTGAAATTAGATCCCTTACGAGTATCGACGACAGCAAAGCGCAAAGAGTGTAGTAGACTGATGAGAGGAGAAGTATTGTAATTATTGTGAAGGGTGAAAAAGGCACGCGACTGTCGACTCTCCACCCCCCAGGGCTTAATTCTGTGACGTTTCCAATGGGCTGTGTAGACTTGGCTCGACGGACTGCGTCACTTGGCGACCTCATCCTTCGACTTATTTCGACTTATTCTATTTAATTAGGTCTAAGCTATTACCCCCCCTTAGCCCAAGTAGGACGACGACGACGACCTGTTCAATAAACCATCCACTAAGAAGGAGGGCTGATCGTAGGCGCTGCACGGAGATGATGACGCGCTGTGTGTATGAGAGAGCCTTTTAGCCCCCGATCTGCTCGACAGGCGACATTCTCTAACTGCAGCGATCTGGACGAATGTAATGTCCGAAATAGCGGGACTAATAAGAAGTCGTTAGGCAGTTTGCCCTAACTCTAAATGATCATCACGAGAACGTCTTCTTACGGACTCTACGTAGGATTGCCATGGCCACATTGTATCGTAGACAAGCTTTCGGCTCCTGGAAGTTCGCGATACCCGAAGCGGCGAGGTACTCAAACACACTACTAAATTCTACATACAATGGCACTTCTTTCCTCACGTCTAAACATCCTGTAGACTACATAGAATTATAGTTGACAAATACATACATTGTGCAGTTCACACATGTCTACCTACGTAACGCCTCAGATGGATGTTGTAATCGTACTCGTACTGGCGTTACCGATAAGGTTTAGCGCGGCTCTCAGATCTGCTGCGTACCATTATGACCAAATGCTCCGCCATCAAAATAATATTTTGAGTCCACACTAGCAAAATCCAACGATTCAACCACCCAGAACAGCTATACAGTCAGAATAATTACATTCTCCCACTCAAACAATTCCAAATTCTCACAAAAGGAATATCTAAAGAGAAGGGAGAAAGAAGCAATGGCGACCGGCACCACAGGAACCCTCCCCGCACCCACCATCGACCTCCTCCTCAACCTCATCGACACCCGGCCCAACTCCATCCTGGCCTCGCTATCCCAGCACCCACAACTCGCCTCCGCCTCCGACGCGCACGGCTACTCCCTCGTCCACGCGGCTGTGTCCTACAACCAGCTCCCCGTCCTGCGCGAACTCGTCCAAAAATATAACGTCGACGTCGACAAGCTAGACGAAGATGGCGAGACCCCGCTGTTCGCCGCAGAGCTAGCCAGCGTGGCGCGCACGCTCGTCGAGGAGTTCGGCGCAGACTGGAGGGTTAGGAACATCGAGGGCAAGACTGCGGAGGAGAAGATCGCAGAAGAGGAGGGCGAGGCACATGAGGTGTATCTATATCTGAGGTCTCTGCGGGACGGTGGCCAGTCTGCGAATGGCGGTGGTGCTGAGGGTGCGGCCAACCTGGCGCAGTTAGAGACCGCGGGCGTTCATCCTCCGCCTCCGCTGCCAGATGGTGTCAAGATTAACGTGGGTACCATGGAGGAAGATGCCGTGGGCGACGCTCCCGATCCAGAGCTCAGGCGGCGCATAGAGGAGTTGGCGGCTCGCGAGGACTTTCAGACGGAAGAGGTGCAGCAGCAATTGAGGGAGCTTGTCACAGAAGTGGTCTCGGGGATAGGTTCCGAACAGTCTGAGCGCAGTGTGAGAAGGAGAGTGGATTAGAAAAGAATGAAGGCATGAAATTGGCGTCCTCCGCTGCGATGGAGGGGCGGATGAAATGTTTCGCACGAGCGCGGGGCAACAGAAACGAAGAAAAGAAAATTATGAGAACTTTATACCCTGGATGGTCATTTAGATGGATGCAGTGTAGGAATAGAGACGATTCCATATCGAAATATGCACGTTGGATATATCAAAAGTAGTTTTACAATAGAGATCAAAAATCTCCCATGGCATGGTATTTACATGCACACTTCAAATTTCGCTATATGCAATAAAACATTTATAAAACATGCCTCTAAAGCTTTTGGAGCAGGATCCTTGCGCCAGCGTTTCCTTTGCCCTGCGCCTTGTCTCCCTTCTTCTTCGTCTTACTCGACTCGGTGGTCGCTGCTGCAGCCTCCAATGCCTTTTTGTCCTTCTTCAACGCCTTCAACACCTCATCCTTCCTCTCGAACTGCTCGGCCTCCACCAGCGCAACAATGACAAAAGAGCCTTGTCCAGTTGCCCAGCTGATAACATCGGATTTGATGTGATCCCAGAACATATCTGCGTATCCAATGGCAGGCTCGACAGGCACGACCTTCTTCAGTTCGGGATCGAACTTCCCGCCGTGCACCAGAGTCTTAAGCATATTTACGCCATAGGACGCAATAGTCGGCTCATCCAGAATTTGTTGAGAGAGTTCAGCCACTTGGGACAGGGCCTCCTTTCGCTTCTGGGCCTCGACGCCAGGCGCGCCTACGAGAACCTCTCCAAGCATCTGTAGTCCATTGCGGGAAGAAGTGAAATCACCTGCGCGAGCCGCAATCGATGAGAGTAATTGAGGCTCGATAGACTTCGCAACTTCCTGGAGCCTGGTGTTAGGATCCTTCTTCGATGTCGAGGATCGGATGGCGTAGATCTCCGCGAGGCGCTCGCGTGTCGTTTCGTCAATAAGCCATTTCGCATCAGCTGCGAAGGGATAAAGTAGGACTACTCGGGCGCGAGCGTCGCTGCTGAGGGCCAAGACCTTCTCAGAGAGCGTCTCATTGCTTGGAAGAAGCTCGCCAAAGATGGATTTAGATGTCAACTTGGTATCATCCACGACCGCCAAAGCTGCTAGAAGAACGTAGTGGGCATTAGCATCGAATGCCATCATCTCTACGGTATCCTTATAAGGCCTGAGGAACAGTTTGCGATCTTTGGCGGAACCATGAGCGAGTGCAAGAGAGACAAGTCGTGAGCCAGATTTGGTAAAGGCAAGGTTCTTCAATAGATCGACGTTATCCGCCTCCTCGCCCTCCTTAATTGTAGCGTCAGGTCTGAGGTGCTCCAAGAAAGCATTGGCCTCGCTGCTACCTGGGGTGCATGCCAAAAAGTACTGTAACATTGCGTCGTGGAGCATCGTAAAGCCGGTGAGCTTCTTCTGTATGATTTGATTGATCTGAATCTCAAGGTATTCCATGATAGGCTTGCGTTTCTCAGGTGATGCCTCAAGGATCGCTGCAAGATCGGCTGTATCAGGACCATCGGCCTGGATTGCCTTGATTGCAAATTCGGGGCCGTACCATTCGCGGAGAAGCCTTCGTTTCTGTTCCGGTGTCGCTACCTGTCTGTAGGTATCATCAAGGATCCATGCAGCCTCTGGGTGGTTCATTAAACGTCGAACGTGGCCATAGAGTTCGGAAACGATCAGATCTCGAACTTCAGGGTCTCTGTAGTAGTGTTAAATTGACAAAATAGTCCCATGCGCATAGAGCGACGTACCCTTTCTCCAATAGTTTAGCAATCAGAAACTTGGAATATTTGCCTTCAGCCAACGGCCTGAATTCTCCCTTCAGTTCGCGCGCAATGGACCTTCGCTGTTCGATGGTCGAGTACTTGATAGCACACTGAATCACTCTGACTGAATCGTGTCTGAAGACAAGGTCTTTGACTCTTCCCGTTACCAGCTCAAACAACTGTGTCAAAAGCTGGTGTCTCTCTTCCTTCTTTACATGGGATTTCAGACGTAATTTCTCCCATAGCTCCTTTCCTTGCTCAATGATCTCGGCGTTGGCTTTTCCAGCTTTTCGCTCTTTGGCTAGAGCCTTTTGTTTCGCATGGGCTTCGCGAGAGGTGGTGGCTGTAACTAGTGGTTAGAGACATTATAAGGGGTTTCCAAATCGATATCATAACATACTATTCATGGCAGCCGAGGCAGACTTCCAATCGCCGCCGTCCTTCGACCAATTCTTCTTGTCTTTGGCCTTCTTGTTATCTGTCTTCACAGGTCCACTCTCTGCATCCGGACTATCCATATCCACATCTTCAGAGTTGCCTGCTTCCGCCTCTTCGTTTGCAGCGAAACCGTAGAATCCATTCTGGTCCTCGCTGGTATCGGACTCAATGAGATCGTCGGAATCCTCCTCTACTTTCGATTTCTTAGAGGACTTCGGGCGAGCATCTTCTTGTTTCGCGGGACGTTTACTCGAAGAGCTGTCGGTCTTCGGCTTCTTGACCTTTGACTTTGCGTCCGAGCTTGTCGCAGACTTGCGCTTAATTCCAGGCATCTTGTCGTTTTTCATAAATGCGAAAATGGTTGCAATGCAACTCGAAAAAAAAGTTCCAAGCCCTAGGTAGTTTCAAAAAATTTCGGCGGGTCCCTACACCCCCGGTATTCGGAAAAGCTATTTTTCCTGCGGGAGCCTTCCTCTAATAGGGCCACTAAGAACATGAGAACTACTATCCCATCATACTGTGTATTACCATCGTCAAACCCTTCGCAGACAATTCATGTAATATCAATTGTCTGTATGGATATGCTAGCCGAGCATCGAGATAGCTAGACGAGCGTAGCTCCACCTCCGGCTTGAAGAGAAGGCTTTTGGCTTACTACACCAAAACCAAATGCTTCTCATGGTGGAGAGACCGTTCTTGCACCTCCACTCCTGAATCTAGACTTCATAATTGTGTACAGAGACAAGCTTTCATATCATTTATTCCATCCAGCTTCGTAGTGACACACTCTAGTGCTCCGATTGTGCCGTTTATCCCGTGCTAATATTATCAGATCATTCAGCACAACCAATACCGATCCGGCAGCCTTCAACCGTCAACGACCAACGTTGACGGAGGTAGGACAGGGACTTTGATCATCAAAAACTTGCCAATCTCCAGCTTCATGCATAGCGGAACTTTCCATAGCACCATAGGCGGTGTACCTACATACGATGTTGAAGCTACCAGAGACAAGTCCGTTGGAAATGTTCACAATTGGACGAGCAAACTCATCTATGCCCCAGCTAATCGTCATTGTACGGACCGACTTCTATAGACTACCATGTAAACATCATTCAATCACATTTCACACTGCCTCTTGATACCAATCTACAGGATAGAAAGCACACCAGCTTCCCCTGCAGCGTTATTGGGCCAAGTATGGCGAATGCAGATACCCATGGCTGAGACGCGTAAGTATCCCCTTAAATCGTCAAGTTATTTCGAAGCGCCAAACCCCAGTCTTCCCCGGATGATCCTCCTTTAACCCCTCTCCAATTCAATTTACGTCGGGTTAATTCTCCAAATGGCCCAATCTCAACCAATTGTGAACCATGCTCACTCGGCTAATAGCTTAAGTCGTTGCTTAATCCTACGTTACCCCAGGGCTCAAATAACATCATCATGGCGCGATTTGATGAGCCAGAGTTCTGGAAGTTGAGGATGAGGCTGGAGCTCTCGACCTCTATTATGGCTACCAGGACACCTCTAGATATGCAAAATTGTGAATATATGCTCGTCTGATCTATTCAACTATCGAACCTGCGTATCTTCTGATCACTGGGAGTTATTACGCCATTGAGGTCAATTTTGATGAAGCAATTGCCCGTTTGTAGATATGCATGAACAATATAGAGCCCTGTCTTGGGCTCTCCAGGCCTAGCATCGAATTTCACATGGGCAGCGATCACATCTACCACGATCCGAATATTCAAGTAGACTGATATCAATTCTACAACGAACCACCGGCAGTCATTTCCACGGCCAGAATGAGAAACCCAATCGAATGTAGCAACGGCAATTCTCCTTGCCGGAAATTTCATCCTACTGCTACTGGTCTTCGTGGGAGTATAGCGATCGGTCGAGCGCTACGTTGACGGCCAGTACTTTGTCCATGATATCTTGAGCTTAAACACACAGTCTTCTGGGACTTGGTATTCGCGTGGTGCCTATCCTGGGTCGCGCATTTCGTCAATTCTTCCACCCAGTCGGCTTAGGCCTCGTCCAGGTCCCTGTTCTAGATCACGACATCCTGAAACTGTTCCTGGTGATCTTCTTCTGCAAAGAGAGACATTCCTACCAGAACCCGGGGGTGCTAATTTGTACCACGGGGGACTCCAACTCAAACCAGGAATTCGAGCCGTTGCTGATGACCTCAGCTTGAAGAGCCTGGGTTTCCTGGCGCCTTCCTTTCATCTACTGATATTAGTTGTTGCTTCCGAATCAAAGTGTAGCCCGTTCGCCACCCACTGGTCACTCTACTTTCTTCCACTCGAGCGGCCGACTCCAATAACCTAATCTCGGTGAAGAGTTACGCGTTCACGACACTCTAGGTGCCTTGATGTGATCGAGGTACACAAAGAGAAGTCCGGATCAACGGTTGAGTAAACCGTGATTAATATATTCTAGTAGCACAACTAAAACGGCGAACGAGGGTCCTGAGTACGCGGAGTTGAATATATAAAGTCAGCTTCCCACATCTCAATCGACACCACCAAGCAGCAATCCGGATCACTTTGCAACAGTACAACATGAAGCTCTCCACTGCTCTCTATCTGCTCGGCCTCAGCGGGTAAGCTTCTCTCAACAGCCATGGTCTTGATCAGACACAATCACTGACTTATTTGATAGCCTTGTCGCTGGACAATGGGAAGAGGATCCAGATGATCTCCCAGAGGAGCCGGAACCTACTGCTCCAGTCCCTCCTAGGCCCACTGGTGGTCTTCCTCCTCGACCATCCGTCAGCGTGCCTGGAATTCCTTCTCTGCCTCCTAGGCCTACGGGTGGTATCCCTCCTCGTCCCTCCGGTAGCGGTCGTCCTCCGGTAAGTCACACATCAAACTCAGTCTCTAAACCTTGAATATGGAAAGATTGGTGACGAGAATGGACTACATCATCTTATTTCAGTCGTTTGATCAGGTAAATGGCCAATTGCTGTTGTACTTAACTAACTCTTGCACTCCAGGTCCCCAGCTTCTCGCTTCCAGGACCACCAACCGGTCTTCCCCCAATCCCCAGCGGAAGGCCTTCTTTCACCATCTCCGTCCGTCCTTCTGTTCGACCGACACCAACCCGCTCAGTCCGACCAGTTCCTACCGGTCGCCCCTCTGGCCGCCCCTCTGGTCCAGCCGTCCCCTCCGGCCGTCCGTCTGGTCGCCCAACTCGCTCCATCGGTCTCCCCCCAAGGCCCACTCCTACTGGCGATGGAGATGATGAGGACGATGATGACGATGAGGACTGGCCCTGGGGCCAGCAGCAGTAGATGGTTTAATCCATCTGCGCTCAAGTTGAAGGGCTACGGCGGGAACCGAATTCTATTCTAAGGTGCACATAATCATTCTGCATCAACCACAACCCGGAGAATGATCTAAGACTGAATTGCACAGTTTGTGAAGGATATGCTGGCTTTGTTCATCGGGTGAATATCAATTTGTTGGGCTTGGGTGGCAGCAGCAGACTCTTGTTTGTAGTAACTGAATTTTATGTTGATATTTTCAATCTACTGTCGTTATCAATTTGACGTTTGGTTTGTGCCTTGACTTCAGAATCCACGATCCATCTCGATTTCCATGTTTATATAATCCGGCCGAATTCATTAATACTCTAAACACCCTCGTCACACATCACATCTAGACTTGCCCCCACAAGACTGTGGTACCAGCCGCCGGTCACTAGCATTTACCCGCTCGCTAGCCCTTCAACCGATCGCCAGCCATGCATCACTTGGCTCTACATCTGCACCTCTTACATTGAAACCTTCGAGAATGCACCGGTGTGGGTCGTCGCTCTGGCTTCATCAGGCCGACGGTCAACGACTGCATCGCGATGATACAATGTGGCGTACGCACCACTCTCTCGCTCGGATGTGCGGAACACGGTGTGGAGAAGAAGAGTGTTTCAGCACATTCGACGTACATCAATTGTGACGACCCAAATAGCAATTTGCAATATTCATCAGTCGAATGACCTTCAGCGCTCCGGGGAAGAGTACGCGCAGCAATAGCCAAGCAACACAAGCATCGTTTCCACCGAGCCTGCTTCCAAACGCTTATACATACCATTGCGAAAGCCTCAACAGTATGTACGCTTGTACGACACCGTACATGCGTACCAGGCTGATGGAAATTCCAAGTTCTGGGCAGGTAGCTTGTTCATAGTTCCCTAAGCTTGACAACTGCCGATCATGTCTTGTTAGTGAGGTGCAGGACTACAACCACGGTACATAATGATTGTCAGAGGACGAAGTTGGGCAGGAGAGATTGTGGAAATAGTGTCGGCGGGCTCTGCTGGTAGATGTAGCTTATTACTCACTCTACTATAATGCAAGATCTGGCGATGAGTACTAAGGACGACCGTACGACCATAGTAAGCGGTAGGAGGAAAACCCAAAATGACCAACTTAGATATCAGTTTCGTTGAGACGTACATCTTCTGCAAGTGCTGCACGAACCTGCTTCATCTCGTCGAACAATGGACTTCATCACTTACCATCATATCTAATACCCGTAGAGGCCATTTAAACAATCATCACGTTTATAAGAATTAGATATATTCTTCTGAAACGGATATTCATAAATATAAGGGGAAACGGACGACGAGAAAGGTACCAAAACCAACCAATTGAAACTGAAAACATGCACAGAGACGTGACAGAAAGGACAACGGAATTCATATTAACACACTCGCTAAGGAGTCAAATGCGGTACCTGTTAGCTGGTTGTATGGACGAGAGTCTTGTCATTGGGACACAGATAGATTATTGTTTTGTTTTCCTTTCTTTGATGTGATGTGATGGTGACTTTGTAGAAGCACGGACGGTTCCCGTCAAGAGTCAATTGTTGGAACGAAACGTTTGAGACGTGCCTGGGAATGAATGGCGTGGTATGGCATGACGGGGAGCATGACGGGTGGTGATTGGTGGCGCAAATGAAGCATTACACAGGCACGCGCCAATGAGCTGTTAGCATTGGTACCAATTTGAATAACATTAGAAATGACCACATCTTTTGTCTCAATGTTCAAAGATTGGTTTGGTATCATTCAGATGAAATAAAATAAAAAATTGGGAAAGCCATGTTTCCAGGTGTTTGTACAAAATTCCACGCCAACTTTTTTCGAATCCTCCTTTTCCTCATCGCACGCGACAGGGTGGCTGATTATGCAAGGGAGAGAAAGGGAGATCGGATTCCAGACCAAGTCACTACGACTTTTTGATACCCAGACTGGCCAATATGATGACAACCATGCCAATAGTCAGAAACCAGTAATATAATAGAGACAGAAGAAGACTTCAATATGCAATGTGCCCAGTGATCCAAAGTTCGAGATCCCCATGTATATGCGACCAAAACTCCTAATGCAGTGGCAGCCAATTGCTCCCAACGAAGATGAAGCCTGCCCGATGAACAATCCTTGCGTCGAGATGCAATAAGAGGCCAATGAGAACGCCGATCATGATGATAATGATGATGATGCTGTAGATGAATGCGGTACAAAAGAGTAAGGAAAGATGCCGCGAATATTCGCGCCGCGTGCGCGTGTCGTGAAACCGGTCTCCCGCTGGGACTAACAACTCAGGTGGAAGGCTGCCCACAGAAGCATGCACGTACCTCTCACAGGCCGCGTGGAACTTGTAACTCGCTTCGAGGTTCGAAGTTTGGTTAGATACCTCACTTAAACCTGCTCGACAAAATGCGAAGTGCGTCCATTGGAGCTACTCGATGACCTTCGCTTCTTTTGCAGACGTTTGGACTGTCTTTTCTCACCAATAGCTAGCTTTTCGTCCTCAGGGCTAGGTGGCTCGCCGAATGTGCCTGGCCTCAGTATTTCGAATCCGGAGTTGACCTTGCGAATGACGTTGGAATCGCTGCGTGAAGGCTGAGAAGACCCTTTAGGTTGTGCCCGATCCTCCTCGTACTGGTGCTGTGGGCCACGGGGTTGATAAGACTCGGGCATATGGGTGGCCTGCGGTGCATACGTCTCCAGGAGAGGAATTGGTTGCCTCACCTGGTTGACGTACTCTTGTGGAAGGGCAGGAAGTGGAGGGAGCGGCGGAGATGGAGTCTTCTGCCGTGGTACAAAGTATTCGACACCGTTGGACGAGGAGATATCCTGCGGTAACCTAAAGTTGTCCGCTACACTCGCCCACTCTCCACTGTATCCAGGTCGGCGAACTCGTGGTGTTAGCTGCCCGGTTTCTGCAACGTGAGATAATCGATGGCTTTGAAGGAGCTCGAGATCGGAGCGAGGATCCGTAGGAACGGCGCGGTTGGCATTACGGGGCTGGATATGAGCTGCTTCGAATACTCGAGCGTCTTGCAAGTTCAGATAGTCCGACTCGTCACTGGTACGTCCACTCGACTTGCCTGAATTTGAGGACCCAGGTTTGGCTTTTGTAGGTTCGTAGCGGACTATTGAAAGGTCAGTCATAAGTTGTTGGAAGACTCAACGAGCCATCTCCCTTACCTGAGGAAGTGGAGGCATGATCAATTCCCTCCATAGCTTGCACCCATGAATTGCGTGCAGTATCGGAAGCAGGATTTCTAGAACTTGACGCGACGGATGCGACATGCGGACGCACACGTGAACCCTTTTGTGCATCGAAGACTGGTGAAGAAGTGCGGGAATCATTTGTTGGGATGCGCTCTGCTGAGACTGCGCGATCATAACCAGAGCTAGGGGCGCGCGAGCTATCTCGACTGGAAGAGCCGTGCACTGGCTTTGGTAACTCAAGTTGCGAGTTGTTGAGGCTACGCGGGAGACGGGTTTCAGTTATGGAGGAGCGACTGCTACCAACTGGTGTGTTGGACCTGGAGATCCAGACACCGTCTACTTCGATGCCGCTCTCTATAGCTCTGATACCGAAAGGGATATCGTTCTTGGTTTTGCTGACAACTGGTTGGGCTTCGAGCATTTCTGGGGTCTGCGGCTTCTTTCCCTTCTCGGGTTTGCTGTATTTGCGGACCCTGTAGTTATCGTATTGAAGCTTGATCAATCCAACTATGATTGTTATGACCTAAGGCTGCTAGTTAGTATGTTGGGGATCAAGCGGTACACAGATGGTGAATCTTACGATGCCACATGCTAACACCTGAATGAAGATACATATTAGCGATTGCTGGGTTTAAAATGCTGAACCGGGTATGAGTTGGCAGATCACTTACAAAGGTCATCTTTTGCCATAGCTCCCAATCGTTGAAAAAGACCTTGCCCATGGTTGTGGTGGCTGAGGATTAATGTTGAGGATTGTTGGCGTAGATTTCCTCGGGAACAGAAAAGAAGCTCGACGAGCCGGTGAGACGCACCGCGGAGCAGAGGCGCCCCCCGGGGGAAGCAGGTGGGTAGACGGGCCTGGCGGGACGGTACAGTTGCACAGAGGAGGTGAGGGCGACTCCAGGAGCCAACGGCAGTAGAAAGAGCACAGTGCGGGCAGGGTAGGCAGGTAGGTGACGGGTGGGTGGCGACTTGGGCGTGACCGACAAAGCGATGAGAAAATTGATTAAAATCGAGCAGCTGTCTGCACTGGGAACAAACGTGGGAGGAGGTAGACAGCGATTAATAGGCGCGTCGATATGTAGAATTAATTGCGTGGTTCACATGAACTCAACAATTGATTGATTGGCGGGGATCGGGTCGGTTCATCGATTGGTAGGTACGGAGTAGTGGTTGCCCAGTGTCTTGCCTCTTCTCTCTTGAATGGTAACGACCGGACAACAATGATTTGCACCAACTACCGTGGAGGTGGGTTCCAGGCAGGTGACTATTCGGGAATTGAACGATTGTGTTGTTCGTGGTGGCTGCAGTGATGTATGGTCCGAGGTTGAGGTTGAAGTTGAAGTTGAAGTTGAGATGGAAGTTCGTCAATTCGAAATCGAGGAAGCAGCGAACGGCACGGGAAGGTACGAGTGTTGGTAATAGGCAAGCTTCCTGATAGGATTTGTAGGACACGGTTGAACGACAGTTGGAGGAATGGATGGATGGTAGGATGGGTAGGATGGGTGGGATGGGCTCTGAACGAAACGAAAACGAAATGAAATGACTACGCTGGCAGCAACGGTGGAGGGCGATAAACGAGCGTGTAACGTGGTGGAGCGGAGGGGCAGAGACACAGGGAGATACAACTAGTCGAGAAGTAGCAGTGCGTGCTCCTGTGGCTCTTCCTCACCCTCACACGCGCACTCTGGTAGATGGGGAGATGTACGGAGTGGGAGTAGAGATGAGTAGATCGGTAGATGCAGATAGAGAAATGACCTCGATTGCTTGGTCGATCGATTAGTCTACTATATCAATATCCTGTCTTCGTCGTTGTCGTTGTCTTCAAGAGGAGACAAGGTGATACCCAGGAATCCGGGAACGTGAATCTGGGAGTTACCAGACCTGGACCGGGGAAATGGATGAGGAGGGAGGAGAGGTAGGGGAAGGTAGAAGGAGAAGACCTTGGAAAGGGAAACGAGAGTGTCGGTCACGGAGGGATGAAGGCATGGGCAGAGGTGGGAAAGTTAAGGAATAAATTAAAAGAAGATGGTTGTTAGCCAGGAGGAGGGGGATCGAGCACCCAGCACTCAGCACCCTAGATGTAGGTCCATGTACATGTACAGTACAGTAATGGATGGTCCAGCAGAGTGCGGAATACACTAGATGGGTGTAAATAGGTGTAATAATGGTGATAATAATAACCACCCAGATGTATGGGGAGTAATGTATGGAGGACGTGCGTATATGTTGTATGTAAGAGAAGGTTAAATGGGTGGACGGACGGGTGGATGAATTGGTGGGTGTGCACCACCACCACGAGAAAGAAGAATAGCTAGAACGAGCGAGATAGAGAGAGAAGATGAGACGGAACAGTTAGGTGTTGTTCCCAATATGGAGAATTCACAGTAGAGGGAATAGGTTGGAATAGGACAGGGAATAGGTATTGGATACCTTAGGTATTCGCCTCTCCCTCCCCTCCCCTCCCCGTTCTCTCACAATTGTTGTCAATAATGATGGAAACGGAACAAATGTTTGGTTGATCCTGGCATCTTCATGTAGGTTTGTAGACACGAATCCTTGCCACATGTTGCATCCTCGCATCCTTGCAACCTGGCAGATCCTACCGGTACATACATACACACATACCTCATACATGGATGAGGATCTGTTTCGTTCGCAGTAGGCGTAGCATCATCCTCCATGGATTTTGGTATTGTTCATGTCTATGGTTCATCACCCTTATGTTTATCAGTGTTTGGTTGAATGTTGATGAATTGAACTGAATTGAAGTGAGGAGTTGTCGTTGTAAGAGAGTGAGGGTCATCCGATTTGGCCATTCCCTTTTCTGCGATCCAAGACCAGCCACATCCATTCTCGCTTACTGGGATCATCCCTAACCCATCAGTACAGGTATACCTCTCCGTACTTGTACCTCTAGGTTTCCAATACACTAAACTATCCTACGATGCGATGCTTGCCTCCTCAAAATAGTGTAAATCTTCCCAAAACCTTGAATGTCTTGTGTACCGTCAACCATCGCCGCGCCATACAAATCGACTTGCAGCATGCCAGGATGTGGCAGGCTCAGCAATGCACTCGTCTCTCTCCACATGCCTTTCTCAATACCAACGATAATCCGTACAATCATAACAGTCCATTGCCTACATAGAACTCAGACAGTATTTCTCACTATTTAAGTTCCGTCCAGTAGAGTACAAATACGTATGTTCTTGCAGATCCATACCTGGGAGAGACACCCGACCGGCCCGGTCTAAGGTCAAGTCACGAAAATGCGTGCCACAAACACCCGAACACAGCATCTGGAAATATTGTATGAGCGTGAGCTGCGTCAATCCCCTTGTCCTTTTCCTTGCCCTTGGTCACAAAATGCTCTAGGGCCAGGTTCCTTGACGAACATGGCTTTGGCGAACTACGCCATACCGGCACCCAGTTCTGTACATCATTGGCACCAGCTGGATGGAACCAGAAGAGACGCTGTCGAATTTCACCAACAATAACAAATATCAGTAACTACTCCATACACACAGAGTAGATGCCCTACCACCACACATTATGGCGCATTCCAATTCCATAATTGCTGTTCAAAGTATGTGGTCGTTTGATCGCCGAACTTCTTCCCCTGGCGGCACGGCGCCCTACGGAAGGGGGACGTTTCTGTTTGATCATCCGTCGTGGCTGGCGGTTCAACGACTCCACCCATAATTACTACATACGGCTATTGTATTGTATGGGAATAGCAACCTGTTCCCTTGGCGAATTTACAAACGGAGCAGGCGTTCTCCTACGAAAAGCCTATCCATCGCCCTAGAAAACGTGTATTCTTCGTTACGATAGATAGTTTTTTTCCACACACTGTGTATGCCTTGTCAAACGCATGGTACGCACGCTGTAGATGTCTGCTCGGACACTCGTGGTGCGCCTGGACACACATACATATTACTCTGAGACATACTGCTGCATCTACGTTTTGTATACGTTGTTTTTGCTGTGGGGTGCACGCTGGTGGAAAAGTGGATGTCGTGGTAGAACAGAGATAATATCATATCATAGGTTCGTTCAGGAACCTTTTCAAAGGACTTTCGTATAGGAAGACAATTATAATAGGTAGCCTCGTCCTAGTCGTCTCGTCTTTCTCCATGTTATTCGAATACGAGTTACCCGTCCACCATCACATTCCCGCTGCAGAGAATCATAGATCTCATCCCTAAATCAACACTAATCTGCCCTACTAACTTAAAACACCTACACCCACATCCATATCCACATCCCACACCACTCGTAATACACCGGACCGTCCCCGACCTCACCACTCTCCATTATTATTACCATGTAACTAACCGTCATCATCATTGGGATACAGGTACGGAGCTTCTGGATCTTCAGGGGTTCCAATTCTATCAGCCGCTCCCACGTTCCGCCCCGAGGAGGCTGAAGGGGCAAAATCAAATCAGGTATGACCGGGACATCTCACCTTCGAGAACATCTGCTGTATCGTCGTGTGTTATTGCTTACCGGCTTCAATCTATCCAGCAACCAACAAGCATCGACGATGGCTAGCTGTGCTTCCTTTTCGTTTGCTGCATGTGGATGACGCAATGAAACGCCTTCCGCGATGCTGGCCAGCAATGAGACTGTGTCGCCCAAACGGGACATGTTCCAGTTGGTCACCAGTGCATTGCTTCATACCTTCGATGCCTCACAGCATCGTCAGATCAACATCAACAATACAACACGACCGCCGGGCTAATGTGAAATTAACCGGTCGGTTCTACATGAGGATCATCGATGATAATAGAAATTTCCAATGCTTGAGCTGACATCTCAACCGCTGGGCGAGGGCTTAGGCGCTACTACCTCCTCTTCTCGCTACGAACTGCAACCCACGTTTAGATCTGGCTGTGCCTCTCAAACGTCAGGTACCGTCGCAGTTCTCGTGAGTTACTATACTGTTCCCCGACCTCCCGTTCCCATCACCATGTGTCGGATCAGCTCCACCCCCTCCCTTCCTCTCAGCTTACTTGTTTACTTGCAGAATAAACACCTCAGGCTCCACCCCCAGCGATGGGGCCAAGCCGCCAGCAGTAACCTTTGATCGCAAGGTATTATTGGAGCGGGGTCTTCGTCACTCCTCGGCGCCCTGGCGGGGAGCACAACATGGGGCGCGTCCATATTCATATTGAACACGACATGCGTGTTACATGATGTATGTGCAGTATGGTACAACCACACCTGATCCAAGCACTCACCGCTCCAACTACTGCCTCCAGCCGTCCGAGGGGATACACCACGTTGGCCACAGGCCATGCTGGATGGTCGTTGACGACTAGCAGGATCTCTAAGACATCAATGGAAGGACAGAGACCTGTCATAGACGCAGGCGATGGATATTAGAAAGAGCCCAGGCAGCCTGATCATCCTCCGTGCAGCGTTCAATATCCGTAGACAGCCTCGAGGATGAACATGCATGCACCTGGTGGTAACATACACATTACTGTGTACCCCGATGCCATGTATGAGTTCATCCGTGCGCCCCACGCCCCAGTCACTTTGCGCCCCAAAACCAAAGGACACTGTGCCTATGATTGTAACTGCACGTTACCTTACTACCACGCGCGGGAAACCATGCGCCACGCTTCCTTTGGCCATTTCGTACGCCTACTCAGCACCTGCTTCCAGCCGCGAGACCTGGCCCTCACAATACTGTATTTTGGGCAGCGGAAAGGGGCATGCATGACTTCCAGATGGGCCTCGATCTCGCATGGTCACTGACAGATTTAGTCGAAGACTTCTTCATTAGGTATTTTGTCGCCGCAAGTCTTTCGGTGGCACTGGAAACAGACGTTGGAACAGCTAATATACTGATTTCCTCATTGACCGCCTGGTCTCGAGTCGGAAGAAAATAGCATGACCGTCCCAACGCTCTGGTCCTCCTTGGGTAGCAGCAAAGATGTTTTACTTCATCCATTACGAGAGGATAGAATTTCAGTCACCCGCCGTTAGGCTATAGAAAGTCTTTGGCATTGGTGGGAAGACGATGACGATTGACTCTACTGCACCTCACAGGCATCATTCAATAGTCACTGCACTGGTTTCCCATATGCAAGGCGTCTCACTGCTCTCTACAGATGACCTACCGTAGCCTTATACTCCGCAGAAACCTGCAGCCGCTTCCATCACGCTGCATGATCAGGGTTTTCCCACTTCGTTCAGGAAAACCTCTACAACCTCCGATTTGGCCCACCAAATTTCTCTTCTCCAAATCTCAGGGCGGACCAGAGTGATTGCTGCAGGATCGCCTATGATCGGAACGGAAGCAGAACTTCCAGCTTGACCACGAGCTGCCATGACCAGGTCCTCAGCAGGCATCGCCATCTCCGGAAGTATGCACTGTACACAAAATCCCATTCTTAGGGTCTTCTCCTCGGCTCATCGAGGTAAGCATCTATTGGCTTCGTGTGACTTTACCATTCTGGGGGTAACAGTACATCAGCTGGTCCTATATTCGCATGACACGCACGGCACAGCTCCCACCGACCGCACAGCTTTCTCTCCATTGTCCACAAACAGACATACAACTCAGAATTTCTCTACTTCCCGATTCTAATAGCGAACCCGACCAGCCTCTCGCGGCGAGCCCGTTCTCGTGCTGGCTGGAATGATCGCCACTGTCGGTTGTAGAACCTACGACCACATGGCTCGATTCTCCCATGGTGATGTACAGTACATACATACAGGCAACGACCTGAATCTTGCATCGTGCGGGTGGAGGTAGGTAGCTGCGGTCAGCTGGCCAGCATATGAGGCGACTGGGTGTGTGTATGTGTGTGCTACAAGCACATCACATCACCTATTCCACTATGTGTCTCTTTCTCTCTCTTCTCCTTTACGGAGTACTCCGCGAAGCTTCCAAAGAGGTAGTTATGTTCGGAATGTCGCCAAAGGCATCATTGAGATCCCCACGCAATGGGAGATTCGAAGCGAACCGTGGACTATTGTTGTAGACACTGGGCCACGTTTCTTCCCAAGACCAGGAACGTACATACATACCATACCCTTCGTACCTCCACTCAGCCCGCCCTCTCGCCTTGCGCGTGGGTGCGAGAAGGCTACATCTGGAGAGCATATCGATCCCGATACCCAGGTTCACATGCGTGCTCTTCGTGTGGGTTCCGCGTGAACGGAGTAGATGTCGTGATTTGGTTTTGATATTACAGAGCTCCTGACACTTTTGGAAGAGCTGTGAGATTCTTTAGTACCCTTCTTCGTTGATTCTTTAATGCCAAAATGATGATGATTTGTTCTATTTTGTCTTTGCCTTATCGTGGGAATCATCCAAGAATTTACCAAGTACGGAGCAAGTGTGCACTTTTCGCTCCTATGGCAGAGGACCACTTATTCACACTTGCAGACTCAGACATACCCGTACCGACAAATTGACACGATCTCGCATACACGTGCACATTAAATCGTCGGGTTCTGCACAGCGCGAAGGCGTGACAATCATTGCATTTACCTCGGACACCAAACGAGACAAGCAAACCGGCAGTATGGACTTAAGCAGGCAACGAATCGAACATTAATATCCCTCGTGCCTGAAAGGGTAAGTAAGGCATCGAGTTCGGGGCACGAGGGATCGAAGATCATTCAGCCCGGGGACGAGAATGGGATTTCTCAATTTTCTTTCTTTCCTTTTTTCCCACAAGCCGATGAGACAGGCGTGGAGACGATAAATGTCATTCGCGTGGATATGTCGCGCTGGGGCTTTGTTTGGGAGTGGAGTAGAGCTGATGCGCTGGCTTCCTTTTTTCATGTGGATGTGGTGTAGTGGGTTCCCGATGGAGGCTTATTACCTTTTGCCAATTATCGTTGGTGCTCACTGCCTGCTCGTTATGCAGGGACTAGACTGGCTGGAGGGAAGAAGGACGGGGCTGGGCTGGATGATCGGATCTCAGATCTTTGCCTGATTCTGAGGGGGAATTTCTGGGGTAGATTGAGTGTACGGAGTACTTGTCTCGTGTACTTGTTTACTTGTACGAATAGTAAATCGACACTTTTCGCTAATTGATTGATCGGGGATGGAATACCTGCCTAAAGAGTCGAGGATGGGCTTTTGGCTGGGGATGAATGGCATTTGCTAATAACGATACGCATCGATTTCTCTACCTCGTTAATTGATTGATTAACCAACATAGGACTGATCATGGTTTTGAAGGATCAGCTTTAGCATACAAGTACATATTTCTCTATATTCTCTCTGTTGTCCAAGTCCTCTATCAATATGCGCTTTCTTTCGATTGACAGCATTGATCAATAATAACTCCGCTTCGATTCCACTTTTTTTATTCCACTGTATTTGCACATGTACTCCATATCGAGTACCATATCCATACTATCAAAATCGCGGTCGCAGTCGCAGAAGTAGTTGTTAGGTTTTTATTTTGCCGATGGCCGCCGTGTTGAAGCAGAACGACGTCACCAGTACCAAAGTAGGTACATAGTTGCTTTGCTGGTACCGGTACCTGTACCTGAAAAGATGGACTAGCCCAACCAGAAATGCACGACACATGGACAGTAACTACGAGTAATCATCTACCCATTATGACAATGACAAGCTAGATACGAGTAGTACCTAAACAATTTTCACAACTTCAAACTTCAAAGTAACTTTCTTCATGAGTGGGTTGGGTAATTAATTGGATTAGCCAAGAGGGACGGATGTTCGGCCACCGATCGTTCCTGTCCAAGCTGTGCCTGATGGATGGACTTGACGAGGTTGAGAGGCGATCGAGAGGCGAGGTCAAATAAGATCTTAGTTACTGTGTACTGTGTATGTACCTAGATAGACCGTCAGCGAGTGATGTCTCTCTCTGCTGAGTTTATCCATTTTTCTGATTTGCCTTGATTCGACAATCTTTTGCTCGGCGCTAAGTCATCCGACGACGCCGTCATGACTTTTCATTCTCAACCCAACCCAACCAGCCAGACTTGCCTGTCCTGTCTCGTCCTTGGATTGACTTGCCTTTCCCTGTCCTATCCTGTCCTGTCCTGTCCTGTCCTGTCATCGTCTAATAATCTCGTAAACTCTGCTTGACCTCTCCACTTCCACCTCCATCACCACTTCCGCTTACTACCAACTTCAACCTCTCTCCTGCTACCATCTTCCTCGGCGACACCTTAACCTCCTGCTCACCCCACCACTGCTCACGCTACATTCACACACTCCTTTCGAATTCGTTCGTCCACCGCATACTTTTCCTTCATAACCATCCTCTGCGGCCGCTGCAATCTTTCGCTTCCCGCTGTTCTCCCTCGCTTGCACCGCCATGCCTATCCGCAATCCCTTTCGTCGAGCCGGCGGCGTCGAGGTTATCGATGAAAACCAGCGGCCCTCCGCGGATCGCGGTTTCCAGAACACTGCTGTCAACGGCACAAATCCTGTTCAAATCAAAGAGCCTACAGAATATAAACTGAGTGGTATGGACATGCCCCCATTTCAGTATTGTTTCACTGCTTTCCATCCAATCCTCCCCGCGCTGAATCCAAGCCTCGGCGGAGGTCCTCGGATGGTGCCCATTCAAACATTGAACTGCGCCAGTGCTTACATTGTGCTCTTATAGAAATCAACGATAGCGGGGTCTATCTTCCGGTACGATTACACCATTACTCTTTTCATAGCACTCGCTGCAACAACGGCGTCCTCCACAATATGAAAGATACATACTTGCGCAACCTCATTTACTGATTGCCATGATAGCCTTCGCCGACCACCGAGAAGCCAGCATTTTGGCATTCCAAATCCAATGCCTCAACCACGTCCTCCAACCATCGAAGTCTCTTGAATGAAAACGAACCCTTCAACATCTCCAGAGAAAGTTTCGATTCGTATCGGAGATCATTCGTACGTCGGCAGCCGCTGCAATTGATCAAAACATATGCGACATAAACTGACGCCCACTTCTAGGATATCTCCGCTCGCTCCCCGGTGATCGAGAACGACACCTTCCCCAGAGGATCCCTCGATGCTCGACGATCGTTAGACACAAGACGCTCCCTTGATGTACGCCGTTCGCGAGCCCCTCCACGTTCATCCCTCCAAGAACGCCGCACCGAGGAAACCCCTGAGGAAGGCTTCGAGGATGTAGGCCTCAACGACGAGCCAAAGCCGCAGGCGAAGAAGCGTGGCCTTTTCGCTCGCTTCGGAGATAACGCAGATGCCCCCCACGAGGATAAAGATCGACCGACATCCAGCCATCTCCACTTCAACTTCACAGGCCGGAAGCGAGCGCAAAGTGGTGGACAGGGCTCCGAAATGAAGCCCATGAACAACAAGAATGCTCCACTCAAGCCTGAAACCGCCGTTTAAAGGACGACGCTCGGCAAAACAAGCACAAACGAAACTTTGAAAGTACGAAGAGATGATTGAGAAGTCCACTACCTGCATCTATCTTGGTGCGACCATTCCGCGTTGCCTCAGGATCGTGCATCTGTTTTAAATATCTACATAAAGCATCGCGGCGTTTATTGGGCAAGGGGCGGTAACGTCATATATCAATGATATCACCGGGCGGACCGCACAAACCACTAGCCAGTACCAAGATGTAATGAAATGAAACGAACGGGGAGGAAGTGAGCGGAGAATTGGGAATCTGGCTGGTTGGTACACGCTGCCCGGAACGCTTATACCACAATCGTTACATCTGTATTTAATACCTCTCCATACGATATTGTATATGCACCCTTACGTTTCCTTCGCTTTTGGGCACAGAATGGACGGGAGCTTATAGGATCCTTTCGGCGTTACGTTATGATCATTGCTTCACCCCTAGGTACATTTGGGAATGAAAGGGAAGCTGGGATTTTGGATACTGTTGGAGGGAAGTAACATATCATGCATTCGCTGAATATACTTATCTCTTTGAACAATATACGCAGAGCCAATTTCCTCATTGATCAAGTGTCTTCTGAATTCCTTCATGCGACCCAATTGACAGTCGTATGCCTAATCATATACAGCCATATCTTCTCAAAAGGTATTGAGTTCAACCATAAATTTATTTGCACAGCATAGTAAGACAACCAATGAAATAAGTTTAGGACTAAGACAAAGATCTGTTTGGTCAATGCAGGCTCAGATTGTTGCCTGAACTATCCGCTGTCCAACTAGTGAGGACATCATCACGTGAGCGCGCGAATCGTCGCCTGCCGTATTTTGTCCACGACGCGTCCACGCCGTCGCCACTTCTCTCCTCCTTCAGCTTCGCACATACGACTCACAATTCATTTCCAACGTTCCCAGATTGATCCTCTCTAATCGCAGCAATGAGTACCGAAGAGGAACAGTACGACGAAAGCGCCATGGGTGCCCCTGGTGCGCCCACGCCTATATCTGCCCTGGAGGTAATGCGGCTCGACGCAATGCCATGTCTTCGCATGGGCTGACTCTGGTTCTAGGGTGTCAACGGCTTGACGGCGCGCGACATCAAGCTCGTGATGGAGGGAGGGTACAACACAGTCGAGTCCATCGCTTATACGTGAGTCTGCTACGGGATTTGCACTTGAGCTATCATCTTACTGACACCAATCGCAGCCCAAAACGAACCCTCGAACAGGTCAAGGGTATCTCTGAGCAGAAGGCGACGAAGTTCCTCCAAGAAGGTAATGTTTGTTTCTCGCTTTCGTGACACGGAGACTAATTGTGCCCAGCGTCTAAGCTTGTCCCAATGGGTTTCACAACAGCGACCGAGATGCATCAACGACGCAGTGAACTGATATCTATCACAACCGGCTCCAAGCAACTTGATACCCTACTTGCTGGTGGAATCGAGACCGGGTCCATCACAGAGATTTTCGGAGAGTTCAGGACAGGAAAGAGTCAAATATGTCACACACTCGCTGTTACCTGCCAGCTGCCGTTCGACATGGGTGGCGGCGAAGGCAAGTGCTTGTATATTGATACTGAGGGAACGTTTCGTCCGGTGCGATGCCTCGCGGTCGCTGCCCGTTACGGTCTGTCTGGAGAGGAAGTTCTCGATAACGTCGCATACGCTCGCGCATACAATTCAGATCATCAGCTTGAGCTTCTCAACCAGGCCGGACAGATGATGACGGAAACGAGATTTTCTCTACTTATTGTGGACTCTGCTACTTCCCTCTACCGAACAGATTTCTCAGGGCGTGGCGAACTATCAAGTCGACAGACGCACTTGGCCAAATTCATGAGAGCGCTTCAACGACTTGCCGATGAATTCGGCATTGCGGTGATAATCACCAACCAGGTTGTTGCACAGGTTGATGGTGGACCAAGTGCAATGTTCAACCCTGACCCCAAGAAGCCTATTGGCGGTAACATTATCGCACATGCAAGTACAACGCGGTTAAGTCTGCGAAAAGGAAGAGGAGAGACTCGTATATGCAAGATCTACGACAGCCCATGCCTGCCTGAGAGCGATTGCTTATTTGCGATTAACGAGGATGGCATAGGCGATCCTAAAGAGAAGGATCTCGAGAATCACTAAGTGATTGGATTGGATCAATCGTGTTCAGAACATTTTCCTCAACATTGTATCTTGCGCATTCGGGAGGCGTTGTTGAGTTAGGCTGGGTTATGGGGAGTGATGGTGACTACTAAGATCAAGAGTGCTTTTTTTAGCTTCTTACGATATTCACACGTTTTATGTCTCATTAGACCTACTGCAACGTTCCAATGTTTCTTTGTAGATCCTTGCTTGTAATATAATAATGAATGATAAAGAGATCGTGTTGTGGCTGAACGTGCGTGGCTCAAGCTTTGACGCTAACAAAGCAACCCTGCCTCGACGGAGCTCTCCAAAGTTTTGTTTGATGCGCGACCTCGATCAACATCAACACCCCCCAGTTGTGCGCGCAACCGACTCACGCTCCTTTCATCCACAGTCCTGCGCATGATTGACAATGGCAAATAACAGGGGCACCTGCCTCTACACCGAGGCGCGACTTAACATTCAGCCCGCATACCCAGGTTCGACCATCGCTTTCACTCTACCCGCAACTACGACTTCAACCTTCGGCACGCGTACACAACCCAAGCGGAGCGTTGTAAATGACGAGAGCATCGGCCAGGATGAGGGCGAATTTGCGAGACGTCATCTAGGGACCGATGGGTCCATGTACTTCAGGCGGAAACAGGATTCTTACCCGAGATCTTTGCTTTGGCGACTCCTGGACAAACGAAAGGCCCTCGAGATACAGGCGGTGGATCTCGACCAGGATTCCAGAGGCACACATGAAGCAAACCTCACCATAATTCTACAGTTCTCCGCGCCGATTCGACCATTCTGCATCGCCTTCGCCGAACCAGACGATCGAGACGCGGTTACGATATTTGCCATCACCTCTGCCAACGACCTATATTCAATAACCCTGCATCGCGATTTCTTCAGCAACCCAACCGCCTCGGAGCAGGATATTGGCGATTGGTGCAAGAGGTCTTCCATCAACCAATTTGTCCTCCGTGTTCCGTACCGCCTCACCGCTTTGAATCACAACGAATTGCTGGTGTCGTTGGACAATGGAGGGATATTACAGCTAAAAAGAGATGCCAAAGATGAACTCGCGTGGTCGGAGATCCTTTATCAACAGAGCAGCTGGACAGGCTCTGTGCGAGGTTGGCTACCATGGAAGGGAGAGCAGAAGATACGATTCGACAACACGGACTTGGACGCAACTGCCGCCGCCGCAGTCGCATTGTCCCCCGACAAACAGCACATTTTCTCTGTCTGCCTGAACCACCGGCTCCGTGTATGGAACATCGCATCTGGCAGACCGGGCCTCCAGTTGGACCTCCTTGGTGAACCGATTCATACCAACGAGAAGACAACGCCGTATTTCATTGGACCCTCACAGCTGGGGCTTATGTCGGTTGTCAACATCCAAGGTGGTGTTGATGGCGCTCTGTATCACGTTGTTACCTACTCACCGAAGCAGCACCAGTTCAAATTCTGGGGCATCCGAGACGCCGATGACCTGGAACTTGGATTCTACGAAGTGAAGCAGGGTGTCGACTTCATCCCGCCTGTTGACGAGCTAATGGACTCCACGGTCTGGACGTTGGAGGAATTCATCATCAACCCTGGACCGGCCGGGTGGAGGGGCACAGAACTCTGGATCCGGGCACGATCGGGACCTAGCAGCAGAGTGTATTCGCTCAAATTCGACCTGAATGAGGATTCCAAGAAACTAGCCGAGATATGGAAGAACGAATGGGTATCGGTGGATTTGGGACCCCTGACTATCGATGCATTGAAGACGAATCCCTCCAACCCGAGCGATGCGGAAATAGATCCCTCGGAAGCATTCGATCTAGCCTCGACAGAAAAATGGCTCGATTTCCTATTCTTCCCAAGCCGATTCACGACGGCAACACTGGAAACAGCATTGGTCGTATTCCAAAGAGGGTTCAGTCAGGAGAAAGGAGCTCAAATTCCTACACGGGGTTCGCTGAAAGAACGGATTTGCTCGACTATTGGAGCATTTGCAGCTATCAGATGCCCTGAAGATTCTGATGCGCTTGCGTTTGAAGAGTCCGTGGCTGCTCAGTGGCAAGCGTTCTACGGACTGATCAGGGATCTGCACAAACGTCGAGGAGAGTCTTTGTCTCTGGTATACGATTTCAAGGAAGATATGCCGTGGCTCGTCCAAAGCGACTATGTCACAGCAATTCGCCAATGCAGTGAGCCAGAAACGTTCAGGCTTAACGTCTCTGCACTGTCTTCCTCTCGGTCCCTTAGCGGCCCCCTTCGCAAACAGCTCCCTAACAACGAGACTGGCGACGTAGCGAGATTGTTGAATGCAGCGGCCTCCTTCCGACGGGGCCTTCCTACTTCGTTCCAACAACAACTGCAGGATCAGGTCGAGGCCGAGCTTCTTCAAAGCCAGTCGCTGTCCATCGTAGACCGCATGGAGCTGCTCGAGCAGAATCTCGATTTGTCCCGTCAGGTCTCTGACGAGGATCTTTCTTTGCTTGTCGAGGATCTAGGAATGGATGTGAAGGATCTGACAACGGACAAGTTCCTACACGCCATCTCCCTGTTGGGCCAGAAAGAGGAAGGGTCACTGAACCGAAAGAGACAAGCAACGCGTTACGGCGTCCAAGCGCTTATCACTATTTCTCAGGAAGTTCTCCAACTTAATTACAGCACCCTGCTGGATCTTCTGGTCCTGGTCCTGTTCATGCAGTTCGAAGAGGACCTATCGGAGGAGTTTGAGGCATCAGAGGTCTACATCGAGTTGATCAACCAGCTCAAGGACTGTGTTGTGTTGACCTGGTTGGCCAGCAATGCTTGGGCGAACCAAGCCTCGACGGGACCTAGTTCAGAAAACATGATGAAGCACCTTTCAGACACGTACAATCTGTCGCGGAAGCTTCCTCTTACACAGACTGTCCTGGAAGGGATCTATGGCCACAGAGCTTTCGACCTTTCAATACCAAGGGTGCTCAAGAGCAACTTCCTGACATATTGGGCAAGAGCATGGTTGAGTCAAACGTTTGAGCATCGTGGGTATGATGCCACTCTGGACGATATCATGGGAATATTGTTACTACAGAAAGAGTATGTGGTAGCTGCTCGGTTTTCAAAACTACTGGGCGACGACAACTACACGACGTATCTCAAGGGTCGGATGCATGTAGCGTTGGGAGAGAACCACCTAGCTTCGATTTGCTTTCAGAAGGCTGCATATCACCTCGGTAGGATATTTCAAGATGCTGTGTGAGACTGTTTGCTAACAAACACAGGCGTCGGCATGTTCAGCCTCGAAGATGCGGATACCATCAACTTGATCCCGGTAGACCAGCAAGATTCGTTCTCGGATGGTCTCCCCAAGTACTATCACCACGTCCTTGGACTGTTTGAGAAGGTCAAGGCGTACACATACGTGGCAGATTTTGCTCGACTAGGCCTCAGAGCGTTGAACGGAAATGAGAACGAAGAGCTGAAGACGGACCTTCTTCTACGCCTTTTCACTGCATCTGTCCAGACTTCGAGGTTCGACGAAGCATACACAGCACTTACCAGACACACCAATTCAGCACTGTTAGTACGCACCTGTTTAACTTGTTTCACTCGCTAACATTTCCTAGCAGATTCTCAGACTTGCGTAAACTTGTCAAAGTGATGATTCAGCAAGACCAAACGCAAGCACTCTTGAAGTTCCCGTTCGTTGGACTGGTGGATGATGTCGATAACATCCTTACTGATCTCTGCCACAATACTCTGAACCTTTCCTCTGGCCCTCCATACTATGAGATACTATACGCTTTCCGCATATCGAGAAACAACTTCCGAGGCGCAGCTGCCATCTTATATGAGCGACTCCAGCGGCTCAAGACAACCTCATCACAGGCCCACGACCCCGCGGATGAATCATTAACGCAATGCTACCTCATGATCATCAACACACTATCATCTGTCAGCAAAGAGGACGCATATCTCCTCGCAGATCAACGCATTGCCGATCCAGGGGCGCCACAGTGGGGTCTCGGGAAAGCAAAGAAGTCCTTGACCAGGCAGATCGTGACGCTCGATTCCCTGAGAAAAGAGTACCAGGCCGAGTTGGACCGTGTAGAAGCAATTGAGAACGGACAATACCCCTTCCTGGATAATGGCGACGACATGGACATCTTGTAATGCCGATGTTATGGGCTTCTTAGCGTGGCGTTTCTTGTTTCATTTATTGGGATGGGTCCGGTCAGATCAAATGGAATCTTGGAAGAGAGTCGGGGAAGGAACTGAAGGAATTCAGAAATTCACTTTGTAGCATTGGGCTTTACCCTCATATATGTAGTACCTAAAGTAAAAGAATCTTACCCTTAATGGGACTTTCAGACACAAAACTCACCGCTTCTTGCAACCTGTTTCTAGATCATCACCATTCTTACGAGCCATTGGCTTAGGGATGGTTAATTAGTGCGATACTCCGAATATCAAAATCACTGAGCTTTCCTAATGCGGAGAAAAGCACCAAACAAACGCGCTACCGCATATCAGGCTAGCCCTGCGGATCAGTGGGGCCGGGCGCGCTCTCCAACATACAGAGTACACCACCATCACTTGTCGCGCAGCCACTCGCGCAATCGACGCGCAAAGTTGCTTCAAAGCCAACTCTCCAAAGCCCTAATGCCACCTCGAAATCTCGAAATCCTTTCCTTCTTCTAGAACCTCGACGGAGGTCTTCACAAATTTCCTATCATGGTATGTAAACAACCTGAATACAAACAGTGCCTGCCACGCTGTCTACACATAATCGCGTCCCTCACCTCGGGGAATAAAACCTAACAAGAGCGCTATCACCAGGCTTCGAAATCCATGCGCCGCATAGCAGCAGACGTCGGATCACTGCACCGAGCCGGCCTCCCACCAAACTACCTCTTCCCACCTAATGCCTCGGACGCCGACCTCACGAGCCTCGACGTCCTGCTCGCAGGACCCCCAGGAACACCCTACGCCACTGGAGTCTGGCGCCTGCACCTCGAGATCCCGCCGACGTACCCGACAGCTCCCCCGACCGCGACATTCCTCACCAGGCTATGGCACCCGAACATCGACGAGGCGACCGGCGCCGTGTGCGTCGAGACGCTCAAGCGCGACTGGAGCTCCTCGCTGAAGCTGCGCGACGTGCTCGTCACCATCTCGTGTCTGCTGATCCAACCGAATCCCGCGAGCGCGCTCAACGAGGCGGCGGGCAAGCTGGCCAGCGAGGATTGGGACGGGTTCTGCAGGCGGGCGAAGCTCATGACGGATATCCACGCTGCGGTGCCGAGGGATTTGGTGGGCGAGGTGCGGGAAGCGCAGATGAGGGGGGAGGATGTGGAGATCGTGGCTGTTAAGGAGGCTGCGTCGAGCGCGGTTGCTAAGGTCCAGCAGAGCTCGGCGGAGGACGAGGAGAATAAGAGGAGGAGAGGGGTTACGGCGGAAGTGGAGAGCGACCCTGAGAGTGACTGGATACCTAGTTTGGGGAACGTGAAGGCATCCGAGGGATTCACTGCTGGTGTTGATAGCAGAGATAATATCTTTGGGATCAAGGGACTCGATGACCCTATGCAGCTGGATAGCCCCCCGAAAAGGACCGTTTCCAGTGGTGTCAAGGAAGACGTGCAACAGAAAGAGAATGGCGATGATGATTCGGATCCCTTCATCACGACCTCGCCAAAGCAGGATACTCAATTGTCGTTCGAGCTATATGTTCCGCGCCCATCGTCTTCATTCAGTAGGACGAAGTCATCCGGCATCTCGACCGACGACTGGGAGTCCCACGTCCGCCCAAACTCATACCTGGCCACTCCATCCGGCGAGCAACTCCGTTCTCTAGTCGAGGAATTCTCATTGCCATGGCACGAGTCTCAGATCTTGCACGGGAGCGGCTCAATTAAGAACGGCACCCCCAGAGCCGAGGTCCGGAAGAGAATGGCAGGAGAGGAGTACGAAAGTAGAAGGAGTTGGGAGATGAAGAAGTTCAAGGGCACCGGCTACGATCTCGCGAAGTACAATCGTGGAGATTTCGGTCCAAGGACTGGCATTGGCCGTCTTTGAGACTGAATTCGTCTGTTCCTTGCCTCTGCTCTCACTAAATGGTTGGGGGTCTTGGGTGGCTTTGTGGTGACGTCTCGGCGTGATGAATCCGCCATCTTCTGCTTTACTTTGCTTTGCTTTGCTTTTCAGCATTGCCCGGTGTATCGGGTGTTCATCATTATTTGCCTGTGTGGCTCGGCATGGGAGACCTCGCGGGGAATCTGCTTCACGACGGCTACGAGAATGCATGGGAGGGAGTCCTTGGTAGTTCTGGTATCATGATCCAGATTTCATATTGCATCAGCTCACTTTTTTCGAGCACATTTGACCTTCTCGCTACGGCCGGTTGGTAGTTACTTCCATTCTGGCGGCTTAGAAAGCCGCATTAATACACATTAAGAGTACTGTAACATGCACTCAACAACATAACAGCATTACTCTATGGGCCTATTCATAGTACTATTAAATATAAATCATGCCCTCATTGGGAGCTGGAGGTGAGATTATCTCGCCACGTGATGTCCTGTTCGCTTAAAGCAAGAAGTCTTGGCACAGCAAAGAGAATATCGAAATCGAACCCCACCAAACCTTTTCGCGACAGCAACATTCGAATAATATGGCCGACGCAAGCAAGGAAACGCCGCTCAAGGCGGTGCAAATCGAGGCGCTGGTGGTCATGAAGATCATCAAGCACTCCAGCCAGTCTTTCCCCACCACGGCGACGGGATTCCTTGTGGGAATGGAGGCGTCCGGCACACTCCAGGTCACCAACTCGTTCCCCTTCCCCACCGTGGACGCCCCAGCTTCCGATGGCCACCAGGACTCTTCATCGAACCTCGCTGCGGCCGCGCCGCGCGCAAAGTCCAATGTCGCCTACCAGAATGAGATGATCAAGTACCTCCGGGAGGTCAACGTCGACGCGAACAATGTGGGCTGGTACACGAGCACGAGCATGGGCAACTTCGTCAATGTCAACACGATTGAGAACCAATTTTTCTACCAGAAGGAGTTGAACGAGAAGACCGTTGCTCTCGTTCATGACGTGAGCCGTAGCTCTCAGGGCAGCCTCAGCCTCCGCGCTTACAGGCTCTCGCCTTCGTTCGTCGCTGCATACAAGGAGGGAAAATTCACAACCGATAGGTAAGGAGATTTGCAGCACCGAATTGTTGTTGGACTTGGATTCTAACGGTATTGTACAGCCTCCAAAAGAGCGGACTCCGCTACCAGGACATTCTGGTCGAACTTCCTTTGACGATCCACAACTCCCACCTCCTCACCTCGCTCCTGCACCAATTGCCTGCCGATGCTCCCAAGGAAGAGCTCGCTTTCCCACCCAACCTAGCCGCTCTGCAGCAGGACCCCAACACCCCCAACCCACCGCTGTACCCCAACTTCGACTCCCTGGACCTCTCCATCGACCCCTTCCTCGAGAAGAGCTGCGATCTCCTCCTCGAGAGCATCGAGAACCACCACACAGAACTCAACAACCACCAATACTACCAGCGATCATTGGCTCGTGAGCAGGCCAAGATCACCGCATGGCAGCAGAAGCGAAAGGCAGAGAACGCCGCCCGCGCCGCCTCGAAACAGGCTGCGCTGCCGGAAGACGAGTGGCAGAGGCTTTTCAAGCTGCCCCAGGAGCCGAGCAGGTTAGAGACTCTGCTCAACTCCCGGCAGGTGGAGCAGTACGCAAGGCAGGTGGATGGATTCGCGGCTGGTGTCAGCACCAAGATGTTTGCTGTGAGGAGCAACTTGATGCCCGGAGAGTAAGAAGTAAAATTCGGGGCCGGGAGAAAGGGCGATGTTTTTCCTTCGAGATTAATTCACACGTCTTATGCTTCTTAAGAATAGCATTGGGCATGGCGTTGGGGATGGTAGACTTCTCCTCTAGGCATGTCCCTCTTCGCGACGGGACTGAAAATGAGAAAACCGGCACATGCGCCGGAAATATATTTGCATGGCTACCAAGAAAACAGGACAACAGTGGAGTCCGTGCGAATACGTATTGGCCCCTTAGTGATGTCAGCGATGGGCGTGAGCAGTGAAATATTGGATCGGTACGAGCAGTAGTATGTACGGAGCACTATGTAGTAGTTTATGCTGGATGCCACCTGTTGGCTGGCGCGCCGGGTCGGTGCCTGAGATATTGAGAAATTGACCAAACTTGGCTTACGGCAAAATGCGATCTATGACCAGTCTGACAAAGAAATCCCAAAACCCATAACCACGCAACTCCCATAAACATTTCTCACCACACAGAATCAAAGGGCCCGCCATGAAAGGGCCAACCGAGACAATCACCGACCCGTTTCCACTCCGATTGCCCAAGCGACCCAGATCTTCACCTTGACGGCCTTGGCAACTGGAATAACGGTGGCCAACGGCCACAGGCTCAGAAGCCATGAACATCCACCACCCTATCCGGACCCTACAGCCCGCCGACCTCCAGCGGCTCCAGCAGCAGTCGAATGACGGGTCGCTCCACCAACACCTGCAGTCGCTCCAGCCGGGACTGCAGGGCCTCGATGCGATATCGCAGAACCCGGGCGACGCGGCCCTGTTCCAGCAGCGATACCTAGGCGATGGATCGCAGCACGCGTCGCAAGCAGCGGTCCCGCACCAACATCCTCACCCCTTACATGCGCCCAATCCCTTCGAGCACAATACCGGATTGCCTCAGTCCCAGGCGCAGTTCCAAGGCCTTCCGGGCGGTTACCAGAACGTGAATCGATACAACTTGCTGGCCGGGCCACAGCAGCACATCCAACCTCCCCCGCCCCCGCACGCCCTCTCCCAGACCTCTCCACAGCAGTTGCAGCAGATCCAGGCCCAGCGACTCCCGGATCTCGAGTTACAGACGGAATTTATACAGGCTCAGGCACAGGCGCAAGCGCAGGCTCAGGCACAGGCTCAGGCGCAGGCTCAGGCGCAAGCACAGGCTCAAGCACAAGCGCAGGCACAAGTCCAGGCGCAGGTTCAGGCTCAGGCGCAGGTTCAAGAAGCGGAGGATTATCCCGCGACAACGAGCCATGGTCAGTTTGAGGGACTGAAGCTGATACCGCACCCGCCGGATTTGGCGGAATGGCGAGAGAAGCTGTTCCACGTTGATGATATCATCACGCTGACGGAGGAGGAGTATGTGTAGCCCCACCGCTGGCGATGGCGACTGTTAAAAACGAATCTCTCTAACTTAAGCATAGGTTCCAAGTCTACTTCCCACACATCGACAATGTCTACTCGCACCGCTCTACACAACGACACAAGCGCAAACGCTTCGTCTCCCACTACTGGGACTGCCGACTAAAGGGCCGGCCACCAGGAACTAAGAAATCCACCGACCCCGACAAGAAGAAGCGGAAGCGCGTTGCGCGGGAGCGGGACCTATGCGATGTGAAAATCAAGATCACGGAGTTCTTCGATGGCAACGAGTTGGCGGAAGAGACGGGGCAGCAGCCGCCCATGGACATGGACATGGACACAGACACCACGGCCGTAGACGGAAACTTCTTCCCCCAGACGCAGGTGCCGCCGCAGCAGGTCAGCCCTTGGGGCATGCCGATGCAAGTTCAGCAACAGCAGCAGCAACACCGGCCGATTGACAAGCCGAGGAAATTCTACACGATCCAGCGAGTTAATGGAAATGGCGGGAATGGCAAAGGCGACGGCGTTGCTGGACCGCATAAACATTCGCTCGAGGAGAGTGACCGCGTGAAGAAGAACAGTGTCGTCCGGTGGATGATGAAGAACGAGAAGGACAAGAAGAAGGTGCAGGTGAGTCTATCTTTTCCTTTTCAGTGATCCCGCATATCTACATCCGCGTCTCTCTGTTTGCGCCTACAACGTGATATCACTTCTGCATGCTACGCATACGTTGAGATTGTTTTTGTCCCTTCCATCAGTACATACAGTGCTGCACCGCCTCAAGACGGCTTGGGGAGTTGCTATGGTATGAAAGACCTATGATCGACATAAGCCATTGGTTCTAGATGTTCTAGTCACGTCATGGTGAACGTACGATGCATATGGGCATTCAACATATTCTCGCCATGGCGAATTTCGCAGATACATGCTCAGTCCAACCACTGGCATTAAATCTGCAGCTCCATTTTCATCATGCAGCCGCCGACGCGCGGCATAGTTTCTTTATCTCTTCGAACAAGCACTCTCTCCCCGTACTACACGCTACCCAGATTTCAACCCCCAGTCACATATACGTCTACTGCTGTCTCTTCACTTACATTTCGTTTTTGCTTTTCTACTTCAAAATCTCTCACGTTCAGGATGACCGACGCAAACCAGGGCAGTGACACCACCAAAAAGACGTACCACAAGAGGGCGACCGGCAATGCTCTTTCAACTGTGAAGCTTCACATGAAAGAGGATGATCTAAAGCTGTATGGAAGCTGTTTCTGGTGAGTACACCTCTCCCTAACCGCGTCTCAAATGCTGCAGCAATCGTACAGTAGCAGTATGCAATCGATAGCAGATGACGTCAACCTTCTCGAACACACCCCAGCTAACCATTTCCGCGCTAGCCCCTTCGTCCAACGCGTATGGATATCTCTCGAAGCCAAGGGGATCCCATATCAATACATCGAGGTGGATCCCTACAAGAAGCCGCAGTCTCTCTTGGACATTAATCCTCGCGGTCTCGTGCCTGCGATCCGGCACGGGCCGTCATGGTCGACGCACGAGTCGACGGTGATTATGGAGTACTTCGAGGACATAGGTGGTCCACGGTCCTCCCTCTTCCCAATGAATCCCCAGGCCAAGGCGACGTCTCGTCTATGGACGGATCACATCAATCGACTCATCATACCTTGCTTCTACCGGCTCCTCCAGGCGCAGGACCCCAACGACCAGGTGAACCACGCCACCGAGCTCCGGAGCGAGATGAGCAAGCTCGTCGAGGCCGCCGACCCGCAAGGCCCCTTCTTCACGGGCCCGAAGCTCGGGTTCGTGGACGTCCAGATTGCGCCTTGGGTGCTGAGGCTGCGGCGGGTGCTCGGTCCGTACCGAGGATGGCCTGAGCCCGAGGAAGGGAGTCGATGGGCGAAGTGGGTGGCTGCGATCGAGAATGATAAGAGCGTGCGGGCGACGACGAGCGACGATGCGCTCTATCTCGACAGCTACGAGCGATATGCGGAGAACAGACCAGACACCAGCCAGCTTGCCAACGCGGTCAATTCGGGCAGAGGATTGCCGTGAAGGGATTGTGATGGTGACGTTGACCTAGGCTTGGAATGTGAAGTGTACAAATGTCTATCTTATACTAATGATCGATGTCTCTTCCCCAGCGTGGAGATTGTATGAATATTACTTCTTTATCACCATTATTGCTATCTACAGTTTTATGTATATATTGTAATGTCTTTTTTTTTTCCTTTGGATTTGGTGGACTGGATGCGTTGAGCGTTGGGAGTTAGGAAGACTCATGGATGAGGAGTTTGCGATTTGCAATTACGTGCAAAGGAGTGCCCCCGTAGTATGTATAACAAGGAGTTGATTATTTCTAGCAGCGAGGAAACGAGACGTACGAACGACTGAGCGTCTTTTACAAGTAGTTATACGATATACCTTTCGTTTGAATCTTGATCCCTATATTTATCTATGTCTATCTACTCCGTCGCAGTGATGCACTTCGACCTGAGCTCCAACGGTCAATACATTGTGCTATTTACGACTATGCTCACTATTCATATTTTATTTTTCGATTTGATTCCTGCCTGTCCCATCATATCAGCTACATCAACTAAATCTCCAATGCATTAACCAGTGACGAAAAGATCTAGAATCCGATCGATGGGATCCTACCCTACCTGCCTATCCCGGACCCCGCCAAAGTCCGCATGATCGCGCCCCTCCCCCCACCAGAAGGTCCGGCGGTCTTACGAATACCCTACTACCACGCCTACGTCATCAGGGCGACGCAAACCGTGAATCCACAAACGGACTTTCTGTATCCATTCAAACACGTACAAATACTTATATCCAACCTCTTTCTCCCTCACACAAAAATACACAAATACACAACGATCCAAACAAGCCACCCAACATTCTCCGCTCAAACAACACCCTCCGCTTCTTTACTACCACACAAAGAACCACCGCGAAAATGCCCCTCGTAGTCCCAGGCCTCCAGTCCAAAGATGGCAACAGCGGCGACGACTGGCTCACGAAGCTCATGGGCAAGAAACTCGGCGACAGCCACGATGAAGTCGTACGTTTCCCCTCCTTCCCTCTTCGTTTGGTATGATAAGATATGACGGATGCTAACGACCAGACGACAGACATTCGCGAAGCAGGACCTCCCCAAGGAGCACCGCGTGCTGCAGCCGGACAGCATGAGCACCATGGACCACAAGCCCGAGAGGCTAAACATCCACGTCGATGAGGAGGGTACGGTCAAGAAGGTCAGGTACGGTTAGATATATAAGGGGTTTTGCGAGCTCATTTCTCGAGTGAAGGGTTAGAATATGATGATGAATACGAACATGTTATGATGGGACATACATATATCTATGCTTTTATCGTTGGGGTCATACTACGCCGATGTTGATGATAGTGATATTTATTCACGGATTTCTAGTTGAAGTTCGTACCATGCGCTCGCAATTCAATTTGATTTTTCTATGTAGGTTTTGCAGAAGACATGCCGACGCTTGTTGAGTCCATTACCATCCCTTCCTTTGCATGATTAATCACTGATCTGGCAACGACTGATATAAATTGGCGTTTGCAATAAGTGGCCACCCTAGAAAGAACTTGAAGCGAGAGAAAAGTCAAACACATGCCAAGTCAAAGTCCTTGGGCCAGAGTACTCAGTAGAAGCGACTGAAGAAAAAGGAGAATGAGGTATCACGAAGAATGTACAAATACAGGGACAATAGCGAAAGAAGAAAGACCACGCGTTGCGTGATAAAGTCACTTGAAAATGATGTTCGAAACCTAAATCATTTTCGAGCCCTGAAAGAAAGTCAAAGATAAATGTCACCCGTAAATATCACTCAAAATGCTCGCTCAAATGATCACAACGAAGGGAATACCGAAAAATACCGAAAAGATCAAGGCAGTGTCAGTCACATCTTTCTCTTTCCAGGTGCCACCCTCATAGGGGCGACATTCCCGATTCTCTGTTCCAGGAAGCCAAGCGCCTCCTCAATTTCCGCCATCCTAACCAGACTCGCGTGGACAGGCTCGGGGAACTCGAAGCAGAGGAATATCGAGCAACGAACCGCCAATGCCTGAAACCACTTCTTCAGAGGCCTGTCCTCGGATGAGCGGCTTGCTGCACCAACGACCAGACCGATCCATAACAGGACTCCGGCCATGTCGGACCAGCATTCCGAGACGTTGGAGCTTTCAATGGCGAGTTTGATGTTTTCGAGGAGAGTCGTTGTCGGTGGGGGAGGGGGAGCGGGTCTACTGATGGAGTACCACGGGAAATTCAAGTTGGATGAGGTGGACGATGTTGATGTCGTAGAGGCGATCGAAGGACGAGATTGTGCGGGGAACGAGGCAGACGTGAAGGAGTTTGAGTGTTGGGAGAATGCAGGGCTTGTAGCGTAGGATGAAGTGGCAGAAAAGGTGGTCACAGGGGAATCGTGTCGAGTCATCCTTGGTGAAACTAGCGATTCACTGGAGCCTGAAGTCTTTGTGGGGACGGTCAGACGAGGCTTTGTGGCTATCTTCCCAGCAGAAGCCAGCGCTGCGGAATGCGGAATGCGGTTGATGATGGCTTCGGCCTGAATAATGCATGTCAAACGGATTGCTTCATAGGTCCAATCGCTATAGGTGAGGACGTTGTTCTGCGCCTGAGGATCACGCGCAGGTGGGTAATCAGTGGTGATAGCTTTATGGAGACTCCTGAGAACGGAATCCTGAGAGTTCTGCTCTTTTCGTAGAGCGAAGCGGTCGAGCATACTGCGCATGTCTTTAAGTAGTTTCATTGTGCGTTGAGAAGACCGGCGTGAACGCTTGATGGTGTAAAAATCGCTGCGTGGTCGGAAGAGGGGTGACTCAGGAATGATTGCGGAGGTCGGGTATGTGTGGATAGTGTTGGCCAGGCGGAAGTCCCAGTATTGGCGGTCCGGTTGGGCTTCGCGAAGCACAGCAGATTCGAGACAGACCCACGACAATGTCGAAGCCACTCGTCCGGTGAGACCGAGATTTTCTAGTCCACCTCTTAGTTCGACCATGGTGGTGAGACCCTTCTCGTGAGATTGAACCACGCTCTCGTCTCCCGATATGATCTCACTTGCAATTAATTGTGTCACGGCGATGATGTTGTGGTCGTCGATCTTTCCTTGAATCAATTGTTGCTCGATGAGGTGCATAAGCTCCAGTCGCAGAGCGACAGTCTGCATGCTGTCTCCTTGTATCATATCGAGAGCATCTTTATGAGCGGATGCTATGCTGATGGTACTGAGAAAGGCATGCGGAGAGTCGACCAGCGTTGGAATCCAATGCTGGCCCATTGCTTTCGAGCCAAAGGCTTGAGAACCTGGGAGATTGTCAGTATCAATTCCATAGATATACTACCATGCCCTGCAATACTTACAATGCCATTTAAGATGTTGTATGGATATATAGGGGGATGGAGGGTTGAACATGGTATCGAAAGGGTCCAGCGGTGTGCCGAGGGGTTCGGCAAGGGATTCAAATGGTCGCGGGGCTGTCTCATCGTAGATCAATGGACCTTTTCGCGAAGGCTGTACCATGACGATTTCTATCCATGGCTGTGGTTTCGAATTCGATCTCAAGCTCACGATGGCTACCTTCTGGTTCGCCTGGCTGCCAGTCGATACGGGCGAGTCGCCATTGTTGCTGTTGTTGCTGCTGCTGATGTTGCTGTTGCGATCCGAGAACCGCTGCCGAGGACTCCTTTTATCTTTCCGATAGATCTTAATAGCTTCATCATTCGGCATGATCTCGCGATCGGGGGCCTCCGGGTCGCTGATAGTGCTGGCAGCACTACTGCGAGACGCATTGGAATCCTCACTCTGCAGTCGGGCGCGCTTCCCGCCGCGCATGGACGAGGGGCCGGCTTGTTTCTTCTCATTCTCGAGGAAGCTTCCCATGGCCTTTTTCCGGATTTTGGTCATATTAGTTCTCGACTTGAAGCCATCCGGATTGGTGGTAGTGATGAACAGTAGATCTCTGACATTGTTCTCATTGGTCGGGCTTGTTGACGCCCTGCGAAGCTGGGACGGTTGGCCTAAGCATTGAGCGATGTTAGCTCAAAAGTTCTAGGTAATAAATATAGTGCGAAGTGTGGGGGAGTGGCGGACGATAGCTCATGAGGGAACAATGCTATTGTGCCGAGATGGTAGGAGAGATAGGACGAAGAAGAGAAGAGAGTGAGTAGGAGAAAGGAATTGCGTACCATTGGGGTTGTGGTTGAAGGGTGCCATGAAAGATTGGAGGAAAGAAGAGGACGATGATGTCGAGGGATTGAGGTACGAAGGTGCGATCGGCGGAATTTGGGGAGGGGCCGTCATTTTGGGAAGGATGGAGGGAAGGGAAGGGGAAGGAACGACCAAGCTGTAACTAGCAATAGCGTTGTAATAGGTGTAGTCGTAGTCGTAATGGTCGGAATAGTAGTAGTCAAACAATAACAAACACCAACAGTATCGGATGCAAATTTATGGTAGTATAGCTTCTTCTTCTTCTATGCTTGATCTTTGATGATCAACAGTCCAATGGAGAAAGTGATCTGGATCAGTGCTGTTCATTCTCTTTCTTCCCTCTCTTTCCCAAGAAAGAAAGAAAAGAGGATATAATTGTCGAAGCGTAATCAGGCACCACCGCGATACGATGTGATGCGATGCGATCAGATTCAAGGCGCAAATGGACGGGAGGCGAGTTGAATAAGTAAGTAAGTATGGATGGATGGATGTGGGTGATCGACAGGCAAGATGAGATGCGATGCGATGCGATGCCGATGCGGGATACGCGTGTTCATGTATGCCTGACAAGAGTGAGGCCTCCTTCTACCTTTGGGAGGGGGAGGAGGATTGAGCCTTATAAGGAATGACTGGGGTATCCGTAGACGTGGTAGATGGCGTAGATGGGTACGAGGGTAGTTGAGGGAGATGCAAAGCGGCGGTAAGGGAGGAGGGCGGTTGTGAGACGAGTGGAACTAAACTACCTCATGGCTGATGGCTATGGCATCCATGGATATGCTTGGTATGTATGGCATACACCATACACACAGTAGAAGTCACTAGACGGTAGAGTGTGCCGCCGCAGAAATGCAAATGCGTGCATGCATCATCATGTTGGCTGGTGGGCGGAGCATCAAGCAAATGATTAGATTCCCTAGTCGTTGCCCTAGTGTGTCCATGTGTGTGCATTGTGAGCCTGTGAGGGATGAAGGGCGGTGGACGGGTTATCTTGGTGCTTGGGTAGAATTCACCTCATATCATACCTTGTCATGGTTACAAGGTATGAAGGCAACGAGCATCATGAATGGGCTTGCGGCAGGCTGATGATGATGATGGCTGTGATCTTGTCGGACACCGTTACAACCGTCTTTGTCTACCGAGGACCTACACGGTCACATTACAATCCATCACCATCACTATGGAAATACTTCCTATCTCATACACATCATCTTACACAGTACATACTCGTACATACTTACAAGGCTGGTATGACAATCCGACAGATCCCACCCCCTCCCTTCCCGTTCCATCAACTTCCAGTCTTCCACAATCACTATCACAATCACACAACTAGCCACACAGAAAGGAAGAGGGAAAAAAAAAAAAGAAACAAGAAAGGAAAATAAAGAAGCCGCACACGTGAAGAGCTTACGGGGTTGTCACACACACAACCGCAGGGCTCAGCCGAGAAAGCCCCAACAGCACCAAAGGCAGCCAGCGTGCCAGGGATCCCCTTCCCTCCCGAACGAAGCGACATGAACGTGAACGAGGAACCAAACATGCCATACCGCACCCAACCCTTCGACCAATTACCAACCCAGTCACACAATTCACGTTGGCGGTTGTAGTTGGTGAGATCTCCGTCCAAGTGAATGGGTGTAGGATAGACACACTCCGGTACTTTGGATCCGTCACCGCCCTTCCGATTATCAAAAACGAAACAAAAAAACGTCCGCGGGCCAACACAACGATCGCTTGACGAAACCCTCGTCCCCATGCACAAGAAGGAGCAGACTCCACCGCTAGAAAGAAAACAGAACAGACAAGACAAGACGAGTCCAGTTCAGTCCATTGCTGGTCTCGCTAGCTCGGCGCCCCGGAATCCCATAATCCATCCATCATCTCGCTTTCACGATGATGGGTGAACCATCGGAGCTGAAACCCAAGCTTCCCTCTCGCTAAACTCACTCACTCAATCAATCAAAAAACGCCCCCTTGGACTTTTGTATTACCCATAGGTAACTATCGTAGGCGAACACACACGCACTGTCACAAGCCTCCAGTGCCCCCAAGTGCCCTCCAGGGCTGTTAGAGGGCCGGGGTCCGGATATGAGAGAGGGGTGGTGGACGCCCAGCCTCATTCGTCTTTCCTGTATGCATGCACCGTCCTTCCGGCCCTCTGCCTCTCCCTCTATATCAATCTATCCGTGTGCTTTTTAGCCCTGGGCGTGGATGGCGGATGGTGTGGATGGGCCAGAACGCCGACGGAAAGGAAAGGTAAGAATGAGAGAGGTCCCAGTGAGGATGTTACCATCCACCCGTCCAATTATGCTGCTATGCATGATTGGGAAACAATGTCGCTCTGCCGTTGCCCACGGCCAGGATACACCGCATGCTTACACCGTCTGCGCGCGCACACACACACCCACTCGCCCATATATCCACCCAACTGGGTGGATACTAGGCTACTGCTCGCCGATGGAAGAATATGGAGAAGGGGTGGGGTGTCTGGCTGACCATGTGTAGTAATTACTCCTCCATAGTTAGTTACGACGCTCTGGATGGATTTCTAATTTTCTTTTTTTTGGGACTTGGCCCCTCTTGACGTGACAGCATCTGTTGCTAATGCTGCAGGGTACCGGTACGCTATAATATCTGCTGTTAATGCTGCAGGATGCTGGTACTACATGTAGGCTGCAATATTGCAACCGTAGCAAGGAGAAGATAGAAGAAGAAGACGACGGATGATTTCTAACTACCACTCCTCGTCATGGCTGAGAAATAGTCTCCCGTCGCCGCAGCATGGCTCGTCGGGCTACGACTACTCTCTCGTGAAATTGTAACTATGCTCTCATCCCCTCGCCCATCACTACTCCCACCGTCACCATTATAGTCTATCCCTATACCCGTGACCCTCCCATTCCCATTTCCATTCCCTCTGTTCCCGCGCGTCCGCCTGTTAGGAACCCCCAGCAACGTCCCATGGAACGAAAAGTGCGACGACGACATGCCCACGTCCTCCGCCACGGGGCTCTTGAGCTCCACAAGCTCCAGCGTCTTGCGCAGCGTAACCCCGGACTCGTCCAGCGCCATCAGGAACCTCGCGAGCTCCTTGCAGAGATCCCAGTCCTGTTCCTCCTTCGCCCGCTGCAGGAGCCGCACCACCTGGTCCCCCGTCGAACTCAGCTCCTCGAACGTGTGCAGCACGAGTAGGTAACCTCCCGCCGTCTTCAGACTGCCCCTCTGCAGGGACTCCTCGAAGAGCTCCTCGGGAGGTGGTAGGTTCGAAAACAGCGTTCGCCACGACCGGACCTCGGTCTTGCGCGTGCATTGTACAACAATGTCCAGGTACTGCGGGAACGAGCTGAGGAACGATAGCACGCTCGGTAGAAGCGCCTGTTCGGGCGCCGGCGCGGAGTCTACTTCATCGTCTAGCACCTCGTGTAGGAGTATTTCGAGCGCGTGTGGGAAGTACAGTAGTTGTTGATAGTGGTGGCTCAAGTGTAAGGCTGCAGGCGAGTTGTATTGGGTAAGGTGATGGCGTAGTAGCGCGGGAAGGAAGAGGTGCGTCTGCAAATAAGCATGTCAGCATGTTCGCCTTGCTCGCATCACATCGCCATACCGCCAACCGTAGGGCTATCAACTTACCCGGGTACCAAATCGAACGTAGGCGAAGCTGGTGTCTCGACGCTGTACCAGTTCGGATTCCACCCCAAACACAATGCCTTTGTTAATCAATGCTACGAGCGGATAGAAATCCACTGGAATTTTCACAGGGCTGGGCAAGTCCCTTCCCGTGTCGGCTGAGGCCGAGAATAATACGTCTTGCATGTCGATCCATACCCTTACGTCACTCCCATCGAAATACCATAGAGAGTCGCGCAGATCGTGTCCATGTACTCCACCAGCAGGCAGCCCTACAGATGGACTAGGCGGTAATGAGTCGTCTTGCATCTCCAACGCAAATGCAGGGTGGTCGCGCATAAGCGCGTACGTCTCCACGTTCTGTGCGATGATGCGCATCTCGTACTTGAGTTCCCCAACCTCCGTCGTGGTTGGCTGCAGCAGTACAAGTTTGCCATCCACAAGGAAAAGGATACTCGCAACTGCTACATCTTGCGAGGGATCGCCATTGACTAGGTTTTCTGTCAGACTCAACGGAATCACCGGCTGCACGAGAGATACTCACGGATCTGATCTTCAGGCAGAATCCAACTCAATGCCCGAACACGCGGCGGTGCTCGAATGATGCCGTGAAGTGCAATTTGTCCGACCTGCACCAATTTGACCGAGGCATTGGCAACGCTGATAATGTAGTGATACAGAATGTTGTCATAGGTATACACCAAGAGAGAATCTTCTCCTGACGGAGCAATGATGACAATTGGCGAAGGCAGATGCTGGACGTGCATGATATGATCATTATCCAGTGCTAGCTCGCGAGAATAGATACGAATCTGAAGAATCGTTAGTGTCAAAAAATGATACCCTAAGGGCATAGAGGCAAACCTGATAATCATCTTGAGATTCTACAGCTGCGATCAGTACATGCTGGAACCAGCACATGCCGCCGCGTACAGTGAACTCGTTCTCAATGAAGGGATCGTCGAATGTCTTCCACCTTCCACTGTGTACACTGTAATGTGCAAGTCCTCTCTTACCTGCAACCGCGACATATCTGCCATCAGAGGAGATGACTGCACTTCGAATGGGCCATTGATCTATGAGATAATGTGAAGGCACCTGAACGTGATGCCACAACGAAACATCAGCAGAGATGGTGGTGAGATCGGGGAGTTCATATCCTCTGTAAATCATGAACCCAGAACTGGTCTGCATGAGCGACCTAGATACGTTTGCAGACGAGAAGCATCCAGTTATTCCGCTCCGTGCCATTTCAAGCAGGAAAACACGGTTGTCATGGTTTCCAAGCAGCAAGAGCTCAGAACCACCGCCAACCCAAAAGGCATCTCGAATACCAAGTAGCCATCCCTCTTCGTGTGTCTGCGATAGAGTCCGATCGGTGACGAAGCTGGTCGCTCCTGGTTTGCCATAGACGCTCCACATTGCCCAGCCTTGCTCGTAACCCGCAAACAAACAGTAGCCATCGGGCGAATATGCCATCACTGTCAACTTCCCGGGCGAAGAAGTGTTGGGGCGCAATTTATGTGACAGTGGTATGTTTCCCGTGTAGTCCCTTGCTGTATAAACACAAATCTCTCCATTGTTGCAGCCCACCGCGAGCAGCGAGAATCGCGCGTTGATAGCAGCAATGACACCATGTTCAGCGGCCGTCTCTGGATTATGGAATCCATGACCTTTGAATAGATTATGATGCGGTTTTCCTTCTTGCAACGTATTCGGTGGAAGTCGCTGCACAGCATGCGCCCTGCCGTCGCCCGTTATCCATGCTGCCAAATTCATAGGACGATCATGAATCATGTCTTTGAGCGTCGACTTCTTCTCTAACCAAGGCATTCGACTGAGGAGTTCGGTACTGGTCTGGCTGCCACTACTGTCCGGGGCCCATCGAATGCATTGCACTGCCGCGGGCTTCTCTGTAGCCACTATCAATTCATCGTCCAACGCGAGCGCCTTTGCGATTCCCGCATCTACGCGAATGACCATGCGGAACCGTAGGCTCAACTCTTTTATGCCACTCCCTTCCCCGGGCCCTGCATTGGTATCATGTTGACGCTGTATCTTGAACCCCGCAATTGAACTATGCCTCCTAGAATGTCCACCTGTGGTATTGGCGAATTGGGTCTTGTAAACGCGAGACGTGGGATCGGTAGCCAGGGAATATGTGATCAGATATCCAAGGGATGTTTGTACAACAAAAATTTGCGAATCGGGGCGTAACAATATGCTGACATTCGGTCCATATGTCTTCAAAGATTGATCTGAACGGAGAACCGCGGCTAGGATAGCTGTGGGCTGCCATGTGTTAGCGAAAGAAACCCAGGACAAGATTCATAGCCATACCTTAGTCTGCCAAATTGTCAAAGTAGTCCGGGTTATGGTTGCAAACATATGCCCGCTACGGGTCACCTGTATGCCGATGATCTCTCCGGAGATATCGGCTTCATATGGCTGTTGAGTATTCTGTTGCGCCTCTCGATCCTCAGAAAGAGCCCCACCATCTATGTCCTGCTCGCTATTTGTTCGCGCATTGTTGCCCTCCGTCTTTTCCCTTCGGCCTGATGCAGCGCCATCTGTGTTCACGTTCGCTGTGGTGCCATTCTGTGATCGCGGCTCCAGGCCGTCATGCGAGATCTGGAGTCGTTCGGAGGTGTTATGCTTGGTGGCCGCAAAGACGGAGGGCGAAGAGATGGGCCAATACGTCATGGCTCTCTACCGCAATCGATAGCCGCATTGGATCGAGTGGTTCATGCCTCAGCAGCTAAAATATATATATGAAGGTCAGTACTGTGAACCAGCGCTTACGGGAATTACTGGTGGTCGACGACTGTTACGGAACGGTGAGGGTTGAATGCACGCAAGTGGTTGGACAAGGGCCCAAGCTCCCTCCACCTGAGAACAACTTTTGGCTTAGCTCCCTCGTGTGTAGGTATGTACAGAGTAGGGAGCAGACTACATAAAATGTGTTCTATCGTACTGTGTGCTCCATAATAAGAATAGATGCTGTTGCGCGCATGATTCAATTCTTAGTTGAATTTGCATGCTGCTGTCAAAACTGGTAATCGACTCCAAATTATGCCAATACACGCAACGACGTAATAATATAGACAATCTACACTGTATGCCACCTCTTCCCAGAAAGCACGCCGTGCAATGCAACCTTTTGCCAATCCACCTGCTAACAGGGAATGATGCAATCGCTATGCTGGATAATGTTCAAAACGCTCCATAACACCTTGTAATGCTGTTTATGCCATATATTCATCCCCATCCGGGCCATCTTCTTTCCCATCTTTCTCTTGTACTTCGGTTGTAGGGAGCTCGCTGTCTCTTTCTGGCAAGGCTTCTACCTCCTTGGACACGCAAGCTGCCGCATCAGGCCCATCTTTCTTTTGTCTCCCATAGGGACTCCATCGGCGATTTTCACCGGTCTTCAATGGCTTACGGTTGTTCGAATTCGGGTTCTTCACTATTTGTCCATCGTCCATGCGATAGAACATGGTTTCCTTGCCGTCAACATGATCTGAGATATCCGCATCCTGCTCATCCTCCCATACCATTAGGTTCGTGCCGTTGATTTCTATCGATCGGCATCCAGTCCGGGGAACATGGAATATATCAGGTTTCAATTCGGAAAAGTCTTGTTCCCAAGTCTCCTTTTGTTGCAACCTCGCGATGTAGTCCATGGGTAGCGTGTATAGGACATTGTCTTCTTTGTCGTACAGCTCTCGCAGAGGGTAGCTGAGTACCGCCATTCCAAGTCCACAGTCGACTCTTGATGAGATAGGGTGCAGTCGGCCGCCAAACATTTTGAGCTCGAATGCAATCCCAGATTCGGTCCAGGTGTTGTCGTTAAAAAATACTTCAGGTTCACCCAGTGGATGTTCATGGTGCGGACCAGAGACTTCGATAAAATGTGCCATTTCGTGAGTCAGGCAAACGGCCAGGAATAAGTTGAAACGCAACACCATTGCAGGATCAGGATACTGCAGCATGCTCAACTTCTTTGCGGTCGTATAGAAATCTGAATGGAGGCAGATCTTGCTCGTGTGGCACTTTCGGTCCAATTTCCGCATAAGCCCGTTCTTGTAGTCGGCGACAAGTCCCATCGAAGCGTACGCTGGGTCTGGTGGCAGTGGCTCCCTGTGGAACATAAAATGAACTGTATCCACTTGATCATCTAGAAAGCTTCTAAAAGTGCTAGCATGCTCTTCGGTGAATGGCACATCTTCCCGAATACGAAAGCAGGGTTGACCATACTGTTCTGATGTTTTCTTGCATGGTTGCCTATCGCCGAAGACCAATGTGTGCCAAAATGACGAGGTAGCTTTAGAAAAAAGCATCAATGTGCTCAAACGAAAAGCTGGTTTCAGTACGTCGTATACGGCGTCTGAACATCCATGGAAATTATCAGGTCGGAATATCGGATGAATCTCGTTATCCAGCGTTGATGCTCTCGTAGCAGAAGTATCATTGAAGTTGACGGCTTGTTTTTTAATTAGATCGATGGGATCAAAACCAAGTCTAATCGACTTGCGCTTGGCCGGGTCCTTTCGATGTCCCAGTAGCCGCCGGTACTTTTCTAGGAGTTTCCGATCGGCTACTTGCGCAAGATGATGGTTGATCGAGATGCTCAACTGCAAGCCAAAATCCTTCGGCACTTCGATTGTCGATGGCGTGAATGTTGCAGAGCTCTCGTGGCTCAAAACATCTGGCAGATCGCGAACTAGCTTGTCGATGCATTCGTCCATGAATATACCTTCCTGGAGCTTGTGTAATAATACTGCATTCTGGCCCGTCTCTTGTATCCGGTAGTCGCCATCTCCATTATTAGGCAGGAGATGGCGCAGGTTCTTAGACGTGCTATTAAGTGGGCCGCAACCTCCTGTAGGTGTTGTAGCACCGGTAGGTGTCCATTCCATACTGTCTGGATCATCGTTTTCGCCTGATATTCCTGGCTTCTCAGAATTTGCTGATTCGGTGGATCCTTCGGAATCTTGGTTCAAGCGAGACTCCAGAAGCTGGCTAGCATGTATCATAGCCTCATATGCTTTACGGTAACGAAAGGGATCCATTCCGGCAAAGGATACCGCGAAGAAAGGGGTCAATAGGTAAAGGGGAATGTGATATAAAGGTTGGCCGAGGAAGGCGTTTAAGCGTGCTTAAAACAATAAAGAAATGCACACTGCGCAAGGCAGCAAACGATGTTTTTATTCCTTAACAGAGCTCATTGATTGTTCCAACGCTCTAAAACAAGGCGTATGCAGCTAATCCCTCTGGTTTCCAGTAATTGTAGCTGAGGAAAAGCGTCCACCCTACCCTCCATTGATAGTCCGTGCTGCAAGATCAATAGCGGGGATGGGCATATAAACAACGGATGGCGAGCGTCTCAGGATGGGGTAATCATACTTGGTCCAGAAGAAGAACGGTTCAAGGTGTGTATACAACGCGCCAGAAGATGTCAAGCTGATAAAAATGTTGTTTGTGGATCAATCGACAGAAAGGTTGCGGTGTGGACAAAAGCTCGAGGCAGGCAACTAACGCGGTTGACTAAGCGACAGCCAGCCTGGCGGCCAAGTTGCGCGCGCTTACTCTCTCGTATGCTTCACCGGTCGTTGTTGATCCTGAAATTCAGATTGCCATGGATACTTGTCAAGAGCTTATCCTATACCGTCGCATACAAAACCGTGTTGCATCAAACGAGGCTGCAAAATATGCATTCGTTTCCCACGAGTTGTGCGAGGTTGCACGGTGGCGATACCCATATATATCCGCAGGGGCCTATATTTTTAAGTGGACTATGAACATCAACCTTACAGTCTGTACATGCTCGCAGGTAGATACTGCTAGAAGACATGACTAAAGTTACTTGAATTAATATACTGAGTTCGGTATCTGATGATTCGGAGTGTCGTGCGACACAGTCTTCTGCCTAAAAAGATCAAGACCTCGTGATGAGCTAGTCAAGAGTGCTGGAACATGTCTTAGCCAGCCACGGGTTTTCGTCACAAGGGCGCGGCCATCGAGTGCAAACAAAAACCTCTCGGAATGTCGATTCTTCTAGATTTTCAACATCTTGAAAACGAATGGAGCCAACGATACGACTATGAGCCGACCTTTCCGTCCCCCGTCGGGTGAGACTGACCTACCAGCATATTATCACGATCTTGACGATGAGGATATCGTCGCTGCCTTTCGAAACTTTGACGATGAGCGAGCCTTTGATCTCTTCGATAGACAAACCCGCGATCCACATAGTAGCAACTTCTGTATAGATTTCGGTGACGATGAGGCTTATTGTGGATTTGACCTTGCATCTGACTCCTTTGAGCGTCTATTACGAACACCCAGACCTCCTTCCATACACACGAGATGGATCAACCTATGGATGCCATATAATCAAAAGAGTACTTTACATGCCCTTGCTAAACATTACGATTTTTCACCACGACTCCTGGGAACTATGTGCTCTGACCCTATACCGCCGAAGCCGAAGTTTTTGCATTCAAAGAAAAGCTCAGCAACACTTCGCTCTCGGCGATCTACTAAGTCGAGCAAGTCTAAGTCCTCACACAGATCATCAAATGAGGAATCATTAGACTCCGAAGAAAGCATAGGTATGACAGAAATGATGCACAGTACCCAGTTAGAGATGGTGCGAGATCTCGGTCATTACCAAATTGTGAACGATGTATGGCACTGGTCATCGGTAGACTGGGGAAGACGATGTAAGTAGGAACCTCACTTCGGTGTTGCGATCATCTACTGATTTCATTTCAGTTGTCTGCTTGGGATACAATTCACTACACAACGTTCGTACGAACAGTGCCCCTCACACTGACGACGATCTCGATCACGGCCTAGATACTCCCCATGGCAAGCGAATATGGAACTGGCTTATGCTATGTGAGGATAAGACTGTCATATCGATATCAGAAGATCCATTTCCTCTCTATGACGGCACTCTAAAAATGCACGACCTGAAGACGCTCTATACGGTTCGGCGAAACCTAGTCAGTGTTTTTCGACAACTCACGAAAGCCCCAACCCCATTAAGAGACCATTCTCTCACCATGCTGCCTGTTCGCCATAGAATTGGAGATAGTGAAGAGGAGACGGCACACCGGCCAACCGATGCGCCAGGCCTTCTCTTCTACTACCTTTTCGAAGATTGGTTCACTACCTATAGCCTTGTGACCCGCCGACAGCATGGATATGCTGCTGAGCTAGATCGACTTGTAAGTAGTTTCTGAATTTGAGGAGTCACCGCTTACATTGAACAGAGACGGGAAATGTTGGTCAAGGCTAACCTCACTCACGTTGATCAATTGCACCATATTGGCTGCCAGCTCGCTGTCTTGAAGCGTGTTTACCAGTCCTACGAACTCATCATCGAGCGCGTGCTCAAGAAGCAAGAGGCCACCCTTGCATCACTCAAAAATTCGCACATCGTTTCTGGCTTGGACTCACTGTCTTCGTCCCTCCCGATTGTCCACGGCTCGCCCCAGATTCCTGAGGCAGATAGTTTACTTGGTGTCTCGCTCAGCTCGGCGGCTCGAGTTCGCTTCGAGAGACTCAAAGATCGCATCAAGCTCTACGCCTTAAGTGAGATACAAGAATGCATTGACCAGAAAGATTCCTTGGTCTTTATGGTATGTTCCTAAAGGTATTGGTGCGACTATGTTGGCTAATTAAAACACGATAGAACTTCAATCTAATCGCCATTAAAGAGTCTTTCTCTGTCGAACGCCTGACTCGAATCACTCTCCTATTAGCCAAGATCACAATTCTCTTCATGCCAGTGACTCTTATGACTGGCTACTTTTCGATTCAGTTCCGCGGTCTTGAGTTCGAAGTCAAGAGCTACTGGTGGGCATTTGGTGCCATTTTTGGTATCAGCATGCTGCTTGTGTTCTTATTCAGTGCTATCAGTGGAACCATTGAAGGAAAGGGAGTGAGTCGCATTGTGAACAGGAGTTGGAGTAGGGTGGTCTGGGAGTGGACAGGCAGATGGGTGGAGAGAAAGAAAAGGTTGGGATGGACTAGATGATAGATAATCCCGTCATCGTCATGAAACGCTTCAAAACGTTATCTATGACTGCAAATGAATCTAACGGCCATTTTCAATTTTTTGCAAAATATGTATGCGATATTGGCCCTGCGCCGCACGATTTGACATCGAATGGCTGTTGGTCGCTGTAGTCCAAATGAGTCACTTTGAGCAACAACGATTGGCCAGGCAGCGAGCGAAGCAACCATGGTCTTTTTACGCTTCACGCATTGATAAACACTCCCAACAACCAACGCAAATAAACTTGCAATTCAGAAACATAAAACTACACATCAACCTGGGCAACCTTGCTCTCTCTCTAGCATCACGATATTTTCCAAGTTCATCATCGGCCTAACAACACCACATCCTCCAAAATAACGCACCAACATCACCACCCATCATCAATACAACCAAACACTACCATCAAAATGCCATCAACACGGCTAACCCTAACCCTAAACACAAACCGCACAACCAAATGCCCCCTCCTCATCCCCTCAGACCTCCTCCTCCCCACCTCCTCACTCACCCCCCTCCGCAACCTAGTCCTCAAGACCGCGACCTCAAAACTGCGTCTCAAGAAACCAACCCGGATCTTCGACGTCCTCACTGGAAAAGAGCTCCTCACCTTCGAAGACTGGACGACCGCGCTCCGGGACCCAGACAACACGCTCGCCATCTCCGCCGGCGAAGACTTCGTCGGCGTGCCGAGAAAGGACGCCCGGGATCGACACCCAGACGCGAATCCCGAATGTCCCGTGCATGTGCTCGTTGAGGACGCGCCAGTGGATCAGTTGGCGTTGACGCAGCTGCGGACGACGGCTACGACTTTGCCTGGGATGGTGGCCGCGACGGGCCAGCCCGATCTGTGTCCCGGGACGAAGTATCCCGTCGGGGCGGTGTTTGCGTCGAGGGGTTGGGTGCATCCGCCGCTGATTGGGGGGGATATTGGGTGCGGGATGGCGTGGTATAGGACGGGGTTGTCGAGAGGGCAGGTTGATGGGGAGAAGGGGAGGAAGGTTGCGGAGAGGTTGAGGGGGGTGGAGGGGAGTTGGAGGGGAAGGGAGGAGAGGAGTGCTTGGTTGAGGGATGGGGAGGGAAGTTGTGAGGCTGGTGGGGAGTGGGATGCTTCAGTTGGAACTATTGGAGCGGGAAATCACTTTGCGGAGATTCAGGTCGTGGAGAAGGGGGTAGAAGGGACGGGCATGGTGGAGAATGAGGTTGTGTTGCTTGTTCATTCGGGATCGAGAGGCTATGGAGGGAGTATACTGAAGAGGTATACTGCTGAGGGAAGGGAGAGCTTGAAGGAGGGAAGTGAGAAGATGGTTGTGTACATGGAGGAGCATCACAGGGCATTACGGTGGGCTAAGGCGAATCGAGATCTCATTGCACTGAGGTTTCTATCTTGCCTTGAGCCCGGAGAAGAGGCATGGCTGCTTGGACGCAACACGCAAACCGACGACGCCACAACTGATATCGAGACTATTGTAAGAGCCAGGGCGAAGATTCAAGAACGAAAGGTTGTTGATATCTGGCACAACAACTTGGAACGGGTAAATTGGCCACCATCACTTATTGAGGATACAGCAACCTCAAACACGGGACTGGAGGCGAAAATATCCGAGATATCTATCACTAAGGGTGAGGCAAGGGATGATTACGTTTTTGTCCATCGCAAAGGTGCGGCACCGACGTATGACCCGGAACACAACCTCCCGCTCCCGATACTCCCACTGCCAGGTTCGAGAGGCACGCCAACATTGATCATCAAACCGACGTTCTCAGAAGAGACAGGCTGGGGACTAAAGAATGCTCTTTCTCTCGCACACGGCTCAGGCCGCAGCATGTCTCGCGGGAAAGCTCTGTCATATCTGGGCTCGAAATACAAACATCAGAGTGCGGCACTGCTGGAGCCGGGAGCTAAAGAAGGCACGTGGGTCATCTGCGATGAAAAAGAGTTAGTATTCGAAGAGGCGCCTGAGGCTTATAAGGACGTCTATGCTGTGAGCAGTGACCTCGTGCGAGAGGGCGTAGCAGAGGTGGTTGGCTTGTGTAAGCCGAGGGTGAGCTACAAGGTGAGGAATGAGGCGAGGTAAAAGGCTATGATATCGTACGAAACACTATAGCAAATGTGTATCGGGTATGGAGGAGTTACACAGCGCGGGTGTTTCGTGGACAACGGCTGCAAGCAGGTGGTACAGTTCGAATGTTCGTTTCAGCAAAGGTGATTGATTCCATTGCATGAAAGAAATGATCATGAACGATGGTCTACCGAGATTTATTTCCCCATAGCCTGTCCATAGATCGGATAGCCGCTTAAAGAATGCAAACTGGCGTTCACGAACGTCATGATAAAATGAAATACAAGGGCAATGGTACTTCGCCATGACGGTCCCTCTGTTACACAGCTTGTCCTTCATTTTCCCTAACCGAAATGCCGGGGTTGTTTTTCCTTTTCCAAATCAGCCCACCAATGGTAGGTCAATGTTACCGCAATCTTGTCGAAAGTTGCTTAAGTAGGAAAATATTCATCTATCGGGACGACAAACGGTCGGGAACTTTTAATCTGTGATAGATGAGCTGTGGACACCTGGTGACAAAGATCGATATTGAAATTTGCGTCAGCATTCTCATGCCAATGCTTGTTACTACCATGCGGTCCCTTCTGTTAGATTGATTAATTAACCCTTATTCCCACCGATCTTGTATGATGTATGGCATCGTAATCGTCATGGCCGATTCACAGGTTGTTTGCTCAGTCAATCCCTAGAAAGACTAATGGTCAGGCGAGACAGGGAGAAGGAATGAGGATGTCAGGATATGCGGAGTAATGCGATCCGGGACAGTGAACTCCGTTCGTTAGTTTAAGTCAGCCGTTTGCATTGTTGGTTTGAGGGTTCCATGATCTATTTCCATGTGTGGCGCTGAGACGTTCAAGCCGCACGATTGATGCTAGACAGCACCGCAAACAGGGAGAGGCACGGGTGTATAAGCATCAAAGCAAACGAGGAGAGGTCGAAATAGGTAGATATTTGGAACAACGGATCAGGATTGCGTTGGTTCTGTTCCTGAACGGGTGGAAGTAGTGGCTGATACTAGGCGGACAGCTGTGGCACGAGTACATCTGGTGCGCGCTAGCCAAAGCTTGTCCCCTAGAAGGCTGTTACGATAGTCGCAAAAAGTACACGTCTTCAAACACTATCAGGTACCCATGCAACGGACCTTCTTCCTACCGTATACAAACATCGATCTCTAAGCGTAGTGGCGCTCGCGAGGTCGTTGCATTTGATTATCGGAGTAAATTTTCGTTCTTTATGTGTTTTAGATGTCGCCCAGTGTAGGCTGTGCTGTGTATGCGCGAAAAGCGTTCAAGAGCGTTACGTTTTGGCGAACTCGGTGCATGCCACTACACGTTGTGCAGGCTGCAATCCGGAATATTGTGTGATGCAGTTCCTCCGGGAAGACGGCGTCTGCAAGCGCTTGAAAGGGAACAGCAGAAACCATTGGAATTTGGTGGAGGCCAGTAGTTGCCAGTGGTTGCCAGCAAGTCCCAGAAGGACCCAGCAGAGGACACTATTGACGCCCACCACTAGTTACTCCGTACTGCGCTTAGCAACCCTTTTTAGTTGCTGAGTTGTGAAATGCTGAGCTGCTCAGGCCTCTCGTCATGCCCAGCTGCCTGCCTGACTCCTTGTCAAAGGCGCCCCTCTTCGTGTTTCCAGCCCAGCACTCCCAGTTCTCATGCTGATTGGCACGGAAACAATTGTTTCTTTGCTCGGCTGTGTGTTTTTTGATGTTTCAAAACACTTTTGGACCAGTGCTGAAAGCTTGACTGTGTGACTCTGCCCCATGTGGTAGAGATGCTCGTTCACCACCGTCACCCATTCCAAGGGCTGGAAAGTGAACAATAATGCCTCTAACGGCTGACCAGCATCCGAGGCTCGATCCTCTCCCTTGTGCTTTGGGTGTCTTCATTTGCAGAACGATGAAATTGATGTATCCACGACTCTGCTTGCCCGGGGCTGTATCGCGTATACAATCATCACAATACTCCGTAGGCGGTCACTTGTGGCTTATGATGGGGATATTGGGCGGCGACTGGCCAGTGATGGAAATCCGGAGGCGTGCAACGATGACTTCTGTCTGGCTGGGGCTTGGTATTCTTGGATGTGCGCTTGGGAGTGCGTGTGTGTGCCCGTGTGTCAGGATGTCAGTAGTGTATTGAGTGCAGACTGGACCGTGTGGACCTAGTCAATCCTGACATCCCCGTAGGGTAAAGGATAGACTAATAATGGATGGACAATTGTGATGGAAGGACGGATTGGATGAATGGATGGATCGAATGTGGCCTGGATAGTGCGGGTGCTGTCTGTGCCACCATGACCCTGACCCCAGCCTCGTAGGTGGTAGGAGTGGTAGGGCAGGGCTCTCGTACTGTATTCGCATACATATACGAGTGAGATTGCCGCCCGCATCCATTTTTACCATTTAACACCGTCATCAATCCTGTGTTTCTCCTCTTGCCTATACTTAATACATCATCTGAGATACTCTCGTTACCGATCAATCACTCTCGCTCTGTTTGCAGTACATTGTGTAGGATTAAGGAACATACAAGAAGAAAAAGGGTTCACTCTCTGATCGTCGTCTACTGTTGTTGACTGCCTGCACGCACCTGCTATTTAAGGTAACCACCACCACCGCCACCCATCACTCACTTACTATTACTATTACTACTACAACCACTCCTCTCCTTCACTTTCTCTCTCCACATACTCAACACATCCCTCACTCCTCTCCATCCACCTCTGCAACTCCATATTCAATTCGCCTCGCCCCATTGCCCCAATATCAATTGCTAACTTGCCTCTCACCAGTACTTACTATATCACCTCACTCACAAACCATCATAATGCGTTACACCATCTACGCTCTCGCTGCTGTTGCCAGCTTGGTCAGCGCACAGTCTGCTACTTCTTTCGCTCCTGCTCCAAAGGTCACCACCAATCCTATCCAGGCCGAACTCCATGCCGAATTGCCAGAGCAGACCAAGAACAATGTGCGCGGATCCGTTGTTGCCAAGACTGTAGAGGAGGGCAAGGGCGTCAAGATCGAGATTTCCGTTGCAGGCCTTCCGGCTGAGGGTGGTCCTTTCAGTAAGTCTCATTCTTTCCAAGGAGTTCTCCTTGGTATCATTCTCGGACAACGTCCACTAACCTCGTAACAGTGTACCACATCCACGAGAAGCCTGTACCTGCCGATGGCAACTGTACCGGAACTGGTGCTCATCTGGATCCCTTCAAGCGTGGAGAGGTGCCAGTCTGCAACCCTGAGCAGAAGGAGACTTGCCAGACTGGTGACTTGTCCGGAAAGTATGGCAACTTGACCACGGAGAAGAGCTCTTTCGAGTGAGTAGAATGCCACCACGAACATCTTATATCAGAATGATGAGCTGACCCTTTCCCAGGTACATCGACAAGTACATCTCCACCGATCCCTTGGACCTCTCCTACTTCGGAAACTTGAGTGTGGTCATCCACACGAGCAACAAGAGCCGCATCTCTTGCGCCAACTTCTCCGTCGTTAACCCAGGAGCGTTCGTCCCCACTGCATCTTTCCCCGCTCATCTCCCCTGGGCCACCAGCAACTCTACCCACGCAGCTTCAGGCACCGGTCACTCCAGCTCCGAGACCAGCGCCGCCCCTACGTCGGTCAACTCTCCTACTCCCACCCAGCCTGGACCCCCAGCTGAGCAGAGCACCAACGCGGCCGTGAAGATGGGCATCGCCGGCATGGGCGCCTTCGCCGGCCTCATGGCCTTCGTCCTCTAAACGACCTCTTCCTTTCCAATTTCGGATGTGTCCTTCTCGTCTACCAAAATTGACAAGTTGTGTGGCTCCATCGAAAATCTCTCTCAAAAAATGCAGCATATTGGCGTTATACCACGGTGAGAGAAGGACGTTTTGACTTCTCTTCGATTAATGAAAGCGGGCGGGATATGGGAAATTAATGAGCGCCGGAAACCAGCCATACGAAACCTTCATGTGTAGATAGTGATACCAATTCAGACATTTGTTCTTTCCTTCTCCTCTATTCTTTGACATGCGTACGTTTTGGGCATTTGCTTATGCCGGTGAGGTGTGAAAGCCATTGTATTGCGTGAGGTGAGGACGTGTCGTGAGAAAACACATGGATTATGCTGCGTGCCATACCCCTTCCTCGTTTTGGAGCTCAGACTAATGTTGACTATCGGAAGGACGAATTCACATTCACTCATACGAGAGCCGGGGAAAATGAATGGGATACAATAGACGCAGGGATGGAATATCAGCTCGCAACGATAAACATCACCAAAAAAGTACAATCCATAGAACAGTGATCATGATGACATTGTCGAAAACGCTACAACAAGGTATATATGTGTGTGAGTTCCTTCATAGAAGAAGAGGTATAATAATCTAGCAGTAGTTTATTTCATTTTCAGCTGACGCGGGGGGCGCGCATTCTCAGTCCTTCTTCGGCGCGGGACGCTTGAAGTGCGGCTTGAGAGGCTCCCAGCTCTCTGCGTTGTAGTCCTCTTGGACCTTCTTGCACTTGTTGAGGCCCCACTCGGTGACGCCGACCATGAGGCAGCTCTCGAACATGAAGGCCATGCTGCCCTCGCCGACCTTGGCGGGCTTGAGCTCTGCGTTGGAGGCCTTCTCGTGGGTCGCGGCGTCAGGGCCGTGGCCGGACATGACGTTGTGGAGGGAGGCGCCTGCAGGTTGGAAGCCGCCGCCGGTCTTCGCGTCGTACTGGCCGTGGATGAGGCCCATGAACTCGGACATGGTGTTCCTGTGGTACCACGGTGGACGGAAGGTGTTTTCTGCTACAAGCCATCTTGGGGGGAATATGACGAAGTCAGCGACAGCGGTTCCTGGGTGGTCCGACTGGGCAGTGAGGACGGTGAAGATGGAGGGGTCTGGGTGGTCGAAGGATATGCTGCCGATGGTATTGAAGCGACCGAGGTCATACTTGTAAGGGTAGTATAGGCCATGCCAGGCGACGACGTCGAAGGGGGTGTGCGTCTGTTTGGCCTGGAAGAGGTGGCCTGCGAATTTGGAGAGGATGTGCCATTCCGAGTCGGTGTCTTCGTCGAAGTCGGCAACGGGGGCTTGGAAGTCGCGCGCGTTGGCGAGACAGTTGGATCCAATGGGACCGAGTTCGGGAAGTTCGAAGTGGCCTTGGTAGAGTTCGAGGATGTAGCCTCGGACAGGGCCTTCAGGAAGCGTGACGCGGTACTTGATACCCCGAGGGATCACGCAAATCTCATTAGGCCGTACCAGGATTCGACCGAGTTCCGTTTGGATGTCGAGGATGCCGTGCTGGAGCACGATGAGGAAATCACCGTCTGCTGAGTAGAATGCCTCGTTTTTGGCCATGTCCTTGCCTGCTGCGAAGATGAAGATACCCAATCCCGTCTTCATCGTTGGGTCTCCAGCGCCAGCTACGAGATGCAGCGAATGCACCCAGTCGACTGTCTCGTCGAGGTCAAAGGGGTCCCATCGGAGCTGATTAGGGATGTGATGGATCTTTTCATATGGCTTGTTCTCCGGATTGGTGTTGTACGTTGATGATTCCCTAGGCTCGAAGTTGCTGTGACCACATGATGGAAGGATACGGTACATCCATGTCTGTTGGTTCTCGTGTCGGGGAGCTGTAAAGGCCGTCCCTGAGAGCTTTTCGGCGTACAGGCCGTATGGTGGTTTCTGGGGAGAGTTTGTGCCTATGGGTAGGGCACCTTCAATGGCTTCTGACCTGTTGGGATGATGTGAGCAGACGGGACACGATAGGATTGGGAAGCTGTAAGAAGGATGAAGGAGGATATACGTACTCATGGTAAGAGTTGAAGCCATTCATGTACGTGTACTTCTCTTTTTGAGCGAACTGCGAGGAAGGCATCGCGGGCTTCAGTGGCAGAGAGTTCGGACTTGTAGTCAGGGTTGTGGAACTCTTCGAGGTTGCGGCGAGTCAATGGAATGGAGCTCTTAGGCAATTTCTTCTCGCGGGCTACGAGTTTTTTAAGTAGAGAGTCAAGGGGTTTCTTGGGATGCAGTGGGGTATGAGGGTCATCATAGGCTGAGGGAAGCACATCGGCCATAGCTGGAATCTGTAGGGGAGAGCGGAGGTTGACGGGGGTGCGGTATAGGCGGAGGTGACGGAGTAGAGTAGACTAGGGGAGGATAGGTGGACTGGGGGAATATTGTTTAGTGATGGTGGGAAGGGGCGGGAAAGAGAGAGCGGCTTTTGGTTCCGTTGTCAGATATTGGCGTTGTACGAGGGGGAAGGGGGAATAGAGAGTGACAGGCGATGACGAAGACCACAAGATGAGGCTGGTTGAGACGATTGCAAGAGAGACAAGAGAGAGGGAAAGGAAAGGGAAGGGGAAAAACTATGTCCTCGAGCCTAAAATGGTTTAGCTCTTCCGATTGGAGGGCCGTGGATAGCAGCGGGTTTCCCCACAAAGAAAGAGGACAGGGAGACGCTGGAGAGGGAAAGCGGAGGAAGTCGCTTCTACCAGGATCTCCCAGGCCGCACAAGGGCCGACACTGGAGAACCGCGGAACCTTTCCGTCTCTATTCTCTCTCTGCCCCTCACAACTTTCTATCCTCTATCCACTATCCACCCTGTCCCTCCCAACTACCTCCTACAATGCCGCGTTCATCCTAAGCCGGACTTCCTGGTAAATGTACACGCATCCCTTCTAGCTTTTGATTTAGTCGCAGCTACCTCGCATCGCGTCCGTTCTAAAGCAGCGGAAGCTCAAGGTAACGCGGGGCAGTTTAGATGACGAGATTTCCGTTGATTATTGATTGTTGTGGTCTTCTGTGTCTAGACAACTTCTTCTTCTAATTACCATCACTCCTACTAAGTACGAGACATAGAAAATACACAATTCGTCTTTCTACTAGATATCTGCACGCATTTATTTTCTTTCTCTTCTCGTTATTCAATTCAATTTCGTTGCGATTGGAACAGACGTCTACCATCGTCTTCACATACCCGTTCCCTCCATCATGTCTACATTTCGGTCCTGGTTCGCCATACCTCGAGGCTCGCATTTCTCTCTCGCGAATATCCCCTTCGGCATCATATCCACTGCCAAATCAGAGACCCCCCGCGTCGCCGTTGCAATTGGAGACCATGCCCTAGATCTTGAAGCTTTCGCGGCGAACAACGGCTTCAATGCCCTGTCCACGATCCAACCCCACCAATCCGTATTCTCCGAACCCACCTTGAACGCTTTCGCTGCTCTTGGACGACCTCTCCACGCAGTCGTACGAAAATACATCCAGAGCGTCTTCGCAGAAGACACACCGTACCCGGATGTTCTCAAGAATAACAGTGCGCTCCAGAAGGATGTGTTGTTGCCACTCAAGGACGTGAAGACACACCTCCCCATGAGGATAGGCGACTATACCGACTTCTTCGCCGGAATGACGCATGCCTTCAACGCTGGCTGTCTCTTCCGCGATCCCAAGAATGCGCTCCAGCCAAACTACAAACATCTCCCCGTGGGCTATCATGGTCGCGCTTCCTCAGTGGTGGTCTCAGGAACACCAATCCGCCGTCCCAACGGACAGATCTTGCTAGACCCAAAGGCAGAGACGAAAGTGCCCATCTACTCATCGTGCAAGAAGCTAGACATCGAGTTGGAGTTGGGCGCGTTTGTGTGTAAATCAAACAAACAGGGCGAGCCATTGCCAATCGGCGAGGCCGAGGACAGCTTGTTTGGTGTGGTGCTCATGAACGACTGGTCGGCACGAGACATTCAGGCTTGGGAGTATGTGCCATTGGGGCCGTTCAACGCAAAGAACTTTGGCACTACCATTAGTCCTTGGGTTGTCCTAGCAGATGCTCTTGCGCCGTTCAAGGTCAAGGGTCTGGAGAACGACACCGAGATTCTACCTTATCTCCAGCAGAAGGACGAGAAGAATGTTTACGACATCCAACTCAAGGTCGACTTGAAGTGTGAGTTATTATCATTGGCTATGCTTGTGAATTTCATGTTGACTGACCCTCCTACAGCAATATCAGGAAACGCATCGACAATCACCCAGACAAGCGGTCGGCATCTACTTTGGTCGTTCCCCCAAATGATGGCACACCACACGATCACGGGCTGCCCGTTGCAGGTGGGAGACTTGATAGGATCGGGAACAATTAGCGGACCAACGTCTGCGGAATATGGTAGCCTTTTGGAACAGACACAGAACGGGAAATCCTCCATAACGATTGCTGGAGGCGAGGAAAGGAGGTTCCTTGAAGACGGCGACGAAGTGACCATCACCGGTGTTTGTGGAAGTGACGAGGACGCTTTGGTTGGCTTTGGACAATGTGTGGGCAGGATTGAGCCAGCACTGAAGTTCGCATTTGCATTGTAGAGCAGCAATTCAACGATTACATTTCAAAATAAGCTCCTTTACTCGAAATGAGATAAGACTTGACATTGGTCAATGTTTTGGATGGAGTGTACACCAGCATCATTACGCAATGAATGTCATAAGATAGAATAATTGATGTTCCTGGATCCCGAGTCAGGAACTTCGTACCGCAACTGAACAATGACACCCGGATATAATCGTCGTGATCCACAGCGGAATTATCTAGTTAACATAGAATCGCATGAAGAGATTGCGATAGCGCCCACTTTAGCTGCATTTTGTGCATCTGCAATTGAGCCTCAGGAGTCAGGGACTCGGATATCGTTCGGGGTAAGAGAGATATTGAAGTGTTCAAACGTCTATAGACTATCGGAAAGTTGTTTGAAGCGTGTCAGAAACCCATAGATGGACAAGCGCAAAGGAAAAGGGACCAACGAGATGACCTCATTGCATCGGATGGAGACTACACGTAAATACGATACTTGTGAGTGGACCTTTAAGCTTCGGGGGTCCCATGTAGTCCTCCGCATTCCTTCCCAAACCCCACGTTCAATATGCTCGGAACGGAATTAGCACCGCCCCGTCCCTCTCTCCTCTCTGCCTCTTTCGTTACCTCCTATCAATTGTCCCCCATCAACGTAACTCGTACTATTCCAAGAATACACCACCCAACTGCGAGTATGACGGAAGCTGGCCGTTGCAACACCCCCTCCCCGCACGCCAATGGTTCATTCAGCACCATCAGTCGGCCAACTCTCGGCTGCTTGTACCAACTATCCAATAACGGGTTACGCGGGCTACGTCGACGAGGGATTCAGCACTGTAACCTAGGTAGCGAATGATGCTTCTCGTAAAGTGAACTGCATACTACCACTACTGGGTTGTTCACTCGTCCATTGACCTTCCATCCTTGTATAGTTTGCTTCCTCACAACTCTTTTTCCCCACTACTATTCCAGGGTCAAAGATATAAGAGCTGTGCTCCCAACACATAAGACTATTGTATCTCTGTCCTGGTGACTTGTGTTCCCTTATTCTTTAGCATTCGTCGCTGGTGATATATTTTTCTCCTTTCACAATGACGCTCCCAATCATTCTCGCCGGCGCCGTCATAATAACCTTCTTCGCCTACAAATTCCTCTACGGCACCGACACACCGAAGATCAAGGGACTCCCCGAAATTCCCGGCTTGCCATTGTTCGGTTCCTTACTCGAGCTTGGAGAGAATCATGCTCTCGTAGCACAGAAATGGGCGAAGAAGTATGGCCCTGTATTCCAGGTCCGCATGGGCAATAGGGTATGTGTGATTACAGCTATATCCACCTACTTCCCTGTTCAACGTTTACGTATTGCTCCGGAATAGTTCCAATACTGACCTTTCATAGCGAATTGTGTTTGCCAACTCCTTCGATTCGGTCCGTCATCTATGGATCACCAATCAATCTGCCATGATCTCGCGCCCAACCCTTCACACCTTCCACACCGTCGTCTCCTCCTCGCAGGGTTTCACAATTGGCACATCGCCATGGGACGAGTCGTGCAAGCAGCGCCGCAAAGCAGCAGCGACAGCACTCAACCGCCCAGCCGTACAGTCCTACATGCCCCTCATCGACCTGGAATCCAACGTCAGCATCAAGGAGCTGCTCTCAGATAGCAAAGGAGGAGAGATCGACCTCGACCCCAGAGCATATTGGCAACGCTACGCGCTCAATACCTCGCTGACCCTAAACTACGGTTACCGCATCGACGGCGACAAGGACGACGCCCTCCTCAAGGAAATCACCGACGTCGAGCGCGGAGTCTCCAACTTCCGCAGCACGAGCAACAACTGGCAGGACTACATTCCCCTCCTCCGCCTCTTCCCCAAGCAATCCTCCGAAGCCATCAAGTTCCGCTCCCGCCGCGATGTCTACATGAACCGCCTCCTCGGCATCCTGAAAGAGAAAATCGCCAATGGCACCGACAAGCCCTGCATCACAGGCAACATCCTCAAGGACCCAGAAGCCAAGCTCAACGAAGCCGAAATCAAATCCATCTGCCTCACCATGGTCTCCGCAGGCCTCGACACCGTCCCAGGCAACCTCATCATGGGCATCGCATACCTCTCCTCCCCCGCCGGCCAAAAGATCCAACAGCGCGCCTACGCCGAGATCATGAAAGTATACCCCGACGGCGACGCCTGGACGCGGTGCCTCTCGGAAGAAAAGATCCCCTACATTACGGCCCTCTACAAAGAGATCCTCCGCTTCTTCACCGTGATCCCCATCTGCCTGCCCCGCGTCTCCATCAAGGACATCGAATGGCAAGGCGCCATCATCCCTGCCGGCACCACCTTCTACATGAACGCCTACGCCGCCGACTACGACCCCGACCACTTCGCCAACCCCCACACCTTCGACCCGGAGCGCTACCTCAACGTGCCCGACGGCGCGGGGACGCCGCACTACGGCTACGGCGCGGGCAGCCGCATGTGCGTCGGCAGCCACCTCGCCAACCGGGAGCTCTTCACCGCGTTCGTGCGCCTCATCTCCGCCTTCGAGTTCACCCCTCCCAAGGACCCGCGCGACGAGCCGGTCCTCGACTGCCTCGAGGCGAACTCCATCCCCACGAGTCTGACCATGGAGCCAAAGTACTTCAAGGTTGGGTTCAAGCCGAGGGACCGCGCGAAGCTGGAGAAGTGGATCCGGGAGAGCGAGGAGAGGACTAAGGATCTGATGTAAATGTAAATATAAACGTTAATGTGTGAATGTGATTGGGGGGAAATGGGAGGGATATTCATAAGGTTTTCGTTTCCGTATATACTTGCATAAACATATAAAAAATATAACCATACAAACGTATCATACATACTCATCGTGGGTGTCAAGGGTGGTCGCAGATAAATGACTATACACACGCGCCTTAACTATTGATTAGGTAGCTTCTGTTTTCCTTCGCATTTGCTATTCCTACGGACGCCTCATGTCTGACAAAACGGGTTTGAAATGACATTGTTTTAACTGCTGCGGGGGAGGGAGGGGAGGTTGAGAGGTCGTTAGGAACAGTAGAGGTGGAATTGGGTGCGATTGGGTTGTGGAGTGAGGTTTGATAGGAGGAAGGCACGGATTACTGATGTAGGTTAGGCTAGGTAGGTAGGTTGGTAGGTAGATATCAAATCAAACGTACCAACACGAGCACTTTAACGGGTAGAGGACGTGGAATTTGGGTATTCTTGCTCATTCTTTTTCTTTATCTGACCTGCTTTCCGTTTCCACCCCGTATGGAAGATTGGAGGTGGAAGAATGCTTGCCTGGTACATGCATAGTTGAACTCCTTTCGAGTAAAAGGGAAAGAAGAACGGGATGAATCTAACTTGGTTGAAAATGTGTTGTAAAAGCCCCAAAAAGACTACATGCTCAAATCCGTCCGCCTTGCATTAATCCAATCTTGACGCCCCATGCGCCGCTGCTACCCTGGTGGGCGGAAGAAGAGGGAGAAGTTTTGACGCCCGCGGTCAATTGCACCACCTACGCGAGTATGTAAACACATACTTGAGGCGAAGGCAACTACTGCTGCTCGAGAGAAATGACGATTGAACCATCCCTTCTTCACTCGTCTTCATCGTCGTCGTCGATGACTCGCCTCCTCTTCGTCCTACTGACCACCACTTCTTGATCGTCATCCTCCTCGTCATCATCCCTATCCCGGTTCCGTTTCGGACTCTGGGTCTCGCGGGCACGGCGTGGCGGCGACTCGAGGATGTCCTCGTCGAGATCGTCGTCGTCCTCCATGATTTCGGGCTCCTCGTCGCTGGCGGCGATGAAACCGTCGTCCTCGTCGTACTCGTCCTCCCTGTTCCTGCCACGGCCATAGTCTTCGTCGTCGCTCATGTCGCGGCCGAAGTTCCTCTGCCTAGGCTTCCTTGCACCGCCTCTCCTACCACCATCCTCGTCTTCCAGGAAATTGGAGCTGATACCGTAACCGGCCGAACGAGAAGCTCCGCCGCCTGTTCGCCTTGAGGCTCTCTCCCGCTCGCGCAATTCAGTCTTTTCTCTCGCTCGCTGTTGGCGCAACTTCTCCTTGACTGAGGCCTCCTCTCGAGCACGCTTCAACTCCGGATCTTCGTTCACGTCGATGAAGGAGATGGCCTGGTCGCGATCGTCCTTTCCACGGTTTGCAGCCATGGCGAGGGCGCTCTGTAATCTCTCGATGGCGTCGTCCTTCGATGTGTTGGTTGGCACCACGGAAAGGCCGGTTGTCAGCTTGTTCGTGATGCGCATCACCTGCGCCTCTTCGTACGGAGCAGCGAGATATGTATATCCTTCCTTATATTGAGCGCCGGTGGATGCAGTCAATGATGTAGGCGTGGGCTTCTTTGGCTTGATCTGTGGAGGAGCGAGGGGGTTGGCGTTGATTTCGTATTGATCGAGTGGCTTCGAGGCAAATTGCAGGGTGAGAGAGCCATCGGACCAGCGCAGTACGCGGGCGTTGGATTGGAGTTGGCCGGGATTGGATGGCGAGCGGCGCCAACGGATGGTAGAGAGAGCTGTGTCGTACGGGGAGAAATGCTCGGAGGGGGCGCCCTTCGAGTGGTGATCTGTCGTTGGGGCGCGGAAGGTCTTGTGGTTGAAGGCGGTTGGCTCAATGGATAGGAAGCGTGGCACTTTGAGGAGGTAAAGCTCGCCATCACTGGGCTCTGGTACAGCATGCCTGGCGATGTCTGCATCCATGAAACTGAGGGTCTGCTGTTCCTCCTCCTCTACAACTTCTTGTACTTCAGGTGCACGGTCTGTCCGGCCCTCGTCGTCGCCCGAGTCCAGGTCTTCATCGTCGAGTGTGCGAAGTCTGCATGCGATGGGTGAGATTAGTGCGCGTCGCATGATACCACCGATCCAAATGGACACTTACGCTGGCTGATCCTCCTCGTCGTCACCTCCATCACCGAAGAGGTCGTCGTCGTCTTCATCGTCGTCAAGACCATTTTCTTCTACCGTGTCGCGCGGCTCTCCATCGTCATCGCTGTCGACAGGTCCGACCTTGCCTGTGATGGGCTCATCGTCGGAGAGATTGTCTGGGAGACTGGGCGCAGAAGCAGAAGCGTCGACAGCTACTGCGGAAGCCATTGCGGCTGTGAGTGAATTTGCGCGCGGGTTTCGGGAGGAGCAATTGGGGATTGAATTTGGGATGGAGTGGCGATGTGGGCGATGTGGAGAGACTACGCGCTTGTGTCTCTTACGGAATTGGAAGTGGTGAAGGATGAGATTGGGGAGGACGATGAAGAAGAGTGAATAGAAGTATTAACAATGCGAAGTTAATAGTATTAGTATTGTAAGAGCAGAGCAGTTGAGAGCTAGAATGGAATAATGGAGGAAGTCGCGCCAGACGCGCTAGTGTTCCCGGATAGGACTAGACTGACTCGAGCCCCAGAACGAGACGACGGCAGCGGACCTTCCCTTTTCCTGGTCTTGTCGGGTCTCTCGTCGTCGATTATTCCATCCATCCATTAGTTGTTCAATTGTCGATTTCTTCTTCTCTTCCTTTCCCTTTTACTACAATAAACTGGTCGTTAAAGTTATCAGATACTGTCTGCCTGTTAACTATTAACTAGTCCGGTGGTGGTCTATTCTCTCTACTTTCTCACCCTCTCAACCTCCCTCCATCCGAACACACGCCTCTTCTTTCCCCCCTACCTTACCCCCCCTCCAACCCATCACCATCAACATCAACAATTTCCCACCGTCCTCTTCGACTCCGTGCAACTCTCCGATCTGGTCTGGCCGGGTACAGCATAGCATACCTGCATAACTGCCGCACTGCAGGTCACCACCACCTCCACCACATCAACCACATCATCCTCCACATCCATCCACAACCACCACAGTCACAACACCCACCACCATGGCGTCCTTCTTCTCCAGTGTGTAAGTACCACCTTGCTTGGCGGGTTTAACCACCCCCATGCCCCCAATTCCCATTCCCATCCCATCCCCATCCCCATACCCATACCCATACCTGAGTTGCTCTCTCCATCAAAGCTTCTATAGGGCCATGTCACCTCTCCACGCCCCCTCTCGTTTCAAGGGCTAAGCTTTGTTGCATCTGTCTCACCTTTGCCCACTCTCTCTCCACCTGCTTCTGTTCTCCTTCCATTCCAATTCCTGAATCTCGTCTATCCTCTCCCACCTTCATGCAGATCCCTGTCCTCGTCCCTTTCGTACTAATCATTCTTCCATATCAGTCGCCAAGGATTTGGCGGTAAGAATAAAGGCACGCAACCAGGCAAAGGCAACGGTCAAGGAACTCCTTCTCCCACCACGCCTTCTTATTCTCCATCTGGTGGGCAGATTCCAGCTGTTCCTCCTATGCCACATTCTCCTGCTTTGTCCTCCAACATGTCGTTCGAAGGCCAGGCTGCACAAGAACCACCCACTTCCTCTTCTTCCTCGCGCAGGCCGCCTTTCTTCTTCCGTGAAGAATACTCCAACTTGATCGTTAAGGGTAATTTCATGACTCTTGCTGCGAAGCCTAAGCTTGTCGAGGAAGGCGAATGGCTCGCACATCAAGGTACGTTGTCTTGTCCACCGTGTGTGGAAAGGGAAATCAACCACGGGTGAACCAATTACTGAGATATGTGACCAGTCGTCGAACAGTACCGATTGCTGGAGCAAATGATCGACATCGTCAAAGTCATCGACGATAAAACCGGCAGGCCAATCTGCAACCCTGAAGTCTGTCCGACCATGTCGGCCAGTGGGTAAGTCTCTCACCGCCCAGCAGCAACGCGACATCCTGCATAACATGAGAACTCACCATTCCGCAGTCACACCTATACCTGGTTGGACAACAACAAGAAGCCTATCAAGATTCCAGCCATCCAGTACGTCAACCTGGTGCAGAAGTGGATCGTGGGCAAGATCAACGACCCCTCCATTTTCCCAACAGACACATCTTCAGCTGCAGCGTACCCTTCAGGTTCCTTGACTCCTGCGGGCACACCCCAACCTCTCGGACCCACCAACCTCAATGCACCTCTTAACCAACTCTCTGGTCGCGAGTGGCTGGGTAAGAGTTCTGGATTCCCAGAGACCTTTGAGTCAGATATCAAGAGCATCTACCGCCAAATGATGCGGTGCTATGCTCATCTCTACCACGGCCACTGGCTCGATCTCTTCTGGAACGTGGGAGCCTACAAGGAGCTCAACACTTGTTTCGTGCATTTCATCAACGTCGGCAAGCTGTTCGGGCTCTTGGGCGACAAGGAGATCGAACCCATGCAGCCACTCGTTGACATCTGGCTGGCAAAGGGTCTGCTCCCGCCACCCGCTCAGCAACAACAGAAAGAGAACGTTCCTACTGGAAGCGCACAGCAGGCTGTCCATGCTTCCTGAGGGTAGCACATGTATATGATTGATGTGTTCCTGAACTTGCACTGGAAGTAAAGGGTTGTACCGGATCTCAGGGTTCATGCGTATTGAACGACATGGTGGAATAGAGGGGGAGAGAACAGTGTGGCGTGGCAGTATCAATGCCCGACACACTCACTTGCATATCGGTGGTGGGGGAAAGGGTCTCGATGACGGCGTCACGGATTGTTGACATCGAAAGTAAATACAACAAATGCATATCTAGCCCAGAATTTGACTCGCGTTGAAGACAAACGAAAGTCTTCCTTTACAATCAAACAGTCCCGCTCACATTGAAAGCATTTTGTCTGGAACTCACTACGACGTAATTAATACCTTTCAACTATACTAGAAAGGCTGTATAGGTACCTGGCCATTGTACTACCGTAAGCCTATAACTAGTGGGAGTATAGATGCAGTAATGCCATCCTATATAATTATTTTAGTAGTACCTGAAGAACAGCACCCCGGCCATCAAAATGTTTTTGAGTATAACAATGCAACTCCTAATTTATACCTTAATGATAGATCCCAAGACGTGGGTGTGTGCCCGAGGAAGACGTCGAATTGCAAGGCCATTTTGTCGCTTTCGGGTTTCAAACAGTGAGTGGGTGACGTCAGGTCGGTTCATCTTAGAACCAGAATACGATCAAAAGGCCAGACTGTACTGTACGATCAAGATGGCGGCGGTGAACAAGACGAAGATGAGTGACAATGATGATGACCATGGAAAGAAGCTTTATAAAGGCACACAAATGACTCCAATTGTTTCGGTGATTGAAATTTAAAAGGAAAGAATCTGTGTCCCAGCACCAGCACCCTCCTTCCTTCTCCTTCTCCTTCTTCCCTCCTGTTCCACAATCAAAAAAAAAGAGATTTCCATCCGATTTGTAAACACACTGCACGCACAAAAGCACACACGCACACGCACACACACACAGAGACAGGCAGATTTGACTGTTTGAGGGTGAAGAGAGTTCGTATTTGTCGAAGTTAAAGGGGGCTTGGGGGATAAATTTGGGACAAGTGGTCGTTGGTAGCGTGTCTGGGCGCGCACGCGGCAGACGTCGTCGTGGAACGCCGTTTCGCTCGTTCGTGCACTTTAGTTGTGGCCAGCCTTGCGGAGCGAGTTGCTCAACCATTCGAGACCCTCGTAGAGACCGTCTCCGGATGTGGCGCAAGTCGACTGGATGTACTGTTCCTGCTGTCAGCGAAAGCCCGAAAAAGCGGTGTGTAGGAGCGTTGCATACCCAAGCACGTTGTCGGAGGCTGTGAAGACCAAGCTTGTCGGTGATCTCAGCAGCGTTCATGGCGTTCTATGGCAATCATGTCAGTCTGGCTCTTGCACTCGAAATGCGTCCAATGGCGTGCTTACGGGCAAATCCTGCTTGTTGGCGAAGACCAAGAGAAGAGCGTCCCTCAACTCGTCCTCGTTCAACATGCGCTGGAGCTCCTCGCGAGCCTCGACCACACGATCACGATCGTTGCTGTCAACGACGAAGATGATACCCTGGGTGTTCTGGAAGTAATGTCTCCAGAGAGGTCGGATCTTGTCTTGACCTCCGACATCCCACACGGTGAACTGGATGTTCTTGTACTCGACAGTCTCGACGTTGAAACCTGAGCATCCAAAGATCAGTACTTGTTGCAGATTTGTGATCGCCGGGTTTGGGACAACGCACCAATGGTAGGGATGGTGGTGACGATTTCACCGAGCTTGAGCTTATACAGAATGGTGGTCTTTCCAGCTGCGTCAAGACCAACCATCAAAATGCGCATCTCCTTCTTTCCCCAGAGCTTATCGAAGAGCTTCGAGAATGTGAGACCCATGATTGCGGTGGGTTGTGTTTTGGTTTAAGGAGATGCGGAGACCGGAAAGGGGAGGAGGCGGTGTGGAGAGACTCTCGAACCTAGAGACCCAGTAAAGTTAGAAAGTGCGATTCGCATGAAGGAGATGGATCCTGTGAGATAGACGGCGGAGTTTTTCCATGTTGGCGCTCGCTCGCGATAGTGAGTACCTGTTGCAAGATCCGGGGGCTGATGGCACCTGAGATAGCAACAGGAGGCGCGTTGAGCGATCTTGGAGGGCAAAGCATATTCGATCAAGGCTGGAATGGCGGATGTACTTACGAACAAAGTCCAAGAGCGAGGGGTGTTGATGGTTATGGGGATGGTGTTGTGGATGCAATCTAATTGATGTACAGGAAGGGCTGGGTTGAAGAGACGTTGTGGATTTCGGCGGCGGCGAAAGTCTCGGCGCTGATCCTGGCAGGCGTGTTGCACGCACGTGACTGCACTTCACGGTGAGATTACGGTACGAGATACGGAGTAGATATGGTTGGGATAGAAAATAAAGTGTAGGATTGCAGATGTAGTTGCTACACCATTCCTATGCCAATCCTTTATGAATTGGGATCGATCAAGACACGTTTTGTTGCCTCTTAAAGCAGCTCGGGATTCGAGCAAGCAAGCAAGCAAGTACCTAGGCAGCCATGATCGCATCTCCCTACGCCAAAACAACGGAGGCCAAAACAGGACATCTGGCATTTTGACAATAAAGCCATCGACTTTGTACTATGCGTGTAGCAACCTCAGGATACCGCGAAAGGCCTCGACCAAAAGTTTCCTACGTAGTACCGTTGCCATGCGCTGTATCACAATCCATCATGCCTCGTACTGTGTGGCTTGATGCGGTTTTGTTTCTCCCATGCTCGCCCAACAAGTCTGTAGTAAACAAAACATATGTTTTCGCCTTCTTACGATCACCACGTAACAATCAAATGACCTTTGTACAGTTGGCATAAGGTAGTCGTTCTGTTGCAAGCCCACATCCTAGGTACCATTCACTATTCAAACATTGAAATGAGGATGCCTACAGGCCTCTGGGAAAGTGCATTGTCATGTTCGAGTCCGCGCGTTGCCACCCACTTGAACCACCCCCGAGCTGACTGATTAGCTTCTCAACTAGTAACATCTCGCCGCCGCCCTTGGCCAGTGTTGAAAGAGTTACGAGTCTAGGTAGCTTGTCTCTAAGGTTGGTAGTTATTGACACAATACGGAGTACACATCCTTCCAACGCGAACGAACCCAAAGTACGCTTACTTGCAGCATTTTGATTGAATTTTCTTCATTTGCAAACTATGTATGCATCGCATCACTAAGATGAGACACCAATAGAATTGCAATGGCAGGCTATATGAAAAAGGGCTGAAAGCCTTCCTGCTACCATTCCATTTAATGGTTGAGTCATATCTCCGTTTTCCAATAGTATAAAGTACAAAGGGGGTATCAAAGGTTGGAGGCCATGCATTATTTCTGCATCAAAACCTCTCGAAAGGGATCATAAGTCCTGGCCGAGCAAAACCACAAGAACTTGGACGTTTTCGCCGACTATAACAGTCAGTTCTCACGTCTATGTCTACTTGGCGGCAGATAATCCGACGACTAATCGCTCTCGTCGCTGTAGACTTCTGTGGCTTTGCTCTTCTTGAACCTAGGTCTGTCCTCGGCCTGCCAAGCTGAGACTCTGCGGTTGTTGAATTCGCGGCCGTTGCAAATCTTTGCGTAGGTCTCAGCATCCTTGCGTTCCTTGAAGCGGACGCACATGATGCCTTCATGCTCCTTGTCGTAGAGCACAACTTTGGTGACGACGCCGTAGTCCTCGGCCTCTTCACGAACTTCGTCTCTGATCTCTGTGATGGCATCTTCGTCCTCTTCGAGCTCCGCCAAGGTGAACATATGGTTCAAGATGACGCAATTGGCCCATTTGTTGCTTCGTGGGGCGTATGTTTCCTTCAAGGCTTCTTCATCATCATCGGACCACTCGGCCAGTTTACTGGTGTAAAAGTTAGCAAACCTCGAGAACATGAAAGCTGGATGAAGCAGCGTTGCCTCCTCAGTGGCCTAGTTCCGGCCGCAGGAATATCACCTACCGGTTCAACTCGGCTTGGTTGCGCTCATTTGCCTTTTTGTCTCTGCGCACGAAGTTGGCGTCTTCTCCACCTTTGTGGCGCTTGTAGGACAGTTCTGCTGGCTTGACATAGATCAAGTGGCTCGTATCTGTGGATCGGAACCAGTAGTCGTCGGCCATGTTGACGGCCTGGTTGACGGCCTCTTTCCTGAAGTACACGACCAGGGCCTCGCCCTTGAAGTTTCCCGCATCATCTGTATACAGCTTAACTCGCTTCGTACCGTCAGCTCCTTGATCAATAATTCCGAACCTGCCGAAGGCGACCTCGATTTCTTCGTAGGTAGTGTCGAGAGGGAGGTTGGAAATGTAAATGGCACGGTTCTCCTTGACTGCTTTGGCCTTCTTGCTGGAAGCCTATGTTCAACGTTAGCGAGCGTTCTGTACGCAGGGCTCGGGCGATGGATGGTTTAGTCAGTGAAATGACCAAACGCAATCCAGCCTTCACCCTGATCACTGGGGACTCTTGGACTTTGTTCACTGACCTCAGGAGCAGCAGGTTCCTGCTTGCGCTTGTTCTTGGGCTGCTGCGGGGCGTCTTGGTCCTCGTCGTTGACCGGACCGCCATATGCTTGCTGATAGGCAGCAATTTGTTCTTCAGTGGCCTAAGGAAATGTTAAAAGAAGGAAGGGCCAAAGCGGCGGCGCATCGCAGGTCGAAGGAACTTACGGGTTGGAACCACTTTCCAGACGGCCTATTCCACTCCCATTCCTCGCCATTGCCATCCAAGAGGACCCATTTGTCTTGACTGGGCGTATAAGTGCACCGGCCGTCCGAATGGAACAGGGCAGGGTCCTTGGGGAAGGGATCGCCGCGGGCCATGTTGGGCGATTGAGGGCAGCTTCGAAGGTAGGGCAAAGACGGCGATTGCCTTCTTTAGCGGTTGCTAGCGGTAGCTTGACTCGAATATGCTTGCTGTGAGGCTTTGAAGGTCTGTGAACTGCTCTCCGTTAGCTTTGTTCAGTTTTACGGCCAAACTGGCCGGTAAAACGGGGCGATTGGGAGATGTTGGTAAGTAAAAAAGTGAAGGTGGACGGCGAAGCTATAGGTAGCTTGGGCGCGGCCGCGCGGGAGGGGAGCGGGAGAAAGTGGCTCCGCGCTCCGTGCTCCGCGCCCCGAGAGTAAACACGAGTCTCCCTTGACCTTCACTGTTCTGGGGGCACTTCGGGGTTGCAACAATACAAGTAGAATAAAAATGCATTGATACGAGGAAGCTTCAATAATGAATAATCGCGTAGGATAATTTAATTAGTTTGGAAGTGCTGCTAATTATTACTGTTTAGACCGATTCAGTATCAACGTTAGGTCGATGCGGGCCAAAGAATTCGATGACGGCATCTTTTACATTTGCTCTGACCATCTCAAAACACAATAACATAGGTAATACACATGATAGTGAAATAGTAAACCCACAAGTATACACGAGATGTGATCAGTTAGTTGAGAACACTGCCCTATTTTGACTGACCCCTTGGTCTCTGCCTTGCTCTGCCACCACATGGGACACAACCATGTCGTGTCTGATGCCTATTCTCTTACAACATGTGCCCCACGATTGTCATGCGCCCTCTTCCATCGACTTCTCACTAGTTAATGACTTAACCCCAACATATCAATCTTCCTTTCCTTTCCTTTCCTTTCCTTGTCTTCTTCCCACTTCTCAAGTCTACCATTTTTCGTCTGAATCTCGGCGCACGGCGTTCTCTCCTATTTTCTTTGTGACTTCTCCCCGAAATTCGTAGCTCACCATGCGCGATCCCATACCCCCTCCATCATATCTCGTGCAATTAACCAAACCCTTCGCCGAAAAGCTGACCCTACAAACCTTACCATGGCATTTCCACGAAGTACTCCTCGGTTTCTTCGGTTACCACCTGGTCCTCTACATTTTATCACCTACTCTGTCTAAACTGATATGTCCCAATGTCTACCGCGGCTTCAACAGGCGCACCCAAATCAACTGGGACATTCATTGGGTTTCCATGGTCCAAGCACTCTTCATAAACTCCGCCGCCCTCTATGTGATCTTTGCCGACCCTCAAAGAAAAGAGATGGACTGGAAGGGCAGACTCTGGGGATACACGCCTGCCATGGGCATGGTCCAGGGTTTCGCTGCTGGCTATTTCGTGTGGGATTTGCAGATCTCGGCGCAGTACATAGCCATCTCTGGACCAAGCGCATTGATCCATGCAATCGGTGCCTTAGCAGTGACATGTATAGGATTCGTAAGTTGCTGAAAGGAAAGATATACTGGATATTAGCTTATCCCATGAGCAGAGACCATTCGGGAACTACTACGGGCTGTCTTTCGTACTCTATGAGTTGTCGACTCCATTCTTGAACATCCACTGGTTTTGCGACAAGTTGAATATGACGGGCTCCAAGATTCAATTATACAACGGCATCGCCCTCATTGCCACATTCTTCGGTTGCCGGATCGTTTGGGGAACCTATCAATCCATCCTGATCTACTCGGACATCTACAAAGCGTTGACTTATTCTCCACAGCTTGACATGCTAGGCGCAATTGTGGAAGAACCAACATGCATCGCCAACGCGAGTGGCGTCGGCGCAGGAGGGATCGCAAGCTGCGAATTGGGAGAGCTTCCCACTTGGCTCGTCTATGTTTATCTCATAGGAAACACTGCTTTGACGCTGTTGAACTTTTACTGGTTCTCTCAAATGGTCAAGGCAGTGAAGAAGAGGTTTCCTGCAGAAGAAGGAAAGCAATCAGCGACGCAGGTCAAGAAGGGACAGTAAATGTTGTTTGATTCGAACATTCGAACCCTTGGGAGGATGGCTAAGGCATGTTGGCTACTACGAATTGCAAGGATATATATCTATAATTTTCCAAATAATGTCCGTTGCAAGTCAAAGTAGATACAAATAGTAATCGAATACAGATGGCTATGGGGAGACCATACCTGTTAAACACCAAAGCATGGACTATATGAAAAAGAAAATGCCTGGACTTGGTTACGCCCGATGGGGGAGTAATAATATAAAATTATCACGAGCAGCATAAAATGAATCCCTAGCCAGTAACTGGAATGATATAGCGAAGTCGCTTCATCCTAGAGGACTTGTCTGATTTCATGCTGAGAAATTGGGATATTCTACGACACAAATGCACTGTGATCTCAGTTTGCCCAGAGCTTTCTTTTTAGAAACCCAAACATGGTGATTCATACACCGAGAATCCGATTCCCAGAGTGACAAGACGAGACATAGTCATTTGAAAAGGGTTCGCTAATCATCTGCGCCCGAATCACCCAAGAACGCACATCAGGCTATCTATTAATTTAAGTGACTAATAAGAGCATTCTTCTCGTATGTACTAAAGATGTCCATATTGAATTCTGACACACTGAGATAGATATTCCCACTTCCGGAAATCCATCCGCTGCATCAATATAGGCTACTGTATAACCCTGGGTTTGGTTCAATACGTTCTTCATGTAGGGCTACACCATGGGATTCTGAAGACTGCTATAAGAGAGCACATTCGACACATGGGTTATCAAGTCATGAATGAGTAGTAGTATTTGTAAAATCATGCTTTTCAGAAACTATCGACTGGCTCTGTTGTCCGCAATTTCTGTATCAATTCACGCGCGTATGTGCCCTTACTAAGTTCTCTTGTATATACATGCTGAGTCTCTAGTCGTTGCAGAGAGCCTCACAACTGTTTTGACTACACCTCCCGGCAGCATAACTACAGAGGCTCCGCTGTCTCCTGTCAGTACACCTGGCCCGCTTCTTCCACCGCCCGTGACAAATAACTCCGTTTTCCAATGTTGGTCAACATGGTATGTACTCTGCTATTTTCTGGCATAGCGAAGCCGATTGCATAGGCTACTGAGTACCATCTCAAGGGTTGCTGTTGCACAACTTCGCCGGCACACTTCATTGATATATTAGATCCTTCAGTGAGGTTAGGATACTGACATAGATAACAGGAACTCAGCAAGGAATGAGGAGATATGGGCAGACGAAAACCGCACTCCAGTCATAATTTCATCCACAACAAGCGTATCAAGCTATCTCTCCTGGGACACATCAGCATCTTTCACGACACTTTGCGACGGCTTCCCACGCGCAGTGAACCCCCCAGTCGCTACAAAGCTGGTCTGGACCACGACGACAGACTACAACGCCAGCCGTACGGAGTGGCATCGACCGCCGCAGACCTTCCCCAGCATCGACTGCAACATCTGCAACTACTGCTCCGGCTGCGACGCCATCCACCAGTTTGTCACCTATTCCAAGTCTCTCTGGTCGCAACAGCCAGAGCCCCGCACGCCATCGACATTCGACCAGCGCATCTACTGCTCCAAGGGGACGCCCACGCCCATCAAGACACAAACACCAGTGCCCTTCCCCACAGCACCCAACGACGGCAACTGCATCATCCGAGCCGACAGCGACAAAGGCACCCTCTTCTACTGGCCCGTCACCACCGTGTCTGGCGACTTCTGCGCGCAGAACGGGACGACCGTGAAGGCTTCCCCAACCGCCAGCGACGGCAGTCCCAACACCGCAATCTACAACGGCATGACGCTCACGTCCCCGACGGCCGTCCTCATCATCGACGCAGCGTCCGCCCAGATCCGTGTCTCGAGCAGGAAGAAGAGCTGGATCCGCACGGGCACCTACACGTCCAACACGCTGTCGCTGCACCCGACTGCGATATCCTCCGTCGACCACCGGCCGGGCAAACTCGCTGTCGGGTCGATTTTGCCGTCGTACTCGTTCAACTTCGAGGACTTGAACACCGTGCCGCAGCAGAAGTACTGGACGGCGCACTGCAAGCACAGCGGCTCGTACGACTGCTCGAGGATGTGGGAAGCGTACGTGCCCATGGTCGCGATTCCGGAGGAATTCACGAGGCTGAATAAGGAGATCGAGTTCTGCACTGCTTGGGGGAGCATTGAGCCTATTCCTGTTGCCATCACGGCTGGCGTGAGTACGAGTGTCAGTGTGACGGCGACGGGGTGGGTGGCTCAGAGCACAGAGGCGGATTTGGAGTTTGTTGCGGAGAAGGCTGTGGGGAGTAAGGATGGGTGGTGATGGCTGCAGCAGCCTGGTTTGTCAGTCATGAGCCAGAGGTGTGTTGGGAAGGGGTACGAGATGAATGATAACGAAATGAAGATCTTGAAGATCGTCCTAAATTGATGCATTATACACATACGGTTTGAAATATTATGCTACATGAGAGAACCCCCGCGTAAAGGCCGCTGAACCTCTTCTGCCCTCTTTCTCACTAAGTCATGACTGTTCTCCTCCCTCGGCTTAGAACTGGGATGTGTACATGGAAGTCTGGTATCCATAATTGAATGGTATGGGAGCTGTGCTTTGTGGTAATGACACAGGGGTATGTGCATAGTATGATGTAGGTGGGTAAGGTATATACGCCCTATGATATGTGTTAGACGGAAAGACAATCAAGTGCATTGTTCAATGTCTTACGGATCAACGCACTCCTCCGTCGAGATGGCCTCAGAGGCCTGTGACGTTGGAGTAGAAGAACGCATTAGGAAAGAATTATCATTCTCGGGCATGAGATAACCAGATTGGTAGCCTGGGTCGGCGTAGAAAGGTGCCATCGGCATGAAGTTGGATGGGTTATCCTCGAAGCTGGCGTTACTCACTGCCGTACTGCAGTACCCATCCTGTGGCCAGCTTGTGTTTGGTGCTCCATATGCGTTCCACGTATCACTTTGGGCATACGCGAGACTGTGTTGCTCATAGGGGCTTGGGGACCTCGAGTGGAGATTAGACACCTCACTTGAGGCACTTCGTCCTGCCGTCGAATCGACTGAACCCGAAGATTGTGGTACCACAGCCTTTGAGGCATGTCCATTATGAGTCTTCGTATTTGCTTCACCATTGTATCAGTGACTGCGACGGAACATGCTTGCACAAGAATCCCTAAGGTGGAGATTGCTTACATGGAGCCGCACTGAACGTCCTCAAATGTTGAACCCATTCGTTTGGGGTTTGCTGTTTCTTTCCCCTGACGTACTGACAACTGTGCCCATTCCGCTGGCATCGGCGGCAGCCAGGCTTCCCACCATCACACTTGACCTTACGCTCGCGGCAGCGTGCGCACGCGACATGCTTGTTCTCTTTCGGTGGTGGCGCGGAAAACATTGCAAGATGAATGCTGAAAGGAGATAGATGGGATGTTGCTGACGAACTTGAAATGGATTCTTTAAGGGTTGTATGATAATATATGCTCTTAGGCGGAGACGGCGATGCCTCGTTTCAACCACAGACACCCACACCATCACAAGCACCCACAGCACTGGATGGCTACTCGATCTATTTTCTCTCGCATTCCCCAAGAACCAAACAGGCACAAGAACGTGGTCCTTGACTGCGGTTCAGGCCCTGAGCCTCGCTGGTTCATCCATCGTCAGCCCTAAACGCCTCTCAGCTGTATGCTCTAGCGTGGGAACTGGAATGCTGTTCCTGCAAAGGATTTCGGTGTACGGAGTACACAGTACTGTATGAACGCCTTGCCTTGAATTCTCCAGATCAGGTAAGCTTGCCGTTATCCAATACACTGACGCATTGTGTCAACTAGGCGGACAGGAGGGCCGCTCTTTGTGATAGATAGACCTCCCTTGACGTCGTCTCATCCTTGGCCAATGCTTTCCAGAGATCCAGTTGCATGTGCTCGTCAACCTTTGGACGGGACGGTCGCACATTCATAAGATCCCAGGCTCCAGCAACTCTTTGGTGACTTTCTGTGACATAGGTCTTTCGGCCCTCACCGCTCTGGCCTCTTTACCCCCCTCCTTCGGCCACACCGCGTAACAGTTACACAGACAAAGGCTTGGTTTGCTAGAGTCCGAGTAACGCCGCAGACGTGGTACAGGATGCACATTCCCGCCACAAGCCATGCCATATTCCACTAAACGAGATGAGAAAAAGAAAGGTTCTGCCCACACATATTCCCAGGACGGTATGCTCCGGCGGGCATTGTCACCGACCATGTTTTCTGGAAGGTCACACGGGAGGCGGACCTGTGGAATGAGGGATCAAAATAGCAATGGGAGGAGCATATTTGCCTTTTCCTTGGGTCGAGGTGAGGTGAGGGGCAAACCACTTAATCATGTGCAAGACATCTCTTAGCGGGAGCCTAAGACCCAAGGACGGTGATCTTTGTCTCGTCCAAGCGATGGGATTTGGTAGATCTGGGAAACATGTCAGACATCGCACATTGAAGGTGAAATGTGTAGCAAAGCGGTGGATCCCCCGAATGTCGGTCAGTTGCTTCCTGTCTCCTGTTGCCTTTCGATGCGTCGCCGTTGAGATTGGCACATGCAGCGACGATACATTGAGCCAGTAACACCTACCCTATGGTGGACGCAGACGTAATGCAGTGTTACTTGCCAGACATATGTTTACCACCTGAAATGCACTCTTGCATTGGCCACTTCAAGTGCAGGACTGGATGGTCCAACATATACATAGGCAATAAAGCTCACAGCCTCGGCCTGCGCTCTTGAGCATTCTTTTGCCTTCATTGACATCCGTGCTTCTCCCAAAGCAGTCCGAATCATTAATCAATCCCTTTCTTTTGCATGGATTTCAGGGATCTGGCGGTAACGGGACGTTGAAACTAGCTCGTCGACAACGGCAGGCCGCGTTGGGGGCAAACGGGTGTAAGTGATTAACGGCTTCGAAGTGGCTGGACGGATCACTATGTCGATTATCTTCTTGAGATTAACCTAGGTATCAATACGGGATGTGGCAGAATTGTGGACGTGTGAGAGAGTGAGGCAACGGGCAAAAGAAAATGAAGTGGCACCGTTTGTATAACATCGGGACCTGGAGGCATTGTTTCGGGTGTCAAGAGAGACGGTGGCGGTAGAGACCGACCTAACAGGCGAGCAAATGGACGAGGCTGGATGGATGAGTTAACACTTGGAATGAGAGATTCATTTATTTCGTTCCGACTCGAAAGTTGATTGTCAAATCCCGCATCAAGATTGTGATCGTGGAGACGAAAAGTACCATGCTGACAGGTGAGGTCGGAATAAGATGTTGGCAAGGCAATCAGTCAATCACGCCCTGAGCGTCTGATTGAATGTCTCGAACGAAAAATGAGCTCATTAGCACCCATCATCATCAACATTCTCATCGCAGGTGTATTGAGTCCAGCCTTCCTCTTCCATTGTCGTTCTTCGGCATAGTTTTCGATCAAGAGAAAGACCAAAATCTAGACTCGCAGTTGCAATGAACAGACGCTTTGCCATCTAAGTACCTAGGTAAGCATCACCAAGACCTGCACCCCTGAACAACCTCGGATTCGCATTATCGTGAAATAATTTTGAGTGTTTAAATAATAATACGAATTCGAATCTCATTTAGAGACTTGTATTCGCCGATTTGGAGTGTCCCTGGAAATTCAGAAGACAAAAGTCATTACCTAGACCGCTATGTAGGCGTAGGTAGCTAATCTAGACTTTCGCACCCTCTGGATACGAGTTCATAATTACTGGATTCGCCCTCCAAGCCAATGATGGTCGTGGACAAACCTCGATTCGGTCATAAATCCGATGCTAGCAGCAATGCCAATTGCACGAGATGGCCATGTGCCTTGATTTCACATTGTGCCCAGCAATGGAAGTTTTGCAATGCTAATCGGTGCCTGAGCCTCTTTGTATGAAATGCGACATCATGATACCACCCGCTAGCGAAGGATAGGAAGAATAAAGAGAGCACGGAGGGCGAAACAAGCCTCCATGGAGCGAGCGTAAGTCCTCACCTCAGGAGTAGGGAGAGAGGCACCGAAACCGCCGCCCCAGTCGCTAATTAGTCCGGCTGGCTGCTCCTGTTTTTAACATTTTCCTTAGGTTTTTCTCCACATGCGCATCATTTTAGCGGCATGGCGCTTGTAGAAGATGGGCAGCTTCAGGAAAGATAGCTTAGAGTTTGTTGTATTCACCGGTTGTCAAGAGGTTTTGAAAGCTGCAATCTCAACAGGCATGATGGCTGAAGGGTGTCTGTCTATCTTCGTAGTGATAACGATGTGATGTAAGGCGGGGCGACCGTATCTCTGGATTCACCGTTCAAGCCGTTCGGGATCTTTCGAACCCACACACGTATGCTTATTTACCGTGCGATAGACTGCATCCAATATGCGAAGGATGGGGAAGCGCAGCGGTGGCTGTTGGTTGGAAAAACAACCCGGGGGCGCTCTCTGAACGCTGGGGGCATATCCTACCCCGCTGGGTCAATGAATCAAAACAAATCCCTATTTGCTGATCTCCTTCCTTCGAAAGCCATGACTTGGTGATAAACCGGGATGGGAGACCTGATCTGCCGGATGGTTTGGAAGCCGGGCGTTTCCAGTTTCGTTTAGAGTCGGGATTGCAGGTCACCAACGCGGGTGCAGCGGGCCGTCGCATTATCAAACGACTGACTCGTGGGGTTGCTGGGGTGCAGAGACGAACTCGTCTTGAGTCAGGGTATTCATCAGACACTTACGAGTAGGAGAGGGAAGTAGAGTAGGCTGAAGATAGCAACATGATTTTTAGAACGGATATTTCCCCCCATAAGCAAGGTTTGATCAATGGGTTCATTGTTTGATCGATATTGCCTGCGAAGGGGGACGGGATGGATGTGGTAAAAATACAAGCGCCCGGGCATGCAATGTGCCGATCATAAAGGAAATCCTTCCACCGGGGATGCGGTAGTGTCGGAACAAACAGACTGCTCGCTAAACTCGAAGCAAACATGATATCAGACGAGAATAGGAAATATTTGGATAGTTATCGCTAAAGTGACGTGAATAGAAAACACATTTGTGGCGCACTGACGCCTTTGATTATACTTTGTGGAGGACCTTCTCCTCGCGAGGATCCCTGGGGATCACAATGACGGTGTCTAGCTCCTGCTCTGAGCCGTTGGAATCGCTTCGGAACCGCTTATGCGAGTCTCCACTCCTGATCGATGCATTGCCAGACGTTTCACCACGTCTGCGCCCAATGTGAGATGCCACCGTCTGGCCTGCTGTGATGAACCAGGGCAGCTTGCCGTGGGGTTTGGCTGATGGGGCATGTTAGTAGGGATACGATACAAGTGGATTGTCGGGGATCTTACGCGTCCAGTATTCGCGATGATCGGCATCGTCTGGTACGATATGACCACAGCTGATTAACTTGGTGACCCAGATGAGGCCATTGAGTGCAGTGTATGTCATGAGACCTGCAATCAATCCGTACGCAGCGCTGTAACCAAACGGAATGAACATGACCGTGACAAAAGCAGGAATGGCATCTCCAATGTACTGCCAGTTGATGTTGACGATCTGCCGCATCATCATGCATCCGACCTGGAGATTTTATCAGTTGCAGTTCAAGAAAGGTGTGGGGCCACTGAACATACCAGAACAAGGGTGCAGCCAGTTGCCCAAGGTGGAATCGATGCAAAAATAGGCGCAAAGAACATGGATATGAAGAAACATATACCTGCAGTCATTGCCGTCAAACCAGTCTTTCCACCTTCGGCAATTCCTGCTCCGGACTCAATGAATGCAGTCACAGGTGAACAGCCCAATAGAGCTCCTATGGATATGCAGAAAGCATCCGTACAGTATGCCAATGTCGAGCGTGGGAAATCTCCCGTTTCTGGGTCTACAACACCCGAGAATCGTGCCATGGAATATAGTGTAGCCGTGCAGTCAATGATGTCGACATAAAGGAAAGTGAACAGTGCGAGAATAAAGCGGGGAATGTCTCCGGATATGTTCCAGTCGAGGGTGTTGAGTGTATGGTTGATAGGGTGAAAGCTTGCAACCTTCTTGAAGAAGTCGAATCGGTTGTCGCCTTCAGCGTTGTGAGGAAAATAAGTGACTGGGGTGTTGCGCCTGGACGAAGGTGAGCTTTCGAGAGACATTCACGTGCGTCAGTGTGCTTACGGCCATGAGATGATTGAGACAAGAGCAATTCCGGCAATCATAGCACTCTTCACTTTGAATGCCATCAGGTAAGCCGTGATTATACCTCCACAGAAGATTCCGAGCCACATCTGTAGAATAGGTTAGTCACATGTCGATAGTCAGAGGAGCAAGCTCGGTCTTACAGTTGGAGAGCTCATCTTGTGACTGGTACAGAAACCATTCTCGTCTTTGAACTGGTCTGGGCAGCCTGCAATATCAAGGGGTGTGGCTGTTGAACCGCTGATGACGCCTAGACCTGCCGAACTGCTAAGACCAATCTCTGCTAGAAAAAGTCCAATACCGCAAGCACTAGCAACTTTGAGCGAAACGGGAATGATCTTGACAAGCCATTGGCGCATCCCAATCAATGAGAGAAAGATGAAGATGAACCCCTCAATGAACACAGCCGTAAGAGCGAGGTTGTAGGAGATTGAACCTGTTCCATGGAAACCAACGATTTGGTATGCGAAGTAGGCGTTGAGCCCCATACCTGGTCTGCATGAAGAATTTAGCACAAATTGCGAAGAAATGATAAACTAGGAATCTAGATAGACGCTTACCCGAGGCACACAGGCATGTTGGTAAGGAATCCGAATAAGAAGGAGCTAAAACCCGCAACGGCAGCAGTAGCTGTGATCAATGACCGATTCAGATCTTCACATGTCATTAGTGGCCAGCAGAAGAATATTCGTGCTAGGCAGCATACCTTGAACACATGTAGCATATTCTTCGTTAACTTTGCATATTGGGTCCGATCCTGTGAGATCATTGCAAACACAGTTGCCGCCAGTGTCGGACAGAATTGAAGCCTGTGATTGTTGGTCAAAAGAAAGCCGACTACTACCAATTGAGGCGACTAACATTGACCGCAATGATATATGCCATTGTGAAGAAAGTCGTTAGTCCAGCACGCAATTCGGTGGTGAACTTTGTGTTCTTGATCTCTAAATCCTGTGCAATGGTTAGTATAGTCTGTACGATGAGAATCAAGCGTGGGAACATACATGCCCACTGCCTTCAAGGCGGAAGATCCTTCCGAAGGTCGAACTGCCAACTGCATAGTTGAAGGAGTCTAGTGTTCGTCGAGCGGCGTCCATGGTGCCTAGAGTTGAATGACGCCCCGAGATGTTCGAGGCAAAGGTATAATTAAGGAAAGGCAGAGAGGTAACTCGAAAGGGTCGACGGCACGCAAAAGCGTCGACTCGGAATTACGTGTGGCCCTCTCGGAGCATTTAAAGTTAAGTGGACATAGAAACTCTGAGCAAAGACAAAATATACTTTGCTGGACACTAGATACCATGCGTCAGAAGATTAGCTCATGAGATCGGAACCGGGGATCCAAGAAGAAAAAGCATCCAAGTGGGAACTCACATCTTTGAAATAGACAGAGAAGAGACAGATGCACGGCGTGGTGGATGGCTGGCTGGCTGCAGGTGTTCAAACGAAGCCAGGCTTTTGGCAGGGAGATCATGCAGTAGATGTGATGAATGAAGGGTAGATTGATTGAGCTGTCACTTGTACTTGATAGCCAGATCATTGGCCATCGGCAACCAAGGGGAGACCGGGCTCACCAACATCTTTAACGGCGATGCGCATCTGGCGCGACGCAAGCAAAGGAGGGAGGCGAGTACAAGGGCCAGGGAAACGACAGCAGGGGACTTGGATTGTACAGTACGCTTGTAGGCTTGTAGCTGTACGAGGGAGAATCGGGTGGAGGCTCTCAACCTTCAAGGGAGCACGGGGAGACTAGCACAGTGGAATCAGCATCCGTTATTGGAGCAAAGGGGATGTGGTTTCGTCTAGACAGGTATGGGCTGGTGAATTGATCTGGGATGTTTTAGTAGGAGTTAGGATTTAGGACGTTGGTTCTGGGTAGTGGCGGCACGTAGCGAGGCCTGAAAACCGTGCCAGGCGTTCAAAGTGGAAAGCTGAACCCCCGATCTAATCCTCCTCCAGGGCCATCTGGGCCCTCCACCAACCAGCGTGAACAAGTCTTCACGAATCCTTACTCCAATTCTCCTAGTCACACTCACCGTACGAGTCAAACTTGTAGGTACAGTATCTGTGCATTTCAGGAACAATCGTCCGTCCCCCCTTCCATCTGCCAAAGCGGAAGGGATAATCCCACACAGACCCCACACCCCTCTGCTTGTAGAACTTGTATCACTCGCCAAACCGGCCAGGCTCGTAATACTCTTCCCTTCCTACCCGAAGTAACCTGTAGTTGCAAGCCTGGGAGAGTACGTACACAGTAACTACACAGTACAGGCCCAGCGTAGTAATCTCGATGCCCCCCCCAGGCCAAGGGTGAACGGCTCATGATTACAATACCTGTATTTTCCCCTTCGTATCCCAGCCGTCCACTTCGGCTTCATAAGCATCCGTGTCCATATTTATTCTGCAAACGGGGCCTGACGTTGATTCCCGGTAGTTCGACCCTAGGCATGCAGAAGAGTGCAGAGGATGAACCACCAACGTTATTGCTCGTCATCTTCCGATGCAGATAACTATTTGCTTGCCTGAGCGGCTATGCAACAGGTCAACATATCCCGGACGGTCTCCGACCACTGCAAATCAGTCGTATGAGACATCTTGAATTGAACTTTTCGTTGTGCTTGTGATCCCAGACCATTCGTGCGCCTGCGTAGCACCCCTTCGAAAGCCACTCAAACTCAATGGCTAGACTAAGGACAGAGAGGACTCAAGATGAACGCGCCCGGGCGCACTAGCTCTCAACTCCCCCATGCCGTGCAATCCTGGCGTCTCTCTTTTTCGAGCACTAGGTCCAACTACGTCCATCTGCATTCAAATTGCACAACCTTACACGCGCGACCCACGTGTGGTCTATGAAACTCTGGCGATGTGGAGTCATTTCTTGATTGCTGCCCCACGGTGCGCTCGGTGATCACTCCATCCTGCATCATCCCGTACAACAACCCTTCGGTGCGCTGTCCCCGCCCAGGATCATATTTCTGGAGCCCTTTCGCAGGATCTGCCCTTGGGCCAATAAAGCCACTCACGGTATGTGCGACCTCCTGCGTCTTGGATGATGTCGTAGAAAGAGTGACCATTCTGGCGATCGGTACACACATCTGTACAATCTCCCTTGTCGATGTGTGGCCACTTTACTTCTGTCATCCATTGTTGGACCTCTTGAGATCTGAGTGATACACCTCTTGGCCAGTGGTTCAGTCTACGAGATCACCGTTGTGGCTGACTATATTCGGGGGGCTCGTCCGCCGTGGTTGTCGCCTGAGATACCCTTCATTATTTTGTTTCGACAATGTTTTCTGCCGACCTCTCCTGGACAGATCCAGGCACGGAGAGAGTGGGGGAACGACGAGAGAGACTCGCTAAGGAGCATGAGCATCAACGGTCGATATCGTCGGCCTCCGGCGAAGGTTCCATCAAGAGTTCCAGAAGCTCCAAATCCAAGAGTTCTAAGAGCTCTGCGCCCGTCGATAAAGATCAATGGTGGCCGACCGGCTTCAGAAAATCAAAGAGCATCAAATCCTCGAAGAAGAACAATCTGTTAGATGTTCGGCCGATTTCAAGTCGCGACTCGGGACAATCGATGCGCTTGCTTCCAAGTCGTGACTCAGGACAATCTCACCGACTGTCGACTCCCATACCGGCAACGGCAACGATCGACCATAACCTGGGGAAAGATGCTAGAGATGTCGCGCGCAAACCCAAATACACGCTATCTTTGTCGCCTACTCTTCCGTCTGGAGCACCGCTGGATCCCTTTGAATGTGACGTGCCGGAACTGGAAGGAGACCTCTCTTCGCAACGAACCAATTCGAGTGGTTCACGCAGCTCACGTAGGTTCACAAGGCATGAAGATGAAGCTGACCGGATGATGCTGAAGTCGCCGCCAGATGAGCGCCAGTTGAAATACCCGGGGAAGATCAAGATTATCGATCATCTTTCCGAACACCAGCAACTTAGCCCTAGTTCGTATGTTGCGCGGACGATCATGAGTAAATCAGAAATCATTGATCCGTCCGCCGAAATATGCAACCCAGTATCGAAAACAGTACTGAGGTTAGTCTACTTGCCCTTGTTCCCTGTCTGAACGCTCGGTTCCTGACTTTTGATGTAACAGGCGGCCGTACTCGGTCAAAATCGAAGGATGTCCCAGCTTGGACGAGTTGAAGATCGAAGAACAGCCCGAGACGCGGATATCACCAAAGACTGACAAGCACCCATCGTACGCTAGCGGTCTTCAAGAAGGTGACCTGGTGGCCTGGCGACCGCCTTCCGATTGGAACATACTGCTCCCCAACCCTTCCGAATCGACCCTCGAGAAAGGCGTTCGACCAGATCACTCTACAGCAGCCTCAGACGTCCACACTAGCTCCGTGGAGCTCACCCGTTTCCAGCGATTCATCCGGCGAATGGAGAGCGCAGGCCCGAAAGTGATACTTGATCGAATGAAAGAGGAGTGGAACAACCCCGTTGACGATGAAGCTGGCCAGGAGATGATGTTAGAAAAGCAACTATGGGTGTTGACAGCATTTCAACTCCAGAATCTCGGGAGATACAGCAGATTTCCCAAGGCAAACACAGGGAACATCCTGGAGCTTTATGGTAACCTCTGTAAGTGGCGTGACGCATGTCAGCTCGTCCCTCTGTAGAACCTCCCGCTGACCATACCGATAGCTGAGGTATACCAACTTTCCGCCATGCATCCACGACAAAGGGTACATTATCTCACCAACCAAGCTTATCACCAGGAAACCATGACCCTCCCGAACAACGTCAATTGCCTTACTGTGCCCGAAGCAGCAACCCTTCCGTTACCTTACGCCGACTCCACGTTCTCCCACATCCGAGCATCAACATTACCTTCCCTGGTGCCGTCCGCTACGCTACCCAAAATATTCCAGGAATGCTACAGAGTGCTTGCCCCCGGCGGCATGTTAGAAATCAGGATCATGGACGCGGCGCCCCTCCGCAAGACCTCCGGACCCAAGATGAAGGCATGGATAGAAGACAGACTCTCCCTAAATCTAGAAAGATTATTCCGCTGCTCCAAGCCCTGCACCCTTGTACCAGGCTGGATAGCTGATGCGGGCTTCCAACTACCGGCGATTAACCCTACGCAAGGCGAGCAGAGCATGCGCATGCCGTGCGCATATGATGCAGGTTCCAATGACATCGACGCGGAACTATCTTGCCTGGTCGGTCGGGCACTGTGGAAAGACATCTGGGGACAGTTCGTCGACGATGAACCTGGAGAGTCTCGCTGGTGGTGGGAAGACGAGGAAGTGATGAAAGAATGCTTGGAACGGGGCACGGTCCTCGACTGCGGTGCCATCTTCGCTTTCAAGAACTGAGGTTTGATTTGCCGGATGAATTGAATGCACTTTGCGAAGTATTGATTTTATTTTGTAGCCGTTCGGTTTGGACGAAAATGCTAGGAGGGAGGAGGATGTGCTTGATACCACTTTGACTATGTTTCTCTTTGTTTTATTCCTCGCTCTTGTTGCGCAGCGATGTAGTATATCTCTGTTCTTTGGTCGTTCCTGTTCATTTTCCTTACGACATGATACCACTGTTTCTTTTGTTTTATCACCATTAGCAGCAGCTCAATCAGAGAGAGCATGCAGTATATTTGTTATACAGATGAAGTAAGTAGTCGCTAGTATAACAATAATAATTATACCATACCAACTACCGTGCACTAACACTTGCTCAGAACGTGCAAACGCGAACTAGCGTGACTTCGCTCCGATCCGACGCCCGTTTCGGTCGCGTTATTCAGGGTCCAGACATCCAGACCTCCAAACCGTCCAGACGTCCACTATATCCAACCAATTACCGGCAACAGACGTCTAGAATCTCCAGATCAATTCAATCCAATTCAGTTCAATCCCGTGTCGCGTGTCTCGACCCTCCTCATCAAAGTCCCTCATCGTCCGTCCGTGCGACATCTCCCGTTTCAGCTCACCACCAAATGTGACCACACTACCGAAACTACCCCCCTCAGCTCCCCTTTCTCTTTACAAAAAGCCCGTGTGGGTTTTATCTTTCGATTTCGTGAAGTCTTCAGCTTGTGATTTCCGCCCGTTCAACTCAATTCACTTTCCTCCACTCATCTGAACCTCGCGAGACCTCGCTGCGGTGCCCTGCGCATCCCCCGCATACCTTGACATCAACAACACCAAAACTCATTACAAAACAACCACCACCATGTTCAGCAAACTCGGCACGAAAATCGCCCTCCAGCGCGCCGGCCTGGGCAACGTCTCTCTCCCCTCCCTCCCCAAATCCGAGTCGAACGGCGGCGGCGGCGGCGGCGACTCCACGGGCGCAGGCTTCCAGAACCCCTTCGCCAACGTGCAATGGGGCGTGCCGAAGGCATTCCAATCGTGGCAGACGCCGCCGCCGCCCGCGAACGCCGTGCGTGAGCCTCCGGCCGTGGGGTCGCGCGCCCAGAGCAACGTGAAGCTGAAGTTCCCGGCCATCGACGGCAGGCCGTGCATTGTGTTCTTTCTGAGATATTGCGGGTGTCCTTGTGAGTTGTTGTTGTTGTTCTTGTTCTAGCCTTTACCTAACCCTAACCCTCTCTATCTTTCGCACTGTTGTTGAGAAAAAAGAAAACAATTACTGATTGTGAATGTATGTGATAGTCAGCGAAAAGCTCTTCCTCGCCCTGCGCTCCCTCTCGAACCGCCACCCCGGAATCCACTTCATAGCGATATCGCACTGCACGCCCGCGGCGACGGACGCCTGGGTCAAGAAGCTGGGTGGAGCCTGGAACGTCGACGTCGTCGTCGACCAGACACGCGAGCTGTACGCGCTGTGGGGCCTCGGCATCTCTAACTGGGGACACCTGCTGCACCCGCGCAACGGATACAATCAGGTGCTATTGGGGAGGAAGGAGGGTGTCTGGGGGAGTCCCGTGGGTGACGGTGGGTGTAGGTGGCAGACGGGGGGCGTGTATGCGGTGGATGAGAAGGGGGTTGTGCAGTGGGGTGGGCCGATGAAGAGTGTGGATGAGTTGATTGAGTTCGAGGATGGGGTCAAGGCGTTAGGGTTTAGAGGGCCGATGCAGAGTAGGACTGGAGTGTTTTAAGAAGGAGAAGGCAAGGAATGTGCTGTTGATTGAGTCAAATCTTTTGTATGCATCTTTGGCGAGGCGTTCTGCTAAACAGCGGGGAAATTCAATCCATCTTTTTTTTTTTACCAAAGGGTGCCTTTTCAGCAAATTAATCTCAATTTTTGGGGGTATATGCTCTCTACATTGGATGGATAGAAATGGTCATGGCAGGCCAGAACTGTATGCAGCTGGCGACCAAATGAAGAAGGAAAAGAGAAGGAAAACTCGGGATGCCGAGGACATATGTTTGACCGAAAAATGCTCAAATTGAAAAGACCTTGTGTCCTGGGGGTATTTGTATGCTATGCCGATGGTTCCCAACCCGGGTGCGCCGCCCATGCATTGATAAAAATAAAATTGATATAGAGCAATGAAAGTTGATATCGGTGATGTGAAGGAAGTCCGTCGAGGTAAGCCAGACATGAGGAAAATGAAAGGAAATCGGTGTCGCGCGTCGAGCAGCGCTGCAAGGTGAGGGTGATCAAGGTGAGGGTGATCAAGGTGAGGGTGATCAAGCCCGCCAGAGACTTTCTTCCTCTATCGGCATAGGCGTTCGGTTTGTTAGCTCTTCCAGCGTCTGGTTGAGTGCTTCTGCTTCATCTTCCTCTGATCTGATGCTCGCGCTGCTCAATGGAGTGCGCATAGGGCTTGTCTCTCGTGCCATTGAGGCATCCACACTGGCTGAGATAGACGGGGACTTTGCGATGTCTGCGTCCTGAATGGATTCGGTAGCCTCTTGAGATTTACTTGCCCGCTTACGTGCTCGCTCTTGCCGTGCCTCTTCACGTTGCCGGATTAAATCCTCCTCCAACGCTACGGCTCGTTCGCGACGTTCTTCTACGTCTTTGCGCTTTACCACTTTGCTGAGAGCATCAGAAGCTTGGATCAGACCGTCGATACTGATGGCATGATTGGTCATCTGATGATTGATGTAGTGGTAGATCTCAGCCGGTGTATCGCACTGTAGGAGAGCCTTCTCGTTAAGTTTCAACAGAGCTAGTGCGACTTGGAACAAAAAGGTGGAACCATCGTGCATGCATAGCACGACATCCCAAACACGGAAAAGCGCTTCAGCTGAGAGGCAATCCGTGAACACCGAAAGGAACCACTGAAACGTTAGCGCTTCGAGCTCGATCTCCAAGGCGTCGAGATGGGAGGACAATTTCGGAAGGACCTCGACCACATAGGAACGGAGAACGGACTGGTCAGCGCGAGAAGTGAGAAGATGTTGGTCATAGTACTTTTGAGGGAGGATGTTCTCGATCATGGATGCGAGCACCCAGAATGCGTCTTCCGCAGTCGGCATGATAAGTAATAGACAGGCGGTGATGAGGTTCATACCCTGGCAATAACCAACCTCAGGATTTCTGCGCGAATAGGCGAGTAATACCTCATTGAGCTTGTGTACGCCAGGGCCTCTTCTAAAGAAAATGTTGTCGGTAAGTGTTCGTGTAATGTCCATCTGGATCTGAGCAACAATGGTAGGATTGTCTACGCCGTTGTTGACAATGTCGTCATAATATCCCGGCACGCGAAGAGCAGATGCGCCGCTGCATTCGGTCCAGATTTTTGCTCGATAGGCAACCGGTATGCCAGACAAAACAAGTCGACGGAACTCTTGCCACTTCGCTCGACCCAGTTTGCCTTTATTTCCGAGACCTGCTATGCCGATGATTTCACCGTCATGCAGTAATGCTTCTGGCATAGTCAGACCCTTGGGACGATCTCCAGAGGTGACTGCTTCGCCCTCACGCTTGCGTTCGGCTCGGACCTTGCGCAGAAACTCGTTCCACTTCGTTGTTTTGTCCCTCTGCAGAGAGTCATGAAGTTCAGTTAGTTGTTCCAGAAGCGCTTGAACTGGATCGGCTTGGTAGGGGTGGGGACTAATTGGAGTCATGTGGCCAGGAGAGGGCGACGTAACCGAGAACTCGGCGTTGCCAGAAACAATGCGCGAAGGACTCGGTTCTGGATTGGTGCTTATCGCGGGAATGGAGCCTCGTTTCGCTACGGTGACTTGAGTGACCTTGGGCGCAATCAAATCTGGTTCAGGCGTTTCCATGATAGGCGCAGTGGAGGGCGTATGTGAAAGAAGTTCTGTAGGATGCGTTGCTAACTTGAGGTAGTCTTGCCAGGTCTGAGACGGTTGGCCATTGCCTTGCTCGCCCGAGCTGGTGCTTCCTGGTCTAGACGGTGGTCGGGATGGATCACTGATGTTGGACGCAGAAGACGGTGCAGCAGCAGCTTCCTCTAAGCCTAGAGCATCAAGGACGGTACGTCCATCTCCCAGCGATTCCACATTGCTGTTGCGCTTGTTCTTCGAAAGCGCGGCGGCGGCTTCGCTTTGTCGCTTCTTGCGCCGCTGATCATAAATGAAACCGAACCTATCAGTGAGGTATTCCTGGCTAGCGTTGAACATGTTGTGTTGTTGGACCAGTGTAGGTGGGCGAGATTCTTCTGGTAAAATCCTGTCCATCTCGACAGGTCCCAGGTTACTGTGCCCCCGGCCTTGTAGATGGGGTGGACCTTGAGCCGGAGCTTTACTATTTTCAGTGGAGATGCTTTTGATAGTGCCATTGGGACCAAGTGATGCTCGACCATTACGTTTCTGGGTGTTGATCAAAGAAGACTTGGCCGACTGGGCAGTCTTTGTAGAGTCAACTGAGGTGGTTCGGTCTCCAGGGTCAGATGTGTTCGGCTTGCGCCCACGCATAGAGTTTGTCTGGTTGTTGCCAGCGACCATCTTGAGCGCCCAGTTCGTGATGGACACCGATGACCGGCGCGAAGAAGATCCCGAATTATCTCGGTCTTGACTTTGAAGACGTCGCAACGTAGGAACTGCTCCTGCCGCCTTGTCTGCTCCAGAGGTTGGGGGTACGAATAGATCGTTGCTTATGGGTTTTCGAGTTGGCTTTGCACCACTTGATGCCCGAGATCGAGTCTGCGACGACGCTCGACCTGCGTCCCTGTCAATCATACTGGCAACAGAAGGTGCCCTGCTGCTCTTCTTACTCGTCCCGCTGAACAAATAGCTCTTCCAATTACTGCGACCTGTTTCTCGCGGTGGTTCCGATGATGATGCGATTGACATGTCGTCAGCTCCTACAGTCACAGGGTGCCGTTCTTCTCCAAAGCTTGCAGGGACCTCCGATGCATCGTCCTCAATAGCTAGAGCCAATCTCTGATCAATCGGATCCTCGGGGTGCATTCCAGGCACTGTATAATCATCCCCTCGCTTTTTCGTACGCGAAGTTCCTGACGCAGTTCCACTGCTCTTGTCCTTGGACTTTTCCAGCTCACGAAGCCTGTTTTCGATGTCCATATTTGAGACTTCACACTCCTGCAGCATTTTCCTCAATATCCTCTCGCGTTCCTCTGCCCTTCTCCGCAATGCGGTAATCTGAACGTCTCTTTGCGCCAAATCGCCTGCCAATTGTCTCACAAGAGCCACCGCATCGCCCTGGTCGAGCATGTTTTGAATGTCTGCATCGTCCAGGTAATGCAGATTACCGGGCACTTTGCCGATGTCCTGGGGCGTATCGTCAAAGAGAGCGGAGCGTTCTCGCGCGGAGGGAGTAGCTGAGACCAAGCTTCCGACGAGTTGCTGTGTAGATTTGGTGACCTTTCTCATAGTCGAGTTAGGCGCGGGATGCGAAGTTGGCGGGGGAGGCCTTTCGAGATCGGGGGAAAGAATGGCTTTGATTGTCTCTGGCGACTTGGCTTTGTTTTCGCCATCTCTATCATCTGGGTTTCCCTCTCCGACTGCTGCGCGGAACCAGCCGTTGACGCGCGAATGGACAGGTGAAGTATCGGGGGTAGGCGACAGGGAGGGAAAAGACGTGAGGCTCTTTGTATCGGCTGCAGGCGAAGGTGCTCGTCTCAGTGAGGTATTGGAGCCCCGTTTGGACGGCTTGACGCGAATGGTACTGCTCTTCCTACTGACAGAACGGCTCGAACTCTGCGACGAGGTGCGCACGAGATCACCCACATTGGGTGCGTCCACGACCGCCATACTAGAATAAGTTTGGGGTCGTGGTGTTTGTGTTCATTCGTGGATGCGCGCTCACTGCAGCACGCGTGACCTCTGGGCTGTTATTGTGGTTGGTAGTGTGCGAGTACGAGTATGGTGGATGTGTTGTAACGATTTGGCGAGTTTGGATGGACATGTGGGTGGAACAAGATGCGTCATGGGCAAATTGAATGACGCTGGCGCGAACGTAAGCTCCTTCCGTACAGTGTCGTTGGGCCGCTAAAGGTAGAGAACCAGGAGAAAGTTGTAACCAGAGAATAGCGAATGTTGCGCGAACAGGAATGGAGACGGGGGAGGAAGGGGTGAAAGGAAGACTGATGCGCAAGGGGGGGGCGGTGGTGAATGACCGAAACGTGGGAGATTTTGTTCGAGCGTGGACGTCCTGTATTGCCTTGTGTCTCGTCTCTGTGTGCATTATCTATCTACTGTGAGGAGTGTCTAACTGCCTAGGTACCTAAGTGACTACCTAAGTACACTGTGGTTTAGTGCTTGGAGTGCCGTGCGTGGGCGAGCAATCCCCACTCTCGTCGCCCATTATCCCGCCGCCACCGCCGCCACCGCCGTCTCCGTCTACACACCTACACCGTCCCACGCCATCACTTTCCAGTAGATACTATTGTACTCTGTACACATCTATTGTATCTGCTCAGCTGCTGAGACCGCTACTCATAGTGCCTAAAAATGGACATGCCGCCATCTGACTGTGGCAGGGCTGCGGTACTGTTAGGCTCGGGCCAATCCGTATGACATAACAACGTCTAGATACTTCTTGAACTTTCAGCCACACACACACACAAACAAACAGCTAACTATGATTCCCGACGTCCACCGCATCATCATCAACACCTCCTAATCAACCACTAATCCAACATCGCTACATCACTACCCTTGTCTGCCGAACCATGCTCATTGCCCTGTCGCTATGCCCGTCACGGATGAGGACGCTGCCATACTCGCCGTGTCCGCCCTAACAACCCTCTCAGACGAGCAGCGACAAGCCCTTTCCTCAATCAATCAGTTGCTACTCAGCGATGACCCCTTTGTCGATATCCATGAGCTTATCGGCCACTACGATGTCTTGTACTTCCGATCCGTCCTTCTGCCCCGAGTAGAGGTGTTGTGGTCACCCCGACTAACTCTGTAAGCCCATATTGTCCCTTGTGCTACGACCTTTGGCTTTCGATAAGGCGGACAAGGTCAAGATCAGCCTTGCGTGAATGTACCATGCATGTTTCAGGACGTGGCTTTCACGTTTCCTCGCATCTAATCTAGAACCACATCGTCTTCCGGGTCTTATGAAACATGCGCTGATGTTTCTGCGTGTACAATAGTTGCGCCGGAGTTTGTGAGCTGTCGAAAGATCCCACCTCGGGCAAGTTTACGCGCATCCGCCTTAAGATGAGCACGCCCTTGCTGCAGTATCGGCCCCGTTCAGACACAATCAACACCTTGCTTCACGAAGCCATACACGCGTACTTCTTCGTCACGAGCTCTTGGAGACATTCGCGCGGTGACGATGGAACGGGGCACGGTGCGGGGTTCCAATTAATGGCAGATGCAATCAACAATCATGGAGGTTACGACATCACCGTCTATCACACGTTCCACGACGAGGTAGACAGCTACCGCACGCATATTTGGCAATGTGATGGGCCGTGTAGACAGCGTCCGCCTTACTTCGGATTGGTAAAGCGAAGCATGAACCGGCCTCCAGGGAAAACTGATACCTGGTGGTCAGCCCACTTGGAGCAGTGCGGCGGACAATACGCCAAGATATCGCAACCAGAAATGACCAAGAAACAAAGAGAAGCTTTGAGTAAAAAGGAGCGGGCGGGCTTGCAGAAGAATAAGATCGATAGCTGGGTGACGACACGGAAGAAACCCCCCATTGAATCGAAGGGCGAAGGAGCAGCAAGTACCAGCGATGCTACACAGGCTGTGATTCCCCCCAAGGGAATGAGCGTAAAGCGCACGTTTGAAGCAATTGATCCTGACAGTGAAGATACTGCTGAAATACCCTCTCAGCAAGAGCGGCAAAGACCCAAACTCAATCCAGAAGCCAAGGTAGTCCCCGATACGGATTTACAGATAATGGTGCAGTGTCCGATATGTTGTGAACAGGTAGCAGAATTAGACATAAACCACCATCTAGATGTGGAGCATCCTCCTTAGACCACTCTCCACAATATTGTCGCTTTTGTGCACTCTTTAGACCGTCCTCGTCAGACTACCTCATTGAAGGCAAACCATTTCCTTGATATGTTACAGCTAGATGCACAAGTTCCCAAAAAATCTTACACCGTACATTGATCATGCATAACATTTCCCACTTTTTAAACCGTAAAAAATCTACACCTTTATCTTGAACTGTGGCTCGTCCACATCTCCCGTTTTCGAGCTCCTCTTCTTCTCCCACTCCTTCAGCGCGCCCGACCTCTTCCCTAGCACCGCCTGAGCCTGTCTCCTCAACTCCTCGCCCTCCTTCCGATGTCCCTCCGGTGTCTCCGCGCCCATAGAATCCATGACCTGCTCCTGCTGCGCCCTCTTCTGCTTCCTCCCCCACGGCTCCCAGCTCTCCGGCGTCGCGGGCCACACAAACGGCTTATCCATCTCGATCGTCATGTACTTCTTGGCCTCCGGGCGGAAGAATTGCCGCGGGGCGCTCTCGTGGTCGCGGACGGGCTCCTGCTTGACGAAGGAGCGTATGCTCAGGGCGCGGACGTTGTACGCGTGGAAGAGGTAGTCGCGGAGGTCGAGCTTGGAGAAGTTGAGCGGGACTTGGAATTTGGCGTGGTAGGGGGAGAGCTTCGGCGTGCGCATCAGTGCGACGGTGAATTTGGGACTGTGGTTTCTGGTGTTAGACAAGGCGATTGAAGGTCCAGGGTGTTCTGCGGGGGGCTTTACAGATATATCTCCTTCGTGCCGAATCGGACGATTTTGCTTGGTAGATCCATGGTTGACGGAGGGTTGACGGCTGCGTTGCGCCAATGCAGATTATGGTGATGTCAGGCCCAAATATTGTGAGATTCGAAGAAAAATAAAAGGTAGTGTGACAATCTTCGAGGGTGGTGGGGCGAGTAATGACGGTGCTGGTGCTGGAGCTTTTTCGTGATTGAGATGCTCGCTGGTCCGATATTCAGAAATTGAGATATCATATGGTCCGTGCACCATATCTCTATATTAGGTAGGTAACTTTTACCGTCTGAATTATTTACGAACAACTGCTACGAACAAAAGTATAAGAAAACAGACTACAACATCTATGGATTCCGGCGGGTAATTCAAATTGAATACACGAAAAAAAAAAAGCTGTAATCAGAACCGTTTGCTGGCTTGCATCAAATTAAAATCGTTTGGCGCAAGGGCTCCAATGAGCAAGCACCTTTGGGGAACACATACAAGATAGGATATCATGTGGAGAAAGCATCCTACGGCTCTCAAAAACCACGAATTATATGGCTAATCGAATCCTCATTGGCTGGAATCACTTTCTCTTTGGAGATGAATATTATCTTACCGCTCGCACCTGCTCCTTCCACGCCAGCTTCACTTTTAACCCACCCACGACTGAACTCACTTCATTTTATTTCACTATCTCACTTTCATAAGCAGGTTTCTTAAGATTCCCCGAGAAACTTCTCTATGTCTCTTACTTAAATCCCCCAAGCTCACTGTCAAGTTCGATTGTCGATGATCAACCCTTCATCAATCACCCACACGCCGCTACATGATCTTTCAGCCAACATTGTGTCAATTTCACTGCTAACCGTCTCAAGGTTTCTCCTCCATATCACTCACTACCTTCTGGGACTCACGATCGTAACCTGCACACTCTTCTCTTCGACTAATCCTTCCCAGCACGATGTCTGGTCAAGACAAATATCATGACCGACCTCCAAGCAAGGTCATCAGGGTTCCTCGCGAACTTCGTCCAAACACCCATTATGGTACCTTGAACAATCTTGTGAAGGCCTGGGAAGCCGAGGCCGAATGCCGAATTATTCCAAAATTCGATCGGGGTCAGATCTCGGAGTTTGGTCTACACGGGTCTGGCGCTCAGGTTGATGCTGGAATCCGGACCATCAACAAGTGGATTGAGAAAGCCTGCAGTAAAACGCAGAAATCGTCTTCCTGGGCTAAGACTACAACATTCCACCCGAATGAGTGGTACTATGGCGAACTTGACAAAATGGAGATGGAGAGGAAGCATGTTTTCAAACAGCTTGTACCTGACTGCGAGCCCCCACATCGCATCAGCATGGACTGGCCGAAGGATCTTACTGAAGCAAACATCACGCCCCAGATCTGCTTCGGCAACAAGCTGGACAGTCTGAACCCCATTCGCGTCAATGATGAGGTGTGGATCTCCTGCCGCTCTGTACCTCCGGGTCGTTTCGCTATAGATATCCAAGGCTTCGAGCAAGAGCATGTGGAAATCGCCCAAGAGCACTTCGAAAACATGGTTGCGAATGCCCGATCAAGGCAGCTAATGGGTCTCATGATCTTGAACGTGATTCTTGATAGCAAGGAAGGAACAGAAGTTATTCTCGAAGACCCAGCAGCCCAAGCATGGTGGCCTTCCAAAGATGGCAAAGTGGTTCCGCGCCTTCTTACGACGCCGTTGGATATGGGAGACTTCCGTACCACGGTGCTGCATCCAATGCAAATCGTAGAGATCCAAAAATTCGTTCACCAGTCCCTTACGCTTATTCGATGCCAACGAGGAACGTATAGTATGAAGATCAACTTTGGTTGTGTCGCCTTAGGTGGGGAAAAATTGCCAGCAATTGGAACCAAGCATCCTTTGGCCAGTTTTGTCAAAGGCATAAACGGGCCAGCAGAGGTGATGCCAAAGAAATGGCTTTACGATTCCAAAGATGGACAAGATCTACTAGCGAGGTTCAGATCCTCGAAAGATCTCCTGGAGCCTGTCAAGAGCATCTCTTCACCTTTTGGGACTCAACCAGAAGCCTTGGAAGATATCCGTCCGGTATTCCGGGGCACATGGTATATCGTGGACCCAAATGAAGGCCCACCGAGGCCCGCTGCAGCACGCAACACCGGCAACAAGACTACTCAGAAGCCTGCAGTTCCTAAACTAGTAGTTGTTCGCATCGAATGGTCTGAGGATGAGGACGGCGAATACGAAAAGATGACTCCCTGCTACTACCAAATCAAGGACGGCGCAACAGAGCCACAGGAGCACATGGATATTAACCTCTTCGAATTAGGCCAGAGCAGATTGTGGCGTTTTTCTCTTGACTCGATGGATCTGCTGTCGAAGCAAACTGTTTCTCCAGTCATTATTGCATTCGCTGAAAGCGTCTCCATGAAGTCAAACTACGACATATCCTCCGAGGGCGCCTTTGCTACCTGGCGTACTTCCCCCAGTGTATATTTATACGATGGGTGTTACATGGAGAAGGTCTACACATACGGGATCAGGGGATCTGAATACAGGGTGGACGCACGGCAGATGTGGTTTTCCCATCAATCCAAGCCTTGCTGGGGAGTGACCGTTCGCCATCGAGATTGGGAGACGCTCTTGAATCAGCTAGAACGACTGCCTACTGGACATGGGGCTGACTGGAAAAGAGACACAGCGGTAGAAACCTTTTTCCCGGACGGCGAACACGAAGTTGAGGACCTGCCCGATGAAGATCTCCCCAAGAAAGGCATTATCATGTTAATGAAGAACTTGATGCAGCTCTCACAGATTATCAACAACCGGATCGTACCAAAGAAGAAGAATGGTAAAGGCCTGGGAGCTGGGCTGGCTATATACGACCCTGCGTCATTCGCCTAATGGCTGTCCATCTGCTGTAACTATTGCTCTTGTGGGAGAAATTACACAGTCTTTACCCTATCTGTGGGTGCAAGTCCAATTTACCATCATGGTTTCAGGATCTGATTACGATTCATCCCTCACAAAGTTCACACATCAGAGTCCTTTGTAGGGTAGGAGCAATGAAAAATGCGAATTACTGCATGCTTTTATTGGGTGGTAGATAGGAATAACTCTCACAATATATGCTTGATGTGACTCAATCAGATTGCTATTCGTATGCTATATGCAGTGAGGCGAACGCTTTTGTGTATTTCGACATTATTGAGAGCGTCTCCGTGCTCTTTTTGGTTTTGGCTATTTTGATAGACCGATATTGTCTTTGTGAACAACGCCTTCTATCAGTGGGTTCACGGGTCACGCTTTGGTGTCGCTTGAGCGGACGTTTATCGCGCCCTAAATGCGTTTCTCGATTCCGCGAGACTTCTCAGCCCTTCTTCTCTTCCTGTTGCTGTGCAGTCAACACCTTGACCCTCATCACCTCTTCCACGACGCGAACATTTTGTGCCTTGCCCTGAATGACGCCCTCAAGATCCTTCAAGCTTTCCCCGAGGTCCTTGACCTTCCTGTTATAGAAATCCGTCGCATCTTCGGCGTTCTTCTCGACGAAGAACCCGGTGCCCACATCCACCAGGACGTGGTCCGTAGACGTAAGACGGCCAGGGACGTATAACGAAGACGTGAGAGGCACGAGCAGCGGCTTGCCGGAGACGGACTCGTTGATACCGTTCTTAATAGAGCTGAGACAGTCACGGAACTTCGATTGGGCGGTTCGCAGCGATTGGAACGAATTGGAGAGATGTTCGAGCTCGCGGTCGAGTTGAGTTTTGATTTCTTGGAGTTGGGCGACGGGGAGTGCGTCTAGCTGGACTGGTAATTTTTGTCAGCAGTCGAGTTGGGGAAATTAGGAAGAGCCTCATAATTACTCTGCTGTCCTTGGCCTTGTTTGGACGCCATGGTGAAGGTATCCCCGGAAATGTGATGCGCCTGGTGGGATGGGGATGTATCTGGTCGTGCCTGCGGACCCCGCCAAAAGTTTAAAGCCGTGCCGCTACGCCTTGCCAATTCAGTCCAGGAGCTTGGACCTGGGGAATGTTCATCGTGAGACCTCCAATTGTATCAAGTCAACGTAATTCCCATAATTCCCCATGCAATTGCGTCCGAGGGCATTACGAGTCCTGTCCAATCGGTATCGATTTTACTCAAGCAGCGTTCGTTTTTGCCCGGTGCCACTGCTCGAATCCCTCCATGATGAAGACATAAATCATCTCGACCTGGAAAGGCCGGTAGTCTTTCGAAAGCAATTCAAAGATGTGCCTGCTATATCGCGATGGTTCACACTTTTAGAATCATCTGGCGAGGCTTTCGAATTGAGATCGACGTATTTGAAGCAGCATGAAGATCTCATGGTACCTCTCGAGTTGAGCTCCAAGACAGACTCGCCAAATCCGCTCGAACAGGTCAAGTTCGAGCGCTTCGAAGGGCCTCTCGGTCTGCTCTTGCATGACTTGAGGCGAATCGAGGATGCTGATGCGCAGGACATGCGATTGTACCTTGCGCAATGCCCGCTCGAAGACCTCCCATCGGATCTCAGGGCAGATCTACCCACACCCGGTTTCGTTTCGCGCATAGGAAATGGAGATATCTACGGTTCCAGTCTGTGGATGGGTAGACCTCCTACAACTACCCCACTTCATCGCGATCCGAATCCGAATCTATTCGTACAATTGGCTGGGAAGAAGACTGTCCGATTGATGAAGCCCAGCGCGGGAAGGGAATTGTATGAGCGTACGAAGGCAACATCGGGACGTGCGAATATGAGAGGAGAAGAAATGATGGTTGGGCAGGAGAGGTGGAATCTGGAGGATGCTGTTTGGAATGACGAAAACGGGGACAAGACCTGGCCAGCCCGGGGTTGGGAAGCGCAAATAGAGCGAGGGGACGGCTTATATATACCCTTGGGGTATTGGCATGCTGTGAGAGGCACTGGACCTGGTATCAATGTTTCGGTAAGTGTTTGCTGAATATGTCTGAATTCACAGCGGATCTAACTGTCTTTCCAGGCCAACTGGTGGTTCAGGTGAATTACTTACCCAACGACACTCTCTCATGTTTCCATCTTTGCCAGGAGCGTCCTAAACCGTTGGTGTACATACCTATATTGGAGAGCATGGGCTGACTGCGATGATGGATCAGTGCAGCCCGCAGCTTAGCTCTTTCCCCTTCACAAAATCAAGGAGGAAGGGCACATCGTTCTTCCCTGTATCAATCAATGGCAAATCAATGCTTTATTGACGAATGTCCTTTCGACTCTACTGTTCCATTCCCACGATCTGACCTGATATCGTCAGTATGGAGTTCGTTTTGAGATGCAATGATCTCAACTGCCGCGCACAACTTCACGACCGCGCGGTAGTCACTACTTGCTCGTAAGTCTTGATTTTGAGGTAGAATCACCTGATAGCACTACAGACTAATCAATACAGTCATGTCTTTTGTTCGCCATGCGCAGACGGTTCAGGCCTCTCAAGGACTGCCAGCGCCAATAGGCAATGCCCGGCATGTGGAACACACCTCAGTAATCCAGACGACGTCGTTTTCACAGCTCTAAACCCATCCGAGGACTACAAGACCAGTATTCTGAGTGGGCTAGCGCCAAGTGTGATATTCGAATGTGCTAGTCGCGGACTTCAGTTTCACAGTTATCAAACTTCTCAAGAAATGTATCTGACGGTCCCTATCATGCGCCCGGTTCCATGGCGGATGGCTAACAATGTGCTAGCATTTACCAAGAACATCTTGCCAAGAACCTTACAGACAACTATGCCAATCTCAATCAGCAGATGGATCAATTGATTCATGATGCCAATGCTCAGATCAAGTTGTTGCAAGACAAGCTCGTGGGTATGCTGAATCAACCCACGCGCTCAGCGCTGTTGTATTAACGCCACATTCTAACATAACAAACAGCAATGCAAGCAGAACAATCATCCTTGGAGGATAAAAACCATGAGTTGATAAAAGCGTATCGAGAGAAAAATCAAAGCCTGCAACAAGTTCAAAAGTTATATCAGTCACTCAAAGCGCAGGTCATGGCTTCTCACGTCGCTCATGCTGCAGGTGATGAAGCAAACTTCGCCGTCCGGAGCGCCCGTGGTGATCGTTTTATTAGTAAGATACCGGGCGCGCGTATCTCTACAGAAGATGGCAACCGGTCCGGAGTCGAGAATCAGCGAAATGGAGGCGCCATGCACATCCGGAGCAGAAGTGGGAGTTCTGGCAATGGAGGCCAGCAGGGACGAGGTGGTGGCATAGGTTTGAGCCCAGCATGGAAACCCAATTCTCACATCGGTCTGGGCAATAGAGCAGGTACTGGTGGCAGTAAGGTCTCAGCTCATCTCTTTTCTACTCTTGCTGACTATGTCGAAAGATCCAGCTGTAGATTTCAACTCACCTCAGTCCCTATCACGTAGCCGGCTGCCGGTCTTGGGTGGTACCCGTGCCAATGCTCTGTTGGCTTCTGATGGACCGTACAATGCGTCACCCGGCACCAGAAATATTTTGACCGGATCAGCCCGCAACTTGGGCACATTTGGGTTCGGGTTAAAGGCACCCAAGAGAGCAAGTGGTACCTCAGGCAGATGAGGTAGCAACACATGTGAACGGTGGGCATCCGTCAGGCTGATAACATGAACTATATCTTCGAAAGATGTCATCATTTGATTGGCAATCAATCCTGACGTAGCACATGGTGCATGCGGTCCGTATTATACCGGAGAGGGACAAAATTTGTACGACGCTGACGGCAGTTGGCAAGCACAGGGAATGTATGCGTGTGATCTTATGGCAGAAATTGTATACTCGTGGTAAAAAGCTTATTCTAACTTCACTATCTTATTGAGGTGGAGCGGAAAAATTCTATGACTTTGTTCTTCTAACGATTTACCCTGTTTCCTAAAAGAAATGACTATCGATATCATTATGATGTTCTAGGCAAGGAGCGTGATGGACATGCTGTGTTAGCGAATCTACTGGCAAACAACAGACTGTCCACGAACTGGAGGACTGGTTGTTCCGATGGTGGCGCCCTCTTCCGGGATGGCTTGACAGCTGTCTTTCGCAAGCCGGGGATGTCGGGTTGTGGAGCATTCGCATGTAGCGGCTCGCATCGATATTTGATTCGAGAGCCGTATAATGTTGTGCAGTGTACATGTGTTGGGTTAGAACTTAGAATGGATGGCCTAGACTGCCATTATCGGTGAACGGATACCCCTAGCAATCTATGGACTCAAAGTTGAGGAAAAGGTAAATTCTCTACAGTAACAATGAAGGAGTAAAGTGTAGGGAAAAAGGTCATTGTAACTTGAAATCGTACGACAGAACTGATCTCAGCTTCACAGAAAGCTTCTTGTATTCTTTCTGGAGAAGTTGTTCGTTTAGCTATGAAAGTGTTCAGGCAGGCGATCGCGGGAGGCCTTTGGCGAACGAGCTCAGGTACAGAGGGTTGGCACGTCGGGCTGGCCCCATGCTAGTATTTTATGCCTACAACAGTTTCTTAGCGAGGTTCATCGCAAGCAATTAAGATTGTTTACTGGCTACAGTACATTCTTAAGTAGACACTTTAGGTATAGAAGATACATGAAGTTAGCAGGTGGCCAGCCTGACGTGCCAACCCTCTGTACATTTCCATCCCATGACAGGGATCACATGCAAGTACAAGTACGTAGTATAAAAGGCGAGTTCTCAGTGCATTAAGCGACATCGCTGCTTTCAAAGTGTGAGAACTCACACCTGAGATTGCTTGGGTATGCCTCCTTTCATAGTATTGGTCGATCTGGTGGCGGACCAGTCAATTATTCGAGGTTGAGGCAAACAATCGCACATCATTTAAGTCTTCAGAAGCTGAAAATGGGATAAACCATGGAGGCGGTGCAAGGGGTAGATCGTCTACACCGAATGTGGCGAGACCTTCTCATCGATGATAACTATGAAGCGAAGCGGTGAAGATTTTTCTTTTAGCGTAATAGTTGAGTTTCTGTAAATGTAGTTTCGACTCGTCAAACTTTCCTGATGTTGATGCTGGACATAGTGAACATAAGTAAAAGTCCTGGAAATTGGGCTGTTTACAGGGATAGATTGCACACCTCGGTAGTAGGGCTGCGTTTTCTAACCCTCTGGCTGATACACGTATCATATGAAGGACTACGGCATGACAATGCGGAAGGTTCCCGAGTCTTGCATGACGTGCATACTTTGGTATTGGTGGCAAGGGCAAGATCTTGGTGAATCGTACTTAGGCAATGCAATGCCCTGGTCTAGTTTTAGAAAATTCTCAGCAATTCAATCCCAATGCTGCGCACCTTTAGGAGGGCCTTGGAAGCTGAGCATACATTTAATGTTATCGATCGGTACTTTTATGCTCTTCAAGCCAATGGATCCATTGGATCTGTGGTGGCAATGAAATGGAAAGAACATCACCGTGGCGACCCCGTCATTGGACTGCTTATACATCATGCGAACGACCCCCTCAGCGTATGATGATGCGATTGGCAGGTGATATGCTCTTAAAGAAAGTGGGAGGCTATATAGATCCAACCAGTGGGACCCCGTGTTATAGAGTTGGTGAATTGGTCAGGCATTCGGGTGGCAGATGGTCCTGACTATTGGGAGGTCAGAAAACTCGAATCACGGGCCGTCAGCAGTCCCATGGCCTGCCCTTCGAAAGCTGGAAGACTGCGAGGGAGCATCACTCGAAATTGGCAAGATCTCAGGCTTAAGATACGTGGTATAGGGGACCCCAGGTCGAATGGAATGGTCCTTGCTTGGACGCTAAGATTGAGGAGCGATATGACGAACGGTTACCGGCAGAAAGTCCTCTCGAACTACAGGGAAGGACACCTTTCACATAATTTCGGCCACTGTCTTTCTCTGGACTCGCGTTACTCCCGCTGATCTCGTGTTTGTCTCACGATTGTGGCTCGTAGCACGCGTCGCTTGGGTCGTCAGGGTTAAGTCCTTGCTGCTCCAGCTGAGACGAAATAGACGGGCAAACACGACGTGTAGACCGTGCAGACAAGGGACCAGAGTCATGTCTCGAGTCATTATACGGGTGCTTCCAGACACGTTCATCCTTTCCTATCGCAGGACACCTTTGGCCGAGACGCGTTGTGGTAGGAGCCTGGGAGGGCCTTCGTAGGGCTGTTAGTCCAACAGGATGATGCCTTAGCGTGTCAGGAAACGCTGGCAAACCGAACAGTGGTTCAGTGGATCCCTTCCTGCCTGGCCCACCAGGGTCTCCCGACATACTCAATTTCAACGTCAACTCATCCCTAGGACTCTGGTCAACTTTACTTCGACGACATCACATCGTATCCTACCATCTCACGCATCCAAAGCAGCACCGTCAAAGACAGTAAAGGGATAGATCATGTTCGCATTGTTGTTCCTCTTAATCGAAGCCATACCGTACTCCCAACGCCCTCTCAAACTGTTCCTGCACACGAAGCATTCATCCACGGTCTAGGTCCGTTACCCGTAACGCCCCAGCAGCAACGATAGCTCTTAAAGGATGCCCTAAGTACACGTTTGACCTGATAGGAACGCATTCCCACTCCGTACGCCCGCCATGCCCCCTCTTAGCAATTTAGATTGGCCGTTACATTGTATTTTGTCCAGCTTTTCCCCGAGACAAATCGTTGAAGACGAAAAAGAAGCGACATAAAGGAAGAGTCCTGACAAGAGTCGGTCGATATTGGATCAAGGCATGGTCCATAGGATACACCAATCCAGAGAGTTACATACTGAGTCGCTCGATCCAACGCCCCGGAATCGGGATAGGATGCATCCAATGAGGCATAGAGAAGGCAGGTATCTTCCAAGGGGACGATGACCCATAGCGGCCTTTGGAACATTTCTATGCTTCGATGGGTCGTACCTTGACGCAATTTCGAAACCATGATCTGAATCTGGATGAACCTCTCTGGACCGACCCCCGATGACAAGCCCAAGGAAATCTAACAACTGGCGAAAGACAAAAGAGATACGTTACTGAATAAGGTTAGAGGGGGGCTTGTTGCCGTGGAAGATGTGGATTCTGCCGCCTGTGTATCCAAGGATGGCTTGATCGGCGCCTTCGATCTCCCTGGGTGTCAGCCGGCACCTCCGTCCATCGAGTTGACATTACTTTCGAGGCTTCGACGGAGATGCGAGGTGGGGATGGTGCTTTCGGTAGTGCTTCAGGCGTGCATCGGACCTTTTGTAACATCTCCCACAGCCCGCTTCACAAAGAAGTCCTTCGTTATCGTGATGCGAGCGCATATGACGAGCGTGACTGCCGCGCCGATATCCTTTGGTGAAGGTAGTTGTGCATCCATCGATACCGCAAACGATGACTTCATCCTGCACGGATCTGGAGGCAAGTGGAGAGGCTGTTGCCGCACGGGATCCCATCTCATGGCCGGTTGGTGATCGTATCCTGCGTCCACGGTTCCTAGCATGCTGTTAGAAGAGCTCTAATCGGTGGAGTCTCACGCAACTTACCTCACAGGTAGTGACGGGTTCGAGTATCGCCTTTGAGAACTCATGCTATTCGACGACACTCCACTCGGTTGACTCTGGGGAACCGAAGCCTGAGGTGCCCCATCATGGACAGGCAAATGAAGATACTGCGTACTGTCAAGAATCCGAGGACCCGAAGCATGTTCACCAAAGTAGCCTAGCCTAGTAGCCGCTGGGCTATCACCCATCTCCCAAGTCGATGGAGACGAGATGTTCGTACTGAGTGCTGATCCGGGTCCAACACTAGACGCTCCGTTATCTTCTGCCTGGAGCGAGTGGTAGTCGTAGTCATGGAAGCTATTGTGATCATGACCTGGACCCCATTCAGGTAGGACGGGGTGGATCTCATGATGACCATGGCTGGATGGTTGCAACCTAGAGGGATCAGGTGCCAGGCCAGATCCATCCCGGGCATCGTTGGCTCCTTGCACACGATTTGGACCTCCCCACTCATGGCACACCTGGGTTGACCAATGCGTCACTGGTGCCATTGCTGGGGATAGTCTGAACTGTCCCTGGGGCGGGGGATCGGGCGTGCGTATCACCATGTTTGCGTGACTCGATGTGTACCCTTGGTTGCCGCCGAAAGTTGTTGGCACTATGGAGGGGGGTTGTCTCTGAGCAGGGGCAGCTATAGTAACAGTACGAACAGGCACTCCACTCGATGTTGTGATGTGCTGTGGTTGCATTGGTGCTTGCTGATGCCGTAGGGTTGGCATGTCTCGACCTCGGGTGGAGTTCGTGTGGGCTGCGATGGGAAAGAGTTGTTCTGGGAGGTCATCAGAAGTTCTCCTCCAGTTTGACGACTCATCAAGCTGAAACTGATCCATCGTTATCCTGTTCATCGATGCTTCGGAAGTGTCGAGGATATAAGGGGGGAGTTGAATCAACCAGGCTGTAACTTGGGCGGTCAGTGTGCTGTCAAATCGACGTGGGTCGAAGCGCGATGACGGTCGGGTCGAGTACTATCAACTCAGCAGACACTGCCTTGACCACTAAAATAATGTGTACAGCAACGAAAAGAATCTAAGAGAAGGTACGCAAGGGCACCGATGACTCTTCGTTGGAATATAGCCGTTAAGACGGTTGAGTAGTGGGACGGGAAGAGACGCCTCACTCTCACGGCACCTAGACCTACGTATCGTGCCCCAATCCGACGAGAAGATCCCAAGGGCTTCGATGAGAATTGTGTGTGTTTGCTAGTCATAGGCTTCTTTACTCTCCGTTAATACAGGGGATACCTAGCCAGACCAGCATGGTGCAAGGCTCCTCTCAGCTTTCTTTCCCTTCTTCAGTGGTGGAAGAAGGAGACACAGCCCCGGCACGAGCATCGTCGGTTTTCCTAGATCGAAGACCGCCTTGTACAAACGAGAGCGACGGATCGCCTCAAAGACAAGAGTGGTTTCAACTTATCATCTAGCACGAGGCGAGCGTTCTGTGGGCTTGGTTACCTCGATGACTGTAGAGATTATTACCAGCATGGAACCAGGAAATCAGCTCGGGCAGGCTGGCAGTCGGGTATAGGCGCAAGAGTTGACAACAAACAACAATGTGGGGCGGAGCTTTATACTTTTAAGGAGACGTCAGATGCTTCTCTTGGAGAGACCGACAAGAAAATTTGTCTCTGTGTTAGGCAGACAGCTCACGCCGGTCCTGTCGCTGATGAAATTCCGCGAGTGGTAAGATCTAATAGAGGTGGGACTGGGTGTGAGTGACTCTGGTGCGGCTCCTTCTGTGCACATATAGGAATCGATTCTCGACTAGAGCTTGACTACTCTTACAGTACCGGAATATTCAAAGCCGAAGACTCCACTGACCTCCTAACTGATAGACGCCTTGCAGAAATATTGGCTGCATATAGTGAGCGTGAAGAGCGGCAACTGCACGCGTGTTCAGACGTGGGAAGTGGGACACGCCTTTTTTTGGAGGCTCTGCTGTTGCTGCGCTCCAGTACTTCACAACTAAACCCGTCGCCCCCAAGCTCACGTTCAGAGCGGTATCTCTTATGATTGCTCGAACCCCAGTCCGACGCTGTCTTAGTGGCGGGTTCATTAGAGAAAAAGCAGGCTGTGGCACCATGCGAACGGAGAAATAGTGTGGGCTGGTTATTCCTTACAGGCCATGCATGCTTCTGCACTTCTAGTGATGAGCTGAAAGCATCCACTAAATCAAGAAATTTGGCAATGCGTACTGATGAATCATCCCGTCGGGATGATCCTTCCAAGAGTACGCGGTCACCAGTGCTGTAGAGAAAGATGACGCTGCTTAGGCCTACGCAGAGCCGCAATCCCATTCTTTCCGATCAATGTGCAAGCCTCCTTTAAGCCAACCCACCAGACTTCTACTGTATCATTGATACCCCTATCTCTCTTTACTCAATAACTAATGCTAGGACCTAACATTCACTGTCCTTGGGTACTTAATAGTCGCTTGTGTCTATCTATCCGCGGAAGGTGGGCCACGGGAGGAGGCTACACAATCCTGCGTAGAACCAAATGCAACCTCAAGCTGTGGCTGCCAGGGTGCGCGAGTCGACGAGTGAACGGGATCTGCAAACTGTCGGCATAATGCCCCGTCTTTGCTAGATGAAGCACATGAACTCAGCTAAACTTTGCGCCTTCCACGAATGCGTTACGCATGTTCGCATCGCTTAGGACACCAGGGATAGTCACTAGTTATCTTATCAGCTTTGAGAGGTTGCGCAATATCTTGTATACGGATGCGCAAAATGGGATGATGTGCATCAACGAAGTGATGGCCTTCGGCGCCATGTGTTTGCATCAAGCCGTCGACGCAAGCGCCACCTATAAACTTGAGCGGCACGAACCTAGTCTGCCAGTCCCATTGAGGACATTCTCGCGTTCTACCCCGCTTCAAATGCACTTGAGTTGTTGGTTACCATCCTTACAAAAGCAAAGTAGGCTGCCGATGGATGGTTGCGTTCTCCATCCGTGGCACGCAGTCTTGGATTCGCGGGGCGAACGCATTGTCTAGACGCGAGGCTGCCCCAAAATGGCAAGTACGCCGTATTATCCATAGTGAATTTCGACCTTCAACCGCAGAGCCGCATCGCATTGAGCATCGAACAAGGACATTGGCGAACGATGTCCGCACAATTGGGCAACGACAGCTTTACATGAACCGTTTGCTGTGCGCGGTTGGCCCGCTTCGCAATTACGAGTATCTACTTGCATTTATTTCAGACATGGGGTATGCCGCCGCCCCGGGACTCGGCTCGCTATCGTATCCGCAACTTGGTTTAGCTGCCGTACTTGACGGGATAGAAAACGGCAAAGATAGACACCATGTGGTGGCTCATTCTGTGGTCCTTCAATTTTTTGTCACGCGCATAAGTGCAAATATGCAATCGAGTGCAGTTCGCTTGAAATCCACGAGTAGGAACGGGCGTGGGAACGGCCGACCAGATCTAATCAATCTCGCGCGTGTGGAAGGCATTACTGCTGGACAATGGTTTGGTAGAATTAGGCATCCCGTAGGCCCTACACAACGGGATCTGTTCGGCTGTTTCTTGATCGGGTGACCAGTTGATTGTAAGTATGTTCCCAAATGTATGTATATGTATGTATGGTGCTATTGTTATCCTAGACTAGCGATACGTACTTCCTTTTTAGTCCATTGTCCACATACAACCTCTTCCAGGATTCGATCATATAGCCATCTTAATGGTGCAATATGATCAATGGCTATCTTTCCGCTAATTCGACAACTTGTGCGTTGGCTTGTTGAAGGAATCGAAAGGACTAGATTGGCTTGAGCTGTTCTGTGTGGGAGTGAGGAGCGGACAACGCGCAGATCGCGGCAACATTACCGACCTCACTGGAGCTGAATGAAACAATACGCCAGGTTACGAGAGGCGAGTAACTACGATTACGAGAAAATCGTCCATGAATTAGTAGGCGGGTCATAAAATCTTGACAGTTGGGTGCGATATCTACTAAGTCACGTCTCGACATGGTCACAGGATGCCCTTGGCCTACCGAGAGAGTCAATCTCTACTCCTCTTGACAGCACCAAAGAATAATCTGTTCACGTTGCAGAAGTGCAGAGCGCTTCTTTTTTGCTTCTAATTGTATATACTCAAACAGTTGCAGGTCCGAAGAATGTACCGACATCGCGATCACTGGGTCTTCCGTTGTGCTTGCTGCAGAATGGTCATCACCTGAAGACAAAGTACCATCATCACAACTTATTGCTACGAGTCGATAGTTGTGTTTTCTAGCAGCTAGGCCATAGAGCTCCTTCAGAGCAGTAAAATCGATCTTCAATATTGCACAGACGAGGTAATGTGTACGAGATCGGCCTCACAACAGCATGCGTCAAGACGATAAAATGTCCTCAGAAGAGAAACCCGCCGTAATCGGGGTTCCATCAAGGCTTCAAGTGATCAAACCAACCATTCGACGCAGGCCTCAAAATTTATCCCATCTATATTTATAGGACACCCTCACTCCCACCGTATACTACGCATCACACAAGCACATACCTCGAAATCCTGCCTATACGACCACATCCCCAATCAACCACCACCACACACCGTCCACGCATCCCCCAACGCACCCCCAGTCGAACCAAACCGAAACAAGCAACACTGCCTTCCGCTCCTACGCGAATCCCTCCTGAGTCACCGTCTCCCTTCCGTCACCGTATCATCTCAAAGAGGCCACCGTGTCTGGAGGAAACGACGTCCGCAACTCAGTGCCCTCCGCCCTTTTAGTACGTCCCGGCGGCCTGGATAAGCGGGACTGAGCAGGCGTGGCGCGTGAGGCTGAAGAGAGGTTAAGTTGACGTTCGGCGTCGGTTGGAATCGGCATGTAGGGGGTTACGCGGGACTAGGTCCGAGAAGGAGGATTGGTGGGCGTGGTTGTTGCGCTTGGGAGTGTTGGGAAGGTTTTGCGAGGGTAGGGGAAAGGAAATGACGGAGAGGAGGGCGTGTATGGGGAGTTCGAGGTGATACAAGGTAGAACGGATAAGTAGGGAGATATGTTGGATGGAGGGTTACATGGGTGCGTGGGAGGTCGGGGCGATATGGTTCAGATTGATCGTCGGGTGTTCAATGGACTGTGGCCGAGAGGGAAGAGAGGGTCATAAGTTCATTGATATTTAACGATAGACGAAAGACTAGCTTATTCGAAGACGGTTCAACCGAAATACATAGTGTGTAAACCTGACCAGCGGCGTCTCTGTGGACTTGATTACCATTCCTCCAGTCTGCAGCCCAGCAACAAAGACCTTGAAAAACAAACCTGTGGATAAAAGGGGGATAGATCAAAATGTATGTGCTCAAGAAGGTGATTAGTCTTGCATAGCAAGATGGGAAAAAGAAAACTGGTCGTCCATGCGACTATAGTGGCAAGATCCTGCGGTGACGGAGGTTGCCAAATATATCGACATCTGTGGGATCCGACATCTGTGGGATCCGACATGGTACCTGTGGAATATTGACCTGCGTCCAGCACTCGTAGTCGACGAGGGCGCTGCCCGTTGACATGGCAGATGATTACCTAGTAAGCATCGCCAATGTCCATTAAGTCCTCGACATCATCCATCGGTGGCATATATATGCGCTTCTCCTTCTTCTCCTTCTTTTCCTTCTTCTTTCTCTTCACAGACTTCGTACCGGGGATGCGATGTTTCTTCCACTCATGATTTTTACACGCATCGGCACGATTGAACAAAACACCGCACTCCCGACAGGATGACTGCTCTAGAAGCATGTGCTTCAATTTGTAATGCCTGGTTCGGTTCCCCTTTGCGTATGTGCCCGTGAATACTTCCCCACAGTCGTCGCAAGCCATAGAGGGGACATCATGTCTAGCTCGACTATGTTGCCTCATGGGGTTGGAAGGTAGTATGTGAGGTTGCTGCGACCCGTCGACGACAACATTGGATGCCTGAGCTATCACTGGCAGTGGTGGCATGTAATGGCCTGTCGGGCTGTACGAAGGCGGATCCTCATAGTCTAGAGGTCCAAGAATAGATTCGAAGTTCTCCAAAGGATCTCCATATTGTTGGAGAGCCGGCATGTAAGTGTGGCCAGGCAGACCTCGAGAATGGCCTTCGAAGTTGTACCTGGAGTATGCAGCATTCATATTATAGAGTAGATGTTGCCTCGAAACTTGTGGGTGCTGTATGGGAAAGGCCCCACCATCATTGCGCATGTAGTGGTGAGGCTCGGGGATGTTTGCATTGGTGAATAGATTGTGCGATGGCACATCACTGTCGACTGCATGCTGCGTAGACGAACCATTGCGAACTGATGCAGATGGAGAGATTGAATCATTGATCACATTGTTCTGGTACATAGCCGCACCTGTTTGCTGGCCGTTCGATGAGACAGGAGCTGTGGGCGATCCGATCTGTCGGTTGCCATACGAGTAATGTGAAAGTGCGTGATCCATCTGTTGTCCATTGTAGAATTGAATTGGGCTAATAGAGGGAAGCTCGGGTGTATGACTCTTTGACATATCAGGGGTCATATAGCAGTGCGCAGCATGTATGCCATTGGGTGACATAGTGTTCGTAGGTGTACATGTTTGTTGGCTAACAGGGGAAGAAGCATCGGCAGTGGTCATGGATAGCGGGCTGGTGGCTGACTGTGGCGGGGAAAATGCTGGGGAAGCTGTATTTGTTTCTAGTGAGAGAGGTCGAGCTTGACTCTCGTGGGTCCAATGCAGGGAATGGCGAATTCCCTGCGAACGAAGCCCATTGTATCCTTCATCAGATTGATGAGAACTAGGTTCATTACTGGCCATTGTACCAGAGCGGAGGTACACAGGAAGCTCCCGGGGTGGTTCATCTCCTTGGAGCTCTACAGCGGATGTGCGAACTCCAAGCTCATAAAAGCTGTTGCGCATAGGTCGGCTGTTGCGCATAGATCCGCCCCGATATCTGTGCATCTTCCGAAGCGTTTTCGAGAACCTTCGGCCCAGATCTTGGAAACACGAAGATTTGGTATACGATGGTTGAGCAGTGTTTTCACTACAGAGAGATTCTTCTTCAATTCTGTTTGAAGGCAACACCGACTGGCGGCTTAGGTGATGCGCTGATCTCGTGCAGAAGCAGGGCTCGTCGGGAAGTTGTTGTGAATATCCACAACGTGGCTTCTGCTTTGAGCGGTTGATACTGAGTGATAATGATGTGAGTACACGTGGTGTTGTGGCAAAGAAATGGGAAGAAGAAGAAATAAAACGAAGAAGAAGGGGATTATACGGACTCTAAGACAAAATAATGACCCTCAAAGCCGATTCGCACTCGCATCGTTGCTTCTTGTACAAAGTCAAATGGAATAAAATTGCTGAGAGGGAACCGCGAGCATACATAGCTTTATCCTGAATCGTCGTCTCCTCAATTCAACATTATGGATTATGCAGTCCAAGTCCAGCGGGACTCATTAATAATTACAACAGGACACAGCGCGAGCATATACAGTCGACCTCTTAGCATCTCAGGTAAAATGTGTAACAAGCAATGTTCAGGATTGCATGGTATTCTGATTGGTAAAGCCAACGGCACGGTTGATGGAAAGGGCGAAAGGGCATACAACGTGGCACAAAGTATCTGTTGCACTGAGTGCCATAGGTGTGATTGCTTTTTCCGTTGACCTCCTCATTTTGATCATTTGAATATGTTTGGTTGCCCTGTTTATCTTCGGAGGACCGCACAGAAAGCGACGCGTTGGTGTTGTGGAGCCAAATCTGGCAGCGAGGGTCCCATGCTGGAAATTAGGGGCGACGTGCCTTGGGTCCATCAGTGAGCAATCAGATTCGAGCAGGAATACATCCAGAGCCAACCATTTGCCAAAACTGCCCTCAGGACTGATGGATCACATGTTTGCATGCACTGGTAGCTAATTCCGGTGAACGGAAACGATGCCGGGATGTTGCGAGAAGCGAAGTACGTCGAAGTGGTGACTTTTTTGAGATATCGGCGAAGGCCGGTGCTGCTTAAGGGTTTTAGTGGCGAATCTGGTATCGTCCAGAAGCTGTTCCGTGACGGTGAAGGTTTGCTTGCATTCTGGTAGAAATCGGCTTCTCACTGTTGGCCGGAAGAGGTTGGTGATTCCCATGATGGTTTTCGCGGGAATGCGTTCAACATCCCTGTAAGCAAGAGATATTGAGCTGACCGGTTTTGCGTCGATCGAAATTATCGGATAAAGCAAGTTTGAATATGAATTTCTGACAATTGCAAGAATTCTCCTCTGTAGCGGAAGGCCATTTCAATTCGCAAAAGTGATGAGGAGGCACGGGCATATAACTATTCTTCATGATATGGCATAGCCTTCATCTTTTGGGGGCTATGAAGGCATTTCCTGATGAAATTACGAGGACGACCTATCAGATCTATCTTTTCGGCGCTCTCGAGGCTGTACACAAGGCAGACTCGGGCCTGACCCCCAGTGTGACGCAGTTGATGTCTTAAGACTCAGCCTACACTAGTATGTACCTAGGTATGTATGTACAGGGCAGAAAGAACAAGCCCAACCCAATTCGGATAAGCAATCATTACTTGAACGTTTGCACAAGGCTGTACATCAACAATTGCATTTGCCGTTCCATGTTCAGTGAGGAATTTCAACCGCAGGGCATCGACAGAGCCATGTAACCGTGATATATATTAGCATGAGGAGCTTATGGAGTACATACCAACATTCGCATACCATTCCTACACGGGTACATTGTATGTGGGGCTGCACCAATGCCACGCAGGAGATAAGTGAGTAATTACGATCTGAGAGTGCGATGGGGGTGAAACAAATGGTCTGCTCCCCTACAGTCACCACGGTGAAGTTCTTGGATCAGCATTTGAAGGACAAAACCACGGCCGGAGCAATCTTGGTATTCCTTGAGGGCGGCCTCAACTGTAAATGCAGTCGAGAAGCAGGTCCAGGGTGACTTTTGCCCCTATCATTTCAGCCCTTATCGTCCTATCCGGTTAGGTAGTATGCACGCTTGCACAGATGATAGAACAATCACCGGGAGTGGTGACGTTGTATGGATGTACCTAGGTACGTATGACCACACGTACATACAGGCGGATGCAGCATACCGACCCCCGTGCAGGGAGTGGTAGGAGCACGAAGAGTGAGCGAGCAAGCAAGCGAGTAAGTGAGTGAGTAAAAGATGATGAATTACTCTATATTCAGTACGGAATACCCATGGAAGGGAAAGGAATGGTGAGGCTCTTGATGATGTTTGATGTCTCAACCACCCAGTTCCATTTCCATTTCCATTTCCATTTCCATTTCCATTTCCCCCCGCATTTGCATCTGGTGTCGTCTATCAGGGCCCGGGGGTCGGTAGGCCTGTGCACCCCTTCCCTGTCGCTATATCTGGTCGAAATAAGTCTGTGCACGTCCTGTCCTTCTTCTCCTTCTCCTTCTCCTACTTCTCCTCCTCATGTTCTCTCTTCCCCAGACCATGATATTTGAACATGCAGTAGGTACGTGGGCACAAATCGAACGATTTCTTCAAACCAATCTCACCCACTGCTGTGTAACCTTGATTCGTCGCCCTGAAAATTGGGTTGCTGCATCGATTTTGACGCCCTCATAATCTACTCTCCGCGCATGCCCCGCAGCTGCCTGTGGTCATGGGCAACCAATAGGCTGGAGGCTATGCCGTTCTGCGCAAATCGTCCGATCCGCAACTTCAGTCTTGGGCAATTACATCACAGAGATCAAGATACGATACGAAGCACTTGCGCACAATCGCAAGAGCAGTTTCTGTCCGAGTCTAGATCATTACCAATCCCGCCCTCGCCCTCTTGGCTCACAAGGGCAAATGTCGTCTTAAATGTCGTACAGTTCCTTAAGCGCGTATAGAGATATGCGTACTCTTCTAGCAGATGCCGCGTAGGCTCATACTTCCATCGACCGCCTCGATTCTACCAGCCTGTTTTGCCCATGCATTGATTCCGGCCAGGGCCGCTGAGCATCTTAGCAATGAGTGCTTACACCAGTCCTGCGGGACTGGGCGAACACCCAATGCCACGTCAACCAGTAGGATTCTTTTGGCCATGGGCTCGTTTCCATCAGCTTGGGGCACTTGATACCGCTTATCTGACCCGTGCAGGCTCCATGAAGAGCTCGCTCCAGATACCACCATCGCTACGTGTCAGTCCTTCAGGAACTCCTTATATCCTTATGATCCGATATACATATCACGCGTCCTTGTACGCCTACCGTAGGCTGAATCCTGAGTCCTGAGTATTGCGGTCATTTCCGAGTCCTATCCACTCGATCATTGGAAGCATGACCTGCGAACCTAAATGAAAGCACCACTCCGCATCGTACCGTTCCGAAGCCAAGGCACATTCTTCCATCTCATTCTGCCGTTCGAGTCTGTGAACAGACCATCACCAAGTTGAAATTAGTAGCCATTGGAACCGTTTGGTGGGATACTCTTCGAGTCTTCCTTGAATGACCGCAGCTTCTACGACATCATCTGCCGGGTGCAGGGAATCTTGTTGCTTCCTATTCTTTTCTCTTCACCTTGATGTGACCTACTCCATCCCAAGGTCCCTGTCGCTTATCTTCGTGGAGCCAACTGTCTATAGCACCTACCAGTGCAACATTATCATTCATTTGGTGAAGATCGGCCAGACTTGGGTGATGTCTTTTCGGTTGGTGATGGTGCTCTTGATACGTATGTGCTGCCTGCTGATTGTTGGAAGAAAGATGATGATAGTTGTAATCAGGTGCATTTCTGCTTCGCGTGTCGGATGTGTTGGATTCCGCTTGGCCCCACGAACGGGTGACAGCACGCCATTCGTATGCCTTGTGAGATGACTTTGAGGCATCATAGGTGTTTGAATGTTCGCCATCCGTTCGAGCTTCATGGTCGTTGTAGTAAGGTCGGTTTTGATTGCTTTCGGACTGTTCCCCTGCGGACTGTTCAACGAATGTTAGCTGCAATGATGACCATGGAGATGGATACTCACCTCTCGTTTTCCAGCATCGTACTCTGAAATTTCTCGTTGCGTACCCTGGGTTTCTGAAGTTCGCCTTCGCCGCGAATGTTTATGTTGGGGCTGCATCGTGTCTACTTCGTAGAAACTTAAAATCGGGTCTATAGTTCCAAATGTAGAAGCTTGTATCCACGAACTTGGCGTGAAAAATGACTAGATAGACTTCAGATTGTGAAAGAGTCAGACCTCGATCAAGATATAGTCCGTAGAGAGGGCAATCACACGCACACAATCAAACCCAGAAGTTGTGGAATGAATTACTTTCGGACCATTAGTATCCGCTAGACCACCATAGAAGTACGTCGTCACTTACGTGCCTCAGGCCTAGGCAACCTACATACACACTCATCCTCACCACCGGCAAATCTTGTACACGTATTGAGCGCCTATCCCGATGACGAGTCATGCGGCCTGTGACTACATCCCACTTGCACGTTCCTCGCTTCCATTGAGGTTGACATTCGTGTGTCGTGTGTTGGTTGCCAAGGGCTGTAAGAAGGCAAATGGTTTTACATCCTCAAGGACAATTATAGACCTGGGATAATCCCATGGCTGATGCCTTTTGCAGAAGTCGCATTGCAGAAGTCGTATTGAGGAAGGGTGCTTCTGTGAATAGTTCCTTCGGGACGGTCAGATAGGTACGTACGGAAAGACCCTTGCTTGTGGCATCTGGAACTCATATCAAAAGGCAAAAGGCTCGACAAACCGGTCAAGATTTGTTGCTATACTATGTACGAAACGGGAAATAATCACGGCTAATACCCCAGAAAAGGGTTGCAGCAAATAATGACACAGTCCTTATTGGCTGTTGTGTAATCCTTAATTGAAGCAATTCCAAGCGAGACACCTAAGCCGAGGCCTTTCTATCTTCCTTATATGCATCTAAATGGGTCAGATAGCTGAAATGAATAGATGACAGCAAAATGGTTGAATTCAAATATCTATTCCTGGGTGGTCATGGTGATTTGATGCTCTGCTTTCGCTGATCGGCGTGCACGAGATTGGCGGTAAAGGTAAACATCAAGGGCGGAACCCACCTTAAACAAGTAGACATCTACAGGTGAGGCAAAAATAGCACCGTCACGGACATAAAAGGTAGTAGCCATGGATCCAATAGCGCACTATTACTATATTTATTTCCACTGTTTACGAGCGATTTGCAACATGTTGTTCCTATGACGCAGGCAGGAGTCTTTGGGATTAAGAAGGTTCCGTTTTCCAGGTGTAGGTTGTAGGGCTGACAGGGATACTTGCAGATCTATGGTCTACCTGCATTGCTTACGGGGCCTTGACCGCCAATACCCTTTCCTTTCCCATACACGATATGGGTGGTCGTATGAGATGCGGCGATAAGAATAGCACAGATACGAATAGAAGGTACCCTCGCATGAAAGCGCGTGCATAGGACAGCCAGTCAGATCAGAGATTCGCAAAGGGAGCATTGTATTGGTCGTACTGTGTCCCACGGTGTAGAGAGACATCTGACAAATTGTGGGTTGTTGATTATAGCTTTCTGTCTATTTCAGAGTGGCATTGAGAATCTTCAGCCCAACGCTCCCGGGGTACAAGGCCTCAGGGCTGATGAGCCAGATACATCGAAAAGAACATTTATCGAAGAATTTTAACCGGTGCAATCATTGGACCCTTGACCTGATTATCATGCCTGTTTCCAATTGACTTAATCAACATAGTGTTCATCCTCCTACGTATTTTTTCGACCCATATACACGCTTGTCCCGCACTCAGGTTCCTAATCTGTTAGCAAAGCGCTTGGATTTCCAAAAGTTTGATGAGCTTACAAAGTGTCTTTCACCCGAACCATTCACTATGACACTACCACTGTATTGCCAATATTTCCTTTCAAAATCGAGAAAGTCCTCGAAATGGTCGTCTCCGACCATAACCTCATTGACAACCTTGATGGAAAACGGCAAAATGATGGTGTTGTAGAGAACCTCATCTACCAGGTTAGCCCAGCAACCGTTGAAGAGACTACAGTATTCGAATCGCAGCGATCGAAGGGTACCATGATGCCGCGAAATTAGGTTCTTCAATTGTTGCTCTGAAGCGTACACCCCTCCTAAGCTTATCGAGCGTAGATTTGTCCAGCTCTGGTCGAGGCCCAAAAAGGAGAACAATGGCTGATCACAGGGAACAACATGGCCGTATGTTTTCCGAGGGCTGGGCTCCCAATGGCAAATGTTGAATACCAAGTCATGCAATTCAGTAGCATAACCAAGTAAATGAGAGAGGTTTCTGAGATGTGCACGCGGACTGCTCTGTTCACTGGAGCCACTCAAATCGACACGGCCACCTCCAGGATGATGTAAGGAGAGATTTAGCTCGAGCTTATGGAGGTGACGGAAGAAGAACTCTCCAGCATCGGCAAACTGGGGGTCGGGAAAGTCGAAAACAAAGGTCGTGAGTTCGGTTCCATGCTGTCCTGGGGATAATGGTAGGATCCGAAACTCTCTGACTTTCGAGTATTGAGACTGATGGACGGCAGCGATAATGTGATGAATCCCCCATTGTGTAGATTCAATGTATTTCTGTGTTCCGAAGCTGAGCCATCCTACGCCAGGTAGTCCACGTGGGATCATGTCTCTCACTACCCTGGCTTCCTTTGGGACCTATATATTATTAGACCATGTCTACTGTGTATTGCATCTATGGCCATCACCATAGTGAAGTAGAACGGCGAAGCAAATTAGGAGTACAACATACCTGGCGTGGTTCGGGGCAGTACACGATGGTAGAGATGTTCGGACAATTATCGAGCACCCGGGATATCTCGTGAAGGAGTATGTAACTCGTTCGGATTTCTTCTTGATCATTGTACATCTCCTTATAGCGACGGAACCTTTGGGTTATCAGCTACATTAGGAACTCGCACCTGTGAAAAGAACATTCTTGATGAAAGCTTACCTGTTGCGCCTGTGGAAGAAGTTACCAGGGGCATCGGGTAGATAACGAGGTTCAATGTCGTTATACTGTTGTTCACTCGCCGCGATACCTCCGTGATATACCGATGCATCGAATACTAGCTCCTTCACGTACTTGTGTAGAGTAGCATTCGTTGATACTGCTTGAAATGCGCCGAGAGCCTGGTATCTTGTACATGCGATCATGGACCTGAAGAGCAGCGGAGCGGCATTGCCGCTACTTTTCCTGTCCAGCAGACGAACTTGCTTGAGGTCGATTGGGATAAGGTAGTTGAATATCTCGATATGTAGTTCAGCTGGCAACTCGCTGAAGCAGCCCATACTGGCAAGTTGTTGCGACCGTTTTCGTGAGGCTGTTGATGCACGTTCGTATGCGATTTTATTTTGAGAAAACAAAGGTGGATCTAGCGACAAGCGGATGTGCGCCAATTCGCATACATGTATAGTTGTTGAGGGACATGCTCAACCCAGTGCTACAATGTCGTGAGAGTGAAGGCAACGTAGAGTGGTTGTGTTAGGCAACAGATGGGTGTTGAACGATCAAGACCGGATCAACCAATGGGAACGCTTCCCGGATATGGGGTAAAGCTGTGCTCATCGAGCTATTTGGGTGCACTCGCAAATATTATCAACACACAATTATTATTTGTTCCACCAAGGAAAACATTATGAAGTCAAACGTAGCGGCATGATACGGATGAGATAAAGATGTTTTTAAAGCTTGTAAATATGTCGTTCGCTATTACTGCATGTCAACACTCGGAACAGCGAGATACAATGTATTCTCGGCAGTAGTGAGTATCTTACGGTCACCGGAAGCAGATTACTGTTGACGTAGTCTAGTCAGAGCCGCCATTACACCTTCACTGACTTCATCTTCGCTCGCTCGTCTTTTCCGAGGAGTTGTTGCTCGAACAGTAGTTGAGACCTTGGTCGTAGGCTTACTAGAGGAAGATTCCGCCTCTGCTTGGAGCAAAGCTAGCTCCTCGTCCTCACCAGGTTCCCAGAGTGCAGCATCGTTCACTACAGGGCGCACAGAGCTTCCTTCCGTGCTAGTAGGATTGGTAATGTTCTTGGAGGGATGGGGTGAACTGGAGGTTGCGCCTGAGGGTTTGGAAGCATCTTCATTGGGCCCATTGGTATCTCTGACCTCCCCTTCAGCATATGAGATACCTCTTGACAATGTGAATTGACTGTCATCACGTTCCAGGCCACGCTTGGCGGTCTTTTTGATCCTGAATGGTTCCCGTACCGCGTTGCACCAGCGCTGGACCTTCTTCTCTCCCCATCCAGCAATCAAGCCGACCTCTTCTGGACCAGCATTTACAGCAGTTCGTATACTACCGAAATTCGACACCAATCCCACCGCATCCGTTTTGTTTATGCTACGTGGAACGGTGATGAATTCGACCAACTTGTCAGAATAGCTAGTGGACTGTTGTGCACGGATGCTTGTAGGAGCGGTGTTTTCGAAAGATTTAAAAAGCTCCAAGTAACGTCCAGCTTCCTGTGCGCTCCAGCAGAGTATGACTGTTACGTTGTTGATCAATGAGGTCTTCGAGAGTTCACGCAAAGGTTCCTCATGATTTTCTATATCAACCATGGTGAGAAGTATGCGTAGATTATATTGGCCTTTCAAATCTCGAATGCGATTGTAGATGTACTCTGGATGTAGGCGATGGTACTTGAGTGACAAGAACAGTGCACAAGTCGTGGCACCCAGCACGTAGTCGGCAGGCATGTCCGAATACTCCCAAGCAGTGCTACGGACATTGTTCAGTATGGGATTGCCTTTCTGGCGTGGGGACACAAGGATAGCGCTTGGACCGGCACGAGACGGCAGAGCTTGGGGTTTCGGTTGTTGAACGGGTACAATATTCGGCTCCATCGTGGATGCATTCTTCGTGGCACGTTCAGATTGCACGGAATTTGCACTGGCAGCATGGCGACGAGCGGCGGCTTCATCCATACTGGCCGTAGTCGGGCGGCGTATGCATCGGGCTGGGCAGCGTTGCTGGGATGGGATGGGTTTGAGACGCGCTGGCAACAGGGAATGCGTGAGACGAGAGATGAAGGACGAGGGAGAGAGATGAATCTTAGCTCGACGTTCCAAGATGAGTTAATCCCGTTTCGTTAAGTGACGACGGAGCTTTTGGCTGTGTTTTCCCTGAGCCACGGTCACGTGCCGATTTCAGCCTCAGGGTCGCCGCCGCCAGATCCTGCTGGCTCTACTCTTCACTCCTCACTCCACTAACCACCACGTCCACCCTCCATCCACCCCGCCCATCCGGCACCTTGACTATATTCATCGCCTCGCGGAAATCCGAGATATCGCAGGAACGCACTCTGATCGCATGCGCGCGCCCTAGCACGTTGCCTTGACCCAGGAGCCACTGTGAACCCGCGCCAAGCGCCTCACAGTGAGCAGCGCTTCAAGCCCATCCGGTATCCCAGCTACCAGTCAACTACGACCGGCACGCACCTCCCGTCCTCGTGGACCCAGAAACCTCCCATCCATCCAGCTCCACGGCACCTATGTCGGATCACTCTGCGAAGCGACAGCGCTTGACCGGTTCTTTCTCTCCCGCGAGTCCGCCATATCATTTAGCCAAGCCGACCAACGAACAGACAAAGCCGCCCGTTGTTCAACCCAATACGCCTACTTCTCCTCCCCATAATTCAATGACTTCCTACTCACATGGAGGATCCGGAATGAATGCGACAGTCCCGGCCAGCGAGATGACACCGCCCTCGTCCGTCCACAACACGCAGCAAGGGTCCCAATTGGCAGGCTCGGGCTCCAACCCGAACCCCATATCAACCCCCTCTAGCATTTCAAATGCCAGGCGAGATCCTAATATTGATAGTGATGGTGATACGGCGATGGATTTTGACCAAAATGATGACGCAGGAATGTCTCACGGACGGAGGCATTCGAATCACAACCGGCAAGGCAGAGGCACTTCTTCTGGTGAAGGCGCGGATAAACCCTCGGATTATGCCAGAGGCAATGGTCTCTTTAAGTCTTTCCATAGCAGTAAGGTTCCCCTCAGTGCAGTGTGATATTGCGCATGGGTTACTGACACAGAATTGCTGGGTAGCTCAACCACAATCACGGCCACATGGATCACAAAACTTATTTGAGCTCTACGGCCTAACTGAACTTGCAAGTTCTGTCGCACGGACGAATCCAGTAACAGGAGAGAAGATCAACAAGCTACGAAAATCATATGAGGGACATATCAAGACCTTACAGATAGCTGGAAAAGCTAAGGCGACGAAGATGGAAAATGCTCTTTCATGGCCAGCTAATATGCCTGAGCTGGAGTGGCAGGCGCAGAAAGGCAACACGTCCCAGAAATTCAGATTTGCCCTCGATGAGCAAGACCGACCGACTTCGAACTTTGAGGATTTACTGAACAGGGCCTTTACAGGCATGGCTCCTGGACTACTTCCGGCTGCAGAGACGCAAAAATATAGACAATACCTCGGGACAGACGAGGTTTCCAAGGGGAAAGCAGACGGCCCACCAAATAGAATACCGCATCCATCTTCGGGCACACCGAATCCAAGCATTCCGACAACAGCGCCCCGGGTATCGAGACCTGAGCGAGCAGGTTCTAAACGAAACTACACAGACGATTCGTTCCAGGGATATAGTGAAGGCTTCGCGGATTACCCTGCGGAATCAAATGGAGAAGATGAGCTTGGGAACGCCAAAAGGAGGAAAATCGCGTTTGATGGACCCTCTTCTCGATCTGTGGAAGTCGGTGGCGCCCGGCGGTAGCAACGTGGGCTCAGCTACAGTGTCCTGTTTGGAAAGAGAGCTCGTCATCTTCACATACCCCCTCAACTCGTCTCCAACTTCGTTCTCACCTTAGCCGATCGAGGCTTCTGACCTACCCATCAAGAACAACCGACGATCAACCTACCGCGATGTTATACTACTCGTCCTTATCTCGCACATGCCATGATTATGTTTGCGCTTTCTTTTTCTTCAGTTCAAGGGCGTTGGCGTTGGCGGTTCTAACTCAATTCGATTGAGTTTGATGAAAATTTTCCTTCCCTACCGACGAGCACGAAATCTGCTCATTCAACACGAATCCCGGGGAATGGATAGATCTATCGATTCTTGGTGGCAACTACCCAAATTCGCTGCTCGCTTCACAGTCCGAGCAAATAGCGTTGATGTGGGAGAGTTGCGATATTCGTCTTTCTGTTTATTCTTACAAATCCTGTGCATAAATTGGCGGAGTTCTTCATGATACCCTTAGGTCTAACTGCATGAAACAATAAACAAAAATAAGCATCATCGAAACGTCTTGTCTTGTGCCTACATGTACAGCAGTAGAGCCTTCCAATGGTAGTGAAGTGTAAATGATGTTTTCAGTGTAACATTCCTCACATGCTGGTTTTACTAAGATTCTCTGATCCACCAACTTTCTTCTTGGCCACAATTCGAATGATACAAAATCACAATTGCAATTATCAAGGAATCTTAAAATCATGCAAGAGAGGCTTATCATTTCTCATATACAATCAATGCTCGAACATTGGGCTTCCTGGTGTTTTCTTGTGTGTTGGAGCTGTTCCTGATGATCGGCCTTGGCAACCGCTTTCTTCCTATACTGATGATACATGGTGGCAATTCTACTCAGAGTAGTCGAATCTTCCATCCTGGCTCCCTAGTCCGTCTCTAATATAGCCCATGTTGAATCATCCACGGTCGTGTATATCAAACCGTCAGCGAGTAATTGATCTCCAGCAGCTGAGACCTCGGCAGCATCAATCTTAAGATTTGATGCAATGTCTTGCTGATGTAGACCTTCGTTTGTCTGTGGTGTTGTCCTCAGGTATTCATATACCCTCTTTGCGACCGAATTATGACCTGCCAACGCAGCGCCTCCGTGACCTCCGCTGTCTTGTTGCTGTGCTGCTCCATTCGAGCCTCCTCCACCACCTGAGCCTTCACCGATCGGGCCCCGCGTAAAATGTAGGTGCACATATGTCGCTTCGAGTAGGTGGTATGAGATCTCGTTTTTGTCTTCCACTGGGCGTATGATAGTGGCGACGACATGCTTGCGGTCATTGAAGCTCTTCAGCTTGCCCCAAACCCGGCAGTATGCACCCTCTACTAGCTTTTCTCTCCCCGGGCTTGGTTCATCGGCCGTATCCTTATCATTCCAATGCTTTGCTTCCATGCTACCGGTACCGTCGTCGAGCTTGTAGGTTAAATTCGTTGTTTGTGACGAGACGTTTCTGATTTGGCCGACGAAAGTGAGCTATTTTTTTGTAAGTTGTCATCTTTGCCAAAACAGTTCGGTTGATGTACTTGTGCTACTTGTGCTCCGTCAATCTTGAATTCTTCGCCAACGGACTGTGCATCGTTGATTTGCTTGATCGTAACGGGGCGAACAGTGTCACGAGTATAATCCTGTGATCGTCATATGAGCTGAATGGACTTGAAGTAACATGCTGGGGACATACCTTTGGACCGCCGCTGGGACTATTCTGGCTGCCGTCACCAGGGATAAACCCCCCGCCGCCTCCACCTCCTCCACCATATGATGTGTAAGACGTTTCGTAGTTGTTACTGTAGCCTTTCAAATAATCAGTTCACTAGCACTTCAGCCTCTACTTTATTGCACCGCACTTACTCATGTTTGCGTTGTAGCGAAGAAGGTGTGATTATGACCACTGTCTATGACCGACAACCAAGCAGGCAAAGGACTTTTGGAGGGGAAGACGCGACCAGAACGCGTTTGACGTGCGGCCGCCAAGGCAGCGTGGAAGGTGGGTCGTGGACTAGACCAGATAATCATTAGCGCCATGGTTCAATCGCCGGCCGCCGACATAAACTTCTTGATTCTCAAAAATATTTCGAACGACTTCAACCGTAAAAGAACGGCCGGTACACGTTCCGCATATTCCTCTTCACTCGCGTGAATACCCTATTAGGATACAAAACCGGAATTTGGAAACAGAAATATCCGCCATCTCGCCATAATTCGAGCCTAGAGACGTCGAACAGCGCAATGGCTCCCCGCGCGAGCTCTCCTGCGCTTTCAGAGAATGAATTCGACATTACAAACGCACTGTTCGGAGGAGATGACCAGAGCGAAAAGGGGCAGCTAGATGCTGACCTTGGAGTGGACTTGGATATCGGAGGCGAAGACGGATCTGACGATGAGGCCTTTATTGCGGCGCGGCAGGCAATCTCGAATCGCAAAGCCACCAATGTAAAAGGAAAATCCGTGAAGAAAGGAGGTGGATTCCAGGCAATGGGTTTGAACGCAGCGCTTCTTCGAGCTATAACGCGCAAAGGTTTTACAGTCCCGACACCTATCCAGCGCAAAACAATTCCGTTGGTGCTTGATGGTCAAGATGTCGTTGGTATGGCCAGGACGGGTTCAGGAAAGACCGCGGCATTCGTTATACCTATGATTGAGCGCCTCAAAACCCATAGCCCGAAGGTTGGAGCTCGTGGTATCATTTTATCTCCATCTCGAGAGCTTGCTTTGCAGACTTTGAAAGTCATAAAAGAGTAAGTTCGCCCTACCTAGAAGTCTTTGAAGATGCGTCACCTCTGCTGCGCTCTTTACAGAATCGACAGAGTTGGACTAGGAAGTAGTTGTAACCGCGTGCTGACCATCCTCTTCTGCCAATTAGACTTGGGAAAGGTACTGATCTGAGGACGATCCTGCTCGTTGGTGGTGATTCTCTAGAAGATCAATTTAGTTCCATGGTTTCAAATCCGGATATTATTGTGGCAACCCCGGGGCGCTTTCTGTAAGTCTCCAACTTCTAATCAGGCATTGTTGCATCATTCACTAATTCCGGTCTTCTATTGCAGTCACCTGAAAGTTGAAATGAAATTGACGCTGGAATCCGTGAAATACATTGTATTTGACGAAGCAGATCGACTCTTTGAGGTACTTATGAATGAAAACCATAATCGGTCAAATATGCTTATACTTTATAGATGGGTTTTGCAGCTCAATTGGCCGAGATTCTATATGCGCTGCCAACTTCGAGACAGACTCTGCTTTTCTCTGCAACTCTTCCCAAGAGTCTGGTTGAATTTGCCAGGGCTGGTAAGATTCCTCGCTCTATTGTGTTTGTGAAGTAGACTAACATCTTCTAGGTCTCCAGGAACCTCAACTCGTGCGTCTTGACGCTGAATCGAAAATTTCCCCCGATCTTCAGAATACTTTCTTCATGCTCAAAAATGATGAGAGGGATGGTGCACTCCTGAACATTCTTGATAAGGTAATCAAAATGCCGTTGGGTGAAACCGAGCAAGCAAAGCGGGCGAAAGATGTCGCCAAGTCGAACGCTAAGAAGAGGAAACGGGGCCCCGACAATACCTCAAGCAAAGAAACACCCACAGAGTACTCTACGATTATCTTCGCAGCCACCAAACATCGTGTTGAATATCTTTCTGCGATGTTGGCTGCAGCAGGATACTCTGTGTCTTACAGTAAGTGCCCTTGCTATCACGAAGTGATTTGACTGATGATTTCGTAGTCTATGGGTCTCTTGATCAGACCGCACGAAAGATCCAAGGTAGGGATTGATTCAATCAAGATCAATATAAGCATGTGCTAATCATTCTACTCTATAGTTCAAAATTTCCGTTCAGGTCTTAGCCATGTCTTAGTAGTCACTGACGTTGCGGCGCGTGGTATTGGTGAGTGTCAATTTCCTGCGACTAGTATTTGCTGTTCTTTGACGGCTTTGGAGAGTGCTACATATTAGTTACCTTATGAATTACTCTATCATACGTCCCAACAGACAAATTTTGCTAACTAGATGACGAACAGACTTGCCCCAGCTCCAAAACGTTATCGTAAGTATAAAACCTTTCTCTTCTGACTCCTCTCCGCCGATTTTCTTTCTTCATATGTATGCCAGGCACTAAGACACCTCTAGAATTATGATTTCAGCTCGCAGCCAAAGATCTTTGTCCATCGAGTTGGTCGTACAGCACGCGCGGGTCGAAAAGGATGGAGCTACAGTCTAATACGGGAGACTGATCTACCGTACTTGATTGATCTGCAGCTATTTCTTAGTAGACGACTAGTCGTTGGGAGGACAGCAAGCAAAGATGCGAACTTTGCCCAAGACATAGTGGTGGGAAGCCTACTACGAGATCAACTGGAGCCTACAGTGGAGCTGGCTAATCGCCTTCTGATCGAAGACCCAGATCTTGAGGGTCTTCAAAGCGTAGCCATCAAAGGCGAGAAACAGTACATCAGAACACGAAACGCCGCATCCACTGCTTCAGTCAAGCAAGCAAAACAATTGCTGGGTACAACGACTCTATATGAGACTCATCAACTCTTCGACGATGAACAGGCCAACAATGCAAATCAGAAAGAGGAAATGCTCGCAAGGATTGCCTCATTCAGGCCTGCTGCCGGCGAGACAGTGTTCGAGATCGGAAAGCGTGGTACCGGCTCCGAAGTAGCTGAGATTATGCGTCGCAGAAGAGAGGAAATCAATCATAAGAAGCAGAATCATCTAGAGGGCTCCTCCCCAAACACCGTAGACCCAGAGGTTGTTAATCTCCCTGCCGACGAGACAGATGACTCTGACGCAGACATGAACGACATTGACGATGGCGCGTCAGATTCCGATGACCTGGAGGTCTCTATTTCTCAGTCTGCACCACGGAACTCTGGATCAGACCCGTGGCAAAGCTCCGAATTCTACATGGGTTATACCCCCACGGATGTAAATGTCCATGAAGATCGTGGCTATGGTGTCCATTCCGGTTCCAATACCAATTTTGTTGAGGCTGCACGAGGTGCTACACTGGATCTAACGAATGACGAGGTCTCTAAGGGCTTTGGCCAAGCTGTCCGAGCCGGTATGAGATGGGACAAGAAGAACAAGAAATACGTTGCTCGAGCCAACGACGATGATGGCTCAAAGGGTGCGAAAATGATCCGAGGAGAAAGCGGTGCGAAGATCGCTGCGAGCTACCTGAGCGGACGTTATGACGACTGGCGAAAGAAGAACAAAATGGGCCGTTTACGAACTGGAGAGAATGAGGCACAAGGCCTTCGGCCTCAGCACGGACGGGTCTACAAGCACAAGACTGAGAAAGCACCTAAAGAAGCAGATAAGTATCGCGACGATTATGATGTGCAAAAGAAGCGCGTCCAGGAAGCAAAGGACAAGAGAATTGGTAAATTCAAGGATGGCAATGGGAAGAGTGAACTGAAGGGCGTCGACGATGTTCGCAAACAACGAAAACAGAACGAGAAGCGCCGCGAAAAGAACGCCAGACCGTCCAAAAAGAGAAAGAGTTGAGGTTAATAGTTAGCACAAAGACCACAAACGGAAGTGTGGCTTTTCAAAATCGAATGTCACAGAGCACAGCATTCTGGATTTGACAATCTCGCAGACGCACGTGAAATTATCAATACTATGATAAGATGATGGACAACGGGAACCAAGCTCAATATTGTCGACCGGCGGCTCGGGCTCGTGAGACCAACGGCCAATGCAAGTTGAATGCGTTAAGCGCCATGATCATTGAAGCAAGCTGCGAAAAAGGAGTGTTCATTGTGAATCCACAGCATCCTCAACAACCTAAACTAAGTGAAGACAATCACAAGCGCCATCAACACGACGGGCCATTGCTTAGCATGTGGTGTATGCCACATGTTTGTGGAGGCACGTCATGGCTAGGAGAATTTCAAGCAAAAGGGTGTGTGGTGTCACTGTATCCACTCGTGCAGCAACAGCATACACGGCGTTGCATTTGACGAACCGGGATGAGCCGGGCCATTCAATAGTGCATGCATTTTTATGTGGAGGCGTGGTTGTAGCTCTTTGCCGATTGGGGCAAAAGACGTAAATTCAAAGTTCTTCTCGAAGCCTTGACGACTCGACATTGCCACATGGGTGGGCAGCCGAGCCGAAGGACAACCCATTACCTTTTTTCCTCCCGAGGAAGTCTCGTACTGGCAGTGACAACTGTGTGGTAGAGGTACGCTTGCACCATTCGGGGCGCCTGAAGGACGAAAGGCCTCAGGGTTGTTCCTCACGGTGTTCTAACCTCGTACTTATTGTGTCGCACACGCAATTTCCGTAAGGCAAAGCCAACACCTTGCGCGACCAATATTGTTTGATCCGATGGCATCTTGGTATCCTGACAGACCAAGTTTGGCAATAATGTATTGTCATGGTCTCGTCAAGTCTCGAAACCACATCTTTGTATGATCTGGTATCGTACTTGCACTCGTACCTCGTACTGTATCAAGTATGTGCTGGTAGCCTTTCGGTAATCGCTTATCAGGCACTACGCAACAACTTCCTAGAGAAGAGTAGCGGTTCATTCTACGCCGTACAGACTCGACTAGGTGATGCCCAGCCTTGAGAGCAACAATAGTCCCCCGCCTGATATCCTTCCTTCGCTTTGGACTCTGTTGGACTTAGACGCGCTACCGCCGCTACGCACGGAAAATTCTCGCTACGTCCCCGGGGCGCGAAGAGGTGTGCCGGCTCCATCCTGATCCAAAGGGAAAGTCGTACGTTGGCAGGATTGATTCCTGCGAGACTCGCGTGCGAAGATTACGATGCGCCCGCACAGCAACGAACCAAGACGCGCCTATAGTCGTTGGGTGTCAACAGTCAGCCCATCAGGATGGGGGTCAGCAAATCATTGTCATGTTGTTTTGGGGGGGTTTGGACTGTCACAGGTGCCTGTATGCCCAAGAGCCAACAAGGTCGCCTGCTCGGCCCGCACTCAGATCCACCTCATGAATGGGCCTCTGGCGGGCCATTGTGTTTTCTCTTCTCGATGAACGATATCAAGGGCATTTTCTTAAAGAAAAAGATCCCAGTTGGGCAACTTGCTGGCACACGTGTTTATTGCCCAGCAACCAGTTCGCAGATCGCGTTTCAGTCCGTGTGTCTTGCGTACCCATGCCAAATTAATCCCGGATTGCGGATGCATTTTTGAAGCGCAAGGCCAGGGGGTCATCAACGTCCAGGAGATTCGATCCGCACGTCACTGCAGGAGCGGCTGTGATGCCGTGTGCCGACATCATCGTTGGGTCCTGCCGCCAACAGCCACTCGGAGCCTTCTTGATTGCATCCTAAAGCGGAACCTCGCAAATGTCACACAGCTTGTCGTGTCGTCAACGCAGAAAGGACAAATAGAGATGCATTATCCGATACTTTGGTGCTGGGCAGACGCTGTGTACTGAGTCGATATGGCACGACTTGTACATGCCAGTGCGTATAGATGCATCGCTAGGCCCGTGAGCCGGAGGGTCGTTATTGTTCAAGTAACAAGTAGCCTCGCGGCCCTCGCTACGTCGCGTGTTGAGATGAGCCAATAAATGGGCGGATTAATACCTGCTGTTATTGTCAATATTTCCGTTTCCAATTTTGGATCACATTCCTTGAAAAGGCTAAATGCTTGGGTTTCGCAGGGTCCTCCACGATGTCCGTCCATTAAAGTTCCGTGTACAGGGATCAGCCTTCTCGATACGGTCGGAGTCGGATTGTTGGAACTCAAGCGGACAGAGATAAAATCTACACAGTAGGCGTAGGTGTATCGCGTAGCCTGAGGTACGAGGTTGGTATGATATGCAGTGATGCACGATGGGCACTACACAGTGTACAGCAGAAGAAGAGGAAATGATTCCAGCATGTCTTCCAACAACACCCGTCGGATTCGGTCTCCATATTCCTGTTTCGAGCATAGCGAGCGATGCCCCGAACCTCACATCTACGCCCAGCTTATTACACGATTCTGACAGACCCGGAGATTCACGCAATGCCGCTGGGCCGAACATTAGCTCCGCTGCTTATTCAAGCAGATACATACAGATGCCTCCTGCATGTCGCCCTGCGTATTGATCTGCCTCCCATCAGGACCTACTCCGCAGTACTTGTAGCAGCGAAGCATAGTTGCTTCCCTTCATCGCCAACTAAGGATCGTAGAAACCGTCAAGACTCAAGAGCCTGGCACATCGTCCCGCCCGGAGCCACAATAACCACCTCGCAAAACCATCAAATGAGGATCGTTTCCGAACGTCCAAGCCTTTTTAAAGGCGGAATGGGAAATTATAAGGTTGGGATTTCTTGCTAACGGCGCTCCTCACGTGTGCGATACACAATATGTCCAATCTTGAATGAGCTATTCTTATCTCACGACAATTTACCTCCCCTCGTTCTATAACTAATCAATGACATCAACGCCTGAGTTCGCTAGGGAATGGCTGCCGCCGTTCCGGCGTCAAGCACCTCACACATTTGTGCTGTACTGTGGAAGTCTGGAACTTGCAGTTACCTGATCCAAATCACTCCCAACCTTATTGTTGCACAGCACAACGACATGGTTCAATTGTAAATCTGTGATCTTCAATGACAGTGGTTTTACTTGTACGGAGAAACGCTTCGAATTGGCCACGATGCTATCAATTTCTGAGAGGGAATGTGTTGGGGGCCCACACGCACCCGCCGCCTCTGCTGCCGTCACATGCATAGATGCGCAGTGCTAGTTCTAACGAGACCACTCACCATTGATCTCATCAAACTCAGTCTGAGGTCGCCAATACTTCCTGTTATCGCAAACGATAATAAGCTCACACACACACATACACATGTATGGTTGCACGATGACCATCATGCTGACCTCTCTACCGCAGCAATTTATGCCTTACCTTTGACGACTCGGCCCATCTCCGCTATGCTTTGTCGGACGTTTTTGGAGATCGTCGGCGGCAGCCAGGGTCAATAATTGTATCTCCCAGGACCGGAGTATTTTCGACGAGATTGCCATTACCCCTTGTTGCAGCGGCTATAGGAAAGAGAATATAACGGTTGACCCAAATTGAATCAACTCACTATTGCTAGGCCTCTTAACGGTGGAGATTGAACGCCACCGCCCTAGTGCATTGATTGAAGCGGTTCGAAGCGCGGGATTTGCGGGGTTCTCTCACAGGGGATAAGGCAGTGTTGTCTGAAAGCAGTTAACAGTCCATCCGTCTGATGGACTGGGGGGCGGTGCAGAGCCTTCAACGGCCAATATCTCGACTTTGAGCCTCGACATCCTGCGAATCCCAAAACAGGACGGGTTCAGAGAAGCGACCGACCCTTGGGCGTGCATCGCGTTCTCCGAGCGGCAGACGCAGCTCGAGCAGCAGTAGTGACGAGCCGGGACGGAGACTACGCCTCGCCATGCAGCCATCCTATGCAAGCTAATTGTCTGGACGGGCGTTGCTTTATCCAAATAATGGCACAAATCGGTGGGTTGCCATCATCCGGCCCACGACCCGCGTGGCTCTGGAATGGATGGCCTGGCACCTCTCGATCAGTGCTAATGGCGAGCGGCGCGCAGAGGACGCTCGCTGGCTCGCCTTTTCGATAGGACGTTGAGTGTCGTCAAAAAGCCATAACCGCGAGGCGGCGTAGATCGGACTTAGTGGCTCAAGGCGTCGCCTTTGATTGCTCAAGGCACTAACATCTAACTTGTGATGTGCCAGACTGGCCGGATATAATGATTAGGCCAACAATTTTCTGCGGGTGGGCCGGGCAATAATGGAATGACGGCAAGCAGTTGTCGTGTGGACACACATACGCATATCTAGTAGGACAAGGACGGTATTGTGTATGTACAATAGTACAAATTCAGTACGCTCATCCTACGATTAGAGAATTGCTGCGGAGAGTTCCATGGCGCGAGGTACAGAATCGTACAGTATCGTGTATGCGAGATCACTTATCCAAGTGTCATCTAGTTCCCTCGTACATCAACCAAACACGCCAGACTACTCCGTATCTTTGTCAGACCTTCTGCCTCTTCTCTCCTGCAGACCCTGAAATACGGAGGGCCTCCTTGGCTTGATTCGAGCGGAGGACAGCGTGGTAAAACTTAAAAGGCCCTCGGAGGAGAATTATTCTCCCAAGCAGGCAGGCCGCTGGGCAGGGTGGGTATCGGCGCAATGGGCCCGCGGCGCGCTCAACCTTCTTTGACTTTCGAGAAACGAACTGGGCGCCAGGATCACAGCTAAGGGCTACAAGCCTACAAGTGCATACAGTAGTGCAGTGCGGGTGCAGTAAGGTCTCTTCCTGGCGCGGCCGTCATCGTGGGCTCCGGGAGCGTAAATGACAAGCGCATTCCGCCAGCATGGGCCTGCCACTCTTTCGAGCCACATTCTCGCTTTTGCATGTCTTCGCACTTAGCCACTTCTATCTACTGTTACAATCACTACTCCGTAGCGTAGTCCCTCTCGACTTTGTTGCAACTAGTACCAGTAGTCGTGAAAGCTGCAATTCCCTATTCGAGATTGGTGGATTCGCTGTTTGCGGACTTATTCGCGCGGTCAAAGGGTATGTCACACAAGCATGTATCTCCGTACCTAGGCATAGTATATGTACCCTACGGCGTTTGTAAAGGGTTGGAGACTACAAAGGAGAAGGCATTGGGGCCATTTGCGAGCATCTTGACGATCCATCTCAGTCTTCACATACTCCAGACATAGTACGGACATCGAACGGACGGCGCCCCTCTGACTAGTGCATATAACTTGAGTCACTATGTCGACATGTGAGGCTGTCGTCCTACTCGTACATCTCCATACATACATACGTCCGTCATAGGTGTGTATTATTAGCCCGAAAACTTAAGATACCGCAATATTGGGGGGCCATCAATTGAGCAAAGCCAGTCGGTACAGGGGCCAATTGCAGTGGGGAAGGGAACACGGCGGAGGGTAGATATTGGGTGCATTGGGAGACATGGCGCCTTTCCGCCATCGTTAACTTAATCTAGATGATTTGCTAGCAAGGGAGATGCCAGCAACTTGTAAAGGCTACAGGGCCGTAGCCGAGCATTCAACGACCTTGTCTCCCAGACTTCTCAAAGGGTATATTGTAAGAATCCATCGTATTCCTACCAATTAACCCTAAGCTCCACCCCAAGAAAGTCCTGGGAGAGCCCTGAGGGAGTCCTGGAGGTGTTCTAAGCGCATACCTAGGTACCTGCACAGCGCGCGCCACCATCCATCGCCTCTTGATTGCGAGTATGCAGGTATGTACAGTACCGTATAGTTACTGTGATCGCCATGGACGTAGGTACGAGTGAGAAGGTGCGGTTGCAGCCTGTAGCCTCATAACCTTGTCTCTAACAGGTGTTTCTTATTGTATGGATTGGACGATGTAGGTCGCCATACGCAGTACACACATTCTCTATACCTAGGCATGCATAGAAGGTATGGTATGTATGGAGTACTTGTCTTGTCTGTACATACCTACTCCGTACACAGATACAGCATACACTTACAGTAGTGGGTAGTGTGTATGCACCAGTCTCCACTACTCCACTCCGACCCATCCCATGTCGTCCCTACAATACAGTACGCCGCTCGCGCGCAGGTAGGACGTGCAGCCCATGCCCTGCCCTGCCATGCCATGCCATGCTTCCCGCGGCTGCACTCGACCGTCTGGGACGCCCGCCTAGCTTTGGCCTTTGGCCTCTGGCTTTTGGCTTTGTCAAAGAACGATCAGCCGAACGAGGCCAGCATCTATGCACCTATGTTCTGTCCGAAGCGCGACCCTTCCCCGTCCCTTTCCCTTCCACCCTTCCACCCTTCCAACCTTCTATTCCCTTCTCCCCTGTCCTTGTCGGCCTTCTATGCTTCCCATCTTCCGGGGCACTCGCTGGCCCCGTGTCATGGCTGTCATCCACCATCTGCAGGTGTAGACAGGGGTGCTTAAGAGAAGATCTGTGAGCAGAAATCGTAACGAACGATCGAGGTTATTACTGGAGGATCTCCGCCGAGCTGCTCAGAGCTCCTCTTTCTGCCCTCCTACGTTGAGTGTTGGTGTGCTGTTGCTGTCGCGCTGCTGTGGGTGCTGTAACCGCTCATCACAAACGCCCGCATTCGCCTCGTAGTCATCATCTCGACCTTGACATCTCCACCAACTTCTTTTCACCCTCACCAACATCGATTCTCGAAATCTCGAAATCTCTCCGCCTGCGCCCTGCGCCGTGGCTACGCCTAGAGACCGCAAACCTCTGCGTGCCTTGTTTCACCACTGCCTGACGGCGTGTAAGAAGAGCTGGGTCTGCATTTCACGGAGAAATTCAGAAAAAGGTAGCATGTTCGACATTCTTATAAACGCCTTCCTTTCTCTTTCTTATCCCTGTCCTACGGACTTTGTCTCTTCAATGCGCGTTTCTGAATCTCCGTGCTTCATTTCCTATGTAAATCAATGTAGACCCTCGTGTTGTTACCTCTGAGTTAGCGCGCTGTTCACTTTTCTCTTCTTTTTCAATCTTTTGATCTTTTGATGTGTTGACGATGATCATGGACTTACCTGTGTTCCAACTCCAGACCCCGGAGCCACAGTGCTTCCCCGAATCCACACGGCACGATTCGCCCCATCATCATCTAGATAGGACACCAGATCCTTCTATCATAGCCGATTTCTTCGGGTATCCTCCCGCCTTTACGCAGCAATTCGCTCCTGCTGCAGACGCGGCGTTTGAGCGTCAAGCTGGACGAGCAATGCATATTCTGTCTTTGCCACCACCGAATTCATTTGCGCCTACGCCATTCGGGCGACGTCAAGAGGCAGGGAGTAATCAGAAACGGTTGCATCCGCAGTTCAGTCCCGGTCGACCTGAACTCAATAGCTATCCATCACCGCCCATGTCAGATTCTCACTCTCCCCACCGGCGATCAGTCCAGCTTGTCGAACAGGAAGGACATCACCATCCATATCCCCCACCACTAGGAGAACCTCGCAGATTGGAAGGCCTTCCGCCCCCGCCTCCTCCATCTTTCGGTCACCATCCCACGACAAGTAGCCATGGTCTCCAGCATCAGCGCCCATTGTATCCTGGGGATGCCCACCATGGACCTCAGCCCGTGCAATTCCAGCCAGGACGTGCAATTGAACCCCCTACCTACGGAAGTGGACATATGGCACAGAATTACGGATATGGGTATCCTCCTTCGAGTGTGCCTCCATTCTATGGCGCGCAAGGTCCGGGTCCCCAAGGTCAATCAGCTGCTATAATCGCCCCGCCGCCATTACGGGCAAGTAAGCCAGCAAGGAGAACGAAGGCACATGTAGCTTCAGCTTGCGTCAATTGTAAGAAGGCACATTTGAGTTGTGATGTTCAGCGGCCTTGTGGGCGATGTGTCGCATCCGGTAAACAGGTCAGTCTTGCCGCGTTACGTGGAGAAGTGACAGGCTTTACCTATCGGCCAAGTATAGAACTGACCTTGCTTCTTTTAGGATACCTGCAAAGATGTTCAGCACAAGAAGAGGGGAAGACCGCGATTAAGGGATGATAAGGATTTCGGCAGGGCCGAGGAAGGACGACCGCCACCGACTCAATTGCTAGGCTCCTTGTCTAGTCCCGCACAGGATACTTACGGACAACAGTCGCCATTCCAATCGCAACATCGTACAACTGACCCTCTCCGGACAATTCAGAGGACCGGAGGAAGTAGCGAAGATCTCTCGACCGCACACTCGCAACAGTCTGTTGGTGGACACGCATCGAACGTTGCCGCCTACAACGCAACTCCGTCTTCTCCATACGCATCCGGCCCAAATGCATCGTACCAGTCGCTGCCCGTTGCTTTCCTGAACCTTGACCTCGTTGTTCTCAAGTCGAACCAAGCGTTCCAGGATCTAGTTTCGTTCCTTGGCGATACCCGTGGAAAGAACCTCTCTGATTTGTTAGAAGCTCGACAGTTAGATGTCCTACACCGGATGCGAAACGAACTGCGAGAGGAGCGGGATGAACGAGAGCCGGCCTACATGGCACCCATCACACCGATCGGACAGAACCCCCTCGACACCATAGCGGAGCGTGACGTGGATCAGGTTAGTCAGGGTTATACCAAGAGGCCATTCCTCTTGAATTTCCGGCTCCCGAATGGACAACATCAGAGCCTTCAAACACAAATTCGACTTGCAAAGACGTCATTGTACTTTGTCACTCTTGTCGTGCACACGCCTCCACGTTCAACTGGACCGGCTCTGTTGACGCAACAGCTTGCTCCGACGACACCACTTCATGCATCGCATTCACCCTCCGCTGCAGCTGTAACCCCACGAGGGGAGTATGGTCCTCCTCCTATTCGACCGGCCTCCTCGGCAAGCTCAGCACCAACGTCGCCGTATTTCAGTTTGAACACCGTCCGAACCTCACTTCCAGCCATTGGATCAAGTGGATACGGAAATAGCCCCTCGTATAACTATTCTCCTACTGCGGGCCCCGATCAGGGTTATTTCCCAACAATACAACCGCCGTCACAGCCTTCGGGGTATCCATCGCCATACCCTCCTCCTATTTCTCGAAGCGGTTCGTTGGCCTCGGTGCCAATGCGGGAATCGAATCAATCGTCACGCCTCGAAGGACTTCAACTTCCACCCATCAGGACCACATCAACGCAAGCCTTGCAGTCACCCAGACTTGCTGAGGCTTCCGACGCATCGCGAGTCCGCCCTCGCGATTCACCGATCAGCGCCGAGCGACCCGATACGCCCGAAACTGGGAAGCGGAGGAGGTTAAACTTACAGGAGGTTCTACATTGATTCAGGTATATGCCTTCGACAGTAGGGGTTTGCATCTTTCACTGCAGCGCCTTTTCTACCTTTCGTTATGAGGTCAACGCATCAATTGGAGCGTGGATCCCCTATACCCCTTTCACTTCGACCAGCCGTCTCTGTCACTCTTCTTGCAGAACTATCCCCCCACGTTTGCGGAGGATATTCGAGGTCGGCACATATACCCACTTTTCCCCCACACTTGCATGGTTTCATTAGGACATTCGTGTCGTCGTTTTTATGTATTCTATATTCCAAAACTCGCTGAGATTGAGATACCATTTCCGTTGTCTTTTCTTTTTTTGGGTGCATGTAAACAAAGTCTTCTTTGATGTATACCCCTAGAAGCAATGGCCTTAGATGCGATGGCAGTGCTTGTAGCGTAGCAAGTTCTTCCCATTGGGGCTTCGTCTTTTCATTATTCTTCGGTACGTTTTCAGGGTGATTGTATGACTGAACGAGTTTGTCAACCGTCGCGTAACTCAGCGTGAATGGTGCATCGGCGCGTTGGCTCCATCATCTACCAACCAAGCAGCAAGCGACTCCGGTATGAATTCTGTTTGAGGACAAATCCAAGCGCCATTCCTCATGCCAGACTCCTAGAATTGTTGTTCGGCTCGCCCTGCGTTAGCTTTCTGTTTGACGGGCTACGTATCGATGGGAATTTGTCTATTGACGTTAGGGGTTTCTCTCCTGTACAACGTGGATTGGGGGATATTACGGCCTTATTCACGAACATGTGTATTGTTACGGAATCACGGCCGCGAGAGATAGGACAGTATCAGAAAGCACTTGACGACATCAAATAGGAAGAATTCGAAGAGATTTGTATATTCTTTCATGAGTATCGTGTATGTATGCACGATGTAGTTATAGAAACCCTAGTCAAGTGCCTGTGCGGCCCTTGCATGCATCCTAGCCTGATCTGAGTATGACGAACTTGCACAATCATTTAATTACCCCTCATAGACGAGCGCCAGTCATCAACGCCAGAAGCATATCAATAATTCGATCTGGCGCGTTGCAGAGCCATGCCGGAATGAACGCTTGCATGCATAATCCCAATCACTCAACTCCCGGCGCCAGCAGCGGTTATAATGTGGATATAGAGAAGCAGCAAAGTGGTCAGTGGGTCGTAGGAGAGTCGCGAAATGTGGGCGTATTGTATCCCTCCATTCAACCCAATGCCTTGACCTTCTTCTTTTTCTTCTTGCCGTCGGCGCCCTTCTGGAAGTCTCTCCAGCTGTTGATCCGCGTATCTCGTGTCTTCTCCCAGTTGTCCTCGTGCTCCCTCTTCCGCTTACGCTCGGCAATCTCCTCATCGTCCTTGCGCTGCTGTCTACCCTCTTCGCGCATCTGTGCCTTCATCTGTCTTTGCCTCCTCTGTTCGTTATCCATGATCACCCACTTCGTCTTCTCGCGCCACGCCTTTGCAAACTCCTCACTCTTGACTTCCTCGTCGTCCTTGGTGAGTTTCAGATCGCGCATAGTCAACATACGAGCGTCGGCGATCGCCTCGTCGAGCTTTTCCCTTAGTTTCTCGTCGAGGAGCTCCGTCTGAGCTTTCTTGAGCCGATCGAAAGCGTCTGGGGCACGCGGGTTCTTGGTCTTGTCAGGATGGATTAGGAGGGATTTCACGCGGTACGTCTTCTTGATGTCGGAGTCTGGGACTCCCGGTTGGAGCTCGAGGACGGCGTATGCGTCGAGGCGGAAGACGCCGAGAATACCTAGTCAGTCATTGTTAATCCTGGGCTGAAAAGTAACAGGGTGCCAGTAGAAACATACGCTCAATCTCAGCATCCTGGTATACTGTTAGCTTCGTTGATATTCAAATTGCTGATTGTGACTGACCTTGTCATATTCTTTACCAACGGCCTCGAGCTCAGCGAGCACGTCGTCGTCGGCCATATTCCCAGAGTCGTTACGCTTGGGAGCGCTGGTGAAAATAGTGGATAGCGGACGTAGCTATGCTCTCGAGCTGTGCGATCCACGAAGGTTTTAGAGTAGTTAGTTGAGTTGGTATTCGTACCCAGTATTTGTAAATGTACGAAGACGTAGAACGTTAGTTCCTCCGAGCCAGTAGGAACGGATTCCACTGCCACCGCAAGGTGATTGAGCACAGACCACCAATATTTTCCTCGGACCTGCCAAATTTTTGGCCGCAACATTTCCGCTCAAACATTCAAGAACGATTCGGTAATACCTGGCCGTGACACCAGTGAGGCTCTGTTAAGATGGTTGCTCCGGGTATAACAGGTCGCACGCGACCTACAAAAGTTAAGAAGCGAGCGAATGCGCAGAAGAGAAAGCGCGACGATGTCGACGTCGAGAAGCTTGAAGAGGCCGTTGCGGAACTTGTAAGCGTTCCTACGTACGAGCGTGGCATGACGACCTCTTCTAACATTGTCGCAGGATCCTAAAAACGGCTCTTACAGCGAATTCACCGACCTCCCCCTCTCCGAGCCCACCAAAGAGGGCCTCCAGTCGTCCCATTATGCTGTCATGACCGACATCCAAGCAAAGGCTATTCCGTTAGCACTCCAGGGCCACGACATATTGGGAGCTGCGAAGACGGGAAGCGGAAAGACACTGGCTTTCATTGTGCCTGTGCTTGAGAATCTTTACAGATTACAGCATGTTGGCGCAGACGCAGGCCTCGGCGCATTGATAATTTCACCTACACGAGAGCTCGCCATCCAGATCTTTGACGTCCTTCGCAAGATTGGCAGGCATGGTCACATGTTTGCAGCGGGTCTTGTCATTGGAGGGAAGAGTTTAGAAGACGAGAGACAGGCTTTGAGCAGGATGAACATTCTCGTTGGAACACCGGGCAGAATCCTCCAACATATGTCGGAAACAGTGGCATTCAACACAGATGATCTAAAGATGTTGGTCCTAGACGAGGCCGATCGGACACTTGATATGGGGTTCCAAAGAGATTTGGATGCCATCATTGAATATCTCCCAAAGGAGCGGCAGACGTTGCTCTTTTCCGCAACTCAATCGAAGAAATTGTCAGACCTCGCCCGTTTGAGTCTCTCCGAGCCGGAATACGTCTCTGTTCACGCCGAGGACAAAAGTGCGACACCCAAAACCCTACAACAAAATTATATTGTCTGTCCATTGGAGGAAAAGCTGGATACCTTGTGGAGTTTTATCCAGGCCAGCAAGAAATCAAAAATCGTCTGCTTTCTCTCAACGGCAAAGATGGTCAAATTTGTCTACGAGTCTTTCCGCCATATGCAACCCGGTATTCCACTACTTCATCTCTACGGACGCCAGAAACAAGGGTCGCGATTGGAAGTTGTTTCGAAATTCTCGGCTGCGAAATATTCTTGTCTTTTTGCTACGGATGTGGCTGCACGTGGGCTTGACTTTCCCGCCGTCGACTTTGTAATCCAAGTGGACTGTCCGGACGATGCGGATACCTATATTCATCGAGTCGGTCGCACTGCTCGATACAACCGCGAGGGTCGTGGAGTTCTATTCTTGGCTCCCAATGAAGAGGAGGGAATGCTGAAGCGATTGGAGGCCAAGAAGGTACCAGTAGAGCTTATCAACGTGCGGCAAAAGAAGCGCAAGTCTATCCAAGAGCAGCTCGTTCACATGCTATTCAAGGATACAGAGCTTAAATACCTAGCTCAGAAAGCCTTCAGTACTTATGTCAAGTCTGTACATGTGCAAAAAGACAAGGAGATATTTCAGTTAAAAGAGTATGACCTTGAAGCTTTTGCTGCGAGCTTAGGCCTGCCTGGAGCACCAAGAATCAAGTTCTTGCGGAAGGATGAAGCTCACAAGAGACCGAATGGCAAAGTTTCAGATGCTGAGATCGTGCCATCGGATGACAGTGAAGACGAAGAGGACGGACCCACTAAGAAGAAGGTGCGAACCAAGTACGACCGCATGTTCGAGAAACAGAACCAGGATGTCTTGGCAGACCATCGCAGGAACATGGTCAAAGACGAAGACGACTTACATAATTTCGGTGCGGCCGCCGCCGGTGGTGATGATGATGACGATTTCATGGCAGTCAAACGCAGAATACCTGCTGAGGAAGACGAATCCGGGCTCGAGTCCGGAAGCGAAGAAGACGATGAGCCTGCCGAAGCAGGTCGGAGGACTGTCAAGATTGCCGGTGCATCGCAGCCGATTGTCATCGACAGCAATCGACGAGAGAAACTTCTCAAGTCTAAGAAGAAGCTCCTCAAGCTCAAAGACAAGGGCAAGAAACTTGTCTATGATGATGAAGGGAATCCCCACGAGATTTATGAACTTCAAGATGAGGAGGACTTCAAAGCTAAGGGTCTACCAGAAGAGCAAAGGCAGCGCTTCATGGAAGAAGCTAAACGTGTCGTTCAAGAAGCAGACGTGGACGATAAGGCGGCGCTCAAGGCGAGGAAGAAGGAGAAACTGCGGAGAAGGAAAGAGAGGGAGAGGGCGGAGGCTCAGGGTCGTACGGACACGTCTATGGATCTTGATGAGCAGGAAGATGTACTTGCAAACTTCAGGGCAGATATGGGATCCGACGATGATGATGATGAAACTGATGGCAAGCCCGTACAGAAGGGGCCAAAGAAATGGTTCCAGTCAGATTCGGAGGATGACGCTGCTGTGGGTGGTGGTAAGAGGGGAAAACATGGAAAGAAGGGTGCACGACATATCCAGGAACCACAAACACTGGAAGATCTCGAGCAACTCGCAGCCGGTTTACTTGGATGAGTGCCATGCATATAATAAAGTTGCAGCTAGATATGCAGTATGTACTGCAAGCCAAGAAAATCACCTACATTACTTTTCGATTGAAGTTGCAATAAACTTTAGCACGCGAGTCAAGTGATTCAACTAAAGAGTTCAACTGCATTCCAGTTCCTTCATGGATCCGCCATTATAGAACAATTGATTCGTTATGAACCCGAGGAAGCCCATCCCGTACCCGCGATCCTCAACAACCTAGACCATGTGTTGGACCCATGCTTGTTTCATTGATACTGCGTATGAAGACCTTCGGAGTATACTCCGCATCGGATCCCCCGCTAAATTCCACCTCGGCTCATTGGAGCGGAGCGCGTTCGGGATCGGGGGGACGTTTACCTATGTGTTTGAACCACGACACGGTACCAAGCGATTGTACGGCTGTTTGGGCCCTAATCATGCTTTGTGTAATGCAGGGCATGGGCGCCATAGCTTTAGAAAGACATCCTTTCACGCCTCTGCAGTAGGTGCTTCGTTTCCCACCTTGCTTTTTCTCCCACCCCTCTTCGTGAATGTGACTTGGGCGGGTGCAGCACTGCACACCCCTATTGGAGTGCTCAGAGTCCTAGAGGTCATTCCTTAACTCAAAGATCTTTACCTTTCTCATTAGTATTCGCTTTTCTTTCAACTCTTCATTCTCAATGGTTTTCTGCGCATTTCTCGCTGGCGATCGTTCAATCCCGCGCAGGGCCTGGCTCCTCAAATCGGCAACATGTCGGAGCGTCCCAACCCGTTCAGCCTTACAGACACCAGTCACTCAGTACCTCGTAAAGATCGCGGTGCATCCCTGTCATCCTCGGTAGACCGAAGATACTTTGAACAGGTCCAGCCTATTTTTGCAGTCTCGTCCTCCGCAACGAAGCTGGAGTTTGTGGACAATTCGGATCCCCGGAAAGACCTAGTAGTTCGAAAGAAGGCCAGAGAATGGGTGCACCGTAACCGCGAAACAACACGGCGCAACAAAGGCGCCCAAAATGCCAAAACTCAGGAAGCCGGAGCAGTGACAGCCTGGGACATCATTCTCAGTCGGCGGGCGTCATTGAAGGATCCTAGTTCGGGACGTATCGACCCGTTCGACATGCTCCCGAACGTAGGTAGGAAAGTAGATCACATCCTCGAGTTCTTTCTTACCCAATGTCCTGAAGAAGTGCCTGGCTCAGATGACGCTTTAGCATGGCGTTCAAAGGCGGTTGCTTTGGCCCCTTCCCGTTCAAATACGGTGTTAGGAAACATGGCTGACGAGAGAGTCTCTTTCGTACTCTGGCTCCATGCCACAACTACCATAAGAGACGGGATGGCTGGTAGCCTGGGCACCGAAGAGTGCATGTATTACTACAAATTGGCGTTACAAGTCATGAGGGAAGAGACCGAGAAAAGAAAAGTCAAGGAATTCTCAGATGCTTTCATTGCTGCCCTCGGTTGCTTTGCGGCTTGCGCAGTACGTTGTAGCACGCATGTTCCTCCATGACTGTTCCCCGTTGACGAGAGTACAGAACTTTGCAGGCGATTTCAAAGCTGCGCTCGTTCATCGAGATGCACTACTTAAAGTGTTGATGGCCAAAGGAAATGGAGATTTGCTCAAAGGCATTCAATCGACAAAGCCATGGACACAGAAGGGAATGGCATGGTCCGTAAAAAGATTTACTTACTTTTCAGACTTTCTATCAGCAGCTATATCATCTGACAATTCTCCAGGTGTGAAATCCATGTCGCTGCACAAATTCCTGCAACGCCAATAATACCATTCAATCCGCCTGCTCCTCCCAAAGATAAAATACCATACTCCATAACCATCGAAACCGAGAGACGAACAAGTTTTACACTAGCTCAGCTTCCACCTCTTTCGTTAGCCTTTCCCGGACTAATATCACAATTCCATCTCCTATGTCTCCTTCAAGCGTCCGACAAAACTCCCCCTAAACCGCCACTATCTGGGCCATCACTTCTCACAAACCAAACAATCAGGACCAGTCCGCACGCAATACGTCCCTTATACTGCGCAGAATACACAATACTGCAACTACTTTCACAGCAGAAGGAGCGTCACGACCATGGATTCACCAACACAGAAGTTGTGTTAACAGAAGCTTTCCAGTGTTTCCTATGGCCTGCGCTGAGGTGCCTCCCCTGCGAGATGAAGCTGTGCGATCTCTTTGTTACACGCCTAAAAACTGCCCTCATCACCCTTCTTGACGAGCTCGACCTCCCTGTAGACTCGGATATCGACCAAGCCGGACAATCTCCCTACCTAGCTACGTCCTCTTCGACACCGAGCGTACTCAGTGAAAGCAGCGGTACATCTGACTCCGATCTTGGCACATTACCCATCCTAAAAATCTACCATCCAACAGATTCCCTGGTCATCTGGGCGTTGTTCATTGGGACATTGGTTTCGAGCGTTGGAGGACGACCCGAGCACGACTGGTACAAGGATCGACTACTTCGTCATATTCTCGTACGAAATGCGAGATTCATAAGGAGCAAAGACCATCTAATTACATTACTGAAAGTCTTTCCATGGACGGATACTTTCTGTGGAACTGGGATTAAAAAGATGCATATCCCATTCTGAGAGAACTAGAGCATGAATAGGTCCGGTCACATGATCCTGAGCGAGTTTTAGACGAAAGTTAGGTGCAGGATCCAGACTTGTTCATATCGATATCGGCAAATATCCACTCACAATACATTCTAAGATGGTAAGGGGCTCCATCTTGGCTGGGGTTCTTGGACTGACTGACTCAGCCGCAGGAGAAATTCTGATCATGATGATGAAGAATGATCAGAACACGATCATCTAGGCCAAAAGAGGTGGAAATTAAAAATAGGCGTTACTAACCAATAAGCCTTTCTGCGCGCACTGCGACTACTTGATTGGATTGGCAAGTGGAAACTATGGCACATCGTGAGCACAATAAAGACGCCCACGACTCTCTTCTTCTCCCTCTTTCCTTCCAGTCTTACACAAACTATACCCTTTACTTGTCCATACTACCACTGCCGATATTATCAATACCTTTCTTGTAAACCAACGGCATTTATACTATTCACTTCCAATACCAACAATCATAGTATTATCATCCTCGAGACTACCGATCATCAGACAGTATCTAACAACACTTAAACAAGCTTGAGTATCTTCGATGTATTCTTACTTGTAGACTTCCTCATTTACTTCCTGCTGTGACTGTGTGACTGAAGCTGCATGGTTTCTGCGTCTGTTGCGTCCTTTCACGTCGTACTAAAACAACAAATAACATAAATGGGATCTCTAAAACACGGGTACCTGAAGCAGTTTGTACACGTCTGGGCTTAGTTTTGACGCATCCACTTCTAGTTGTATATATATTCTTCAAGCATGAAATTCCGTCTAATGTTTCCAAAATATATTGTTACGCTCCACCTGAGGCATACAATATCATTGTACACGGTCGGGGTGAACTTGATATGTTCGTTTGAAGCGTGCCCCTAGACGAGCCACAAGAAGCGATCATCGTAATACCCCGCAAATTTTCTGGCCCACTTAACCTTACCGCTCCTCGATGGCAAACTAGAAAAGCCCAAGGGAAAAAAACCAACTGTCACTTCAAGTATATATTAGCAAGGAGAATTTGAATTCTGTATAAAACGGCCGCTTTAGCAGACATAACATCACCATAAATCTATACAGCGTTGGCTTTCATAATATTTTCAAAACCACAGAGAAACATCATCCCAGAGCCCAGAGCCCAACTCAAGCCCTCACTACATTACAACTACAACAACCATATCCCTCAAAACGACCCCTGGATTCCTCTTCATCCCCCGGAATAAGATAGAAAAAGGAAACAAAAAAAGATGTCCCAACCAGCCCCTTCGGACAACACCAAAAAAGACGACCTCCTCCTCTCACTGCAGTCTTCGCTCCGTAACGCACACTACACCTTCGGGGCCTCGAGCCGGCAGTACAAGGACATCAAGGCCATGGTCGAGGAGCACATTGCGCGGACCGCGCTGTCGGAGGCCCATCTCGAGGATTTGACAGAGGGATTTCGGGTCATGGAGTTGGCGATTAGGACGAAGGAGGTCAGGTGATCTTAGTGGGTGGGTGATGGGGAAGACGAGTGCTGAGGGAGGGAAAGGATTCCGTTGGGGCATGTGAGGAGGACTGTGGAAGGGATGGGAGGAAGCAAGCAGACATCGAGTTCGCTCTTGTTTGGCGAGATCTTTGGTGGGAAATGAAGAAGACGGCACGGCAGTCGAAGGGCTATTAAGGTGAATGGCATGGACGAAGGACTCAGGGATATATGCACACATCAACGATCAGAAGAGTACTTTATCATGAAAAGTGGTGGGTATTGTCGTTGTCCAAGATTGGCAACATCGTCACTCAATCCTGCTAGCTATGTACTTAAAGGCAGACCAACGCGTGGTATGTACTGTACACTTTACAGACCACTGCGGATCACTACTCAACGGACGGCTACCAGCTCATCAACAACCCAACTAGATCTAGACCCGACGAAGATCTGTCATTAGTATCCAGAAAGAACGCATCAAAACGTAGAAAGTTCGCTGACATCGCCTTCGACAATAGAAGGTCCTGCCAGCCGCAATTCAATAAACTCCTAAGAAATGCCGCCCGAAGAGTCCTTCCACCCAAAAAACGAACGGCGGTTCCGAAGGCGAAAGCGATAGTAGTAAGTAACTCCTAGTGGTATTCCGGGTTCCCTGCTCCCTTTGCTGTAATATCCAAATGGTATACGCGTGCCATACAACCAATAACGCCCACTGATGTTTCGATCTTACGGCTTCTTCTTTGCAAGGTCCCTTGAGCTTCACAGCCTTAGACCCTGGGCAAGATGTGAGAATGTTGAGTAGCCGCTGCTCCTTCTTCCGCGCGCTCTTTGGTGTCATAATACTGTCGAAGGACATTGGGCATTTACGTCGTTGTCCTGGCTTCACGTCGTACACCTGCACACTGTGATAACCGCATTCTCTCTTTGCTGCTACTGATTGGAAGCAAATCCCGACCCGCAATCGTTTTCACTCAATGAGTGGTTTCCGCACGCCTCCAACGATAGCTATTCCCAACGCTCTTAGGCCGTTGCTGTCATAAGATCGGACTATACTGCTTGCTGGTAGCATCGGGTTATCCGGGCTGACGTGGGCGGCGTCCTTGGCAGCCTGCTCGATGGCCTCCATTTCCTCTTTGCAACCTGCATGGTCGAATGGACAGACAACGATTGGTTGACGAAGTAATATGTCCTTTGCTCCAGACATTTGCGCCTATGAGTGGTGAGAACATGTACAGCTGAAACACCACATCACATGACTTACCTTTACTGTTAGATAGTATTCAATCTTGTACAACGTGCCAGTGGTTGTGAATCCGCTCACGGCGTACATAGGGAACTTCTTCTCTCCCCGTGGTATGACTCCATCTGAATCTCTCAGGTCTTTTGCAGGGAACACCAAGCCGAGGTTGGTGAAATAGCCGGCCTCAGGCATCTTAACACCAACGGCCTGCTGTGTCTTCGCCAGATTCTTCACCTTCCTTGTTGGCTCATCCCCCTCGTGATTATAGATGATCTCCTCATCGATTCCGATTGTGATTTTTTGTATAGTGACCTTCTTCGCCTTCGACAACCAGTCTGGATTTGGGCTTAATTTGATGTACACCGAGACGGGATCCAAGGGTCCATAACTCCACCGGGGCAGACTAATTCCAAGGGTGACCAGGTGGTCCGTAACGCGCTCTGCACTTTCAGGTCGGTTGTACATGCCAAAGGTCGAAAGGGTATCATATCTTGATATTGGTACGGGGAATGGATATTTCTTCTGGTCCGAATGTCCTTGCTGCACCGTTACGACAAGCTCGTAGAACGTCTCTGCCGTCCGGCTTGGAAGCTGTAAACTTGCGGGTGGCACCCTCCTAGCTAGCTCCTCCCCTCCCCGGCCGAATGGTATGAATATGACGAACGGTAGGTCCATGGATAATACACTATCATGTTCTTTCCCGGCTGGACATCGGAACAGTAGCATCTCCTTGCCGACGATGTCGGCGAAGTCCTTGCGCGGCGCAGCCAGATGCTTCTTTGTCACCGAGTCAGCGGCGGGATGGATGGATTCGCGGCGGTGTAGAGCGATGGTGACGAGGGAGACATTTACAGGTGCGGACACACCTATTGAAGGTCTTATTTCGACCTTACCTTCTATTCGCGGCTGTTCAATAGTTAGCAGTCTAGCAATGTACTCGGCGCAGTAGCGCCAAGGTCATGATGCGATCTCAGGAGGGATTGACAGGATCGATGTCGGGGGTAGCTGAAGAGAGGGTAGCACATACAAGTGTAGCTGATATTCCTGGGTATCCGACGAGGAAATTACTATTTGGCGGGCCAGAGACCCGTACAAAGGCCGCCATGGTCACTCACGGGGATGTACGTGAGTCGGCGCTGGCCTCTACCAGTGGAGAGAGAGCTGCATGGGACTCGGCGCAGCCTCCTCCTTTCCCAGACACTTCCCAGAGCACGCTCTGTAGCTCCCAAATTCCGGCGCTGGCTAGAGCGTTGTGCAGCTGGGGAGTTGTGCGTAGCCTTTCAGGTCGCCTCGCGGTGGGGTTGATGATGCCGGTGTAGGAATGTATGTGGGTACAGGTAGGTACAGTCGGAGTAGCGGGGTACGAGGCGGTAATGAGAGGTCGCAGTTGATGGCGGATGAGAAGGGTCCAAGATTGTAGGATATAGTAATGTGCGGAGGGAATGCGAGTAACGGTGTGCGGAGAGCGAGGGTGGTGATGGTAGGGCTGATGAGTGTCGTTGTAGGTTTGGAGGAGCGGGAGCTCTGATGGTGGTGGTGATAGGCTGAGGGGGGTGGCCTTTAATGAATATGGAGCACCTGTTATTACTACCTCACAGTATGAATGAGCCACAAGCTTCAGCTGGAGTATGGGATAATTGTCTGCGACAATGGCAACGGTCAACTGTCAGTTACAGCAGTTAGTGAGTGTCAAGAAGAGTAGTTGAGAGATCGCCAGCGGAGACCAGAGGGAAGGGCACAGAGAGGTAGCGTCGTTGGTCGTCGGTCGTCGTTGGGTGCAGAAGTCCGGAAATGATTGGCGGTTTGTAACTCTTCTATTGGGGGCGGGTTATGAAGCTGAGCAATAACGAATTGTAGAGCATAGTAGAACATCATACATGATTCCTACATAATACTTACATTAACAAGAGTGTAGTTACCTAGGTCTGTCTCCTGGTAATTAATTATCTGGGGAATAAGTTTAGACTATAATACTCGTACCTACGACATCGCTCTTCTCACTCTACCAAATCTACTCACCCACTACGAACCTCTTCACCAACCGCATTCTCCCCCTCTCCTCACTTCACTTCTACCCTCTAACTGCTCGGCACCCGTAGCCCATTGCACAGCTGCTGCCTCGTAGCTGCGGGTCCTGCGAACCTGGAAGACATGCGCAGCGACCTACACCAACGCCAGCATGTCAGTAACAGTAAGTATACTTTCCCTAGCAACTCTCAAGCTTTTTGCGACTCCGATTATACCCCTACACTCCACTCAATCCCATCTCAACCTCGACTTCAACCTCGACCTCGACTCATCCATATCTCCGAACACTCGACTCGTGGCTGGCGACAATCACAAGTGCTTACTGTAGGGGCTTCCGGCCTGCGACGCCATGCGAAGGAGCCAACACCGCCAAGCGACAACAGAGAAGAAGAATCCTATTCTGCCGCTTGCCAGCATGTCTGCCTGATTAAACTCTCGCGCGTGTCGTAGGATCATCATGTTAGGTATCCGGCGCACATTCGCTCCTCAGTAATGCGACAGCCAGTTGTCATCCCGTTCTCCGCGCCAGGCTCTACACTACCTCTGCCTCCACTGCCCGCCTTATACACACATACTCCATACATACATACATCCGCGAGAATCAAACCCTCTCGCTCCATTCCTTCTCTACACTATAGCTAACCATCTTCCCCGCTCTAGCTGCACACAACCAAAGGTGACGTGAAAATCGAAATCTTCTGCGAATCGGTCCCCAAGACCGCGGAGAACTTCCTCGCCCTCTGCGCATCCGACTTCTACAATGGCAGCCCCTTCCACCGCCTGATCCCCAACTTCATGGTCCAAACGGGCAGCCCCGCCTCGGATCCCAAGTCCAAGACTTCCACATCCATCTTCGACACGCCGAACCAGTTGTTTGAGGACGAGATACGGCCTGCGCTGAGGCATAATGCGCGCGGGATCGTGAGCATGGCGAATAAGGGACCCAATTCGAACGGGAGCCAGTTCTTTATCACGTTCGCTGCGGCGCTGCATCTTGATGGGAAGAATACGGTGTTTGGGAAGGTTATAGAGGGCATAGAGGTACTCGATGACTTGGAGAAGGTGGAGGTGGATAAGAAATCAAGACCGAAGGAGCGGATTGAGATCAAGAGCGTGACTATGCATGCCAACCCTCTGGCGGGATGAACTTGCCAGAGGCCGAGCCTTTGGAAGCGTTCGACTCAGTCGGGTCGCAGACCGAGAACTACCTCCAGTGGCCTAGTGTTAGGGAAACGATACATAGAGGCAATTGAGGGAAAGTCGTTGGAAAAAAGCTACTCTATTTTATACGGCCGGTGAAGCCTTAGTGGTATCTACCTGCTATCCATGTAACCCCAATGCAGTCTAGAAATAAGAACGATTCAAACCCAGCATGCAGACTTTTTATGCTCCATTGGTCGTCGGCGCATCGCCGTTCGTTTCCGCGTCTTCCTCGTACCCTTCGGTCTTGATGTCTTTGAGACCAAGATGCTCCTCTTCCTCATCGGTACGCTCGTAGTCTTCAGCCTTGATCTTCGGATCAGGCTCCGGAGCAGTGAAGCTCTGGACGTAACTGCTGGCCAGTGGGTCCTCGAGAATGATAGTGAACTTGATCTTGCCCTCGATGGCCTCTGTAAGCTGGCCAAAGAAGCTGTCCCACTTGTCCTTGGTTGTGGTATCGAGCGAGTCGCCACCATCGCCAGCATCAAAGATGGAAGAACGAAGGTCGTCTCGAACCTGGGTGAGGATACCCTCAATGGTAGTGAAACGACCTCCAAGAGTTCCTGGCTCTACGCTAAGGTTCAGCTCCGGGCATTGCATAGCGCATGACTCCGCTTTCAAGATATCTCTTGAAAGATCTTCCTTGTCATCTACGGTGACAATGATGCGGCGACCCAATTCAGGCACCTCACCACCAGTCTTCACTTCATTACTGCGATCTGTTACGTGTTAGTTGCATCCGTGAAGGGTAAGGCAAGGATTTTGCTTACATCCGCAATGATCGCACACAGTGCTCATCAACACCACTTGTTTGAAATGAGGGATGTTAACCATCTTCATGTTGGTGGTGCATGGCTTTGTGCAGCCGGGGCAGGTCGCAGGGAAGGCATAAACCTGGTTCTCGATGATTTCATCCTCATCAACATTGTTGGTCGCCTGTCCGGCAGGCATCTCGGGGTACATTTGTGTGGCATGGTACTCTGGGCGAATCTCGGTGGCTGGTGCTTCTCCTGAGGTGTCACCAAGCCCCAAAGCAGTGTTCTGTTCGGCCGTGCGAGGGTACTCATGACGTGAGTATTTTCCTGCAGCATCGCTAGTGGTTGGCTCAATAGAGGAGTTACCAGCTGGGTCATCGATGGTGATCGTGAAAGGCAATCTTGAGCCAGCGGCCATGTCCTTGAGTGCACTGATGATACCCTCGATCTTTTCGTATACCTCTGGAACGGCCTGCTTCCTCTCGTCTTGCTTCACGCTCAAGTCCTGGGCAACCATTGCCAGGATACCTTCCACGTTTGTCAATTGTCCTCGGCCTTTGGGGATTTCGAGATCGATGTCCTCAACTCGGAATACAGCAGTGTCGCTCTTCACGACCTGGCGGCTGAGGTCGTCGCTGCCATCGACCTTGAGCGTAAACCTGCTTCCACGTTGTTGTATCTCTCCGGCAGGCTGTATTTCGGAATTCTTGAAGTGGCAGTGGGGGCACTCGAAAGACATAATGACGATCTCGCGGAAGAAGGGAATCTTGGTGAGAAGGAGGCGCGTCATGCCCTGGGTCTATCAGCGCGGGAAAACTAAGAACGTATTGGAATACACTTACATCCTCGTGGCAGTTCATGCACAGACTCTCGATCTCATCCACCACCTTGGTGCCATCTACATCGCCCTCCTGTGCGCTGGCTTCTGCGACCTTTCGGCCCATGTCCTCGAACAGGTCTTTGGCGAGACTTTGGTGTGCCATAATGTATACCAGATTATTTCTTGGATGGCTGTGTGTGTGTGTGCGCGTGTGTGTATATGCAAGTGGAGGGGAGTGTTGTTGGTGTTGAAAGTCTAAGATGGAGACGGGTAGCACTTGCGCGCAGTCGAAAAACCAAAAAGTTTTGGATTTTTGGCGCATGGGCGGGGTGTGGCGGGGTGTGACGCAGGGAATCGGCTGGAACCATCTGGTTTCGCCGACATGTATTATCATATCAGCCCTATGAACCAGGAAATATCCCCTAGCGAATATCATCGTTCAACAAGCTTCAACAGCTCTATTGCATGAAATCCATTAGATCAAGTCCAAGTCCACCCTGTTTTGAGGTTTGAGCCTTGCTCTGTGCCAACATCGCTTGTAATCCGCCTTTGCGAGCTTTCGCTCTTTGCTTGCTGCCAGAACTCGCAGTCTTTGGATTCGGCTTGGATGGCCTGTCATCCTTAGCTACTTCTCTTGTTGGGAGTGCAATGGATGCAGTTTTCGGCCCTTGACTTGATCTCTTCTTCATATGCCTCTGGGTTCTGCGCTCTAGTGGCTGTGTGGTCTTCCGCTCACATCGGAGACATGTGTAGACCACATCAATGTCTTTCCTCTCGGTTGTGTGATGCCTGCGTCGCTTTGGGCCTTGCTTGACGGATTTCAATTGGACTTCATGGGCAACCTGACATGACCAACCCGGTATCATTATTGAGCCGCAAGCGCCGCACATGTCACGACGTAGTGCTCGCCAGTCTTTACTGGGCATGTCTAGATCAACATCCTGTTCACCTAGAAGACTGTCTCTCGCTGTTCCCAGAGTTGCTGAAATCGTAGGCGCAGATATGGCAAGCAGATGAGCCGCTTTATCGAGGTATTCAAGCCTCGAATTTAGTGACTGGGGGTCTGCCATGGTCGTGATTTGTGATGGAACACTGAGCATCTATCTCTACGCAGTTTGAAGAGAAATTATGAGCTTGCGCATGGACCACGTACTTTTGAGGTTTAGATTAGATGCCGATCACCGACGTCCTGTTATCGATAAGCGACACGATTTACACTTTCCTCCCGCGAAGCTTCCTGTTACTGTTTATTGTCTTTCACTACAAAGACCACTGAACCCCACCGTCATGTCGCATAAGCTTTCCATGAGGGACTACAAGAATTGACAACTTCATAGTACCTGACTAGCGTATCGCGCCTCTACTATCATCCTGTCATCTTGCGCAGCTCCAAGCATGAGCTCCACGGATCTCGTTGAATCCCAAGGGCTGCGGATCGCCGTAGAGGGCTGCGGTCATGGCACCTTACATTCTATATATGCTTCGGTCAAGAAGTCTTGTGAGATCAAAGGTTGGGAGGGTGTTGACCTATTGATCATTGGGGGTGATTTTCAGGTAAAGTACCCATCAGCATCGAACAAGACATGAGCTCACCATATAGGCTGTGCGCAATGCCCACGACTTGAAAGCGGTCTCAATGCCTGAGAAATACTACGCCATGCACGACTTCCACGAGTATTATTCCGGCGCCCGCGCCGCCCCGTATCTGACCATCTTCATTGGCGGCAACCATGAGGCGAGCAATTACATGTGGGAGCTTTACTATGGAGGATGGGCCGCGCCAAACATATACTATATGGGTGCTGCCAACGTCGTGCGGCTCGGGCCTTTGCGCATTGCTGGGCTGTCTGGTATTTGGAAGGGCTACAACTTCAAGAAACCTCACTTTGAACGTCTGCCATACAACCAAAGTGACGTGCGAAGCATATACCACGTCAGGGAACTAGATACGAGAAAGCTGCTTCAATTGCGATCGCAGGTTGATATAGGGCTGAGCCACGACTGGCCCCGTGGGATGGAGTGGAAGGGAAACCACCGACAGCTGTTTAGGTTCAAACCCGACTTTGAGCAGGAGGCTAAAGATGGTACACTTGGAAGCGTAGCGGCCACGACTGTTCTGGAGCGGCTTCGACCTGCGCATTGGTTCAGCGCACACATGCACATAAAGTACGCTGCTATTTGGGAGCACAAAGCAACGGAGACTGCTGTAGCTGATAACGCAGCTCTCAAGGCAGGCATTCCCCATGCAACATTTGTCAAGAACGAGGACGAGATCGAATTAGATCTGGATGACCCTAATGACGACGCAGCTCCCAAGGCAGACGTTCCTTCTGCAGCCATTGTCAAGATGAACGAAGATGAAATCGACTTAGATCTGGAGGATGACTTGCCGCCACCGGTGCCTAAAAATGATGCGGAAATAGATCTTGACTTGAATGACGACGCACCGCAACCAGCACCAGCAACGGGATCGGGTCGCGAAGGAGGTCACGATGGTGTAGCGACTACGTCGAACGCTGTGCCAGAACATATTCGCAAGCTTCTGCCGGCATCATTCGCGCCTCCCTCGCGCAAAGAACCAGTTCCGAGACTGCCGTTTCCTAAAGAGATCACCAACACCACGACGCGCTTTCTGGCTCTAGACAAGTGCCTACCGAATAGGCACTTCCTCCAGGTTTTGGAGGTTATGCCGTCAACACCAGCTGCATTCCAACGCCCGCTTAGGTTGGAGTACGATCCAGAGTGGCTTGCGATAACCCGAGTCTTCGCCAAGTATCTACAAGTCGGCGATCCGACGTCACAAGTACCTACTGATGAAGGTGACGTAGTCTACCGACCTTTGATAGAGAAAGAAATGGAATGGATTGAGAAAAATGTGGTTGACCCTGGGAAGCTGCAAATTCCAGAAGACTTTGAGCAGACGGCGCCGGTGTACGACCCGACAATGGGGATTCGTGTCTCTGGTCTGCCCAAGGAATACAGCAACCCGCACACACAGAAGTTTTGCGAGCTACTGCAGATTCCCAACCCTTTTCAGGCGTCGGAGGAAGAAAGAGAACAAATGATGCAACAGGGCCCACGAGAGGAGCCGGGACGGGATGGACGGAGCAATAATAGTCGCAGAGGCGGTGGATACAGAGGAGGTCACAGAGATAGAGGCCGTGGCGGCCATCCTCCTCGTGGCAGCCGTGGTCGTGGTTACGGACGCGGGAGGGGTGGCGGGCGCGGTGGTGGCCACTGAGGACGCAAGCGAGGGCCGGCCAACAGATGATGCAGAGCGGCCACCGCCCCAAAGTACGCCAGAACCAAATTGTAGGCTGCCACGGCTGGCTACGCATACAACTTTACGAACAGTAAAGTAGTGTCCGAGAGTCGAGTATGACGAACTAGGCAACTGTACCTGGGACGGCATCTCATACTAATTAAGAGTTCCATAGATGAAGTGCCCACTCTTATGCACCATGATAGCCCTAGTTAAGGACGTTGAACAACGTTTTTGAACGGCATTTACAGATGCAAGGACGGCCTGGGTAGTATGAATATGTATGGATATATACGAGTACGATGCAAATAGCTTCAGCCTACAGGACAACCCCATTTAATGTGAGGATTGTGACCGGGGCGGGTATCCTCAAATTGCGAGATGACGTCGAAGTACACACGTGCAAAGTAAGAGACAGCGTGAGCTTAGCTGGATCTGTCGAATGTGAGGAAGGTCAACCGTGATGTTTTGGGAACTTTAGCCAAGCCAAAGACCTGGACGACCCCGTCTCTGTATACTCTAGTAATACGGGGGGGGGACTGTAATACGGGGCTATGATGAGTTAAGTGAGTTTAGATGAGTTTAGATGCCCACCCACACAACTCGCATACTACGTCATAGCTTATTGGATTGCATGCGAAATCTGCCCTCGTGCCCTCGCCGCGCATACTTACGGTGAAGCATTACGAAATTGCGGGAACGGTATTCATTTGCTCCCAAGAACCGGCACAATATCGCAGTGAAGACAGATAGACAGGATACAATATCTACGAGAATCTACAATATCGCAAAAGCAGTCGCGCACCTAACACTACTCCGTAAGATGCATGCGATCAACAGACGATCTGGGTTAAAGCCGTTGCACCATCGGGGACCCTTTGGATGTTGGAGAGGGAGTCGGACAAAATCTCACTGGCACGACTGGGTTGTGCGGCCGTTGATCACCGCTGATCGCATGCGCGTGTCGAAGAGTTTATTGATTTCTTAGGTTTCTTAGGCAGCATGTGGCAAAGAGTCTTGCGCAACGCAACTCCCGTCCCCCTCCGTCGACTTGGTGGCAGAGAGGCGGTACGGTGTTCGGTTGCCCTCGGTCGGCGAGGGAGAGATGCGACTTACGACTCAGTAATTCCTTGTGGTCAGACAGGATACCTCGTAGGGTGGACAGACGAATAATGATCATGTGCAGGGGAAGGGGATCAAGAGCGATGAGCAACACTTCCAGTAATGATGAATCCCATTCTTTGCCATCCCTTCGCGCGCCATGGTAGCCCATCCATGGTCGCCATCCTTACTTCCTGCTGGTTCCCGACCCCTAAGCTCCTTCATCCAGGTGGTGTCGAAGGGATGGATGAATGGTCAGAAATGGCAGCTGGAGAATCGAACATGGGAAGGGATGGCGCATCCATCATGAGTGCTGCTGTGTGTATGCCTGCCTGTTTGTCTGTCTATAGTTATGCGGGATGCCTTGAATGTTCTCGAATCGAATGCCGAGTCACAGGTATGATGGCGATAATAATAACTACAACAACCATATTGTGCATCCCAAATGGAAATGGGTAGTAGATGCGCGAACACGCCGCATACATGGACATTAAGACATATCAGTTATTGGTTGAGGGAGTGGCAGTGTCTTGGTTATTCCCACCGGTTCTATCCGCATCATGATGGAAAAAGCATGCGATTGTCAGCGGCTCATAGATCAGAAAGGCCCAAAGGGTCATGTTGTCAGTGTACGGCCCTTCCAGATGCCCACAAACTGCCACAGACACTCGTCATATCCCTGTTCCCTGTTGTGCCCCCCTGCAACTTGCGCCTCCCACAACCTTACGCATACCACACGGCGCAAACCATTCTAACAAAGTGCCACACCAGCCAGTATCCAACGGCCTACGAAGCCCACAGCGCCCGTCAACGCCATCCCATAACCCAAAAAGGGTCGAGATTGGTCTTAGATCGGCATTCGGAAACCCTGGATTGGCACGCAGACCCTTGGCCCCGCGGTCATGGCTTCGTCCGCGTGCTCTCTAAGAGTCTCTCCATACATAGAGTCCATCCAAGAGTTAAAAAGTCTGCACGCCCCTCCCCTGCATGGCCTCGAACTCCACATAATTCATTCAAAGCCCAAAATATAACACAGCATTCGTTACAAGTCATCAAACCATCACTACAACTATTTCCGCTCCGTTCAATAAACTCCGGTCGCACCCATTCACACACACCTTATCCTCTCTCCCCTACCTACTAGTGTGTCACCAGGAGAAGTCTAGAACACACATACCCTCTACCACCACTGTCGCTCCTAATCTTAAAACACATCGTTTATATACACACCAAGATCTACCAATATTACTACTTATATCTTTATCTCCCCACCTTGAAGATATCAAACATCTACCTCATTCATAAGTCATCAACCTTCTTCGACAAGATCAACTTGAACACTACATCACTCCTCGAACTCAAGTTGTGTTGACTATCAATATCAATATCAACATCGACACCAACCAACCACAACCACCACATAAACTATCCACTCAAATCATCCTCACCATGACTTCCAAGTTCACCGAAATCTTGGAGCCTTCCGAGGCCCCAACATACACCCACCCTCACCTCAACGTCTCTCTCGAAGACGTCTTGGCAGAGGAAGGTCGCAAGCGATCTGGTTCGCATTCCTCCTCCAGCTCCCACTCTAGCAACTCCCGGACGGGAAGCGATGCGGCTCCCAAGTCTCCCACATCATCAGAGGAGAGCGTCAAGGACGGTCTCAAGAGGAGATTCACCTTCGGTCGCAACAAAGCTCGCCGGTCCACGTGATTGAACGAGGAGAGACTGAACCTGCGCTTTAGCAAGGGTTTGTTTGAGAAGCGAGTTTAAGCGAAAGATATGAAGGCGAATCTCCATTCATCATGTCCCCCAGCACGATGGGAACCGTCACGACCAAGTGTTGGAAGAGGCGAAGCGACGAAGAGATGAAGAGATGAAGTCACGAGACAGTTCGAACAGCAAACAACTCGAAGAGAGTATCGTCAATGCTGTTGACCAAGTCGCGTCCGAGAGAGAGACGGACAGAGAGCCGTGGCATGTCACTGGCGTCCATGCTCGAGGACATCAAACAAGCATGTCCGCGAACATGAAGATCGAAGAAGAAAGGGAAACACGAACTACCATTCCATGGTTTCGCGACGATACTCCGTCGTTTCGAATGCGAACCATATATTTACCGTCCACGAGACACTTTTGTAATACAGACAAATACCCCGAATTCTTTCAGTTATGAAGTCTTCCCATTGCATGTAGGCCAAGAAACCATGGGTCTACACTATTCGTGCAATATGGTTAATGTCGCGGCATTAGACAGCATGCGCATTACCAAAGAACAAAAAATATAAACCATTTACATGAAACTCATCATCTTTCCGTGTGCATTATCCTATCCTCATGTGCCCATCACATCACTCTCGTCCTACTCTTTCCACCATGTTGCTCGTAGTCGCAAAGTAGGGACCTCAACAACGCAAAAAGGTAAGCTAACAACCGCAATCTCGCTTATCATGCAAACCACGAAGTCTCTGTAAAGAAACCTTAGTTCCAATACTTCCCGTACCACAACGGTTCAACATCAATAGTGTCTTTAATTCCACCGCCATTCTCACATTCGACCTATAGCGTCCCAAAGGGTCCATAATAGATAAATTATGTGTACGTACACCTACGTTGCATGCATGCATACATACCTAGGTACATGCTATCAATCCACTAGTCTCTCCTTTTCCGTTCTCTTCACCTTGATTGTTAATTCACCATAAGGGAGGAAGTAAGCAAAAGCAAGGGAGAGTGAATTCCTCGAGAACTACTTCAACGATTTTTACAACGGTCGAGTTGTCGTGGTTTCACGGAACTATTGGAGTTGCGAAATCATTTTATGTATGCCTTCTCCATTGGGACATACAAACACACATTGAGTGCGATAGTACTCGTAGGTAGTATTTCGCTTCGAGGGACGGTATTGTTGACTCACAATATACGCTAACCCTTCCCATCCCTTTTCCCAAACTACTGTGTATCCCCTTCTCCCTTTTCCGACGGGAGGTTTGCGTGCTGGACGGGTGTAGAGTCTAGACCCTTTGATCTATTCTATTTCTAACCCTATATCGGTACTTCAACAGCCATTCATATCGACAGCATTAGTATTATAGCTAGTGAACTTCGAGAAAGAAGGAAAGGATAGAAAACCAAGACCCACTGTTTTCAAGCACATGCATGCATGCATTGTAGGTATCGGTTTTCTTTCCGTTTCTTTTATGGTTTGGTGGATCTGTTTTAGGTTTGTTTTTTACGGTTTCATGCTGTTGCCATTGTCGTTGTCGTTGGGGTGATGGGTGAAACTTAGTTTCAGGGACACATGGCTTGTGTATGGCTAGGGAGAGATGGTGTTTTGAAGGCTTTGTAGGTGTGAAACTTACGTTTTGGTGCGATTCATATCCACACATAGATGAAATTAGGTACATACAATCGTTCTTTTATTCCATAGCTAAATTCGAATGGCTGAGGATGTTATTTCATTTTCTATTCTATACCGATATTGTGTGATCAAACGTATATCACGGATTCATGCTATTCTGCCAAAAGTTTACTGCAATTCATGCAGGTTACTATTATCTGCATCTATCAGATACTCTTGACCAAAGAAAACGAACTGCAGGCGGCTCTCATCCCCTGCCGGAAGCAGAGCAATCAAACAACACTCGCATCAAATACTCCAATCTGGACGGAACCTACAGATGAAACATAGTCCGAGGAGAGGCATAAGTGTATGATCGTGAGGGTACGACTGGTAGCATAGTCCGTGGGGACATAGCACGCTAGGATGAGTTTCCGCCCAGACGGGCAACAGTCGCACCAGCAAAACGAGATAAGTACAAGGCACAAAAGTTAGTTCTCAAAAGATGGAAGTTTGTGTAAAAGTGCATGTATCATTCATTCCCTATGCTTCGTTGATCGTAAGGCGGAGGTGGTATTTTCTGCCGCGCTCAAGTAAAAACGCCTGAATGTATGGTATCCTGAAACAAATGTCCTCGACTGGCACTTCCGTTTCCGTGTCGTTCCCTTTCGGTCGCAAACGGTTCACGTCCCAGCTCTCTATTTCTTGCCAGACTTCTTGATGCCCTGCTGGCCGGTGTTCATAGGTCCCTTGCCCTTGGCCTTGGATGCCATTTCCTCGCGTGCCTTCTTGTCTGTGTGTTCTGCGTCAGCCACTTTCTACTTTCCTCCGATTCTCTCATGCCCGAGTGTCGGGAGGAGTTTGATGGATCAGGGTCGTGCGTACCAGCCTGCTGCTTGGCCTTGAAGGCAAGATCATCCTCGTCGAGGTCGGCAGCCTTCTTCTTGGGCTTCTTGTTGTGGATTGGGTTGGTACCGGCTGTTGCATCCTATGTCAGCGGCGGAAAATTCCCTCAAGGCGGGTTCCTGCATCTCCAGGATTTCGAATGAGGGTGCAGGATGGGATGGAGAGGCGTGACCTACTTCCTTGACCTGAAGGCATTATTGCGGATGTAGTGATCTCGTCACTAGGGTTCTGTGGGTAGTGGTGGAGTGTAGTGTGTGGTGTAGTGCAGGATATATCTCTCTCTGGTGAGAACAGTGGGGTTTGCGGTCAGCGCCTACCTGCAAATCTATGTAGGGTCTGGTGGGGGCACGTGTGACAAAAAGTGGCTGAGTGGCTGAGTGGCTGTTCACATCATCACGTGGCAACGTCTGCTGATGTAAGGTGATCTGATAAATCCCAAAGTCCCTTGAGTCTCGAGTCTCACTCAACGTTCGACAAGGCACACTCCAGTTCATGATGTCCACTCGATCTCCCCACGATCAATAGTGGAGAGGGAATCAATGCACAAACTTTCTAGCCAGTTGTGAAGACCGCGCGTCTTTGGCAAGACAGCACTCCGCCTGATGTGGCATGGTCGACTCCGTTCGTATACTTCGCCTCTGCCTGACAACAATGTTTGTCAATCGTTCGGTCCTCAAATGGAGTCTGCAAAAGCAAAGATGGTTTTGGCTGTCTGGATGCTATGAACTGCAATTGCGCAAACCCTCATCATCTAGATGCAATGGCTTCTCAAATCCACTACTCCTTCGTCTAGCAACCGAGTCATGCAGATCTAGAAATCTTGATTCATGTGATCAGCGACTGTGAGCGGGTAGCCCAACAGAAATGTTGGGTGCGGGTGGTGGACGCAACGCTAAATTCAGCGCAATCCATTTTTGCCGATTATCCTGCCAGTTAGACATTCATCTTTTGTCTCCACACCTTAGCTCGTCGTATCTCCCCAAGGAGGTCGAGAATCACCCTAACTGACCTGACACTTCTACACAATACCGTACGCTGCGTTCATTGCTGTTGAAATAGAGACGTTGTCGACCCTGTCAATATCGATGCGGCTCAACTCAGCCAAAGGCTTTTATCCAGCCCCCTCGGTACTTGCCAAACGCTTATACAGAGATAAGAACTTCGATGCCGTCTTGGATCAAGCAGGTGATGCTTGTCTGGGGCAACTCCTCCGTTCCCCGACCTCTTAGCGCCAACAAAACGAGCCTAACATCGTTTAGCTTCACATGGTCACCGTCCCTTTCATTCACGACTCGGCGGATCTCTGGTAAACGACCTTATTTATCATTCGTGGAATAATAATTCCGTGACCATCTTGCAATCGACCATATCTCTGCCTCTCGGTCTACTGTCTTTTGTGGAGTTAAACAGCACACTTTTGGGGTAGTCCGGGGCCCCAGATCGCTTCCTCAGAATGTTATTGAAGAGACATCAGCCTCCCAGCATGCTGAGACGATATGATTGGTGTAAATATATTGAGGTCAACGGGTAGCAGAACCCGAATAGCATCCTCCATGTCGTGTACCAGGCTGTGGGGATATGTCTGTACCAGGGACGATGTTTGGTTCCACGGCTCCGTGCATGGAGCTAAGATTATATGAGTGAGCACTGTGCATACATATATATATCTCAACCTTTGGCAATACATTTGAACTTCGTGCTTTCTGCTCCTCGCAAGTTTCGCTGTTCGCATTTCCTCGAGGCAAGGTCTTCATTTCCCTTCTTTGCTCGAAGATATCGAAACAGCCTCGCCTAATATGCCTTCCTCTAAGTTGGTGTACAATTGGTACATCAGTTTGGTCGCTGCGTCATGCATGGTTCTTTACGGGTAAGTTCTGTTTGAAATGTTACTTCATAATCCAATGTAGCGTATGTATGCTCACCAACATATCCTCATAGATACGATGCGTCTGTCTTCAACGCCGTTCAGGGTTCGAAGAACTGGGTGGCCTACTTCAACAAGCCTAACACCCAGATCATTGGAGCCATCAATACATCATACACTGTCGGTGCCGTTGTTGCGGGTTTCTTCCTAGGAGGACCACTGGCCGATTATGCTGGACGACGTGTGGGTATGGCTGTCGGAGCTGCTTTCGTTATCGTTGCAACATTCATGCAGACCTTCTCTCCAAGGGGCAACATTGCTTGCTTCATTGGCGGTCGTGTCCTCATCGGTATCGGTCAAGGTCTTGCCCTGAGTAAGTTTTCTCCAACATGATAGCACCCGGGGCGTTGCTAATGATTACCAGCTGCTGGTCCCATCTACATTGGCGAGCTTGCACCTTCGGCAATCCGTGGACAGGTCATGTCTTTCTGGCAGATGTTCTACTCGGTCGGTTCATTCATCGCCTACTGGGTCAACTATGCCTGCAGCAAGAACGTCCCCAAGCTTGGCGAGTGGGACTGGAAGATGGTTGTCCTCTTCCAGCTCCTCATGCCCATCGCCATTATCGCCCAAGTTTTCTTCATCCCCGAGACACCCCGTTGGTACATCCAGCACGGCAACCGCATCGAGGATGCTCGCCGTTCGCTTCAGCGTGTGCGAGACACCGAGGAGGAGGTTGAGGCCGAGTTGTTGACCATTCGTGAGGCCATCGAGTTCGAGGCTGAGGCCATCTCTTCCGGTTACTCCGCCCTCTGGAAGGACAAGTCCGTTCGCAAGCGAATGTACCTTTGCCTTATTCTCAACGCTGGACAACAGGTTACTGGCCAAGGAACCTTGAACACCTACTCGACAATTGTGTACAAGAAGGTCTTCAAGAGCGCTTCTACCATCGCTCTTATCAACGCTCTCAACGCCACCTTCGGTATTCTCTTCACATTGAACGCCACATGGACGGTCGATCGCTTCGGTCGTAAGTTCCTGTTCATCGTCGGTGCTGTCGGTATGGCCATCTGCATGATTGTCGTCGCAACTGTCGAAACCCAAACACCCACGATTGATGGCGCGAAGTCGTTATCCGTAGGCATAGCGATTGTCTTCCTGATGTTCCTGTTCGCCTTCTTCTGTAAGTCATCCACTCTGCTCAAACCGCAGCAACTCACCCCATGAAAACATCCACTAACACATGCGTCCAGACAAGCCTTCTTGGGGAGCAACCACCTGGATCTTCACCTCCGAGATCTTCTCCATGAACGTTCGTGCCCAGGCCGTCGGCATGTGCTCGCAGACCCAGAACGTCGCCAACTCCATCGTCCAACAATTCTTCCCTACCTTCCTCAAGAACGAGGGCTTCTACGCTTTCTACATGTTCGGCGGTATCAACGTATTGCTCGCGGTCTTCGTGTGGTTCTTCATCCCTGAGACCAAGAAGGTCAGCCTCGAGGAGATCGATACCTTGTTCGGTGGCTCGAACCACGTCGAGAAGGGTGCGGAGATCGTTAACTTCGATGAGAAGCAGGCCAGGGTACACAGTGTGGAGCTTGATGGCGAGAACAAGCCAGTCACTACGACGACAGAGCACAGGAACTAATGGCCTTCAGTGGGTGAATGACGATACTGGCAATTGGAAGGAGGTGTCTGGTTACGATGAATCAGATGCCAAGTATCTATTCGCGAGATATATGTGAGGTTGTGCACTGACATGACTACTACTTTAAATGGCATGATGTTTCATCGTCAACAACATCCTCGTGTATGTTCCCTTGTGATGTGACCGGCCTGTGAGATGTTGCACCTTTGATTTCCTCTTCCCCAAGCTCCTCGAGGATATCCGTCTCCCGTCGCGACAACAGTGGGCTGGCAACCCTCGGCTCGCCGGGTTAACTGTTGCTGTAAGGGAGAACGTGCCTTGTTTGGTATATCTCTAGATGTGCGGAGATCGAACAGCTGGGGTTAGTAGAGATATGAATGGGCCTATATCTGTTCGACGACAGGAACAGCGTTTGGTTTGCTGAGCAAATTGTCGATTGGGTCGGCGGTAAGAAGGCTTCTGAGTTAGGATTCTTGTTTTCGCGGACATCCTAGTCAGCGTCGACTTCTTTTAAATAAGTTACTGTGCAGTCGATAAGTTTATGCCATGTATTCGGTGGTCTTCAAACTGCGCATCAGATTCCTTGGGTAATTGAGCGCTGGTGTTGAATGTGAGACGCGTCGGTAGAGGCACAATGGCAATATGTCATACCCAGTCGCGATGGTCACGGGTACCCCAGAACCCAATATGAGAAAAATTCATGGGGGGTGACATGTTTTAAATAGCAAGATAGCATGTTTCGTTCAATTGAGGTTCGACTACCGGAAATGCTATTGTTGACCTTACTATGTCGTGGTTCCGACAGCGGAAGCACAGTCGCCCGGATATGCAGTGTGGAGAAGTGGACCAAACACAAGGCCTCGACGGATTCTCTCATGATTGGTGTGCAGAGCCAGACAACAGAATGAACGTGAGTAAGAACAGGTTATATCTGACCATTATTTATTCATTCCTGAATCGAGTATTGACACAGATATCAGTCTATGGAGATTGAATATGTCGCTTTTGGCGCGCCATGAACCGAGGGTAACATGATTGGTATTTTCCCCAGCCGGCCCGGCCTCCCCTCCTTTTCCTTCCCCACAGTTTTCCGGTCTCTCCACACTTCTCCCAACCTCAAGCTTCCACATAATCCGTGCCTCTTTTTGTGTTCCCTCTTCATTATCCGACCATGGATTTTGGTATCGACCAGGTGCCGCAGGGTGAAACGGCGTCAGTATCGACAGCATCTCCTGCTACACCGATTTCTCCAAGACGAGCGTCTGTAGCTGAGTCCGTCGGTAATCCGCCATCCAGGAAGCGGAGAACTTCCTTCGCCCATATCAGTGATCCACGACAGAAGCGCAAAGTCACGCGTGCATGTGACACTTGCAAGTCAAAGAAGGCAAAATGCTCTGGCACTCAACCATGCGATACATGCGCAAAGCGAGGGATCTCGTGTCTGTATGAGGCGCGTTACCTACGTGGTAAACCCCCAACTCCACCACAGTCAGAGCCAAATAGGCCTTTGCATTCACTGGACCCCATGGGAAGCATAGAAGCTGCCAACGAACAAAGGCTGTTAAATGCAAGCATCATTCCGACATTCCAGCCTGTCAATGTCCATCAACAGCCGTCGAGCAGCAACCAGGCCACCCCAGAAGATGCTTCCTCACAGACACAACCAACTGTCCAGGAACAAAGACTGCACGGGAATGTAGCGATATTAAACCCTGTATTGTCAATAGAGCATGGAGAGAGTCACGATACTACCCTCCAACCTAGTAAGAGGGTAATCCATCATGATGTTCCTTCGCGAGGATCTCCTGATCTGGAAGTCGCCGGCCAATTTTCAGATTCTACGTCTGGCCATTCATTCCTCCATCGCGCATGGGTAAAGCTTTCCAACAATCAACATAGCCAGTTGTTGAGTGGCTCTCTAAGTTCAGGCGAAGAAAACCAAGGCCTTATTCATGCTGGCGACAAACCATTCCAGGACTCTGGCCACATTCAACTTCCAGCGGAGCGCCGAACCATTGAACTCTTCGACCTATACTTTGACGTATGCATCGCTACCTACCGTATTCTACACAGACCAACTGTAATGGAATGGTATCGTGTAATGGTGCATAACACTGAGCGGCAGCTTCCCATTTGGCACGGATTAACCCGGGCGCAGGCCGCGATTGTTCTTACTGTGCTAACGATAGCTACATTTCACGATGAAATAATTAGAAGTGGGGAAATACCTACATTTCCGTCCGTCAATGATGGAGTCTCTCCATTGCGACACTCTGATGCGCTTTTCTGTGAAGCGCTTCGTTTGACCGAGGCTGAGACGGGCTTTCCAAAGTTGGAATCCGCCCAAGTGCGCATAGTCCAGGTGCTTTACCTACTCATGTCATCGCGAATGAATCAAGCGTGGTACACATTTGGTCATGCCCTTCAGATCATCTCAGCCCTGGGACTACATCGCTGCGAGGGACGAAAGCGTCCATTGCAGAAGCGCGATTACATCGAGCAGCAGTGTCGGATAAGGACATTCTGGTCAGCATATATTGTGGACAAGTACATGGGTGTGGTCTTTGGTCGCCCTCGTCATTATCGCGATGATGATATCGACCAACACTTCCCGGACGCAGTTAATGATGAGGACATGACAGCAGATGGCCCAATAGAGGGCACGGATGATAAAGACTGCCACATCGACGCCCTAATCTACCACGCAAAGTATGTATATTTTACTAAGGCTAAATGAATCAGTACTGATAATTACAGACTTGCTCAAATTTTAGAGAAGATATCGAGCGAAGTCTATTCGATCAAGGCCGTTCCTGACCATGAGCGCATTGCCGCTTCACATCGCTTGGGACGTGAACTACGCGACTGGAAAGCCTCGCTTCCGCCCCTGCTAGGTTCGATCAACCCTTCAAGTCTCATAGCGAGCTTTCGTCGGCAGTCAACATCCATGAACCTTTCCTACATGCAGTGTGTGATGCTCGCGCACCGTCCCTTTTTGCTGAAAAACCTCAGCAACCGACAGGATACTCGTGAGATGGCAAATGAGAGCATACGTGAATGCCTCGCTGCAGCTCAGTCGGTACTTGAGGCTGTTGATCGATTGGCACGGGATGGTAAACTGTTTCATGCATTCTGGTGGACTCATTATGTGTGCTTCTGTGCACTGAGTGTCGTCTACGTCTGGGCGATTCAACAAACCGATAACACTGGAGAGAATGGTCAAAGCTACGCAAAAATCTTTGATCTCGCAGAGCGCTGCCTGACCCATCTCGCCCAGGCGACAGCTAGCAATTCACCAAGTCGCCGCTACAGCATCATTCTTCAGGAATTACGGCTTGAGGCCAAACGGAGAACAGCCAGGCGGGGATCTGAAGCAGCTCTATTACACGATAGCAACAGTGTTAATGGGAATGCTACCGCCCTTTATCAATCAATGTCTGTGCCAGCTGCTGGTGGATGGAAACCAATGTTTGGTAGTCCTATCGATTCCGATATTTCGAACCTTCCTAATTTCCTTGACGATTGGCAGACGACAGACTGGCTTGAACTGGATTCTTCCGCATTCGTTGGGCTCGATACCTCATCCATGATGTGATACGAGTGTCCAGAGCGCTATGTTTGAGCACAGCCAATACTTCTTCTATACACTTAGAAACATGAGCCACAATTTAGGACTTCACTGTTCTGTGGTCACAGTTAGGTTTGAAAGAAGCTTGGAATGGTTTTGTAATGTAGTCCACTATGTTTACCAATGATACACATTATTCTTAGTATGCCATGCTTCGCTCCGTTTCGTCTTTTGATGAACAGATATTTAGCCAACGTTATGTTACCGATTGAGCTATTACGAGATATTTATCATTCTTTCTATTCAATTGACATCAGACGATATCAGCTCCATTCAATGCCGAGATAGGCTAAGTATAAACCACGATCATTTCGCGTTGATGGTAGGCTTATCAGTATTTTTTTAAAGATAAACTACTCCACAACCTTCTACACGGTAGTTGGGAGGTTTCCCGCCCGTCATTGAAAGAAAAGGGGTTAGGTTGATAGTAAGAAGAGTAATCTGCAATGTAACACACTACTATTTCTTTCTACAGATGGCCTGGCGATATCTCAAGCTTTTGGCCCAAATAGAAAACACGCTATGCGGATAAAACCTATACTACAACGCCACGTTCAAAGTGAAATATTTACAAGATCTACAAAGCTGCCCTCTTCTCTCCAAGATTCTTTCCCGTCAACACGCTGAAGTACTGGTTAAGAGCTTCAGCAGTACCCTTACCCTCCTCCAATTTGACAACGCATCCTACATATCCGTCCGGTCGGACAATGACGATACCACCCTTCTCCTCACTCAAGCCCATCTTGGCGTGTGCAGCAGCCTTTGCGTCTGGCACGCGCTGATCCCACACGTCATCAGCGTAGACATGGTCGCGGTACCGGGCGAAGACTTCTGGGAGCATCTCCTGGATCGAGATCTTTGAGCGGGCGGCGTTGAAGATGGTGCAGATGGAGATGAAGTTGTTGTGGGGGTTGTGCACTTCGTGGTATCGATCTACCGAGTCGTCGCGATGACTGAAGGCAGAGTAGAATGATTTCGGATTTGCGAGGTGTGTGGCAAGGTCGCGAAGTGCAGTTGCCGCGCGCCATGGCTCACCGGCGAAGATGTACATTCGGTAGGAGCCGTTGAGTGGGATTTCTTGCTCTAGATGAACGACGTTGGCATCGACGACGCGAGTCACAGTGGCGGGAGTAAGAATGCGTCCAGTACGGAGGTTCGTTCCTTTCTCATAGGACAGGAATAGTGGGTGTTGAGCCGGGTGCTCGGAACCCCAGTTAATTGAGTTGGGGTTATATGCGACACCATATCCAGAGGTAAATTCGCAGCTTGCCTTGAACGTCTTGACGAAATCGTTCTCTTCCGGTCCGGCGCTCGAAGCTCCAGCGACCTCGCCGGCAGAGGGAATGCGTGTAGAGAAGAGCTTGGCATATTTGGCATCAAAATCCAGCAAATTCTCGGCAACCTTTTTGCGTTCAGATTCGTAAGTCGACAGAATGTCGCGTGTCGCGAATCCAGATTCAACGTGGTGGATCTTCCATGCCAAGTTGACAGCGTCAAGGAATGCGGTGTTCATACCCTGCCCTGCCTTCGGCGAGTGGGTATGACATACATCACCACCCATAAAGACCCGCTCATCGAGAGTGTAACGCTCAGCGATACCCTGACCAATGGGGTACACGGAGTACCACTCGACACGATCCCATGAAATATCATAGGGCTTGAAGATGGCCTTGGCGCGGCGTTGCACTTCCTCCGCAGTGGCTGTCTTGCGGGGGTGCCAATCTGGGTCGGTTGAGGATGCAATTTGAATGTAGAGACGGACCATGTTGTCTTCTCTAGGGATAACCATGATAGAACCAGCATCGGAATGTATTGTGCATTTCATCTAATGCATGTCAGCACCTAAAAATGTAATGCTGGTTTGGGGCAGACTTACCTTAATATCAGGGAAGTTCGTTCGAACAACACCATCCATAACACCCCAAACATGGGCAATCGGATCCTTGTGGTGAATCTTGACACCGAGTTGCTCTCTCACAAAACTCCTGGCACCCTCGCCGGAGAACAAGTACTTAGCTCGGACTGTCTCCGAGAGAGTTCCATCTACATGTGCTAAGCTGACCTCAACCGGGTAGTCGGGGTCTTTTCCATCATTCTGAAATCCAGTAATGGTCCACGGTCGCTGAATTTGCGTGCCATGGCTCTCAATGTCCTCGATGAATGCCCTTTCGATCAATCCCTGGTGCAACAGCGTCGTGAAAGGGTATCTGGCGTCAATGAACTTTGGGCAACTGGCCCATGTGCCGGTTCGGTGGATGCCCTTAGCATTGGGATCCCAGAATGCAACTTCGTACACTTTGGCAGGGTCATGGGCCATGATCTTACGCTTCAGGCCCATGTTCCTCAGCAAATCCAGGGAACGTGGCTGGATTCCATCTGCACGACCGGTCGGTGTGGGTTCGGGGCGGTTGTCGATGTGCTTGATGCGGTAGCCCCATCTCGCCAGACAGGTCGAGAGTGTGAGGCCTACTGGTCCAGCACCAATGATGACGATGTCATACTTGTCTGTCATGGTTGGGGCCGTCGATCCGTCAGAATGGAGCAGGGTATCACAGAAAGAAAGTAAGTGTATCAGGGGTGTTCAACCAATAATTAGATTGTGAGATATACCGAACAGGCTGGACAGGTCGCGGATAAACGAAGTGTGCAGTGCAGCAGCAGGTGTCTTATAAAGAACTATGGGGGAAGCTGGCGTGGGAGCAGCATTGGCAGCTGGCTCAAGATGAAAAGACCCATGTTTACGAGCCGACGTTGGCCGGCAATAATATCGGGGATAGTAGTGTTGGCAAAGCCAAAATAATGGCGCCGATTTATGATGCCGCGAAGGGTGCGGGGGGCATAGCAAAGAGAGGCGGATGTGCAGAGCGGCAGTCAAAGACGAGATGGAGCCCTCGATGAGGTTTAAGTGTGGCGTCATTGGCTCGATTGGCGCCACATTCACCTACACGTGCCGTTCTGAGATAGCGCTAAGCGACAGCCGTGAGCGCTGCCGGGCCCACATCCAGTCGCACGGATCCATCTCCAACGTCCAGCCTCTTCCCCCACACCCTACGCTTGCGAGACTTCTCCGAATAGTCTCAGTTTCTTCTACATTATATCGGCTCCACATGTTGTTGCAACGAGGCTTCCGATTCCATTGCTCCCTATTTTGTCATTCAAATTCGGCCGAGCTGTATGCATCATTCAGAGATTACCTGCCGCTGAGCATTGCCATCTCTTGAACAAGCAGTGTGTAAGCATTTGTAGTTTTTTCAGCGTTGTCGTCTGTAGTGTGCAATAGATTAAGAGCATGCAATGATGATTGCTGTAAGCACTTCCATTTGTGTATCACGTTCTAAGCCCGTACCCGATTCATTCGGTGACTAGCCTGACATGAAGTCTTCGGCCTAAGCAGCCACAACTAACTGTATACAACTACTGCCATTGACGTAGACCTACATATCTCAATTTGTTAGCATTGACAGAAAATATAACCAGCCGTTGGCTTGCAGATTTGCTATATGCACAGGCAGTTCGTTATCTCTGCAACTCGCCCATGATAACCCTGGGCGAAACAAGTCAAGGACTTCGAATTAGTCACGGCAACGAGGAACGTACTCTTGTCTGCAAATTCCTACAATTGACTAGTTAGTTGAATGACATTCTCTCCGTCTCTAGGTCAGGAATGGGTCGAGGGAAATATACTAGAATTATCGTCGAACAGCATTCGCAATGCATCTACGGAATACATACGCGCTGTATGAACCGAACCCAAGCAATAAATGTCAATCAATGGTCTACATTGATATGAACACAAATACGCGATATGTTCCATTGAGCATTTGCAAATTCGCGGACTGGTTCCGAAGTTGATATGCCTATCCACACACACACTATTACACACACTATCTCTTAGTACTCAGGCTACCAATCATATCCCTGTCTTATGGTTGCATGCCATGTCTGGTGCCACAAGCACTGATCTAAATTCCGATCCTACATGTTTGGTAACGACATCAGGTTACGCAGGTATTGTATTTGGCCTCGCATATAAATTGAACAAATCGACATTCTTTTATAATTCAACAGGTCAGATGGCCGAGCGGTTATGGCGCCAGGTTAAGGTTTCCTTAGCGTTGTGATACGTAGTATCTTCCTGGTCACGAAAGTGGCGTGGGTTCGAGTCCCACTCTGATCAACATTTTTTTGCTCTTGTTTATTGACTGCTTAAAAAGAGCAGACAGGCAGCAAGTTTTTTTTTCCCTTGTTCTTTCTTTATTTGGTCTGCGAAGTCATTTAAAGGCAAGAATTAATTGTAATAACTACTACCTAATTATGGCGCTTAGTTACCAGTTATTTTATGTCAGTTTAGCTGTCTACATTGTATTAATTCAGTACTTACTACCTTAGGTAAGTACTAGGTAGTATGTGCCTAGAAAGGCAGAGATGTTTTTCTATTACAGTTTATTCATATTCCTTGAATGATACAATATAAGAATAACACATAATTTCCCTAGGGAACAGTTAATATGCTGCAAGAGTATAGTTATTATTGTGTAGGTGTTTTCCTCTAGCACAGGTTCCAGCTTCTGTCCTAAGGATTAGTAGATACCTTTAGTTGTATCTTCACTTATATTGTTAAATAGCTTGCAGGATGTCTTGAACAATATGCAACTGCGATAATTATGTATATATATGTCTACAGTCTAAAAGTTGACACTCCGTCAAAGACTAGACGTGGTCAAAGGGGGACTTGTAACCCCATGAAAATGCGAACATGAAAACGCCCAAATCCCAAACAAACGCTCGTAACAATCAATTATGTAGGGACGATCTTCTTCATGTTCTCAGCGCCTTTTGGCTCGATGAAGAGCGCCTCGGCCTCTGTCAGAACCACAGGCTTCTCGCCTTTGCTCTCATCCGCAAGAGTTTCAATGCGACCTGTGACCCATGCTTTCCTGCCCTCAACCTTTGTTGTTTCCGCCCTCAAGACAACGATCTGACCGGCCATGCAGGGCCTCTTGTAATCGACCTTCAAACTCGCCGTGACCGCGATTTTGTTAGGCAGGGCGGGGAAACAGCATCGTGCAAGTCCTTCGTCGAGCAAAGTCGCAAGGAGTCCACCATGTACGATGCCAGGATGTCCGCAAAGCGCAGGTCCTAGATACTGCAGAGAGTAATAGGTTGTGCCATCTGCGGTGCTGAATTGCAACGGAGGGACGGCGATCTTGTCGGCACCGAGTAATGTTCCGCCAGTCAGGTTCTGTGCGCGAAGTTGTTCGGGGATCTTGAGGTGTGGTCGCGATGCGATGTACTTCTCGTCTTGGAGCAAAGAACGGGTGAGCGGGTGTGCGAAGATTTGTCTCTCGATCTCGGCGAGTTCTTCGCTGGCTGGGTTGAAGAGGGTGAGGGTCTCTTCGTCGGTGGGGGGGTTGAGCACAGCGCGTGCCGTATCGACACCTGCAGCGACAGTGGGTTGGGCAGCCATTGTGAATCCGGCTACAAAGCAGAGTGCTGTTGTGGAAAGGAAGACGAGAGTTCGGAGTATAGGTCTTGATTTCTTCACGTTGTCCGCAGAGGGAGGGGTACTCTGTGATGTCTCGGTGGATTGTGTTGAAGATGCGGAGGAAGTTGATGCTTTTGAATGGTTAGCCTGCGAATTCCTCGCCGTTTCTTCGGCGTCTATTAGGAGGGCAACTTACACTCGGCGACCGTACTCTGAAATCTGAGAATTCTGCTATGTGTAACTTTCGCCGGCGCATCGACTTCTTTTATCTTCCAGCTCGGTCTGGATGGCACATTGCGGAGCGGTGTGAAAACCCTCCGACCACCCAACACCCCCAGGGAACCCACATTTCTACAAATGGCCGACCTTGCGACTGCAGACATGCTAAGCGTATTAGTGGCTCAAAGATTGAGAGGCTCAAGGTGTATTTGTGAGGTCAAAAGGACGCTCGGACCGGCCTCGGAACGGGGAGCGAAGCGTTGCCTCGGCTCAAATCATATCTATCCATTGACGCGGAGGCTCCGATACGTTCGTTCGCCTTCGATGACGAATTTGCAGGCCAAGCAACGACTAGGTGAATATCTATTTGCTCGGCCGAAATTGGAAATCGCATACACGTGGAATTAGCACCCATTGATTTTCTTTGAAGAGTAGACATTTAGTCGAAGTGCTGACATTCTCTCAAACATAGCAGATATCAGCCAAGATCTCAACATATGATATTGTTCCTGACTTCATTCATCAAGCCATCCATTCCTTCATTGGCTGTTCGTTGGCCAGTTCCTCGATTTTACAGTGCAGATTTCTGCTATAATACTATACATGATACAGAGCGGGGAAGTATATCTCATAAGACGCTGCAAACATTTCGTCTGATGCCTCCCAATCTCTTTACGAAGGCAGACCATGCGTGCCTTTTCTGTTGAAGCAATGAGACGTGAAAAGAGAAGATGCCCACCTCATCAAGACGCCACCGTATGCCAGGAAACCTAACGTCCGTAGGAGAGGGAAAAACAACCGCCAGAAAGGACGATAATAGTACATTTTTTTATGTGCCGGAATAGGAAATGAGCAAAAATGGCTGCTTGATCAGTAATAATCTCTTGCGCTCTTCTGCAATTCGATGAGCCTCCATCCTCTAGTCTCAGGGTTGCTGACATCCTCGGGTATCCTCGTAACTCCAATGGCGTATGTGACTTGCTGGACCTTGTCGTCCATTCCGGCGGCCAATTCACCTGACTTGGCATTCTTATAAACGTGCACCTCTTGGGTCCTGCATGTGATGATAAACACAGGAATCTCTCCTGGTTCGATCAGACGTGCATTCAAAACATCAACACCTCTGATGTCAACAATGCGGCCATCTGACTTGAGGCCAGCAGTGGTGTATTGCTGCATAAGAGCAGCATAAACGGAGTATTGTGCTGCGCTTAGCCAGACTTTCAGCACCTCGACGTCTCCTTTGACGTATGCGTCCAGAACTTCAGGAAGGATATATTCGCGCATCTCTGTCAAGAAAGGTTCGAGCTGGAAGTTGGGGTCCATTTCTCTAAACTTCTTGATGACCATGGCGGTCTCGTTCTCGGCGAAGAAACCGGTAATACGATCTGAGATGCTGCGGGCAGTAGATATGAGCGGATTCTCGGACTCATCATATGTTGACTTCAGCGAAGAGAACCCCTGCATAATCTTCGAGTTCTCCCTGAAATCTCGCCAGACTTCTTTGTATCGGGCATCCTTATGGACAGTGATGTTCGTGCCAGCCCTAAATTATATCAGTACGTTATTCTGTGGTAATTGGGTCGGTGGACTTACTCAGGATCCTCCTCCAGTGGCTGGCTAGGCTTTCCGCCCGTCTTTTCCAGCTCGTTCAGTTCTCTTAACTCTCTTCGCCTCTTACGCTCCTCCTTTTCTACCCATCCACCATAACGTGAAGAGCTACCATCATCGACGGTCTCCTTCACTGCCTTGAAAGCTTTGGACTGGCGAACTGGACGAGTGACGTACTCGATGCCAGATCCAGTCACGTTTGCGACCTTACGAACGCCCTTCACAGGTGTGGTATCCCATGTCCAAGCAGCACCTTGCCCAATGGCACGGCCTGTAGTCTTCAATGCATCGGCGGTTTTCGTGGTGGCAGCATCCGTGACCTGGTTGTAGGTAGATCGAGCCTTTTGGACTCGAGGATTTTGTGTGAAATCGTTCACACCAGCAGAAAGTTGCTTGGTAGACTCATTCCATTCTTTCGACGCCTGGAACTCGTTCTTCAAAGTTTCTGTGAAAACCTGCCATGGCGTCTTGTCGCCGTGAGGTGGGGGTGGTGGCGGTGGCTCTTTCTTCTTGCCATCTTCGCCCTCCTCGCCCTCCTTCTTCTCACCCTCCTCTCCGTCCTTCTTGTCTTGGGTCGATCCCTCGCTACCTTCCTTGCCCGCAGCCTTTTCGCCTGCAGCACCCTCGGATGCAGGCTTCTCAGCTTTCACCTCGGGCTCTGCTCGGTCCTTTGTGGCCTCATTTTCTTTCTTCTGTGCTTGTTGCTGCAGGGCGGACTTCGAGTGGAAGCTGCGCGCATAAACGGAAGCAGTGCGGAAGAGGACGTCTTGCGGAAGGAACTCGCTCCGTAGATAGAGGAGAGGAGAGGATTGGGGGTTCGGCGTCGGACTGGAACGTATCTGCGTTGCAGATGCTCGCGATACCAATGGGGACGTGGATAATCGTCTATATGCGGCGGCCCGCCCATGGATACTGGAGGGTGAGGCAGCAAAAGATTGGATGCTACCCCATCGTGCCGGCCCTGTGACCGTTCCTACGGACCGCACACTCATCCTCTGTGATTAACTAAGGAGCAAACTTCAAGTAGATAATTATGGAAGAAACAAGGCCCCGAAAGGATGTGGAATTGACGCTTGAGGGCGGTGGATGATTCAAGAGAATGAAGTGGAAGCAATAGCCTTTTTCCATCGGAACAGAGCAACGCACGGGCCACCTGAGAGCACTTTTTCGACGACGCCGAGCATCGAGACACCTCCATCAACCCTCAATTGGCGCGCGAAGCCGGTCGATATCCTTCCGCCATGGGGAAATATACAGCAATGCGCCTCTTCAATTCTCTGCAGTCCTCAATCTGCGCATCATGTCGCTCCGGCCTGCCGCTGCCATCCCTCTCCCTCTCGTCCGTCCGAAGCTTCTCGAATTCCTCTCGGATGCTCGCCCGAACCCCTCCGCCGCAAGAACCCCAGGATCCATTGAACATGGACAGCCTGCTCAAGAACGTGGACAACAACTTCAGGCGGGTGGGTGATTCCTTCCATGGTATAATTCCTGGCCAAGGGACATTGGATGGCTTCCAAAACCTTGCCAAGCAGGAATGGGAAGAAGACGATCGACACCACCTCCACATCTACGCACACAAACACAACACACACATCACCCTCACGAAGCCAAATCGAGACGCCCTGATATCGGTCTCTTGCGGGAACATCGGGTTTCGCAAGTCTGGACGAGGCAGCTACGATGCCGCTTATCAACTCGCCGCATTCGTCATGAGCAGAATCCAAGACAAGGGTTTATTGCCACAGATCAAGAAATTGGAACTCGTCTATCGTGGATTTGGGCCGGGCCGAGAGGCCGTGACCAAAGCGATTCTGGGAAGTGAAGGAAGGAAGATTCGCCCACTGGTCTGCAGGCTGTCTGACTCAACCAGGCTGAAGTTTGGCGGTACACGAAGCAAGAAGCCCAGGAGATTGGGCTGAGCAGTATTGTGCATTTTAAGACGTGCTTTTGTGGCGATTACGAACAACCTAGACCGGAGATGTTTGCAGGCAGAGGTACAAGAATGGCTTTTGTACAATATGCATCCGTAGGAGTAAAGATTCGATCACAATTATAAAGATCGGACATTGACTATCACAAGACGGAGGCAGGCCGTAGATAGATATACTGTATGATACAATTCGACTATCCTTGTATAAATCTTGGGGTATCATTCGCCAGAGGACAAAATGAATGAGACAAAGTCATGTTATTCTGCTAGGCATTGGCGCCCTCTCCGCCGTTGGCATCTCTCGCCCAGATGTATCTTTGACCGACACCAGCCTAGGTGCATGGTTGCTAGACGAGTATCTTGGATACTCTCTTGAGCATTTGACAACGCCTCTGCTACTGCTACCCGCGACTTGGCCTGCTTCACTGTCCCTGTCTTCCGAATCTTCGTCGGACATCCTATGCCGTGTCCTTTGATCGCCCCGCAGCATAGCCGATCTTTCATCTTCGAAGTCCTCATCAAGGAGCTCTCCATCCGCAGTATCATGATCGGGGGGTGCTATCCATTCCCGTGGTACAACGCAAGGTAGAGCTACGCCTATGCTAGCGGCACGATTGATCCACCCGGGAGCGCAACGACTAGTGAGTTTCTCGCAGAGGTAAGAAGTGAAGTGATTGCAGTTCCTCGTGAGGAGATTGTAGGAAGTTCCCTGAAACTCGTTCGACGCCTGGGAACACGGGTTAGATGGCTTTGTGTCGTAAGAGTGAAGTTTCAAACCACCATACCTCCAAAATGATAGCCTTTACCTCTTCTTCGGGTCGGAACGAGAATCCGTGGAGGACTGATTGTCTCCAGGTCCCACCTGGAGGTTCTTGTTTGGGTCTGCTTCGGTCAACGGGAGCACAACGAGGCGAGCTGTGTTCCTGTCCCTACCTTGTGTAATATACTCCAGTCACACCGCGTTGATCGTGACCTCCGTATGCGTATTCCTTATCGTTGATAACGACACCAGTGTGTAGGAGAGAGCTGCCTATAGCCCATAGGATGGTTGATACTTTGCCGGGCTGGTACGCTTGTTAGTTCGGAGGTTGGCAGACGGGCTGGAGAGCTTTACAGGTAGAAGATCGTAAACATTGATAATAATCTCGGTGCGATGCAGAGAAAGGGTAGATCGGTGTGAGGAGCCCTTGCGTATTATCTTGGGTCGTGTGGCCGAAGAGGACGCCATGATTGCGTGGATATTGGTTGATAGTGGCGTAGCGGTGGAGGGGAGACGGGGAGGATAGATAGAGGTGTAGTTTCCAGTCGCAGGGTCCAGCCCTTCAACGATGGTCAAAAGACTCAGGCTCGCCAACAGGTGTGGAGGGATTAAGGAATGGTGGAGATAGGTGCAGAGGCATAGCGAAGAACGCGGTGTAGAGTGGAGTCTGGCTGCAGTCGAGACAACGGCGTCAATGAAGCAGTGGCGCTCCCAAGTAGGGCAGGTACCGAATTACGCCACAGTACATGCATACTGTACAGGCCGGCAGCACAAAGCAAAGTACAAAGTAAGTACACGTACATACACACTATGTACTACCCGTACACGCATGCACTTGGCCAAAAGGGCCCGCTACCTGCGATCTGCGAGGTGAGATTCGCCAGTTGCTAGGGGCGATCATACCCTTTGTAGTATAACCAAGGAAGCACCCGAGTGTACCTGGTGCTGGGGCTGGATAACAGATCAATTGATTATTAGGTAGACTACTACTCCGAACATGTGAATATCTACCTAGGTACCTGTCAATCACCGTTGCAGACATCGGATCATTGCAGTACGGAGTAGTGTATGCCTCAATGCATCGTTGAATCCGCTATCACTATAGACCAAGTGATTCCACGCTAACCACATTTATCGATATATGGTGGTGTTTGTCAACTTTACTATTACTTTACCATTGTCACGACTGTGTAGGCAACGGTCCCGCTGCTGAGGAAGACATCAACCATGGCCACGGAGAGCTCCTTGCACTAGATTACCTGAATCTATTTCTACTTCACTCGTAAAATGAATTTGGAATCGCTCGCCATTTCAGCATCCTCTCCCTGCACTTCATTCGGGCAACTCTACGGTACCCTGTTCTACCTGCGCCATGGCCGAGGAGGCCTTCACCAAAGAGCAGATACTCCAGCATCTCGCTTCTCGTCCACGGTGGCTCATCGAAGGCGTTATCACGATCAACAACAAAGAGAAACCAGTGTTCAGCAAGTTACGACCCCGCAACTCATCGTCGATAGGAGCTCTTCACTGCTTGCCCCTCGAACTTCTGCACGAGATTCTTGGCTACCTAGACCTCCAGTCCTTGTTACGCATCTCACTTGTGTCTAGGCATGGACATGCAATCGTGGAACCCCTGCCTGCGTTCAGACACCTCCTCTCATCCGCTGGGCACGTCTTTCGCACCTTGACAAAAACCAAGGTGATCGGGCTCCATTCCGTCTATACACTCAACTCCATTCTTCGTTCGGATCGATGCGTTTCTTGTGGATTTTATGGCCCCTTCCTATCGCTTCCCACAGCGGAGAGATGCTGCCACGTGTGCCTATTTGAAAACCGATCCCTTTGGATGATCACCCTCGAGAGGGCTCGTGATATCTTCGTACTCTCCAGGAAAGACATGAAGACGTTGCCTGTCATGCTAAGTGTTCCTGGCCATTACCATATTCGTTTTGAAACCTCACGGAAGCGTCAATTCAGTCTTACGAGCATTAGAGCTGTAAAAGCTCTGGCGCTCAAAGTCCACGGTTCATACGACGCTTTGTCTGCGGCATTTGCTGCAAAACATCAGGCTTTAGCGGTTAAGTCGGTCCCGCTCAAGACTCTTCAGAGATATTCGCAGGTCCAAGAAGCGCCTTTACAACAGCTTTCGCAAGACCCCATAACATTCCGATCGACGGCAAACGTTGTGATTGACAAGTTTTGTGGCATGGGCACCATCCCCTTCCCTTCAATCTCCGAGAGCGGCGTCGAGAACGGAATATGGTGTCGAGGGTGTGAACTAACATCCAATAGTCTCTGGCGGAGGCAGGATTTTACTTCGCGTATAAGTCTTACAGTCAGTGAGCCCGATAGGTTCTGTCGGGGACTGGCATATCGTACACACTCAGAGGCAGAATTTCTTGAGCATGCAAAACACTGCTACTCTGCGAGTGAGGTCATCATGCAGAAGCTTCTCTAGGAAATGAGGTGACTTATTATGTTGCCAGTACCGAGAAATATGATTCTTCATTGCCAGACTACCTGTTCTATAAATTTCTCAGAAATAATGGAACCTCTTCCCTGCAAATGATCTTGAGCTTTTCACTGTTGCTAAATTGCATGTTCGAAGTGTTACATACCACTACAGGCCTCTTAGTGTCATGATCAATACGTCTAGCAGTGGAAATACCTATGTGATAAGCCGTCTTTTAATGCTTTTTACCCAATTTTACCTGCATCTAATAAGTGACCTGCTTTTTCCATAGAATAAACGTAATGCTACGCATGACTGAATCACTCAAATTACAAAGAGTGCTCTATTCCTGTAAGATAAATAATATAGCTGCCGATGTCTATCTCTAGGTATTTCCGCTCTTTCGGGTTCTTGTATACATGGTGCCTTGGGATAGCTCTGTATCTGAGAGCTAAAGACGCATTTAGCAATAAAAGCCTCCATTGAATGTATGTATCATCATCAAATGCATCTTACATGCCTTGGGGAGGTTGTAGTTAGAGAGCAGCTACCTGGACGATCATCAATACCAAGACAAAAACAGTGGGACAGTAAACACCAGGAGTCACATTATGAACTATGAAATCGAGGATCAGAGGACTTGTTGATTGGTGAGAAAGGTGACTAGATAGCCTGACTATACAGGGTCTCCCCCAGCCTCCCTACTTTCAGAGACGTTGGTCAACCCTATATTCCGATGTGGACTTCTCCATCAAGGCTTGGAAGCAACTCGGCCCGTGTACTCCCAGGTAGCTTTGTCTTCCTTGGGGAGGTGGTAGGAACAGTAGTTGCGGGATTCGGTTTCTGCGGCAGCTGTCTGACTGCACTGTAGATTGGACTGTCGATCGTAGAGGCGATCACATTGTTTGAACTCGGTTTTGGCCCGGCAGCCGCACCTGTAGGACACCCATACCTGAGTGCACATTCTTGCCTAGGGGCTTCAGTTCATTGCTCAAGTTGGTTGTTTCATGTTCAAGAGTAGCTTCTGGAGTCCGACAATAACTTACTGGATGACTTGGATAGACCAACTTGAGGAGGGTTGGGAGTATGATAAGAGGTTGGTAGTCGAGTTAGAAGTTGGGTTGACAGTTGATTTTGGATATCCGCGAGGAAGAAAATCGAGTATGGTATTGAGTAGTTTGGTGATGTTGAGGAGAAGACGCCAGAGGGCGGTTCAGAGGTTCTCTTATACTGCCCTACCTGTGGTTGGGTGCTTGCGTAGTCATTGGTGCGCCGCGTTTGCATACCGCCATTCACTTCTCAAAATTCACACACTGCAAGTCACACGCTGCGGTCCGAACGTTGTCTGCCTGGCCACACTGTCTATTATCTTTCTAACAATTGTATACTACAATGTCAAGCATACACGGTTTTCCGCAAGTCATATGCTGCCAACCCGAACACTGTTTGCATATCTATATACTATCTAATCTGTTTCAGGGTTCTAAATTCGTTTACTAGTATTCGCATACTACAATCCACATTGCTATATACCTATGTATTTATGGGCAAACGGTACCTACATATATCCTATCTGATGTAAAATTGGGTTTCAAAATTCCCCTACTGCAGTCTTGTTACTGAACGAAACATGGCACCGCTAAGATAATGTCTGCCTGGCTATTCACGCATTGACCTGTCTGCTTCCTGGCGGAGCGGTGTATTCAGTATAGAACAATTGGATGTTGGTGAAGTTGATATCCGATTGTGGTTTAGCTTGGAAATGGTCCACCTGCACGGTCATTTATGTTCACGTGACTCGTTTACCGTGGGTCAAAGCGCACTCATTGAAAAATTCGCATGCAGAGGGCGATTTAGTAAGTTTCCTTTCCCCTACGAGTAGTTATTAAGGAAGCTGCAGGCAGTGAGTGGCTGCGTGCCCTTTCCTTCCCTTCCCAAAAAGCAAGGCACACCTGCCACCCACCAACCAACCACCCACCACACACACACACACCCAACCAACATTTCTTTACAAGACAGAGAGGGGACTCGTTCTGCAGTCATCCTCTCAACCACCCCACCTTCATCATTCCGCCCACAAGGCTTTCTCCCCATTCTTTTCCTTCTTTGATACCCCTTCTTCTCCGTCCAGCAGCAAGCACTGCCTGCGAATTTTCCTCCACCTTTCACTCCACCTCCGCACATCTTTTTCGCGTCTCCGTCGCTGTTACTTCAGTCCGCGGCTACGCAAAATCAAAGAAGATGCCTCCCAAGAAAGCTGTCAAGGAGGAGAAGGTCCTTCTCGGAAGGCCTGGAAACAGCTTGAAGAGTGGAATCGTGAGTAGCTATCCATCACAACCTGTTATTGTCGTGTCTTCTCACATCTAACAGTAGTCGCCAGGTTGGCCTTGCGAACGTGGGAAAGTCAACCCTCTTCCAGGCTATCACCAAATGCCATCTTGGTAACCCTGCCGTATGTCGCCCGCAATTACAAAAAATTTTCACCATGCACCTCCTGCACACATGCTAAAGGAAGCAGAACTTCCCTTACGCTACCATCGACCCCGAAGAAGCTCGCGTCATCGTTCCCGATGAGCGATTCGACTGGTTAGTCGAGCACTACAAGCCCAAGTCCGTTGTGCCCGCCAACTTGACTGTCTACGATATTGCCGGTCTTACGCGCGGTGCTTCAACGGGCGCTGGTCTTGGAAATGCCTTCTTGTCTCACATCCGAGCTGTCGATGCCATCTTCCAGGTTGTTCGATGCTTCGACGACGCTGAGATCATCCACGTCGAGGGTGATGTCGACCCTATCCGTGATTTGGACATCATCAGCGAGGAGCTCCGAATCAAGGATATTGAGTTCGTTGAGAAGTCGCACGAGAAGCTCGTCAAGGACACCCGAAGGGGTGGCCAGAGCTTGGAGATGAAGAAGATGAAGGAGGAGCTTGCGACCGTGGAGAAGATCCTCGAGTTGCTCAAGTCCGGAAAGGATGTTCGCAAGAACAACTGGACACCCAAGGAGGTACGTTGCCGACAACATCTTTCTCTTGCTTTGCTTGCTCTCCTGCCCCAAAAAGATGATAAAGAGCGATTGCTCTCTAATCCCAGCTCTTTGAAAACCCGAGTAACGCCGTGGTAAATGAAAAGACGTCCGAAATCTGATTTGCATTAAAATTTTCCTCCGTTTTGCTTCATTGAGATCATACGAAGCATCCCGCTGACTCTTTACAAGGTCGAGGTCATCAACCCTCTTTTCCTTCTTACCGCTAAGCCTGTCGTCTACCTCGTCAACCTCAGCGAGAAGGACTATGTCCGCCAGAAGAACAAGCATCTTCCCAAGATCGCCCAATGGGTGAAGGAGCACGCAGAGGGTGACCCCATCATCCCCATCTCCGTCTCCTATGAGGAGCGCCTCGGTGCTCTGACCGAGGAGGAATCTCTAGAAGAGCAGAAGACCGTTGGCGCCAAATCTGCCCTTCCCAAGGTCGTCATCACTATGCGCAAGGCCTTGAACTTAGGTAGCTTCTTCACAACCGGAACCGATGAGGTCAGGCAGTGGACGCTACGGAACGGCACCAAGGCACCGCAAGCCGCTGGTGTCATCCACGGTGACTTCGAGAAGACATTCATCCAGGTCATTGTGTACAACTACAACGTGCTGAAAGAGGAGGGTGACGAAGCGGCGGTCAAAGCCAAGGGTAAGGTTATGACCAAGGGCAAGGACTACGTCGTCGAGGACGGTGATATCCTACTCATCAAGGCCGGTGCCGCCAAGGGTTAATTGTCTTGACCACAAGACGAACCCACGCTCGATACATCATGAGCTACGATACCGAAGCACGACAGAATCTAGAAATAGCTGTCTTAACTTGTTACGCCGTCTCGGAAGTGTTCCACCAAATTAAAAGCACATACTCTGCACGCATTAAGATGAGATGAGATGGGATGGATATAGATTTAAAAAAAAACAAATCGAATTCACTAAGATATCCCACTATTGGATTTATGCGCATGCTTCTGCCGTGATGGTTGGAGAGAAAACCAGTAGTCGAATTTTTGCATTCATCTTTACTCTCTGTATGCACTGTACTGAACGATGCTACTACTACTTTCACTTCCCCTTCATATTCTCCTCCACCAACATCCAAGCGTTTCCACAGACACAATGCTTCGCGACGCCAATCAGCCAGCTAACATGATGCATCGAGTAACCCGGCATACCCTGCGTAACGTCATCCATATAGCTCCCGCACCGCACGCACCTCCTCAGCAGACTCTTCCTCCTTTTCTCCTTCTCGTCTCCGCCCTCGCCTCCTTTTCCACCGCCCACGCTATCGCTTCTGCCCCTGCCCGCCGTCGCTGCTGAGCCGTTCTGATTCCCGGCGGGATGCTGCTGTGCGCCCGTACCCCTCAGGACGACCTTCTGGCAGACGTCGACGATATGCGTGTCGAAGTACGCCTTCGCATGCTTCGACTCCTGGAAGCCGAGCCAGGTGGTATCGAAGAACATGACCTTCGCGACGTCGAAGCGGTCGAGCAGTGCGCCGTGGGGCTGCTGCTTCTCGTCGAAGAGGAAGTCCGTGAGGAGGCGTCTCGCGGCGGGGACGAGAACGTCCGGGACGCGGCCCAGTATGAGCTCGCGCTCTGCCTCGTTGCGCGCCTGCTCGGAGAGGTTTGCGCGCTTGTAGCACGCGCGGACGAGCTGTGTGGCCTCGCTGAGCAGGCTGTCGAGGAGGCGCCAGTCCGGGAGGGGGCCCTCGGTGATGGCCTGGTGGAGCGGGCTGTAGATCTTGCGGATCTCGAGGTTCGACGACGAGTTGGTGTACGTGTAGGCGGTCTTCATGACCCAGTTTAGGGGTTGGCTCCAGAGCTTCATCATGAGGCGCGGGAAGGAGGAAAGGAGGATGAGGATGGCGGGTTTGTGGAGCTCCGTCACGGCGGATTCGAGGGCCTTCGCGGTGAATTCGTTGGGCGGGATGCTGCGGAGCTTGTAGCCCAGCGCCATGATCTCGTCGATGAAGTATACCATGAAGTGCATGATCCAGCGGCCGATGCCGATGAATTGGGGGACGACCTCTGGGCGGAGAGGGTTCTTGTCGATTTGGCCGTGCATGCGGGCGATGGTCGTCAGGATTTGGGTCATGTATTTGATGTTGAGGATCGTCCAGGCGATCTTGCTGGGTAAGCTGCGGTGGACGGTGCCCTGGAGGCCGAGGAGATGCGCAGCGCTCAGGGTCTTGACGAAGAAGGGAGATCGTCCCAGGAGGATGAGATGGTTGTTCGAGGAATCATCGATGCCGCAGTCGATGTTGACGTTGAGGCCTTGGAACATGAGACAAACGAAGTCGCGCTTTCGCTTCTCTGATAGCTCGCCCAGTATGGCGAATATGTCGTCGCTTGAGAAGTATTGGTTGGCTGTGGAGGAGAACTGCAGCACTATCGCCGCAAGTGCGGCCGAGTGCTTTGGATCATCGTCGTCTAGGGCGAGGGATCCATAGGTGTATTCGGCTGAACGGAGCTTGATAGAGCCGTCTTGCTGCATACAGGCAGCTATGCAGTGGTTAGGCGATAATGTGTAATGAAGAGACGGGTCCAGGGATGAGAATACGAATCCTGCCTGAGGTAGAGTTGTAACCATGTCGGTATTGTAGTCGGGCGAGATGGATTGCATCGTAGCTCGCTTTCTGAACTCGATCATCCCATCACTGAAACAGAACGATAGGATCATGTTATACCACAAAGGCATAAAGGAAAGAACAACAGCATGGAGCATCGTGTCAGGTAGTCGCTCACACTTGAATGCCTCGCGTGCAGGGACTGAGCTAACACTCTTTTTCTTGGAAGTTACGTTGTCTAGGCTCGAATGAAGTTGGTTCTGCTGTACATGATGAATTTCCCACTTGACGATAATGCTGAAGGGGTTCTGCGGTTGTTCTGATTGATCGAACGACACGGGATTAGGAGGGGTGCAGAAGATAGCCTGGATAGTCGGCAATGTGCCGTCATTCTGCTCTGGTGTGATGGGGAGAAAGTTGAGGTGTGTGAGCTGAGCGGGTATTCTAATTTTGGAATCAGGACTGCTCGTGAGGTCACCAGTAACAGAAGCCGCGCTGACGGGATAACATTGGTCCTCAATACTGATCAATGTCACAGTGACCTCAGGTCTGTCCAAAGGTTTTGGTGGCTGTCCAGGCTGTGGCGGCTGATAATTCCATTTCGTCTCAACTCGATAAAGGTGCAGCCGACCGGAAATATCATGCGCAGCCAGAAGCAATGTGTCGTCTTGTATACATTAGCAAACATCGGCCAAGGTGTAACAACATTGTACTTACCATTGTTCGACGCGAAAGCAGCATGAGTGAAGGATTCCCGGATGGAGACTAGAGGCCCGAGTGAAGCGCCGGATTCGTGCCAGCTGTTATCTGGCTGCTGAAACCGTAGCCGTAATTCACCATTTCTTCTGAGATAAACCAATGCAGCCTTGGACTCAATCGGGTGATGGGCGTCTTTGAACCTGTGGTTAGCCATCTGGAAATGCCAATTTCCGCCCTTTGCTTTTGCTGACCATACGATGTTGTTCTACGAGAATTAGCACGAATGTATGTAGGTCGAACGATGGGAGCCTCACCTTCTGCTCGTAAGGAAGTAGAGCAAGCCAATGCATACCAACGACAGCATCCATCTCCGTATCGGAGGGAGATACGTCAGCGCGCATGAGGGACATGCGGTCCATAGCAGTTGTGCAGGTGAGTATTGCAACATGACCTGCAGCGTCAACGACCGCAATATCATTTCCCAGGTGGCTCCAGGAGAGATGAACGAACTGAAAGTCATCTTGACGTGGGACATCAAGCGTTGCCTCCTTCCCGAGATCCCATTTCCCTGTGGCAGGGTCACGCGAGAAGACTCGCAACTTTACTGAAAGACCATCCGGAGTGATGTAGGCCACGCAACCACTCTTTGACCAGGTTAACTTCAGACAACACCCGCTTGCGCTGAGTTCATCTAGACGGCGGGTCAAGCCTTTCAAAGGAGGGGCGGCGATTGTCAAAGGGGCGACCTGCTCCGAGTCTCCGAAGAGATCATCGACGTCCATATTATACGACTGCTCTTCCATGATATATGGCATGCTCTAGCAACAGCTAGAATGGGAAAGAAAAGATGACGGAAAAGAGACGGGTATCATAAAGAGGAAAAATCACGAAACATGAGACGCGCAAAAGATGCACTGGCCGAGGCACCAGAAAGTAAAAGAAAAGACTGCACAGACAAAGCCGGCACTGTCGACAATGAAAGCAGAGCCGCAATGCAGCCTGTTGGGAGGGGGTTTTAGGTAGATATAGGTAGATGAGGGAAGGGATAGTTGAGATTGGTGGTGATAAGTAAGACACGCGGACCAGGTAAGACACAATACAATGTGAGGAACTGACTGAGTGAGTGACTGACTGCACAGACGGGACTGTAGGGACGTAGGAATAGGAATAGGCCAGACTGGGGCTGCAATTGGCGCGGGAGTAAGCGATCTGGCACTAACCCCCTTTCGTCCATCTATCAACATCCCGCGCGCGCAACTCCCACCGTTCAGTGACTCGGGAAGTCAACCATCAAACCTTCGAACCCTCTCAGTCTCGAGTCTCACCCTCTGACCGCAGCAACTCTTCATACCAACAAAACCACCAAGCAGGTCCACGTAGCAAGATGGTGAATTTCGCACCTTGCTTCAATCCGTGCATGCGACAAAGTAATGAACGTTATGTGATGTATTTGCGCGTCATGACCAGCGATTGCTAGAGAAAACGCAATTGATTGAAAACCAGAGCGTTCTTATCGAGCGCGCACAAACGGAAAATACATTTCGCCCTTCGGAGTTGGTTGGGATGGACATAGTGTCTTGTGTGGGCTGTTCGCTCGGATGACAGAAAGCATGCTGAGAGAGCAGAGGGGAAACGGTGTAGGCGAAGTGCCCGCCAGAATACCAAAACAATCCGTCGTGCCCGCGGTAGAAGTCATGGAAGCCGAAGGACCAAGACGCCCTGGTGCAGTGGTACTGGCAAACTGTTGACCGCCTCCCAGATCATCACGCGCCGTGCAAAGACCCTCATGACGGGTGGGCATCGATCGTGCCGTGTCGGCATCTTTGGGGAAGGGATCAATCAAAACAATGGGAATCGTTGACTACCCGGATATACTTCGTACTGGTACGAGTATTGTAACTACCGTGTACTCGTAGGAAACCTGCGTATGTACCTGGTTAGTTACGGAGTAGTTGGTTACAGCTCACAGCTTGACAGGCACAACAATGTCAAGACGCGTCGGCGTGCGTGCTTATTATTACCACCATGTCTCCCTCCCCAGGTGTCACATAACTCTTGGTTCAAAGCTGCTGACTACAATATAACACTGCTAACTTAGTTATTATGACAAGTGAATAAAGCATCAGAATCGTCATCAGCTTCGTTTCATAATGGCTAGACATGGAGAATGTGCCTGCATGACATATTCAAAGCCATATGCATAGCATATATCATTTGCATGGTTTGCGCAATCAGTCTTGGGAACGAAGAAGTAATTGCTGGAAGGTGGTAGTGGTAGTAGTGGTAGTAGTGCCACCGGCTTGAATCGCTGGCTTTGTTTTGGTTTTGGTTCCATCTGCCACGGTTGAGGAGAATAGTAGTGGTTGTTGGTTGTTGGTAGTAGTGTAGTAGTGGAAGCGGAGAGAGAGTAATGCTAGCTTGGCCCTTTGCCCTCTGTCTGCCCTCCCTCTTCACTTCCGTTCTTGATGGTTTTCTCCTCACCTACCCGCTCGCACCGAATAAGCCTCCGCCTCTTCCCTTCCTACTCTCTCTCTCTCTCCTCATCCGCTCACCCTCCCTTCCTCCTTCTTTCACCTCCATCCACCACCACCACCACCACCACCACCCCCAACCTCCTCTCCATTCCCCTATATCGCGACTGTGCGTCTGCTCCTTGACGCGCGCAACTGTCGCTTTCGGTTGTCCTGCATCGCTCATTTATGTTGCACGTCAATGTGTCTCCTTGCCCGACTGTCAAATTGAAGAGCGAAAGCCACTAAAGCAGGGCCAACGGCGCCAATCAACATCATCACCGATTCCTTTCTCCACCTCAATCCTTAACAACACAACAAACCATTCTCACCACCTCCACCTCCACCTCCACCTCCACCACCGCATCCCAAGGCCCTTCTCTCACCATCCACGCGCCTCATGCGATTTTTCAGCTTTATCGGCTTACATTCAAGCAAGTCGAACAATGAGGTAGCCAGCGACGCTCCTGCCCCCGACCCCGATCCTCCTGCCATGGAATCGTCGCAGTTACCGAACGCGATGGCTCAGGACGCATCTTCACCGCTCAGCTCGATCGCGAGCTGTGCACCCAGCATTGCACCCAGTCCCGCACCTTCGTCGGCTTCCTCAGACTCTGGTTTATCGACGTTGAGCAGGTCGCCTACACCCCCAGCACATTTGGACCGCCTGTATCCCTCCCCTTTGGCCTCCCAGCAGTCCTCGGCCAAATCCTCGCCCGCCCCCCGAGCCATGGCTACCACTCCCCCCTCGAGTGACAACGATGGCCCGCCCCGGAAGAAGAGAAAGGTTGCCGAACCAAAACAACGCACCACAGAACGACTTGATCTGGCCAGTGCCACGGCTGATGACGCGCAATTGAAGCGACTCATGGATGTTTTGAATAAGAAGCGAAAGATTGTTGTGATTGCGGGTGCTGGCATTTCCGTCTCTGCTGGCATTCCCGACTTCCGTTCGGCTGGCGGCCTCTTCAATTCCCTTCGCAAGCAGCACAAACTCAAGTCCTCTGGTAAGGACCTCTTTGACGCGTCTGTTTACTCGGATGACACGTCCACATCCACCTTTCACGACATGGTCCGGTCCCTGTCCCACGAGACAAAGAAGGCGCAGCCCACTGCATTTCACCATCTTCTCGCGACGCTCGCCCAGGAAGGCAGGCTACTTCGCCTCTACTCCCAGAATGTCGACGGCATTGACGCATCCATCCCTCCTCTGAAAACACAGGTTCCTCTACCAAAGAAAGGTCCTTGGCCAAAGACAGTCCAGCTGCATGGCGGACTTGACCATATGGTCTGTTCCAAATGCTCTGCACTCTCCAACTTCGATGCAGAGAAATTCAATGGTCCCACTCCTCCAGCTTGTGGCCATTGCCAAGAAAATGATGCAGTGCGTGCAGTCGCTGAGAAGCGAAGTCATGGAATTGGTCGCCTTCGACCCCGAATGGTGTTATACAACGAACACAACCCCGACGACGAAGCTATCGGTTCATGTGTGAGTGCCGATCTTCGTACGCGCCCTGATGCCGTTATTGTCGCCGGAACCACTCTCAAGGTCCCGGGAGTGCGGCGTATCGCGCGTGAAATGTGCGCTACCGTACGCGATCGACGCGACGGCGTCGCGATCTGGATCAACAACGACCCCGAGCCTCTAGGAAAGGATTTGTCGAATAGCTGGGACATCATTGTCAAGGGACCGTGTGATGACGTTGCAGAAAAGGCCAATATGCGTAAATGGGATCAGCCTCCGGTCGAGTTCAAGGTGGTCTCTGATAACGAGGTAGAGTCCAAGAAACAGCAACAGAGGGCTGATGTCATGATTCCGTCTTCCGTCGCTTGCACGCCAAAGAAGCTAGGAGCTGTCGATATGATTCAAGGACAATTAACGCCTGGCCAAAGTCCGCGTATGGGGCCTCAACGCGCGATCAAACTCGAAGCTGTGGATCCACCTTCCACCCCTTCCAAGAAACAAGGTACAAAAAGGAAATCTGGAGGCGGACAGACAGCGATCTCAAAGGCTGCCAAACCGAAAGCAGTGTCGAAGCCGCAAAAGAAACGGGCCCCCAAGAGCAAGGCAAAGCAAGCGAACGAGAATCCGAAGATTACCAGCCAGTTTGCCGTTTCCAAGTCTTCCACTACGGCATTGAAGTCATCTATTGCAGGCAAAGCCTCAAAGTTCATCTCGTATGACCCAGCTAAGAAGGAGAACAAGCCTATCAAGGAGATCCACGAAACCGTCTGCAGTACTTCCCTGCCTGAGCCGATGACACCAAAATCGGGGAAAGTGACTGCTTGGAAACCTACGGCGCGAGAGACTATGCTCGATCTCCCCACTGCAGACCCACGTAACAACTCTGCTTATCTTTTTTCACCCACGAGACCTGATGTTGAGCCCTTCACGTCGCCCGCAAAGCCCACCGAGGATTGGGACGCGAATGATTCCAGACCCTCCACCGCGAGTTCGCGCAGGGATGAAATAGAACATCCGACAGGCGCTGTCCCTCATTTTACGCGAGATATACTTTGTTAGTTTGCATTTCTAGGCGCTGTGGAATTGGTTGCAATACGCAGGAAAGTAAATATCGCAACCTCATGCATTACTGGCGTTTCTAGCCTCCTGGGACCTCGGTCCTTTACGTGGACAGGCTTTACATTATTTTCTATTCATTTCTGTTCCAATGTGTGTCTGCATAATCGACACGCCGCCCCTGATAGTTGAGACGCTACATGGGAATGAGGATGCCAAAGATGGTCTCCTTAGTAGCTGTTGAAACTGCTTGTAGTCACTACCAATACACAGACTTTGGAACCTTTGATTTAGTGTGTTGGTGAATAATTGAACCCATCTTATGACATGCGGTAAATCTGAACCGGCATTCTATCTTGTGTGATGCTTGCTGGATTGTTTACAATGTACGCGTAGGTTGGAGGTTGAAACGCTTTAACTCAAATAGGAAAGTATCTTGGCATCCAATCATGAGCAAAGCTTGAACCAGGATCCAGGAACGTTCCGACAAGAAGTCAGATTTTGATAATTGTCCGTTGAGCTGATTTGGGATACGCATTGGACTGTGAACTTTGAAAATTCACCTTACGCCTGTCTGTAGTGCGGCGTCATGGCACCGCCTATATTTGCTGTTCGCAACCTCACATCTGCCGATATAACGATCAAGACGGTTGAAGCTTTTGAAGACCCAGATTCAAAGCAATCAAGAGCCAGCGCATTTTCCTTTGCACCGACCACCACGACGTTGCCGGCTCCCACTTCAAATGCAATCGAACAGCATTCCAAGTCCTTCAATCAAAAAAATACAGAAATTACCCTGTCTCCATGCGACTCCTATTCGTTGGATGCTCAAAATGAGCCTGGACACGAACATGGATCCTCTGCACAACTATCAACCATCATGTATCGATTGACCATCGAGAACGACAAAAGCGAACGTTTCCGGATCGATATAAATCCAACATACACGCAGAAATCATCACACCTTCTAACACCTCTCACGCCAAATCCATCAACTAGTCTCACTGCACTCTATCATCCAACAACACCAAAAGCACAAGTAACCATTCACGCCAACCACCTACACGATCCAGCAACATGGATGTCGAAACTACCATCAGAGCTACCTCTATCAGCACTCAGCATCCCCGGAACCCACAACTCTCACACCTACTACCGGGCCCTCCCATCCGTGAGATGTCAAGTTGTAGGCGTAAAAGCCCAACTGGAAAACGGCATCCGCTTCCTCGACATCCGCGTGCAACCCGTCCACGCCAGCGATCCAGACCGAAACAAGGACCTCTACCTCGTACACGGCGCCTTCCCGGTCAGCCTCACAGGACCCAAATACCTCACCCCAATCCTGAGCACCTGCTACGAGTTCCTCTCCCAGCACCCCAGCGAAACAATCCTGATATCCCTGAAGCGTGAAGGCGTCGGCAGCTCCACCGATGCACACGTATCCCAGATCCTCTCCAAGCACTACATCGGCCCCAACCGCGAGAAATGGCACATCGAGCCCACAATGCCGTACCTCGGGGACGTCCGCGGCAAACTCGTCCTCATCCGCCGCTTCGACCTACCGTCCTCCTCCTCAGACGACACCACACACGCCACAGCAACGACACCGCTCCCCCTCGGCCTCGACGCCACCTCCTGGCCTCACAACTCCACGCACGCCCTCCACGGCCCCTTCTGCGTCCAAGACTACTGCGAGATCATGCAGCCGACACAGATCCCGGATAAGCTCACACACAGCACATCGCACCTCGCGCGCTCGGCGGCCGCCACAGCATTCATCCCGGGCGTCACGACCGACGCGGCGAACCCTGTTCCCCCCGGGCCGTTGTACCTGAATTTCCTGAGCGGCAGCAACTTCTGGAACGTCGGGTGCTGGCCAGAGAAGATTGCGAAGGTGGTGAATAGGGGGGTGGAGGAGTGGGTTTGTGGGGAGATGGGGTTGGGTGAGGGTGGGGATGAGGGGGGAGTGAGGAGGAGGTTGCGGGAGGGGGATGGAGGCGCGGGCGTCGTGGTTATGGATAATGTTGGGGATGGGGGGGATTGGGATCTCGTGAGGTTGATTGTTGGGTTGAATATGGGGGTTGTGGGGAAGATGTAGAGGTGTGTATGTATGGTGATGCTGTGAGGTTGGTAAGAGGTCGGGGGAAGAGTTGTATATCATGAAGCATATTTCTAGGGAGTTTACATGTAGAAGGTTTTGATATATGGGAAGACATCCGCATATACTAACTTATGATACATTGATATAGTAACACTGTTGATAACACTCTAGTTAACAGTATGGACACTGGAGAAGCGAAAGCAATTATCAATCACACGATGCTTGACTACGCGTTCATACCAGGCATGAGGTCCGGCTTGTCGAGGATCATATCTCTGAGCAGGATCCACTGTCTCAGACCCTCCCAGTCCTCACCCTCCTCATCGCCACGCTTCCAGCTCTCCTTGAATCCCCACGCGCCGGCTATCTTGTCCAAAGCCGCACGCTCATCCTCCCGCACCCATCGGTCGAACAGCGGCATACCGGGTCTCCAGACCACTCGATCAAAGTGGTCATTTGCGGTGGTCATAGCGACGAATCCCAACGTGCCTGTGCATGTTGCGTAGGTGAAGAGTCCCATGAATGCGTACACCTTGAAGGTCCAGGGGTCGATGTATCCGGAGTAAAAGGACATTTCGTTGGCGATCATGTACAACGCCACGGGTGTTATTGTCGCTACAATGCTGGGAGGCAGCACTTTCGTCACGAGCTTATACGATCGCCATGCTGGTGCGCAGTATGTGTAGTCGATTACGCTGAGAGCGAGAGACAGATCCTTTGCGTCGATTGCGATGGACAATGCCTTCTCGGCAATGGGTGCTGGTACGGCTTGTTTGTAGCCTTTGGGCGATGGCGTCAAGAATTTTGGTGGGGAGGATCCAAGTTCAGGGATTGGCTTGTGGGCGTACAGGTGGAGGATCTCGGGGATGGCCTGTGGCCGGCCGATCAATTTGTGGAGGTCGACAAAGGCTTCGAGGACGCTGGGGGAGATGAAAACTTTGGGATGTTTCACAAGATCGACCGCGAGTTCGGAGATGTACTTCGGGGAAGGGAGGTTGTCGGATGCTTGTGTGCTCCTTTTCCGGCGTGCACCGCTGCTTGGGCTGTCGTCTGCATTGAGGGACAATATGGCGCCTGCCGAACTCTGGCGCAAGTTGAGTTTTGCTCGCTGGGGTTGCCCTGATCGAATTTCGATTGCCTGTTCCGCTATGGCTTGCAGCGCATGGAAAACCTCTAGGATGACCTCTTCTCCCTCCACCTTGGGCGAATCCTTGATATAGGCGATTTGCTCTTCCACTTTTTGTAGTCTGGCATTTAGAGACACTGAATTCTCTGCTGTTCTCCGTGGATGTTCAATCTCTAGTTCCTGCTCTTGCAATTTATGACCAGTCCAGAATTGCCTCCTCGGCGCTGTCGGGAATGCAACATTTTGCTTTGTAGATTGTGGTCGCTGGATGGAGCGTGCTTTGATGGCTGCGGTAGCGATGAGAGAACGTCGGTATCCTGGCTGTCGTGAAATGTAATCGCACAATTGGCAGATGGGCCGCGACGGGGCACGCATTGGGCGAATATTGGACTTCATAGTGGCGACGCAGAGTCGGTGAATGCGTTGGTCGCTCGAGGTTGAGGTTGTGACGACGCTTCTGCGTGGCTTGGGAACGCTTAGCTTGGCGTGGCATGGGCGACTCTGACCGAACGTCAAAGAAGCCGAAGTACTCCAAGTACACGACACCTCACGCACCACCGATCCGGAGCGTTGTAGGCAGCAGGACTACCTATATCGAGGACGCATTCTTCGCAGAAAGAGTCGGATTGATTATTGCGCACGACTGCGACCTCACACATCACCATGCCTCCTCCACCTCCTCCCCCTCCGCCCATGCCGCCCATGGGTCGAGGAGCTGGAGGACCACCACCGCCCCCTCCAATGCCCGGGAAAGGAGCACCTGGAGGGAAACCAAAGAGCGGAGCCGGACGAGTACGTTTATTTTCTTTCCTCGCATCAGATCAGTGCGAACTGCAATGCGAATTTCTAAAGCTGGCGTGTTTGCCAATGAGCCCAAGCTAATATGTCATAGGGTGCACTTCTTGGAGAGATTCACGGAGGAGCAAAGTTGAAAAAGGTCCAAGTCAACGATCGATCAGCGCCACAGATAGGAAAGGTATCTGATGGACCAAGCGGGCCACCGATTGGAGGTGCGCCGCCTGTACCTGGCATGGGACGGCCACCAGCTCCACCCTCAGGCCTCGCGCCGCCCGCCCCTGGACGAGCAAGAAGCAACAGCGATACAGGAGGAGGATCAAGCGACGGAGCAGCTGCAGTGAGTGCAGCACCACAGCTGGGAGGGTTGTTTGCGGGAGGGATGCCGAAGTTGAGGAAGGCTGGAGGCGTGAACACAGGAGCGGATAGCAAGTCGCCATATCTCTCAGATCCTGAATCTTCACGAGGCTCTGCACCTCAGCTGCCACGAGGAGCTGCACCAAAACCCCCAGGAGCACCTCCAGCACCTCCAGGAGCGCCCCCAGGAGCACCACCTGGAATACCACCGCCTGTTCCTGGAAATCGTCCACCACCACCGAACCCATCGATCTCGGCACTACGTAACAACCTCAGGCCTTCATCAATTGCATCAACACACTCGCTGCCTGAGCTCTCAGGGAAGCCAAAGCCACCTCCTCCGATTGGAAAGAAACCCCCTATGCCACCTCCATCATCTCGAAAACCATCTGGTCTAGCACCCGCCCCTCCAGCGTCTCCAGCCCGACCTCCACCAGTTCCCGGGGCCGCACCGCCAGCTCCACCTCCTCCACCTCCTTCTCAGGCACCTCCACCGCCTACTCGGCCGCTGGCTCATACAGCAATAACTGCTCCCCCCATACACCACCGACCAAACCCAGTCACAACGACATCAACCCCTACTCCTTCTTCTGTGCCGCCGCCACCTCCTCCACCACCGCCTCCGACAGCGTCTGCTCCTCGACTACCGCCATCTCGCTCCACACCACCGCCTCCCCCACCCCCATCAGCACCTCCACCAAGAGCAGATTCCGAAGACGACGATTACGATCCATACAAGTACAGCAATGCACCTGCGAAGCCTCCCGCAGCACCCGCTCCACCTCCACCCAAAGCTTCTACAAACGGCCATAGTACCTCTCTTGCTGAACAGGCGGCACGCAATGCATTTGGCCGTACACCTTCAGCACCACCCCCTCCACCACCAGCATCGTTACCCCCGTCTGCACCAAGCGCGCCTGCCCCACCCCCTCCCCCAAGTTCGTCTCCACCACCGAGCCGTACAGCAACGCAAACATCCACGCGATCGATGCTGGATCCTAGCTCGTACACACTTACAAATGGCGGAGGCAGAGGCGGATCTGGCACTTCAGGGTCGGGAGCTGGGTCGGGTCATAAATCGACTTTCACCCCTGTCCATGATTTGAGATGGAGATTTCAAGACGAAGCACAACTTCCTAAGCCCCGAGAGTTCACAGGCTCAGCAAAGAGATACAGAGCTGGAAGAGGAAGTAGTGTTCCTTTGGATTTGAGTGTATATGAATAAATGATTTAGTTTGCATTCATAACAAGGCACGAGAGTTAGTGTCTGAGGTAGGGGCACGATGTAGACAGGTTGGAGCCATCATGGACGGCGTTTTGTGATGAACATGAGACGTGCAAGATGCTGTTATGAACTTTGCACAATTTGACTTGGCCACTGCATAGATATTCATGTATATCGTTCTTAAAAGGCTGGTATTTGAGGAACCTATGGTATACCAATAAATTGGATTTCAAGCAACTATAATAGGCTTGACAGCTTCTGCTATACTGCACCATGTGCGATGACTGCTTATGCACATGATCCCCTCCATGGCCTGTTCGTCAGAGCATGCCTTACGAATCAGCTTTTCCTGTATCTGGAGCGGGTAGATGAAAGGCCTTTCTATGTTGTGCTATTCCGTCTTTGGCTTTGCACTCATCCGGTTGCCTTGATTGTCTGTCACGAGATACCAGGGCCTCCAATTCGGGTTCATCCAGTCCGACGGGCTGCCTAGTGATATAATGCTGTATAGAGCCAACAATGAAGTTTGTCCCACTGCCCTCAGCGTGATCTTTCAGGTCTTTCGGGCCGGATGATCTTGCAGACATGCTTTACGTTGCCTGCATAAGCTATAATCCAGAGCCTGGAGCACTCATAGGAATACGCCCTCTTCCCCTGGCTCTTCTGAGGTGCCATTCTGCTCCCCGCTGGCTCGAGTAGTGGGTGATGAGCCATCGCCCCCGTTCTGTCCTGTACCCGCCGTTGTATTCGCCTTCTCGGGCTCAAAAGGTAGACCGCGCACTTCGACAATCTCCCTCTTCACTAATTCAATCCGCTCTTCCATTCTCTTAATCACCTCCTTGTTTTCCATGAGTGCTTCATAGCAGTCCTTGTCATCCTCCTCTCGCACGTACTTCTCAAGTTCGGTGTTTGAAAGCTCGAGGTGGGCTATTGAATTGCGGATCTCTTGGACTTTGGCGTGTAGGGCTGATACTGGGAGGTCATTGAGGGCGGAGGCGAACCGGGCGGCCGATATTGGTACGGATTCGGCAGACATTGTGTATAATAAGGCAGTTCTTGTATTTGTTCAGACTTTCGGTTCGATCTAATCTGCGACCTCGAAGTTGACGCTCAACTTGTCTTGGTTATGAGGTTCAGTACAAATCATTGATTAGTTCATGGCGGGGATGTCTCAGAGCTCCGACCTGGTCTGTGCGATGCACGCCAAATCTTTGTAGACGAAAGTTAATTGATCTATGTCATCCGATCATCGATCGCCAATCACTCATGTAATGTACTCATAGTTTCTTCTTCTTTTTTGTATATTGTCGCTATCGACATTGTCACTGCGATGAGCAATGCTCTGCCGATGGCCTTTGTAAGGCCATCATGCGCTGCTCTACGGCCAACCACTTCCTCAATCGTTAACCGGTGGAATCTTATACCACGTTCATTCTCGCGCCAAATATGCGTGCAGCGGACGCCTACCTCTCCGTGCAGTCGACCTAGCATACTGTCTTCGTTGAAATTCGAAGGCCCTAGCCAGTCTTGTCGCTCGATATCCTCCAGCCTTCGATGTTCCGCCAAGGTTAATTCAAATGAAACGCCTCTTACATCGAAACCCACCGCTCCCAAAACCCGCGCAATCCGCATAGGACCTCTACCAGGCGGCAATGCAGACAGGAGAAGAATAACCGCGATTTTTGGCCCCAATATCTCGGTAGAGGAAGGAAACCATGTGTTGCGGATAATACATCACCGTCGGACCTCCGGAAGTCTGGCAGACTATGGCGTCGATAATCTCGGGCGTCGGTACGATTCAGTCACTCACAGCATGGCTGTTAAGGCACTGGCTTGGTTACGGAAACAATATCCTATAGACGAGGCACGGGCGGCAGAAGAATGGGCAGAGAAGGAGGCGAATCGCATATCGTATGAGATGTGGCTCGCGGATCCCGAGAACGCAGATTCGAAATACAACGACCCTGCCCGTATATGGCGCGATCAGCAGAGGCAGCTTGAGGAGCAACATGATCAAGCGGAGAAGAGGATGGGAATCCTTCGAGTTGGGCCTTCTGAATTCGAGCGGAACGTCAAACGAAAGCGAGAGGAACGGTTAGAGGCCATGGCGAAAAAAGCAGAAGAGCAGGATCAAAAGGAGGCCGAGGAAGAGAAGATGCTTGCGACTGGCGAGTGGGTGCGTACGCCTCGCGGTACTGCTTTGATGAAGCCCGGTCAGTCGACCTACGTGGACGTTTTCGGAAGAGAACAGGTCAGTCGCAGGAAGGAGATGGCGGAGTACTATCAGAAGAAGGCAGAGACTCCGTTCAAGTCTGTCGAAGACATGTTGTCCAAAACCACATTGGTATGTATCGTTCCATGTAATTGACGATCTCGACTAAAGGATCTAGCTGCAACGATTGGCCCCAATGACGGCATTTGTGTTCGCCCTCTGTGTCTTGAGTTACGGTTTTGCCCACTACTATGACCCACCCGCCGCTGAGTACCGCCTGATTCCAGAAGTCAGCTTGACCACTGCCACTATCGTTGGACTCATTGCCACCAATGTCTTCGTCTGCGCCATGTGGAGGATCAACCCTCTTTGGCCTTTCATGACCCGCTACTTCATGCATGTTCCCGGCTACCCTCGTGCCGCCCAAGCCATCTTGAATGTTTTCAGCCATGTTCAGTACGAACATCTTCTGGCAAATATGATGTTCCTTGGCCTCGTCGGCTTTGCCTGCCATGACCTCGTCGACCGAGGCATATTCATGGGAACATATCTCTCCGCGGGCGCTGTCGGCACGCTTGCTTCCCTCTACTGGGCCAACCTTGGCCGTGGCAACATCACCGCGCACTCTGTCGGTGCATCTGCAGCTATATGGGGTATCAGCGCCCTGTACTGTCTGCTAACCGACCAAGAAAAGATCAAGATCCCGTACACTAGCAACGCAGAGGTCAGCTTCTGGCCAAAGACTCTGTTTGCCGCATTCGTTGCAATGGAACTGTACAATGCCATGAAGAAGGGGGGAACCACCATGGATCATGCCAGCCATTTCGGTGGCATGCTGGTCGGAGCAACTGTCGCGGGCTACCTAAATGCCACAGGTTTCCACGAGCGAAAGAGTATGGTGACTCCTGCTTGGAAAGATGACAAGACTGTGGACGTTGCGGCTATAGTCACTGGAGAGGCCAAGGATCCCCAGGAGGATGACAGCAAAAAGTCGTAGGAATGAAAGAAGCAAACTCAAGTGTATTTCTATAGCTGTACTCGTAGGCATGTCATTACAGATACCTGCCAATATATTACATACGAATCCCAATGACAGAACTCAATGTATTGAAGAGATTAAATATTCGAAAGCTTGAAGGTCCACCACTGGAAATAGTTATCAGTACTTCCATTGTGAGAAAGGCAAGATGCTCCCTGATTTGTTCGTTCTATTGCTCATGAATTTTGACGACACGCACCACCAATTCAGCATTCACATTCAACTAGAAACATAAAGGAATAAAATCTAATCGTACATACATCCCTAAAGATTCTGCATGGCTCATTGCTCTCCCTCTGTGTCGGTGGTTTGTAATTCAATGCTTGTACACGTCCGCAATAGGCTAGACTAACTCGATATAAATCCCATTCAATCACACCCCACCCCCACTAAATCAGTAATAGCTTACCAGGTGGGGTTAAACCCCTCTCAGCTACCATATATGCCACCGTTAGCCCCCCATACCCTGTGAACAGCAAAAGGTTCGTCAACTCAAAAAATAATTTGTTATATGAATTTTAGCAACGTAAAATTTTGTAATTGTCTACTCGGTGAGGTGGCCGAGTGGTTAAGGCGCTGTGTTTAGGTAAGCTTTTACAAAGCATACTCAAACCGCAGTTGGTAACAGCGTGGGTTCGAATCCCACCCTCATCATGCGCAATCCTTTTTTTGCTTTTTTTTTGGCTCCTTGGGAGTAGATAGAGGTATAGATGATGCCATCCCTCTTTTTTCTTTAGAGGTTCGTCTGCATTGTAATATAATGAATGAACAATTAGTTGAATCTTTTAGCATGTTCCGTTCGTCACTTGTTCTGTTTTCTTATTCATTCCGTCGGTGATGCTACTTCGAGAATAATATAGTCAACATCTTGAGACTTGATTGCCCACTTATTAGTGAGTGGAGACTTTTTTCAATTTTGTACAATATCAAAGATTCCAGTGTTTCGCAGTCACGGTGGCATTTCATATAAATCAAATCGACCCTGTGCGGGCCGTAAACAACGTCGTTGATGGAAACCTATGTATTATAATCCAGCCCATATTTTCCACCTCCCTTTCCTTGCGCAATCTATATCCATTAAGATATCTTTGGCAGCAGAAACATAACATGCACAAGAGAAATGGTGCAAAAGCACACAATCAGAATACCGCCAACGCCTCTGCATCCAGCAGTCTACCACCAACCCAAGAACCATTTTGTGAAGTTGTTGAAACAAACGGACCCTAAACGCCTGATAGCGCTCTGAATCTTGATCTACCTGCTCAACAGGTCGTTTACACTAATTCCTCTTTTGCCGTTTTCCTTCATTTCGGCCCAGCTTCTACGGTCTGTATTTAGCATTAGGAGAGCCTCGGTTGCTTCATGATCTTCTCTCTCTGTTTGAGGGCCCAATGCCGGAGAAGTAAGAGTGAACGGAACAGAAGAAGGCCCAGAAATAGAGCCTTTACTCGACGCTGCAGCCTGGAAGGGACTCTGGAAAGGAGCTTGCAAAGGAGTCTGCGCAGTGAACGCAGGAGACGGCTGAATCGATGGAGACGTCACGGTGGAGCGAATAGAGGAGGCTAGTGAGTAATGATGGGGATCGGAAGGATGAATGGCTGGGGAAGCGTTTGCTGAGTAGTTCCGTACATCTGAGGGATAGAGGTTTGGTGAGGTAGTGGTAGAATGTACACTACGATCACTGGGGTATATGGCGGGGGACATTTCAGCGAATTGGAACGTCTGTTTGGGTGGCGCATTGACCACATGTGTCGGAGAGACTGCATCTCCCATATCTTCATCCTCGTCCTCTTCTTCTTCCTCTTCTTCTATATCATTCGCACGATTCAGGACCGGAGGTGGCTGCGACATGCGAGGGGAAACAGGCGTGGGCGAATCTCGACGGGTGCGATGCGACTCCTTGAGATCGGCAACGCATTGCTCGAGATAGCGCATGTATTCGATGCTGGCCTATTGTCACGTTAGTCCACTGTCGTCGGAATAGTGTTGCGACGCGCTTGACGATGACCATGAGACGTACCTGCAGGATCGCTAATTTATGCATCTCTTGTCCCGCGCATGCGGGGATCATATCCTTGAGCACGCCGAACTCCTCGTTCATCTTAGATCTCCTTCGCCTTTCAATTAGGCTATGTGCGGTCTTGCGGGCGATCTTGCGACCCTGAGCGGTATTGGCAGCGGGCTGCTTCTTCTTGCTAGCGGCGCCCGTTGCAGGTGCAGCAGCCTTGGAGTTGTTCGCAGCGGCTGGCTGGGACTTTGGGATCTCCTGGGATTCCTTTGGTTGCATTTGGATGATCTTGCGGGACCGCGTGGGCGGTGGAGGCAGGGAGTAGTCATCTTTGGTAATGATGGAGGTAGAATTCGAATTCGAATTTGAGTTTGAATTGGACTTTATGGTGGATGAGCGCTTGCGTGAGGCCGGGGCAGTTTTGGATTTTGCGACGGGGGAAGAAGGCGATAGTGGACGATAGGAGGAGTCGGATGCATTTGAGGCATTGGAAGGAGTGGAGGAGTCGACGCTTCCCCGACTACCTAGGGCAGCAGGTGGGAGGGAAAATGAAGCATCGAATTGGCCAACATTTGCACTGGGTTTGCCAGTGATATCTGTAGAGGCAGCGGGCGTTGGGGGAAACTTTGGACGAGGCATGATGGGTCGTTGGGTAGTCCGGGGTATACTGGCGTTCATTGAGGGCCCCAGATGGGGAGTGGAGTGGGTGTTCAGGTACCTAAACCGATGAATGGATAGATGGAAGTGAAGAGTATGACGAGATAGCCACCACTTTTGGTTTAACAAAACTGAAAAACGAAGAGCAGTAGATACAAGAGAGGTAGGAGAATAAGAGATGAAAAGGAAAGATTGCGAAAGAAGACGAAGAGGAGGATATGGACGTGGATATGATAGATAAAAGTGTCGCGTGCTTTGTCGGAGGTGTAGCAAGTTGGGGGGAGGGGACGGAATGGACGAATCAGAGTGCGAGAATGGTCCACGCAGGCACGCTCATGGTTTCCCAGAATGCGTTTTCGACTCAACCGCCAATCCAGCCCAAATCCAGTCCAGCAGTCACACATAGTCATAGTCTCCATCTATTCACTCCAACTCCAGTCCAGTCCAGTAGTTCCCCTCCAGATCCCTTCTTCCTTCGTCAACCTTCCAATGACATCTTTCCTGACACACCCGTGCATCTCAAACGCCATCCCCGAGGGGCTTTCCCCCATTGCTTGATCTACTCTACAGTGTCTACTTCCCAACCCGTCGTTCCCCTTCGATCCCATCATTCCCTTCGCCCTGCAAGCCCACTAGCTGCCTAGGTAACTGCCTAGGTAACTAATCTACAAGGAACCCTCTTCCTCTATCTCAACATCCTCTAAACACCACGCCTCTTGAGCACGTGGGCATCTCCTCATAGTAGATTCAGAGCCCGATATTCCCCATACATGCCACAGTAGCCATACCATGCCTTCAAGCATCCCCGGATCAGGGTCCTTTGATTTCCTTCTATCTCTATGTATACCAAAGCCTTGACGTGTCCTCATACGATGTAGACATATTCCCTACACCACATCGAAGTTGAGATGCAGTGGTAGATATAAGCATGTTATCTGTCTTGTTGGCATCACATGTCAACAAGGAGGTAAATAGATAATATGTATTACTACTGTGCACTGTCCCTTGAGAGAATTCCCCGATACGCAATGCCAAAGGTACTCGTACGTGCCATACAAATACAGGACATATGCTTACCATCCTTGGCATTCCATCGCTACGAGTACGAGTAAGTTGAATATCACTCAGCTCTTATCGCTCATTCCGACAAGAACCACCTTAGGCCGAGCCAGGTATCAGATCCTTTTTGACAGACATTGATATACCTTGCCTGTCGAAATTACCGCATTTTGAGCATTACGGTTTCGACGTCACAAGTAGTTAGGAGGAGTGATTTCTAGCCTGCGCCACGAGCACGAGACCACCACGACGAATGAGGAAGCTGCAACAGGACCTTTTGCTCGATCAATGTCATAGTACGAACAAATTTCTTTTCAAAAACGGCGCGAGCCACCCCAAAGGGAAGTATGAAGAACGCCCCAGCATGCAGGTTGGTATAGTATCTCTATCTAACAAGACTTCTGTACTTTTTTGGTTTCAACCCCGGACCTCCGCCTAATTCCACAATCTCAACGTCCCATCCGCACCCGCACTAACGCACCATGGCTCCCTCGGATGCCATTGCACATCCATGACTCCTAGCCTGCTCTTGACTTGATGGCCTCGGAGCACCTTCAATGGAACAATAGTAGCGTTCTCCATGAGATCTCCCACCACCTTGCCATGGAAAATCTGGAGACTTCCGTCGTCGCTGGCGTCGGCGAAGAGAGGCAGCCCACCTTGGTGGTACGCGACGGCACGGATGGCCTCCTGGTGATATCGAAGAGTCTTGTAGGGTTTGTTGGAGAGGTCGAGGTCGTGCCACAAAAGACGCTTGTCGTACGTGCCGACGATGAGATTGTCGCCGCCGGGGTGCACGTCGAACGACGAGATCCATTTGGCGCCGGGCTGGATGATCTTGACGAGCTCCTGCTTGGCGAGATCGTAGCTGCGGATTGTGTTCCTGGTCGCAACGAAGAAGATGGGCTTGCTCGGGTGGAACTGTGCGGACTGCGCCAGACCCTTGAGTCGGCGGAAGGGCAGTTGTGTGAGGTGCTTCGACACGGTGTGGATGGCGACAGAGCTGCTCTGGCCGCGCGGTGAGACGGTCGCGAAGTAATCGCCCCTTCGGTGCCAGTTGACCACCTTGATGGTAGATCGGACAGTGGCCTGGACCAGCACACCCTTGTTTTCGAGCTTGGTCCCGGGGCGGCTCCACTTCGCTGGGGGCTCTTTGGTGATGGCGCCGCTGGTCTGCGGTTTTGTGGCTGCGTAGCCCCATCCAGCATCCAGCAGATCTCGTCCAGCTTGCTCGACGTCAGGCGTGAGAATGGTAAACGGAACGATGAGGTAGATGGTCTCTCCGGCAGCGGCGGCCAGCACGGCAGCGTCTTTGCCTGGCCTCCAGCTCACAGAATCGACAGCATCCTCGTCAGACAGCTTGACGTTCCATACCTGCCTGCCGGTAAGGATCTCCCATATGCGTGCATAGCCATCATCTCCTCCGGAAGCAACGTAGATGCCTCGAGAGTCAATGGAGACGCTGCGCACGCGGCCCTCCTGGCCACGGAAGATGGCGGCGCAGGTGGATGGGAAGGGCTTGAGTTCATCGGGATTGGGCAGCTTAGGCAACAGCGACTCTGGGTCGATGTTGAGCTTGTTTCTGCGTACACGTGGTGCCAGGTAGAGATCCAAACTGCGCTCGAATCGTTCCTTGACGAACCTATCGTATCCTGGGACTTTTCGTAGTGCCTCGTGATTTCGAGGCAGATACTCCCGCTCGCGGTCTTCTTCATCCTCTTCCTCCCAAGCGGCAATCTCTGCTTTGTCGGGTAGATACTCGGCTGGGGGATGGTAACTCTGGTCGTAGCCTGGTGGGGGCAATTTGGGTGCGGCAATGTGCATGGAGTGTTCCGGTCGGGGTGTCTCGTCTGCCCAAACATCATAGCTAAACTGTTGCTCCTCCTCCTGCTCTTCGTCTCCAGTCGGTTCCTTGTATGGTTGAATCCTGCCTTCTCTTATAGCCTTGACAATCTTCATTACTCGCTTGGCTTCATGCTTAGAGGGCACGAATCGTCGTTTGGGCTCAGGAGCAGCGCTCAGAGGCATGATTTCCTCCTTACCAGAGAAGTAGGTGATCATCTCTGGGTACGGGTCATAACCATCCTCATGTATCTCGTTCCTAGTGACTCGTCGGAGAACGTCCAATTCCTCTTCCGACAGTTGCAGCGGCTTTCCAGTGGCCGGATCAGTGAGACCAGTCCAGCCCTTAGGAAGATCGATGCTGTCGAGAAGCGCATCGAGAGCCTCTCCCTTTGCAGGGCGCATGATCTTCTTTCCATTGATATCATAGCCTATGTGTGGGTAATTATCGTAGTATTTGAGGGGAATGTTGCCGATGGTGTTCGTAGTCTCTGGTGCATCGGACTCGTCGGAGTCGTACACAGGATCGATCTCTTTGTAGATGTAGCGTGTGTTGCCATTGGCATCGGTGGTGACGGTGTAATTGGGCCTGTCGTCGTCATCGGAATCGAGGTGGTCGTTTGCCTCAGCATCGCCATTGAGGTCTTGCTCGTGGGTCAAGCCTGAGGTTTTCTTCTTCAACGGCTTGTCTGAAGTGCTGAGGTCTCGTATTTGCTTGCGGACAGCTTCTTCACTATCGGAGGGTATCTCATCGCTATCAATATCCTCCTCATCCTCATCGGAGAGACCCTCGATGTCGCTGCTTCCTATACTCTCCTCCTCATCTTCGTTCTGGCTCTCGCCAGACTCGTCCTCGCTGTGCGACAAGATGCCTTCCAAAAGACCATCTGCCAATTCCTCGTCAGAGAAATTGTCTACTGGTACTTCGCGCGTTGCAGCCTTCCGTTTTCTTGTAATTATGGCCATTTTGGGGTGTGGAATGCAGAAATGCGCATTCGCAGTTTTGGACCATTTGGTTTTCCAAAAAATTTACCGCTGGGAGATCGCAGGATCCCTGTCGCCAAGATTTCGCGCCGATAGGATCACGTGCTACGCTGCGCTGCCTGGCCCCGTTTGGCGCTAGTCGGCGCTAGTCGGCATCGACGTCAAAGTCCCAAACTCACTTAAACTTTTACCCTCAACACAACAACGCTCGTCCTCCGATTGGCAACAACAGATTCGGAGGGACCCAAGCGACCAACAGAACAACATAGTATTACCCACAAGCCACGATGGCTTCTCGGTACGCTGATAATTCAAGGAGTCGCTACGACGACCGCCGAGGAGGTCGCCCTGCTCCCCGCCGCGACGACCGCTATCGAGACCGAAGGGACGACCGCAGGGACGACCGCCGCGATGATCGGCTCGAAGATAATTTCGACGACAGGCGTGACCGCGACCGCAACTCCTATGCGCCTTCACGTCGCCGGTCCAGGTCTCCTGTCCGCCGTCCAGATCGAGGCCGACTTGATCGCTCGCGAGACCGATATGACGACCGCCCCAGGCGCGAGCGCGAGCTCGAGCACGACCGCTCTTACGACAACAGAGGAGGCGACAGCTACAGGCGCGGTGACCGAAGCAGAGATCGTGGACGCGGCCACGGTTACGGGCAGCGTTCGTATTCTGGAGATCGGCGACGTGGATCAAGCGCCTCATCTCGAGGTGATAAGCGTGAGCCTGAGAAGCCAAAAGATGATCCCAAGGCGGCCCAGCAAGCTAAGCTTGCTAAGCTAGCTGCATGGAAGAAGGAACAAGAGGCAAAGAAGAAGGCGGCGCAAGCCCAGTCTCCCGCAGCTACCGCCCCTGCTACACCCATAGCAGCATCCACACCCCCAACACGCGAAGCAACTCAAGAGCCCGCTAAAGAAAATACAGAGACGTCGAAGCAGGCTCCCAAAGCGCCCTTCAAGCTCGACGAGTCTGCCAAAGTGAAGCCGCTACAAACAAAAGCTGCGGGCAAGTCTGTGGGACCCACCCGTCTTGGTATGCATGACATAGTATTCACTCATTGCACCAATTTGCTAACCATTTCAGGCAATGGAACTTCGACTATCAAACCTCATGGTAATATATCAGCCTTTGGTCTCAAATCTAAACTTGCAGACGAAGTGAAAGAGGAAAAAAATGCTCTATTGGACGACGAGGACAACACCGGGAAACGTACGCTTCAGGCACTTCCCGAACTCGCGGACGGATCTTCCCCAGCTGCAATGGATGATGCCGCAATGAGTGACATAGCCAGCGACGACGAGGAACAGCTACAAATTCGACTTCAGCAACGTCGTGAAGAAGCGGCCATTGAAGAGACCGAGATGAAGGACGCTCCTCCTGTCGCAGACCAGACTCAAGATCGGATGGACATTGATGAGAAAGGAGGAGAAGAGGAGGACGATGTCGACCCTCTTGATGCATTCATGGCCGGCCTCTCAGCTCCACCCCCAACCAGCACTGCCCCACAGGGCCAGGCCATGTTCGCCGATGAACTCGAGCCGGATATGCATGCGGTAGAGGGTGAAGACCTACTGGCTCTGACTACGACAAAGAAGAAGAGGAAGGAGATTCCAGTCGTCGATCATTCCAAGATCACGTATGCCCCATTCCGCCGGAACTTTTACAACGAGCCGCGAGAGATTAGCGAGATGACTCCCGAAGACGTAGCCGATCTAAGACTAGAGCTCGATGGCATCAAAGTCAAGCCCATCGAAGGTACTCCACGACCGGTTGTCAAGTGGGCGCAAATGGGTCTTCTCCAGCAAACCATAGACGTCTTCAATCAACTCGGCTTCGTAAAACCAACCCCAATCCAGTCACAAGCCATCCCAGTCGCTCTTGCAGGTAGGGATATGTTTGGTGTTGCCAAGACTGGTTCTGGTAAGACGCTCGCTTTTGGAATTCCCATCATTCGCCATATCCTCGATCAACCTCCGCTGAAGTCTGCCGACGGACCTATCGTCCTGATTATGGCACCAACACGCGAACTTGTAGTTCAGATCCAGAACGAACTTAAACCCTTCCTAAAAGCTTCCAATTTGAAGATTGCGAGTGCCTATGGAGGCCCTCCGATTTCTGAACACATAGCGATGATCAAACGAGGTGGATTCTCGGCTCTTGTTGCCACTCCTGGTCGCTTGATTGATCTGCTACAAAGCAATTCTGGCCGTGTACTCAACTTCAAGCGAACAACTTACGTTGTGCTCGATGAAGCTGATAGAATGTTCGACCAGGGATTCGAGCCTCAGATCAAAAAGATTTTGGCTAGCATCCGTCCCGATCGTCAGACAGTTCTGTTCTCCGCAACGCAGCCCAAGCAAATTATAGCAACCTTCCGAAAATTCATTACGGATCCAGTCGAAGTGATCGTCGGAGGACGTAGCGTTGTTGCCCCCGAGATCACGCAAGTTGTTAAAGTTGTCAAGTCACCTTTCGGCAGCCAAAAGCTTAACCAGGTACTCTTGCACTTGGGTAACCTTTTCCACACTGGGGACGATGCCGATGTCCGAGCTCTCATCTTCGTAGAGAGACAGGAAGGCGCTGAAGATTTGCTCTCTAAGCTGATGAAAAAGGGCTATTCCTGCGACGCGATTCACGGTAATCGAGACCAACAAGATCGTTCGGACGCCATCGCAGATTTCAAGAAGGGCGCATTGCCGATTCTGATTGCTACATCCGTGGCGGCTAGAGGTCTTGATGTTCCTCAATGCCGCCTGGTCATCAATTACGACTGCCCGTCTCACTTGGAGGATTATGTCCATCGTTGCGGTCGCACGGGCCGTGCTGGCAACACTGGTACTGCCATCACCCTCATTGAGCAGCCGGGTCAGGAACGCTTCGCCATCCACATCGCCAAGGCTCTGAGGGATAGTGGACAGGAAGTGCCAGAAGCTCTCGAGAAGATGACAGAAGTCTTCGCTGAGAAGGTGAAGTCCGGGGAGGAGAGATGGTATGACCCTGGCTTTGGCGGCAAGGGTCTCGACAGGCTCGACCAAGCCCGAGCTATGGAAAAGAGGCGCGAGAAGCGTGCGCGCAAGGGCGAATTCGGTGATGAAAGCGACAGTGAGGAAGAGGTTCCCGCCGTCGTTAAGAAAAAGGACATCAAGACTGCTACCGCGGAAACCCCCGGTGCCCCTAGTGCTGGCAACGAGGAGGAGCCTTGGCAGAGCATCTTGAAGAGTGGCATCGTCGTCAACAAGACAGAGCGGCCAGCCCCTGGCGACAAGAACATGAGCAACGCCGAGAAAGCAAGGGCGGCTGCAGCCGCCATCAATGCACGCTTAGGTCAAAAGGGCCGTATCCATCACGGCCAACCAATCGACAACAAGGGCCCAGATGCTGGAGCCTTCCACTCCACTCTCGAGATCAACGGATTCCCTCAGAGGGCTAGGTGGGCTGTCACCAATCGCACCAACGTCGCCAAAATTCTCGATGCCACGGGTACCTCGATTACCACAAAAGGTAATTACTATCCACCAGGCAAAACGCCTGGCGAGAATGAACAGCCTCCACTGTACATCCTTGTTGAGGGAGAGAGCGAACACGTGGTTCACTCCGCGATGTCAGAGCTGCTCCGACTTCTGAAGGAGGGCACTTTGGCGGCCCAAGAAGAGCCTCACACCCGCGGCCCAACCGGCCGCTACAATGTCGTCTGAGCGGCAGTATCTAGCTTCTGCTAGATGTATTCGGCCAAACGTCTCCCTTTCAAGGTATGTATAAACTTGTGATATTAATGTACAAAACTGCCATTCCCTTGCACAATTTCTTTCTTCTTGCATCTGGTTATTCTGAGGTTGGCTGCATTGGGCCAAGGTCTTCCATGAGGTCGGTTGGGGCTAGGAGTTTTATGGTCAACACTTTTTCTATGGAGGCGTTTAGGGCCGGCAGGGTTTTACTCGATCACCTGTAAGTCCTGCGAAGTCTCACCTGGTCTGCCAGCCACGTTGAACACTGCCTTGAAAAAGTATACTGAATCTATAGGTCTTTCGTCCTGTTACCTCACATCAGATCATAGCTGCAATAGTGGCGACTGAGATGATTGGATGGGGTAACCAATATCAAGGAATCCGATGGGGGTGATAATTGAGACTTTGGGAACGGTTGCATTAAAGGAGCGAATACCACCGACGATTCGAAAGAGCATCAGGAAGCGTGTCTGCTCCAAGGGGCCTTTTATCCACGCTTACACATAGCGATCACGTAGCCTAGGATGATGCGTCTAGGCTCAGGTGCTTTTCGTAGCACGCATAATCAACAATAACCTTTCATGTTCATCTACATTGCAATTATGAAGTTGAGGTGTGTCATGATCAGCCGTTCGAATTGAAAGTGGAGTTATTCATTACTCTACTATTCATAACATAAGCAGCCGTTACAACTCCATACATACAAGCTAAGTCATATCCGCCCGTCTCAGTCCTGGTATATTTCTTTCAATTGCTCTCCGCTCATTCTACTCGTAACTTAAGATGACACTGAACCGTAGTCATAGTTTCTACAAAAAGTACGCAAATACAAGCGCAGTAAGTGTAGCAAGCATGGCAGCTGTGTTCTGCCTAGTAGACGAGGCGGCGCTCGCTCGCAGATGAGTATCGAGCGCCTTTCCGCTGGACTGTGTGATTACGTAGATCTCGCCGGTGGCGTCACTCGACATGTACAAGCGGCCCTTCTTGTCCCAAGCCAGACCCGCAGGGCGGAAGCAGCTCCCTGGGCATTCGTCTGTATTCGAATTGGACAAAATAGGAGACAGGGCGCTTGTGCTAGTAGACCCCTCGGTGGGCTGTCCGTCAGATCCGAACTTGACGACAGACACGGAGTAGCCAACAGGATCTTCTTTGTTCCTATTCTAACTGTCAATAGGTGCAGGCGATTGTGGACCCTATTCCGGAGGTAACTTACCAGCTTCCGCGCAGGGAGAGATAGAGGTTCTCGCCCTTAGTGTCGAACTTGAGATCGATGGGCGAGGTGTGTGGTTGGAAGACCAGACGCGGGGCTTGACGATCGCTATTACAGAATGCATCTTGGTTCGAAGCATTCTCTGCGGCGATGGCGAACTGCTGACCGACCTCGAGCCTGCCCGCAGAGGGGATCTCTGAGGGTTCCCACACGCCGTAGCAGAGTGGATAGCCGTAGTTCTTGTTCTTGAGCGAGTTTTGATCATCGGATAAGACTCCATGGTAGTTGAGCTCCTCGGCAGGGTTGTTCTCGTGGATTTCCATGCCGTTACGCTCGATGTTGTCGGCATTGTTGTCGGCGCTCCATACACCGCCGCCGTCGGGGTGTTCAGCGAGGCCGACGGCATTGCGCAGGCCCCACGCGAGAGTCTCGCCGTCGGTGAACTTCTGACCGGCCTTTGAGGGGTCGAAGATGCGGATCTGGGACTCGCCGCCATTGATGTCGACCGAGCTCAGGTCAATATTCTCGTCGCTGCCTCTTGAGACAAGCAATTTGTTCTTAGACTTTCGTGAAAGGAGGAGAGTGCGTGTGACGGTGCCATCGGTCCTCATGCCATTGATGATGGATTCGCCTTTGCCATTGACGGACAACTTGCCAGAGTCGTATTTGTACTTGAAGACCTCGTCAATAGTTGAGGCGTACAGTGTCTTTCCGTCATCCGAGACTTCAATTCCATGGTTGAGCTGTGCTCATGTTAGCTTTGTTCGAGAGCAGATAATTCAATGTGCATACCGAGCCATCCTCGACGATGGTCTTCTTGTCTTGCAGACTGACGCAAGAGTCAGAGCTGTCGACCTTGAAGGCAGAGATTCCCTTCTCACGTTCAACAACAAGAAGATTTCCCTTGTTATCAAAGGAGAGGCCTCGGGGTTTGTTCAAGTTCTGTGCAACGAGGCGTGCTTCATAGCCACTGGCCACTGATGGAGCAGGGTAGCTGGCGGTCAGTGAGGGACAATTAGCAGCTGCAGCGCGAGCCTGCAATACAGCAAGTGTGAACAAGATCTGATTGAGCATGATTGATTATGGTCGCAGTAACTGATCTAATGGAGGAATCAGATTCAAATTACTTAAAAGACGCCGAATCAATGTCTTCGAAGCTACAGAGCTATTGATGAAGATTCGATTGCTCGGTGACGACTGAAGCGGGGCACATTGCTGCACTCTTACATCGTAGCAATATATATCCCACTGAGCACATGGACAATTGCTGCATCCCCTGGCCCACACAAACACAATGAGGCCATGACCATGCCGAGCGATCGCTTCCCTACGCCTATCAGATGCGCTAAGAATGATCAAGGAAGCGTCAAAGAGGTAGAGGATGGCAGCAAAGCAGCAGGGTATCAACTTGCCGACCAATGGTAAAGCATGTTACTCCATTCAGTCTTTACAAAAGCAACATCTAGCGCCATCATGAGCAGATATCTGCCTGCCCAGTCGACCGGGATACCGCTCTCGAACACTAGAGCCCAGACGTAGGGAGACGAAAAAGGGAATGAGTTAGCAATCAAATGCCAATCCACTATTTACCGCAAGCCTGGATTAGTGCTCGGTACTGGGGATAGATGCCGCGGACGGTGCCAGGCTCCTGCCTTATCATGCTAGAGCTCGAGACCTTGGCGAGGCGAATCCATAACTTCTATTCAGTTGCCGTTAAGATGGAAGGAATTATGTTCCTCAAGGTTCTTTCCAATGTCCATGGAAAACGAGTGCCTCACCAAGTGGCTTACCTGTCAAGATGCCCAACAGCATGCACTCTTGATCCTTTGAGGGTGTACAGCAACGATCAAGCACTCGAACGATAAGTAAGAACATCTCTTGCACGCGGGGCAAGTCTTGACCGAAGGCTGACAAGAGGCGTTTGTACTGGAGCTTGGCTTGTCCCGTTCCGTATCAGAATATGGGTCTAGCTTCTCCACCTTTAGCCGGTACTAGTGCGGGGTTGGATCTATGCCAGCTCGCAAAATAGTGAATGTATCCACGTGCGGTAACCATCCTGTTGGATCAGACCGCTCGTTTGTCCTATTCTTTCTGCCGCAGATGCCGCTACTTTTACGCAGGCGCTTTATAAATTATCCGGAAAAGCAATTGTAGGCTTGAGGACCCCGCCATTGCCGCAGATCAGCCTCCTTGGGTGGTGATAATGGATCTGAACCTACAGCTAATGAGAGTCATAGTCATGTAGCTGCCTGGGAATCTTGACACACCGTAAAACCTAATCTCAGCGCCGTACGTGATTTCAAGAACGGTGAGACCTGTGAATGACAAGAACAGAAAACGTCAGCTTCGCCTTCAAGAATATCAAAGTGTGCAATCGGATGCAGAACTGTGAGAATAGATAGCATATCCCAAGTGTTCTATATGTAGAGGTAGTGGGCTGTCACACCTCTGCGTACATTTACATATCCTTGTCCTCGTCCATTCCCGGCCACAAAATCCTCTTCATCCACACTCCACGGATGCATGCAACTACCGTAAAGAGCCACATGCCTGCCAACAGCACGGTCATGACACTACTGAGCCACATTATTCCCTCGCTTTGCAGCTCAATCCCAATCTTTGCGGTGCCGACAGCGAACCCGACGTTTGGGAAAATGAACGCCCACCAGGGCAGCTTAAAGCCCATCTTCCCGATACTCATGACACAGCTTATCGTCGCAATAGCGAAAAGCCAAAATGTGAAGAACCATATAAAGATTCCAATGAGCAATGCCATAGTTTGCAGTATCTCTACAGACATCGGGTGCGATGCCCAGTATCCGTAGTCTCTTGGGATTGCCTTTGCTTGTCCTATGAGTGCCACTATGGTGTATGCAAATAGTCCAAGGGGTATGTACATCCCAGGTCTCATATCTGGTGGGGGCAACCCTCTTTCAAAGAGCTGGGTCAGATACATGGTCAGCAATAGGAGAGAGAATAAGAAGCCGAAGCCCTGGAATGTCAACCCAGAGACGAGCACGGCGGCCCTTCTCTCTGGCGGTTGACTATGGGCTATCAATGCGCTTAATGTCCCGATAAGCATGTTCGAATAGCCCAGCAGAAACCAGGCTGGATTTACTGGGACAGGCCTTGCAGGCGTTCTCGCCATGAATACCCAGAACTGGAGGGTTCCAGTAACTACGGCGACGCCAGTGTAGATCCAGTACAAGGAGTGAATAGCGGAGATTAACCATGGGCTTGCCGGGCCTAAAGTTACGCCATATAGTTGGATGTTTCCGATAATTGTGACCATACTCAAAAGATAGGAACCGAAGAAGAATGACTCGGCCGGATGTATGAAGGATCGTTTAAATCGCACAGGATCAATAAGGCAACGAGCAACCATCAGACCGCTCAGAAAAAGGAAAAGCGCAATGTTGAGAATCATGACAGCAACTCCAATTGCGTAAAGGCCTTTGATAGTCAGCGAACCAGTGCTTATGCAAGGGGACGCAAGCAGTGCGGCATATTGATGAACGTACCCGTAAATCTATGTGGTGTTTCAGCAAGCGCGATACCCAGCCCTCCTGTACTCATTGTCGACGTGAACCAAGCCCACGTAAAGTGCCTGATTCTCTCCCGAAGGTTGGTCTGACCATCTTTGTTTGGTGCATCTTGATGTGTTTCCTGCACCGTACCATTCTGGGATGTGTTGTTATCATGCTTGGATTTCGTGCCATGTTCTGACTTCTTTCCATCAATCTGATTACTATCAGGACTGATTTGTGTCATGTCGGATCACACGTCGTCGTTTCAACTGTCACTTATTTAGGGAGGTTGTGATAGGCCGTGGCATGGCGTCGTCGATCGGAGCGGACAACTCACAATCAACGAACAAGCGATTTCCAATTAATCAATTCAGAATTTTGTGTGTTCAAAGATACCAAATATTGATGTACATATTGCGGAAAGGTCTGGTGAGAGTAATTGCATGATGTGTTGTAGTCTGTAGAGTAATCGTGGAGTTTGGGCGCTATGACGTTGCTAAGCCGGCAATATCCAGTCAGGCAAGCTATTATATCCGAACCTACATCGACATTCCAACGGAAATCTCTTGCTACTATCTTGCGGGAATAGAATGAATTCAAGATCCATCATCATCCATACTTTTACACTTCCAAATCCTTAACATGGCCCTTTTCTAAGTTTCGCCTGCCCCGCATGTACTGTCTTACTTCTCTCGGGCCTAGCCATCGATAATTGACAGGGCTTTCTCCCCCGACAAAGACGAAGCTATCATATAGAAGTCCACCAACAATGCTTCCAGCTAATGCAGCACCCCAAGGTCCATAAGCCCACCACCCTGTCGTGAATGTCTGAGTTCCGTAGCCGGCCCACAGCGCAATGAGACGGGGCCCGAAGTCACGCGCAGGGCTGATGGCTGGCCCGGTGTTGTAGCTCATGGTGATTACGAGAAGGTAATTTATCAGGCCGAGAATAAGAGCATTCATACCTGAAAAGTTCCGTCAGCATATACAAGATCACATCGAGAAGGTAATGACATACCTGCACCAGGCGGGGAATTTTGATCATCCCCCAACGCGAACACAACACAGATCAATAGTGCTGCGCTTACAAACTCATTGAAGAACGCTGTACTGGTAGACACCCAGGTCTGAGGCACTGTATAAATAGCTTTGCCTGTCAACTCCTGCGTCAATCCTGGATCGAAGTGGTAGATTGAGTCGCGAAATAATAGCCATGCTAGCCCACCTGCACAAAAACCAGCAAACAGCTGTGCAAGACAGTATGCAAAACACATTCGCCAGGGAAATCCGCGAAACAGGGAAAGACATATCGATATGCAGGGGTTGAGATGTGCTCCAGATATACCACCAGCAAGATAGATACCGACCATGACAGCCATTCCCCAAGCCCAGGCCTGGGTCTGGAATCCACCTTGTGTGTTGTTGGATGTGGTGACTGAGAGATTGCCACATATACCAAGGAAAATGTAGACTGTAGTCTGCGGAAATGTTAGCCTATGTCACATCATCTCGCCCATTCAAGGGTCCAAGGAATAGCATCAAGCTATGCAACAACTTACCGCCAGCCATTCAGCTAGTATCTGCGGATGGCTAGCCCGAAATCTTGCAAGTGGATTTCTGTACTTCGCATAGAAATCTCTACGAGCTTGTGCCTCCTGTTCCTCTATCTCGTGCTGCTGTTTCCGGGTACCCGAAGTTGTCCCCGTTTCTGTTTCGTGCAATGGTGGTAGGCCGTCTTGTAGACCAAATGTGTGTCTATTTGGCTCTCGCGACTGAGAGAATTGCAATCCGTGCTCATCTGTACCTCTATCGCGAAGTACTTGCTCGGCCTCTTCACCCTCTACACGGCGTACACCTAGCTTTCGGCCGCCAATATCCGCCTCAAACTGTGCTAGGGGTCTTCCGGCGTCGTCATGTGCTTGGGATTCTATTGGGATTTGAATGTCCGGAAATGCAGCTGTCCAATATATTAGCCCTTGCAGCGGTTCGATACTTGCAGCTTGGTACCTACCACCATCGTCATCACCAATCTCGTCTTTCCGGCGCTCTACCTTGTATATCTCTGGACGTTGATCACGACCCCATCGCATACCCTTACGAACTGTACGCGGTAGAGGCTGAGCAAGCCCAAAGACGGGCTGATCGGGTTGTTGGTCATGCCATGGATTCAGTACATAGTACTCGTTATCAATGGGCACTGTTTGCTGCTGTGTCTTTTCTGTGCGGTGCCGTTCAAGTGTCGAGGTACCAGGCCCCTGGAGCATCGAGTTGCCGTTCTGGCTTCTCCATCGAGAGAAGGTGGTTGGTACTGTGTCTGTTCGCACTGGACCAGGTCTTGCAACATGTGTTGGCTCATTTTGTGATGTTGTTCGAGTGTCAAGTGCTGGAGGAGATGAGAAGTCCTGACATTCGGTATCTGTAGTCCTGCGTGGCAAAGAACCATTGTCGCCGTTTCTCAGGGTATCTCCTGAATCTCGATTTTCTAATTCGTGTCAGATGCTCTGTGCATACTCATCTATTGCGGATACATGCATCGCTGCGACGTTTGCCTAGAAGTGACTCACCAGAAGTTTCAGGCATTTTATTTTTCAGAGGTAAAGATCTAAAGATTCTGAACCAGTAATGCTCGATGGCTCTTGAGATTTATGAAATGGTTTGAAAAAAGAGTTTTCGTGGAGTTGAACATCACGTATGGCAGACGTCATACTTGCAAATAAATTACAAAAGAAAAGATTCACCGAAGATGAGTCGAAAGAGACAAATTTACCACCAAGACCACCTAAAGGCTATACAGATTCCACAGTTAGATCAATTGTTTACTCTCTCAATCTCATTATGGAGGCTGTGGTTGTTGTCGACTGGCGATTGTTCGCCAACATGAAAATGTTACCGCGGGCATATGATGCCCACTGGTCCCGCCTCAACAGTCGAATGTCGAGCCTGGCAGCTTATCAGTTTTAACGGACAGAGTCCGCCGAGGTGGGAAAGAGCCAACAGCTTGAACGAGCGGTCACGGAATAGAACAAATCCCGCGAAAGTCTGTTATACCTAAATGCTACCCATGCAAACCATAGCTCGCGAGGCGGCAAGACTACGTTGGGAGATTCAATGGTTCTTGAAGACCGTTTTTCAGCTCAACTAAATTTGAAAGAGGGTGTTGGGCATCGATACAGATTGCTTCCATCGTCTATCCTCTGGAATTGTGCCCTGACTACAAGCATGTGCGGTCTCCGAATCTTCAATAAAGTCTCATTAGCCACACACCACATGTAGGAGATAAAGGAGACTAGTTTAAGTGCGAAATCCGATAGCAGCAAGCCACTTCATCCATCCTTGTCATCCGACCGTACCGAAAACAAAAACGTCAAACATGACGTTGGTATCGCAAAAGCCCTCGTACCAAAAGGAAAAAGCAAAACTAAATATACCTTGCTGTGGAAGGTATCCAGATACGATCCTGAAAATGCTTCAAAGGTCCCGCGGTGACATCTTCGGTCTCCTTTTACCGGTGGTGTAATTAGTCAGACCCACCATGACAAAAAATGACTATACTAATAGTAACGATGAACGAGACTCGTAGTTGCAACCTAGCAAGGCCCTTGCGTATCTATCACGAAGCCGCTGGAGATTTCCTGAAGGTCTTAATCTTGATCTGAGGATGGCCAAACCCCCACGTGTTGTGCTTGCGAAATGCTATCCCCACTACTGCGCCAACCTGCTGGAAGACAAGAATGAGACATTCGGGTAATTGTGGGTCGGAAATGGTTGAGTAGAAAGCTGCACATGAGATGTTTGAAATGTGTGACTATTCATTAGCGTGTAGGCCCGAACAGCCGATGCAGCGCAGGGTGGAAAGAACTTCATCCCCAACTGATGATCACGTGGCCGGTCGGTGCATATTTCCTCTTTGGTGAAGGCGAACGCAGGTACTGACACTACAGGCGAAATATGCTAAATTCGGGTAGGCTACATTATGGTATCTATACACATTCGAAGTTATGGGACATGCACTCATCCCAACTCCATGGTTTAGGTGATGCCAGCCAACAGCCGTGGTCGACGTTGTGGCCGCCGTTGTGGCCGCTGGGATGTTCGATATGAAGCCACGAGGCATGTCCACTTGGCGCAGTATATCGAAATAGTTCCAAGACCCCACGTCCAAGCGCTTCGTAGATTCAATCAATCATCTCATGAGGCTGCAATCAACTTGTTCTGTTCTTGAGCTAACGTCAAGCCTTCCGGCGCTTGCCTGAATAGCACGATCTCGGATTGTTTGAAGTAGCGCCGCGCATCTGCATTAGAAATTAGCCAAGCACAAAGCAGGACGACGCGGTAAGAGGTTAGGTTGCGGCAAGGCAGGAAGATCTTGCGGGGAACTGCGGCACTACGACTGTCACTTACCCTCGTCAATTAGAACCAAGCTCAAATAGTATCGTGTGGAGTATTTCTTATTGACCTCGCGGAAGGTTGGGGTCAAGTCGAAGCCACCCAGGAACAACCGGATTGGAATTGTCTCTCCTGTTCTTCATTAGCTTGGGCAGATCGAAAGGGATGATATGAAAAATACCTCGAGAAGGAGAGCCGTCCATGATCTCAAACCGCACTAGGGTCTCGCTCTCGTTATACTGATTTGGTGCGGCGCCTGTAGTTTCCCTCCGGATGATAGAAAGCTCCATATGCTTTATCTTCAAGCGCACCAAGAGGAAGTATATCCTTCCTACTATGACGTCCTTCAGGTGGTATTTCGACTTGGAGTATTCGAACTCAATGTGCAAGCAATCCTCAATTCCAACATCCATCTTGATCGAGCTGTTGGTTTCCGGGGGAATCCGATAAGAGTATACCCAAAGATCCTTTTCCCGTACAACATCTGCCATGCGACGCGAGACTGTGACGCGCACAAAGTACCGTAGCTTTACATTGATGCCGTTGTAGGATTCGTATTGTTTTTCAACGTTCTTGAAATTGAACTCGAAGGTTTGGGGATGCTGGAGGTCGCCGGGAGCGGCGAGTTCCTGACCAAGAGAGAGGAACTCATGGTGATTACCGCGGTCGAAAAACATCTCTATCATCAAGGAAGAAAGGGATCAGTTACTGAGGTTGAAGCTTGGTTGCCTGGGATGCGCGACAAGGGCTCACCCACCAATTGTGCCGATGAATTGGACCTTGATGCCCGTATGTTCTAATCGCTTTCCATCTTTAGGTCTGATAGTGACTGCGCCTTTGACCGACTCTCCATCCAGATATAAAGGTACTTTCTCCTTCCGGTCCTTGTCAAGCTTCACATCCACGGCGGAGCGATCATCTAGATCTTCCAGGACGATGTCGATGTCCACGGGGGTAGAGAAGAAGTAGGACATGACGTGCGAGGGCGGTGCGACGGCTGGTAGCAGCGCGATGGAGTCGAATCGTTGCTTGGATGCGGTGGATGATGTGTACTCGAAGCTGTTCAATGTGTGTCGTAGGCCTGGCCTGTAGCTCACCTCACCTAGCTTGGTGTCTCGGTGCTGGGTCCCTCCCTAGATTCGGCCAGTCCAGTGACAAGGCAGGACAGGCCAAACCTGCTTTGGTTATGCTTAGTCACCAAGAGCGCACCGCCACGTTCTTTCCCTCTTATCGATAATCTCTCTCCTCCATCCCAAACTCAACCTCAATTGAGCCTCACTGCCGCCATCAGCCTTACGCCCCTCATCATGTTAATGACGACGCATTGAGTTCCAGATCTCCATGGGTTTCATTACACGTTCGACTAGCTTCCTCATTATTGCTTACTTGCTACGGTCGTCATCGCTGCTGCTACTATAATCTTACTGCTTCGAGGACTCTTTACATACACGAACCACGTCACTCGTCACTGCACCTGTTCCGTTCCGAAACATGATCACAGGACCTTGACGGCCCGGGTGGGCGCTCTTCGGTACTTGCGGGCATTGGAGGCATTATTGGAAGAGGCGGAGATGCGCACCTTACAGGGCTTACAGCAACTGCATGCATTCAACATTGCAGACATATCACATACATATACATACAGTACATACATACATGCGGAGCTGGCTGTATGTGCTCCGCCGACGAACAAATTATGCAGGTAACATGGTCTATTGCCTAACAAGCAGGCGGTGAGTTACAATACTCCATGCTTGTCCATCAGTATCGACATCCAGTTGGTGCCTGATGTAACCAGTCTCGGAGTGCTTTGCCCCATTGGCCGTCCCTACTACGCCTGTTCAAGTTCTGGAGCTTTTCCAGGCTGGCTCTTTTCAGTCAAGCTATGTGGGCGGCGCTGGTTGCCCAAAAAATTCTCCAACATGATGGCACGCTGGTTCCAGTTCGCTCCAGCTCGCTCCAGGGAAGGACTCCGCGCTAAACTACCGTATGCGGTCCGAATGCTTTTGCTTTGTACGCCAGCAGGGCCAGCTCGTGTGCGCGTGGGGAATGTGACCCCCACGCGTTATTATCCAACGGCTTCTGAGTCGTGGGCGCCTCGAAGACTAGCTTGTTGTTTCCCTCCACCGGTTGTAAACTTGTGCTGAAGAAAAATTGATGAGACGGAAGGGAGGCGAGCTGCATCGCGAAGAGTGCGGCGTAATGGTGTGAATTTGCCATTTACCCCGAATTGAGGGGGGCCCAACAGCAGGAGCGCAAGGGTTGTGTTGGGTTGCCAGGCTGCAGATGCGGTGCATGCAATTGCAGGACCTGAATGCGAGTTCCTGACTTTTCTGATGTGGGAGGGCCAGGGAGGTGCTGGGAGGGCGACTGGGATGGCGCAAAAGTGCGGGGACGCGCGGTGAGCACCTCCCAGCTCCTCCCAGCACCTCCCCATCCAGAGGCGCCAACATCCCACGCAACTACGCCTAGACTGTACCACCATCGACTTTTTTTATGGTCACTATGGTCACTATGGTCGATGGTCATGACGGCTTCCTTTGCCCTTCAAACGCCGACACCCCTGACCTTGGACATTCTCACCACACTCCGAACTCCAGCGGCCCGCGGATCTGTGTCGGGGGCAAATCAATTCGTTGGTCGAATACGCCAGCCCAAACCCGGCACTGCTATCCTCTCCCCCATCCCCCATCATTCAAGGTTGGGCGGAAGCCAGCGCGATTCTCCCTGATTCGTACTTATCCTATGGGGGCATACTGTGACATCAAGCCTTGGCCGATTCACTTTTTCACACCTATTTCCAGTTCCACCACCCTTGCCGTCATGCGGGCCGGCATCTGTGCGGGTGGAATTTCTTAAATATGGGCACTGCCCCTGCTCCATATTCGTTTTACAATTATTATTGCTGCTTACAGTTGGCGTGAGGTCTCTCTTGGTCATATCGTGTTTGCTCTACTGCATATATAGCCCGGTGCATGTCCTACCTGAACTCTTTGTTCTACCAAGCACGCTACCCGATACCTCTTTCCCATCACCGTCACCCCATCATTACCGCACTAGGCCCCTAGGACCATTACACAATCTCTTATTGTTTGTCCGTTTGTCGAATACACAAACATGTTGCAAGCACAACCTTCTCAGCCAGCGCCTGCTCATTATGTCGCCGCTCCCACGCCTCCTATGTCTACTCCAGGTTCTCCTTCAACAATCGCTCCGACCAACACCCACACCAGCACTGCCATGAAGATCTCAAGCAACCACCATATTTTGATCGTTACCGGCCCAGCAGGATGCGGCAAGAGCACTGTTGCCAAGTTCCTTTCCGAACGCTACGGTTTCGTGTACATTGAGGGCGATGATGTTCGTACACCCTCCATTGCATTTGTTCATCTCAAGCTAATACCCGTTTCAGTTCCACCCTCCAGCAAACATCGCAAAGATGGCTGCCAACATTCCTCTGGATGATGCCGACCGCTGGGACTGGCTCATCCTTCTCCGCGACCAAGCCTTGCAAGCTCTGAAGCAGGGAGCCAAGGGCGTTGTTGTCACGTGCAGCGCTCTCAAGAAGAAATATCGCGATGTGATCCGGACAGCGCGTCTCTACGACGAGGATCCTAATGCAGATGTCCACTTCGTGTATCTCCGCGCCTCCAAGGAAACTCTTCTTGCTCGTGTCGCAGCGAGACAGGGCCATTACATGAAGGATGCGATGGTAGTGAGCCAACTCGCTGCCCTGGAAGAGCCCGACGCAGACGAAGTCAACCGACTCAAAGACGTCTCGGTGATTGATGTTAAGGGTACGCCTGCCGAAGTCCAACAGCTCGCTACCGTCGCAGTCGACGGTGTTCTTGAGGAGAAGGATATCAAGTAATCGGCAGAAGGATTTGGCTGCAACTTCATCTCTTCTACCTTCCTCCTGTCTATCTCTTAGCGTTTAGCATCTTCGGCGTCTCTATTGGCATTTGGGGTGGACTCTGAAAATGGCGCAGAGTAATATATTATATCCAAGACCAGGGCCAGGTTGTCTTAATTGTTGTTGAGGGCGGTGTGCTCTTTGTGGTTGGCGGACTATTGAGCAATTATATTAACGCAATTTATCATGCATTTCGAAACCGATTATGGGTCTTCAATGTACCGACTCTGTGCGAAGAGATGATGTCCAAACTGACACTGGTGATCCAGGCTGTCGGAGCGCGCGATCAAGCCATGATCTGTCGCGCAGAGACCATCTGCACGCACGTGGGCTAGGAACTCGGCGAGCGGCACAATTTCCCCAGATTTCGCGATTTAGGCTGCTTACTTCCCCGATATCCTGGGTCGTAGGCGCATCGCAGGGCCAGAGGCAACCTGCATGATGATAGTAGCGATTGTCAGAGAGAAGGGAAGAAACTTCGTGTCGTATAGCAAATTTTCGCATGCTCTGGACTTTTTTCTTCTTCTTATCAACACAGTCGGGAACGTGCGTATTTGCTCCTGATGATTGCTTGAGCCGAGCTCCCAGCCTTCCCTTTAGGGTTAGGACAACGGTCACCCCAGATGCTGTCATGTTTTCGCGGCTCTTGTCGGCTTTACCCTCCCACCTTGGAACCTCGGGGCCATTATTGTGTCTTCAAGAATGAGCGATGCCTCTCTTTCTGATCTCTACACGCCCGCAATGAAGTCTGTAATCTCGAGAGTAGCCTGCCGCCACGGCGCCGCCAACAAGGCACCAATTACCGCTTGTAGACAACCGCTCCAGAGCTATTCGCAACCGAGGAGAGCATTCCACGAAAGTAGGAATTGGAAAGCTGTGAAGCCTTATCTTCTGGCAGATATTGGAGAAGGTACGCAAGGAACCCGTAATGGAGGAATACCGGCAGCTAATAACCCTAGGCATCACTGAATGCCAGGTCATTCAATGGTTTGTTAAGCCTGGAGCTCGCGTTGAGCAGTTCGACCCCATTTGCGAGGTTCAGTCCGACAAAGCGTCAGTAGAGGTACAATCGCACTCAATTCACCTTAAATGGCCAGTATGCTAAATTAAACTAGATTACTTCGCGATTCGATGGCGTAATCAAGAGGCTCTACTATGAGCCGGACGATATGGCCAAAGTTGGCAAGGTATGCACGTTCTCTTATCGAATTCGAAGAAGATTGGGGGCTGACATTCTCAAAGCCTTTGGTAGACATAGACATCCAAAGCGACATATCCGAGGCAGACGCCGCGCTATTAAACGGTGGATCAGAGAAAGAAGCGAGCGCCTCCAGCACGGAAACGACAGGCCAACAAGTTGATGGTTTGGAGGTCGGAAGAAACGATACCAATGCGGTCACTGGCGATGTACCTCCACCGGCGGCGGAATTATTAACCTCTGCGCCACAACGGACACCCGGAAAGCACGCAACGTTGGCGGTACCGGCGGTACGGCACTTGATCAAAGAATTCGGACTGAATGTCGAAGATATAGAAGGGACAGGAAAGGACGGGCGTGTCACGAAAGAGGATGTACACAGGCATGCGGAGGGGGCGAAGCAACCCACAAAGACAACACCATCAGCACCAACCTCGACTCCAGCACCTATTCCACAGGCAGAAGACCAGGTCAAACCTCTTACTCCAGTTCAGTCTGGCATGTTCAAGCAGATGACCCGGTCACTATCCATTCCTCACTTTGTCTACACTGATGGTGTCGATTTCTCTGCACTCAACAGCCTGAGGAAGAAGTACAACGTTGGAAAGGACAAATCAGGGCGCCTTTCAGCTCTCCCTTTCGTCATTAAAGCTGTTTCTCTGTCTCTTCTAAAGTTCCCTCTCCTCAACGCCCACCTCGACACCACCACCAACCCAGATAAGCCACAGATGGTTGTGAAGGGCTCTCACAACATCGGTGTCGCTGTTGATTCTCCAGCAGGTCTTTTGGTGCCTGTCATCAAGAATGTGCAGTCCCATACAATCGAGTCGCTTGCAGCCGAAGTCAGCCGTCTAAGCAAGCTTGCACGTGAGGGTAAACTCACAAGTGCAGACCTCACGGGAGCAACATTTACACTCAGCAACATTGGGAGCATTGGAGGTGGTGCAGTATCACCAGTGATCAGCACTCCTCAGGTCGCTATCCTTGGTGTTGGAAAAGCGAAACTTGTCCCAGCTTTTGGAGAGAATGGAGAAATCATTAAGAGGGAGGAGTGCGTATTCAGTTGGAGTGCGGACCACCGAGTGATAGATGGCGCAATGGCGGCCAGGTGTGCAGAGAGCGTTAGAGAATACCTGGAGAACGTAGAGAGCATGTTGGTTAGATTACGATAGAGCATTTATTCCGGAAAGGCAAAAGCATAGCATTGATATGAAATTTACATCTTAATATCCAATAATAGCAAATATCTAAAAGTACAACTACTATTCGGTCATATACTGCATCATCGGTTCCCTTATACATTTTATCTAGTACTGGCGGCCAAGCTATAGGGCTGAGGTACCCCGCGATGGATCAGCACCCAAGCTCCGACCTGGCAGCACCTCCGAGACCACGCAACTTGTCTCACCTTACCATCAACAATTCTCGTTGTTTAATTCATTCATTGATCATGGTCACCACGTCAAGCTCCCCTCTTGCGCCGATTCCAACAAGTGGAGCGACCACAGAAGGCAGCGGTGCCTTCCAATTCCCTCGTCTCTACTCCTTCCCGCCCTTTTTCAACATCCAGCCCGTTCTTTCCACTCGCGCCTCTCAATTGGCTTCCTGGTCTTCCCTCATCCAAGAATACTGCCGTCACCATCGCATATATACCCTTACGCTCGTCGATGCCCTCTCTACGCCGTTATTCAATAACAGTTCCCTCTCCCGGCGGCTTTCGCTCCGTGACGCCCGCGCCGTCATCCAATGGATGACAACAACAGAAGGCGGCAACCGAGCCGAATGGATATCCGCCGGCAACAAGAAAGTCAAAGGTGAAGAAGGCGGCGAAGCCGGCAAATGTTGGATATTTTGGAAGAAACCTGAAGAGTGGGCTAGTGCGCTGGAAGAATGGGTGGATAGGACAGGACAGAAGGGAGTCGTGTTGACTCTATATGAGATCACCGAGAGTGATGCTACGATGAAAGAGGAATTTTATGGGATGGATCCCGATCTTCTGAGCAGGAGTCTGAGCATATGCGTCAAGAGAGGGAAGGCGCAGATTTTTGGAGGAGAAGGAAGTGAGGGTGTCAAGTTCTTTTGAACGCTACAGAGACGAACCCCAAGTATGGAGTATAGGAGCGGCATGGCTTTCAAGGCTCAATCCCTACACCGTATCATTGCGCCACCCAGGTCCATCCATCGTCGTCATCCAATTACAAACACATCCCTTTCCGGTACACTGTGGACCCAGCTCGTTGCCCATGCAGACTGGACCATACTTGTTCGCCCTGTTGCCTCGTTCTGTGCAGTAGTATCCTCCAGCAGCAGGACCCTCGGGACATATCACACAAGTCGCGCCTGGCAACGTGGACGTCGTCGTGCCCGACGGCGTGATATCGTCGTAGGAGCATTTGCAATCTCCAGCCTATTTTATTCATCAACAACGATCAACAAGTACTTGAAGTTTTGCTCAAGAGAAAGACGTACCGGTGTTGGGCAGGGATAACGATCATGAGGCTTCACATTCCAATCGCAATAGCAGTTCCCAGGGGATATCTTGCCATCAAGCCATGTCGTTCCGGGCGGACATTGCGTTGCATCGCACAATGGGCCGTACATCCAGCCAGGACTACCCCAGAGGACGCAGTAGAAATTGCCGTCGACTTTGCATACTCGACAATCGGTGCCACCCATGGTATTGTCTGCGCCATTTTGATAGATGCAATCACACCGAGTTGAATCCTATGTTAGGAGTCAGCACAGTTCAGCAATTTCAGCAGCGTGCGTATAGATACATACACTCATAGAACAATCAATGTCTCTCGCAGTGACCAAGGGCAGCAACATGCACATCCCAGCAACTCGCCACAGATTCCGAAAACCCGTCATGATGAATACACTTTGAAACGGAATAATGACAAAGGGTGTGGCTTACAACAACTCGAGGAACACACGGGGTTTTTCTATCCTTCCTCGAGATTTTACAATGTGACATTGTTGGCGACAGGCACCTCGTTATACGTAGCATTCAAGATCTAGAATTGGAGAATTTTAGCGAGAGACCCCTCTGCAATTACTCGTATCCTATGCAGCGTTCGATTGATATTGGTGGATGAGAGACGTGGGAATAAATTGAAATTGTCTAAATGGGTAAACTAATGCAGCCATGTTATGCAACATACGAACGCAACGCTACGGTGTGAGAAATTATATATAGAAACATTGAAAAACAATCAACAGTAACGAAAAAAGTACGAAGAAATGCAATACTAGAACAGGGACAATATGTGACAGTTCAAGCTATCGATGGCATACGCAGAGGATTTCTTATAGTACCTCATAGCATAGGAACTCTTGTACCCCAGCCTGACGCCTGAATTTTACAGCAAATAAGGGATCGAAATAACCACAGTTTCGTTCAGCGCCAAAGGACTGCTTGCCCAATTCACACCGAGGTTCTTGTGCACTACAGTTCCAATTACCAGAATCTCGTCGCGGAAACATCAGCTGATCAAGTCAAGCCTGGCGAAGACAATTATGGACGTCTTCCGGACACGCATCGGAAATATAACCCAAGACCGCATTGAAGAGGATAACGGAAGCGATAGATGACCAGGCCGAGCCAATGATTGGGAATCATTCAATGTACGTCGGAACGAAACGTCAGAACAGACAGACAGGGATGGAGAAGCCTCCAACAATTTCTATGGGTAGCTACCTCTGTGGTTGGGCAGTCTTGTTCTCATGGGACTCTTCCTCCTGCATGAAGTAAGAAGTGTGAAGTGATGTACGATTGGAATTGATCATGGAATCGGAAGTTACGCCAAAACGTGTCTATCTAGTTATAAGGATTCCCAGGGGCCCATCATCACGCAAAGCACTTGCAACTGGCTGAACTATACTCATTAGATCATGCTTCGATTTTCGAAAATTACATTTTACGGAGATATGCTATACAATCATTGAACACCGACTCGATAATGCAAGTTCGCTAGTAATTGCTCCATGGTATCGCTAGGGCGGTACGAAAACGAAGTACCCAGATATCCTCCTAGCCAGCCGTCCAATGCATCCCAATGTACGAGGTACGATCGCCTTGCGCCTGTTTTTATTCGCATCCAATCAAGCCATCATGATGCTGAGACCATGTCTTCGTTCAGCTCCCATTCAGGGTCCCAATGCACGTATTGTGCCATCGCAACAAAAAGCAGCCATTCCGTTTTCACGATACGTGGTACCATGTCGTGTTTCTTCGCCAGATCCCTAAACTTCTCCCACAGCGGGAATTCGCTCTTCTTCGCTTCAGAGATGAGGTAAATAACATCGCCTTCGTCCTCCTCTTGGTTTTGGCTAACATCTCCAGGCACAGGTTGGATGGTGCGTTTGGAAGCATTGATCTGGTTGGCCCTTCCCTTCCACATGTTGCTCTTGCCGCCATTGGCAGCAATGATATCGCGATAGGTCTGGGCTCCACCAGTAACCGCGTCCGTGACATATATAGTCCAGTCGCGCAAGAGGCGCTTCTTGTTCTGCTTTGCACGCTCGATAGCCTCATCAAGTCGAAATCCGTGCTCTTTCTCGAATTCCTCATCGTGGAGAAGGTGCTTTTCCACTGGTGGCAGTTTGTTTTTAGTGAGAACAAAATCCAAGTAAGAAGTGCGAACAATAGTAGGCCCACAAGCCAGCGCTGCGACGAACTTCTTTGTGCGAACGATTTTAGGCGCGCACATAACATCGACATTGCTGTAATCGTCGGTGATGAATATGCCCAATTCTCGGAGTTTCGCCTGAAGATGGTCAGTTCTGGCACACCAAGCTGATATACTAAACATACCTTATCCTTGGCTTCTTTGTTTGCATCGCCTTGCCAGCGCTCGTCCTTGGATATGAGAACTCGGTGGATGATGGGCGTCTTCTTGGGTTTCTTCTTCTTCTGCATCTCGTTCCCTGCAGCCTCATCCGTTGAGTCTTCGTCTTCCTCGGCATCGACTTCTTCAATAGACCGTTTGCTAGCATTTGAGTCCCTTCCCTTGGGTTTCGCTTGCCTGTCATCATCGGAAGTATCCTTCTCTCTTCTTCCGCCATGAATCACACCTCCTTTGCGCTTCATCTCTTTCTCAAATCTTGCAATATCAGGTGCAGCATCGTGGAGTTTTGACAGTGCTCGGTCTTTGGCTCCACGGCTTCCTGTAGTTCCAGGTGTCTGGTTTTCTTTTTCCTCGAAGTGCCGTGGTGCCACTGGAGTAGATACGTTCCCCCTTGTCTTGGCTGTTTTCGCTTTCTCTCCAACCGGCGAAGCCGACTTGTTCACGTCACTGGATGGCTTCATATTGGGAGCACTTGAACCAGGTACTCCATCCTGTTGAATGATCTGTTTCACAGCCTTGCTAGGTTTTCGAAACTTAGGGAAGAATGCATCCTCAACGGCCTTGCGATTGATTTCGGTTTGTCCGAGAACTTCTCCCAGGTTTGTACGTGGTGGGAAGAAACTGTACTTCTGGTCGGTGAGAGTCTGTTCTTTGCACTTTGCATAGCTCTCTTCGAGCCAAAGATGGTTGATGATGTTTACACCCCATTCTTTCGCTGCTTCGTACTTTTCACTGTGCTGATGTGCTGCAATCAAGTGGGTGTTGTCTTGCTTGAAGGTCTTGGTGAACTCTGCGCCTGTGGCTTTCACCAGATTCTCCAAGTAGACCCGCGCTTCGCCAGTGTAGCTAGATATGCTAATCCTGTATTCGCCGAAGCCAGGAATTCCTTCACGAGGTCGCGGATAGTGCATCAACCGGCGCATAGGATTTGTCCAGGTATTGTGCGTAATCAAGTAGTACAACCAGCTCAGGTTGCCTACATCTTTGTTGGCCTGCGATGCACTCACGTAATCGTTACCCTCGCGGTAGTTGCACACATATATATCGGCTTCCTCAACCTTTTTTGTGACCTCCCCTCCCCCTGCTGTGATCAGATCTGTAACTACCTGCTCCAACCTGTCGTTCAGGCCCAGATCTGAGCCAAACATGACCCTCTTTCCATTAAATGCTCGTATAGCTCGCGGAGGCTCAAGATGCTCTAGTGAAGTATTGTGTTGCATTAATTCGTCCACCGGTTCAGGATTGGAGGCTTGCCGGATTGACTGACTGGCTCGAACAGCGGGAATCGCACCGGCTTCAGCTTGGGTCTTGAGTATTTCTGGATCTGGCAATGTGTATGGGCGCTCTGATATTTTTCGACCGACTTTCAGGCAGTCGTCAAACCTACATGAACACGTTAGCATCAATGCTCGACATCATATACGAGACCATTCCTACCAGTGTGGGAGTATTATATGGCAATGTAGTCTTTTAGACACAGCCAATACTGCTCGAGGGTCCTCCATCTCCAATACGATCAAGTGCGTCACAGATTTCGACATGATGGGCGAAAATTGTCCACCCATTGCCAAAACGCCGCCAGCAATCGCTTCTTGGTCGCTCTCAGGCAGGTTTCCACAGCACACAACCAACTCGCTCATGAACAGAGCAGGATCTGGACTGTACACTCGCGGGTTTTTGAGTTTGTTGACCTTCGCAGAAGCTTCCACCCAAGTTGGTTTGACCACAGGTTTCTCCAAGTACGTGAGGGCGCGATGATAATCTGGAAAATCGGACGTTGTGGAAATAATATGAGTGACATCTGCCAAATCGTCTATGCGACCAGTAGAGGTATTGAAAGGAGCTACTGTGCCTCCCATTGCCTTGATATCATCTGCCAACTAGACACTGTTAGAGAAGCAATCTACATGATAAAGACGCGTCGAAGTACCTGTTGCTGGCGCTCCTCGGGAATGTCTGTAGGTATGATTACAATCCTCAATCCGTGGAAGATTGGCGGATCGCCATCCAACATAGCGGTGTCTCCCATGGTGCGATTGTGTCGAGTTGTGTTGCGTCCTGTAGAAAGGTGGGATGCTACCATGGGATATGCTTTACACTTGCCGCACGTAAGTCGCGTCGTTGTGCACAAACCACTCTGACGCGCCACACGTGACGCCCCACCTCGGCACCTGCCCGCTTCAGGGTTCAACTGCCCATGAAGCAAGTGGATGAGGTTGTTTGCTAAATCAGTTCACTTCAAGGACGACCAATATCGTTTTCACTGTGAATCAGTTCTGTGGTGATCGAGAAGTGGGTCGATTAATAGGACAAATCGCAGCTGACTCAAGGCGTAAAGGACATACATAGATATGTAACTGTAGCTATGTCTAACGCAACAATCTTCAAAAAAATAATGATTACACAAAACTTGGGTTATTCTCTCCAATAACTCCCTCGAACAGCGAGATATTTCGCACTCTGTGCGAATAGGCGCGTTTCAATCTATCACCTGTGGCGTTGTACCACAAGGCGTGGGGACGAGTTCAGGGTTGCTTGATATGGACTTAACCTCGGCCCGCCAGCGATTAGAACGGCAATTCAGCACTTTAACTTCAACCTCGACCTCAATCAACCTTTTGCGACCTTCTTCATCACATACATATTTTAGGTGTCATAATTGTGATCAACACATCCTAACTATCCTTTACAACATTGAGCTCTGAATTACCAAGTCCGCAATCGAGCAGGTCACCTTCATCATAGTAGCGACTTGTCCCACGGCTGTAACTTGCAAGGGGCGCTCTTTCGCCTTTCGTTCAGGAGATGTCTTCAGAATTTTTCAGAATTGATGAGCACGTTATAGATGCTTCTCACATTCGTGGTTTTCCCAGGTCTACCTCAACTACCCAGGAAGAAGTCCTCCAACTCGCCGTAAAACAGTACACACCTCTGTTGAACACGAATCCCAAACCTGGAGATGTCACGATAATCGCAGCTCATGCCAATGGATTTCCAAAGGTAAACTAAATTTTGGATATTCTTTGATTTTACTATTCAATTTACCCAGTCGGGTCATATTTGGTCAGATAATGTTGATATCGCATACTGCCCCACATTAACAACATTCCTGTTCCTATGCCATCGATAAATCCAGATATCTACGCTTGTTATGGGTGGTATCTTTCATACGAAATGCTAACCTCAATCAGGAACTATATGAGCCACTCTGGGATGAGTTACTGAAAAAACTGAACAAGTCTGGAATATCGATCAGAGGGATATGGATCGCAGATGTTGTCCACCAAGGATTCAGTGGCGTTCTCAATGAGGAGAAACTTGGAAACGATCGTGAGTAGAGATATTTTGTTTTCAGTAAGAAAATGCTTACGATTACAGCGGCCTGGCTCGATCATAGCCGAGACTTGCTTCACATGGTGAATACTTTCCGCAAAGAGATGCCGCGCCCTATCATTGGTGTAGGGCACAGCATGGGCGGCTGCCAGCTTGCAAATCTCGCATTGCTACATCCACGGCTTTTTGAGTCTTTAATTCTCGTAGACCCTGTCATTCAACGCATGGTATCTGTGAGTGGTAATGTTTCACCAGCATTCTCTTCCGCGCAGCGCAGAGACAGGTGGCCTTCCCGTGAGGAGGCCAGGAAAGCTATGATGAGGAACAAATTTTATCAGGCCTGGGATTCTCGTGTGCTCGACCGATGGATAGATTTCGGATTGAGAGACCTGCCTACTCGGCTTTACCCCGAATCATCTTCGACACCGGGCCCGGTCCCTGCAGCAGTGTCTGGAGAACCCACGGTCACTCCAAATCCACCCAAACCCAAAGAGGTCACGTTAACGACTACCAAACATCAAGAGGTTATGACTTTCCTTAGGCCAAACTTCGTTTTTCGCAATGGCGACAAAGAACCGTCATCTTCTGAGTACACCCTGGACAACCCTCAAATCAATCGCCGCACTCACCCAGACCTTACTCCAGGCTCTATTCCACAAAGTCCCTTCTACCGTGGAGAGTCCATGCTGGTTTTTGCACAATTGCCCCACCTGCGCCCATCCGTGCTGTACATATTCGGAGAACTGTCCTTCCTCTCGGACGATTCAAATATCGAAGACAAGATGTCTCAGACAGGCATCGGCGCGGGGGGCAGTGGCGGCGCCAAAGAAGGCCGCGTGGACCAGGTCATGGTAAAGGGTGCAGGTCATCTGATCCCTATGGAGAAGGTTGAAGAGAGTGCTGAGCACACAGGCACATGGATTAAGAAGGAGCTGTTGAGGTGGAGAGCTCATGAGCAGATGACTCAAGAAGATTGGGCAGGGAAGAAGGGCATAGAACGATCTATTATGACACAGAGATTCCAAGATGAATTGAAAGATACAATGAAAGGCAACAAGATGCCGCAGAAGAAGGAGCCAAGTGCGAAGCTTTGAATATTCGCGAGGCATTGCATTAGATTCATCATAGTCTCAAATATTTATTGTCGGAATACGATAGATTACCTCTTTCGTTGTTCATACATTATACTAGGTCACCAATATATTCTTGATGCCATTTGAATGAACCAAATTATCAAGAAATTGAGCATCGCGGAAGAAGGTAGTCGATATCAATCTGATTCGGATCAATTCCCAACAGGGTTGGTGCTTTGAGCTTTGGCTCAAGGCGCTTATGTAATAGCGCGCTACCGACAATAAAATGCCCGCGCAATTTTCTTCTGTTCCAACTTCCAACCTCAACCGCCAAAGATCAACAGGCAACTCGACATTGAGTTTCGTAACGCTGTAGATGGCGCAATTGACTACCATCAACTTGCTCAGACACTGACATAGCGCATCTCAGCGAACGTTGTTTTCTGTAAGTATTGCTGCTTTTACGGTGCACTCCCCCGCAAATGATTAAATTGTAACAATCCAACTCCTATACATCGTGAGGATTCTTAACGCTCTAGAATTACAATGATGCATTGCTACATTTCGCGCATAGCTTCATAACTCGTTGGCGCATCCGCTAACTGTATAACAGTACACGTAAACAAATGCGTAGAGCATCTAGCGACTATAGATTCGAGTTATTGACTTCCAAAAGGTATGAGCACTTCCCTGCTTTCAATCCCCATTCCATCCCAGCAGAGTGATGATCACACGACACCGGAAAGGCATTCCTCAATCTGAATATACATTGTCGATTCTGTCAAGAAATAGTTTCAGCCTTGTCTGATTTCTGCTCCTCCCTTCTTCCTGTTATCCAACATGTTGCAAGTGGTCTTCAGAGGCTAACAATCACCTCAATAGGTACATCTCCACCCACTCTTGCACGCCTGCAACCCCTCCTCTTTCCAGTGATGATACCCTTTGATGCGTCGGGCGGACAGATTGTACTCCAAGGTCGGCATCCGTTACAAAGCGAGCGTACAAACTCGTGGGTGTTTGGCTGAGGAAGTATTTGTTGACACAGCATCATCTGATCGCCGACTATTCCCTCTGAATAACTGTCGACATTGCTAAGCCTGTACTGACTTCGTTGATAGGTTCAAAGGTATGATCGAGGTCTTTCGTTTTCGTCGAAGTGTTTCCATCCTTTTCATATGATGATTCTTACGATATTCACACTGTGTGAATGGGCGGCCTTGTAACGAGGGACGTTCGTACTGATCACTCCAACAAATCTGATTTAATGAGGTACGTGGATTCGAAACTGTCGCGGAGAAACAAATGCTAACATCAAGACAGCCTGACACTTGATGGGCACTTTGTCTTCTATCCTGCTCAAACTTTGTTCGAATTTTTCATCGGCACCTGCTGACGATAACGCCAAATAGTATATCGCGATCTTGATGAAATTCATGCTCGACCTGCTACCGTAAGTCAGCAATCTGCTTTTCCCTTTTCCCCTTTCGTATGATGAATAAAATGATTCGCTGTGTTCTTACCGAGTTCACCGTTGAAGAAACAAACATATTTCACCTTGGAGAACTGATACACCCTTCACTTCACTTGATATATTTTTCGCCTCCCTGGTCATGATCCAAGGCTAACTGGGAATAGTGCATAGATAAAAACGTGTGAGATAGCGCACCGCAATTCCGCTCTACCGAGCGGTGTAGTTTTAGTAGTCCAAACAAACAAATGCAAACATGCTGTTTCCTGCTTCATGAACCTGTTCACTGTATCTCGCCTGTGAAAGCCAGTCGGTGTGTTTTCGCCAGCGTGTCATCGCCCATGTACCGAAGTACATATTCTTTCCCCACTCAATTCCCGTGTATGCATCTCAACTCTTCATATCCAGCGTATCAAAAGGTCCAGACCCATCAAACCAACCGCCCACAATAAACCGAATTTGCAGTCCGTACACGCATTTTTGCTCCTCCTTCTGTCCCATCAACACATCCTAACTTTGCACGTTCCGTCCCGAACCACGTTGAGTTCCCGCCCGTCCCCCGAGCACATGCAAACTCTCTCTTGCCCACAGAAAGGACGCTACTGCAGCATCTCGCCAGGAAAAGGCGGTCAATGCCACGGCCTCGTTGGCCAAACCAGTCCCAATCCGGAAATTCACGATGAGGCTGGCATCGCAGCAAGTCAGTCGAAAGCAGTGGCTAGTCTCGCCTGACAGTGCAGTACAAGCACGCCATGGTGCACTATTTCTCAATTTGGCCGTGTGTTTGTTGACAAACATTGCAAATCCTTGGGACCAGGGGTGGCAGAGCTATTTCTCAAGTGCTTTCGATCGGATGATAGCCGAAGAGGCAAACACTAATCATGCATTATTGATGTGTCGAAAGTCTCAGCAGCAGTGGGGTAGTTACTTCGTCTGGTAGGTTACCTTGCCGATCAATCATATGGGTAGGAAGAATAGTTTTCTTTGGATCTTATCGTGCCATAGATGGGTGTATATGCGTGCGTTGCGTTGTTGTGGGTTTCACCGATGTCCGAATTGTTGACATGGCATGAGACTTTATGAATGCATGGGTAGGTAGGTGGAGAGAATTTCTATCCATGATATCCACCGTTCGCTTCGATATTAGTGCTTTTTATCTTTGTGCGTGGGTCGTAATATCAAACGGTTTGTGCTGTTTCTACATCGGTCCATTGAGAATGAGACATGGGAGCACATGCTGATATAGCGCTATTTGTTGGTAAAATCAATTATCCTGGGTCCTATTTCAACCAGTTAGTCTTCTTGTGTTATTTTGTGTGTCTCTGGGTTGTGTAGGGTCCTGTGTGGGATTTTTCTTGGATTAGTTGACGTCTTGCTATTCCAAGTCACCTACTCAAATTCTTACGTATAACATGAACAGACACGACCGTCTGGCTTTATTGAACAGTACATTATATATCAGAGATATATATATCAAGCCCACCCGGAACGTAGAAGGAACGACAAAGGTCTGCCTGCAATGCGGGACTTGACAAACAGGTTCGAGATTGTGTATTGATGTGGATAGGATAGTCACTCTGAACCTCGAAAACACTTTACGAAGATGTATAATTTTTCCAACCGTTGAAAGTAAATTGAAAGAAATTAAAATATACTCAACTTGTATTCTATATGTTACAATCAAAGAACTATCTCCTCGAGCTTCTCCTCGCTGTGCATGTTGTGCATGATATACTATGTAAAAGCCAGACTCGAAATATATCACGAACATCCACATATAAACCAAACACCAAAACAAATAATCCATGATCATAGTTGATACAGGACATAGAACATACTCTCGTCACATTCATAAAAAGAGAGATGGTATCGAATATTAGATATAATTCCCCCATATCAGGAGATAGTAATGAAACCATATAATTCTACTATAACACCACGCAGCCTACAAATTGATAATTTCTCCTATACTTACCATACTACACTATACAGCCACTACCCTAATCACCATTCCTAAATTAAAAAAAGAAAATAAAAGGGTAAAGAAAGAAACAAACCGTCGACCTCCCAACGCAAACACCACAGACAGCACAACCCACCGTCCGTCAGCCGCACCACCAACCAACCTCCACTCCCATCTACAACTCCGTCACCGAACCCACCACCGCCTCTCTCACAAGCGGACGGGCGAACCCGGGGGCGCATACCACCCAGCATCCCCAGCCATCACATCACATCATAACGACAACCGACCCTCCGTTTTCTTTGGGGGCCCCGGAGTTGTCAGCTTCTCTCCTTGGTTGTGCTGTGATTGGCCGAACGAGGCGCTGAGGTGGGAAATGCAGACGGAGAGATTATTCGAGGTGTTCGACGGGCGCGCAATGATTGAGCTGACATGTATTTGTCCGACGGATGGATGGGATTGAGTGGATTTGCTTGATTATCGGGGCCGGGTGGTGGAGAATGGTGGCTTATTGGGGTTTTTGCGGGATATGGATGGGCTGATGGAGGGAGGGAGGGAGGGTAGGGTGGATGTATTTTCGTTTCTAGGTGATGTGATGTGATGTGGGGGAATCTAGGCATGTGGTTGTGGGATTGGGGGGTTTGGTGTCACGGGAATCTTGCAGTGTACTGGACGGGGGAATGAATGGGATGTTTCTCGATCGAGGTTGTCCGTGGGGAAGCTGGAGGTGTAAACGGGTGTTTGTCTTGCTGCTCGGGGTAAGAGGGAGGCTATGGGATTGTACATGAAAATACGTTACATGCCTACATGTATGTCAGATATCGTTTTTACAGCGGTGAACGATACGGATAGCTGGAAGCAACGAGTAAACTAACTGTAGCTTGTATTGGCGCATAATGATGATTTAAAAATAAATTCGGTCGTGGATTCTTTTTGATATGTACTTAGGTACCTATTTGGTAGGAGTCCCGGGAGACAAAGTGATGGTAGTTAGGTGGAAGGCGGCGGAGTCGTTGGCCTGCATACGTTGAGGTATCATGGAGCTACGGAGTACATACATTTCTGCATTTGATAGCGACTGACTGCGCCATGCTCTGTGCCACACGAAAAACGTACGTATGAATACGGTAGTTCGTGACGGTGGACATGGTGAAAGCGACGTAAAGAATACTCGCTGAAAGACGCGTACACAAAGAAATACACATGCACCATTGCTTCTGCAGGTGTCGTCAGGTTCAATCCCCTCGTTGCCCGAACATTTTCCCTAAGCGGAAAGTAGATGTTTGTTTCGAAAGAGGACTGTCGATCGCTCACAGGTGATATTGCCAGAAAACCCGAAGCTAATTACCGTGCTTGTCTTGTTTCTCGTTACAAATACACATTGCTTAGCGCTCGACTGGCTCGCTGTTTCGTTCGGTATTTCTGACTGCATGATGTGTGTGTGCAGGCCATAGACCTGGGATGGGTAAGGCCGAATGCTGATGTTGGACCCCTGTGGGAGTACACCGTCAACATCGTTGGACAAGGAGATCGAAACAACAGGCTGCTGCTGTAAGGTAGGCCCGGTTGGACTAGTAAGGCAACTGGCGCACCAAATCAAGAGCAGATGGTGAAACCGTGGACTACAACTATCCCAGTGTTGATAGTTTGCGCAACGAAGTATTGTTGGCTCGCTGTTATAGTGTCAGGACATACCTGCGTACGGGTAATCCTCCGCTTCGGGCTCTTGCACGACGTAGAGACACAGTGCCGTGCAAGTACCTAAGGAGATCGCGTAGGGCTAAATGAGCAGCAGAGTATACAGGAGAGGATATTCAAACGATAACCAGATACAGGTGTTGTGCTGCATTGGGAAATAGCCGTTGCAAAAATCGATAAACAAATATTGCTGTGCTGGCACGACTGGATGCGACTCTCATTGGTTCCAGGCGTTAAAGTTTACAAAGAACCGTACGTCCTACACCAATGAAAAATCTGCGGCGGTTGTTGCTGTGGACGAACGCGCATCTCTATTTTTTCATTATTGTTTTTATTTATTTCTCCCCCTGTAGATTGTTTTGCGACTCCGTGACTGGAAGAGGAGTAACGCCGGATTTTCATTGTTTGAAAACCTTTTGTTTTTGGGGCAGTCCATTGGCTCCGGGGTCGTTGTGCAGCTGCAAGCCCATTTCTTAGAAGACTGATCTACTGCCTGAATGGAAGGAAATTGGGGAGGGATTCGGCACGGCATGAGAGCGAAAAGGGAAAGCAGTGACATCCATCCACATCCTTATTCTGCTGCTACTACTGCTGGGCTGGAGAAGGAGATACAGAGGTAAGACTATCTCGCTCTGGAAAAGCGGTCATACTCGTCAGCTGTTGTACTTCTAAGTCTTGTTGTTGCTCGATGTCATATGCTGGGTTATGCCTGGAGATAGAGAGCAATCAGGTAGGCTGTGACGACGATGGGCCAGCTCCCGTCAGCCCTGCAGAATCATGACTGCGGGAATTCCAGAGACGCTCTGGGGGGGATGCCAGTCCAGTGTCCGGAGGAGCCGTTCGAACCTTGCGCATGTCTTTGATGCGCAATCTATTTTGATGACGGAGACCGGGATCAAATCATTCTGGAAGATGAGCGGAGCGTTGCTGAGGCCATGTTATTTCCTCCATCCTGGCAGCAGTCCGTTCCCAGTCCAGTCCCCCTCTACCAAGGGGGGCGATATGGCGGGGCTGGTTTGCGCGTCATATTTTGGACAGTCCACAATTCGCAGCAATTATTACATGGACGTTGGGCGACTGTTTGTGTCGTGGACAATTGCCACAGAATGAGTGGAGGCCGCTCGAGCGATTGGCGGATGCGTGTCTACAGAGGAAGATGGCGGAGCCACGGTAACAGTCAAACGTTCTGTAAGCTCTTTAGGGTCTGTGGAGACGTGACAAATGTTAATACTCGTGTGCGCGCGATGAATGCACAGAGCAACTTGTGTACGGAGTATGCTGCCATCGTTTACACGCAGGAGTTCCTTTCAGAAGTTCACGCACGTTCTTTGAGCGAGTGCACAAAGACCGTTATTGTCATTATTGACTTGGTAGGTATCTGAGCGCGAACGCGAGCGCGTTGCGACGGCTGCACCGTCCGCGGACGCTTCGTTCCGTGCACCCAGCGGTTCTGGTGGGTGCGATATGATATGGTATGATTATGAAAATGGTTGTATGACGGACATGATGTGCAGCACAACCAGGAAATCAAGTATTCGGGTGCCATTTGGTGAGACAGGCATCTTACATCGCACAGCACAGCACAGCACAGCACAGCACCATGGTAAACAGGGAAACTGAACTCACAGGAGACCTTCAGCAGAGAGGAGAGCGGAAGCTGTGAGTTGGAAAAGTTGGACGAGAGGATCGGGCTGCATCGATGAGCACATGGGGAAACATGGGAGACAGGGGTATTGACAATGGCGAGGAGATGGACGATAATGATGTTGATGAATGTGATGATGATGGGCAGCGAAGGACAGCCAGTCGCCACTGCCAGGAACGGAGTCAGGGACAGCACTCCACTGGAAGGGACGAGAACGGATTGTCACCACACCACTGGCCAGTATTCGTAGAATCGTAGGTGAGTGTTGTGTATTGTAGAGGAGAGGATAGGGATCGTACAAGAGCAGAAGAGCGATCCGTGGACCGTGAGAGCTCCGCTTTCTGTGTGCGCTAGAGGAACGCCTCCAAAGCAAAACCAAGTCGACGGTGTCGTTGCGACAATCATTCCCGCAAGGGGTCTACCGGCCACCAATAAGGCTGCATGTACCTGCAGACGACCGGAACAAGGAGGAAAGGATGGCTCCTCGCAATGGGGACCATCATGGGAGCTCGTGGCCAGGAAAGGGAGGCAGGAAGTGAAGGATGGGCAAGGCGGAAAGTGTCAAAAGAGCTCTAGCAGTAGAAAGTAAAGTAGAAATGATGATAAAAAGGGGAGAAGGTTGGGAGGGTGTGGTGGACTGACTGTAGCTGCGACGCTATCGTGAAAGGTGCATCCCAATTGAGTTGTGAATACGCAGTTGACCAGGACGAAAGTAACAAAGTCACCACTTAACAAGTAGTAGGGCAGAAACGTGCCAGTCTAGCCAGACCCACGCCGACAGAGTGGCCGTGATTGACCTCATCTCATCTCCAGTGTCCATTCAATTCAATCCCAACTCTTAAGACTCATGCGCATCATTCCGTCTCTTCCTCTCTATCCTGTCATCAGCTGAATAGACCCCTTTTGTAGTCTGCCGGCTGGGTGCATCATCGGAATCGTGGTGGGCAATCGATAATGAGATGGCATGGCATGGCATGGGGCATGGAAGGACAGGACAGGACAGGATAGGATCAAATTCAAGAGGGGGGTGCGTGCATCGACGCGTTCGCGCGTGAAGCACGAGGCAAACGGGACGGGGCGGCGTACAGTTAGATGTCGCGCTGTCTCTGTGTAACTGAACTGCCCAAGTAGGTATGTCGATGGCCCTGTGCCTGTTCACGTCTTTGCGTTCGTCACGTCTCGCGGTCCGTGAGGAATTGGAATTAGGGATTTATGAAACTCTGGTCGCGGTCTGTACTGCACTGCATACAGGGAGGAGCATGCCACCAGTGAACACAAAGAAAGAGAGAAAAGACATCACGTGAGCTGCACAATGCAATCGATATGTGATGTGATGTGGGCAGCAGCTGCAGCCATCTGTTAGTGGATGGGAGACTCTCGGTGTCTTTTTCCTCTGTCTGTCTCTGAAAAACAAATGAAAAAAGAAAAGAAAAGAAAGAAGAAAGACGAGAGGTCAGACGTGTGCCAGAAAGGAATAAAAGAAAAAGGGGGTGGGGATCAGCCAATGGGATGGATGGATTTTACAAGTACTTTTTAGGGTTCCTGGCGGATGCAGCCGAGCACTAAACCACAGTTTACCACGCAATTCAAGGTTGTGACTTGTCTACTGTGTAGGTAGTTAACTAGGTAGGTGTGCCTTACTCCGTATGTACCGTAACTGCCGTAATGCCACCGTCATCCATCGCTCCATCAGGCCTCACAGTATTTCTCCTCTATCATCATCTTGGCTTGATTATTCAGGATACGAGAAGAATTATATACATACTGGATGTGTGTGTGTTGACTACCTAGGTACTCTGCATAATCTCGATAAAGGCCTATCTGATTGTTCTCTACCAGTCATGGGCAACAAAGAATACTGCTTTAATGATTGATGGATTGATAGGATGCAACTAAGGATGCCCATTTATTCATTCATTCACAACTGACTTTTACCGGACTGGAGCATATTCTGATAACCCATCCTTTCCCTTTCCAGATCATCCTTGGGTAGTCAGTTATTTCAAATTTGGCGATGCCTTACCATTCGACACGGTACGGGCCCCTAGCCTTGGTACATCCCAAGTTCCTAACTAACACCATCAGGTACCAGTCCAGTCCAGTCCAGTCCAGTACTCGTAGCATAACTACTAGAGTTAACATATTCGTCGCACAGCGCAGTACAGCACAGCATATCGCATCACATTGGGACTACCTAGACTACACACCATTCCCTAAATAAATCATTGCTACTCTGGCCGATTACCCAGGTAGGCATGTCTGATTTTGAGTCCGAGTCTGCTGTAATAGCGACAAGACTACAGTAGGTACTCCGTAATTACCAACTAGAAACTAGTCCTCTTACTCTTACGCCTCACCTCACCCACCCGTACCCCTACCACTACCCTTGCCTCTATTCTTTACCCATGCCCTTACCCTTACCCTAGTGTACAAGACAACTAAGTATCCTAATTAGTGGTCTGGTCACTGTAGTCATGGCCTAGGTAATCCCCCCAACCTCTCTCTCTGTGTCTGTGTCTTCAGCGACCAGTCCCAGTCTAATAAGTGTGCCGGGGGTCTATTCTCATCCTGATCATCTCATTTCCCATCCTCGAGTTGTGCCGTCGTTTGTCGCCGACCTAATCCCTAATACATCTCTTGTAACTTTTTGTGCCTGCCTTGCACAACTCTTCGCCCACACTCGCATCTTTCTCCTTCCCTTCCCTACTCCCCCTGGTCGTCCTTTCCTGCCCATTCACCCCCCCCCCTTCGCTCCTTCCCTGTCCTGTTACCTTTCCAACTTCCAACTCCCCCCCAAGTTCCAACTGAGAATCCCAAACGGCCTACGCCTCCATTTCCCGCCAGTCACGCCTCATCTCTCCGCCACACCTTCACTCTGAGTCTCTTTCACTCTCTTTCACCCCCTTCACCTCTCTCACCTCTCTTACCTCTTACCAACTTCATCCCCTTTCGTCACTGATTCTCGTCCACCCCCCCCTTACCCTTACCCTTACCCTTACCCTCTCATACTTACCCTACCCTGCCCTACTCTACTCAAGTCTACTTTACCTACTATTATACTCTCCCCTTTAACAATCAATCATGCCTCTCGCGCGCTCAGACTCCTTGTGACATTCACTAACCTACAACCTTCATTCACTATTCTGCGCGCGCGTCTTAATACTTTCTGCTCTCACTCTTCTCACTCTCACGCTCCTTTCACCGCCTCCATCTTTTCACTGCAGCAATTCGCGGCCACTACTCCCATTTCCGCAACTTGCTGCCGTCCTAAAAAGGCCAAAAGAGACCTCCTGCGCGTGCTGTTCGCTCGTTTGTGCCCTCGCGCGTCAATCTATTCACGCTTTGCCAGCGCAGCACCGCCGCGACCGCCCCCCAGCCTTTCTGGCCTCACCACAGCAACGACCTCTATCTGGTCTTTTGCACCCGCTTTGCCATTTCGAGCTTCAGGATCTTCATTATTACGCTTGACTCTCGCGCCGGCTACTCTGCTCGTTTCCTCCTTTCCCCTCTAATCATTCCAACGGCCTGGGCTTAATCCGAAATTGGTGGAAACGATTCATGCGGAAGCCCACAGTCACCCTCTCCACCCCCCAACTCCCCCCATCGCCATCGACCATCAACTCCCTCACAAAGTACTGTACATGTACCAGTCCAGTGGCCCGTCAATCGTAACAGACCAATACCACTAGCATCCCGCGCCTCTTCTCTCTCTGCTTTGTTCTACTGGCGATCGCTGGCTGCTCAATAATACTCCTACGAGCTGCCCTCCGTCAATCATAGCAACCGGCCCTCGCTCTGACCGCTCCATCACCACACCTCGATCCCAAACGAAGGGGTTCGCCTGCTCGCCAACCTCCTTTCCTCGCCCAAGAAAGTCCACTTTCCTCCCTCCCCGGACGCACTGTCTTTGGGCAATTATCCTGATTCTCAAGCCACGCAAGCTATGGTCACCGACTTAATCCCTTTCTTCACCAGCTAGAGAGAACCCAATCCACGGAAGTATACCCGCCTACCGTGGTCCTGGACCTGTCTCCACACGTCCTTCCCAACCGTCGTCCCTCATTTCTTCGACTTCTTCTCCCGCATCTGCAACACTTTGGACCCTTACTCTTACTCCTCCTCCTATCACTGCTCAAACTCCTCGATAACGCACTGAACCACCACCCAACACCCCTCTACCAATTCGAGTCCAAATCCCCCGCCTTGGATCATTCTTGTACTACATCCATCAAGCCATCGACCTTCCACCTGAGATGCAACAGAGGACACTTTAGATCTTTGATATCCTAATCATTCGAGGACTCATTCACCGGACAGGCTCTTCTTCGAGCTTACGACCGGACGATTTCTCACCCTTCAGCTCTGTTTCCTCGGAGCCCTTTCGATCCTACCCCTTTGATAGGCAGGACTAGGGAAGCAAGCATTCATCATGTATCCAGAGCACCACAATGGCTGGTCATCTCTGGAAGAGAAGTATGAGGTGATGAAGGAGATTGGTGACGGCAGTTTTGGCAGCGTTGCACTTGCTCGCGTTCGAACAGCTGGCGCACATGTAGCTCGACGGGGAACTCTCGTAAGTGACACTCACAGCACATCCGTTCTATTGATCGAATTAGTCGCGACTAACGCGTCTTAGGTCGCGATCAAAACGATGAAGAAGACATTTGATTCATTTTCCTCGTGTCTGGAGCTCCGCGAAGTCATCTTCCTTCGATCACTTCCCCCTCACCCTCATCTAGTTCCTGCCCTCGACATCTTCCTGGACCCTTACAGCCGGCGTCTTCACATTGCCATGGAGTACATGGACGGAAACTTGTACCAGCTCATGAAGGCGCGCGACCACAAACCATTGGATGCCCACAGCGTGAAGAGCATCCTCTTCCAGATCATGGCTGGCTTGGAACACATCCACCACCGCGAATTCTTCCATCGTGACATCAAGCCAGAGAACATTTTGGTTTCTACATCACAACAGAACGACTCTTCACATCCTTTCCGACGCTACTCGGCTTTGATGACCCCTCCTTCAACACCTCCTGCTTACTCCATCAAGATCGCGGATTTCGGTCTTGCAAGGGAGACACATTCTAAGCTGCCTTACACCACATACGTCTCCACTCGATGGTACCGTGCACCCGAAGTATTGCTTCGCGCTGGTGAGTACTCGGCACCCGTCGATATCTGGGCCGTGGGCGCAATGGCAGTTGAGATCGCAACTTTGAAGCCCTTGTTCCCAGGCGGAAATGAGGTGGATCAGGTCTGGAGGGTTTGCGAGATCATGGGAAGTCCCGGTGCCTGGGTCAACAAGTACGGCAACCGCGTCGGTGGAGGTGAATGGAAAGATGGCGTTAGATTAGCCCAGAAGTTGGGCTTTTCCTTCCCAAAGGTATGTTTACTCCAACAACACGTTTTAAATATTTTGTGCACAGCATTAACTTTGTGCAGATGGCTCCTCACTCGATGGATACCATCCTCCAGTCCCCACAATGGCCTGCCAGCTTGGCCAACTTTGTCACCTGGTGTCTGATGTGGGATCCTCGCAACAGGCCCACGTCAACCCAGGCCCTCGCCCACGAGTTTTTCCAGGATGCTTTCGATCCCATTCGCCTGAAGTCCTCTTCATCCAAACTTTTGGGCCGAAAGCAGTCGGATCTCTCCGGTAAGGACTCTCCTGATGCTTCGCCAAGCCTCACCTCCAAGACCTCCTCATGGCTACGACGTTCTTTGGTCGCTCGCGAAAGCGCCCCAGCCGTTCCTCAGCACCAGCCGGTTCAAACCATCTCTCCCAGGCCTTCGCCTGCCCACTCAAACACCATCGATGTTGTTCCAACCAAAGCTCGACCCAATGCGACTAAGCGAGCTACGTGGACGAATGGCGTACCTGCAAACGGGGCGCCTATTCCCATTTTGCCCTCGATAAAGCCTATATCTCCCCTCTCTGATGCAGTCACAGCACAAGCCAGTGCACGTCCTGCAGAAGAAGAAAAGGCTGCTAAGAAGATTGGTCGGCAGTTGTCTGTCGCCTCGCACGGAAACCACTACGCCGACATCCATCGCCAGGAGGCCGAAAGGGCACTGAATGGCCAGACCGGTCTCGTATCACCACCAAGTGGACAGAAGGAAGGATTCTTCTCACACCTTAGGAAGCGTGCGCGCCGCCTATCCGGTCGTTACCAGACGCCCATGTCGCCTAACTCAGATGACATTGAAGCCAATGCGGGTTGTGCCCCATGGGCAACCAGCAACCGAAGCACGATGATGATCGACCAGCCCCTTGCTGCCGCGCCTTCGACTACCTCTGATTTCTCCGATCTCGACAAAGCTCTGCATCAAGTCAGGTGTAGTCTTGAAGGACCTCCTCAGCCTGTCAATACGTCCAAGAACGTTCGTGCAACAAATGCCTCCATGCTGAAGCGACACAACTCCGTACCCCACGGTAATGAGGGCCGTGTTGAAGGACAGCCGGGCGTGGGGCCTATCTCGAGCAGAACCCGCCGCGCCGTCCAGTCCAAGTCGAACCCATCCAACCGATACGAGACCCCCAACGAGGAAGAAGAACTCCTGAGCGAGGTTCTTGTGTCTGCCCAGAAGGCCGTCAAGAAGTTGGATAGGAATGCACAAGCCGGAGCTGAGTACCGAAAACAGCCAGCGCAGCCATCTCGACCTGACCTCGGAGCTGCTGCTTCCTACCTCACCCCTTCGCCTTCCGCAAACCGTAACGGCGTCAAGTTTGGCCAGAATGACTATGTGACACCAACGAAGCCGCTCGCGATATCGAAGAATCCACCACCGAAGGAGGGCGTCTCCAAATGGCCGACACCACCTTACGATGAGAGCGATTGGGCTTCGAGCGTGGCCGCCAGTTTGATGGCCACTCAGGCTCATTACCGGTAGTCGGAACGCTCTCCATTTCCAGGCCATCGCACCTTGCAAGAACAAACCTTCACTTCTCTTAGACCCCATTTTCGACATCTATCACCTGTAATATGTCCTTCCATCAGCAGTTTTTACTACATCTCCTGCGTCTATCGTCGAATACAGTTCGGGGCTCGCGCCACCCACATCCTACGTTCACGGTTGACGACCCTACGAGCTCCCATCGGCACCCCGTCAGGAACGGTAAACAACGAGAAAGGGAAGGCGGAAGACAAAAAGTCGCGAATCAGCGCATCATCGGAATGGTGTTTTGGCGTTGCTCTCAACGTGGTCCAATCGTTTCATCGTCTTCGCAGATCTGCGGAGGCTCACAATCGCTTATACTCAGTTTCTTTCCTTTCCTTTCCTTTTCAATTGCGTACAACTCACCCATCTATGGCGGCATTTTCACTCATCGGAACGGTCTTGGAGGCTTAGGTCATTTCATTTTCGTCGTGGAAATTGTAGGCATTAGCATCCCGAAGCTGCCTTTGATTTTCGTTCTTAACATCTTAAAGCTGCGGTGGAACAGCGCCACTGCACACTTTATTTTCCATTTTGAGCCTTCAATTCAGGGTGCTTAGAGCAAGCCACCCTCCACTGTCACAGATACCTCGCTAGACTATTTCGCATACCCCCTGTTTCCTTATTTGATTCTCTTCATTGGCGAATACCCCAATTTGCATTTGGCGACACATTTACTTTATATCGACCGTACCTCAAAGGAGGAATGGGCTTCTCATCTTTTTGGTTGGAAAGTCCATTTAATGGACGGAGCTCGAGGGGATACATTGGGGAATCTTTCCTTGTCTACTTTCCTCAAATGTTTGTCTATAGTCAGCCGCCTCGATTCCAAGCGACACCAAGTTTCCTCTGTCACCCCTTCACTGTTCCAACATCAAGCCTCACTAAATTGCCTTCTCCCTTTGTCTCTACTATGTCCCTCTCCTTGTGTTGCTATAGACCTGGTTTCTCTCCTTGTCGCTTCGTCATTGTATACCTGATTGTAATCATAATTCCGCTCGTCCCCGGATCCGGCATCACCCTTGTACATAATCTTCGGGGATTGCGCTTTGGCAGCAGCCCCGACGGTGGAGAGGGCGGTATTCCCTTTCCGACTTCTTCTTCTTCTATCTTGATACCACAGACCTTTTCCTGGCCGGACCGGACATGGGCGTCGCAGAACTCACTTGCCTCTCGAGATTGGCGCAAAACTTCTCCTATCCAGACTATCTCCTACTACCCCCAACTCTGTTTTATATATCAGAAAAATATCCTCTCCTATGTCAATACAGTCAAATCAAATAAAAAGCCAATTACGTCTCCCTCTCGGCGTCGTCGAAGAGCCAGGGGCGAGCAAAGAAGAAAAGAAAAACTTGTCCCTTGCTATGTAAACCTCCGTGATTCATGGTTCCCCTGTGCTTATTTGTTGTGAACTCTTAATCTTGTAGCTTGTTCGACGTGCCAGCTGTGGGAAGGAACTAACTATTGTGTACAGCTGACTACTCTAGAGTCTTTGCCAGCGCCGGTATACGCATGCACATACGCACATTGGCCGATAACCACACGGAGTTCGAGATTTAGAATAGTAGATATGCCATTTTAGTTGTATGGATATTGTCTATGTAGTAGGTACCTAGGTATGTATGTATATATACATGCTTCTACCATGCGTGATATGTCGTTATAAAGTGCCCTGCCCCATACCAGAAGACTCCGAAGACCCTGTTCGGTTTGACGCCTGAACCCAATGCAAATGCTGCTTTGTACTTATCGAATTCGTTTTTACCAATGATGCTCCTTCCTTTTCTCTATTGATTTCTCATGATTGATCGATTGACTGTCTGATTGGCATAGACGGAACTACCACCCTCCACCGATGGTGCTCGCCAGCCCAGCGACCCTCTCGACGTCGCTCTGTTTCTTCTTGCCGACGTCGCTCTCGACCTTGCGGTAGGATGTGTAGATCAGAGCCTGCTGGTCCACGCCTGTGATGTGCGACCAATGGGCCAACATATCGTGGATCCGCGATCTCGAGATGCCACCCACGACGTCGTCGTCTCGCTCGACCTGCTGCACAGGACTAGGACCATCCGCATCCTGCATTTCCCTGTCGCCATCGCCATCGACACCGGCTTCCGCCTCCGAACCCGAGAAATATGCCTCGTCGACCCTCGCCAACCACTCCTTCTGCTCCTGGGGCCCGGGTTTCGAAGGTAGTACCTCTCCATTCGCAACCTGCACACCCTCCATCGCCCGCACCTCCTCCACCTCCGTCACCTTGACCTGCCCGCCGCCGTTCGTGCACCCGCCAGGACACGCCATAACCTCCACGTACGCATAGTCCTTCACGCCCTCTCCACCCCCAGCGCCACCAGCTGCGCCATTGGGCCTACGCACGGCGCCCGTCCGCGCGCCCGGCATCTTGCTCGCCCGCGCGGGCTTGAGCCGCCGCACGAGGTTCTGGATGTTGCGGAACCCGTAGAAGCGGGCCATGCGGACGATGGTTTCGGGGCCCTGGGTGAGTGCGTACTCGACGACGTCGGCGTTGCGGCCGCGCGACACGGAGATCGTGGAGCCCGGGTGCCGCGCTTGGTAGGTTTGCAGAATGTGGTAGAGGTAGCCGCCTGAGGAGCCGGCGGCGGGACCGATTTGGTTCCTCGCGCGGGTGCGGGGGAAGAGGAAGGCGTCGAGTTTGGGATCCGGGAAGGGGATGCGGTGGGAGGTGGTGAGGGGGGTTCTCGGGAGGGAGGAGAAGTTGATTTCACGGGCGGCGGCGAGGTGGAGGAGCTCCCGCGCGGTGATGACGCAGTCTACGTCGCGGACTGGGGAGGAGGTTGTGGTGCTGTGGCTCGCGGGCAGCCAGGCTTCGGATGTGAGTTCGCTGCGGCTGGCTTCGAGTTTCTTGTCGAAGCAGGGCATGATGGCAAGGTGCCATATCTGGGAGGGGTCGATGTTGAAGCGCTGGCTCAGCACGGATTTGATGAGCGTACCAGTGAGGGCTTGGGGGGATTTCAGGCGCGAGAGGTGCGGGAGGACGTAAGGGTGTGTCTTCTCGGCGTAGCATATCCAGCCTGGACATGCGGATGTGAGGATGGGCTTCTTAGGGGTGGTGTCAATTGCGCCGTCTGCGTCGGGTATTGCGGCGGGGTGGGCGGTCGAAGGCGAAAGAGCGGTCGCAACCTCGTCTGCGGCGGCGACGAGGCATGCCTCCCGGAGGACATTCGTGTCGATGACCCAGGTAAAATCGCTGCCGTGTTGGCCTCCAGATCTCAGGCCAGAGGGTCCGCTCAGCAGTTGTGTGATCATGTTTCCCGCCTCCTCTTCTGATACCGACATTACAGCCGCCAGACTCGCTCTTGTCTGCGGGGAAACGCTCGCCACAAATAGTTTGCCTTCCGCATGGTTCCCATTTGTACAGTGACACACTCCATTGCATGCGGGCTTCGTCGCTACATCTTTTCCGTTCTGCGCAAGCCAGGGTGCCCGTAACGGCGTGTGTGAATCGAGGGTTGTGAGGACTTCTGTGTGCGATTGAAGAGACACCAGCACCGCTTCAGCCGACGTCACGCATCCCGAGCACGCGAGGCAATCTGTGAGGGAAATCTGTGCGGGGGGCGGTGGTTGTGCGGCCGCAACCTTATCTTCTGTCGTTACTTCGTACTCATTCTATAAGTTTGTCAGTCGCGCGCCGATGACGGCATTGGCAGGACGAGGGGCGCATACGATAGTTTCTTCCGGTTTCTGTACCGCCAATGTCTCTATGGGTTTTATGCAGGCGACACCGGGTGATATAAAGTCGTTAAGATCATCAGCCGAAAGTATGGCGCTCATTTTGAAGTGTTGGTAGTATGTTGAAGTGGCGAGGATATGGTGGGAGGGTGGGTATCTGTACGGAGGAGAAAATGGGAGAGTGATGTGATCGTCGGATCCTCGCCAGCGAAACAACAAAAGACGTGAAGCAGATAGAAAGGGAAGTAGAGGGTGAATTAAAGAGGGTTTATTAGAGTTTTGAAGAAAGTCATTTGTAATAGCATTAGAGGATTGTCATAGGAAAAGAAGATATCTATCTGGACCCTCCGCCCACACGAGACGTCTCTGCCTATCGATAAGGTCGCATTTCTCATCAGACAATTCCGCGGGCGGATCCGATCAATTTTTAGTCAAGTTATTCGAGTTGACCACGTGACGTTGCCTTACGTCGATCCCCCCCCTTGGGACTTGGACAAATCAATCTACTCCATGCAACTTCATATTGCGGCTCATGCATTTAGCCTGGTCTCGCAAAACAGAACAACATGGCCTCACATGAGTATATTCGCTCTGATCTCAAGGTCACACACATACTTGTGATGTCCACTTTTCGCTCATGGCGTCTACAATGCGACGCATCTCCATCGATACCCTCGGGATGACAGCTCCAAGGGGCATGTCGTTCAATCCAGTCAAGAGGAAGAGAAGGACGTGGTGGAATTCAAGACCCAGGCTGCTGGTTACTTGCATTTTCTTCGGCGTTTTGTACTGTTGGTTGAACTTTTCGACATCAGAAATCGTCATACCTGATGATTCGTTTGAATATCTGAAGGATGATAGTCTATCAGATATCATGAACTCCACGCTGGGGGTGAGCATAGCTATTTTACTTGCAACGATTCTTACACAATGCCTTTACAAACTTCGCAATACATAACATACGTCTATCAAAGTCATCTCACGAGACCAAGGCTGGATTACCGTGTGTACTAACATATCCCCAGTTCCAAAAGCTGCTCGTTCTAAATCTTCCCTTCCGCAGTGACCGGAGAGACGCAATCACGCTGGCAGCAGCAACCAGCAACATGAAGCTCGAGTTCGTAGACGGTGTGACCGGAGAATCTATTCGCGAAAGCGCATATCCGCCTCCAAAAGAGAACATCAAGCTCCCCGCCGGCATCCGTGGAAGCTGGCGAACCCACATGAACGCACTCCAGCGCGTGGTCCAAGAGAACCTCACTACGGCCCTGATCTTTGAGGACGACGTGGACTGGGACGTCCGGATCCGCCAGAACCTGCAGCGGTTCGCCCTCGCCAGCCGCTTCCTCTCCGAAAACAAGGAGACGCTATCCCACCACTCCAAGTACCCCTTAGAGAAGCTCAAGAACCCAGAGACCCCAGAGACAGGTTTCCACATCCTGTCCGAGAACGGCATCACGAGCGACCTCCCGACGATGCCCCTCGCCTCAGCCGCGCGCAAGAACCTCCAGTACAAAGGCAAAGGCTCCACAACCGGCGTCACGAGCCCCTACGGCGACCCCTCCCAATGGGACATCCTCTGGATCGGGCACTGCGGCGCCGGCTTCCCGCGCTACCCCCTCGACCCGCACACGAAGAAAACCGACGTGACCGCCTCGAACGTGATCCTCAAGCACGAGAACGACGCCACGGTGCCCCTGGGAAAGTACCTGAAAGCCCACCCCTTCCAATCCGTGCTCGACCCCCTCGCCCACGCCTACAAACCCCACACCCGCGTCTACCACCGCGCGTCCGGCGGCGAGCTGTGCACGGTCGGGTACGCGGTGTCGCAGCGCGGCGCGAGGCGGCTGCTCCACCAGTTCGGGATCAAGGACTGGAACGACATTTTCGACTCGGCGATGGGGCGGTGGTGCGCGTCCGAGGACCAGAAGTCGTCGACACCGGGCACGACTGCGAATCTAGTGCACGGAGGCGGTGACGGCAGCGCGGGGGGACAGAATCCGCTCGTGAGGTACGCGGGCGGCAAGTGGAATGTTAGGAGTAAGGAGCGCGTGTGTCTGACGAGCCAGCCGCCTATCTTCGCGCATCATCATCCTATGGATGGGGAGAGCGATATCGGGGGTCTGGGGGGTGGGTATGCGACCAAGTATGAGACGAAGTATCTTAGGCTGAGTGTACGCATGAACTTGGAAAGGATCGTGCAGGGGATCAAGAATTTGGTGGATCAGTGGCCGGATGAGGAGAAGGAGAAGGAGTAGGAGTAGGGGGGAGGTGGGGTTAGGTGTAGCTGTCTTTTATCATAAAAGTTGGTCTTCATGCATGCCATGTTCGACACTGTTGAAATCCCACTACATATCGCATTTCCGCAGACATGCTTCCCACCTTCGTGAAGTCGCTTGATCGTGAGCACATCACGCATATCTCACACATCACCCATCATCATTCAATATAGATACGCATTTGAGCGAACAAAACGACCTTGAGTATCCATTAAATTACCTACTGAAACCCTAGAGGCAAAAAGAAGACCAACCCGCCATACCCAAGAAAGGGGGAGTGGAAACTGGCCGAAGCCAAAGATGAACGAGTGACGAAATGAAGAAAGGACAAGGAGAGATAGTATGGAGGACTTTTTGGAGTGGAGTTTGTTTTTGTGCCGCGAGGCTGGTGAGTCTTTGGTATATATATAGATGTATGTTTTAAGGAAAGAAAGGAAGGAGAATGGGAAGAGGAAGAAGAAGGATCAAAGTTGACTGGCTGTTTGGGAGAGGTGATGATATGATGGTCTTGGTTGAGTGAGGTTGGTTCCCCGTTTTGATGGCGCAATTGGAGTGGGGATGGTTGATGTCTTTGTCTCCGAAATTTGAAGCGGGGCGGAATTAGATGGGCTGATGTGTGCGTGGAATATCCTTAGAGGACTGGACAGTTGTCGAATGATCCGAGAAGGTTGAGGTGGTATAGAAAGCGACCCAGGTCAGGCACATATCAAGTAGAGTGGAGAAGGAAGAAAGCACAGAACAACAGAGGACAAGAGTCAACCAAAGCTGAACACTAGGGAACGTTGTTTTCAAGAAAGAAGAGAGAAAAATGTACATTTTGTATAAAAAGGATCGAAAGAATCGGAATCATCTCCTAAGAGCTCTCGCTTGAACCCTGGTGGAATCTTCCTCTTGAAGAGTGTCTTGCTTTACTCTAGTAAACCACCACCACGAAGCGGGCTTCTCGTGGAAGACGGATTCCCTGTATGGAACCACCGCCTTTAGGCTCTTATCCAAAATTTCCTTCTCACATGCCCTCTTTTGAAGTAAGTGGATATCCACAAAAATGCAGAAGATGGAACGTAACGTCAAGAATAAACAAATGCTAAGTGAATACGTATGAAGTAAAGCTTTCAATGCATACAGATGGAGACGCACGAGTCAAGCTACCTGCCTCAGCAGGACAATCTAGACGGGTGGGTCCCCTTCTGTAGCCGCTGGAGAAGAAATCGATGAGCAAACTCGAAGGGTATCGACGGTTTATCGCCGCGAGGCGAAAGTCAGAAGTCTTTGAGATAGATAACGGAAGGAAAATGAAGGGATTAAATCGCTACGCTTTGCCACATGATGAATCCCGCTAAAGACATGACGGAGGATGGTACAAATGCTACGCTATGGACAGTGAATAAAAATTGATAATGATGATGTGAAAAGGGTAGTAATGAGATGTAAATGGCCGTTAAAGTCGTCTCAGTTTAATGAATATGTCGGAGTGAAAGGCAATTAACGTTGGGAGATAGGACACGACCGTAATGAGCGGCAAGAAATGCAAGTGAAATAGAGGAAGCTATTCGACTGCCCTATCAGATCATGGGCGTTTCGTAATTCTGGTATGCACCAGCCTGCAACGACTCCGGTGGCATGTTGGCCTTGATTTCCCTGGGGGTCCTGTAGAAGTGCTTCTCTTCCTCAGTCGGAGCTATGACTTGTTCCATTGGCTGAGGGACGGGGGGAGGGGGTGGCGGAGACAGATTGTTGAGTTGCCTCTCGTTGTTGCCTTCGATAGGCGACATGGCAGAGTTTGAACGTGGGAACGAGAACTCAGGGATACTCTCGTAAGGAGCAATGTTGCTGTCCTGGCGAACTGGTGGCGACTTGGCCCGCGAGCGACTGGTGCTGCGCATGCGATCGGTGACGCGCTTGAAAGTCATGCCGATGTTCTCACTGACACTTCCGCGGCCACGACGATGAGACATTGGCGAAGTAGTGGTAGCGGGAGGGGAAGTCACAGGTGAGGCGACTGGTGAGGTGGTCTCCTGCGCCTCTCTCTTGGGCTCTTCGTCGATGGCAATGTTGATCACACCCAGACTACCTTTGCGGCCGTGTTCAAAGATTGGAGGCGGAGGCGGAGGCGGAGGACCGGCGAGATGCTGCAGCTCTGCTAGTAAGGGTGGATCAACGTTGGCATTGCTGTCTGCTTCGACAATGACGACTTGGCTCTCAGAAATGGTTTCGTCGATGCTGGCAGTGATGGGAGGAGGACTGATGCGCTTGTAGTTTGGCGGTGGGAAGAGGTCCGGAGAAGTATTCAACCGCGCATGACCTCGTTGACTGCTCAACGATCCTCGCCTGCTCGAGGAGTAGATTGGTGACATGTTTGGCGTGGTACTGACTGGTGAAAAATCCTTGGGCGGTGCTGAGGCAGAACGGATTGGACCAATTGGTTGGCCGAAGGTGGTCGAAGGCAAAAGGGGTCCCAAATCATCTTGGGATTCTTGAGCTCCCTGAACGATATGATGGTCAGGGATCGTAGGAACTGCAGGAATATCATTGTCATCGCTAGGATCCGCACTCATATAGCGGGGATGGCGCATTGCACGAGGGTTGGCCGGCAGTCCGATGGGCACAGAAGTCGTCGAGGTGGCGCCAAGAGCGAGCTTGTTGGTAGGGGAATACTTCTTGGAGATTTCTGGATCGGCGGTATGGCTGCGTTGGATAGGATCACGATATGAGGTTGCCATGAGCAGTTCTGGGGATTCGGCAGTGTAAGCACGTTCAGTCAAGGTGGGCCGTAAAGAGTACTCCCCGGGTAAGGGAATGAGGGGTGCTGAAGGGCGACGAGCAAGAGACAGGCGCCGCTCCTCCAGTTCTTTCTGGGCCAGCTCTCGACGGGACATGGTTGTGAGCCTAGATCTAGCAGACATATTTGATTGTCGTGATTGCGGCCTGCTTTCAGGAACCCGCTCCGAAAAGAGCTCTGGAGATGGCTCAGGCAAGTTTACGCGTGTGCGACTGCTTTCACGAAGGCTGGATGGCGCCTTTCGACTCACCGAACGCTCACGAGGCACACGGCGGTCGGGCGATTGCTCACGCTCGCGACGAGAGCTCATGCCGCGCTCAGCAGCACGGCGACTCTGGCTTCGGTGACGTGGACGAACGGGCTCATAATCCTCCTTTGGCTCGACCTCCTCCTCTCTGAACATAGGTTCTGGAGATCCTGGAGATCGCATCGCTGATGTATTACCGCGCGTGGAACTACGTCCACGGTCCTCAGCTGGACGCCGACTCGAGGGCCGACTGGTTGCTCGGCTGCGGGCACGAGTTGTCCGTTCGGGAGACTCTGGGCGTCTCGCTGTCTTCGACGACGATCTCGCCTTACTCAAGCCAGTTCTGGCGCGGCTCCTGCTGGTACGGAAGCTGGCCACTGACTCTGTAGCAATTGGCGAGACAACATCTTTGTAGTATCTCTCATCATCGAACTCTGCGGCTGGTGCTTCTTTGATCACAGAATTGACACCGGCATCCTCGGGCGACATGGGTACAGGGGAGGATGGGGAGCGTTTGGCAGGTCGAATGTAGCGAACGTCACCCCGACCTCGGGAAGACTGCGAAGCCTCGCGAGTACGGCTGCGAGTTCGGTTCGCAGTACGGCTGCTGGTTCTGGGCTCGGTGCGAGAGGCTGTCCGGGGCTCAGTCTTGGAGTTGGCACGCGTTCGAGCGTAGTGGTTTGCTTCCTCGAGACTGCTGATGTAGTTGTCGATGCTGCGAGCTTTCGAGCTCTTCATACTGCTATCCGTGAGAGGTGGACTGAGGTTGCTTTCGTATCCGGTAGTTGGCGCTTGTTCTTCGACGGTCTCATGCATCTCAATGAACAGGTTTTCTGGCTTGCGGGTTCGTGAAGCTTCGCGCGACTGTGCCCGTTTGTTCAGGTTCTCGAAGATGCCGGCAGCTGGAGAGGGCATTGCTTCTTTGAGCTGAGGGGCTTGGTATGTGGCTGCAGAAAGAAGGACATCCTTGGGAGCCTCGGGGACAGCTGGCCGCTGCATCGAGAATGGCAATGTCTCAGCTTCACGCCCAACATTGTCGACAGCTGTCGCTGGAGCGGATCCCATTCGCTGTCCACGATCAGGCACAGCAAGAGCGGCGAGAGCCTGGTTGTTGGTGAATCTGTCTGGGTCATTCCGAGACGGCATTCGCTTTCGCCTGTATGCACCGGGAGTGGCAGTTCTTGCAGAGGACGGCTCGCGGTTAACCGCTCTACCCCACGGTGTCCGATTGCCTGATGGGCTTAACGCAGATTCAGCGATCGGAGTGACTCCATGGTTCATTGGCGTCTGCTCATCATCATCGGGAACCAACTGCTGTGGCTGGGGTCCGTGGCCGAAATCGGTGACGAGTTTAAGGGAACCCATCTTAGCCATGACACGGCTGCTTGGTCCGCTGGGAGGTGAAAGAGGAGGGCTGAGCTGGGACCCAAGAAGCGCCTGCTTCTGTGCAGAGAAGACAGCATCTTGGGCTCGGGGGGAGAACCAAGGCTCGGAGGATTCCACGCCTGTGCAAGAGAAGCACTTCAAAGCTAGTTCTGGCTTGCCATGTGACACGGCAGCCTCTCCCCATTGCCTTACCAGATATGACTGCCTCTGCCAGTCGGTTGGGAAAATGAGGCAGGTAAGGAGCACCGCCTCCATGTAGTATTTGCGAGAAACATATACTTCCACTGCATCATTGTGCTCACCAAGTCCAAGGAGAATTGCCACCGCAGGATGAACATCGCCCTTCTCAAGGAGACGCTGAACAAAAGCCTCCCCAACCTTCTTCTGAGAATCCTGACCCATGGAACTCAAAGCGAGCAACATCCAATCGGAAGAGGTCATAGACTGCGATCCGACCATCGAGGCCATGAGGTCAGCACCAGAATCGCCCAGCCACTTCGATAGAAGCACAGCTGCAGCCGAGCCAGGAGCATGTCGTGCCACTATCATAGTTAGTTCAAAACTTTCAGTATACGTAAGGGTACACTCACACTCATCACGGACAAGTTCATCGATGTCGTTCTCCCAGCCAAAGACAACCTTGAGCATGTTTTGACGAAGAGTATCTGGAGTTCGTGCAGGACCGAGGTTCGAGTTTCTGTAAGGAACGTCGCTGAGCCGAGCTTTGGTGAAGGGAAAGAGGTCCATGTCTTTTAGGGATGGGGCTTCATCGGGACTGCGTAGGACCTCCTTTCGCAAAGCAGATGACCCATAGCGAGAAGAAGCTGCCGAGGATGTGGAACGAATAGAAATACTCTCACGCGATGTGCCTGCAAAAGAGGATTGACCAGCCGAGAAGACTGTCCCAGTCTTCTGAGAGTGGCCGCTTCGCACTGATCGGGAACCGTGGCTTGGCCTGTCGTAGCGGTACCTTGGGGCACGCTTTCCTCCCGACGAGTGCGAGCTCTGTGAACTTCGGCTTGACTGTGGACTCAAGGGAGCTAGACGATCTCGTCTTTCCTCCTCTAGTTGATCCATTTCTTGAGCAATCCTCTGCAATGGAGACATGACAGCACCTTCGCCCTCACTGCTCTCGGACTCGATCAGCATCTGTGCCGTTGATCGAATGGGATGGGCAGAAGAAGAAGCTTCAGCAGCCTTCTTCTTTTCATCTAGAGAATTAGGTGGAGATGGGGGTGTGTTAGCGGGGGGATGTTGAATGTTGGCGACGAGCGATGGCAGGCCGCTTGGGTTCAAGTCGTATTGTTGGATAGAGTAATTACGGCCCATGGTAAAGAGGGTCGCGGTAGGTCCGTAATTAGTGATAGCAATGATGCTATCGACAATGGGGACACTCTCGTATGTTACTCTCTTTGTTCGCACATCCCACGAGCATGTTTGCCTAGAGATGGTGAGTTATAGTCAGCATCGTGATGTGCGAGGCGGGGTGATAGGAGGCAAAGACGTGATGCTGGGGAGCCGTGGGATATTTAAGACATGACATACCCTTCTGTATACTGGATGATACGTCCGTTTTTAGACCATGCAAACCAGCATGGGCCCGGCTCTCTTTGCTCCGATCTGTTCAAGATGCGTATGACGCATGGTGAGTCGCCGGAGTGGGCTTGCTTTGGAACACTCCACACACGCAAATCTCCATCCGAAGCTTGGGCAGCCAGCATCTCTGACTTCTGCTTCGATGAGGACCCATGCCACGCCAAGCCACTGATAGGGGAAGGGGTCCTGGGTGTGGTGAGGGTGTGAAGAATAGTAAATGATGGTTGCAGAGTTGCAATGAGGATTGAGCCATTGAGGTATCTGGATCCATTAGCGCTTGCCAAACACTGAGGAATAGCGTTGAATTATTCACCCAATTGCGAACGTCCTGCAATCTGCTGCTGGAGCCAATGCTGTGATGGGATCGAAAATCGTCCTAGCCGAAAGATGCTCGGACGTTTGAGGCTCAAAAAGAATCACGTTTCCTTGGGCATTTCCTGTGGACTATGATTAGCACCAGGGAAGGCCAATTTTTGAGGCGACTCCGTACCAAATGCTACATTTCCGTTTCGCATCCAAGAGGCAACTCGGATTTGTTCGTACGATGCGAATCTGGCGACTTCCTCGCCAGTGAGGAGATCCCACACTATCGCCGTGCTTCCAGCATCGTAGCTCACCACCAATCGGCCAGCGCCGCGGTCGCTGACATTGTCGACTGATATCCAGGAAATGTCCTCACGATGGCGCTCAAAGCGGCGCTCAATCGCCAATGTGTCGTGATGGAGGCAGTAGATGACATTGCGCAAAGCGTAGAGCAGGAACGATGCGGTCGCGGCGCATGGCTCGAATGCGAATTCTTCGCTCCCCGGTGTGATGCTTGGAGTAGGTGGCTTCATGTCTGTATTGGAGCGGACGGACGAGCCCCTCGAGGCCGACCGTTGTCTGGCCATATGTCCAGTAGACATGGCGGGCGAGCCTATGGACTGAGAGGGTTGAATTGTCAGTTTAGAGTTCCGCAACAGCAACGAGATCTCTCATAGTCTGGTCTGGTAGTATTGATCTCTTGCTGGTGCTTGGTGAAATTGTCCTGAAAGTCTGAAACTCTTGACGGGATCTCTCACATGCGCACAAACACAGACACACGCGAGGGAGGAGCAGGACGAGGGAGAAGGCGGACGTTATCGATTAAGGCTTGCTTGCTTGACGCAGGAGCACATTCGAGAAGGGTGTTCTGGTTCTCAGGGGAAATACCGAAGGGAAGAGACATGAAACTGAAGAGAGTGTGCGGAGAATTGTGAACTCACAGCAACGTGCGCGCTTAACACAGACGTAACGAGGAAGCTGTACAGTACAGTACGTTGTGCTTTTTGGCCCCGCCCTGGGTGACTAGGGTAGTGGAGGTCGGCGGCAAGACTGCATGCGCCCGCGTGAGAAGGGATTGGGTATGCTCGAGGCTGTCTGGAAGGGACTGAAATATGAGGCCTGAACCGTGGAAATATGCAACAGCTGAAGAGACAGACGGGCAAACAAACACGCACGGAGAAGGAGGAGAAGAGGAAGAGGAGGAGAGAGAGGAGAGAAGAGAGGTTAGGAATTGGGGAAAAAAGATGTGGTAGAGGAGTAGATGCGGAGGTTGGTAGGACGGTGGTGGTAGTAGTAGTAGTAGTAGTATGTAGTAGGTTGGTTGGTTGGTAGGGTAGAGCAGGGTAGAGTGACAGGGATGATAGCTAAGGTAGGGTAGAACAGGGTTGGGTTGCGGTAGGGGAAAAAACAGAGAGAGAGAATGAGAATGAGAATGAGAATGAGAATGGGAAGAGAAGGAAGAAGGGAAGTAACTAGACTAGGGAAAGGAAGGTGTGGGCAGAGTGTGGGATAGCTATTGCAGGTGTGGGTGGGAAGGATTGAACCTATCAAAGTCGGGCGCTTAATGGGAAGAGATGCAGGACGGATTGATATTGCTCAGAATAGATAGTCAAATGTCGGTCGTCCATACAGGCAGATTTATCGAGGCACTCGAGGGTTCCGGGATGAGGGAGGGGAGGCCCTAGGGGACCACTCGAGAACCCGGAACATACAGCAATGAGGCGTCAAGGAAACGGCCGGGGTGGACAAATGGTGGAAGGACTCGAGGGAGGGATGTACGGTGGTAGGGATATGGATGCCAGAATGGATCAGAGAGTCTACGCAGTGTATTCATTTGCTGGCATGATGGAAACGAGAAATGGATCGAATGAATCGAACGGATTGAGATGGACGAACCAAGAGTAGGTTACAGACAGTGTAGTGTAGTGTAGTGCAGCCGAACGAGAGCATGATGGGAGGCTTAATGGGGCTTGCTGGGGGGCTTACTAGGGTTAGATGAGAAGAGCATGTTAGCACATGGACTGGCACATACGGATAGGAAGGATTGCCAGTGTTCGATGGTTACGGGAGTACTCTGTACGATAATCATGAGTTACTGGAAGAATTGAGGGAGTTTGAGTGAACGGACAATTAGTTAGTATGTTAATCGGTATGCTGGTCGTAACTTGGCGACCGTGAGGGAGAGATATGGTTGGCTGGCGAAGCGCTGGGTGCCTGCATGGTGATTGATGAAGTTAACGAAATATAACTGGGGTCGGGTTCTGGGGGGGGGGCGGAAGTACACACTGCAGTAACAAGACAGACAGTTAGTTAACTTAATACTTGTTAGTTTAGAGAGAGAAAATGGAGACGAAGACACCAGACGGACGAGTTAGACGAATAAACGAAGGGGAGAGTAAGGAAAGTAACAGGTTAAAGGTTATGGAAAACTCCATCTTGCCCTTCTGATTGGTCCATTGAGAAGTGACTAGTTGCAAGCCCATCACACCAACGAGCAAATCATCACGACGGGCCGTCCGCTTGCTATTTTAATACCAAACAACCATTATCACCATCCCATATAAACCCTCCCCTACTACAACCAATCAACCATACCATCCCATTATTGTCTTGACTCTCCCTCTATCCCGTCAATCTATCTACTACCTATGACTCTGATGAGATAACTACAAGAATAACTACGGAGTACTAAGCAACTAACCAACGAACCTAAGCACATCACACTGCTTCTACCGAGTACTAGTACATACACTGCACTGCTATTCGTATCCACATAAAACAGTCAAATCCATCTCGAACCAACTCGCCCAATCGCACCCAACATACACACAAGTCATTCCATCCCTATACCGACATTTGACATGACAATTAACCCTCCAGTTCCCAATCACACACAATCACGCACTTCAGGGCACGGAAAGAGCATTGCCCGGCCTCGCTAGCATCATCTACCTGCACTAGTAGCGACCACCCAGCCCATCCATTATGTATATCAGACCCCATCACTGCGCTCATCCTCGCCCGTCCGCGGTTTATTTTTGCTTCCACCGACCCCCAATAAGCCAGTCCAGTCTCCAGAAGTCATTCGACCATTGCGCCATCAATCCATCATTCCACCATTTATTCACCTCAATATTCAATGCAAACGGCAAGCCCTCGCTCGCCCACTCTGTTGTCATGTATCGCCCCAAAGTGAAAGCGAATCCTTCTCGCGACTCCATGTTCATCGACCGTTCTGCCTCTTCGATTGGTCTCCGCTCGCGGCGCGTTGGGTGGCGCTCTTCGTCCGTGTGTAGGGAGGTACCTCTACATCTCTCTGATCTGTGCACGCCCTCGCTCTGTGGTCTTCGCCGCTGAGGTGCGGCGGACCTTTCCTCCCTCCCTTCCCTTCCCTCCCCGCCGCATAGCGTCATTTGTGCGCCAGAGCGATATAGGATGATCGATGGACTGACTGACCCTTTTCTCTGTCCCTCTGGCAGAGTCGGACCGGGGAAGGAGGCCTCCTGATTTCTGTGTAGTACAATACTCGTCCTTGGACAGGGAAGTACATTAGCATGCAACACAAAGCTAGGTACAATTGCTTGGTGTAGTACAGCTACAGCTACTTGTTGCTCGTTGCAGCACTGACACGATCCAATTCACCACCCCCTACCCTGGTCTTTCATCAACCATGCCCTGACCGCTAGCATGACGTGGGAGAGCCCGCAACTATGGACCTTCCGGTGCGGACGCAGACGATCCGAATGGTAGCTGAGGGCGTACAGCCCCAAATCATCCAGAAAAGAAGACATACTCTTCGGTTTGGACCCCTCGTCTGCTTGTCCTCCGTCACACGTAACTCCGTATCTTCATGTAGGTACATATGTATCGCATCTATCATGAACGCGCATACCCGCATTCCCCGTGGCCGTGGCCGTGAACGGAGGAACGCAACCCAGATCTCAGCCCCAGAGAAAGGGCGGGGAACAACAGGGTGAGATTCGAGATAGTTAGATAAGATACTCCGTCCGCAGAGAAACTTGACCTATACCTATGCCTACATACGGAGTATTACAGCACTCGACAAACACTTACGGAGTAGACCAACTCCACTACGCCCACAACGTAGATAGACGCATGCATGTCTCTGGCTCAAGGCTCAAGACTGCGGAAGCGAGCGAGAAACTGAACATGAGAGGGCCCACAAATGCCCGCACTTGCTACCGTGCCGCACGCCTTTTCCTGAACCCCCAATCGCAGATCGACGAAGCTTGGACTGCTGTATGTACATGTACATACATACATAGGCATACATGCCAACTTACATACATAACTACTTACATATTGAACTCGGACGGTATGTGCAATCCATCTATGCTCCATGTAAGTCACACCTGCGGAAGGGAGCTCAGTGGTTCAGTGCTTGCCAGCATCGCCATGCCGGTCGTACTAATAGGAACAACCGTATATTGCTTCGACCCTGGATGCATTCCCGCCCCGTCCATCGAATATGATCAATTCCCACATCCCCATCTCTCTTATTTTCTGTCTCTCTCCTGCAGGGGGGAGCGGGTTAGACAATGCGACGGGACGCGCAGAAGACCTAAAAGAAACCTTATCGCGTGAAGAAAAAAGGTTTTGTGTGAACATAGCATGCGCTTGTGCCTTGTACGGTGTGCCCGAAGTTCGAATGACCACCTTAGTCGATAGTAGTAGTTGAATTTTGGGACGGGTTCGTATAATACTGTGCAGTGTGTACGGAGCAGTTACTCGATGGTGCGCATGAGAGCGAGGAGGTTTACAGTTAAGTGCGGTCCCAGCAGTAAGGTATCACACATTTTTGCTTTTTTCCATCACCCCCAACGGAAAATGTTCACACATGGGCAGGGCAGGCTATGGAAAATGCGGTGCGCTTTGTTCCCATTGATTGATTGATTGACCGACCTGTTCGACAACAATAGACAATGCTGTCAATTGTTAAGCGCCCGCACTAAAGTTGTGAAGTCAAAACTTCATGAACCTTCATGCAGACAATTGATGCCCTCGAGAGAGATCATCACTTCTTCTTTCTCTTGCTGGGGCTTCAGTCGCATCGCATCGCGTCGCATCGCATCGCATGCTGTCTCCCTCTCCTCCTCCTGTTCCCCTCATCTAGACGACCCTTTTGATCCCCATGTCTCCCCCATAATCCATGCCTCATGCAAGAACCCCCCGGTCCCCATCCTCGTCCCTCGAAATCCTTCATCCATTTCCACAAACGAAATCCCTGCTCCCCATCCCCATTTACCAGAACAGAACCCATCACATCCCATCCCATCCCATCCCCCATCGTGTAGCCTCGAACCCCACCCCACGTCTCTCCACGCTTGCCTGTCTCTGTCTCGACTCTCATGTCTCTCGACACCACCACTAGCTACCGTCACAATCCAAGACAGTTCAGAACTGTAAGGGATGCGGCAAACCGAGACAACAAACCCAACAACCCATACCACAACCGCCACCACCACCACCACCACCTCTCCGGCGCTCTACCGTCCACCCATCCATCCACAAGAAAAAACGCCCATTCTAGAAGCCACCGGCATTTTTTTTTCCCTCGAAGCGAAACCTAAACCTCGCGTGCATGTATCTCGAGGGACCAGATTTTCCCCCTCTCCTTCTCTCTACTATACCTATTTCCCTTCTCGGCATGCATGCACGACATTCATCAATCACAACACTAACAAGAATTACAGAATATACCAGACAAGAAGGAGGAGGAGGAGGAGACATAGTATGGAGAATATCAATCCAACTTTCCTGATCCTCAGGCAACAACAACAACAACAACAACAACCGCACTGAACGCCCCCAGGCCCCCGGCCCCCGTCCTCGTCCTTCATGAACATACACCCCCCAAACCCATCGTCCCTCAATTTCCCAAGAACCATAAGTGAACACATGTATGTTCCCGTAGTCCGTATGCAGGGAGGCACCACGAGGGAATACATGTGGTACAGTATAGTAGATAGACGGATGCCTACTTATGCTATTTATCCAGTCCTCTTTGTCCTGCCCCTTTCTTTCGATATAGGTTCATACGGGTAAGGCTCAAGAGGACGGGGGAAGATGCAGAAGACTGAGGGGTATCTGTTTATCCCCCCCTTCCCTACAAGATAGAATCACGTAGAAGTAGAAGGGGGGGAAGATGGGAGTAGACTAGGAATCAGTGTCTATCCGATTCCCCTGCTTCACTTCTCTTGCAGTCCTGCTGCTCGAGCTTAGTTTCACACGCCGATGTGCGGAGTACAGATGGAGGTAAATAGATATCGGTGACTTGTGATATACGTGTGTACATATGTAGATGAATCATCCCATGCACGAATTACATATTCTAATGTACAGAGGATGGTGGGTATCGATGATTCGTGATTTATATTCATCTATACTCCGTACATTCTACATAGGCTGGCCTGCCCGAGCACTCGGAAGTAAACGTATTGACAGAAGGTATGATATGTTGGGTTGGCCATGTATCTTCCATACCCGAACAGCTGTTTCACGATACAAATGAACAGATAAGGTGTAGTTACCTGCCCACAAACGTCTCCAAATGTACAGTCATAGACATGAATAGGTAGCAGAATCAACCCACTCTCCGTAGCACAGATATAGATACATACCTCCCCACCCGACCCTACCCTACCTACAAACAATCGTACGACTATTCCGTACATGTATGTACATATATGTACAAATATGGAACTCGAGGTCAGGAAGTCGGAAGCAGATGACCTGGATTTTGAACTGGCCGACTGATAGTTTCACGAATCGACACTCCCATCTGAATTAACTTCACTGTATTTTCCAACGAGTACGGTGTACTCCGTAGTTGAACAGCCTACAAGCTCTGCGAATGTACGGAGTACACACTGTCGTGGGCATAAGAAACTTGAAGGCAGGTAACTCGACATGTCTGCCTACACTCTGTTCATATCTTGGAGCACACAGTCGTACATACAGTGACACAAGGACAGGTACTCCGTCCAGATACGTACATGTACATACCCATGCACCCAACTATACCTAAATTCCATGTACATATACATACAAACACGCACATATGTAGACGGAGCATGGGCTTGACAAGTCAGAAGCAGGTAACTTGAATATCAGACTAGTCGCCTGCTGGATTTACGTATCGATACTTCCATACCCGAACAGCTGTTTCACGGTATCATTTAACGGGTAGGTAGTTGAACAATCTTAAAGCTCTACAAATGTACAGAGTACATACTGTCGTGGGCATAAGGATACTAGAAGGTAGGTAACCTGACATACTTACTCCGTACCTACCCTTTCTTTGTTCATACAGTGATACGTACAGTGACACAAGTACCGGTACTCGGTACTTCGTACTCCATAACGAATACGTACAAGAACGGGTACAGGTACATACCTCCCCACCCGACCATACCCACGAACCCATGTACATCTACATGTAGTTACATACATGCACAAGTACGTAGCATGAGCACGAGAACTCGGAAGCATGTGACTTGGAACCAAGACTGTGTTTCTATTTATGGAGTCTTGAGACGATCCACACTCCGTGTACACGATCACCATGCCCCTTTGGGGTACCCGCGGCTAGGGAAAGAGTGATAAACTCAATCGTGTGGATGTGTGCTTCGTACGTACATACGGCGCGCATGGACATGTGCATCACAGGACGAAGGGAAGGGGGGTGGTACAATAGGACATGAGTTACGCATACCTACCTGGTAGGTACCGAATATAGCATTGAGAGGATTGAAATGAGGTCCAGGCTCGGTCGCCTGACGGAGATTTCATGACCTTGGGCCTCATTTCGTAGATTGTAATTTGGTGGTGATTTGTTGACGTTGATGTTCATGCGTTGCGTCGGGCGGACGAATGAGGTTGGGAGGATGGATGGTCATGTGGTAGCGGGTTCATGGTATCACATTTCACGATAACGCGTCGTGATTTGCCTGGGGGTACGTACCCCGTGTACATGATTCCATCGTGGGATTCATGTAGCTGTTCCAATAGCATAGAAGGGGGATAGTGTGGAGAACGAGATGTGAGGCTGTCGGGCGCATCGTGGTGACGAGCAGTGGTCGTGCATTTGATTATCGATTGGGCAGGCGATGTCACTTTTAGCTTCTGCCCATGCACAGTCGTTATCCATCAGAAAACGATAAACGCCCCAATCGCGACATCGAGGCGAGAAAGAATATGGGATGAATGGGTTTTGCGGGACCGCACACGGCACAGGAAGCGGCAGTGACATTTACATCACAAGTGCGAAGAGCCGACGGCACGAGGTAGTCGGCGACAAACGGCTTTCGCGCGTAACTCGACATATTATTGTCAAGGCTGCGAATGATAACTACGCAGAATCAGATACGCGCTGGAGGCGTCGTTGGAAGTCCTCATTCAGGTAGTCGGCAAGTTGCGGTGTAGACATGTTCCCTCCCAATAATGCGCTAAGTGTGACGAGCCTTGAAATGTGCTCCATTAGCCTCACTTCTGAAAATCAGTACAGTTAGTAGTGCACCATCACGATAATACTTTCACAGAGACTGTCACACTAATCAAGCAAGAGGATGAGAAGATGGTTCAAGGTTGTGTAAGAGAATAAATATATTGAGAATCAATGTGACGGGTATCAAATGCAGTAAGGCGTGTCAAGCCACTCGAGCCATGCGGCGCTGAAAAGAATATGCAACACCGTCCTCTTCCCCGTTCCCCCCTCCCTTCCTCCCTGTTATGTTTCCGTCCGTGATCGGAGGTGGGGTATCATAAGATGAAAGCCAAGTCCCGAAACGCCTTGTTGAAATGCAAATCCCATCACATCCCACGTCCAATGTCAGAGAGCAACTTCGTGCTCTGTACCCTTGCTCTTGCTCGAAGGATCAGCCAGTGGCTGGACCCCTCTTGATGATACTTGATCATCGGTGGAAGCCAGGCCGGTCCCGCGAGGACCAGTCTAGACAGTGACGACTTTGCGACGACTGTCTTGAAGGCTTATGTGATGGTGTCAGTCACGTGGCACCTGATGAGGCGCCATCATGATGACTGTGTGTATATGAGGGCGATGCTTGTGCCAAGAAGGTCGACAGGCATGCTCCTTTGAATGCGCGTCTGACTCTTTCATGCTTGTGAGCAGAGAGTCTGACACGACTGTGCGTGCGTGACTAATCCTTGGTGTAAGGTAGGAGCCACGTGAGAGGTCGCGGTACTGGATCGGTAATGGATGCCTCTCATTGATTGTAGTAATGGTGGATGGTGATTGGTGGAACATGATCAGCTGTAGTAATCATGGAGTATTTGTTGCCTCATTCGGCGATCTCGACGCTCTCAGCGATGGGAGTCATAGGCTTGGAAGAGCGACGAGTCTTGCGACCGCTGCTGCGGCGGCGCTGCTGCTTCTGCTGCTGCTGCTTCTTCTCGGTGGCGTAGATGGGAGGAAGAAGAGGGAAAGCTTGAGCCATGGGAGGCTGTCGTGGCGGTGCAGGTGCAGACTCAAGGAATGGAGTGCAGTCCTCGTCGTCGAAGTCACCAAAGAGATCGGCGTCGCTGATGAAGGAGCTTGGAGTGCTTCGGAATCCTAGAGAGTTGCCAGTGGGCCAGGAAGGGAAAGCACATGTGGAGCTTCGGCTTGGAGAGGAGGAGAATGATGATGATGAGTCGGTGGAGGAGATGCTGCAGATGGAGCCGGATGGGGAGGCCATGGCGCCGATGGTGATGGGTATCGACTTGGATGGCGAAGAGCTTGGAGTTGTTTCAAAGTGCATATTGACTTTGTGTTTTTGTGTGTGTGTGTGAGTTGGTTGATGGTTGATGGTTGATGGTTGATGGGATCGCGACGTGTGGGGACGCGGAAGGGAGAATGTTATTATGTAGATTTGGAAATGCTCGATTCGGCGCCGGTCGGCGGAAAATATCGTGCAAAGGGGAAAAAAAGCGCGTCCACGGACCCGGAGACTAGGGGCGGTTGTAGTAGGTGGAGGGCGAGGTGGAGGGCTAGTGGGAGAGTTGGTGGTAATAATCGAAGAGTAACTGGGCCGAAGGGTGACTATGACTATGATGGGGTGGCACCTCGGCTGGTTTCCGATGATGGAGGAACGTCGGGCTGAAGGGCGACTGTTGGAGTAGGTAGGCAGTAGGCAGTAGGCTAGGCGACAAAAGCGGCAACAGAAGCGTGTCACTGCGGAACCAGAATTCCAGGGAGAGGTTTTCAGGGTTCTTCCGGGTGGGGTTCCTTTACTGTAGTTTTCCCGGTAGCGTAACAACTAGGTCGTCGTATTTCTAGTTCCGTTCGGTGGTTGATATGGTATGGTAGAAGAAGAATCGGAATCCTGGTGGAGTAGAAAGAGTCTTGAGATGGGATGTGGAGGAGCAGTAACGGCAGTAGTTAAAGTATGTGTGTCTGGGTGGCAGTGGTGGAAGGAATCAGGAGGTCGTGTCTCTTGATAAATGGTCCTGCTGAGTCTGGGTTGCTTGGTTGTGTGATGTGTCGAAGTTCTGGCCAGATGACAGATTCTGGACAAAGATATGGGGATGGATGATTTATGAATATCTCTCACAAGATAGAAGAGAAGGGCGAGACAACTCGGGCGTGGGATGGCAACCTGTCGTTATTATAGTTTCGCCCGTGGGCGCAATAATGATAATACAACAAACAGGGTGTGAAGGAGGTGAGAGCTCCTCCTCCGGAATTTGTTGTTATTGACCATCCATGAAACAGATTTGCTTCTTCAAACCCCGTATGGACATGTATGCCTAATTCACCGCCTCTCAAGTCTCGCCTGGCGGACTCTTTCTACTGGCGTACGGGCCACCGCTCTTTCGCTCTGTTTGCTCTTTGGACAGGGATTCGCACACCTTTTGCACACCTTTTGCCCTTGACCAGGCTTGCCAGGCTTGCCCCCCCGGCACATCTTCTACACATTTCCGCTTCCCCAGCGCCTTACCGTCTTACCGCTCTTCCTGACTCTCACTGACTCTTGCTTTTCATCCCACCATCCACCATCCACCATCCACGATTCCCCCCATCCGGTTCCATCCCATGTCAATCCCAGGCTATCACCCCGAGAGGGAGTAATGTAGACGTGATGACTCGTCTGCCTCGTCGTGACGCGGAGCATCAATCACCGCCGCGACCATTTCCATCCTTCCTTCTTCCATCTATGCGGGTATGCGCTGTAGCATCTTCAACACGTATCCATCCGAAGATGTGTATGTTGAGATGCGAGAGACCGATACATAACATTTTCCACTGCCAGCACATCCCACACACACGCCTTTCATCATTCACCTCATCAAAAAAAGCATACCCAAAACAGGTATTGTGACTACGCCCACGTTACCTCCCATTACCACCCCCCACGAGAGTGACATTCACAGATTCGCAGTGCCGGGTTCTCGCCCCGCCCACGCGCACACCTCTTCCATTTGCCCAATTTGCTTTCTTAAGTCAGCTTAGTGCGGAGATCATTCTTTTGGGGGGTAGGGGGGGGCAAGGCTTCCCTATCCCGCGTAATTGAGCCGACACTCTGTTTGCTTTGCCCCGTGTGTGTGATTCCTAAAAAGGGCTCCAGGAGGCGCCTCCCCGGCTTACGGTCCTACATCCGTAGGCCCTCCCTGTCTGGTTATCTGGCCAGGCAAGATAGGTGGCTAACCAAGTGCTGCCCAATCCAAATCGATGAATTCCGACAGTCCGCACAGTAACAATAAATCATGACTCTTTCTTGATTATTCCGCCTGCGAATGGCTGCTGCCACTTTTAGGCTGCGCTGCCATGATTTCACGACCTCATTAATGATGGCGACGACGGCGGCGTTTGACGACGGCGATGGCGACGGCCACAGCGATGGTAGTGGTGGTGATGGCGACAAGCGTCAGCGAGTCATCATCTTCAAGTTGGCAGGATGACGACTCGACATGGCAAGCAGCTGACACCGAGTTCGTCTTGTGTACCATACCATCTGTCCTCGCTGTGGCATCCGATGAGCTCTCCTATGCTCTACGTAGGCAACATGTGAAGGGGGCACAGGTCACCAGGGGTCCGACCGTCGCGCAACGAAACCCCAACTCCTATGCTGATACCGCGGTGAATCCGTGACCGAACACTTCTCTGGTGCCGCTGAGACTAAACTTTGCATCACCGCAACGCACTTCACTTCTACCGCCGCTTCTTGCTGTTTTATCAATGTTTAACCGACGGCCGGTAGAAATTCATCATACCTGGGGTAACGCTAATCCCCATCCATCTAAAGTACCATTACCTTACCCCGATGCTTTCACACGTGTGAATTTGCGACCACCGGGTGCTATGAGAGCTGCCTCGAGACGAAATCATTCTTCCGAAGGGTCTTCACGGTCCACCATCCTACGCTAGTTTCCGCAAAGATATCTAGTCTCCGCGAGCTATTCGCAATAGTCACTCTCTCCAGCGAGAGTGTTCTTCCGCACATTATTCCTTTCCACCGTCTGCGTCCGAGGTTCTTCAAGAATGTAGAAAACAAAACCTCGGGCGTCCGCACTTGCGTCCGGCCTGAGGGCAAAAGGGAGGAGCACACCCTCACCATCGTGCCCTCTCCCTCCGTGCATTCCGTAGGCCAAAACCAGCCTTACCTGCCCCATGTTCCGTACGTGCCCCCCTCAAAAACAATAAGCCATTATTTGGGGTACAATTGGCAGCCCCAGATGCGTTTCCTACAGGGCTGAGCAGGGCCATGTACAGTACAGTAATGTCCGGGTAATCCGAGGTGCACCCTTGCGCAGTGTGCAGTCAGCACATCCGCTCACCTGCAGCGGGTGCCGCTGCGAGATGTGTATTTCGGGCGATACGGGGAGCAGCAAGCATACATGGCATATTGCGCCCACTCAGCCTCATATTCTGACTCAATATTTGACAGACTTACTCTTATTATTGTTTTCCCCAGGTGTTCAATTCCATCCTCCACATCTCCTTCTTTTGCCAGATGCCACAATCCGGGGTTAGAAGATGTCTGAGAATAGCCTTCGGTGCATGCAGGGGCTGCTACGGCGCTCAAGCCTCGAAACGACGACCGAGTCGGAATTAACTTCCACTTTGCAGAACCTTAATAGTCATGATCCAGGTTTGGAAGGGAGAGCGCACGCAATAATTGTTACTCCTTTTTTGTTTCGCACCGCAGAATTAAACTTCCACAGAATGAATCGCAAGCTTCTCCGACCTTCTAGGCTTCCAGGCCTCCTGTTCCATGATCATGGTTTTGTTTTATTAGTCGCCTCCGGTTTGAATTCATCCTCTTCCCCAGCCGAAAGCTATGATCCACGCGAGCGCATGGAGCAAGAGTGGCGATCCCAGGGTTAGCCAAAACAGCCTGTTACTGTACCCCAGACTTTTCTTCCACGATGCAGATCCGGTACTGCACTAGAACACCCTAAGAAACATTCATTTGAGTAATTCTCTCCTGTGCTCTTCCGATGGTCCAAAAAGTTTACCCATCGACGGGGAAACTTCGCTCTGCGAGTAAGTAGAACCAAAGATTCTTCCAACCGGTGGGAAAGTCGCCCTCACGGCCTTCATCCGCCTGGTACAGTATCGCGCTAGAAGGCGACGGCCTCGAACGCCACCACGCGTTTCCCAGAGGTCTACTCCGTACCGTGGTTATAGCAGCTTTTCACACATGGCTGCACTGACTCTGTCAGTTCGACTTCGGCCACGTTGCCGCAGGAGTAGCGGAATTCTGTTCGCGCCCTTTCCACAAATCGGGATTCATTTCGAGAGCAGCGTTTGGAAACGATGACGATTGCCACGCTCTGCCACGCTCTGACATCGCCGTCCAAGAGCCATGGAACAACGATGCGGGAGTTGAAAACATCAGTATTCCAGAATCATTTCTTCAAGAGCAGCGGCCAGCAATTAAACGGAGCACTCCCGATGCGTGACAGTAGCCGACAGCACAGATCTGGTCTTGGCGAATAATTGGAGACAGTTCGTATATTGTATGGGAAAGTGGCTCTCACTGCCTAATCGGGTAATGCTACCCTCCTGGAATACTCCGTATTGGCGAATGGTGGCTCCGTATCGAGAGAGGAAAAACCTTCTTCAGCATAATACTGTGTACGCAGTGCTCATCCTGACAGTCGGAACCACTCTCCGTTAGCCAAATATCTCCATAATTACCTCGTATGCGATACCAGACTCCAGTTAACCGCCTCCAGAAAGGGTAGGTAGATTTGGAATGTGGATGTCTGGTACGGATTCCTAGTACAATACGGATTCCTGGTGCGGATTCCCGCAAAACACGTTTTTTCCTTCCTTACCTTACCCCAACCTGTCAAAAAGCGGCGCGTCCGTAGGGCCGGCTCTAGATGGTAGATTCTCCCACCACACGCAGTTAATACAAATACATAACCATCATCGAATAATAAGGGTCCAGAGACATGTGCTTGCCTTGCATTACGAAAGACTGTGTCAGTCAGTAGTGATGATGGAAGAACAGAACTTCTAGATCACTCTGTCAGGAATCCTATTCCCTTGAATAATGATGACCACACCTTTTCTTCCTAATCATAATGTCATGATTCCTTCACATGATTCCTTTTGGCAATTTGGTATTTTAGCAATTTCTGGCGTATTGGATGACTATCTCGCTCCTTGTCGCACATCATTCCGTCTAGACCAGAATGAACAAATGTCTAGAATTTCTCGTGGAAAATCCGACCCGCGCAGTCCAATGTGGTGCTCCTCCCCGGCCCAATAGTGCGTGGGGTTCTACCGGAATGTCTCTCCCTTCCCCCCCGTCTTGCCTGTGCACAACACGCACGTACTGTACGGACGCCCGCCCACACGCCTCACGGAGAAACTCTCGTCGACACCCGCGACGCCTACTCGTAACCCCTCCATCGACACTGACAGCCCCCCCATTCATCTCGGTATAATTCCCTCCGCCCAAGAACACGAGAAAAGCAAAAAAAGAGAATAGGAGGGGGGGAAAAAGGAAAGGAAAGCAATGAAGATCCGATATTCTCGACCAGATCAGCAATGCATCCGCCCCGCTCTCCCATTCCTTTTGCCCTGCTTCCGACACTGTACTGTGAGTGTTGCACAGTTGTGCTGCAATAACGCAAGAATGCAACTCCGTAGGCACTTCTGCTTCTCCTCTTTTCGTGAATCGCGAAAGGTCTGCGACACAAACAACCCGAAGACCGGTGTGTGATTTGCCCTTCAGGCTCCCTTCGTTCGCGGGGTTGGTTTCGCTCATTTGCGCTGTTCTTTCCACCCGCGCTGCTTTACATGTGATGAAGGGACTGAGGTGTAGATCTTCTGCTGTGTCAGCCCGCCTCCTCCCATAGCTACCCTACTTCCAAATACCCATATGTGTATAGATGTGCATGTGTAAGTTACGAAAAGGGAATTCGAACCACCCCACCGGACTCCGGCGGGAACCAGCACGAAACGAAACGAAACACTCACACACAAAAAACAAAAACAAAACAAAACAAAATATGACAAAGACACCATGCAATGCGGGATGATTCTGACTACGATTTCACGGAAAGTGAGGATTTGGGATGACAGCTGATTAGATGAGTTATGCCATGCAGCCAGCCAGCCAGCCCTACCAGATAGGCATCCCACCACATCCGCCTCATGCGAGGAATGAGGAGTGTCATTTTTAGGTTGCAGAGAGAGATGCTAGAAAGCCTCGTTGATGATAAATTATGGCCGCGATAAGCGTCAGCCTGCTCTACCTGGAGACAAGAAAAGCAGGGCAGTGGAGCAACTACTGTGGACGAGTGGAGTAGAATCTTGAGGCCGGCCCCGCGCGAAAAGCAAGCCTGTCAAACAGCAAACTTTGCCTGCGCATGCCATTTTGGAAAACCCATGATAGTCTGGGAGTCATAAGTGAAGTAACATTGTGCGCGGAGTGATTGATTGATTGATTGATTGATAGGTAGGCTGCAGCTACTGCGATCTTCGCTCAGCGGCGAGCGGCGGTGAGGCACGAGATGCGCTGTCATCCAATCTCTCTCTTGCCCTCCTTGCCCTCCATTCACGGGACTCATGCAAGAATAGTTGCGAGACAGCGGAGTCTCCGCATGCCGTGTAACTACGTGAGCCATCGTTGGAGTCATAACATAACCTACAGTTGGTTGGTGTTAGGATGGACGATTGTCCGGTGCACGAGAACAGAGCGATTAGTTAGCTGCAATCGAAAAGCAAGTCAGAGATGGCAAAGCAAGCTGGGATTCTATCCAAATCCGAGACTTTGGCGCTCGCTGTTGCTTTTTGGGTAGTGATGGTACATTCTCCGCACACTGCACTGCACCGCATCATTGCACCACATCGTCGGCCTCCGATCATGGTTAATAGGCACGCTGATTTTGCCATATTCACGGTGCGGAGAGATACGATGAGGGGATGTGACAATGGCAAAGTTGGTGGCTTGTTGATGTTTCGTTTTTGGGGGAAGTATCGGATGAACGAGATACGGAATTGACCCCGCGTGGGTGACGATCAGGAGGGGGTGTGGGAGAACAACAATTGTTGAACAGCGAGGTTTCAAGTGGTGTTGGGCAGCACGGGGGGAATCATGTGTTTCTATTTCGTGTTGTCAGATGCTTTTGATCAGTGGTTACCTTCATCTATCTCCAGCGCATGACTATTTGGTAGAACGGTAATGGGGGTTTCTCGATTCTGCATCCATATGACCATCCAGTCCATGTGAAGATGCATAACAGCCTCACTGGGTGTGTCTTCCGTATGTGAATGCCGAGGCTCCGAACCCACTCCACCCCACTCTCCACTTCACGATAGATCAACTACCTACGGAAACTACCGCGCAGCAACCAAGCTCTCAGCGAGAAGGATGTGGGGAGGAGGAGGACATGGCATCGCCAAAAAAGACCCTGCATGAAGCAAGTTGAAGTGACATGCCCGATACCTCCCGAGGTCCACCTTACCCTCAAACATGCCGCAATACAATAAACCCTCACCAAGACATGCGTCGCCGGTAGTATAATTGCCTCGGTCACCAAAGACCGTGGGCGCTTTTACCTCCTTCCCTTGGCCTGTCTGCAATCCCAAGAATTGTATACTAACCTGGGCACTATGCTGTCTGTATCGGACACTAAGGCACGTATTTCGTACATGAACTACCGGCGATCATCGTCGACATAGCCGGCCGGCCGTGCAATGTATGTAGACTACCAACCTTAGCCGCGGATGACAGGAAAAGTCCGGATGCTCGCTCCGGTAGTAGATGGACGCTCGCTATTGTTTCTTGAAACTCACCTTTTCGAGAAATCCATGGTTGGGGCAGCTCCAGGTCTTGGAAACAGCTGCGCAAGTGAGATTGCATGGTGCAAGTCACGATTGGAGCTCATGTGGCGGCGACGGTGGAGGTGGAGCTCCATCGTCCTCGCGCTTGGTAGTCCAGTACTTATCCCAATTGAACTTGATAGCTTCGTTTCCCCAGGATGTCCACCCAGCCACCAAGTAGCGTGCAAATATTTCCAGTGCACTGTAGTCAGGCGGTAGATGGGGTTCAATGAGCTCCTTCAAGCAAGGCTTTCGTGAGTGAATGTCGGGCACCGCAGCAATCACTCTTCTTTTGATTTCAGGCGCAGACGCCATCGTCGTCCATGAGTTCGGTGCCGCTCTTCCTAGTAGCAGTGTCTCGTAAGGTTTGCGCCAGATACTGTCCATGCTAAACATAGGTTCTCCCTTGGACGTCGTCTTGACCCAGATCCACTCCTCAATCAGGCCGACATTCCAGTTCTCGAACAGTCCGCCGGGCCCAAGGACAAGGTCTCGTGCTGCTTGCTTGTTGGTAATCCAGACACCGACAATAGCATTGTGTTCTAGGTAATTGTCGAGATCCAGTTTTGACAGGAGCTTCCGCATGTACGGCATGCCGCCAATCTGCTCGTAAGCGACCTTACGCTTCGCCGAGCCACTCGGCCAAGGAGGATCCAGAAGAACGAAATCGAAGTGTCGTGGTAGAACATACTCCTCTGTGAGTTCGCGGAACGAAGCACGAAAGCTGCCCGGTTCGGTGGAATCACTCAAGAAGAAGGAGGCACGAGGTGGGATCTTGAAACTGTACTCATGCGGTGCCCCCTCCGAGTGAGATGGATTCGCAGAAACGGTCAAGTCCGCTGCGCGATTTTGCGAATTGTAAAAGTACGACATCCAAGGATCCTTGCTTGATACCGATTCATCGCCATGTGCCTCTGTCGTGGACCCGACTGCAGGCCCGTACGACACGAGCCACGCATGTGTCGCAGTTTCGATCGACGTTGCATTCGCCTCGGATGCAGCGCCGAGGGAGGCCATCATCTTTTCAAAGTTGAACGCATCATCGTCGTCTCCCTTACTTGTACTCCACTCCCTCAGCCGCGCTTCGATATCCTTTTCTGCGACCTCCTTCTCCGTTTTCCCGCAATTTGGTGCCTGGGTCATCAATTTGCGTGGGAGACACCAAGACCCACCGGGATGCAGGTTGCACCGAATGCTCGACATGGCCAGCTCGATCGCGGCCTTGTATTCTGTGTGAACCTGTGTTTCAGAGTAGGCCGCATGCTTCTCGCGAGCTTTCGGTTTCTTCGGCTCATTGCGAATTTCATACGGTTCCTCAAGTGGCGGGCATGAAATGATTTCGATATCATCAGACCTCCCTTGGGCTCCAGCTATTGATTTGGGTATGTCGATGAGCGTGACGTCGCAGGCAGGATTCTGGTATATTATGGCCGTCATGGTCCTGGGAATCGGAACTCTCCTTCGACTGGCGTGTACAGCACGAGTATCTTGAGGGTGAGTGATGAGACTAGACTCAAACCTGATATAGTCCTCCTTATGAAAACAGTCTTTCGTATGAGATGAAGTCCGTTTGTGAGGGAGAAACCACGTGACTTGAAATGAAGCAAAGAAACTAAAGAAAACGAAATGTAAACCTACCTTTGGAAGCGTGTCCTGATTCTGAAGACGTGGCTACTTTAGCTACGAAGGCGTGACAGAAGATGAATATCTACGTCAAAAACATTTTGACCAGATGGTCTCAGTGTTGTTGCGATAGTTGATCAATATGCGTATTTGATCTCGCACAGTGAAGTTGCGTTGAAGCTAGTTAGTGGAGAGTGCTCAATACAGCTGCAGGTGCTTTTCCAGACCTCCGCTTTCCATCGGCGCGCCAAGGCCTACCGGAAAGTCGACGAACCAGATCCTCGGCATTGAAGATTAACGTCATTCCTCTGCGCACACGACTCCCACATTTCCCCGGCAGCCACCACCACCAAAAACAATAACAGAACCTCTTCGGAACAGCGAGTTTTGAGAGCATAGCGTTCTAGCAATCATCCATGACCCGATAGCTCGGAGTGCCGACCACAAACAATTGGGATGTCCACGCACATCCTGAACTACGATGCTTCGGAACATACCCGAAACATCATGAGCGCGCAAACGCTGTCGCCACCACAAGGAAAAGCACACCCACCGTTATGCCCGACCGACAGCGAGGCGCTCGTGCCAAATAGGGGAGAGGATCAGAAAAGTAACCCAAAGAAAGCCAAGCTGGACAAGAAGAGCCCGGAATATGTGCTGAAGAGCGGACTGGCAGGAGGAATAGCCGGATGCGCGGTAAGCCCCTCATACTCGCAAAGCGATCTAGGATGCTCTCGCATATGGATGCGCGCGTATTCTACTCAAGAATATTATACTGACATGATTGCGAAAGGCCAAAACCGTTGTTGGACCCCTCGATCGCGTGAAAATCCTCTTCCAGACCTCCAACCCGAACTTTGCAAAATATACCGGATCATGGACGGGCCTTCCGACAGCTATACGGGACATTTACGCGCAGGCTGGAATGAGCGGTCTCTTCAGAGGCCATTCGGCGACATTACTGAGGATATTTCCATACGCCGGCATCAAGTTCCTCGCATACGAACAGATCCGCGCCCGTGTGATTCCCAGCAAAGCTCATGAAACTTCCACTCGAAGATTTCTAAGCGGATCCGCCGCTGGAATAGTATCCGTATTTTTCACATATCCTCTAGAGGTCATTCGAGTGCGGTTAGCCTTCGAGACCAGACAGCAATCACAACACACACTGCGTAGCATTTGCCGGAAAATATACAACGAACACCCGCCTGCTACTTCACACCACGCTTCCAACGTCATATCCGAGACCGCCGCGACTGTAGTCCAGAAAGCCACGCCCTCCTACGGGCTGGCGAATTTCTACCGCGGATTCTCTCCCACCCTCTTGGGCATGATCCCGTACGCCGGAGCCAGCTTCCTCGCACACGACACCATGTCCGACTTCCTGCGGCGTCCTGCTTTCGCGGAATTTACCACACTCCCTCACACCGAGCGCTCGGAATCGTCGACATCTTCGCATAAGCCGGCCCAGCTCCGCGTCTGGGCCGAACTCAGCAGTGGCGGTTTCGCCGGCTTCGTATCGCAGACTGTTTCGTATCCCTTGGAAGTTATTAGACGGCGTATGCAGGTGGGCGGCGTAGTGGGCGACGGACGTCGTCTCGGCATAGCGGAAGTCGCGAAGAGGATACTCATCGAGAAGGGGTGGAGGGGCTTCTTCGTCGGGCTGACTATTGGCTATATGAAGGTCATGCCGATGGCGGCGACTGCCTTTTTCACCTACGAGAGGGGTAAATATTATCTGGGAATATGAGCATTTTGGGAGGAATGGCACCCGTAAAGGTTCGGGTGCACAGTGGGCATGGTTGGTCATTAGCATCGGCGTTTTTTTTTGTTGGTTTTGGATGAGAACCCTTTTCAGCTGGCGCAGGCTTTTGCCTTGCATGAGTCTAGACAAGAGACTTGATTAGATATACACATAAACATACGATTGTCATCACGCTCAGAAACAGTTCAGAGATTGGTCTACGTTCAAGTGAAACAGCAATTTTGAGTGTCTTGGGTGTATTAGCCATATGGATCACAAGCAGATCACCATATGGCAGATGCTTGAAGGAGCATACAAAGCTATATGACTTTGACTAATTATGTCTGCTATGCTTGCAGAGCAAACTTTGTCTGTTGCTTCACCCACCAGGAACGGCGGAATTCTCCATTGGAATTCGCCCGAACGATCGAAGATATGTTCAGGCACGTTGAAATGCTTCTTTGTTAAGCGATGACTCGGCTATCCATGTTCCACTTCCCTTCTGGCCAGTAGGATCGCAGTACTGTAGTAAGCTTTCGATTGCAGTAGCCATTATCGTGGCATCTGAATTGACAGTCCGGCGACTAAGGTGGCGTGCATTGATTCGTCGTAATCTCATGCTGAAAAGAAAACTCGGATATCTATGCTGCTCGTGGGAGCGGATTGTTCATGCCATCAGTTTGAAAAGCCATAACTGTTATCAGTATTCAAGTCGTAGGTGCCGTCGTAGGAGTCGGTGCAGAGGTAGATGGGGTGGCAGCTGCACCGCCTCTTGCTCCACCACGTCCCCGTCCACGGTTCGGAAAGCTGCTCCGGCCCCGAGCGGGCCCTGTAGGCGGTGCTCGAGTAGCTTTCTCCTTTCGCTCAAGGACCTGGACAGCTCCTTGAGCAACCTTGATAGGGCTTGCAGAGATGGCCTTCTTGAGAGCTTCAGTTTCGGAAAAGTCCACATAGGCAAAGCCCTTGCGCTTGTCGATTTCCACTTTCTCAATTCTTCCGAAGATCTTGAGGGCCTCTTCAATGAGGGGTTCGGTGATGCCTTGTGATGGATTAGCGTGCTTGAGGAAAGCTTGACGTGAGGTTGCTGCAGGAGTTGGCTGCGCTGGGGAAGCATTCTGTTGGCGCGTGTTGGCATCATTCTTCGCCAACGCAGCTCGGGCGGCGGCAGGCTCTGTAGGAACACTACGGGATGTCGCTGGCCCCTTGACTGCAGCAGGAATCTGGGCGGGTTGGGTCTTCTTGAGAATTGCTTTTGGTGCTGGTGCAGCAGCCTTGCTCTGGGGCTCCGATTCCTGCTCCGCGTTCTTGGTATTAGTCTTGTCCGCCAAAGATGCTTTGAATGCACGTCGTTCGGCACGAGAGGGACGCTCTTTCTTAGATGACGAACTGGCTGCTTTCTCCGTGGTATTGTTGCTGGTCGACGCGGGAGCAGCTTGAATATCTTTCGCCTTCTGCTTCCCGGCTGCTGGCTCTCCTGTTTGAGCTGGCGCATCTTGGGTTGAGGAAGGAGTCTCTCGCTTTGTTCCTCGTCTACGTGTGCTAGGAGCACCTCCACCAAGATCGCGCTGTATGATTGATTTCGCGATACTCGCATTTCCTCTCTTCCGCTCAGGAGCTGGAGAAGCAGCCGCCTTGTCTGTGGAAGCGTCCTTGGATGATCCAGCCGCCTTGTTGAGTATCTTGACAGATTCCTTTGCAGCCGCGGCCTTCTCAGCTTTGGTAGCTCTCCTTGACTTATCTCCTAAAGCATTTCCTGCATCTTTGCCCTTGCTCAAAATCTTCTTTTCCGTCTCTTCTTTCGCTTCTCCACGTCCATGCTTTCCGGACTTTGTCTGCGGCTTCTCCTTGTTCGCCTTCTTTTCTCTCAGGGCTTCGATCAATGGAGTCGTGGTAACCTTTCCATCCTTCTTATCATCGCTCTCATTTGCGATAGGTTTGGCGATCGGGTTGGTGAGGCTCACCAAAAAGGCCTGGAAATCGGGGTCCTGGTCGATAGTTCCCTGACGATTATCCTGCTTCTTCTTGCCAGCGGGGAGTTTGTGGAAAGGGGCGAATTCAAGTGCTGGGGGGCCCACGAGCGCGTTATCCTGGAACGATTTGGCAGCATCGTGGAAAGTAAGCGACCGAACATGATCTCCGAGTATCGGGACTATTGTATGTGAGGTTACATGTATGTATGCTCTGGCCGGCCTGGATGGCTTAGCAAGACTAGAAAACATCAGTGGTGGACTACACTATTGTCATAATGAGTCCTACTCTTTTGAAATCTTGCCCTCTCTGAACGACAGCCAATCTATCTTTCCACCTCCTACTTTCCACTCATCCCCTAAGATTTGGTCAAGTTCAGCCTTAGTAAGGCCCGGTGGTAATCGTCGAAGAACAAGTTTGAGTCGTGGTGAAGCCGCTTTAGGACCGCGGGGCGCGGGGGTTGGTGCGTTCTTCTGCAGCACGCTGGCGGGCAATACACCGTTGGCACCTGCCTGAGGTGCCATTGTGGGCTTCGAGCAACAATATCTGGTCGCGATTCGAGATCTGGCCTAATATTCGGGAGTGGATCAAACTACGGTTGTGAAAGGATAGTTGGGCGCGTGTCGTGACTGGTTCTTCTTGCTACGGGCATTGGAACTTAGCGTTGGGCGACTCTGACGATTAGCCGTTTCTACGAGAGCGAAGGGGGTCTGCTTTTAATGGGCCGCCCAGCAATAGCCCCGACGAGCGAGGTTTGGAGTAGACACAACGCGGTGTTTGTGATTGTTGAACTTATCGGTGTTTGCGAAATGGACAATGGAGGGAGGAGAGGGCAAGTTATCATTAGTTCACCGCCCGCGGCAGAAACAACCAACCCACTTCGGTACGGCAAGCGCCGAAGCCGTCACCAACGTTCAGGTTCAGGTGCAGCTGCTTGCTGCCGTCGTCACAACCACTATCCCGCTATAACGAGGTCGGATTCACCTGACCACCGTTCTCACCAAAGTCGTCCGGTGATTCTGTACGCGTTTGAGTTCTTAATAGTACTCCACACCTGAGAAATAGTAATTCTCCGCCACCTCCAGATCCTCGCCCCGCAGTCCCACGTCTCAACAGATGCCCTCGAAGTGATCCGCTACGTCACGCTTGTTTATTCACACGACAAACCCCTCGGATAACCCAGCTTCGGCTCTCGTACTTCCGGCGTCATATATCTTCCCGTGCTTTTAGGCCCTCGCGTCCAGCAAGAGACGGGTAACACATCATGGTGAAAGATAGCAGTGTTCCGCAACCTGGGCCAGCACGGCTGTCGAAGGGTGCAGGGCCCGATGAGTGGTTAGAGCAAGCAAAACAGTGCAGGTATCTGCCAGAGGCCGATATGAAGCGTCTCTGTGAGATTGTCAAAGAATGCTTGATGGAAGGTGGGTTGGCCCCCTCTCAGTCCTGCCAGAGAGATCAACACACGTCAAAGTCATAGATAAAACCCATGCTGCGAGAACTAACTGTATCTACGAATAGAATCTAACATTCAGCCGGTCTCCACTCCTGTCACTGTGTGCGGCGATATCCATGGCCAGTTCTACGATCTCCTGGAACTGTTTCGTGTGGCGGGAGGTATGCCTGGAGATACCCCCGCACCAGCTCCATCAGCACCGGCCAATGCTATCAGCCTTGCCGATATTGAACCCCCCACAACCATTACGGATCCAAAAGCCAAGCGGAAGATGAAGAGGCGGTACCAACAAGACGCCAACTACACTGGACCTAGTAGTCCAAATGAAGGCGAAGAAGAGGAGGAGGAAGAAGAGGAAGAAGAAAGGGGCCGTAGCCGTAGCGCTACAGGCAGAGGCAGCACTGATTCCGCTTCTGGTCTTGGAGAGAATGTTGCTGGCGCTGGTGGCGACGGGCAACAAAACTTCATCTTTCTCGGCGATTTCGTGGATCGCGGGTATTTCAGTTTGGAGACATTCACCCTGCTGATGTGCTTGAAGGCAAAGTAAGCTCTCAACCATTTCTCAATTTGTCATATATCTGACTTTCTTAAGATACCCGGATCGTGTAACACTTGTCCGCGGCAACCATGAATCTCGACAGATTACTCAAGTTTACGGATTCTACGAGGAATGCCAAACGAAGTATGGCAACGCATCTGTCTGGAAGGCCTGCTGCCAAGTCTTCGACTTTTTGGCTTTGGCTGCCATCGTCGACGGCCGGGTACTCTGTGTGCACGGAGGACTGAGTCCCGAAATCAGAACGCTTGATCAGATCAGAGTCGTCGCAAGAGCACAGGAGATTCCCCATGAAGGTGCATTCTGTGACTTGGTCTGGAGCGACCCAGAAGACGTCGACACCTGGGCAGTATCGCCTCGAGGCGCTGGATGGCTGTTTGGAGATAAGGTGTCTTCCGAGGTTTGTCATCCGCTCATCGCTATAACTTCTCGCAATTGTATCTGTGCTAAGCGTCATGCAGTTCAACCATGTCAACGGTCTCGAGCTTATTGCTCGAGCGCATCAATTGGTCAACGAAGGGTACAAGGTATGCTATCCTTTTGGTCCACTTTCAAGGCCAGTATACTAAACAGTTTGCAGTATCACTTCCAAGCAAAGGACGTGGTTACGGTCTGGTCAGCACCCAACTACTGCTACCGGTGTGGCAACGTTGCTTCCATCATGAACCTCAAGGAAAACCTGAAACCCGAGTTCAATATTTTCTCAGCTGTTCCCGACCATCGAAGAGCAGTACCTGTAGGAAGAGGGGGGCGAAGCGAATACTTCTTGTAAGGGAGGCTTGCCGTTTGTGGTCATTTGGCATAAAATCTTGTTTGCATGTCATAATTGATAGACGGGCGGAGAGCGAGGAGGCACTGGGAATCAAAACAGAACAGTGCGTCCTCTGCTCGGTTGTTGGGCAACGTTGTTTGGCAGCATTTTCAAAGTGGATGCATGCATGCGGACCCCATTGCATTGTTATGAGTCGAATACCCAGGGTCATATTTAACGAAATCTATACACTGTACATTATGCTTGCTTGTAACGAATCTAGTGATGAAAATGTGGGAGAAGCTGTACAAGGGCAGTATGAGCAGCCACCCGAAACCGTGCCTGATGTGGTGCTCACTCACCTAGTGAATGAATGAAAAAGGCATTCGGTGGTTCACACAATAAGTTCACGGGGGAAATAAGCCTGAAAACGGTACGGACTAGGTAGAAGAGCAATGTTCCAATTTCTGATTGTGTTGCTTCCATGTACTTATTTATATATAATACAGTGCGTATGTGTATGTACATAGCGAGAGAGAGCCGTCAACTAGTGTCTGTCCGCTGCCAAGCCAAAACTTCCCTTTCCGTCCAAAAAACCAAAAATGTCTTTTCCATCAGCAAAAAAGAAATGCAAAAAAATCAGTCGATACACCAGCCCACACAACCCATTCCAACCAAAGCAAGAGTATTCCAGCGCCGCCGTCCAATGGTGAATACGCGTCTGCAGAATTGCTTCCCTCGACAGTAGTATTCATTGCTTAGGTCCGTCCAGCATCCTTAGTTACCTGAAGGAGTGGATTAACGGACACCACCGGACTCGAACTGGGCTCTCGGCCAAGGTCAGGAAATGGAAAGGACCGTGTGGATGACGGTGCACCTTCTGACGAAGACCCATTACAGGTAACGTGATTTTTTCAATTGTTAATTTATAAAGGTGGTTGCAATGGGTAATGGGGGAGAGGAAGTGTCGAGATGCTTTATGGTGTGTTGGATGGGTTTCGATTTGAGGTTTGTGCGGTGCGTGGTTCGACTAACCGTGCTTTGCGTTAGGGGTTGCGCTTGCAGGGTGGGCGAACTTCCCCCCTCCGGAACTGACTAATCTACCAAATGTCTCCGTTTCGATCACGCACACATTCATAGATGCTTAGATATAGAGGTAGGAGTTTATACAGTATCACATGCAATAGGGTGGGTAGATCCAATCATTCACACACAAGATCCCGAGCAGTAAGTTGAGTATTTCAGAACATTGCTATCATTTCGTCATTTCTAGTCTAGTCGCAGACCGAGCTTCATGAATGCACAGGGCAAGCAAGCGAGCATCCTGGTCGCTACTGCCTATATGAGTGTTGTTGTTTGGGGGAAGTTACGCTCTTTCGCTTTTACACGTACTCCCTATCGGCGTAGCTCTGGATCATGCCTTGGGCGGTGGCCTCGTACTCCTTGAGCTGCACCTTGCCGTCCTTCTCTACGGTGTTAGCCTGCACGAAGACCTTCCTAGGCGTCTTCTGCTTCAGCACAGCCGGGCGGACGTAGTTCTCGTAGAACGGCTCGACAGTCGTGATCTCCTCGTACATCTTGGTCGCGGCCTCGACGTCGGCCGTGCTCTTGAAGATGTGCAACTTCTGAAGGTACTCCTCGACGGCGGGGCGGCCGAGCTGAAGGATCTTGTTCCTCTCGAGCCGGATGGTGAGGTCGGACAGGTCCTTCTCCTTGTACTCTAGCTCGCAGAACTCGACGCCCGCATTGAGGAACGTGCGGAGGATGGAGAAGCGCGCTTGCATGTGCGCCTGGCCCCACTTGCGGGACTTGGGGTCCCAGAACTCGAGGGCGGCGATACCCGCGCGCGCCATAGAGAGGTACGCTGCGTAGAGGATGTCGCCGGCCTCGCTGTTGATGTCTTCCTTTCCGTCGCCGTAGCCGAAGATCTCGAGGACGGAGAAGTCGCAGGATAGGGCCATGGCGACGCACTCGGCGCGGCATTCCTCGTATGATGCGGCGATGGAGCCGAACACGCTGCCCCAGGTCTGGCCGGGTTTGTAGTATGTAGAGATGGGCTTGTGGGTGATTGGGGAAACGGGAGGGTTCTTGATGTCGAAGTTGAATTCGCCAGGGAGTGTCTCCTGGAGAAGCTTTCCGCAGCCGTGGCCGAGGAGTTCGTGCAAACCGACTTGAACCTCAAAGGCGGGGTCCCGGTATTTCTGGTAGATGGCAAGGTCGCTTTGCTTGATGAACGGAACGGCCTCGTTGGGAGCTTTTGCGGAAAGCACGTTGCCGAGGGAAACGTTCTTGAAACCCAATGTCTGACGGATGTCATCGTAGTTGGGGATGTTGATGCCGGCAGGGATGCTTCATTCGGTCAGTCATCAATCATACAGAGACACATGGAAACACTTACCCGCTTCCTGCGAAGGTGAGGACCTCCAAAGAGGTAAAGTCTGGAGATAGGAACTTGTCCTTCTCAAATGCCTTGTCCCAGGGCAATAGAGGGATCAGGCTGGGTGCCGATTCCACTAGCTTGCCAAAGGCCCTCGTTCGCTCCTTGTTGACCATAGCCACGAAACCCTCCCACTCTCCACGGATGCCGTGAGGATCTCGGTACGTCTCGACGAAACCGACGTCCACCTCGACCTCCGGTCCCTTATCCTTAATCCAGTACCGTTGGCTCTCCTTGAACGCCTCGAGCGAACCCGTCCTGAAGCTCTTCGCATAGTTTTCTACCATCTTAGACTCGATGTCGTTTGCCGCATACTGCTTCGCCTTCTCAAAGTGCTCCGTAATTGTAGCCATCTCCTTCGTATAGTCGCCAAACACGAGCTGAATCTTCTTTCCATCCGGAAGCGTCCACTCGCTCTCCTTCAGATCCCTATCCTCCGCCGCAGGGTTGTCCTGCGCAGAGGCAATCAAGATATCGTATCCATCCGGCGTCTTCCTCACCCTTGTGTTCTCCGGCAACAACCCCTTACTCTCGAGGAAATCACTCACACCAGCGATCTCCTCCTTCGTGATGTGCGGACTGGCAGGATAGTACGTCGACACATGCCCAGAGCTCGGGTACCCCAAGTGCAGCTTCGCAACATCATCGCCAGTATAGATCAGATCCTTGAACTTCTCGTACAGGTCCAGCGTCTCCTGGGACACGGTAGCCAGCGCCTTGAGCTGCCTCGGGTCGAGCCGCGGCACGAACTTGGAGTCGCCGAAGGACTTGTAGTTGCCCGCGTTGCCGAGGAACTGCGCAGCGTAGTTGAGGTAGGCCTCGATTTCGCCGGAAGAGAGGCCGGCCTCCTTCGCCAAAGCCGAGTAGTCACCCGAGCTGCGCTTGTGCAAAGCGATGATGAAGTCGTAGATGGGCTCCGATTCGGGTGAGACCTGCCGGAGGACCACGCGTGTGCCTGCGAGCGAGGCTCTGTTTGTTGTATTCACGTCAGAATATTTACTTCCCTACGTAGGCAGGCAGGAGTGAATCTCTTGGGAGGGGGAAGGATAGGTGTTCAGCTCACATGGAGATGTGGTGAGCATAGAGCTTCTCCTTGTCGCTCAGGGCTTCGAAGTGAGGCTTGATGGCCAGAGGTACAATAGTTGGGGGGCTATCCGCGAGGTATTGTTCTACTATCTGAGCATCCATGTTGGGCAGTATGGTGAGGTTCAATTCAGAGAATGGGGAGAGATGTCGATGAGAGAGAGAGGGAGGAGTTGTGAGTGAGATGGCGTGTTTGATGATGCGGCAGCTCGAACCAAATAAGCGCGGGGTAGCTCCAGCCTTGCAGCTGGTTTGAGGGCGGCGGGCGGGCTGCTGGGGCTGCCTTTCTCGCATTCAGCTGGGGGGTTACGCAGGCTGGTAGGGCGCCCAGTCACAGCGAGCACCTCCACCAAGCAAGCAAACGACGGGTACCACGTACATGCCATTCAATGCACCACCCTGCTCCTCGATTGTCACTTTTCACACAGAGAACGAATGAGTTCCGAAAGCGTCAAGAAAAAGGGTATGTAGATTATTCACCAATGAAACAAAAAAAGAAAAAACTATCACAAAACGTGTGAGAGAGACATCATCAGGCTGCAGCGTCTCTCTCCCGGAGCCCGAGTCCTCTTCTCCCCCAGAGAAAGAAATGTCCACTAAGTGAGGTGTCCATTTCGGAAAATGCTAACGATGTTATAACTTCCGCCCGCAAGCATGATGCATCAAGGAAGGCAGGCGCGTCCGCTATGCTGTCATCAAACAAAAAAGAACCCATCAATAGATATCGAAGCAATCTGCATAATCTCTCGTGCGTATGGAGCGCGAAGATTTTGTTCCTCTCATTCACCCCAGAAATAAATCGCCAAGGGGCCCAGGGTGAATAAAAGAAGAGAGTAATATTAAGGTACAAGAAGGGGGAAAAGTAAATGCTGGTGTTGGGGTATGGAGCAAGGGGAAAGTGTGAACAAGAAGGTGAAAAGGTTGGACATAAACCTTTTGAAGGCCGGTCCATAAACGACCTCTTTTTTAGCATTCTACTCATGGCTGTCCCAAAGCCTGGGCATTGCAAAAATCGTTGGTAAAACATAAAGGCATGTCGAAAGGAAAAGGACAGGGAAAGGGAAATAGGCATTGAAGCAAGTATAAGTGTATGGGGGTATTCAACTTCCTTTCCCTTGGCGCCGGTAAAATCAGATGTGCAATCTGTACACGAATGGAGAGAGACCGGCAGGACTGCGAGCCGCTTAGAAGCAGTTCAGTGTGCTCTTCTTCTTTTTCTTGTTGCTATTGTTGAGAGCGGCCATGCGCGCTTCGAGGTGGGCGCGCTCGGCTTCAACGCGTAGTCGAGCATTGCGCTCCTCTTCAACTGCCTGGAGGGAATGGCGAGCCATGCTACGCTCCTTCTTCATCACGGCAAGCTCATCTTCCAGGGTGGTGCACTTCTTCCTCCAGTTCTCCAAGTCTTGTTTGGTCTTCTGGCTTGAAGACTCTAGGTCGGTCAACGCATCTTCAAGGGTTGCCGTAAGCTGTTTCTCGGCGAACAGGTGCTTCTCAATAGTGCGAATGCGGGCCTCCTGGTCCTCGACGAGCTGGGCCTGTGCAATGTCCTTACTCTGGTGACGAGATGTGGGGGGAGAAGGTGCGTTCGTCTGAGTCGGTGGCGGACTTCCAGGAAGAGGAGGCAGAGGGATGGCTGGTGGAGGGGATGGCAACGAGTTGTGCGAGTTGCTCTTTCGCAAATTGGAATCTTTCGAGTTCGACCTCTGAAGGTTCTCACGTGGATCAATCGACTCGCGGTTAGAGTGTCGCTTCGCGTCCACAAGTTGAGACTGGAATGGATGGTTAGCCAAATCTATATAGAAAGGGGGTATCAAACTCACCTCCAGCAGTGCGATCTTAATACGTGATTCTTCTACCTCCTTCTCAATTTCATCTCTGCGTACCAAGGCGTCTTGAAGTTCCCGGCTACGCTCAGTCTGCAGAGCTGAGAGGCGGTTGTTGGCTGCCTCGTGTTGATCCCAGTTCGAGCTCAGCTGGTCCTCCAGTTCTTGCACGAGGCGGGAACTCTTGCGCTCCTTGTCGCTGACCTTTTCAAGCTCCTTGAGCGTCTCAGCATTGATAACTTCGAACTCTTTGACGGTGCCCTTAAGATTCTCGGCAGTCTTGACAGATTCTGCAAGTTCTGCACGTGCGGTTTCCAGATCCTTGATCGCCTGGTCCATCTTGGTAGTAAGAGACTTCCTCTCGTCGACCAGAGACATGATCTGACTTTGGATCTTGGTGGCATCCGTCTCTTGTTCAAGAGCCGTAGCTACGGCACCCAAAAGCTCCTCCATCTCAGCCTTGGCTTTGGTGAGATCAGTCTGAAGACTTTCCGCCGAAGCTTCGCGTGCAGCAAGCTCAGACGTAAGCTTTTCGAGCTCTTCATTGTGCGACTGTTTGAGGGAGTCAAGACCTTGCTGATGAATCTCGATCGCCGACTTGTGCTCTTCGATCTGGCTCTCTAGGTTCGCCACTAGGGAGCGATGGGTCTCAAGCTCCTTTTCTGTCAGCTGCCGTGCCTCGGCATCCTCCTCGACTTGCTTGATGATGTTTGCATAGGACTCCTCGAGCTCTGCAAGGCGGGCGGCGTTACCTTGGGCGGTGCTCTTGTGCTCGTCAACCTGGGCTTGTAGAGTCGCGACCAATTCGGCATGCTTCTCCTTCTCCTGCTCCAGCTCTGCCCCAGCCTGGGTACCCCAAGCTTGCTCGGCTTCGGCAAGGCGTGCGGTATGCTCCGACTCGAGTTTACGAATGTTTGCCTCCAGCTCCCGTATGGCCTGAGAATGCTGTTTTTCGGACGCTCGGGTAGCGTCAATCGCTTGCACATGCTTAGACTGCCACTGAGCAATCTCTTCTGAGAGTTGGGCGAGCTGGGCTTGGTGTGAGTCTTGCTCCTCATCAGCGTCTCCATCAACCGACTTGGAGCTAGTTACAAGGAATCGTGGAGATGGCGGGACCTCCAAAACACTTTGCTTCTCAAGGTCAGCCTTGAGATCGGCGATCTCGTCTTGCAACTCCTGTTCTCTTAGAGCGCGAGAATCCTGAATTTCCTTCAGTTGCTCTTCATTCTGTCTAATCTGGTCGTGCATGGTAGCGACGATAGAGATATCGAGAGGTGAGGCCTTCAAGCTCGATCGCTCCTTGGTGAGTCCGGTGATCAAGGTCATCTTGCCTTCCATTTCCTTGCGGATGGAGCCAATTTCAGTCTCAAGCGCTTGCACCCGTTCAGATCGCGAGTGCAATTCGGTCATAATGGCGTTCAAGTTGAGTTCGAAATTTTGGATGGTATCAGGCTGTTCCTCAAAATTCTCAAGAGCGATGTTGCGCAATGAGGCAAATGCTCGGTTAGAACGATCATTAGCAAGTACGTTCTGACTCGACTTGCGACGGATGATGTGAGCTGTTGGTGAGCTAGGACGTGCAAGTTGAGCTTTGGCGACTTCCGATTTCAACTCCTCTACGTAATCCAGGGTATCTTGATGTTTGTCTTGTAGATCCACGTAGCTGTTGTTCAACTCAGACATTCGCTGTTCCTTTTCTGAGTTGAGCAGCTTCAAGGCCTCGAGTTCTCGGACCAGTGTCGACTCTGTGTATGGGATGTCTTCTTGAGGGTGAGCGTTGGCTTGGGGGGTTCCCGGGTCGGACGGTTCGGCCCCAGCGTCAGTTTCTTCATCAGCGTTGGAAATACTGCTAGATCCCGCCAAGGACAACTCTGCGGATAGATTACGCGAGGGCTGCGGTTGGCCGTCCACCTCTTTGAGTCCATTGATTCCCGTAGTTGACAAGAAAGAGGTGGGTCGAGATCGGTGTCGGGCTTCGTCCATTGCATCTTGTAGAGCAGCTAGAGTACGCAAAGCCTCCTGGTACTTGTTCTGGAGTCTATCGTAACCTTGCACTGTTCCTTCGTGCTCCATGCGAAGATCAAAAAGCTCTTGTGTGACAGATTCCAACTTATCATGAACATATTTAGACTGAGCCGGACTCTGCGGCTCGTCGATGGGCTGTTCTGTGGAAAGAGTGTTGTTGGTGGTTTCCGGTACAGTGGCCTGGTCATCTTCTACGTTGGCGGCATCCACGGCTCGCGACCGAATCGTTCCAGCAGTCGTAGGTCGCTCGCTACCTTCCTCCTCTGCGATCACGTCCACACTAGAATTGAACTGCCTATTGCTAACTTCGGAGGGCCTCTTGGAATGACCGTTCACGAAAGGATCTTCGCTCTTCCCATCGGTCTGGCGAACATTGTCTAGTTCATGGAGCAAGTTGTCGAGCTTTCCAATGCTCCTCTGGCGTTCTACAACGTGCTTTAGACGTTCAATCTCCCGCTGCATGAGTTCGACTTCTTGCTCGTTCTCAGCAAGTCGCTCTTCCAGAGTAGATATGTACTCCTCGCAACTTGATTCATTCTCTCGTGCCTTCTGTAGCTTCTCGCGAAGGTCCGTGATGGTAGTGTCGTTCTTCTCAATGCCAGTGGCTGAGCTGTCGACTTGTGCTTCTAGAGTCTTAACGTATTCCTCATTACTAAGCTCTCGGTCGACGGACTTCTGAATCCTTGATTGCAACTGCTGGGCCTGGCTTTCCAAGAAAGCGATTCGGGTTTCCTTCTCAAGCAACTCACTTTCGTTCGTCGAAAGCGAAGATCGAGTTGTCGAGAGCGAGGACTCTAGACTCTGAATTGTTTTCTCGTACTCAAGAACAACAGACTCGACGGCTTCTGCAAATGAGTTTGATCGCTTGAGCCGTTCCAGGGCAGAGTCTCCAATGGCATCCTTGAGCATTGGCGTATCGGCGGATTCGTTGTCGCGAGCCTTCGTAATCTCGGAGATGAGCTTGGCATGGCGAGTGCTCAAGGCATTATAGTTCTCCTGGATATCAAGCAGCTGGTTATGGAGCTCAATCTCGCGTTCCTGTTGCCGTTCTGATCGCTCCGTTGGATTGGTCTTTTTCCTTTCAGTTCGCTCGGAAATTCTAATTTGGTCGCGCAGGAACTGGACTTCGGCACGCAGTCGTTCGATCACTGCTTGCTTGTCGCTGTCGTCGGAGACTTGTTGGATCTGAGGCTTGATCTGGATAGCACGGGCTCGCTGCGCGTACTGGACCGTGTTCAGAGTCTCGCTGTTGTGGAACTCGGCAGGGTTGACACATGCAATCATGTAGGTGATCGCATTACCACCAAGAGAATCTTGAAGAAGTCGGGTAAG